CTACAGGGGCTGATGTGGATGTAACTGGACCAGTAGCTTGTTGCTGAGGGACGATGTTTGGTTGTGCGGTAAATGATGGCGCCTGAATCTCGGACACAGGAGGCTTGGGTAGTGCAGCCGATCTCTGCTGAGGACTGAATACAGATTGTACGCCCATTGCTGCTAAGGATGTTGCTTTGCCAGATTCTGACAGTGGGGTCGCTCTTTGCTCAGCGGTAACACCTTGTTGTGTATCTGGCCTAGGTTGAGCTGCGGCTACGGGTGATTCTAATGAATTGAACCTTCTGCGTTCGATGTCTGGGCCTGCATGAATATCCGCCTGTGGCGCCGTTGTTCCCGGGACTATCGAGGAAGACTGCGCAGCGATTGTTGGTGCAGCCTCCGAGGGCCTTTGGTCCACTGTCTCAGCGTCGAGCGCAGTCGCTGGGCTTGCCCGATCCTCCCGCATGATGAGAGCTTCCTGTGTTCTCTGCGACGGCTGGAAGGGTACTGTGGGCGGCGATAATCGCCCTGCACGCGTTGTCATAACAAGTTGAGTATTGGCTGCGGGCTCCGCCAGCGAAAGGGATGGTTTCTTGTCGTCTGTTTCAGAAGGAATCACGGCCTGATCCCTGAGTGCTTGTGATGCCAGCCCTGGTTGATAGTCTTCAGCTTCGGATTGAGCTTGAACTGGTACCTTGATCTCTGCAGCAGCTTGTTCTTGAATACTAAGAGGCATTGTCCGGGATGCAGCAGTTTGCACAGGTTGTGTGTCAGGCGAGAGCTGATCTGTGCCTGGAAGTGAAACTCCAGTCTGACCTGGTTCGATTGGAACCGCCCAGGTATCTAGTGCAGGTTGAGATCTCGCTGTGGGATTTGTCTCTGGGTTCGCTTCGGCTACCGATGTACCCTCGAAGCTCGAAGTAGCCTCACCTACATCCTCGGAACTATCAGCTGGTGCAGTGACATCTCCATAGAACGTAGATCTCCTTGTTGGAGTTAGGCTCTTTTCAATCTCTTGCTGCAATCGCTCGTTGTCTCGCTCGCCTGGTGACCCTTGTGGCGGCGAGACATTCACCACTCTAGGGCGCTGGCCAGAGCCATCAAGAAACCTGCCCGTTCGTAGAGGTGCAGGCATGTCGACGGTACCCGACCCTGACGTCTCGCGCACTGGCTCAATCTTCTCTAGACCAGGTGTTGTCACGGGTGATGGCCTTTCTGACGAATAGTCAGCGCCGGAAGGCATGCCCAATACAGGACTTTCTACAGATCGATTGTGCTGGGGCTCGATTCTGCCTTCTCGTGGCGTCTGCTCATCATCAGACTCAGCCTTCCCGTCCGAGCTAGAAGAGTCCCACTCGTTCTCGCTTGAATCTTCTGAAGGTGCTTGGGAATCTTGACCGCTTTCGCCGAGTCCATGGCCCGAGAATGCATTAGCGAGAGCACTGCCAGCAGAAGCAGCAGCAGCAAAAGCCTTCTGTGCTACGCCATTGTCCGACTCCTTGGGAACCCTTGCAGTGGGTATACTTTCGGTACTGTCAAGCCGTTGTGGCGCGAATGGAGGCAGATGCTGAGATAAGCCTCCGGACGGTTGCTGTAGTCCAGGAGTGCCGAAGCCCGGGGTCTCCGCACCTGTGGTAGAGGTGTACGATTGCCAACCTCCTGGGAGTGACGGCCGGAAGCTTTCGAACCGCTGCTGTGGCGCCGGACGTTGTTGCTCCATAGTCGGCAAGGTGGCTTGAGGTTCGCTGTTGCTTGGTGTAGACCTCCCTGATTGTGTTTCAAGTTTGCCCGCTAGCTCACGAACAGTGCCTTTCGCCGGCGTTTCTGAGCGGGTTATGGGCGAAGGCACATGTGGAGTGACCGGTCCGCTATCTGGCAGGCCCGCCTTCGCATTGAACAGCTTCTTCTGAGCTTGCCATTCTTGCCACTCCTCGGATGTCGTCCGCTCACTAGGAGGCGCAGGAGGGCTACTGGACAGACTTTGGATGGATGTATGCTCTAGGGACCGAGGAGGCTCAACTTCAGCAGAGCTTTCGTCTTTTTCGTCTACCATTGATCCTTGTTGTGGCTGGATGGAAGTTGGGAGCTCGACACTAATAGGCCTCTTTGCGGGACTATTGTCATCCCCGGAGGGGCTCACATCTCGGCGATAGCCGGTTCGAAGGGCGGGAGGAATTGACGCATCACCCTGTGATGACGGCGAGTCATGTGCTTTCAAGGTTGCTTCTGATGTTGGGCGCGTCCGGGGCTGTGATGGCTCTTCGGGAATCGATGGCTGTGTGTTGTCAGCGGGAGGGTCTATTGAGACAGCCGGCTGTTTACGATCGATGATTGGGCTGATGCCCAGGGTTGAAGTGCTGTTCGACCTGTTCACAATATCCGGATTGGCAGGAGAAAAAGGTGTCAACTTTTCGCTTTCCTCAAAGGCTTGTTGCACCATGGATCGATAACCAAGGGATGGCTGGTGATGCAGCGAGTGCGCGCTAGAGTTGTCACCTTGCTCAATGGCCTTCAGCCTGTTGTTTTCGGGATTGGATTCTGCCCCATTTCCGCTTCCATCCTTCGCGAGCAAGCCAAGATCCATGCCGAAGCCAGACATCCTGTCGATGGGAGGTAGGTTGAAGGTGGGTCGACTGGGAGACTGGTTCTCATTCTCAAGGCCTCCGTCGTTGAGCGAAACACTACGCGAGACTGAGGAAGCAGACACGGGGTCTGGACGGTCGGTGTAGACTGAGGAGGTGTTGGTACCATGCCTTGAAATACTAGGAGCGTCGGCGCCAACTGCCGTCCCCTCTGTTTGCTGTGGACTTGCTAGACTAGTCTCTGTCGTCTTTTGCGGAGGATACGCTGCTTGGTTGAGCATATTATCGAAGCCGTATTCACTTTTGCGTTCTGGGACTGTGTCAAGAGCTGTGGGCTTCAACCGCCGCGCGGAGTCGGGCTCCTCGACAGGAAAATGCGTAACGGTATTGGAGTCGGACGTTATTGAGCGTGTTCCGATAGAGTCTCCTCTGACCCGACCAGTCTCAGTATCTATGCTAGGCCGCGAAGACTCCTGCGACTTGCGGGCCATTTCGTCTGTATGGCGCTTGTAGATGTCTGACGGCCGAATAAATGCCGGAACAGGTCTGTTATCGTTGCTGCCATCACCATCCGTGGCCGACGGCTGTCCCGCTGCATCAGCAGGGCGAATGAAGTCCAATGCTGGCGCATGCGTCAGGCTCTGTTTCCGTGGTGGGAACTGCCTGGTCGATGTGGTCGAACCCCGACTATCAGGTCTCCTAGGACTGTCGTGTCGTGGATATGGGTCACCCGGTGGCGGCCGACTACTCGAATCGTGCCTACCATGCTGGGGGAAGGGGCCCATTCCAGGAGCATTCTCATACGGCGAAAAGTTTCTACCTCTTGAGCTGGGACGAAAGCCGCCAGCCTGCATCTGCTCTTGTCCATGTGTGTTGACACGCAAAGGCGCAGGTCCATTGTAGTTTGGAAAGGGAGGTTCAAAATCATGTGGTGGACCAGGGAACGGTTGTCGCTGTGTCTGGGGATATGGGGACTCGAATGCGCCTGAGGAGAATGTCCGCCTATCATCACCGTGATCGAAGGACAGTCGTCCGCCTGAGCGGGAGGGTGATGGGTTGGTCACGCTTCGGTTCGAGGGTAGCGCAGGCGGTTGAAAGCCCGGACCTCGTTGATATGAAGTTGGTGCTGGAGCATACGCAGACTGATCTGGACCATAGTCATCCTCATCCCCCCAGTCATCTCCTTCATAACTGATCTGTCCAGCGTCTCTCCATTTCTTTGTGACCGATCTACCGACGTTGGTCTGGAAGGAATATGGACCCTGTCCGGCCATGACAATTGCGTCCCTCGGTGGATGCACGTCGCGGACTGCAAGAGGTAGAGAGGAGGTGAGATTGAGAGGTGTTAACTCAAGCCGATGGAAGCAACAATGGTCCTGGACGTGTCACACAACACATTGCGCCAATTGACGGACTCCCGAGAGGTGTAACAGACCACAATTGTGTCAGAGGAGGGTACCGACCGCAATAAGGCTGGTGGTGGGAATACTTGAGGGCCGGATGAATAGGCGAGGGGAAGGCAGGTAGGTAAGCAGCAGTAGATGCAGCCAAAAGGATTGTCCGTCAACACCTCAATTATGAGAAGTGGTGTAAAAAGGCCAAAGGTGAGTGAAAGGAATTGTGTACAACGCCAGCTGCAAGGTGCTTGCAGACGCGGCGAGGAATTGAAGAATGCTTCGTTCGACGCTACGGAGTCAAGATTTCCTCCACCTTGGTTGCTTGCACTCGGACACGGACAACGATCGACATGCGCGTCACCTTTTCAATGCAGTGCTGCGCCACAGTTGTCCGGTTTGTGCTGCAGTGGTGCTGAATATCGTGAAGCAGGGCTCACAGTAGTTCTGGGAAAGATAAGGTGTATTTGAATCTCTACAGGCTCTATCCATGGGTGTCACACTCATGTCAAATCACAGCGCAGAAAAGTTGGAAAGAGTTCAGCCGCAACCATGGTTTCGTGGCACCAACTACGAGAAGCCCGCATCACCATCAACGATCACTCACTCACTCCGCTTCTCGGCTGTTACAAAAAAATGCACAGATGCAGATAGCGATGGAGATGTGGCTATATCGCCAGTCTCTGTGGCTGATGCATGAATTTCAAGGTTGCGCCACCGTTTCATAGTTCGACGCTTTCGGATGCCCTGCGACTTCGACGTTAGACCATAGTTACCTATCTCAGGTATCCTGTTGACATAAACTGTTGAACTTCATCAATTCTCTTCTGCCACAGTACATAACTTCTTTCTTCTTCTAGTGCTTCTCGCTGTTTGTTGCGGCAAGCGCTGAGTGTATTACCGCCCGACGACTTGAACCAGAGACGTCTTCCGAAAGCGACAACCTAGTTTCATACACGGTCTGCTTACAACAACAATAACCAATACGAACGCACTCGTCGATTCTGCCGCGACTCCTTCTGTCACAGCCATACAAGGCAGAATGGTTTCGACTTCGATACAGGACCGAACGAACGAGTTCCGCACTATTCTGGCCCAAGCGCAGAAGCGACAGTCTGCTACGAAAGGGGGTCCTCAACGGCAATCCCTCCTGAGCGAGGCGCAAAAGAGAGAAACAAACGGTGCTGCCAACGGGCCTACAAGAGGTGCGCGGTCAGAGTTCGCTCGCAATGCAGCGCAGATTGGCCGTGGCATTACGGCCACGATGGGGAAACTAGAAAGACTGGCGCAACGTAGGAAGAAGAAGATACCTGTTCATCACGTATATCTAACAACTCTGCAGTTGCCAAACGAAAAGCCATTTTCGATGACCGGCCAGTCGAAATCTCCGAGCTCACATATGTCATCAAACAGGACCTAGCCGGTCTCAACTCACAAATCTCATCCCTACAACAACTCACCCAGACTCAACATCCTACCGCCTCACAACCGCGCTCGGCAGATCAAGAAGGTCAGCATAACAAGAATGTGGTGCTCATGCTACAAAACAAGGTCACGGATGTGGCAGCGAACTTCAAGGATGTGTTAGAAGTGCGGACCAAAAGCATCCAGGCTTCGAGGTCGAGGACGGAGAACTTTGTGTCGTCGGTCTCTGCGCGGTCACAACCACACTTGGATGATACAAGATCCGAATCTCCGTTATATCAGAACTCCGGGCGGCAAAAAACACCGCAGGCCTCCACCAACGATCTCTTGACCCTCGAGCCGTCCAATACATCAACGTTAATGAGGAATGGTACTCACTCAGACCAACAGTTACTGCTGATGGAAGAAGCACAGCCGGCGAACACGTATATTCAAGAACGTGGTCAAGCGATCGAGACGATAGAGAGGACCATCAACGAGCTAGGTGGCATCTTCGGCCAGTTGGCAAGTATGGTCTCGGAGCAGGGCGAAATGCTACAACGAATCGATGCCAACACAGAGGATGTGGTGGATAATGTTCAAGGTGCCCAACGGGAGTTGTTGAAGTACTGGAATCGTGTACAAGGGAATCGGTGGCTCGTTGCCCAGATGTTTGGCGTGCTCATGGTAAGTGCTATGACTTGAACCGTCAGCAGATGGGTTGCTAACATCGCATAGATATTCTTTTTGTTATGGGTGCTAATATCGGGGTAAATGGTTATGTGCACGATGGTTTAGGGTTCTAATCGACACTGCTTCTTACGGCCAGCGCCGTCGTCAACAAATCAATCAGTCTGACAGATTTGTATAATGTGCGTCTCGACAGAGGACAAAAGACATATTGGATAAGCCCTCACGCAGAAGGGTAGTGTAAGAGTATGGGTGATAGACTCTGGTCAGCACAAGCTCTGGCTTCCGAGCCTTGCAGCATGAGGCCGCAGAGGTAGTGGTAGGGACGTGGTATTCCGTGGGCAGCGAGTATCTAGATACCTCGGTCGTCACAGCATGGGAACATCAGTTGCATTGCCTCTGCAGTTATATCGCCGCCAGCTACACAAGTGCACCTAGAGTAGAGCATAACATTCCAGTGATGCCAATCAAGATGACCTCATCAATGGCTATTAATTCTCACATATTCTTCGTGGGTATCGCTGGCTGCAAACAACTTTTCCTGTTTCCCCAGAGGTTCTTATATACATCGTGGCACATGTCGTGCTGGCTCAGGGCCATTCATCGCTGCTTTGGAGCTGGTAGTCGATCTCTTCTCGGGTGTACTAGAGGTGGGTAATGCGATCGGGCCCATACTGAGGCGCCCTGGCGAGTTGTATCCGTGCGAATGATGCTGCCGATGCCCATGAAGACGCTGTCCACCGTCAGCACAGTCCTTGTCGCAGTTCCCATTTGCCTGGCTTACCTGAATGTTGCTCCTGAGCCCACCATATATTTGCCCAACGTTCGCATGACGCCCGCTTGTCCTGCGCCATACTGGAAGATAGTGACGGTGCCTGGAAGGCAAAATCATCAGTGAAAGGTCCTTACGCTGCGCCGAGAGGAATTGTTGCGAACCATAAATGAACCCCATTATGCCTCCGACAGCTAGTCCTCCGTTAGTCCCCATTCTGCGTGTCTACTCTCATTGTCGTTGACTCACTTCCTCCCATCAACATTCCCATCTTCACTGCGTAACTGTTAGCATGCCGGCAATGAATGAGCGTCGATGCTACGTGCATTTATCGATCCATGATGGACCATGCCGTTGGGCACTGGGCGGCATCGGAGGCATCTTGCCTGTGACTTTCGTGGGAAGTGCAAGTCGACTGATGTGAAGGTAGGTATGGGTGCACTTTCGTGCTCTGCGGCAACTTGAAGGTGAACAGTGTGGAGGAGCAGCAAGTTCGCCGAATGGCCGAAGCGCGCTTGGAATTTCAGTTTAACGACTAGTACGTGGTACTGCCGTGTGAAAGAGAGCGCTAAACCCTTTGTGTCACACCCGCTCCCCATGAGCGTCAATTCGAACTGCGCTCGCTGCCCTGGAACCACGAGTCCGCAGTCTCACAAAACAATCCAACACCATCGACCGACTCTGAACACGCCAGACTACACGCAAATGCCTGCTCACTCGTGCCTGTGCTCGTCCATCACCGATCACTGCTCATACCGCACAGGTTTCATCGAAAGGAGCTGAGTGGCCTGTCTTCGATCACTTCTCACGATCCCCACTGTCTCGACCTCTGCACGCGAGCAACCAATATTCTTCCTAAATCAATCACATCGATCCTTGTATGTCCTTAGCCAAAGCAGTCCTAGCACGTTTCTATCCAAGCCAGCAATCATCTCGTCGCGATCGTGGTATATTGACTGACGCTATCAAAATATCAGGCCGGCTACGATCTCGAGTCCTCGATTCCGACCCATGACGAATCTACCACACGGCGGTCTTTTGTTTTTATCCTTCTCAACCCCCTGTTGTCTTTTGTTGTCGTTGCTGGGTCTATCTTGTTAAGACAAAGGACGACAATTGAGCGCTTGATAGCTGTGCCATCCTCTGCCCCGACAACTTTCCGATGACGACCGCGGTGGCATCACCTCCCAACTTTCAAAACATCTCTAGACTCAACTGGAATGGTGTAAGCAGTACCGGGGGAGGGTTTTCTGCCATGAGCACTGACGAAGTGTCTCGGATGTTCATGCCTCAGCGCAAAACCGTGCAGCGGAGCAATTCCTCTTCATCTTTGTCTTCAACCAGTTCTTCCGGGTCCACCATCACCCTGACACAAAACGAAGTCAGCGGAGAACAACCACAAGGAGGCAAGAAGAAGGCAAGAGGAGGATTCTGGCCAGTCTCAAAATCAGAATCTACCGCCAGTGTCTCAAACGCCAGAGCAAATGGATCGGTACAAGCTGCTGGTGGAAACTCTCTGGTCGGCAAGAATCAGGTCCAGCCTGCCCTACCCAGTCAGAATGGGGTTAGTCAAGCAAACGGTACAAGAGTTGTCGGTGGACAATCCAACGCCGAGCCAGCCGCCATACTGGCGTTGTTGCCAATGAACGGTACCTTCGAAAGAAAACAAATCAACCTGCCTTTCTATCCAGATGTGCTTCGGATCGGGAGACAAACGAATGCAAAGACTGTTCCCACGCCGGTCAACGGATACTTTGATTCGAAAGTGTTGTCACGCCAGCATGCCGAGGTCTGGGCCGACCGGAATGGGAAGGTTTGGATCAGAGATGTCAAGTCATCCAACGGGACCTTTGTCAACGGACAACGATTGTCTCCGGAAAATCGAGAGTCGGAGCCGCACGAACTTCGTCAGCATGATACACTTGAATTAGGTATCGATATTGTGAGCGAAGATCAGAAGACGATTGTTCACCACAAAGTGTCGGCCAAAGTGGAGTATGTCGGGCTCCCTGGGACCACGAGTAATGTGCTGGATCTCAGCTTCGGAGATCTTGATCCATCTCATGGAGGAGCACTTCTAGCATCACCAGTCAGTTCTCCAATGATTCATTCACGCAGCCGGCCTGGTGGACCGGTCACAAACGGACGACTATCTGCACCTTCAAGCGTAGCGGGAAGTCAGATGAACTCGGTAGCTCAACAGCGGCAAATGAATTTCTGGGGAGCACCTTTGAACGTCGAGCAGCTTGTCAAGTCAATATCGGTAAGTAGAGGAAACCTCCTCGATCGTGATTCGTCTAACATGATACAGAATGAAATGCGGGCAGCGAGACAACAGGCTGAAGACCTTGAACAAGCCGGTACATTTCTCACGTCCATAATCACGCCTGGCAGCGAGGCGGCCAAAGCTCCACCAGCTCAGAAGGAACCCGCACCACAAAGACAGTCAAATGGACGGTCCAAAGGATCAAAGATGGAGCATGTGGCACGTTTTGCTGAACCTCCAGCTCCGCCACCACAGCAACCTTTGCCTGAGAAGCCTGACTCCGCCAAAGCCAGCCCCGTCACGAACTCATTTACGAATCTCTTAAAACGAAGTGACACAGCAAAGCAGCCAAACAACACAACCAGTTCCCCAACAAGCACCCAAAGAAGTGAGATATTATCCTTGATGGAGAAATTTAACTCCACCAAGCAGGAACTGGATTCACAGGTAGCAAGGGTCACACAACTAGAAAACATGTTGAAACAAGAACGCTTAGCCAGAGAAAAAGCAGAAGAAAAGGCACGGAGACTAGAGCAGCATACTGCATCACGACCTGTCTCCAGTGTTGAAGAACGATCGGAAGGCCTTGCTGAACCAGATCTTCTCGACACAACAAATACTGAAAGCACGTTGAATGTTCACATCGATGACGAAACAGACGATCGAACGAGGAACTTGCAACAGCATCTCGATCAGGTACTCGGAGACATGCAGAAACTGAGATCCGATGTGGATAAATTTCAACAGCGTGCCGAGAGTGCCGAGGCAGACGCTGCAAGCGCCAGGAAAAGCCTTGCTGAGATGATCGAGAAACTCCGCGAAGACGATGAGGAGGCTGAGAGACTACCAAAGAAGACTCGACAACGCCGCTCGGCCAGAGAAAACGCCCAGGCAAGCCGAGAGAGCACTGAGGATGAAGACGACCCAAAGAACAAAACACTTGTTCAGCGGCCAAAACATGCTAATGGTCACATCCGAGCACCGAGGCTGCCTGAACATCTAGAGCAAGCGGTCGCAACCATCCTCCAAGACAAGAATGGCAATGGCGATTCATTTGCTCAGTCTGCGCCATATGTGTCCATGTTAGGTGTTGTGCTGATAGGAGTCGGGTTGATGGCCTACCTCAACTCTTTCCAGCGGACGGAGAGATGACATGTCGGTACAGGATAGGGTTTACTTTTCGTGAAGATATTAATTTCCACCAATCTTGTCACTCGTTTTCTCGCAAGCGTGGCATATAAGCAGGGCGTTACGGATTGATCAAACATGGTACGGGTCGGAATAGGAGGCACCTTCTTGAGCATAGGCAGCGTGCTGAAACGAAGAGCTGCAGGGCGTCAAAGGCCATTTGGCCACATATTGGAATGGTTTATGGCCAGGAATGACTCTGGCCTGGACGTTTTGTATATACGTTGAAACATGGATTGCCACTGAGGCAGACCAAGGAAACATGGCACTTTGTGGTCTGCCATGAAATGATGATACGAGCCCGAGAATGACAAGAATCCGATCAAGCTCCGCAGCTGCCGTAGGATACGATGATATTCAGGCGCAGGGCGCGTGTCGCGTTCCAATTCTTGCAAGCCTCGACTATGGTGTGGCCTTCCATATCTACATCGGCACAGGTCGGCACTGACAGCGGAGCCATATCCGCTGTGGGTGGATGTGTTCCGGCAACTCTCGTCATTGTGTATGTTCTTTCCCAAAATGCTTCTCCTCTGACTCTTCACATGCTGTGGATCTCATTAAATGACGCGAAAATGTGTTCATCCGCCTTCATCCGCTTCCGGATACTTGTGCGGTCATGTTCACTGTCTCGTTGATGGACATGTTGAGTTTTGCAATGTTGAGATTTGGAGGCTGATAGCATTGAAGTCATTCCACAATGGTGCACTCGTGCCACTCATATTGTGAAGTCAAATAACGGAACAGGAGAAATGATTCGGTTGTGAGCGAATACTGTGTCGAACTATGAGACCAATCAACCTTCGCCTTTTTGGCCTGCCGAAATGGCAGCGGCATTTTGAAACAGTACTTGGGACAACGAAGCACGAAGTACGCCGTCACAATCAAAGACGATGGTACGCCACCCCCGTTACTGTCACGGACGAACCCAAGCATGACGGTAGAGAGAAGGTGGTGATATTGGGCAGCGGATGGGCAGGTACGTCTTTGCTAAGTCTGCATTCCTCCCAGGTTTGTCTTACAGATGCATAGGCTACGTCCTGTCACAACGTCTCGACACCAAGAAATTCAGAGTGGTGGTCATCTCGCCGCGCTCATACTTTGTATTTACACCCCTTCTCAATGATGCTTCTGTCGGGACACTCGAGATTCGTAATGTCATGGAGGCAGTCAGGCGGAGGAACAGTCCTGTGGAATCCCTCCAGGGCTGGGCCGACGACGTCGACTTCGCCAATAAAACTGTATCCGTCGAGCCGTCGGTCCTAGACCCGAACGTCGGCCATGCCTTGACCGGGCCACGAGCACCCAACGAGCAACAGACGACTGTAGGCTTCTTCAAAGAAACCCCGGCGGACGTACAGCTCGGCGGGACGGGAGAGACCAAAGTCCCCACGTTCCCAGTCAGTTACGACAAATTGATTATCGCGGTCGGCACGTACAGTCAGACCTTCGGCACCAAAGGTGTGCGAGAGAACGCCATGTTCCAGAAAGATGTTGGCGATGCCACGGCTGTACGCCGGAGGATTCTGGCGTTATTCGAACTTGCGAGATTTCCATTCATATCTGAAGAAACGAAGAGGTATCTGCTGCATTTTGCGATCGTGGGTGGTGGGCCTACAGGAATGGAGTTCGCTGCCTGTCTGTCGGATCTCATAAGGCAGGATATCTCGAGGATTCACCCGCAACTGATGAAGTACATCCGCATCACTCTGTATGATGTTGCGCCAAAAGTGCTGCCGATGTTCGACGCGACGTTGGCCGACTATGCTGTCAAGCAGTACAAAAGGCAGAACATCGAGATCAAAACGTCACATCATGTCGAGGAGTTGAGAAAGGGGTTCCCCAATGACGAGGATGCACGCGCGAATCAGGACAAGCAACCTTCCGGACGAGTCTACACGCTTCGCACCAAGGAAGAGGGCGACGTAGGCATCGGAATGTGTGTATGGAGTACAGGTAAATTGAACGATCTCACTTGTACAAAGAGCTCTTGGTAACGACCGTCGTATAGGTAACATGAACAATCCATTTGTCCAACGCGCTCTCGATCACGTCCGTCGCCATCCAGCAGACAGTGCTGTTATCACGGAAGGCGAGGCTGAGATCAAAGACCCTACAGATCGGAAGTGGATGATCCAGCGAGACCCCAAGAGCGGCGTTATTCTCGTTGATGACCATTTCCGGGTCAATCTGGATGCCCATGGCGCAGACGTTGGTGATATTGCAGCAAAGGCATACATGAAGGATGTCTTCGCGCTGGGTGACACGACGAAATTGAAGTCCGGTGCACTTCCAGCGACGGCACAAGTGGCTAACCAGCAGGCGCTTTGGCTCGCAAAGACTCTCAACAAGCACCCCGACCCAGAGTCGTTTGGTAAAGTGCATGGATTCACGTTCAGAAATCTGGGCGTGTTGACGTACGTCGGAGGTGCGAAAGCGGTTTTGCAGGGACCTAACACAGATCGCGAGGGGATGGCGAAGGGACTGAAAGGCTGGATCGCGTTTCTAATATGGCGTGGTGCGTATCTTACTATGACGTTGAGTTGGAGGAATAAGTTCCTTGTGCCGATACAGTGGCTGGCGGTGCGAGTCTTTGGACGGGACATTTCGAGATTCTGAGAGAGCAGTATCTTAAAAGGCTAAGGTCAACTATGGTACACTACCACAGAGACATCCATCCTTTTCACAATAGTTACGTAAGCAAGGCTGACTTCTCCTGGCCGTAAAGGGATGACGAGTCCATCAAGGACAACTCGAAAACAGATTCATGCGAGACAGATAAATGATCAAGGACTTCTGTACAAGTTTTCCTTGCTCGGCGTAACAAAAGTTTTGCAGAACAAAAACTTTGCCATGAACCCTGTTGAGTAGGGGTCATGGTAAGTGAAAACCGGGTTCGCAGGTTTTTTCCGATTGATTATCGTCGAGACCCGGGTTCGCAGGATCTGAAGGAGAGGTAGTCGAGGTCTTAATGCCTTCTAGCCCGGTGCTAGTTTGACCGGATAGGACCTAGGACTTGTCGTCGAGAAGTTTTTGATCGAAAAGTCGACTTTTTGGTCGGGTCGGAGGGAGGATCGAACTCGAGTATCTGTCGAACAAATCGTCACTGACACGCCTTCTAGCCCGCTGCTAGTTTGATAGTTCTCTTTGGTCGGAAAACCCAGAGCCAGTGAGGACTTGTTGACCAATTTTTGGCGAGTTTGGTATATGAAGAGGCAATTTTTGGCATATACCACACCGGGTGGGGAGACCGCCAAAGGAGAGAGGCGGTCGTATATGAAGCGGCACAGCCTGGGCAAAGCTCTAAGGTGGTAAGGTGAGGTATGGCAAGGCTGGATAATAAGTAGGTAGCAGTGTTTCGGTGCACACAAACATATTCAAGAACAGTGATACACTTCAGTCCATGGCATTGATTGTGCGTTCCTCCTCCTAACGCCAATGGGTGACAGTGTTGGATAGGCTGTGAGTGATCATATTGTCCTATTCCACAAGATCAATAAGTTCAAAACGTGCAGTCGACGCATCGCAAACTTCAGTGCACTATTTATTCTCTTGTCGTTAGATTTTTCACCTTTTGTGTTCCACCTCCCACTCACACTTTTCCTTTCTACCTTGCTTCGGCATTGATGAGGCCGTGCCTGACCGCATGGTCAACAGTCTGATCCGAGGGCAAAATGGCAGGCAGCACACACTCAAAGGTCAAAAGCCACCAAGATACAGCAGTAGCTTTGGGATCGACAGCAGCCCTTCCATTCAGAACCAGACAACCAGGAAAAAGACCGTCTGAGGAGGCAAGCAAGAACAAAGATACCCCTCTCCTCCTCGGCCTACCTTTCGAGATCCGAGAACAGATCTATTCATACATTCTCAACTACCAATCAAGCAAGAAAAGAAGGAGGGGTGAGAAGCGTAAAGCTATCACCACCAAAAGATCCTTGCTCTCGGTCTGCCATCAGATCAGCGACGAGTATGGCCCGTTGTACTACCGCCGCCACCCACTCCACATCATGGTCCATGCAAGATACCTGAAGGCAAAAATTCTCTGGCGACCGCGTAGATGCAGCCCCATCGACTTTGAAAACCTTTACCTTAGGACGCTCGCTGAATACAGGTTGAGAAACATTCGGCAACTGACCTACAACGCGACAATACTGGAAACGCCTTGCCTGCCTGATATTTGTACCTCCCCAACCAGGATAGATTGGTCGGGCTTGTCGCACTTGACTGGGATACTGCGCAAGTACGACGGTATCCTCGAATCGTTGGCAGAGCTCAAGGTCTATGTCGAGCCGAACGAATATCTTGAAGAATACAATTACTTCAGATATGATGGAGAATCAGTCTGGTGCATCGCCACCCAGTACGGGCCATGGGATGAATTCGAAGATGAATTAGTCAACGATGGAGGCCCTCTTAATGGCTGGGAGATATCGAGGAACGTGCGTGTTAAGGATCAAAGAGGCACTGGCGACCGAGGGCGGATACTCGTTTCCTTCGGCAGTGAGTTCAGAAAGGTCTCTGCAACTCCATCTGTGGACGAGGACGAGGACAAGCAATGGACTCCGCCAAAAGTGACTTTGAAGTTGGAGTACTACTGAATAGGTACGATGAAGGGAATTAATGAAGTCAAGTCGAGGCTACTAATAATGTTATGCCGGAGCCAAGGCCGAGACAGGTGGAAAGCCTGAAAACGAAGCGTTGAATACGAAGGAGCGAGCAAGAACGGGAGCAGCGGGAGAGCCAGACCACAGAGCAGGAACCGTTCGGCTCCTTTACCTCCGACTGCAGCTTTTGTTAGTTGGTACATTTCGTAGGTCATCAATCAGCCAAACACAAATTCACTCGACCCAACTTGGCCCTACGGCCTCCTGCATTTCTCCAGCGTCATCCTGCAGCGAACTTGCAATTCCAGAAAGATCGTCATTGTGTACGAAAGAATCACAGCTGTTCATCCTTTGGTCTTCACCGGAGGACAATCTCAACTCAATCGTGTTCCATCTGCGCCCTCATTAAATTTCCGGGACGCGTCAATCCGATCAAATCTACAACAATGTTGCGACAAAGAAGATCATAGCAATTCGGCCCGTCCATGACGGCGCATTCCACCAAAGCCCTACACATTCGTCGCCATGAGCTCCCTTCTCCATCCTCTTCATAGTGTGAAGCAGAAGTGTCGCCCAAAGCATCAAGTGTTGGTGCTGAAATGTTATCCTCAATACCAGAAGACTGTCCAGGAAGTCAAGCCGAACTCGTCCGAACTCAGCTATCTCCTATACTATGCCAGTACGCGACGCAGCAAGCTGCAGAAGGTTGGCGCATTCCTGGAAAAGAAGTGTGCGCACGATGTCTGGCGAGGACGACTTGGGTAAGCATCGACATGGCTTCTGTCGCGACACCCACTAATTGAGTCCAGAAATGTACAAGTCACTCTCCAGATCCTCACAGCGGTGATTGAAAAGGCTCCCCGCGACCTATCCCTCTATTCACATTCCGTCCTGACAATCCTCGGCACCGTGCTGCGCTCGAAAGATATTAATATGGTTGAGGAGACACTTCCTACATTCGAGGCTTATTGTAAGCATGTGGACTCTGCGCACCTGACAGCAGACCAAGAACGCGTGAAGCAGTACCTATCGCTGGTGCAAGTGTACGCCGGGTTTGCGGCGAAACAACAACCGACCGATCGAAGGAACGGCGACTCTATACCACTCTCGCTAAGATGGCGCACCGTCGGCTTACGTGCCATAAAAGCAGTCGTCTCTTCCGACGCCCTAGGTACAGACTCGAATCAACAACTGAACCTTGTCATGCCTGTGATACTTGAGAACATGTCCCTTGAGGAGGAAGACATTTTAGTCCATCTGCAGGAAAGAGCTAAGACCATCGATAGGCTGGACGGCGATCTTGCAAGAAAGAGGCGGACGAGTCTGACTACCATAACAACTGTGGACACGGTCGACGGCGATCCGGCCACAGCTGTCGAGACTACGGCGGGAGCTGACAAGGTTGCTGAAGAGGAAGTCCGGGCATTGGCACTACGCTGTCTGAAGCAGATCTTCTCGGTGGGCATTGGCAGCACAAGAGGCCAAACGAGATTGGCGACAGCATTGACACTCAAATTCATCGCCTCGAACAGCCCGCCGCATACCACGCCCGAGAGTGCCGACCAAGGCAACTGGGCAACCTCATTATTCGAAGCCATTGCGCGGTGGACGCCCGTACAGGATCGATTCATCATCTTGGTCACGGCGATGGAGACCCTAGTCCGCAGCCCGATTGTTGAAGGTGTCCTGGAGAAGCAACTCGTCCTTGCGACACTGATTGACTGGCTCTTGAGCTCGTCTGTGAATCTTATCGGGTTAAGTGTTATGGATGTACTACTTGGGTTCATTCAGCATATGTTACTATTGCTCCAACTCGGGGGGCCGAACCCGCGCATCCGAGCGCCAATCCAAAATGACACACTGGGAATATATCGTGAAGCAAAAGAGGCCTTCGATCCGAGCACGGTCTTAACGGGATCTGACCTCAAGCGAACTCCATCCAAGATCGTTGCGGCAGCCTCTCCAACTCGACAAGAACTATTGCTGAGGTTGAAGGAATGTATCGCCTCACTTTCTAATCATATTTACTACACTGATCAAATCAGCGACATGCTTACAGCAATTCTGGCGCGTCTGAAGCCATCTACTCAATCCGAGGTCCCATCCTCAGCAGCTGCGATCAATGATCCAGCAGCGGCAACGAGAGCGATTGCCGAGTCAGCGAGCATTCAAGAGGATCCCAACACATCCGCGTTCTTTTCGTTCAATACAGCCAGGATCACGGCAGTCCAAGTCATCAAGGATATTTTGGTTCGCGCCAATAGCAAACGGAACGCCACAGGTGGCCCGCTTGAAGCACGTGCTCGGGTCGGGGTTCAGGTGTGGGAAGGCACCCAATGGCTTCTCAAGGATGAAGAAAGAGAAGTGCGGTACGCCTACATCGACGCTCTTTTGACTTGGCTGAGGCTTGAGACCAATAAATCCGACACGCTGCTGCCTAGGGATGGTTCTCGGAAACATGCGCAAAGTAAGAAGAACCTTCAGCAGGAGGCAGCTGAGGTCAATTTGGCTAAGCGGGCTGTCTCAAGTGCGTCACGGAAGGAATCAAAGCCTGCCAGGTCGAGCTTTCTTGCCTTATTGCATCTGGCAATTTACGACGGCATTCTGGACGATGCTGAGAGTGAAGCTAATATCCTCCTGCTATATCTTCTGCTGACCAAGCTTGTCGAGCGCTTGGGAGTGAATGCTGTCCGAAGCGGACTCCCCATGATATTGAGGTTGCAGGAGACTGCTCTCAATGGTGAGGTCATTTCCACTCGTGGGAGAGTCAATGTTGCTAGTGTTGTCCATGGTTACTTGTGGACCATGGCTGAGAAGTTCGATTTTGAGGACAGTCAAGTCGGCCACGAAATTACCACCGAGATCGCCCGCAGAAAACGATTTGAAATCTGGAATCATGGGGTAAAATTTCCGGCCGCATCTATGAATGAGATCCGAAACAGACCAGCTGTGAGCGAGAAGCAAGCTGTGCATGTCGACGAAGCTGTCCAGACCATCAAGCCGTTCCTATCCGTGTCAGACTTGGTAGATGAGGTTGCCACAGCCTACAATGAAGCTCTTGCCACTCCTCCGACATCCGCACCTTCGTCACCCGGTCGGGTCTTCTCTGTGCCTACACTAGGATTTGGCTACGGGTACGGTGCAGCTCCAACTTCGAAACCATCACGCGAGGATCAGCTCCCCACAAAGGTCAAGGAAGAGATGGCTGCGGGATGGAGCAGAGAAGCTTGCATTGCAGCGATTGAGAAGGAGAGCGCGGCTTCAGTGACTGGATCAAGAACGGGCGCCTCTTCACTTCCTCCCAGACACTACTTGAACTCTAATGGTGTTCGCGGACCTGGATCTGCGAGTGGCCAAGAATCGCCCGTCAACGCTAATGGCAGTACGACTCCAGTACAGGGTCTTGGTAATGGATTGGGCACTCTCACCAAAGCCAGGAGGCCAAGCGCCAATGGGTCACCAGCCCGAGGTCCTACTTCATCTAGTCGAGACTCTACGATGAGGGTGACGGATCTCAAAAGAGCGCTCACCGGTGTTGCCAGTGGCAGACGGCGCAGCCCGTTGAGACAACCAATGACAGCATCCAGAAGAAGTACAAGGAGCAGTATGACCAGCAGCATGGTTAGTTGGGACGAAGCAGATGACCGTAATGCATCGTTCCTTGACGTACGAGCATCAGGTGTTGCAGCCGACTCAGCAGAACAGTTCACGGACGGCAAAACACCACAGCAGTCACTTAGTCCGTCAAACAACACCGCAGCCGAGACAAGCCGGAGTATCTATGATGCGGTGACAGTGCCTTCAGTCACGGTGGATCCAAGTCAGAATGCGGACATCCCTCCTGTGCCGAAAATACCTTCCACACTCAATTTTCCAGGATCATGGCCGCGGGATGCATCACCCGCTCGGTTTGACCAAGCCTCGCCGCCAAAGACCGCCTCTCCTCCGGAAGGAATCGAAGCTAGTCCACAATCGCGGCGAGTCACAAGTGGTGCATTTTCCACGTCATCGAAGGCCACACGACCTACCAGCCGACGCGGTATTGGGGGTGCGATGGGCTCAGCAGACGAGAAGTTCGACCTTGGCTCACTGTTGGCAGAGATACCGGCCGGGAAAGGAGTCGTTCAAGGGGACAGAGAGAACCGAGCTAGTCGCTTGATTAGACCACCTTACTGATAATGTATTTGGCGAGGGACGGGCATGTACGCGACATGAGATTAATTGATCCATATGTAATTGACGAGTGTACAATAATGAGGTGAAGGTGATGATGTTGTACATGAGTTGGGGTTGTATAGTATCTGGTCCTGAGTTGTAGAAAAGGTGTACAAGTACAAAGTTGTATCAGAACGCTGGCTGTTCAAGTCATTGTGATGGCCTTTGGCAGGTACAGTGGAAGACCGTCGATAACAGGAATGTGGGAGAAATTGATTGATTAGCTAAGACATGGAATGTCATTTGGGCGTCGTCTATTCGAGCTGACCCAGGACAGTTTGATATCTAGCATGCGCAGAAAGTGACTGCCTTGTCGTCCATCGTTCACCATATCCGACTCCTTGGTTCAGCCTTGGATCAAGTCACTAGCCAGACCGACGGTCTCACGGCGATATTATCGTGCAATGACGTTGGCCGGTCACCTTATTCGGATCAAATGTAACAAATGAATTCTTTGATTGTCAAGTCCAGCTTTCCACAGCCGTTGCAGCCTGCAATCCGACAGTTCCTGGAATATCTGCATCGTGTGCCCACGCAGGCGAATTGGCGAACATTCAAATCCTCCGCTCCAGAAACGGCAGCCTCGCTCTGGTCTGGAGACTGTGTGAAGTCGGAAGCAGGTGGGCGGATTGACGCAGGAGGGTCAAAGATTTGTTCTGGAAACGTGACATTGTGGCCGTCGACACCGTCCCAGACCTCAAGTAGGTGCTGATACGATTGGTTGCTAATGAATGGGCGGTTTACCTGCGCTGTTTCCATGAGATACTCGTTGGTCAAGGGCGCGTAGTCGATGACTGTTCCGTTTCCAGCATAGGAGCGAGCCACACCGTCGTCAGCGAAATGCACGAAACCGAAATCGTCGAGTTTGAGACTGCTCAAGATCTCTGAACGAGTCTTAGCATCCTGAATGCCGGTCAGCATCTGCAGTGGAGGTTGTAATGAGGTAAAGCATGAGTAACAAATACCTGAGCGGTGGTAGGGGAGGCTGAGGACAAGATGCTCGCCGTGAAGACAGCGATGAGGATCGACAACCAAAGCATTATTGCTGGCTGCTGGTGTTGAAACTGTGTGGAGTGTGTTGAGCTTTGCGGAACGACGCACGAGGAAGGGAAGGATTTGTGCGAGTAGTATGAGAGAAGAAGGAACGTTGGCTTGGGAGAGAGAAGGGAAGATACTTATGAGTCCCAGGTTAGGAAGGGTCTGTCCAGAACTTCGCTGCTGGCTGTCACTGTTGCCAAGCCGAATTCGCGCTAAAGCTGAAGTGAAGACTTCGACGCGCAGGTGAAGGCTCAGTTGAATAGTAAGATGAAAGCCTTCGGCTCGAGGTTGATGAGCTGCATCATCTTCACATCATCCGTTGCATGTCTTGAGGATTAGTGTGGATGGCAAATTGTCCAGACATACCTCATCATTGCTGCGCAGTTCAAATCCAACTCAATGGCATGGCACAGGTATGAGAGGATATCTGCGCAGGCGAAGACCATCAAGTCGCAGTAGAGGTGTTGGATGTTTTCCGTCATGCAGTCTCCTGGGAACATGCGAATCGAATTCGAACAAAACACGAACGTCGAACGCACGCGTTCAATGTTGTGCTCCGCGGTATTGTATATACGGTGAACCATTCGGAACACTTGTTCAAGACATTTTATCGACTCAATCATCAAGATCACTCTTGATCATATCTGCAGTCGCCATTCGATAGTCATGTCACAGCGGCACTTCGTCACATAAGTCAGATTCAAACTTGATGTGTGGGTGACTTACATGCATGTGGCCGTCACCAGACGGGGCAGCAATCACCTTACGACATGCTCTAGACACTGGCGTGGCCCATTACCTTTCAGCCGACATATAAACTCGCCGAGTTGTCTAATGGAGTTCAGCAGATTGCGGTTGATGTCTACAATCTTTCATGACGAATCATAGAAGTTCAAATTGGAGGAACTTTTTCTGACGACTTAGTCAGACATGCTTCGACTGGCAACATGGCAGATTCAATTGGTGAATACTCGGTCGATCCGATCAGAGCGTCGACTCTGTTAGATCTCGAAGGTTGGGACGCGTCTGAGGGCTCAACGACTTCAACATCACCCGAGGCAAGGAGGACTGGTCTATGGATTAGAGGGTTGGACACGCGTTTCCGAGCTCTTTGGCGTGGCGGAAGAGTCATTGGGATTGGAATGGCTGATGATGTGGGAACTGCTGCCGGTCAAGGAAGGGTGAGTGCACACATCGATCTCCGCATAGCCCCCATATCTGGTTGCAAGTTGCGCTGGGTGTGAGTACAACAAGAGAGGGTGGCCAGCAGCCAGGAGATGAGCTAACATAATGAAACATCCTTTAGGCGTCTTTATCCCTCCATTTACTTGCCACAACGCTGCTGGCCGACTCAAATCGTCTCCAAGCTCTCAAGGCACAGAGCCTTACAGCCACTCCAGAAGCCACGGAGCCAGATTCAGCGACCGTCTACATTGTGGCGCCTCACACCTATCAGACAATTCCCATGCTTCATGCTTTGCTGGCAAAAACACTCTCGGACTCACCCATGGCCATCGAGCTTCTGAAGGGAGTTCAGCTCTTGCAGTACTTTGACTTCGCTGGGCTCGCCGAGGCTGTTGCTGAGATCAGTGACGCCGTGTATCGGAGGACGCCAAAACACAGCAAGACTCGTTCGGCTCACGTACCAACCAATGATATCGTGCTTGTTCTGGGGCTGGGCGAGACAATGACAGCCACGCAGAGGCGAAGTGGACATCTACATGCCAATGCCCTCCTTGCTGGGCTGACCAGAAACATCGGGCAATTGTCAAGGATATCCAGTGATGTCTTGGTACTGGTCGATGCTCCTATTGAAGTTGGCGTGGTGCTTGCAAATGATGCAGGCCAACAAACTCCTCCGGCAAAGCGGTTTGCCTCAGGACTTGAGCTTTACTCTGCGTTCACAGGGCCTAGAGGTGAGAGCTTGAGACTTGTCTGTGGCAACGAGACACTGTCACGGACGTTGGATGACGTCTTTGACAGCATGGTTGTGGTTCATAATGGATTTTCAAGGGTGAAAAAGCCGAACAACGAGCAAGGTAAAAGCCACGAACAGATTATTGAGGTGATAAAGGACAGACTCGGCGACGCGATGGGCTTATGGGCTGTTTGGACATTGATTTCCTAACTTGCCCGCCGTTCCTGCCTATATCTGAATCACCATCCCATTGAAACGCTCCTTCTACGTCAAACACCCATGGTCCATTCGAGCCGAAGCTCGAGTCATCAATCACAAACATCCAACATGCTCACTACTCTGACTTATCCTCCATGATTAGGTCTATCGCATCGCCATCATGGATTTACTCAGCATACTTTTCCTTCTTAGTTGCCTAGTGGCACATATCAAAGCACGCTCTCACCTTCACGAGGTGAACACAAGTTATGAGTATTTCAAGGTGGTTGGGAGTTCTGGCGTTCCAGCCATGCATGCCGCAGTCCTACCACCTACGGGCAAAGTGGTCTTCCTAGACAAGGTCGAGGACTATTCCGAACTTCGTCTACCAAATCAGCGATGGGCATACTCCTCCATCTACGATCCGGAAACCCACAAGCTGATCCCTTTATCAGTCGCGACAAACCCATTCTGCTGCGGTGGTTCGTTCTTGCCCGATGGCAGACTGCTAGCGGTGGGAGGCAATAACCCCCTACTTTGGCTGGACCCAACTGTGGAAGACGGCTTGGACGGTATACGGTATATCTCGTCAGAGAACGGCAGCTACGAATGGAAAGAGCCTGGAAATAAGCTGGCATCGAAGAGATGGTATGCTTCAGCACAGACGATGTCTGATGGAAATGTGTTTGTTGCGGCCGGCATTGTGAACGGAATGACCCAGAACAATTCCAGCAACAACAATCCCACCTACGAGGTACTTGATGGGAACGGCACCACTCAAGGGCAAAACATACCAATGGATATCCTGGTCGAAAACATGCCGTATTTCACGTACCCCTTCCTTCATCTTCTGCCGGATGGCTCGCTGTTTATCTTTACCGATCGGTCATCAGAGATCTTCAATGTGACGGCAAACAGCACAATCAAGTCCATGCCTAACATGCCGGGAATGCACAGAACCTACCCCAACACCGGAGGAAGCGTAATGCTACCACTGCACAAAGGCAATAACTACGAACCGGAAGTCATGATTTGCGGTGGAGGTCAGACTCAAGCCATTGACAGCCAGTGTGATCCAACTTGTGGCAGGCTCCGACCAATGAGTAGCAACCCAGAATGGCAGATGAGCTCAATGCCAGAGCCTCGAGGGATGGTGGAAGGCGTTTTGCTCCTCGATGGCACGGTCTTGTGGCTGAATGGTTGTCAAAGAGGCGCGCAAGGATTTGGCCTGGCCACATCTCCAGCTTTGCAGGCATTGATCTATGATCCAAGGCACAATGCTTGGAATGTTTCAGGATGCACCACCATCGCAAGACTCTATCATTCAGTCGCCTTGCTCCTCCTGGATGGAACAGTCCTCGTTGCTGGTAGCAATCCGAACGAAATGCCAGTCATGCAAAGCCAGGTCGAACCCAACAACCAATACAAAGCATTTCCCACCGAATTCAGAATCGAAATATATACACCACCGTACCTGAGGGGAGACAACGCGACGAAGAGACCCACGAACATCACCCTGTCAAGCCTTGAACTCAATACGACTTCACAGTTGTCTGTCGACTTTGACTTGGAGAACGTATTGACAAGCCTGGACGTTATCTTGTACGCTGGAGGGTTTGTCACCCATGCAGTACATATGGGTCAAGTGCTGGTTTACTTGGATAACTATGGCTAGGAGACATTGAGCGGAACTCGGCGACGGGTTGAAGCATGCATGCCAGAAGAAATCAAACTTGCACCTGGACCTTATGTGGTGTACATTGTGGCGAATGGTGTCCCAGGGATCGGTCAGTTTGTGACACTACGTACTTGACTGCATGTGTGCCTGTCATTCTTTTCGACCTGTTGTGGTGTTCAGGAGTCTGACTGACTGCGAGAGGCTGTAACCAGAGGGTTTTCGATATCCTGTGTCCGGTAGCCCACCTTAGAGGTACGATGCTGTATGCTTGTTTATTAGTGTTTCAGGCGATGTTCAATTTCCAATCAGTACCATGAGCAGTAGGTACAGCACTTTTCAGTCAGTCCATCATTCTTCACAGTAGAAAATCGCCATGTTCGCAAGGATGCTTCACCGTACATGACATACGGCGGAGTATAACCGTTCATCGGAGTTCGACGTCTGATGTTTTTGTGCCCATTTCCAGTCCTACTCCCAAAATACTGCATGGCAACCGACATGTCGTCAACGGTGCTGCCTGTGCAGACACAGGTTGACGCGCCGTCTGATGGTCCAAGGCCCATGCAACAATCAGACCTTGTCATGGAATCTGCAGCGCCCACGGTTCCCGCGCCAGCACCGGCATCAGTACCCGCACCAGCGACCGAAGATGTCGTGATGTCGACCTCGCCCACCACAGCTGCCGCCGTACCCAGCGTCAGTAAAGGCACGATCCCGCTCGACTCTTCTCTACGTACGACACCTATTCATCCATCTCTTCCGGGGATCAAAGTCTCTGGAGGCGCCTCTCCCAACACGAACCCTCTCACGCTGCAACCTTTTACCGAAGCTGAACTGGCGCAGCACGGCTACACTCAACTGCGGACGCAATTCACGCCCGCGGACAAGGAGGAATTGGCCCGACTGCGCGCCGAGACGGCCGCGCTGCTCAAGCAGAGACTCGACAAGAGGGAGAGTAAAATGCGGGACATTCAGAGGGAGATGGATGAAAAGGAAAAGATCCGCGAGGTCGAGAGGAAAGTGTTTCGGAAGAAGTTAGATGCCATGAAGGGGAAATGAAGTGCACCGCAACGCAACTGCATGTTGTCAAAGATATGTCACACATATTCGTTGTGCATTGATCGGCTTCCTTGAGGGCAGCATGCTCCTCTCTGCACATCAATAACGATACGGCCTATACGATGCCCGCCGCCGACCGGCGCTACAACCGTACATCGACCCGGTTTCGAGACACAGTGTCCTCAGCAGGATCGGCGGCAGATTTTGCTGAGCCAACAAATTAAATCCGAGGCAGCCTGAGCCAAGAACGACAAGCAAAGGCGTGGTATCAACGGTCACGGCAAACAGCGTTGCTACAGAACACGACTGTCTTGTTTTTTTGGTGGGCGTTGAGGCCCTCTGTTATTAGAATTTTCTTCTATGAGGGACAGTGGCTCGCCGGATTGTAGCGTGGCGTCCCAATCTATTGAGGGTCTGACACTGGATTTCCACACGTTTGCGTCGTGGAACTCAGAGCAGCCAAACCAGAACAAAAAGCAAAATTTCGTGAGTCATCTCCCCTGTACAACCACCCAAAAACTCCGCCTGCGAAGAAACGCGGTAGTGAGGGAGCACGAGATCAGTCTCAGCAACTTCCGACTCTCAACTTTCTGCCTCCTCGCAAAGATCTCCGACCTCCCCCATCTCGTCAATTTTCCCCTCAGGCCCACGTCAACCACATTACAGCCCTTTCAGCCAGCGCCATCCACACCTGACACCGCTCTCAACGCCTCACTCGTCGGGGCGCCTGCGCTCCGGACCTCTGAGGGGGGTCAGCATCTGATCCTCCGCAGTGTTACATCAAAGGGGACACGTACCACAATTTTGAATCCATTCAGTGGTATACTGATGTTCACACCCCTCACCTCTTTCTGGTCTCCCGTTGTGTGACCTGACCAGACCGTGGACGCCTATGGGTGTTTAACCACAGAGCGTCAACTTCAAGCTGGCACCCTGGGCGCAATCACGCTGTTGACCCCAGTCGTTCCAGACATTATAAGCATCCTTGCAGAACTCATCGCCAGGCTGGCATCGTACGGCAACACAGTTGCCCTCGGTCAACACGTTGCCACCGGACATCGGGGTCAAAGTCATGCCGTGATCGGCGAAGGCATGCTTGACAGCAACTTGGCCAACGTAATCACCATAGCCATCGGCATCTCCAAAAATCTTTCCTGAAGCATTGGGGTCCGTGTACGCGATCTTGCCGGCGTCGATCATGCTGAGGTCGTACCATGTGCGGCCCTGTTCCGGCACGTAAGTCCACTCGAACTGGATGGGGGAGTGGTTGGCCACGTCGGTGCGCCAGACCTTCCAGCTGATGCCCATCTTTGGGTCGTGGCTGAAGGCGTGGGTGGCGGTCTGACCTGGGGCAAGGACGCTGAAGATTTCTTCGGGAGCGCCGGCGACACCTGGACGTGGAGCGTGGACAATGTTGCTCTGGACGGAGAAGGGGCAGGCGTTGACGACAATGGCCTCGCCTACACCACCGTTGTTAGTGTTGCCACCACCGTTGTTACCGTTGTTTCCGTTGCTTCCACCGTTGTTGCCGTTACCGTTGTCATTGTTGTCGGGCTTGCCTGGACGGCCATGATGGCCATGTTGGCCACGAACTTCGACGCTGGCGGCGTTGTTTTGGATCATATCGTTGTGTTCTTTAGGACCTGCTGGACGACCAGTCGGCGCCGTCATGTTACCACTGTGGGTATGGCTGGTGTGTGGTGGAATCAGGGGATGTGCCGAATTATATCTTGGACCCTCCTCACCATGGGCGCCGTGACCGGGGCGGGGTATGCCAGTTGGTACTGGCTTTTTCATGGTGCTGGTATGACTGTTGTGGGGTCGAGGCAGGATAGATTTCCAAGCCTGCTCACTGTGGTGTCCCATAAGCCCAGAAAGATCTTCACCATCCTCACCGTTGTTGCGTTTGCCGTTGTGTTCTTTGGGACCTGTTGGAGCAGCAGTTGGACTATTCTTGTCCATGCTGTGGGTACGTGTGAAGAAGCCTGGTGGGTAGATGAGAATTGTTTCACTGGTCGTTGTTGTTGTTTCACTGGCTACCTCGCTGTGGGTATGGCTGGCGTGTGGTGGATGTATTGGACCCTCTTCACCGCGGTACTTCCACGTAGTATGTCTTGGACGTTCCTCACCTTGGTTGTCGTTGCCGTTGTGTTCTTTGGGACCTGTTGGAGCAGCGGTTGGGAAATTCTTCCCCATGCTGCAGGCGGCTGGATATATCCACCTGTCTTCACAGGACATTGTTTTTCTGGCTACCTCGCTGTGGGTATTTATGGGAATTCGTGGTGCATGGACGGACACTCTTTCCGCCCTGGCCTCGACAGTCGAGTTGCCATCGATGGGGATGGTGGGTTGGATGCCGGTCAAGTTCTGGGGAGTGGTGCCGTTCGTACCGGGGACCAAGGTTGGGAAAGCAGAGGTGGTGGTCGTTGGTCGGACGGCGACAGTGCGAGTGGTGCTAGTCACGCTGTCGGAGGAGACTGGAGGGCAGTGCGTGGGTCTGACAGCGCCAGGGGTGGGAAGTTGCGGCTTATCCACAAGGCAGTTGAAGTCCCATTTTCCGTGCACTGGATCCCAAACTGGATGCAACGATGCAGCTGGAGCAGCGTGGCCACTGGTGATGAGCATGCTCATGGCGAGGGCCATGAGGCCGGCCTTGAGAAGAGTGCTGAAGACAGACATCTCGACAGTGAGGTGCTGCTGATGGACAACTGTTGATGATATCTGTTTTGGGGAAGAGGAGGTCTTCGAGGATCAAGATCTTAGTACCTTTGGTGGTGCTTGGGAGAGCAACAAGAGCAAGGCTAGTCTTATTGGCTTCGAAGAGACAAGGCTTCGAACACTAAAGCTCCCATCTACAGCATGAAAAGAGGTGTATATATACCCTTTCGACGATTTGACTTTTCTTCCGGTTTCTCAACAAAATCTCTGCTCTCCCCTCAGTTCATGGCATTCTCTGGCGCAACAGGGCCTTTTCTTTGGTTCGGAAGCAAGCCACCACCGTCCATCTTTTGCAGATAAGACTTGAAAGAATTTGGCATCCAAGAATATGCGATGCCTAGTTGGCGTAGCCCTCGTCTGCACCCGAAGTTTATCCACCATACCCGCCAAAACCACTGTCTTGCACTGTTCTTCCTTCCAGAATGGGATAGCCCCTTTTCCCGAGAGCCTCGTCCGTCCATTTTCCGCACAACAGAATTCTGCACGGGTCATGGTCTTGACACCTGTTTAACTAATCCTTAGCTCGGAAGGATAATTGTCTCAACATGCAACAAGCTTCCATGCCTCCATAGCGGCCTCCATTCTATGGTTTGACCTGGTATCGGCGCCTCGCTGCCCAAGACACTTCGTCAATATCGTGGCTCGTTGAGGGCCAGTTGAGCCCTACCGTCCATGTCGTTGAGTCGTCGGGGAATCAAAACAGCCAATACCACGCTCAGATAGAGTTGCTGAAGCGCCCCATCCAGATTCTTCGAATGCAAATGTCCCACGTACCCCGAAGAGGCGTTGGCGCGGCATGCCGATCGCGAATTCTTCATCCAAGGCCGTACGCACATCCTGAAACATCATGCGGCAAGGACTAACGTTGTGGGGAATCGCGGAAGTCTCTAGCTCTTGACCGAGTTCATCGTGATGCCTGGCTTCTTAGCAACTCGTTTGACCAGCAATGGTGCGATCTGATTGGGCTAACAGCGAAGGTCGATACCGAGACGGCACCCTGTGCCACCAGATGGGCTTGAAGAGTTGCTAAGCTTTTCAGCGCGGTGTCTTCTTTCCCATGATAGCTGTCAGGAACGCATTTTGATCGCATTCAGCCTTGAACATTGCGACTGTGGCATTTCGCATGCCTGGAGAGATTTTTAAAGCCCACATACCTCTCCGGCGCTAACAAGTCTGCATGGGCCGTGTCGAAGAGCTCAGACAGAAAGCGGTTCAGTAAATGTATCGCGAAGATCTTTGCGGCCATCTCGTCACTCCTCTCACCGCTTTGCACGGCGAAAAACCTTCACATCCAGGAAGGCATCCCAAAAGAGTCGGAAGATTCTGTGAAGACAGTGTCGCCCCAGTCCAACCACTGAAGACTGTTGATCGGTTCCATGTCCAGTTGACCATAGTCAAATTGCGGATCAAAATCAGCAAGATCGTCTGAGACGTCTTGATGGCCACTGACGTCTGTAGCCGTGGCGCTCGATGACCGCATCCCCTCTGACTGACGATGTCTGTCCTGCAGAATGCCAAGGCGGATCAAGTGCTGCCTGGGAGGGGCGAAGCAGCTCCATAGTCGATCGGCAGACTCGGAGGATGCTCGATGTTGGTCAATAAGGTCGAGACCCATCTGCATCTCCGAGCTATCCGTCATCAGAACGGGACCTGGATTTTTGACTTTCTGATTTTCTGCATCGTAGGCAACCGCCAAAAAGAGCAAGGCCAGCGCAGAAGACAAGAAGTGGTGCAAGATCACCTGTCTTGTGTTGTAGAGGTCCACATTCTCCGACATCCTCTGAAGCACCCGGATCGACCTCTTGGCTATATCAACAGCTTCCACAATCAGCTCGGGGCTATTTTGGGCTGCTTGATGATAGATCAAAATAGGTCGTAAGATCAAAATTTGAATCTGATTGCATCTCAGATACAAGAGTGCCTTGATGTACAGGCTAGCTTCGTTGTCAGAACTCACGAAGAATGCGTCGTCTGATTCTATCAATGCGGCATCGAAGCGAACTGAGTGGTCCATATCCCGATGCCATTGATCAAGCTGGTAACGGAAGTAAGTCACGGCCTGTCCCGACGGCCCCTTTCCTAAGGCAAGGGTATCTCTGTTCACTATGGTATTCCAAGCATGAGCTCCAAGAATAACATAGTGGGACATGGCGGTGAGGTACGGAGCGTCAATCTGTACAGCTATCAGAAGCGGTCAAAATGTATTTGGTAAGAAACTCACGGGCAAAGGCAGATCAACGTCACTGTCACTCAAATGTTGTGGCAAGCCAGCAGCGAAGTTGAATTGTCTGTCGAGGACAAACAGGCTCCAGAGAAGGCGGATCGTTGATTCCCTTTGTTGCTGGTTTGGTATGCTGTTGACCAGTTTCTCCCTGCGGTAGAGACCTTGTTCCACCGCTGTCCGAGCCGCAAACATGATCGTCCGACACCCAAGGACGAGATCACCGTTTTCGAATTGATAGATGGCCTGGAAATGTCAGCAAACCCCCGTCAGTGGCGAGATGAACGCACCAGCAGCAGCAGAAATGTTCGGAAATCATAGCTGATCGTCGTGCAGAAGGCAGCACCAGATGCGACGGGTTCGACACTTTTGTAAAGGGCTCGGGCAAGATCGGTCTGCCCACCGGATTGTGCTATCAGGCTTATTGCCAAAGTGATTTTCAATATTTCTAGAAGTCCACATTCTCCAGGTCGGGTTGGCTGAGTCCACAAAGATCTTTTAAGGGCACGGAGGAGGATCGAAGCGTTCAGTTTCAGGCTCTCCATTTGTGCAAGGGGGTGGAGAACCCCAAAGATCGACTGAAACGTGTCCAACAACTGGGTGACAGTGTCGACACTAAACGTCTCTAGGTCTTTCGCATTATGTCCTTGGTTGGCGACGGGTATCTGAGGGTCTAGAGGACTCGACAAGAGGTTCTCGCTCTCGTCGGCTTTGATAAGGTCGCCAGGCGTATCAACAGAGACAGTTGGTTCGCCAATGCTCGACAGGCGGGCGTCGGCAGTGTTCATGCTATAGGCGAAGCTCCTCGCATCGCCATAGACGTCTAAAGCCCTCGACTGTGACTGTGGTGTCGAGCCTTGCTTGTCCCTGGTTCTATTTCGTACAACGTCAGAGGGCACAGTATTGGTCGATGCGGGAACTGCTGCTGGTTGTGGTATTGAGGTATGGCTCAGCTTTGATTTTAGGTCTTTCAATTGCCATTGAAGATCATCAATTGTAGCAAAAAGCGTGCTCGAATCGCTGCGGAAGTAAGCATTGAGAATAACAGCCTTCGATCTAAGCTTACGATTGAACGTCTAAACTGACAAGCGTTGTCTCCGAGGCAGGCTGATGGCGATCAGGCATGTCCTCGACGGGGTAACTGCAGGAGACATGATGCTTTTGACAACGAGAGCAGGGACGGTCACCAGAGCACTTCAACTTCCTACCGTGGCAAAAGTCGCAGGCGGCAGCCACGTAGGGTGCTCTCTTTGGACCATTCTCTCTCGCTCGCTTCTTAGGCCGTGCTTGACTGGCAGAGGGTGCAGGAGGATGCCTCGAAACATCAGAGACAACCTGGCCAGACAAGAGCACCATGAAAACAAGTTGCGGAGGTGGGCTGTGATCTGCAACCTACACAAAATAATAATCAGATGTCGCGATTCAAAGCGAAGGAACTCTGAGGCTGGGAGGAAGCACGAGGGCGGGGAGGAGGGGAATAGCCGTTTCCCCCGTGCACTTTGCTGATTCAGCACCCCTAACTTAGGGCGTATAGGCTCCCTAAGTAGGCTGGTGCTACTCACTAACTTCATAGGTTAGGGACCATTATCAGGCAGAATCCGTCCCCGTCCGGGGGTAAAAGGCGCTAACATAATTACCTCTACTTTGTCACGGCAAATCACTCTTTCAGCTTCCACAGTTGGTTTCATCAGCCGACTGGTACAGCCACCACCCTCATGTAAGCCTCGAGCAATCATGATGGCGTCGTATTCCTATCACGGAGCGGGGATGGTAAGATGTCAGACGCGCATTGCAGACACGCGCGACATTCGCACGATTGACGTCCAGTGATTTTCAATGTTCATCCGAGCCAAACTTGCTCCGAGTGATACTGCCAGCATGGTAGCGGAGAAGTCTACATGCCATGTTGACCCAGTCTGGAGAGCATACTCTGAAGCATACTGACTTCATGTCTCCAAGAGACAATGGCACGAGCCATACTGCATACGAGGTCCCACCACATGTACCTCGAGGCGGAGAGTGAAATAGCCAGCCGTGAGCACTCCTAAATGTCGCGAAGACGATTCGAAAAGATGATCTGCCATGATCAATCAAAGTGTTCATCATCTCGATCTGACTGATGTCCCGACTACCGAGATGGCCGTTCGAGCCATGCTCGCTGGATTTTGACCCTCGGAATGGCCAAAGTGTCATTCCGAGGGCATTCCGATGCTACACCACCGGCCTGTTCGGCCAAAACGACATCAATTCTGTGGGGTCCCCGGCCTTGGACACTGCACAATCGGACCAATGAAGGCGTTGGCATCATTCAAGAGCGGAAGGCGAACTTAGAAAATCTGGTCATTGACACAGTCCTGTGGCTATCTCGGTGTCGTTGTCCCGGTCCTACGGGAGTACAAAGAGTACGTACGTACGAGCGACTACGGTACGGATGCGCGAAGGCCGTCGCCATGGATATCTCTAACCCTTATAAAGATACGGTAGGTTCCAGAGCTCCTCCATCCTCCTCCAGTCAAATGTCGATGGATATCGAACCTCAGTCTCCGATCCGACATGTTGTCTATCTACTCAATACTCCTGCTGCTTGGACTTTTCGTGGTCGCCATCGTGCGCAAGCGATGGTTTCATCCGCTCAGCAAATTCCCCGGGCCATTTTTGGCTTCTCAGACAGACCTATGGAGAGTCTACCACCTTTGGACTCGGCGTATGCCTGAGAATCTGATCAAACTGCACGAGAAATACGGACCCGTCGTGCGATACGGGCCCAATGATCTGAGCTTCCACGGTGTAGCTGCTATTAATCCAATCTACAAATCAGGACGGAAAGTCTCCAGGAGCAACTTCTACGACGGATTCACGACCTTCCACCCAAACCTATTTGGAATGCGCGATGAAGAGGTCTGATCGAGATACATCTTATCGTTTTCCAACACTAACTGTACAACAGCTTCATGCTAAGCGTCGACGACAGATGGCCCATAGCTTCTCGGTGGCTTCTCTGTCACAAATGGAATCGATCTTCCATCGTCGTATCAACCATCTCGTTGATGTCATCGACTCATACGGGCCCAGACCATTCGATCTCAAAGAGCTCTTGGCATACTATACCTACGATCTGATGGGAGAACTTATCTTCAATGCCGAGTTCGGATCCATGGCAGCACAAGACCCAGACAATCTACCTCCTATCAATGAGCACATTTTCCTAGGATGCATGTACGGTATGCTTCCCTCGCTACTGCCTTACAGCATGCAACTCGCTCCACACATTCCTCTTCCATGGCTGCAAGACCTTTTGAAGAGCAGGAAGACCTTACGTGACCAGACGGCAAAACATGTGGCCGAGGAGTTCGCAAAGGAAAAGAGCGAGGAAAGGCATAATATCCTTGCCAGGCTGATGGAGGCTCGTGACCCAGAAACAGGGGAAGAACTCACTGAAGCCCAGATCAGCTCGGAAGCATTTGCATTCTTGGTTGCTGGCTCTCACACCACATCGGGTACACTAACATTGCTGTTCTACCACTTGCTGCACAATTCAGTATCTGCGAAGAATCTCACAGAAGAACTGAACACGTCACTTCAGCTTCCTGCCACCGGAAATAAACCGTTGCCGGCATACTCGCGGCTGGAGATGCAACTGCCATACGCCACAGCTTGCATCCGCGAAAACTACCGCGTCACTCCTGTCTTCACAATGCCATTGCCACGTGCGATCATTGAGCCCGGTGGTACGGTCATCGACGGCCATCACGTTCCCCAAGGTGTAAGTCCGCCTCTATATCTCTAGATTGCCATTGCTGACACGTCCTAGGCAAATGTTGCTATCGTGAACGAGGTCCTTCAGCACAACGCATCTGCCTGGGGCGAGGATCACGATAATTTCCGACCAGAGAGGTGGCTCGACTCGGACAACAAGCTCTCTCCAAATGATCTGCTGCCTTTTGGCGCCGGCCATCGTGCGTGCATTGGACGAAATATAGCCAGTATGAGTGTACTCAAGGTCCTGACAACGCTATGGAGACGATACGAGCTGGAGGCTGTGGACCCGGCCGAGGAGCTGATCGTCGAAACTGTAGGTATTGGCGAGAAGAAGGGATCTTTGATGGTTAGGGCGAAGCTCAGGCCTCAGTAGACAGGGGTCATGGCAGAGCGTAGGGATGTGGCATCACAGAGACGTCACACTCCTTGCTGGATAAGCCCGAGCTACAACCTCACGCAGACGTAGAAGAAGTGCAAGCGTGAGAAGATGGAGTACATACCGCGGCATCATTAAGGCTGTTTCAATTGACATTGCGCTACGGAGCAGACTGAACAATCTCCTCGGCGCCACAAAACCATTCGCCCTAGTGTATATATATGGTTCGACTTGACTGGAGTGCACTAAGTCTCGCCGCCTTCGAAGGGGTGGTTGTTTCATCCTCAATTATTCACACTCGACACTGAGTGCACGTTCTTTTGGCCTACCGCCGGAACTAGACCCACTCTTCTCAGTCTTCTTTTATCATGTCCCAATAACTACGATCTCTATGCTTCTGCTCGTTCGACTGCACAACGAGCTCGAATGCTCCGCATCATCGTCCAGCTCTCGCAAGCAGGTCAATCTGTATTCTGTTAGCGGATATGTGTATATCACAGGTGATTAGGGCGACATACGGCGTCAGAACGTGCAGCACGACGACCAGCCTCGTACTGCCCAACTTGGGCCACTTGCGTTCTGGACGAGCAATGGCGAATAATCAGGAACGAACTCAACGTCTCGTGCGTTCAGCCCTGCCTCCCAACGTACCGCTGCAAGAAGACCGGGAGTCGAGGTCGAGTTGGTACATCTGATCCAGGGGATAACGGGATTTCGTGCATGCCGAAAAACCTGATTCTTCAAGAGAGCCGGATCGATCAGATACGAGTTGTTCAGAGGGTAAGTGGAGGTCGTCTGCTGAGAACGAGTTCGTGCCCTCATAGATGAAGGGATTTTCTGCCCATCGAGATTGGTGTAGAGGACGACTGTGACGGGAGGTTTTGGGTCTGAACGCTGTTAGATTCAATGGTCAGAATCTGGAAAGCATTGTACTTACCGCCCTGAAGTCTTCCAATTGGTGCGAAAGCCTCCCTCTCTTTAGAAGTCTAGCTTGAGCTACTACACAAGCCGCAAGACGTTCTACATGGACAGCAATCGAAAGTTTCTTTCCGAATAATGCCTGGTATAGCCATGTATGCTTCGTGGGAAGCCCCGGGTACGGGGTCACATACTCTGATTTTGTGCAGCAACTCGGAAATGTCCGGATAGTAGCTTTCGTTGTAGTCGAGGTGGAAGGGATTTTGTTTCGGGACATATATTGCTCCAGGTCGAAAAGACTTCAGACAGTACTGGTACCGGCGGGGACGTCTTAGGCTTCTTGAAGGTCCAGAATAGGGTGATCATGAGGTATAATGTTCCTCTGGGCGAGCTCTTCGGTACAAGGATGAGTAAGAGCCACAATAAGACCACACCCCCAGCAGCGTGGGAGCATATGCAGAGCAGATTTCATTTTCTGGCTTAAGCAGAACATAGAATTTGAGCTGATCGGGTTGGGTATCTTGGATAGGGGTGACGACGTACACAGTGGGGTGTTCATCGTCCTCCCAGAGAAGGACCTCACTCGGTCTATGGAGACCGACAATCTGTTTGGTGACGCCAGGTTGCGAAGTTCTGTACTTCACCTTGTCGAGATTGGGTTTGGCATAACCAACCACGAGGTAACGTGCGGTGCCAACTTGAGGGGCTGAATTCGAGCTTTGCTCTCGTAAGGTGAACTCTATACTATGGCGAAAGAGTGGCGGCTCTTTGGCGTTACCAGTCTTGTTCTTCTTGATGATATCAGTCCACTGAGTGGAGCTGGGAGTGCGGGCGACGATGACTTGATGTTTCTCACGCTCGCCGCTCTTGTCTTCCATGGCGTCGCCATAAGGTTGAAAGCTAGGTCTTGGATCTGATCTCGCACGGCCGCCTTGCCTTCTCGTACTTCGTCTCTCGAACGAGACGCGGAGGGAGGCGTCATTGCTCGATGTCGACGCCGTTGATTCGTGTTGTACGAAGGATTGAAGGAACAAGAAGAAGTGACCGAGTCAGGAACTGCAGGCCCGATTTGAGATCGAGAGATTGGGATCGGTGTAGCCCAATCGAAGAAGCTCAATATATAGACATAGTAAAAACGCGCCGAGCGGCCACGCTGACTTCAGCAGTGGCTCGGGAGTAGCTCGGGAGTGTCGGCATCAGAAAGCATGCCTACCTCCATTATTCTGGAAGCCATATTCCCCGGATATGGCCAGTGTCAACGACCATACAGTTGACTGCTCTCCAGTATGGCTAGCGTAGACGTGATAGAACCGTCAGCCCGGATGATTTCGAAATCGTTCAGTGTCGGGGGCTACCACAGCAGAAGTAAACCCTTCTCCGGGACCTCTTCCAAATCCATCCTTGCCATATGTGAGAGCCCAGAATCGCTGATGAATGCACTGATTCGATGTCGCTTGATGGTAAGGTCTTTTCGTTGAGCTAAAGCTATCTTTTAACGCGGTGACCTCCTTCCTCTTTGAATTGCGTAAGCGAAAAACCTGCTGCTGACTGTTCGAGAAATTGGTATACTTCGATTCAAAAGAAATTCGAACCCCGGGACCGACATTGTCAAAACGCACATCAACACGAAGGATTGAAGATCTCAACATCGTTTGTGGTAAGAACTATACTGATGAGATTCTGGCCGTGGACCCCGGTAGGCTCGGTTTGTCTAGTGAAGATGACGCGGAGCTCCTTCTGTGGATGTGGCTGAAAGCAGTCACTGGAAGTCGGGTCCGTTGCATCCGTCACCCAGCAACGGCCTGACCCACTGCCGGTGGCAGGGGAGCCTTCGAGCTTATCGAAAGACGGCGATTCTCAAGCTCAATTAGCAAAGTCCCGATAAACCAGCAACACCGAGCAGCTCTGAACACATCCGCCCTAACCGGGCCACAAGCAGGGAACGAGTACTGACGACCTTGTCCGGCCACCGTGTATCTGACTCCTCGACGTAAGGCAGGAAGCACTCTTGGTCGGAGGCTGGCTCGATCCTCCTGTTCACGAATGGTACCATCGTCTAGTGATCATCTGCGAAGGCCTGGAACATTCGGACCTTGCGGCGAAGCCACAGCAGGTTGATTTCGCTGTGTCGAAATGCCTAAGCCTGCATTTCGAGAAGATTGAGAATACACATCTGGCTGTCGGCCAGATGATTGTTGTTGAATCGCGTGCCGCGATTGTTGCGAGGGCCGAGATTGCGTAGGCGCCGGACCAGCCTGAGCCTCTAGAGAGCCCATGACTGGAGTTGCAAACGGTGCCTGAGTAATCGGCGGATAAGTCTGCGAACCTGGTCTTGGACGATGCGATGGACCTCGGGTTGGCGTATCTTGACGCTCAACCGTACGCTCGACCGACGATGGGCGACCATACTGTACTTCCGGCGACCGATATGTGTGAAAGGAGACTGACGATGGCACGGAAGAACCACTTGCAATCGCGTTGGCCATGTTCCGAAAGAATGTGACCGCATCCTTCTTCGTGAAGAATCTGGGTTGATCGGCCCTCCGAAGGTCGAATGCAGCAACCATACCACTTTCGTCTTCGAGAGCCACCTCGCCAGCGACCGCCGAGTTCGGATCCGGATCAGGCGTGTACGACGCTCGATCACCATTGTCAAGGTCAATCACTTCAGGACGAGCTCGCTTCTTGATGCTGTATGGTTCGCAAGCACGGGGACATACCCGCAATCGTTACTGTCGATGGTCATCCTGGTGATTCGAGGCCTGCTGGTATATCATGCGGCAAATGTCGTTACAGGAGACATTCTGATAGCATCGGAGGATGGCTTTCTGAACGTATGTACGATTTCATAGTCGCCGTGAAGTGATAACCATGACGGTCCTGAATCCGGTAATTAGCGCGTGTTGGTGAACAATATTGGTCAGTGGCTCTTGGAATTATTGGTGCAGTCCTGAGTATGATTTCGGAAGACGGGAGATGGGTAAGAGGTAGCATCGGAAGTCTTGGACCTCCAACGCGATACTCCCCATTATCGAGGCCGAGTGTACCGAAAGGCATCGTACTCGAGCGCCCAACATTCTTCAGGGGTCCGAGAGTCTTATCTGTCGTATAGGCTTCGGAGCTGCTGCCATCTTGCCTCCGCCGTGGTCCCGAGAACATAATCGACGGACTGGAAGGATGGAACGATGCTGGGGACTCCATCTTGGACCACCATGAATCCGTTTAGACCGGCGCAGATGGCTACACATGTTTTAGACGATGTCATCAATACTAGAGCATCGTGGTTGGACAAACCTTGTCTGAAGTGTATTCCATCAGCACTTCTCAACGACCTTGTACCCAGCCACAGTGTTGTTCTCAAAGACAAGCGGCAACCAATACGGACGAGCAGTTTGGAGTAGGGTTTCCGGAGTCTGGCAGCTTTCTCAAATAACCCAGACGTAGTCTTCAACGACCACATCGTCTCCGGTCCGATCGTTGTCGGCAGTCGTGAAGTCGGTGTCCTCCACCCTAGCCAGATCGGCTTGTCCATGGCGCTTGACTCTGAGACTGCGGGCTAAGCGACAGGACATGTAGTCTGGCTTCTTGGTCAGCCCGAACCTTGACTTGTCGCCCGTGTGGTGTGCCGTGCTGCCTGCAGTTCCTTCACATGGTTATCGTCTGGAGTATGATCACTGAGAGTGCTTTGTCCCACCACACATTCGATAAGTTGTGTCCACGGCCGCTCATCTCGCCGCTCATCCAAAATTGGTGAGATTTCTTCGTATGAGGATGGGCTAGCGGAGGAGTCAGTTTCACCAGCATGTCGAAATCTTGCATCCGCGGTTGATGTCGGAGGAATGACAACGATGCTGGACCAACTCGAAGTGTGAGAGGCCAAAGTGTAAGAGGCCATCTTGACAATGACGGTGTGTGTTTATTTTTACATATCTTTGCGTTGGCGAGAATTTCGAGAATGATGGCTCCACCGAATGAGCCGACACCAAAACCATTACCTGAGCAGATGCTGGCACCCAAGTATGGAACGCACTCCATAGATTTTCCCCGTGGTCAATAGCTGGAAAGTCACACTCCGCGTCCCCAAAACTCTGCGCGATAGAGCCGAAGAGATAGCCTGTGATCTTTACTCAGAACCATGACGCGTGCTGATGCTTCGAGAGTAAGTGCGTGATTTCTCATTATGCAGGTTACTCTGTAGTTGTTGCGGGAATGGTCGGTGCAGTCAGTCTTTCCTCGGTTGTAATGCGTCTGAGCTCCGCTAGGTATCTATTGTTTTGCGGTGGCAGAGAGGCGCATACCGCTGTCGCGAGGTCTGAAGCTTCTGAAGTGGGCTCCATATTGCACCCACGGAGCTTGTAGATGATGACACCCAACATTGTTCAGGCAAAGGTCCTCGGCAGGTTCGGAATGTCGGTATAGTCGGTACTAGATCAAAAGCTCTGTCTTTGTATGTGGCGTCATTGTTGATGACTGCCTTGACCGTGTCGATAGTGCTGCCCCAATCCTCGTCGCTATCCCATTTGATGCATAGCACGACTTCGACTCCTCGTTCCTGAGCCGCCATTCCAGACTTTCCAGCGCCACAGAAGAATTTGCAAAAGCTGTTGGCCATGAGGTATCAGGCTCTCCAGTGTTTCCAGCCTATCCTTCCTGAACATCCATTTGTTGAGGGCAGCCGCAGCGTACGCGCGTAGACCAGATCGACAGTAATAGCTGCTTCGGCAAATGCGGCATCCAAGTCTCGTTGGATATACGTGACAGACACCGATGATTCAAGCAAATTCTCGCGACTCACGTCAACCGGGTCGAGACTCCCAGTCTGGCAATTGCATTCTGGGCCGGACCCCTGTTGAGATACGGAATGAACACTCGCAACGGCCAAACACCGTGCATCGTCTGGTGGTATCGGTAACAACGACGCTGGTGGTTGCCATTTGTCTGCGTGTTGAAATGATGAGATGAAGTCATTATATATATTCGGCCTCCATGGCTTCGGAGAAGCTTAACCTCTAAGTCTCTCTGATTGGTTTCCGTCGCCGCTCCCAGACTTGCTTCGAGTGCTCGAGTTCTGTGTTCGGATTACCAGAAATAAGAAAATTGCGAGTATCACTGAACCCAGTAGGTTCTCGGAGGAATGTGGGCGCGAATCGAATAGATAGTTGTCCTCGATCAGGTATGCGACCTGTCCCTCTTTGGGTCCTTCGCGTCCTTCCACCAGATACCGCGGAGGTTCATAAATCCGCCTGTGACGGCTCCAATGATCGCAGCAACGAGGATGTTGTCAACAGTTCGATTCATATCTGCATTGTTCCGCAGGTCCTGCGGCGCCAGGAATTTCACGTTCGTGGATAGGCTCTTCGCTGTCGGTACCGAGAGCTCAACACGCTTCCGCAGTCTTCTGGCCAGTCGAGCCGTGAGCCTTTCAGAGAAATGCGATGTTGTATGTATCGCAGAAAGGGTGGGTGCCGTCTTCAGTGGTTAGCGGTGTAACAACTCGAAGCCTCTATCAGGCATGGTGAACTTGTTCGAACGGCATAGAAGTTGATGATAGGATCCTTCGGCAAGAAGACCCTAGAGTTGTGCGGAAGACGAACGGCAAGCGATGCCTCAAAGATATGATATATATAGAGAAGTCCTCAAACCTCCTGAGCAGACCTCGTCTAGGCCATGTTGGGAAGCTCAAAAGATGGCAGCTGGAGGTTTGCAGCAGCTGAGGAAGGCATGTTTTTATATACTGTGCTCCAAGGCCCAACATGAGGGAACATGGTGAAGGCGTGATGCTCGCGGCAATGACTCACGCTTCTGCTTCAATGCGTAGCGTAACAGACCGCACCAGCTGGAACAGCGAAGGGGACTGACCTGCTAAACGGTGCTGAAGCATGGAATTCACGTGCCTGCAACAAGCCAGGGTGTAACATTGCTGAACATAGGTGATGGACTCACTGGGAATGCAGCATGGAGTTACAGGCAGACTCACCTCGGAACGGCATATTAAATGGTTGACTCTTGGTCGCACCAACCCTCGCTCCTGGTGACAAGGACTTGTGATGGAGTGCAATCCTTCACACCAGGTTCAGGTCGAGAAACCTGGCATGTCTCAATGATTCATTCCGCTCAAACGCCAGACATACTTCGAGTGTCGCAGTGCAGCGAGACTTCAGGGGGTTCAGTTTGGGAAGAGTCAACGACGGTGAATGTCCAACGTTCGGTGAGAGCTCCGCTCGCTCAAGTCACCTTGCTGGACGTCTTCGGCAGACGATATAGTAGGTACGAGCACGATCGTTAGGTCCTTCGGCAGGTGTCCACATGGGATCAGCGAGAGGAGAAAGGAGAGATTGACACAGATAAGAGAGATACATTTCATGTCCACGATAGGAAATCAATTCCAGGCGTTTCATCTGCCGAGGTACAACCAAGCAGGTAGCGGAGGCCTCGATTCCACCAAGAACTACAATAACTGTCCTAGAAAACAAAGCGACTCGGTAGAATGGGTATTATGTCGTTGATAATTGTACTAAATAGCTAGAATAGATATTGAAACATTTTTTTGCAAACATGTACCCCAGCCCGTTATCCAGAGCGTCCTAGATTGCGAATAGATTGCTGTTCAGAAACGAAAGACTTGGCCGACAGCCTAACCAGATGATTTTTCGTCCATTTTGATGACTATTCTCAAGCCATAACTCCGGGTTCTCGACCAGGCACGGTATCCTTTTTCTCCTGATCCGATAGTGATGGTGAGCTGTTCACATCTTCCCCGACCTCAGCTTCGATGATAGGACCTGTGTAGTATCTCTTGCCACCGGCATACCAGAAGACAGCAGCGCAGAGCAGGATAAAAGCCAGGAAGATGATAGCGTAATTCATGTTGTCAGGCGTAACAGGTCGAATAGTTGGCATGAGGAAGATAATGCTCACGAACAGTGTCCAGATGCAGGCCCAAGCGTTGACGAAAGGTGATAATTTGCCCATGTGCCACGGTCCTGGTTTGAACTTGCCAAAGATCAGCTTGCACATGATGGGAATGACATATGACCAATCCAGCGCGATGGCACAGACGTTGAAAACACCTGCGATGGCGATATAGGAGCCGAGTGCGATCAGGTTGATGGCAATGCAGAAGAAGATACTGATCCAGACGGCGTACAGCGGTGTTCCGGTAAGCGGGTTGATCTTGGTCCACACCCGCGAGAGTGGAATCAACTTGTCCCGAGAGAAGGCGAATACGGTTCGTGCCAATGCCTGGGTCGCAGTCCAGCAGACGAACTGGAGAATCAGAAAAGCGGACACGGTGAAGAAGATACTGGCGCCCTTTCCAAGTGAGTTGTAAAAGATTTGCGCGACTGGCTGGTAGATAGGCGAGGCGAGGATTTCGGTAGGATCGCCCATGCAGAAGCACAGAACAATGTTGAAGAGCCATCCCAGGACGTAGGTGCAGAGCATGGCAGTGAAGATTGCCCAGGGTGCCTTGACCTCAGGTTCCGAAATTCTATCTCCAAGTTAGCAAAAGAACCTGCAATACAATAACTCAGGAACATACTCTTCTGTGATATGTGCCGTCGCATCATAATCGGTCATCGTCCAGGAGACAGACAAGAAACCGAACAAGAATGACCATCCGACTGGGCTCCATCCAGCATCTGCTTGAACATCTGTGAAGACATACTTGGCGTTGTGCTTGTTCTCGGTTTTGGCCAGCAGAGCAATCGCGCAGGAGATGAGGACGGCGAAGTGGAAGATGACGTATGTCTTGGTCATCTTCTCCATCCAGTACGTGGAGAGCGAATTGACCAACCCACAGAGGACAGTCAACGCAACCATGACTCCGACGGTCTGGTCGGTAGTGGGCAACCAGTTGAAATCGCGACTGATGGAAACCGCAGCCAGCAGAAGTTGGGCAGCGCCGTACTCGGAGGAAGCGACACCGGCAACTTGTCCCAGAAGGTTGATCCAACCAACGACCCAACTGATCGAGGGAACCCATTCTCTTGGTGCCAGTCGAGATACAGTGTAATACAGTCCACCACACGTTGGGTATGCAGAAACCAGTTCAGCCACGGAGCAAGCGATACACATGCAGCCAGCGCCAGAAATCAACCAACACCATACTGCTGAGGCGGAGCCACCAGCCTCAAGCGGGTAGACGAAGGTTGTCGCAGTCGTCGCGAAAAGGCCCGAGATGCTGACGGCGAAGGAAAAGGTCGAAAGATAACCGAATTCACGTTTGAACACCTGCGTTGCAAGATTAGCTTGGGCTTCAATGAACAACATGGGATGCTGTCACGTACAGGTTTGTATCCGAATTGTGCAGCCAAAGCCCTGTCAGCCTCGTTCAACTCATCCAGTTGTACGGTTCTTCGCCTTCCGCGTCCGTCCGTAATCTCAACGGTTCCTACACTACGCCTGCGCAGGTCGCCCTCATTGAGGGGGCCAGTGCCGGTAGCGGTATCTTTGACGGCGGCCATTGTGGTGCGACAAGGTAGTCGTGCTTAATTATTCGGGTCAAAGGCAGATATAAGGGATTTCACCTCCACTTGCGATAGCGAACGACCCGTTTGGCCGACGTACAGTAGAAGGACTGTTTTTCCTCTTGTTCGTAGATCGGCATGTGAAGCCTGTTGGTGATGGACGGGTGATGATGGTCGGTGACCAGTTCTCGCGTCGTTCGATTCGAGGTAAACGGAGAGAAGGGGGTAGGAAGGCGAAAGCAGGATAGCCTCGAGATGGTCGGGGTCTAGCAAATGTACTTGTAGGATTCTGCGATTGGGATGCTTCCTCGCCCTGCCGCCATGTTACGTCGACAGTTTGGATCTTCTCACCTTTGGTGTGGGGACCCATGACTGCACCGCTGGGGCCCTCAGGCTGGCAAGCCAAGCGGGCCAGAGGGGGCATATCATGGCGACCAGGGCCAAGGATTGGCTAGGTCGGCAGAAGAAAGATGTCAAAAATCCGAGGCCAAAGCGTGATGGACCAGTGATAGACAGACGATATCGAGTGGATGATGTGGGTGACAAGGGAGGCCGGCCGGCTATCTTAGGGCTTTAACCCCTCTATCGAATAGCGGCAAATGGACGTGAAATTGTCTTATCGACGCACCTAGGGCCGCCAGCCTTTTCTCAACGTGGCAAAGCGTCAGCGAGGGCCATTCGCTTGGTTGATGTATCCACGAGACCGCAAGATCCCCCAATCGTCTGACAGCGTTCGGGCGTAGAACGCAAAGAAGAAAAAGAGCCCACTTTGGAAAAGCTTCCATCAAGTTTTTCAGGCTTTAGACATGGATAAGCGTTGCAAACGAACGAACTGTTGATTAATGATTAATGAAATGAAAAATCAAAAGACAAGGATTAATTTTCCCTGGGTGGAGTTGGTTCTGGGGGGGATGACAGCGACACTCAGCGACCATGATTATCAAAGATAAAAGATAAGGATCGATCATGCAATACCTACTCGAATGCTCGTCCAACTCAGCCACCGACATATTCCTTCCCGTGAGTTAGCTGATGAAGCGAGATAACGATCTTGATTATGGGGTAGTATGCAACGTACAGGACCTGCATCCATTCACCCAAACAGGGCATCTTTTGCTGCCTCTAAATGCTCTGCCTCGTACATGCGTAAGCAGACGCAAGCTAATCGTCGCGATCAACCAGGAGGGTCAGACTAAAGTCGACACGCGACTCGGCCATGAGTCTTTATCTAGTTTAGCAACCTATCCCCATGCTTGAGAAGCTCGCTAGAACCAGAAGAGCACCTGAGTCTCCATCACGTCTTTGATGCTTTGCGGCTGAGTACTACTCATCATCTCTCAAGCGCCTCGAATCTCGCCATCATGTCTACCCCTCATCGCGTCGACTCCTAGGCTTGATTGTTTATATTTGGTTGTCATGCTTGATTTCCGAATAAGATGTGGAAGACGAGTATCTTGAATGCATTGGCACTATCTTCTACCTAGTAGGCATCTCGGCGAGGAATTGACAGCGCCAGAACCAAGAGAGACAATATGGCCGGATGTATTCGCCATTGCGGCTTGACCCCCTAGCTTTGTCGAAGAGATCTCATCTCGTCTCTGAATAACATCATTCCTTTGTTCACAACTGTTTCAGTACCAGTCTTGAGCATGATACCAAGACTCGGTAAGCTCTTCATAAGGTGATAGTGAGATGGCTGTTGGATGGACCACCTGATCCGCATGCCGTCAACCATGAAGGCCATCTCAAGCCGAATGGAGCTTACCAAGCTGCACCAGTACCAGTACCACTGTCATTGCCGGCACCCCAGGTATCAGTTGGAGCTGCGGCAGCGTCGTTTCCACCACCTGAGCCCCAAGCAACACCACCCGCAGTGTCACCACCCGCATCACCGCCGCCGTTGTTGGTAGCGTCACCACCCGAGCCCCATGCAGCACCACCATCTGGACCTCCGTCAGTAGTCACCATGCCTGGATCTTCTTCTTCTTCGTCGAAGTTGAGGACACCATCCTCAGGCTTGAATTGTTCCAAAAAGTCGGGAACTTCCTGGTTGGTTTCCATGAGAATCTTGGCGAGGAATGGGCCCATGCCTTCGTCCTTGTCGTTGTAGAAAGAAGTCGCAAGACCTTCGTTGCCGATACGAGCAGTACGACCTGGAATGCTGCTTAGCCACAATTTCGGTACGAATTGTCTTACTGCGCTCACCAATGCGATGAATGTAGTCAGTCTGACCGCCGTAATCAGCGAGCGGAAGGTCGAAGTTGATGACGTGCATAACATTGCTGTAGTCAAAGGGTCAGCCAATACTGATATTGTCGTTGAACCTTCACACTTACCGAATGTCGAGACCGCGACCAGAGACACCAGTGGCAACAAGAATGGGAGACTGTCCAGCCTTGAAAGAGCGACTGTTACTCATTAGCTTGGTATTTCGAATGATAGTGGAGGCCAACATACAGTGCATCCTCACGTTCACTCTGAGTTCGATCAGAATGAATTGAGGTGGACGGCAAACCCAAGTTGAAGAGGTAGTCATCAACGAAGTCGGCGGTCTTCTTGGATCTAACGAAGACAAGAGTGCGAGATGGAGGCATAGAGATGAGCAAGTCATACAGGGCCTTCATCTTCTTGTCCTGATCGGCCCACATGATCTAAATCTGGTAAGTGACAACATCACATGGCGTGTTTTATCAGAAGCCAACTTACATGCTGCTTGACATTGATGTGGGTAGAACCAGTACGACCAATGCTCACGTGAACATGATCGGTAGCAAGGAACTTGGCAGCCAACTTCTGAAGGCGCTTGGGGAAAGTAGCCGAGAACAGGAGGTAGCGATGATCACCGTCGGTGTTGGCGTCTGCAAAATGTTAGTAGTTGTTTGGCTGTGCGACATGAAACGACGAAGGCAACATACCTCCACCACCCATGATCTTTGCCATCTCCTCTTCCCAGTCGTCATGAAGCATCTCATCAGCCTCGTCGATGATGGTGTATCTGTATATCTCTTAGCTGGAATCATTCGACCAGATGAGTCACTTACCGAACTCGCGACAAGGAGAGCACGTCAGGACGACTCATGAAGTCAAGCAAGCGACCTGGAGTGGCGACGAGAAGGTCACAACCACGAGCCAGCTGACTGATCTGATCACGAATGGGTGCACCACCGTATGCGACACATGGACGCATCATCGAACGATAGCATAGACGACGTGCTTCGTCGAAGATCTGGCAGCACAGCTCACGGGTTGGCGCAACGACCAGGATCAATGGCTCTGCGCGAACACGATCACGAGTAGCATCGAATCCAACGGAGAGGTTGGGCCGAGGTGCAGCGAGTTTCTTGACCTTGCCCATAAGCTTGGAGATGCAAGGGACCAAGAACGCCGCAGTCTTGCCAGATCCTGATCATAAGTCAGTATTACTCGGCAATGCTCGTCAACCATCGACAACATACCGGTCTGCGCAACGCCGATCATGTCGTGACCGGTGATGACTGCCGGAATGGCATACGCTTGAATGGGAGTAGCGAATTCGTATCCGCAGAGAGCAATATTGTCGAGCATAACCGGGTGCAGGCCAGCGTCCTTGAACTGTGTTTTGGTCAGTGTGGAATCTGTGATCGTGATGCTCGGTGCTTACATTGCCAATCGGGTCAACACGAGTCTTGGACTCGACGATGACCTCAATGCGGGTAAGACTACACAACGTCAGTGTGCTGAACAAAAAGTCCCTCAACAGGCAACTGACTTTGCAAACTTCTCACCAGCACGATTGATGTGATCACCCTGGAAGAGTTCTTTCTCAAGTGCATCATTGCGTGGACCGACATCGCCGTACTCTTCCTGCCACTCATACTTGGCGGCATCGTGAGCCCAAGTGCTGGTCTGGTGAACGCTCACAACTTGCTCTTCCTCATCAACTTCGGGCACGTCATTGGTAGTATAGATGTTGACGGTGGGAGCAGTCGCGTCATACTTGTACGACTGTGGTTCGACCCATCCAAGATCTCGAGCACGCTTCGAACTCTCTTCATCACGCTTGGGGGCCTGGGCACCAGTACCGTTGGTTGCGTCGGTGATGGCGGCGGCCATGTCAGCGGTATCGAAAGGAGCCTCAGCCATGTTTCCTGATAGAACAGAGTCAGTCAAGGCAAATGTGGTAACGTGGGAGGAATTTAGAATAGGATGTTGTGGCGCGGTCAACGAATGAGTAATGTTTTGAAGATCATTGTTGTGTGCGGCAGATCAAATTCACCGACTTTTCAGATGAGTAAACCGTGAGGATTGGTGAGGACTTGGGGGCAAGATGCAAGAGAAGCTTCTGTCGATACTATTGATCTGAGGACAGGTTTGCGGGTGGGAGGAAGGTGTGCTTGGGATGGATCATGCACAGAGAATCACAAATTGCGTACCTGGAGCCGCAGCTGGAGGGAAAGAGTCCTGAGCAGGGACGGACCAAGACATAGCTGTCGTTCAATAAGCAGGATAGCAAGACTGAACAAGGACAAGGTAGAGGTGTTGTTGTTGAAGATAAAAGAAGGAAGAAAGTCTTGTGGGAAGGGAGGGGAGAAAGTATTTGAGGGAGAGAAGGTCACGGAAAATCCGGTCCTGCGGCCACGTTTGGACCAACGCAAGATGAAGCAACAGTGAGAGATCTTCCAGGAGACTTTCAAGTAGAATATGCTCGTCGCTAGGGTAGAAGGTGTGAAAGTGGTGGAACAAAGAAAATGAGGCGAGACGACCACAAGTATTGTGTTTCCGTCGGCTCAATCTCCCTTGTTGTTGACGATGACCATGATCAAGACAGAACAAGACCTCACTCCCAAGTCTCCTCAGCGTGCATTGCCTTCGATGCCAAGTAAGTCCTTCCTCGGCGCGCGAGAATGCCGAATTAGCTGCTCGTTAAGCGGTCAACGTCGAGGTTGAGGCACTGTACAAACAAGACCTTTCCTGGCCACCTTACTCACACAATATGTCTACCAGGAACGCATTCGTCAATCGGTGGCTGAACAATTTGCAGTCTGTCCTACTCAACACCTCGGTCAAGTCCAGACAAAATCATTCCAGCTGTTGATGTCCCTAACATATCCAATCTTGAATCCAGGAACACGAGTATCTGACAGCACAACGCCCGGCCCTCCAGACCTCTTGATTGTCCGCAACCTGCCCGAGGACTCGATGGGATTCTCGAACACACGAGACTGTCAGCCGTGCGGACACAAGGCCATTGCTTCCCCTTCGAGAGAAGGACCACAACCGAATTGGACACTGGGAAAGAGAAGAGCCCAGCTCGTGACCAGATATGCCGCCAGACGCCGACTGCCTGCTTGTAAGCGGAAGAGATGCACCAGCGCTATGCCCTGTTCTTCCTCCAACGGAGCGTGGCAAGAGCAGCAACGACACAGGGCACCTCTTGTTTGGGTATAAAGTGGAATGCACTCACTTCATGCTGTGTCCGAACCATACCACAGCCTTATCGATTGCGACGGATGCGATGACACAATATGCAGGCTGACAGGGGCGAAGACCATATTTACTTTGGACTGGCACTGTTCTTTCACAAGAAAGCCCGACACCACTCTTGACGGCCTTACACACGCTAGCAAACTCCGACCTGGCGACCCGTTCGCTTTTCCGATACTGATGAGCAGGGCAACATATAAACGGGCATGCGATGGTCGATCTGGGCGATATCTCATCATCTCCATCGTGGTCCAGAGCTCCGATTGTATGACCAGATCCAGGAAGCATCGTGGCCACGTACAACATCTATCTTCCCATGCCTTCAATGCCCAACCCAGAGAGTCGCCAGGCTAGCGAAACAGTCTCGAAAGCTCAGCACATTCTTCTAAACAAGTAGCGCGAAAGGACTTGTATTTGGCAGGACATGAGCTGAGTGGGCGAAGTTGAATCGTAGTCCATGCGGAGTCCATCGAACTTCATCCGTATTCAGAGACAACCAATCAGAGCATAGTCGCTATCATATTCACACGTGACTTTTAAATCGCAGCTTCCTGTCAGTGGCCCACGAAAAATATCTCTTGGCGTCGAAATTGACGGGCTTCGCATCCCACTTCTAGCGGACGACAATTCACAAAAGACTGCGACTTCGTACCGCTTCGTCAATTCCCATCGACTCGACTCCATACCGCAATCATGACGACTACACAGGGAGCTATCTCCAAGCGACGCAAGTTCGTCGCCGACGGTGTCTTCTACGCCGAATTGAACGAGTTCTTCCAGCGCGAGTTGGCCGAGGAAGGTTACTCTGGTGTCGAAGTCCGAGTTACTCCTACCGTCACCGATATCAGTATGGCACACAATGCGAAGGAGCTACGAGAAAAAATCTGACATGTCGTACAGTCATCCGCGCCACACACACCCAAGAAGTCCTGGGCGAGCAGGGCCGACGGATTCGAGAACTCACCTCCCTCATCCAGAAGCGATTCAAGTTCCCCGAGAACAGTGTCTCTCTCTATGCCGCCAAGGTCCAGAACCGTGGTCTCTCCGCCGTCGCTCAATGCGAGTCCCTCCGTTACAAGCTGCTGAACGGTTTGGCCGTGCGAAGAGCATGCTACGGTGTTCTGCGATTCATCATGGAGAGCGGCGCCAAGGGTTGTGAGGTGGTTGTCTCTGGCAAACTGCGAGCTGCCCGAGCAAAGAGCATGAAGTTCACTGTAAGATCACACTTTTCGAGATTCGCAAACAGGACTGGTATATTGACAATTGCTCGCAGGACGGCTTCATGATCCACTCCGGTCAACCGGTCAACGACTTCATCGACACTGCTACCCGTCACGTCCTCCTCAGACAAGGTGTTTTGGGTATCAAGGTCAAGATCATGCGCGGCAGCGACCCAGAAGGCAAGGCCGGCCCTCAGAAATCCCTCCCCGATACCGTTACCATCATCGACCCTAAGGAAGAGCAACCTGTCGTGCAACCCATGTCTCAGGACTATGGTGCCAAGGCCATGGCTGCTCAGCAAGCCGCTCAGGACGCCAGAGTCTCTCAAGAGAACGGCGGCGAGGGTGGCGAGGAGACATATGCTGAGGAATAAAGCGTGGGATATGTGGGCGTTTAGTGATTCACTTAGCATATCATACCTGTTTTCGCGGAAACGAAAAGAGCGAATGAGGCATTTTCAGGGCCTGGCATTCGGGAGAAGCGTCATGATGAAGATTACTCCATGGCATGAATGAAAAGAATGCATCAGACTGATCTTGAATTTCGTCACACTCTGGTCTGTCTATTTGGCCGCCATCATTTTGTCTGCATGCAGTTTCCTCAACATTTCTCACAGGAAGACCTCCACATTGAATTCCACCGCGCTCACAGGATACTTGAGCTCAAACTTTTCCAGCACGGTAGGATGCAGGATACCAAAGCTGCCGATCATGAGTTCCTGGCCCAAGATCCTGGCATGGATACTGGCACCATGGCCAGCGAAGTATGTTGGGTCATCAAGCTCCTGGATCCAATATTGCATCCCCTTCGCATGCCCGTTCTTGATTTCCAACCCCTCCTCGTGCGTAACGAACGCCGTCTGCAACATCGCCATGACACGATCTAATAGACCATGAACGACCTCGAAACCGGATGTTTTGCCGTACCACGCCGCAGCAAAGTGTCGCTCATTGCGGCTCTTGCGCTCAAGCGACTCATCTTTGAAAGCGACATCGCTGACCTCGAAGATTTTGATCGGTATCGAATGGTGCTTGTTCTCACGGATGGTCTTCAACAGACCGGGCAGCAACGTCGTCCGTACAACCTGGTATTCAGCGGTCTTCGGGTTTGCGAGTTTGACCGCTGTCTTCCCGTCGTCTTTGCGGTTCAGCCAGCCGAAGTTCTCGTCATGCGAGCACAGAATTAACGGTAACACTTCAGCCCAGCCGGCCATCGCTGCTTCAAGGCGTAAAATATCAGAAAGCTTGTTGATTGCCAGTGGGGCTGCGATAGTAGCGGAGACTTTAGGAAAGGCGCGCGGTAAATTGTTGAATCCATACGCGATGCCCACGTCTTCCATGATGTCAGCCTGGTGCAACACGTCTGCACGCGTGATCGGAACATCAACATCAATCAAGTTGGGATCAGATTTCGATGGCCTCGCGGTATAGCTCATTCGTGTCAGGAGGTTGCAGATGTCTTCCGCGGAGAGGGAGAGACCGCAGCAAGAATTGATATAATCTACCTCAGCCTGTGTGGAACGAGGTGTCAGGTCAGGGGCCTGTCTCGATTCGCCGTTGTGCTCTGAGATGATTTGAATGGGCTCGACCGTGAATTCTTCTGAGGTATATTGGGAAAACATTGCCACCATAATGTTGACAACTATCTCTAGCTTGGTTTTGTCGGTCGCCGTCACCTCGATAAAGACGTTCTTTGTGTCGAGCGAGATTTTGCTGAGATTGCTGTTGATGATCGGCGGTAATGAACATACTCTGCGTTTCGAATCTAGGATGAAAGGGTACACGGGCGAGTCCCGGATGATGTGTAGGTATCGGCCCAAATGCTTGTCCTTTTCGTAGAAGGCCATCAATTCCTCCCCGTTCATTTCCTTTGACTGGTTCAGCGGGATGAATTTCTTGTCCTTGGGAGGTAGTGCTTCGTATGTGAATGGGCCTTCAATGAGGTCGTAATCATGCGTACCGATGGAAACAAGAGTCCGCTGCCTAGCAAGGTTCTGGTGGAGTTTGTCTTGCAAGTCGATGAAAGATTCGTATCTGGCCTGGTCGAACTTGATGTTCCGTAAGATGGCTCCAGACACGTAGGGCCGTACAGTCGCAGTTTCCTTCGTGACTGTGATGGACTGTATTTCACCCTTCGGTGGCGCTTTCAAGACATACTTGGGAGCTGGTATTCTGCGGTTGAAGATGTTGAGCATAAGTTGAATGCCCTCGTAACATAGCATGTCGTATCGATTAGCTGGGATCTCGATCTTCAATTGTGGTGGTTCTTGTTTGCCATCGACAATCGGTCTCTCTGTGAGAGAAGTATCCTCATCCAGTTCAATCCCGAAGTCGAAGCAAAGCTCGTCGAACTCATCTGTCGTGTATTCTCTGCCCAATGCCTTGAACAATGCAGCCTTGTCCACGGTAATGGTAGGCATTTTGAAATATTTTCACGAATAGATTGCAGGTGCACTGCTGCCCACAGTTCCACAGGTCGCTTCCTGAGAGCAAAGTACCAGGCCGACCTCGCCTGGACAAGTAGACCAATTGTATTCTTCTAGGCGCTGCTATATAATTTCGTCTTCCATCAAAAACGATGCTTCAAAAGAGAATCGTCTTCAAGCTTGGCATGGGAAACAGCTGCGCCACAGCTGCCACATTCAACAGACGTCAAGCCACACCTTGTTGCTTCGCAGCCCAAGTCACTTTATGACGGAGCTCAAATCGACGTGTGATTATTCCACCTTGCATGAAAACACCACGATACCAAGTCTCTATACTATTGAACAGGATCATCACTGAGCAAGACCCCCGACTTACGAGACCTGGTTCTGAACCGCGACGCTCTTTCCAGTAAACGCATCATTGTACGTGGTACCCGCCAACCCTAACTCTCTCTGCCTTGTCGTCAGTCAATCGCGCGCGCCCGAAAGCAAACGGCTACTCCTGTCTCTGCACCTGCCACCTCCAAAAATTGAACAAAACTAATGCACATGACAGTCAGATATGCATTGGAAGTTGAATTGAGCCTTGAGGAACCGCGATACATCCACAACCGATCTAAAAGACAGTCACCCTTAATCTCGCCGGCAACCCGTTGCCCCCAACGAATACCATCTGCCCTCCTGAGGAGTGTAAACAGTCAAAAAGACATCTATCAGTGAAGTCGAGTCAGTATGGAGGGTCAAGACAATGGCGATGAGCTCTATCCCATCGCCGTTCTCATCGATGAGCTGAAGGTACGGCGGAGCCACGGATGAAGAATATGTTGTGCACTTGACTGACCGTTCAAAAGCACGATGATGTCCTCCTTCGCCTCAATGCCATTCACAGACTCTCCACCATCGCCCTCGCACTAGGTCCTGAACGTACAAGAGACGAACTCATACCATTTTTGGACGGTAAGGCTCCTTGGCCTTTGAGAAGCCGAAAGAATCACTAACAACCGACGCCAGATTCCGTTGAGGATGAAGATGAGGTCTTGACAGCCCTCGCTGAAGAGCTTGGGAACTTCATTGAGTACGTGGGAGGACCAGAATATGGTCACGTGCTCCTTGCACCGTTAGAGAATCTCGCAGCTATCGAGGAGCCGCTTGTGCGGGACAAGGTACGGAGAACTGGACTGAGACAGGATACACATACATCTAACAAGTCCAGGCTGTCGAATCGCTGAACAAAATCTGCGAACAATTGTCAGAACGACAAGTTGAAGACTACTTCATTCCTCTCACAATCCGACTCTCCAAAGCCGATTGGTTTACATCCAAGATATCAGCCACGGGTCTGTACGTTACACCCTACAGGAAAGCAAGTCAAGCTTCACAAGAAGGTCTCCGCACGCAGTTTGGCCACCTCGTTCACGATGAGACGCCTATGGTACGAAGACAAGCTGCAAACAACCTTGCCAAATTTGTCAAGGAAGTACCTGTATCAGTTGTCATCGAAGAGATGATACCGCTGTTCCAGCACTTGGCTAGCGATGACCAAGACAGCGTTCGACTCCTTACAGTAGAGGTTCTCATCTCCATTGCAGAGGTCATTCCAAAAGAACAGCAACCCAGCCACGGTGTGCTATTGACGGCTTTGCGAAGTCTGTTCGAGGACAAGAGTTGGAGAGTTCGATACATGGTTGCGGAGCGGTTCGAAAAAATTGCCAAAGCCGTCAATGAGGAGGTCGTTACTCGAGACTTGGTACCTGCGTTTGTCAAGCTGTTGAAGGACAGCGAGGCGGAGGTGAGGACAGCGATTGCCAGCCAAATCCCTGGCTTCTGCAACCTTCTGGATCGCGAGACACTGCTCAACGAAATTATGACGAGCATTGAAGATCTGGTGTCAGACCCTTCCCAGCACGTCCGAGCAGCTCTAGGAACGCAGCTCAGCGGATTGGCCCCCATTCTGGGCAAAGAGGAGACCATCTCGCACCTCCTCCCCATGTTTCTCCAGATGCTCAAGGATGAATTCCCTGATGTCCGCCTACACATCATCTCCAAGCTCGAACTTGTTAACAACGTTATTGGCATTGACCTCCTTTCGCAGTCTCTTCTACCCGCCATTGTTCAATTGGCCGAAGACAAGCAGTGGCGGGTACGTCTCGCTATCATCGAGTACATCCCGTTGCTTGCCAAGCAGTTGGGCATGAAGTTCTTCGACGAGCAATTGGCCTCACTGTGTATGGGCTGGCTTGGTGATACGGTCTTTTCTATCAGAGAAGCTGCAACACAGAACCTGAAGAAACTTACCGAGGTGTTTGGAGTTGAATGGGCGAAACGATCCATCATTCCCAAGGTCATTGCTATGAGTGAGCAAGAGAACTATCTCTACAGGATGACCACCTGCTTTGCTATTACGGTGAGTCCACAATCCTGTTGCGTCCTAACCAGAACTGACACATCATCTAGACGCTTGCTCCAGCCGTCTCGCTCGAAATCATCCAAGACAGCGTTCTACCCATGATGAACAGACTTGTCTCCGACCCTATCCCAAATATCCGCTTCAACGTGGCGAAATCTTTCGCCGTTCTGATCGACGTTGTCCGCCGCCTCCCAGCACAAGGCACGCTCAAAGACCTCGAGGAATCCGGCTCCACTCAGTCGCAACCGACTCCGAAAGCCGAGGAATTGATCAGCAGCGAAATCATGCCGAATCTCGAGAAGCTGCAATCGGATGATGACGTGGATGTCAGGTATTTCGCCACGATTGCCGCCGGCGGAACCTGGAATGCGGGCGAGAGGATGGATATGGGACAGTAGTGCTTTCACCCTCGCCGCGTGCTTCCGCACACCGTCCGGCACCGACGTCAAAAGAGAGTGACGTTTGGGAGGCCGCTAGAAGACCTCTTCTGAAACCAACTAAAAAGGGCAGGCTAGGCTTTAACTGGTGAATGTTTTGAGTGATACCACAACGGTCAATGGTCAAGGTGTAGAGATTAGGAGTCCGAGTTCTGTGTGTATGTGCATCAACCACGGGGGAAACTAAGGGGGTAGGTAGTATCCATCCGCAAGCTTGGGTCTTTTGGGGAAAACGATACTGCATGCATGCGCATTACTACTCGTCTTGACACCTTGACGGAGACATACTAGATATGGTAGACTACAATCCAAGAGTCCAGACACTGGTCGCGCGTTCGGTCCCTAGGATCGTTTTCGCTTGACAAGATTGATGGACGCTCTTTCTCGCGGATATATTTACAGCTATGTGCATTTTGGTACAAAGGGCAAGACAAAACAAGGTACTCAACCGCAAGACGCCGGCTGAGTCGTATCGACTATATGCAACCTCTCATAGACTAAAACCAATATTGTACCTGTCATCGTCGATCAGGCGACCATACCTAATAAAGCACGTCAGCTGATTGTTGTAGAGGGTAACAAACAGGGTGTAGACTTACTCAAGCAACAACCTGAAATACCAGACCTCCAAGTCCTCGTTCCTGAGCACCTTCTGAGCCCATTCACGACTCTGACTTGCGATCCTCTTGCCCTCGACCTTCCCACTCTCTTCTTGATCGAAATAGCGCACAGCCTCGGCGTACTCGTCCCCTTGCAACCCAAGCGGGACATAGTGCGCCCATGGTCGCAGCCACTCGTCATGCCACTCACGGAAGACGGCGAGCTTGTACACAAGACTATTACTGAGGAGCCAGGCGTAGTATCGACCCGAAAAAGCGTTGCCGTCAATGTCCAAGAGGTACCGCGAGGCGAGCGCGTCGAACATATTCACTGGCTCCACAGTGCCGAAGTACTCGCGTTGGGCGTCGCAGTCGCCGGGGTCGCATTGGCCGATGTACGTGAACTTGACGTCGAAGTATTGTGAGACTTCTTGTGCGGAGATCTCTTTCTCGCGCCACACATCTTCTGTGGAGGATGAGTTGTCGAGTTCGAGGACCTTGGCTTTGTTTAGTGGCTGAATCTTGGTCAAGAATCGTTGACGATGCTGCCGTCTCCAGCCACCGTCGCGTGAGAAGCCTCCTGTGGTGCTGCCACGCCAGTACATCGTGGGCGCTTTTTCTTCCCAGGGCATGTCCCGCTCTTTTTCGTACTTGACACGGCCCATGTAATACCACGGCGATGGATAGAGGATGTCCTGGAAACTGGAAATCTTCGACTGCGAAAATATCGGAAACAATTCGTGAGTAACGTCGAAAGCGTTGGGTCGGTCGAAGAAGCCGAACGAACGCTCCATGCTGGGAGAATTGCAGATGTCGGAGTAGGCGGTGGTGTTGCGGATGAGATCTAGAGGAAAACCCGAATATGCTGACGTATTGTCCGGACATGAATCGTTCAGGCACGTCCGAGCTGCGCTGTCGGGTGGACAGGACAGTCTGGACTCACTCCATGTAGGCTGATGCGCGAAGCGATTGAAGCGGGTCGTCTTGTATTCCTTGATCCGTATACCCTCTCCTAGATCCCCAGCCCTCGGTGACCATGCATTCTTGAGGCTCTGCGCGGTATATGCCCTAGGCATGTTTTCGTCTGTGGCGACCTTGACATGGTGAAGCAGATCATCATGCTGCATGACTACTCGAGGTTCATCGTGGATGTTGAACATCAAGTCCATGTCTGGAAGATATTTGATGAACTCTTTGAGCATGATAGGTGTTGCCTCTCTTTGCCACGCGTACATGTCTCCGCCTCCTTCGATCGTTGTAACTTGTCCGTTTCGGATCATGACCGCGATCATGGCATTGTCAAAGCCAATGGCCTCTCTCGTCCTTTCTCGAATGACTGCGGGCTCCAGCGCCCAGAAGGGCAGAAGCTGGTGATATATCGTGTCATATTCATCAATCAATTCAACCCCTCTCTTTTTCGCGAAGTTGTACCACTTGTCGAAATGAGGCGGAGGAGGTATCTTATACCGCCTGCGATACTCGGCTACGGCATCGCTAAGGGATCGTGACTGGCGCGCACGCACAGTCTGGAAGTTACCCTCCGCTTCTGAGATCAGCTCGTGAATAGGGTGTAGAAGCGATGCCGCCGGGAGGAGTGGTTGGTTCTCTTCGTGTGCATGGTGGCCGTGGAAGAGGGAGGTCGGCTCTTCGAGGTTGAGGACTTTGGGACGTCGTAGCAGGATCGTAGTGAATGCGATAGTCGCAATGAGACAGATTAGGGCCAAAGATCTCCTAGATCTTATCATGCCATGCACATGGCTCTTGCTGGGGATGCGTAGATTCATGCATGGATCGATGGTCTTGCAGCCAGTCTCAGGATCATAGTGGTCTGGACTGCTAGCGGGATGCGTGGACAATTGCGGCCGCTACGCACAATGAGTTTGAGTCTTCAAGAGAACGAGATGTTTTGTACGGACGCAGTGTCCATACAACTGTTGGAAGTTGCGGACCACAAAGCCTGGGGAAAGGCTGGGAAACTTAGCCGAGAGGGTGTTCTTCACCCCCTATCTGTCTGTCACCATACGCCTACAGTATCTCTCTGATCTCATGACACCTCTATCCTCCTCAAACACATTCAGTGCAGCAAAAATGTCTATTAGCTATATGTCTCCCTTTTGATGTGCTCTTGGAAAGATGATGCATGCTCGTCATTACATGGATGGCGGGCTACTTCGCCCCGCGAGTTCATATCTTCGTCTGGTTCTCAGAAGCAAACAGATTGACAAGCGGATCGTAAGTATCATTTCCAAATGCATCACCTCCATAATTCAAATAGCCATTCACATATGGTTGTGTGGGAAATCTCGCCAGGATCGAGCTTGTATTACCAAACACCCAAACTGTCTGCATGCCTGGCAGGAGATGTCAACATCCACAATTTCGAGGTCAAGGAAAGAGTGCTCACCCATTATCATATGCTGCAATATATGGCAGTGCATCATCCATGCGCCAACATCGTCCTCGGTGATCCTTATACGCCACGCCCGCCATCCTGCGGTGGTCTCTGGTACGCCAGAAGTCGCGTAGCGGTAAAGCATGGTCGTATCGCGCCTTGCTGGGGTATAGTTCCCGAAACGTACCTCATTGGCAGTGGCATTGTACGTCCCGTTCCTGCAAAGCACTAAGTGAGCAGACTGGCGCCTCCATTTGGGAAAGGCATCACTTACCCAGAGCCTAAGTCGAAATAATGCTTTCCATGAGCGTGCATTGGATGGAAATCCCAGCCTCCCGTCGGACCGTTGTTACTCAGCCAGACAATGTCGAGAACCTCACCAGGCAATGCGGGAAAAGCATTGCTGTACGGATCCCAGCCTCCATTCTCAATGGCGGCTGTGTAATTTGGTGTTTGGCCCGTAAGGTACACTTGTACCAGATATGGCAAGCTGTTGTTGGATTGTCGCACTTCCGTTTGCCAGATGAGATCGTCTTCTCTGCAAGTTGGGAATCATGTCAGCAACATGCCGGGGATAGGCAGGCCTTCAAGAGGACGACTCACTCCCATTGCAATGTGCCATTGATTGTACCGTTCTTATATGAACCCACCTTCATAACCTGCTGCATGGTGATGTAGACTGTCCTCGTGACATCAGAAAGCTTTGGAAACGCTTCGAGTGGTTTGAGCGCTTCGAGCGAGTATTCCGCCCAGCTGTTTACGTCTTGCGGAAGAGTAACCGGAGAGTTCGACGGTAAGTCGGAGGGAAGGCTAGAGCCACTGGTGTTATAGTGCAATAAAGCATAACCAGTGACATTTGTGGGCCGATCGCGACTCTCATAACGAATCCAAAAGCTCGTCTTATTGAGCGCCTCAAGTTCCGCCTGGGTCTTCGCCTTGAAAAGAACACTAAAACGTTGTCCACTGCCGAGCTGAAGGTGGTCAGTACTCCATGGCTTCGTATACTCGCCGTCTGCTTCGATGATTGTCAGGTTTTCATGATCTTCAATGCCGAGTGTGACGAGCGAGAGTGCGGTGGCACTAATAAAACGTAGTCTGGAGGTTGATCCTGGGGCCACGTTGATGACATATGGTGTGCAAGAAGCATCGGAGGCATTCGTGAAGGAAGAGTTACCGCTCAAGCCATTGATCTGTATCGAATATGGTTCGCCTGACCATTTGAACGGATTGGCGACCAGGCCTTGCTCTATCACGGTGTCATTCTTGGCACTGCAGAGCGTCAAAAGCTGGTCAGGTATCCGTGCAGCCAAATCATCAGCCAAATGAAAGCTACTTACAAATAATCCTGGATCAACAAGCTGGTATCCTGACTGTAGTTGTATGGCACGGATTCCAAGTCTTCGACAATAATCACCCCTTGAGCGGTATTTGCCTGGAATCCCACGTGAGAATGGTAAAAGTATGATCCAGCGTCGCCTATCTCGGGCGTGATTGCGTAGTCAAAGTACTCGTTGGATGCGATAGGCCATTGTGAGACTTCCGGTGTACCATCGGAGAACGGAGAGGTTCGTTGACTCAAGCCATGCCAATGCTGACGCCAACGTCAGCTTCCATCACATGCAGCCAGAGGCGGTCTTCTGTCACGTACCACAGTGAGATTCTGATCCTGTATTCTGTTCCAGACTCTGACCCATGTCGTGTAGTTCTCCTTCATGTACAGTGGCGGTCCAGGTGTGGTGCCATTGAATATGACAGAATACCGCGTTTGGCAATTGATAGTAATGTTCTGTGCTGTAGCAACGAGCTCATAGTCCGGACGATATCCGCCACAGGGGACAACAGAAATTGCTTGCTGCGCCAGGAACAAGATCTGAAGCAAGATCGGTACCAGCATGTTGACGACAAGCGGCATGCAAGATCGCATGAATCAAGTCGAGCATGAGACAAAAGACCAACGGACGCCTTATGAGGGCCCCGGACAAGGGAGGCCTGGTCTTTAAGACCATAGCTGTTGCCATGCTCTGATGCCGTCATCCTTGGTAGGTCCTCAATGACTGTGCCATCAATAGCCTGTCAACCTCAAAGGTAAGGCTGAGGTCCTCCCGTACATGCGGATTTGAGTGGTGCTACAGGCGGGGCTCGTATGCTAGGGCGAGGACCTGGTACCTTTGATGGTCAGGCCCCCCGAAAATAAATGCAAATCCACGAAAAACACGGATGCGAACCTTAACTTCTCTCCTTCAGCATGACGGTAGGGACGCCCATCACCATGTAGAAGCAAATAAGCTTTGAAAATGTTCCAAGGATAGAGTATTTCCAATAAGTGCCAACTGGAACTGGGGGCCAATGCAGCTAGGCGGCCATCTTCGCCTATGTTGTAGACTATTAGTAAACTGTCTGTGCACATCCAATACGCGAGCGTTGCATTGTGCCTCAAGCGGAATATCGAAAATGGCGTCTCCACAAACGGCAAAAGCCCACGGGCGGAGCCGCACTGACCTCTAGTAAGTCCAGAAGCCATCACGATCAATCTTGCGAGCCTTGCGAGCCTGCAGGGGTGTTCTGAAACCTGCCCGCCTAAAGTCTACCATGGGCACGATAGGCAGCTGGCGTACCTACCGGAGATAAGTTGTTGTCATGCCTGCAGGCATTCTTTCGATAGTCCTTCTTGAAACATACTATACAGTATGTGAAGCTGATGGGATTGATGCGAGGTAACTTTCAGGTCTCGACTCTCACATTCGCCAGATGGCCAACTTCCATCGGTACCGATTCACCAGGTGATGGAATCGATATAACGGCTCATATCACAAACCTGTCGACTGGGTCTCCGGACATGATACGGGGTCAATAAAGTGCTGATCTTGGCACGTTCGATACATTCTCGCTACAGCAGGAGGTGTATGGCAGGACCATGGAGGCAAGCCTTCGCATCATGGCTGTGATACCGTACATGGAGCTGCTTGTGTCGTTTGATATACGCGCATAAGGCTGCGTCATGTTGTCGGCCTCATCTCCAACAAACAGGACAGCTCGTCAATCTTCTCGCCTACGGCACACCGTCTCAAGCAGGACTGCGGCCATACTCGTTTACCAGGTTTTCCGAGTACCCAAGTTGAGACGACGTGGCCACTACTCGGGTGGACAGTAATATACTCACTACTGTTCTGCACCATGGGCCGAGAGATGAGCACCGTGGTTGCAATGTCCTCCGCTGCTTTTCCCCGGGGAAAAAACAGTGCTTGCAGCGCCGAGCATCGCCCAACAGTGCCACCACGGGTCCGGCACCAATACCTGCCCACATCGACGCTGGTCACTCACAAGGCGAGTTCTTGCCCCGAACACCCCACGAGCCGAGAACGTGGCACCTCAAGAAGCCACTAACCACGGAGATCGAAGAAACTGCTCTCGCTTGTTTTGCCCCTCGATGCTGATACTGTGGAGAACAGTGGTCGTGGTTGGGCGGAGAACAAGACAAAGAAACCAAATGGCTAATCAGGAAGCGAGTTCAGGTACCTTACAGGGACTGCGTTGGCTGAGATACTTGTCGATCATCTTGCCCGGACGTCGATATCGGCACTCGTAGCTGCTTGAAAATGAGTGGGAAACAGTATCTTCTCCCCACGGGGAAGTGGTCCCGAGGACTTACTGCCTCGCTAGCTATCGTCGTACGTAAACTACGGAAAAATTGAAGAAATCTTCCCTGTCTAGGGCTAAAACGTTCGGATGAAGACATGCAGATTCGACCAGCTTGCGCGTCGCGCCGACAGCCGGGGACTTCGGTGCCCGCTTCAACCTGCCTGGACTTTTGTCATCCCCTCCGCAATACTAGGCATATCTCGATCCGAGATGCGGGGTGACGCAAAGCATCTTCATTCCTAAATTTTCACACCAGACACAAGGTCACTCTGGTGCCTCAACTATCACTTGATCGAATGCAGCAAGAGACTCATAGTACTGCGCTTCAAATACTGGAGCCTATCGTGGAGCCGACACGAACGAGCCGAGCTATACGGCCTTGTTCGTGATCAGAAATTTTATGGCGACCTGTAAGGAACGAGCAGTCCTACGGACCACCATGTAGTGCTCATTATGAGCAGCACGCGGGACCTCATGTAGAAACCTGGGGTATAAAATGGTGGCCTTTGCCGTCTAACACGTTACAGGAAGCATCGTCCTGATATCAACAGGCTCTCTCTTCTTACAGTTTGTAAGTCACCATGCACATTCCGAGCTCATCCAGTATGATGCGCCTATCTCTAGGCCTCGCGGTGGCCGTGTTCGCCATGGGTGGAGCATCTAGATATCTGCCAACTGCCCCTGCTCTGGTCGAACGAGGTGCATCGACCGGTGAATGCACTCGGGACTCCATGACGGCCCTCGTCACCGAGATCCTGGATTCCATGGTGGCGCACAACCCTTACACCCTACCCATGGCGACGTCCTACGTGGCGACGGAGAACTCGCATGCAGCAGCGGTCGGCATGATGACTTCATGGCGCACCATCACCAAGGCAGGCCCACCCAGCCTGCTGGCAATCGATACGACCAATTGCACAGCGTACTTTGCCCTGGACATTAGCGAAGGCAACGACGCGGTGCAAAACGTCCTTCGAGGCCGCATCGCCGTGGTCGACCAGATGATCACCGAGATGGAATTGTTCATCAACCGCAACCGCGGCGACCACGGCTTCTCGTTCTCGGCCGAGGAACTCCCCACGAACTACGCAGCACTGATGTCGCCGCCAGCTAATCGGACAAACCCAAGCCGAGAGACACTATGGGAACTCAGCCAGGCCCTGTTCGCAGTAAGCTCCTCCTTCGAGGTCGATGTCGCCGACGACTGCCAATTCACGGAACTGGGCTGGAGAGTCATCGATCCTGGTCCGGATGGAAACGGTTCGACCACTCCACTCGGTTGCAACTGGCCCTCTTCACATCCTACTGACGAGAACGCACGAGTGGCCTTGGTTATCGATGAGGAGTTGGGCTTCGTCCTGACCAGCGGCATTGTTCCAGGCAAGGTCTACGGCTACGGTAACGTTTCGGCCTTCATTCCGAACACCATGACCGATGCACAGGAAGCGCAGCAGGTGTGGTGGACCGCGAAGGAAGCCGAGGGAACTATGCCGCTGCTCTATCCCACTGGTTCCACCGGTGACACCCTCGAAGTGCTCCAGTATTACAATGGCGAGCTCCAGGCCATGCAGATCAATGTCTACCTGAGTGGCCCGAACATGACATCGGTCTGGTTGTAGATGATGTTGATGCGATGTGACAGGTTGTTGACCCGCAGGGGATGTGGTATTGTATATAGTGGCTAGTCATTCCCTCAAACTTAATAAGTTGGTGCTCGACACCGAGCTTCTTAGTATCCCAGGGCTTTCCACGTAGCACCAGACACCTTCCTAGCCACGTCACTAACGAAGCCAGCCCATCCTTTCGCTTGGGTGATCAGGTTCGTCACTCCGATAATCCTTCGAACAAATAGATCCGACTGTGCAAAGTCATCGGCATGGACATCCCACACAGCTTGATCCTTAGTCTGCAGCTCGAGACCCATGGCTCTCGCATCCTCCGCAGACGTCTTGGACCCTATAGCCAGAGCGCGTCCGATGATGCCCTGATCAGCGACAAGGCGAGTCGTTGCCTCAACGACATCGGGAACCGTAGCCATGCCACCGCCGGCTAGCACTACAGCTCCCATTGGACCCAATATTGGGGTGTCGACGAAGTCTGCAGGATATATCAGCACATCATTCATACCTGTAAGGCAGCGCATGTACTTACATGGGTTAATCATATTGATCCTGATACCATGCTTGATAGGTGTTGTCACTCTGAGAGCCCGGAAAAGCCCTACAACGCCATGCTTCGCAGCCGCATATATCGGTTGCGACGGCAGACTCGCGAGACCTGCAATCGAGGACACCAGTATCAAATGCCGATCCCGCGTTGCAGTGTCTTTACCAATCTGACATCTCTCACTGCCAGGATTCCTGCTGAGGTAAGAAAGGGCAAGATTCGTCGTGTACATGACCCCGTTGAGATTGGTGTCCAGCGTCCTCATTGGCGGCGCAGCTGGACTGTCCATCGTCGAATAGTCGGGCGGCTCCTCGAAGCCCGCATTTTCTGGTGCAATGGCAACGCCAGCATTGGCCATCACACAATCGATGCCACCATGGGGACTGAGGCTAGCTGCTTGCTTGAAGAAAGAAGCTTGACTTGGCCAGTCCGTGACGTCGAGATGAATGAAATGGTGGTTGGGATTGTTCGTTGAAGCTCGCATTCGAGCCACGAGTTCGGTTCCGGCTTTGTCATTGATATCGCCAATAATGATGTTGGCTCCATGGCTGGCCCATTCTTCGAAGCAGGCCTTTCCAAAGCCGCTGGCGCCGCCGGTGATTACAATAGCCTTCCCCTTTAGATTGCTTCTGTTGATGGGCTTCGAACAGTCAACTGAATCTGAGTGTATCACAGTCGAGTCAAACGGGATAATCCCTGGCGCCGGATCATTCATAGTCACGCTCCGATGCAAGGACCTCCAGTGGAGAATCGTACAGGATGATGTTCTAGGGTTACATCGTAGGTGGTATCGACAGCAGGAAGCTTGGTGCCCATGTTTGAAAGGGAGACATCAGAAGAAGCATGGTGAGAATCCTTTGGCGATAGATTAGCCGAGGCATCTTGCAGCTGGCGACAAGGAACGATCTGGACGGCCCATCAATCAAGGTTAGGGGTCAACAGGTTTCATCGTCTTGAGTGAACGACGGCACGCATTGGTCAGTTAATCAGGTACTTTTGCTTGTATCTGGAGAACGAAACCGCTTGTGATTGAAATAGGATCGTTGTACGCCGACCAAACACGTAAATTTTGATTTCGGCCCCCAATTCGGATGGTTTCCGTTGACACGTCGGGCGAAGCTTCGATATCTTGATCATCTGGCACACCACTGCAATCAATATTCTTGAGTAACGCAACAAGTTTGAAACTCGGACCCTTCTCATCGCACCTCCTCGGTCTTTTCACGTTGTCGTTGTCGACGAACATAACCATGGTTGACCTATTATCGGCGCCTTGGGGAAGGTCCTCACCTCTGAGCCACCAGAGTTCATGTCTATCATCAACCATGGTTTGTCCATCGTTGGCGCCTGCGCGATGGTCCTCACCACTGATTCACCGGAGTCTTACACGAGCCAGGTCCTCAGGACCTGGCGATAGGCAGATATATATATGTTCACTCACCATGGATCATTTCATATCAAACAATAATTCACTTCCACCTCTCCAGACCAGCAATCATGGTTGACGACAAACACCACCTGTCTCAAGAGCTCGCGGTCTTCGAGAATTCTCCCCGAGACCAAGAACAAGCGGTGCAGGAGATACAGCATGAGAACTCCGGGAGCATAGAAGTCCTACAGCCTGTCGCGGAAATACAGCTGCGACACCCAGCAAGGCCCTTGGTGACCATCGTACCGCGGGAGAACGCTCTTCTCAGCTCCCAAACAGCAGCTCGTCTCCAGCCTCACTTACCACCATACGAATGGTCGTTCTGGACAGATGCTTCCCTCCCGAGTCATAAGGTGGCTTATGCGGTTAAGCTTGCAGGCTGCGGCTTCTGCGTTGTACACCGTCGTCTCGACAATAGCAAACCCAGTGATCGAGATTTTGCTACCACATGGTGGCAAAGCTGCTTTGTGGCACGCAATGTGCATAGAATCGGAGATGGTGAAATGCTTGCCGTGGCGCAAGCTTTGGCAATGGCCGTCGACCAGTGCAAGCGCATCTCCGTGACTGTTGTCAACAGTGCCACGAATGAAATGCCGGGATTGATGGACGGAAGAGAGCGCCAGGCAGCTAATGATTCATGGCCGATGCCAAAGGTAGTGAATATATTCACAGATGATCGGAAGGTCTTGGACTCCATCGATACGTGCTGGCTTTCTGGCAGAGAGCCAGGCCCCCGGTCACCGATGAGGCATGCCAATGCCATGATTAGGGCGCTTAGCGATTTTGGTGTCAGAGTGCATCTTCAGTTGGTTCCGGGTCATTCCACCGACGTCCATAATCGCTGGGCTCATGAAGGAGCTCGAAATGCGCTGCATCCGCAATATCACGTGCAGAAAGTATGCACGACAGAAAGAAAACCGCGGCCGCACCGGAGGCCACACAAGGATGAAACTTTGCAACGAGCCTTCAAGACCACAGTTGAGGAAGGAATGTGAGCCTACAGGACAATAGCGTGAGAATTACAAGAATTGGTACACCTCCAAATTCATTGAGGAAGAAATCGAATTATACACTCTCGGCTTGATTTGGTGATGGGAAGTTCTGGTGGATTTAGCTTAGGAACACATTCCTCATGTTGGGAAATGTCATTGCAGCTACATTATCTCCACAGACAGTATGGAGTACATCCAAGACACAACCACACACCACCAATACCAACCAGTCAGCAACGCAGGCACCCAATTGATTGACTGAAAACCACCCTCTTGCAACACATGTCATACTTCGAATGGCCCAGAGGAAGCTGAACGGATCGAGGAGACCTAGAGACGATGGAAAATAAGGGGTCAGTACATTGACTGAGTGAGGGCCGACAGATCGTCGGTAAGATCAAGTGGACTTGACCGCTTTTAAGCAATACCCCCATGAGCCTTGACGGGATTCGAACCCTTGTCGGTAGCAAGTCATGTCATGCCCCTCCTCCAACTCCAGCGGAAGGGTATCCCTCACCTGAGTATTGACAACGAGATGTTTCTTCCAAGCAGTATTGTTGTGATGAGCGGTAAGGAAGGTACGAAACCGAAGGTTGGAACCTCGAGACATGAGGAGACTATCGAGCAAGGATGGTCAACAAGCTGTCCCAAAGGAGTTGATAGCACATACCTCGTCCACGTGGGGCGTACAAAGAGGCCGTGGGATCTGGGCTGACTGTTGGAGCAGTCTATGGTGAAGACATCGTGGATGGCGTACTAGTCATACCTCAAGGGTAAGTGGAATGAGGCAAGTTGTCGTTGTTGTTGATGATGCAAGTGGTATTGATGGAGGTGATGGAGGTGACGATGATGATGTTGATGGTGGAGATGATGGACATGATGGACATGATCGAGATGATGATCGAGATGATGAGGGAAAGATGTGGAAGACTGGAGGATTGTATGGCCATGAACCAATGCAGGTGATGGAGGGCATTCGAAGACGGCTTGGGTTGAGCAGGATGATATGGAAGAATGAAGAAGAAGAATCGAGGAAGAAGAGGGAGAGCAGCATATTTAAGGAGTGGAAACTTGGGTGGGTGGGCGTCCTTCCTTGATAGGAGAGGGAAGCAACGTCGAGGAAGGAGCAAGAAAGAAGCAACACACTGGGTAGGTACACTAGGGAAGGAGCAAGAGGTAGTCGGCATCACGCATACAGCATGATATGATTGAGGTGACGAGGTTGCCAACGCGTCATAGGCAACACCTTCTCTGACGGCAGCTACGCTTACTGAGGAAGGCATTCCGTACATTGTAAGCTCGGCGGTGGGAAGAATCATCATCATGATACAAGAAAAGGCACAAAAGGCAGGAGCAGACGTGGAAATCTGCTAGACGTAGCAATCAAACAACAACTGTACAGTGCGAGGCTGAGCTGCGTGAAAGATATCGAGTTCCTCCTGCGTAGACGATCTTGTCGGCTTACAGCGGGTTTTGCAAGTGATATATCTGCTCTCATTTCCACGATCTCGCCTGTCCCTTCCGCCGACTCCTTTCGCTAAAAGACCTGGACATGCAAGTGGATGGAAGTCGACTAAACGTCAACAGTCGCTTTTCACAGACACGTTTTCCAACTCCTTCAAAATGTTCAGTTCGCCAACAGAAGACCCAGCAGCGTCTAGATTCCGATACCCTTCTTCGACGTTCCACCTCTTGTCTTCGACAGGCTTATGCAGCACCTCACAGGCGTGGCCCACCACAAGTAGTCCTGGAGGTCTTGACCCCCCCTCTTCAACCGCCTGACACACATACTCCAACGTAGAGCGGATCACTCTTTGATCGGGACAGCTTGCTCGTTCTATCACCGCACAAGGAGTGCTGGAAGGCCATAACCTGCGAGCATGCGGTGTTGTCGTCTCCGGATCGTCAGACACTCTTGTCAAGGTCTTGACCAAACTTTCCAGTCTATGCAAAGCCATCAGGAAAACCACCGTTTTACTCTTGCGATACGAGGGAGGCTCTGGAGCTGCGCCTTTTCGCCCGGTGCCGGTACAGATAACCACTTGGTCCGCCACAGCTCTGTGGGTGACAGGAATCTCTGCGAACATAGGTGCTGATAGAGCGCTTGTGATGCCCGGTATCACCCGGACTTCGTAGCCTCGTTCTCGGAAAAATGATAGCTCTTCAGCCCCACGGCCATACAAATATGGATCACCCTGTTTCAGGCGAAGTACATCTTTCCCTTGTTTCATTGCGTCCAGGCCAAGTTGCAGGAGCTCTTCTTGGGCAGCATCTGCATTTCCCGGGAACTTTCGCGCAATATGTACAGGTGTTCGGCGTGGGATCAGGTCAAGGATCTCGGCTGGTACGAGCTTGTCGGCAAGGATGAAATGGGCGCTCTCGATTGCATTTCGAGTGGCGACGGTCAATAACGATGGATGTCCGGGGCCAGACCCAGCGAGTGTGATGGTACCTTTCTTGGCCGGTAAAGCGGGAGCAAGGTCGCATGGCTCATTTGAGTCCGGTGCAGGCGGCTGTGCGGAGGCCTTGTACGCACCAAGGATTGCCGAGACATCCGCATCAGTGATCGCTGCAAGTCGACTCAATGGCCAATACTCGCAGATCTGAGAAAGCCATCTCATTCGGCGCGTTCGGAGAACTGCAGGGTCTCTGTCGTCCTCCTTCACGAGCGCGTTGAAGGTGTGTCTCTGACCGGCAGCTTCCTCATCTTCAACTTCGGCATCGGCCACGTCCGTAATGTTCTGCGATTTGTAATCCTCCTCCCATATCCGCCTACGCATTGTTCCTAGCCTTTCCACCGCCGGGCCAAACTTTGGTGGCAATGCAGAGGCGATTTCGCGCCGTATGCGGGAGGACAGTTTGCAGCCGTTGCCGGAGGTCGTAATCCCAATCTGTAAAGGCCCATCTGAGTAGGTGGATAGCAGGGTGAATGTGCAAAGTTGAGGAGCATCGACCACATTGACGGGTATGCGCATGCGCTTGCAGAGATGCGAAATGTGGATGCTTTCTGGTGCTTTGGAAGGCAATGTGACGAACACAGCATCGACATAACCATCCACCTCCTCTCTTCCGAGTGTACTCAGATCCTGCTCTTGAAAATCGCGCTGCACCCATTTTACTCGGCCATCCTCGATTGCTTTCGCCAATGTGAAGTGGACGTCGTCCGCTTCTGGACTCACGACCACAGGCCGAGCACCAACTTCGAGCGACTTGGCACATCTGGATGCTGCAAGTGGTCCAGAGCCCAGGACAAGATGCACATGGTCGACGCAGCTTTGCGCCGTCAAAAGGGCAGGAATAGTCATGGCGACAGCAGCGATGATTCGTGGCGTCCAAAAATAATTATTATGGGTGATAATCTCAATGAGTGTTCCGGGTCAGCACCTCAACGCCATGCCTATGCATACAAGAAAAGAAAGAAGAGAAGATTAAAGGTAGATAGACTGGAATTGGAAGATCACTCCATATCAGTGGCGCTGGCGAAGATGCTCGGAGAAAGGCAGATGAAGATCTGGAGAAACCACGCAGAAACAGAAAAAATGACAATGACGCGAGCTTGCAGGGATCGGCTTATCCTTATCGCTGGCCAATAACACCCTTCTATTCTCCAATATTGCGGGGCCGCGGAGCCTTGTCTGCGGGCGGTATCAACCATCGATACTGTTATAAATATGCCATACATGTATGATGTGGTGGAAGTACTTCAGAACCTCATCCCCCTCGACGCCCCCATCCCCCTCGACGCCAAGGTGCAATATTTCTGCCCGCCAGAATTCGTGGTTCATATATTATTCTCCCGAACTTGTACTCTGAAATTGACCGAATGTAGAGGCTCAGCTTGGTACTTGGTAATCTAGCCTTGTGGCTTAATCACATACAAGTATTTTGAGATTCCCCCTTGATAAGTACGTCTCTTTCAATAAGGGTTGTTGGTGGGAGGGGCCTCAATGGGCTTGAAAAAGCTGAGATATATCTCAGAATGGGAATCCGTCAAGACCGAGGCATGATCGGGCTCCTCTGCTGCAATCTTTTTGCCATTTTGAACCCTGGTGTTATGGAGGTGTTTTTGTTCGTGTAAGAGTGTGGCAGAATTGCTACTTGGCAGATGGCTTCACTGCGCAAGATCTGGCAGCCGTATCGGGCAAGGAAGAATCACCATTATTTGCTCAATTCCCAGCTACAGCCACATCAATGTCCTCGCCAGTCACAATGGGGCAAGCACTCTCTTCTTTGAGCCCATCAGACTTGACGTCGAAGTCTGCTCATTGAATGCCTTGCCTAACGTTTTGACCCATCGGTTTCTCAGCCTGGTCTTCTCCGCGGCAACATGTCGATATCCGCTTGCAAGCAGGAAGCTCATACCTCCGCGTCATCATCATCAAAACTGAGCGTCTTGCTCATGTATGGACCGTCGAGTGAGTATCCAAGGCGCTCATAGTAGCTTCTGACGCCAACGCCACTAATAACACTCAACTTCTCGCTGCCATGCTCGTCGCGAGCGATCCTCTCAGCTTCCTTCATTAACAGAGTTCCATACCCTTGGTGCTGGAATCTGCTCTTCTCTCGTCCATGAATAGGCACGGCAAGGCCGTAGACATGCAGTTCTCGGACGATACTGGTTGGTCGACCTGTGAGTTCTGGCCGGAAAGTGTACTCCTTTGTGCACTTCCGAAGTCTTAACATGCCAATCAAAATATCTTGCTTGGGATCCTCATAGGCTAGGAAGGTCTCCCAGCCATCGTTGGCCATATAGTCTCTGCGGACCAGTTCCACTTGCGACGGTCGGATTTTGTTCTTCACCTCGTTTATACCAACTTCTCGTGTTCGAATGTCTCGAGATGTGGTGCCAAAGTCTTTCATGCGGGAGAGGGCCAACTCCCTGAGGTTGCCATTTTCGACACCGGAGGTGACGAGGGGCATGGGAATGTCACGTTGGACTCGGTAGATCCTCGTCCAAGGCGGTACTAGAGCCAAAATTCGTGCGACCAAGTCGACCAGAGCATTGGGAGTATAGTTCTTGAATCGTCCTGTCCGCCAAAGTTCGTATAGGCCAGTACCTCGAATAACAAGTGTCGGGTAGATCTTCAGGCCATCCGTTCGGAAGTCTGGATTTTCGAAGTATTCTTCAAATTGGAAAATGTCGCGCTCCATACCAACATTAGGTAAATCGGGCATCATGTGTGAGACCACCTTGAACCCTGCGTCTTTGCAAAACTTGAATGACTCAACAACGGCTGCTACCGTGTGACCTCTGTTCGAGTCTCTTGCCACATCTTCGTACAGTGACTGCACACCCAGTTCGAGCCGAGTACAGCCATACCGAAGCATGTCAGATAGGTGGTCGATTTGGCCAAAATCCGGACGAGTCTCTATCGTCAAGCCGACGCACTTGATGCTGGACATTTCTCCAGCCGCAACCGCTTCATCGACGTTATCTGTCTGATATCCGGAGAGGGCGTTGTGCAATTGAGCAACGAAGTTGTCACGATATGCCTTGTCGAGAGACATGAACGTGCCACCCATAAGGATGAATTCAACTTTGTCAACGCTGTGTCCCAGAGATTTGAGTTGATCGATTCGTCCTCGTGCCTGCTCAAACGGGTCGTATCTGGCCCGGATGGCTCGCATAGACGTGGGTTCATATCCGGTGTAAGATTGTGTGGAGTATTCGAAGTCGGAATCTGGGCCACCAGGACAATACACGCAAGCGTGTCCTGTCCAAGCGATGTGAGGGCAGCGATGAGGTTTACTCATGACAGCAACTACCACAATACCGCTGGCACTTCGCACGGGCTTAGCAATCAGTCTCGGTAAGAGGGCCTTTTTATAGTTCTCAGGAACCGCCGCGAGGATGCCTGTCAACGGTGGCTGGGTACTGAGTCGGTGCTTTTTGGCGACGTCACCCCGTAAACGATTGAGGTTGATGTCTTTCTTCGGTTTGCTGTCATCGAAACTAGCCTCGTATTCTTGAATCAAGGCTCTGGCGATGTCGTTGCATGCCTGCATGAACCGCACATTCTCCGGTGCCAGATTTTCATGTTTTCCGGTCTTGACCTTTGTCCTGATCACCGTCTCGGTCGCCATGATGACATAGTCTTTCGGGTCGATATGGTGAGAACGAGGCGAGAGGATGTAAGTTTTCGAAGTCATAGAAATCTCGATATCACGTGGCGATTAGATAAGCTCTTGGCGTCATTCGCAACCAATTTGACGGCGTTCCCGTCATGACCTCAGACAATAACAACACCAACACCGACCGTGTTATTTCGAGCTTGCCTCCATTCAATCCAGCTGCTTAGTCCAAGGAATCAAACCTGGATCACGTTGTCTGATCTAGCAGATTGACGTCTTGATTATTGGCACAAAGCGCCGTGCGCGCCAAAGCCAGATGTGTGTCTCCGCAGTCGGTTTGGTTTTCAACCGAGCCGGGCCGGCTCTTGTGAAATCGGAGCCGCCGCAACAGACAATATGCATTATATGAGCCTCCAGACTCGCTATTGCTCTATGTAAGTATTCTGTTTGCACCTCGCTCGCGAATCGTTCTCTGCTCTTCATCGTGTCTTGTATTGCCAGCCATGACTACCAAACCCTCAAACTTGACCCTTTTCCGGGGGTGGCTTGAGAAGGGGAAATACACATGGTCGCCCTTCGTCACAAAGGTGGAATTTCGCTGTCGTCAAGCTGGACTTCCCTACACCGTCGAAGGTGGAGCCCCCAAATATGGACCAAAAGGCAAGATTCCTTATGTCGACCTCAGCCCGCTTCTGGCAGACGCCTCAGCAGGCCCATCTTTGTTTGGTGACTCGACTTTCATCATTCAACGGTTGCGAAGCATGGGCTATTTGCCAGACTTGAACGGCAATCTCGCCCCGGAGCAGCGCCTCCATGATCTTGCGGTTCGAGCTCTGTTGGAGGACAAGCTATATTTCTATCATGTCAGTACTTTTATTCACGAGACTTTTCGACAGGTACAAATACTGACATCTGGCAGACGCGCGAGAGATGGATCGATAATTTCTATGTACAGCGTGAAATGGCTTTGTCGTCTATGCCATATCCTCTCCGCGTCATGGTAGGCTACGTTATTCACCGAAGTATCACACAGACCTTGCATGGTCAGGGCGTCGGGCGGTTGAGCGACGAGGAGATTCGAGTACTCAAGACAGAAATCTGGCAGTCTTTTGACGATATGTTGAAAGAAAGATTCGGCCCAATGACGACTGAACAACCAGTGTGGTGCTTGGGTAACGCGGCGCCCACAGAGGCTGATGCCACACTCTTTGGCTTCATTGTTTCTGTGCTTGTCAGCGAAAGGTGTGCATTTTTCTCCACATTTACTGATCTGCTTACTCAAGTCGTGATTGCAGCGCACCGGACTCAAAGAAGCTTGTCAAGAGCTTCCCTCACGTCATTGAGTATGCAGACAGGATTCATGACCGCTACTTTCCCGATTATGAGAAATGGACGTGACGACCAGACCCGGTAGCAAGGTCTACTTCTCGGCAGCGTTCCTCATGACGGTCTCAGCACCCTGAGTCGCTCCCTGTTCCAATGGCGCTGCAACATCGGATGAAGGATCGATTGGAAACGTCCTGTGCAAGAGTCAGATGGGTGTATCAAGAGGAGACAGTCTGACTACCTTGGTAACGACACTGCCATCGCCAAGGGTGCTGCCTTTCCCAAACGTTATGCCAGGTAGCACGATAACATTTCCACCAAGCCAACAGTCGTCGCCGATAGTGATCGGCTTACCCAGCTCAGGACCTTCAGTGCCATTCCTCACGGCCAGATGGAGCGGGTGGCTGGCGGAGTGGAAGCTGCAATTCGGCCCTACGAGCGTCCTCGCGCCAATACCATCGGACAGGTATCGACGAAGGCGGAATTGACGTTGAGCTGCGATCCTTCACCAACGATGATATTGAAGCCGTACTCAGCTTGAATGGGTGCGCCTATCAACGGCTCCTTGACAGAATCTGGTCGTCGGCTTCAGGAGTGGACTGGACAGGTGGAAGGGGCCGCGTATCGTTGGTTATACTGTGTATGTATTGTCAAGAATATGTACAAGAGTAGCCGTGGGCTTCATACGCTCTCCATAATTCCACCTGGCGTCGACGAGTCAGGTCAGTAGAGGCGTTGAATCGGTTGGTGGCCTCTTTGCACAGATCTCGTGCAGCGATGAGTTCGGGAATGAAGGCGTGGTAGAGCTCGCCTCGTTGGGCTTTCTCCCATTCTGGATTCGTGATCATTCTGATTCTTAGTGTCAGAAGTTGCAGAACGAAAGAAAGGTGGCCTTGCTACCTCTGCCATACCACTACGTACTTCAGGTATCCACAAGGCAGCCAGAGGATTCAGCATCGTAGACCTAAGTATAGTTCGGATCGGGGAAACTTTGTTGCACAAGCCACGGTCCGTGAACAGGCGTCACGTCGCGGGAGAGTTGACGTGTGGAAGTTCACCTTAATATTGTTCTTCAAGTTATGCATCTCGCCTTGCCATCTCCTTGATTCACTCATTTTTTCTTTCAGGTAGCGAAAAGCATTATGCGTTTGTCGACCGTTGGATCTCGCTCCAAGCTCTGCATACTAGCTTCCTAATCTTGAGATCACAGAGGGAAAATGTCCGATTCCTCTGATTCAGGATCTCCAGGCATCGTTCACGAATTCCCACGCGATCGAATTGAACTTCACCAGCAAAATGGCGCGGCGGCATATCCGCCAACCTCGTACATACCCCCAGCTTACTTGCCTGGAGGGCGACGATCTCTCTCAGGCATCTCTATCCGGGCGTTTGCACTAGGAATCGCAGTGGGATCTTGCCTACTCCTAACGATAGAATTGCTCTATTGGGGCTACGGTCTATGGAGGGCGCCATGTTTCGTAGCCATCCTCGCACTGTTTCACTATCTGGAATTCGATATGACAGCCAGGTACAACCCTCCTGACGCTTCGATCTCGTCCTATCTGTTGCTGTCCAATGGAATGGCCTATGCAGCGGCTCATACGGCTGCGATGCTGGAACTGCTTACCCGACACTGGCTTCAGTCGGACTACAAGCCCCAATGGCTGACTCTCCCTTTCCATGCGCCCTCCGTCTTTCCAACAATACCGGCTACCCTGACCGTTGGTATTGGTTTGGCATCGGTGGTAGTCGGTCAGCTTGTTAGAAGTGCTGCCATGCGAGAAGCAAAGACCAGCTTCAACCACATCGTGCAGTGGACCAAGCGGGCAGACCATGTCCTGGTGACAGACGGTGTCTACAGCTTTTCTCGACATCCCGCCTACTTTGGCTTTTTCTGGTGGGGACTCGGGACGCAGGTACTGCTTGGGAACTGCACTTGCTTTGTTGCATATGCAGTTGTGCTGTGGAAATTCTTCAGTACCCGAATCAGGCGTGAGTGACCACGCCGTGCTTTTTGGAAATGGTCATTGCTGATATACAGATCCAGATGAAGAGCGTCACCTTGTCTCTTTCTTTGGCCAAAGTTATCTGGATTATCGCGAGCGCGTTCCTGTTCGGATCCCCTTCATTCCGTGAAGGATGTTGGAACATTGCAACCATGCTCAACCTTCGTCTGTCCTCTTCCTCTTCTGTGCCGGAGCCGTTGAGTCCGGCTTCGCTTTGGCGGTTGTCTCGACTGTTTCGATATTCACTGGGAGATATGGAGTGCTTGCAGCGTGTTCCAACCAAGGCACCTCAGCAGCCTCAATATTCTCCGTCACGAACTGCACCAGAGTCTCAAACTCTTGAGCGTTCTGTTCCAGACCAAGCACCCCGAGTCGTGGTTGGTTCAACGCTTGTGCTAGCTTCGCTTCAGACTGCTTAGACAATTCTACCAAACGGGCACGTGTGGTTTTGGGAGAGGAGGTTGCTAGCAGCAACGGTATCGTGGAGGTCATAATGTCGGGCAGGGTTTGTCGGCACGCAAATACGACTGAAAGTTTTGGGCCCGGGTGTGGTGGCTCTTCATTGCCTGTTTCCTGGGATAGTATGGCAGGCTTGCGGCTTTGAGCCAAAGACTCTAGCCTTCGCACTGTGCTGTTGAATCCTATGGTGAGGTGGTCGTAGATCTCGGGCATCCACTCTGGCATCGCCTCAGTGTGTATGATCTTCTTCGGCTTTCCAGCTCTTCCTTTGCCTTTTGACCGTGCAACATGCTCGCGTCTGAAATTGCCAATCGGTTGTAGGAGAGGTAATAGAAGGGCGAGGATGGCCTGTTCGTGGCCTGCAGATACATGCGGCCTGTTGGAAAATTAGTGTATGGTTCCGCGGGCGCCCACCTTGTAATAGCATGTGCAGAGAATTCGTGGGCAATAGTGTACCATTGATTGTCTGGATATGGCAGGGACAAAGCATGGATGGTTTTCTTTTGTTTGTCCATGTCGCATTTGTGGCCGTACGTGTAGAAGTAGTACACGATGGTAGAATCACTGCAGCGTGCCGATCATACAATTTGTGTAAGAAATGACGCTGGTGACGTGGATGGAAACGACGAGTAGCGGGTGCAGTAGCAATGGCTAGCTTATAGACATGGCGCCCCTCATTCGCGCGCCGCGACGCGTAGGAGTCAAGGGAACGGAAGGGTCTTTACCTAGGGAGGCTAGAAAGGCAAAGGTGACGGCCGACTTGAACTTTTTGCCCCATTCCGAACCATCCAAGTTACGGTTACCGTTGAACTGCAGCCTGGTCAAAACAATCAGACCTCACCACATACTCGCATTTCCTTAATCCATCCTCAACAGGTCCAGATCTGATCTCGCATCCAGCAAACTATCAACAGGATTATCCCAGTCTGCTACAAATTGCCCCTCGTCCGGCTGATTCACATTTGGTACCCGGAGCAAACAATTCACTTCCTGCCCCGCCTTTCAACCTATTCTCCCTTTGTCTCATACTACTAGTACTCTATCTAGACACCAGAGAAATGGCGCAGGCGGACATCTCTCCATCATTCACCTTTCGACTACGCAGCCACTGAGTCTCCAGCGCTGTATTGGCTGCCTCAAAAAAAGCAAATTCGGACCTCTCAGTCAGCCATCGCCCTGTTTGCCTGGTTCCTGGACGGTGGCCTTCTACAGCCGCGCCAAGACCTGTGACTGCCTGTACTATTCAACTTCCTGCTTCACTCACTCACCATTCAGTCTGAGTAACGTTCACCGCCTCTGATCCTTAGTTTGCGGTCTTACCGCGACTATCAGCGATCTCCAGATGCAATTTTTCTAATATGCCGTCCTCACTATCCGACCCTTCCACCCGCAATCGAAGCGACTCCAATGAAGGTTCTGAGTTGCCTGAGCACGAGCATAAGCGTCCAAGGCTGAGCGAGACTAAGCCTGATGGAACTCAGGTCATGTCCGATCTCCAGCAAACAGATGCCCTCTCCGCACCTTCCGTGGCAGCTATCGATGCAAACAACGGTAATGAGGAAACAAGTACACTTCAGACTCCACCACTGCCTCCTCGGTTCCTAAACTCCGCTGCCGTCATGTCGCCGACAAGCAAGGTCACGATTAACACTCGTCCGCTGTCTTCTCAGTCTGTTACACAGCCAATCACAGATGTTGGACAAAATGACAAGTCGTCCAATGCTGCTGCTGGCCATGGTCTGAGTGTATCTGGGGATGGAGCTCAAGATTCTAGACCGACATCACGTCCCGAGCCTCAACAAGCAGAAATTCCAGAAACCATATCCATCTCGTCCTCACCCAGCAAGAGCCCTGAGATCGAGATCGCAGAAATCGAAGACTATGACCAAGACCCTTCAGAGACAAGATGGACGGGCCGAGTCGGCGGGTTTGTGCGACCCTCACAAGTCAAGCTAATTCCATCTCACTATGTCCACCGCACATTTCCCTACGCGCAGGAACTGGTTGCAGGCGATTCCCGTCGCGCTCTTGCTCACATCGGTGATAAATTTCAACATACTGGTGCTCAGGACGGCGACAACTTTCGACAGGTCAAAAACTGGATGATGGAATTTGTGACAATCTGCCACGAGTTTCCATCGAGGCTCATTGAAGAAGATCGAGAATTCTGGCTTCGCCTTCCCGAGCTCGTGGAAGCCCTGCTGAGGAGAGACTCAGGTCCACCCGCCCAAGCACGAATGGAGGATCTTATCGACTTCTTTGTCACTTATGCTCGGATTGCGAAGATGCTGATGGATTATGATGTGCGGAACCTACAAATTCTCTCGTCTGAAGCCGACGCACGCAGCATGAAGAATTTCACCTTCATGTCTCAACCATATCTTCAACCGCTGGTATGGCTGCTCCAACCAACTGGAATCCCTTTCTACGATGCCCTTAGCCGGACAACCAACTTTGAGGTATCGGGGTTTCTTTCGCTGCTCATTGACAGATTGGGAAATCGTCGCACCGTGGCCTTGCTTCCGTCAATGTCGGCATTGTCCTGCGAGATATTCCCCTTGCTTTCCAGGAGAAGCGAACTCTTCAGATTGCTCAGTCAATTGATGCAGATCACCTCCTCAGTGATAGCACCGCTTGGGCCTCCGGCTAATGGCGAGGACTTATTCCACACTACGGCCTTCACACAGCTTGATGCCATTCGTGAAGACGCTGCAGACCTTATACTCAAGGTGGACAGTGCTGTACAGCAAGCAATCGTCAAGCAAGCTCCCTGGCTGAATCTTGAGACTGCTGGCAAGGTCATTGAGAGTCTGGGTCGACTGGTGGCGAAAATCGCTGTCGAGATCCCAAAGATCGGACAAGACATCATTGCCTCGGCTGGAGTAGGCTTTCTCGACGCCGATCTTACAGACCTCCCGAGCACCATGCCTCAAGCTTGGAAGTTCAAAACACTTCGAAAGTTTGTCATGAACGGACGGATGGAGTTGCGAGTATATGGTGTCGATGCCATGTCCACTGATCTTGTTCAAGTGTACCGCGAGCGCATCGACACCAAACCACCGCCGCACACAGCCGACCCTCTGGTACGGTTTCTGGTCAAGTTCATCAGAGAGAACCAACTTATTCGCTACCTTGTTGGTGTGGATTCTCACCCTCAAATCATTCGCCGAAGTCACAACGTGGTCGGGTTTCTATGTGTTTCCGGCACATACACAGAAGCTGACACGGACGATATCTGGCAAACTATCTCAAGCAGTCAAGACCCGAGAACGGTTCATGAGGTCTTCAACCTTATGTCGAACGTGAATGTCTATGACCTGGATGCACGTCATTATATCTGTCGGAAGCTTTCAGAGTATCCATTCGCCCGATTCGATGCCCATGTCTTACAATTCACGGTCAACCTCCTAGATAATATCAGGAATCAGATCGGTGTTTCGCTCCGAGAAGCAACTGACCCTATCACGCGTCGATTGTGTATCCGACTGTTACGAGAGGCATCAAGGAAAGAAAATGTAAGACTCGAACAAGCAACTCTCATTCGACGAGATCTACCCCGGCAACTCAGCCATGCCCTCTCGCTGGGCCTTGGCGAGCCTAGCTCGATCACTATTGACGACGAGGAGCTGAGTCAAATCATCAGTGAAGCTGCGGAGAACCTCAAATCTCACAGCGAGGATGCTACAGGCGATCTTATCGTTCTGCGTTGTGTGCTGCATGTTTTAGGCAGGGAGAAAGTGCCGGAACTCGTTGAAAAGTTCGACCTGACAGGTTTACTTGTGGCTGACTTCACCCACCTGCGGGACGAGTTCGACCTTTCCATGCAGAAAAACGAGTCGTTTTCATACTTTGAAGTTGCTTATGAAGTGCGATCCTGGCTCCTCAATTTCTTCATCGTGTTCCTGCCAGGGACATTCTCAGACGAGCTGGTGGAATCATTGTGGACTTCCTACTTCACCTCTCGACAGCTCCCTCCTTCGATTCGAGCCGGAGCATGGGACTCTCTAACGCACGCCTTAAAACTCAAGCATGCAAGGGATGGGAACCTTGTCGTGGACTCAATCATCGACAACTACTTGCAACGACTTGGTTCCCAGGACTATAACGAGAGGTTGTTGGAGTTTCTGAAGACATCTGTGGCTTACACCATCGCGCGCTCTTCAGACGCTCCTGTAGACTCGAATAATGTCGTTGTCCTACCAGGAATCGACAGAATCTGGCGAGTCATGTTGGAGGCCCCGCCCAATACTGTTGAAAACCAGGCAACGGATTTCATCATCGGACAATACTTGGATCATCAATTGATTACCAGCCGGTCGAAGGCTGTGGTAGATGCGACGCACTCCTGTCTCGTCGACCGTTGTGTGCAACAGGTGATCGCTTCTGCGTCGAAGCTGAAGTCATACAGCGACGGTACGATGAGTGGTGAAGATGAGCCTATGGTAATCATCGCATCTGACCAAGAGATACGTGCTGAAGAACTTCGCTTCGACCGATCACTCCTGTTTCTCAGGAAATTCCTCGAGGGAATGAAGGCACGGCCACGATACAGTCCTACTCCGGCACAACAAGCACAAGACTTGCCGGACTTCGCCAACAAGTTGGGTGATCCCATCGAAGTCAGTCTTCAGGTCTTTGGTAGCAAATACGTGACCTCAGACTTGCAGAAAGTCTCCATTGGTGCTGACAACACTGGGGATGAGCTGTGGAGGTACATTTCTGATGCTAGTGGCTTCACTCAATTTACGGTATACCATCTTGGTCGAGAGGCCGAGCTTGCCGGACAAACCGCCACACTGGTGGAACTGAAGGTCTCTTCAGGCCTTCTGATGATTCGGAAAACTGCCGACTCGCGAGAGAGTGTGCCCACGAATGCAGCGTGTGCTGCGACAACAGTGGACAACAAGATCATGCATCGTTTCGATGAGCTTTACGACCTTCTAGATGCTGATGAGCGTCTCTCGAGGGAAGTTTATGGTTTCTTGAGCCTCTTTCCGGCCCAGGTCGAACTCGTCCGTCTTGTCCGGTCAATGCAGGAATCGCCCATGGACTTGCTGGCTCCGAACAAGCCATACAAGTTGTTGTACTGTGCAAGAGCCCTTAGATCTTGTATTGAGGATGAGTCTTTCAGCGCCAGTCCCGATACGCAGTTCTTGGTCTACGGCATCCGAACAATCGTGACTATTTTACCGAGTCTGGACCTATCAAACCCCAACGATCCACTGCAGATGGCCATTGCTTGTAGTTTGATCGAAGCACTCCTCCTTGGATTCCGAGCAAAAGTACCATCGGAGACTTCACGCGAATTTATTGAGGATCATCAGGAGTTTTCGACTCAGACATTGCGACTTGTTCTCTTCACTCTCGGAAGCAAGCGCGACACCACGAACGAGGTTAGTGCAGCAGCAATGATCAAGTTGATCTTGGAAGCTTTCATAGAGGCTTGCCTGCATGATGACCGCGTCTGGGACCATGTTGATGAAAACAAGAACTTTACAGAACTGATTGTCCTTGCATTCATCATAGATGGTCGTATGGACGTGCGACGCTCGCTTCTTGAAGTTGTTGTTGGTTTGACAGGGGCGATTGGCACAAAGTTGCATCTCAAAATCAACAATCCGCGGGCTCCCCGGTCTCGATTTTCTGGTGAAGCTGTGGAAGCCTGTTTGTCACATCTTTGGACAGCGTTGGTGAAAGTCCTACCTCTCGCTTGTCAGCAATTCGAACAATGCAGTGAAGTTTGCGAAACTTTGCTTGCCATCATGAGGAGAGTGGGCAAATCATTCTCCGTCGAGTCTCTGCGCCAATATCTTCAGGAGTGGGGCACCATTCTCCTGCAACATGAGCATGTTGAAGTCGTCGGTCAACCGCCAAAGGATCATGTCGTCGCCTGTCTTACGAAGCTCTTGCTGGAATGCACCAGATGGCTGCGAAACAACAATGCTCTCCCTCCCAGTTATCGTCTCATTGATCACATCATCTCTCGTTTCTTATTCCCTCCTTTATCGCAAAGTGGAGAGGTCACGGAGGAGAATATGGTACTGCCCGTTTTGGATGGCACTGTGCGCGAAAGCCTTTACAACCTCGTGCTTGCACTGAGCCAAGGACCACAGGACATGGCCACCATTGTGACGAAGCTCAATGACGATTTGCTGCCTAGAGACTTCTTCGAGCCGATGTATACACACGAACGTCAAAGCCTCCGTTCAGAGGTTGGCTATGCAGGTCTACGCAATCTCTCCAATACGTGCTACCTCAACTCACTGTTCACGCATCTCTTTATGAATGTAGAGTTTCGTGCGTTCTTCTTGGACCCCGCGAACCTGGATGACTCGAATCAGAAATTGGTGCTCGAGCTTGCGAAAGTCTTTGCACACATGCAAAACTCATATGAGAAGTCCATCGACCCTTCTTTGGCGGTCGAAGCGATAACGACCTACGAAGGCGAGCAGATTGATGTCTCGGTGCAGATGGATGTTGATGAATTCTTCAACTTATTGTTCGACCGGTTGGAAGGACAAATTCCACCTGGGGTAAGAAACTCGTTCAAATCCATCTACGGCGGTCAATTGGTACAGCAAGTCAAATCTAAAGAATGTGAGCACATCTCCGAGAGACTGGAGCCGTTTTCAGCGGTGCAGGTGGAGATCAAGGGAAAACTCCGACTCGAAGACAGCCTCCGTGCATACGTTGAAGGAGAAGTGCTTCAAGGGGAGAACAAATACTCCTGCACGTCTTGTGGACGTCATGTCGATGCTGTAAAACGCGCATGTCTCAAAGAAGTCCCCAACAACATCATTTTCAACCTCAAACGCTTTGATTACGACATTATGACTGGGATGCGGGCGAAGATCAATGATGAGTTTCAGTTTCCCGACACTCTTGACATGGCACCATATACACTTGCGAGACTGAGTGACGAGTCAGAATCTGGAGAACCAGATTACTTCCAGCTGACCGGTGTTATCGTCCATTCTGGTACAGCTGACTCCGGACATTACTATTCTTTCATTCGCCAACGACCATCAATGAAATCGGTGCAAGAATCCTGGGTGCAATTCAACGATCAGGATGTGACCGTCTTTGATCCAAGCCAGATGCGGGACAATTGTTTCGGAGGAAGTTCTGACGCAGGTTTCTATCACCTGCCTAAATTCTACAGTGCATACATGCTCTTCTACCAAAGATCGTCGAGTATCCGGAAGATCGAAGAGCAATACCGACAACAGGACGCTGTCAATCCTATCCGCCTACCGCTTCCGTTCCGCATGGAGCAGTACATCGCTCAGCAAAACGAGCTTTTCTTGCGATCCTATTGTGCCCAGGACAGCTTCCACGCACACTTCATCCGCCAGTTGCTCGAGCGCTTGACGCAGGGAGCTGAAAATTGCAACGAGGATCACATTCTTGAATCTAGCACGATCGAGATGGTTCTGGAGTATGTGCGTCAGATCTCTTCTCGGTGGAAAGAACTACCTGCGGTCGAAGACACTGTCAAACTGCTTGCGCAATACTCGGAGAAATGTGTGGAGTGTGCCAAAGTCATTGCGAACTGGTTCACCCTGCCACGCGTTCTCGAAGATGTCCTTGTCCGGAGTCCTTACCAAGTGGTGAGAAAGTCCTTTGCCTACTTGTTCTCGGTAGTCTTTACGCAGCTACACATGGTTAAATCCTCCATGAACGCAGAAGACGATGAATATCTGCAGTTGATGAACGATTACAGTCGCTGCCTTCGAGAGGCTGTGCTTCAGCTGGCCAAGTTGTGGGACATGGTCACAAAGAGTGGCCGATGTTGGACCGAATACTTCGGCGTGCTGAACAACATTCAAGCTCTTGGGGACGATGAGGTGACTTTTTTGCTGGACGAAGAATATCTCGAAAAGTGCATCGACATTGTTATGATCCACTTGAACAACACCGACTTTCCGCCCCCAAGGAGATTGAAGGTACGGTACGGTGCCTACTTGAATGCGAGGGAGAAAAATCGACCTTTCAACCATGGCGCTCTGATGGGGTTCCTGGTCAGTCTGATCTTGCGAGTCGATCTCCACCACATCCCAGATGGAGACTACCGCCTCTCTGACAAAAAGATTGGCTTGACTTTGAGTGAGCTTGATGTTCTTGGTCTATCAAAATTACCGGCAAACTTGGAGTGGATTCGACGCCTGATTGCTGGACGTCACAATGAGTCGGCAGTTGTCGAACTTGTCACCTACTTTGCCAATGACCGAAAACTAGCCGGGCCGCTAGGAGATATACTCTTGAAAGGTCTGAACGATAGGATGATCAACATTGCCACCAGCTTCCTCGGTCCTGCATTGGTCTTTAGCGCCAATTGTCGGTCGGAAAACCAGATAGTTGACCTCGTTCAAGCTGCGCTCGACAGCATTCAGACAGTGGGCGTTGAGTACGGGCGCGAATATTTCGAGTTTGTTGATGCAATGCTGAAGCTGGAAAATCCGTTCATTGGTGCCGAGGCCGGTTTTCTGCAAGAGCATGTCCTGTCGACCTTGCCTCGTTGGGCACCTACATTCATTCTGGCGCCTGTTGATGCTCAAACCAACATACGGCCAGCGACGGTGGACCTGTTGAGGAGACTCTTGTTCAATCCCCTTCAAAGAGCTGAAACTGCAGATCCCCAGTTATACCGACAGTTGCGAGCAATTGTTCAGGAACTTGCGACCGACGCACAAGAGTATGCAAAATCGAACTTTCTGCGCAGAGGCAATTCCAAGTTCCAGCCTGGGCAAGTCAATCAATTTATTGATGTAGTAGAGGCTTGTGTGGACTTCTTCGACACCGACGATCATCTGGAGGCAGAAAAGGTTCGCACCATCCGAAACACGATGTCTGCACTACGAACAAAAGCGGAGGCTGCGGTTGAGACATTGAGCCCCGACTGGCAGGAAAACAGTAGTGAGTTGGCCGAGCTCAGCACGGAGGATTATGATGAACTCAGTCCGTAGTAAGTCCCACAGGAGAGCGCGGTTTGGCGTTGAGGTGAGGAATCACTATTAATGAATGAACACCATAATGTGGAAGGTGTTGGGATTGGTTGCCCAAGTCAGAATCAGGCAATGGGCAGGGAAGAAAGGCGTTTTCAGGATTCACGAAGCAGCAGGAGCTGCACTTACGGAGACACGAAGGCATGATTACATGAACGACTATTGCGAGTCAGCGGAAGGAACACAGATGGTGAGGAAGAATAGCGTCCATCATCTGCCTCAGATTCAAGGGCAGCTTAGCTATCGTCAACGGAGGAATCTGACGATGCAAGAGTGCATGTGTTCTTCCTCAGGAAAGCTTCGGCACGAACCTACTTTGATGACAACTGCACCTGGCATCTATGTTCATTTTCCGTTGCTCCCTCGTTAATACCTCTCGCTCCCCTTCCCACGTGAATTCGAATGGCCATGGCCGAGCGCTCCCTGTTCAGTGTCGCGTACTGTTCCATGCTTTCCAGGATCGTCTTTGGACCACAGAGCCTTGATCGTATATGTCGAGGACACTGACTCACGGACAAATGAGAGCTGAGATTCCACAAGGCGTCCGTGTGGAAACCCCCGAAAGTACTAAGATTACTTGCCTGGCCCCCAATAACTACAGTATCCTGTCTTAGGCGTTCCTGGTGCTCTTATCATCGACTGGCGGACCACCACGGCCACTTCGAAAATAAAATCTTTGCTGCGTCTTTGACGGGCATCAAAACTCAAGTCCAGTCCAGTCCAGCCCAGCTGAAAACATGGACCTGCAGGCCACGCGTGCAGGCGCTGGATGCCTAACCCCCGGTGTGACGCTATTCTGCATGTCTTTCATCAACCGAGGCCATACAACAACTCATCTTCTACAGCAGTAAGCAAGCCTCTCAGCCCTATTGCCGGTACAACTAGCCATGATGGCTAAGGGCCCAGAAGGCGCAGCAACCCTTGACATTTTCCTTCAGCTCGGATGCCAATCACTGCTCATCAGTGCAGAATGGCCAGGATGCTGAACACGAGTACTGCACATAACTTCAAGACCAAAGGTTTGGATGAGGTGAGGCGCCCAGGACCTTTTCTGCATATCCACGAGCTGTTGTGCTCAACGCTCGTATCAGTTTCTACTTCCGATGCAGACCAGACGTTGGTGAAATAGTGGGCGTTCTGATAAAGCCTCTGATCTAAACCCAGGCTTCACGCTTCAATCCTGCATTTGCAGTGTACTTAACAGCTTGTGAAAGCTTACTCGAGGAAGTCGCTATTACACTCAAGCATACAACGTACAGTCTCACACCAAGATGGCTTTCAATACGCTCGCCAAAGCCCTTGCGGCATCTTTGTTCTTGTCAGCAACTGTCCTGGCCAGCGATGTCGCCAACTCGTCGCAGAATGTCGTCCCCAACACTATGGACCACGAGAGCATCGACCCGTCGCAAGTAGCGCACTACAAGAGTCTGTTCGATGAGCTGGCGCAGGCCCCAATGACCACGCCAGCCACGCAGGTCGATCCAGCAGTCTTGGACACTTACTTCAAATGGACCGATGTCGTCGACGTTTCAGACAGCACCGAGACGTGCTCTCAGGCATGCTTTGCCTGCGCAGCAGGGTGCAGCCCAGCCTGCTGTGTTGGCCGAGGCAGACCGGAACCACTGATCCCACCGATTCCATCGGATCCAGATTCGGGTACAGGTACGAACAGTGGTCGGAGCGGTGGTATCCTCCCTTCTCCTCTGGCGTGTCCCTGCACCTGTGGCGTCGGTTGCCCTGTGGCCATCCAGGACGTTTGCTGTGTGGGAGGTGGATCGAAGGACGCCGCTGCCGCCGACCAGCAAAAACCGCTAGGAGGTGGCGCGACAGCTCACGAGGACATTGGGGGTAAACCGCAGGCTTGCCCGTGTACCTGTGGCGTCGGCTGTCCTGTGTACATCCAGGACGTATGCTGCGTCGGTGGTGGCTCGAAGGCGGAAGAGAAAGAAGGTCCAAGTCATGGTCTCGTCATGCAGACCACCTCAGGAGATCCCGTGTCGGTGCTCGCGGCAGTCAATCTGACGGTCGAACAGAGTTTCATCACGCTAGATCTTGTGAGAGGTCTGGAGAGAACCGGCGAGATCGAGTATGTCAAGAAGGTCGGTGCTCACGGGCATTTTGAGGTTGTGCTGGACGTGGTTGCGGGTGAGAAGACTGTCAAGCAGGCTTTCCAGGTCATTGATGGGGCGAAGTTGTGGGAACGTGAACAGGTTCTGCTAGGACTGTTGTTCGTGGCGAGGTTCGAAGGGCTGAGTGTGAAGGAGGATGTGCATAAGGAAGTGGCGGGACTGTCCGTCTTGACGGGGACGAGGAATGAGTGATAGAAGACGAACATTGGCGGTGGAATCATGTGAATTGAGTGTCAACAGTGTAGGAGAAGGGGAAGACAAAGCAATAACATCGATCAACGTTAGTCCGAGCAGGACCTGGGCCCATAGGCCACCGTAAACCTATCTAGCCAACTGTCCTTCTGGAATACAATAGTTTGTCATGGCGTAAAGCTAGGAACTTTTCTTCTCATCTCTCATATCGAGGCATATAAAACTACAGTACAATCCACACACCTTGTCCAGCAAGGTCCCAGCCTCCTAGATCCCACAAGCCTTGCAAATGTCCACATGTGCACGTGGAATACAGCTTCTCACACCAAACTCTTCAGTACAAACCCATTCGCAGGCTCACCCTCAACAGCAACCCTGCTCGTCTCACTTCTGATCTTGTACTCATCGAATACGCGATGTCCGGCAGCGTCAACCTCGGTCGCCGTATTCTCTGTCACCACATCCCGGAACGCCTGTAGTCCCAGCGCGGACAGACTAAATCGAAACGCCACATCACGGACATCGACCTCGTCGAGAGCGCGGTAGGCCAGCACTGCACTCACGAGGCCAAACACGATATAAGCGAGGCACCCTGCCACCAAGATGGCGAGTGGCGCTTTCGGCACCTTGGCCACGAGTAACGGTGTGCGCACTTGTTCCTGCAAATTCATCCTGCTAGACAGAAACGGACCGATCACGCTCATGACGCGTATGGAGTAGAAATTGGCAAAGTCATCGGCCATGGATTGCGGGTCAGACTGCAGAGCGGACTGGAGGAGGTCGTCTGACAAGTCATTGTCGAACGCGGCGTAGCTGCCCGCTATATTGAACCCGTGAAAAATCTCGGCAAGAGTGCCATTTGGAGATGGAGTAAGTGAAGTGATGCGGGCGGTGGAATTGACCCATACGTAGTCAGCTTCGTAGGTCGCATATTGGCAGCGAAGGACAAAATCGAGGTTCTGTGTCGGACCTTGGTGAACGCCCGGATCGCCGGACATGTTGACGCCTGCTCGTTGAGCGCTCGAAATGACACGGGCGGCGACGCCGAGGTAGACGGGATTGATGAGCTGCGAGTCTTCGAGGACAGGACCGTTGACACCGGTACTGTCGTATGGGGTCTCGAGGTCTTGGTCCATGAAGAATGAGTATTGAAGGGCTGAGCCCGGTTTGAAGCCTAGTGGAGGCACATTGGAGTCGTCAAGCGCAACGCCTGTGTCGGTGAGGTTGGGTGCCATGCCGAGAACGCCGTAGAAGTTACCACTGCAGTTGAATTGGCTGTAGAGGTCTTCCGGGCCCCAAGTTTTCCACTGACACTCGGCGCTAATGGGCGTGCAGGTCGTGACGACTGCTGCGGTCGTGGCGCGGTAGTCCTGGTACGGAGAGACCTTGGCTGTTTGGGGAAGAAGAATTACGGCCATGCCATGTTCGCTTGTTGGAGGCTGGTTTGGTGCTAAAACGAGACTGACTTCGGAGATGTTGGATAGGTCATGCTCGAGAAAAGTGATTTCGTTTTGTCCCTGGTTGAAGGCGTAGTAATTTGACGCAGCCAGATCTGAGTTGCGTGAGCACGGGAGGCCGAAGTTCTCGGTGCGATTTAGGATGAGGCATTCTTCGGAGAGACCACGGCCGTAGGTGTGCATCTCCGAGACTGTTGAGACTTGGTCAAAGTTGATAGTGCTGGTTGTGTAATGCAGAGCCGTGTCGGCACCGAAAATGACCACGGCCAAAACTAGGGTCACTGTCATTGTGCGTGCAGCTCGACGTAGGACTGGTGGAATGACAATTCCATCGGTTCTTGAGTAGGAGAAATATCTTTTCAGTCTGCCTACTTCCGCTAAGCAGAGGCCAATAAGTAGGCTGTACTGGTAGGGAGTCGGTAGATCACGTTGTTCGGTACCCGACGAGGCGTGGAACATTGCTAGAGCACTTTGGAAGCTGGACAGATTCATGACAAAAGTTGCTAACAGTGGAGCAAGTGTTGATGCCCACGAGGCCACGAACGCGATCCTCGTCGCCGAAAAATGGACCAGCACAACAGCATAGTTACTCAGCGCATCAGAGTTGGATACTGCGGCGAACAAGCTGTCCTCTGATCTGACTCGGTAACCAAAGATCAATCCCAGTAGGCCGGCGACCAGAGCAGCCATCGGGAAGACAACGATGGCTGTGGGAAGAGCAATCGTCTTCCATAGTGTCATCCGAGGACACCTCGAGGCATGTCTGTCCATGGGAGTCGAATAGTACTTCTCCGTCGAAGGCCAGTCTCTCGATTGAGGGGACGATGAATCGTCGAGACTCGACACTTGAGCACCCTTGGATGTGTCGTAGGTGAACGTCGCCTGGGACCAGTCGCCATCTGAGGGTGTCTGAAGCTGACTGATATTGTCTTGGGAAGGAACATGAATGGGGACGCCATGTGCCATTTTCCCATGCCAGCGATCGGAAGGAGTCTGAGGCATACTGCTACTGCTAGATTGAGGGGACGAGGGATACCAGAATGGTTTGCCAGAGGGAGACATTGTTGTCTTGTCTGAGGACGCTGAAAAGACTGGAAGGATGTGTTCGCAATTACATTATCTAGGTACACGGCTCGCTTCATCCCATGGCTCGGCCGCTAGCTATGCAGGCAGCAAGCACATGTAAGGCGAGACCGTGAGTAGACGGATGTAGTTAGTAAAGCATGGTGGAGAAGCGATGGTTTTGCAGAACGCCATGATCGCGAGAGTTGCTGGTTGCCTTATTGCCACCTGAGAACGAATCGAAGAGGCTGGACAGTGGTCGAAATGCTGCAGATATGATTTACAGAGACTCACTCTGGACAATAATTGGTACGGGGCCTCGAAAATTCAGCTCAGCCGCAGGGGTAGGAGATCGGGAATGATTATCAAAAAGAAAAGATAGGAGAATATGCAAGTGACAGACTCGTCTCGTGTTTTGGACCTTGCGTTGAACCAGGTCGTCGGAATGGTGCAGGAGGGAATGAAGGCTAGAGAAGCAGTGCTGACATGCTGTATGTGCGGCTGGTTCTTTTGCTGTTTGTTAGCTTACGGCCCCCCACGGTGACACCGTCATGACACAGCTCCTCCAGGTATGCTCCATGATCCCGCCAAGAGAACAGACGGCTCGACCGTCTCATGTCGTCGGTGCCGTGGCACTACAGTGTCCCGCGTATCTGCAGCTTTCCTGACAACTACTGCTCACTGCCAGCCACGTAGGTTATCCAATTGCGCCCCCAAAAGTCCGACCCAATCTGATCAGCCGTGAAACGCAGGATGATGCCGCCTCTCAGCAACCACTTCGGACACCGACCTGTAAGATCAACGCTATGCCGATGTGACGCATTTTGATTATTCAGCTCTTCCAAAAGACTTAAGAAAGAGTTCTGAACATTAGCTTTGATATGCTTGCCCATTGCCTTTCGTGATGTGACCTTTCCAAAGAAAGTCCCAGATATGAGAAACAGAGTATGGCTTGCGTCCAGCATGGTTGAGATGCAGCTTTTGCATCTGCCCGACACTTGCAAACCATGCATACTGTGAGAGCATCGTATCTTTAGGGTGCTGGACCTTTGCTCTCATCGAACTCCTTGATCTCGCCAATCACGCTCTGCAACATGTCGGGAACGATGACTGCTGCATCTCCTTCGAAAAACCAGTCCTGCTTGGTCATTTCTCTGGCATCGCTGCGATCCATGTTGATGACTGCGACTCGTGCTCCTTTAGCGCGTGCCATGTTGATGTATCCTGCCGCCGGATAGACCTTTGCGCTTGTGCCGATCACCAGCATCAAGTCGATCTTCTCAGGCGACTCGAAATATTCCTCCACGTCCTGCATGACATCTTCCGGTAGTGCTTCGCCAAACCACACAACTCCTGGTCGAAGCAAGTTCTTCTTGCATTGCGGGCATTGTGGCAGATCTTCTCGTTTCAGTGCAGGTAGCTTGACATTGATATCCGAAGTGTCAGCTCCCCGAAGGAGTTTGTGCTTCTTCTGCTCCACAGCCGCTTTGAGTTGTGAGTCAGGAGCGGTATTTCCATACTCTGGAAGTGCCAAACCAGGAACAATAGGGTCGGCGAAGTCATTCTTCCGGTAGTAACCACAACTGTGCTCATCCCAGCACTTGACATCGAAGAGATTGCCGTGCAATAGTTTTAGTTGCTCAGCAGGATGACCGGCACGCGGACCTAATCCATCGACGTTCTGCGATAGTGTGACGAAGTTTGGATTTCGACGGGCCAACTCTGCCAACGCAAGGTGGGCTCGGTTTGGTTTGGCATTGAGAGCCATGTGGCGTCTGTAAGAATAGAATTGCCATGATAGAACGGGATCGGCCTGAAATGCTTCGGGCGTGGCAAGCATTGTGGCCTCATAGGTCCTCCATAGTCCACCAGCACCACGAAACGTCGGCAGACCACTGGAAGCCGAGAGACCAGCTCCTAGCAAAGCAACGATACGCTTGGAGGAGTGCAGATGTTGCACGAAAGAACTGATGTCGGTCAAAGGCATTTCTTCGGTTGCAGGAGGAGCCATCTTCAGTCAGAATATTGAAATATGGGGTTTGAGTTCGGGCACAAAGGTTGAGAATGCATCATTTCGAAGAGATCGGGGTTTGTTTCCTGGGGCACGCGATCAAAAAGTGATGATTTGAGGTGTCACCATGTGCCCAAAAGTGAATATGTATAGGCAATTGGTTAGGCAGTATTGGAAAGAAGTGACAGTGATTGGAAAGAGTGAGTTTAACCCCGAGAATCAATCAACAAATCGGAGAAGAAGCCGCAACTCTGAAATGCAATCACTGAATGCCACATGAGAACGTGATGATAACGTTCCATTCATTCAATTCCTAGAAATCCCTCCACCTTTGCGCATCCCATCAATCAATCCATCTTCTGATTGATTCCCAGACATTCACTACTCCAGGTTTCTGGAACTCTTTACCGAGATATCCATTCACACCGCCTCATATATCGAACCACATTTCACATGTCAGACCACCTTCATACGCGCATCGAAGTCACTCGCCGCCGTACAAATATCCTTTGATAAGCCCTCGATACCGCTCGTGTCCGAAACTTCGCCACCAATGTCCCCCCAATTTTCCCGCGTTACAGAGTTATAACAGGCACTTAATGTGAAGACGAGGAGGGATTGATGCACAGAATCTATCACAATATGGGGGTCACGACGCGATCCCGCCTCAACCGCAGGCGAGTCAACGCTCTGGTCTTCGTCACGGACAAGATTGGCCCTGAAGTCCTCCCTTTCCTCATACAAAACCCAGACCTCAACCTGCGAGTAATATCAGACACTCCCAAGGCCGAATTCCAGCAGTATATGAGTTCTGGTATCAGTCTCGACAAAGTACAATGGTTCGACAACTCTCCACAAGATCCCTATCGAAATCAAGCCATGATGCAGGGACATAAATTGGCAAGATGGGCAGACCTCATGTTCATTGTGTTGGATGCAGGCATGATTTCCATGATGTTGAGTGGCTTCACAACCGATGTGATCTTACATACGCTCAGGTGCTGGGACGTATCGAAAAGGATTGCTCTTCTACCAGAGATGAGCGTGGATCAGTGGAAACACCCCATGTGGAAGAAACAATTATCCAAACTCGAGCGCAAATGGGATTGGGTCCATGTTCTCCGGCCTGCACTTTGGGATTACGCTCAAGACCCTCACAACCACACTCAGCCAGGCCCTGACCCCTTGGGCGAAGAACTCGAGATTGAATGGCAATGGGATGGCCCGGAGGAGATCATTGAAGCCATCGATAGTGAAGCCCAAACCATCTTCCGCTCGATGCATTCCAAGTTATCCTCCGCTATCCCACGCCTTTCGCCCGCGAACCCAGCCTGCTCCAAACCACGCCTCCCCGCCGAAATATGGACCATCATCCTGGACGCCTTAGGTGATTGGGAATTGGCCACCGCCCTAGGAATCTACACCCACATCCGCACACCGCACGAGTGGGAGACTCTCGTTCCAAAATCGGGATCCAAGAAGATCCCGTCTCTTGAATACACGATCCTCACGCAGCCACTCTCCCAAATAAAGGCCTACTTCACGAACAACACATCATCCCAGCTCTCCCCTATAGCAACTCGGCTCATCTTCCGTTTCAGCATGACCGATCTCCTAACCTACCTCGCTCTACAACAGAAAGATATTTTCTGGACGTCCTTTGGCCTCGCCCTCCTCCCACACAAGGCCTCACTGATCTACAACTCACCCACCATTCTGCAGTGGTGGCTCGACTGCCCGGCCGTCATCAAGAAGGAGTACGGCCCCGAGGCCATGGATGGCGCATCGCGTGCCGGCTTCGTCGAGGTTCTCGACTGGTGGCTCAACTCAGGCCTGAAACTGACGTACACGGAAAAAGCGCTCGAGTCGGCGTCGGCTAAGGGTCACGTCGAGGTTCTGGAATGGTGGCGCATCAATTCCCTCAAGATGGCCGGTACCGAGCACGAGATGCCTCTGAAAGTAGGCAAGTCGATTTTACTGGCCGCCCAGTCCGGCCGCGTCAACAGCATCGAGTGGTGGGAAAACAGCCAGATACCCTACGCGCACGAAGACGGCGTTGCAAGGCTCGCCTCGCAGCACGGCCATGTCGCTGTCCTCGAGCTCTGGCATAAGTACAAGGGCAGTAAGATGATTTTCGACAACCAGGTCCTGGTTGGTGCTACCAAAAACGGTCACGCGGGCGTGCTGCAGTGGTGGAAGGACGTCTCGCGCAAGACTGATATCAGAGTCGAGTATAAGACCTGCGATATTGAGGAGGCTATGGAGGATGCTGTCGGTGGTGGCGGCGAGGGTGAGGTCAGGGAGTGGTGGGGAAGGAATGGGTTGAATCTAGGTGTTGGCACTGGCGAGTGGATGAGGGTCAAGACATTGTGAGCATAACTTTTGCGTATTTGCTGATTGTCGCGTGAGCTGGTGCTCACTTACTTGCAAGGTGTCTGGCGAAGAGCTTTAGCTGCCGAAAAAGGTCTACAGGACTGAATGAAAGGTTGAGCTTTATCGAGAACATTTTTACCCGCAGATGTGTGGCATTTCGGTCAAATATCATCAATTTTCATCTCTGCCTGTTAGGCAGTCATGCAACTATGGGGACATCTTTATGTGCAACTCCGTGCTAGCTACTCCATGCCGCTTTCAGAGCAGACATTCCATACTTCTTCTTCCTGAAATTCGTCCAGCCCACTCCGGCCTGACAGAGAAACAGCGAGGTTTTTCAAACATAAGACAAATCTTGAGCCCCTGAGTTCAGGGGCATCAGTGCATCACCAGGCAAAGCTGTCCGTATGTCTCGACCGACAAACCAGATTATCCACCAAAGTGTCAGCACACAGTTGCGGCTCTGCGGAAGCGGTCCGGTGAAAGAGCACGCAGGCGCTTGCCACTGCGCAGACGATGTTCGACGAAGTGTCCCTCGGCGAATGTGTGTCCACTCAAAGGTTTCAGTGTCGAGAACTTGGAGCGGATCTTAGGCTTCTCGGCTTGAACTTTGATGACAAAGAAGCAGCAGAAGACCAAAAAGACCGATAAGGCTGTGAGTGTGAGGATAATGTGGTGGTTCAGAAAGTCAGAAAGCCAGCTTGAGAGAGCTCTAGATTGACCTCCGAGCAGGCCAAAGGAAGTCAAAATGCCTGACTTGTATTCCGTGAGAAGGGATATAAGGCTTTCCAAGAATACTGCGCAATGTTTAGCCAATCAGGACGCTCATGGAAACCATACTGCACGTACCATAGACTGCCATCAGGCTGCAGGAATACTTTCGTGGTTTCCAGAAGAATAGCACAGTAGCTGGCATGAGAAACATGGCCAATAGTCGGAGGTGAAGATAGCGCGTCATCTGAGCAGGGATTGTAAGAAGGGCAAACAGAGTGCTCAGAATGGCCGATGCTCTCTCAACCTGGGTGAGTGCTTGGTTGACTTTCTCGAGTCTCCATGAGACACTACCAGCAACCGCACTGGCACTGTCAAGATGAGATGCGAGCGATAGCGAAGACTCTCGCATCTCCTCGCCCAGGGCCAGGTTGGCCGTCTGAGCTTGAGACAACTCAGCACTCATCTGCAGGTGATGCTCGGCATTTGCTACTTGCTGAGACTGGGCTGAGACAAGTCGACCCAGTTCGCCCTCGACTTGAGAGAACAGGCCGTTGATATGCTACACAACATCAGCGAGGCTATTAGAGGCATCGGGCTGTGCATACCTGGACGGCTTCACTTGCGTGAAGTTGTGTCAAAGCTTCCGTGGTAGCTACAGCCAGCTCATGGACACGCTGCACATCTTTGGCCTGGGTTGCAGCGACCTGTGCGTTGTTCCTGCTTGTAGTATGGGCAGCATCGACCAGGAGTGCTTGCAGATTTGCGAAATCGGACAAAATCTTCCCCAGTGCCTGTATTTGTCAGTCAACTTTTTTTCAAGTGTAGCAACTCAACTTGACTCACTTCTTGTGTCTGGCTGACACCCGAGCCTGTCTTCGCCATAGATCGGTGTAAAGCTTCAGATACACTTTCCAGGTCCTCTTTGGCAGCACTCATCGCATGCTGAAAGGCACCCATCTCCGCCTTGTGCTGTTCCTCGACTTCCGCGCGGTTCTTCTGCTGCAGTTCAGTGATGTCCTGAGCACTTTCTTCCTGTTGTTTCAGAAAGCTCAACCACTGAGTTCGAGTCGAGGACAGGATGTTGCGAAAGTCTGGGAGCAATTCGGCCAGCTTCTGATAGGAATGTAAAGCATCCAGCCTGCTGGCCTCCAGGCCTCCAGCCTGGCACAAAGTGTTCGCCTCCTGTCGATTGTTGCTGTAGCTTGTCCAGTAGTAGTGTTCGGCCATCATAGCTTCGAGACAAGATGCCAAATTCTTGCCGTTGACGACCTCGAGGTCACCCTGCAAATGCGGAGGCATGCTCAAAACCAGCTTACATGCTACAGGCACAGCTGCACGGCCTTCCCCAGTCTCGCAGACAGCCACTCGCACGGCATAGGTGGATTTGGTACGCTCCAAGAACTCGTGTCTTCCCGGTCCCAGTTTCGAGTCCTTTCCAGCAGCTTTGCATGTTATCAGCAACTGAGCTGCCGCCTGCTGGTGACAGGTTGACTGCGTTGCGAGGCTGTCGATGACATGCATCGCCTTTTCAAAGACCGGATCTTGATCAAGGTCTCTGTAAGCAAGCAGATCGGTAAGATCCGGCTTCAGGTCGTCATGTGCTCGTCGTAGCCCTTTCCAGCTGAGATCGGCTACGACTGTTAGAGTATGTCCCGCCGTAGCCAACGACGTAAGAGCTTACCTTTCAGGAACGACTTGGCCTGAACACGGGCTAGAAAGAGCAGAATGATAACGACAATGACGTGAGTAAGCCAGAGTCGGCGACAGTTTCTTGCTGAGGACGACATGGTTTAACAGCCGATGGTCGCCGACGTGACGGAGTGTAGGAAGACAAGTATGGCAAGATGAGTAAAGGAGTAGAAGCAGATATGAAGGTATGGAAGGTTAGATAGTTGTATGAAAGAAGAGCATAGGGGGAAGACTCCTTGAGATGTGGAGATCGACGAGGTTGTGTGGTGTTGAGTACGAGGCTAGAAGGACTTATATCACCCCCATGTGAAAGTTATTGTGAACGAAAGCGGTAAGAAACAGGGAGTTATCCGCGATTTACCGACCTCACCTTTGAGTCAGGTTGACAGTCCAGTACAGATCCACAAGATCTTGTAGCATTGTCGAATGGCTTATGCAGTTGCATTGATGGGTGATAGGAATGAAGCTGGAAGAGAGAATAGAAGAGCAGGAGCGAAGTGAGTGAACGATCCGATCTTGGCCACGTGACTTCAGGTATTCTCCAAATCTTTGGCTCGGGCGCCAGTCGATCTCTAACCACAAATTATTGCTCGTCCAAGACAGCATCGAAGCGCAACCGAAACTCGAGAGACTTGCTGCACTTACAACATGAGGTGACCTGTAATATCTGACACCATCTTGCGCTCTTCCTTGACGCTCACCACGCGGAGTCTATACTCCTCGACATGGCCTGCACCAGTCTACACAACTCCCTCCGCCAGCTCGTGCGCGATGCAGGCCGCTCACGAGAAATCCCATCCTTCCTAATTCCAGCAATCTCTCAACCACGACAAACCAGACACAATGCTACGCTCGCTACTGCTGCGCCGCAGTCCCGAATTGGTCGATCTCCCATCACTGTACCTCCCGAAGTCTCGCTGCGATTTTACGACCTACCCAAGACGAATTCGCGGAGTAGGAACCCAGACACTGCATCTACGGTCGTCGAGGTGACCGGTCCTTTAGGTACGAGACAAGGGGAAATCAAACATTGGGAAGCAATTTCAGACTGACGCGATTGACTTTAGGAAAACTGACTGTACCATTACCACCATACCTCAGGACAGAACTCGATGAAGCTGCGAATAAGATTAATCTCAACGTCAACGATGCATCAGAACAGCATCAGCGCTCGATGTGGGGGACAATGCGCGCCCTTATACAAAATACCGTTTCCGGTGTGTCGGAAGGCCATCTTTGCATTATCCGAATGGTGGGAGTCGGTTACCGTGCAACGATTGAAGATACAGCCATTACGAAAAAGCCGGCCTACCCTGGCCAAAGATTTGTCAACTTGAAATTGGGTTACGCACATCCCATCGAAATGCCGATACCACAGGGCGTCAAGGCAAGCGTGCCGCAACCGACGAGAATCCTGCTGGAAGGTTGTGATAAGCAGGTCATCAAGCAATTTGCGGCAGAGATCCGCGTATGGCGGAAGCCAGAACCGTACAAGGGAAAGGGTATATTTGTCGACGGTGAGACGATACGGCTGAAGGCGAAGAAGATCAAATAGAGCGAGCGCTATCATATCGTTCTGTTTCGGCTGTATGTATCAATGCTGTATCTCTATACCATTTTATGATTTGGTGGCTAGAACCTCCTGCACAGCCTTAAGCACTTCGGCGTGCACATTCGCCGGCGAAGCAATAACTCCCTTATTCTCAGTGAGCGTCCTGCCGAGACTAAAATTCAGCCGGTTGCCCTTGATATCTGTGACCCGACCACCAGCTTCACGCACGATGAGGTCTCCAGCGGCGTGATCCCAGATCTTCTCAATGTAGTCTTTTCGCACGGGTAGACGTAGATACAGGTCTCCTGCACCACGAGCAACAGAGCCATACTTGGCCTGACTGTCCATCTGCACCGGTTTGCCAGTGATACCCAATTTCTCCGCGATCAGGGCATTGTCGCCCTTGGAGCTGTGCCCGGCCTCGACGCTCTCGCACATGACAGCCTCGCTGACTTTGGTGATCTTGCTGACGTGGATGGACTGGCCTTTGGTGACAGCGCCACGGGTGAGTTGTTGGGAAGTGGCGCCTTCGCCTTGCACAGCTGAGAAAAGCACGCCCTTGCCCTCGGCGTCGCTAGCCGCCGTGCCGATATCCTCGGCCAACGGGGCGCTATCGTCGACAGGGAGGTTAGGGCAGCCCAGCACACCGACCTTCACGTCACCGTCGACCATGAGCGCGAGACAAACGGCGTATTGTCCGCCGCGGAGGAAACCTTTCGTCCCATCAATGGGGTCTAGAGCCCAGATGCGGCCTTTGTTCCCGCCAGCGCTGTTCCCCAGGTCGATGGCATCGAGCATCTCATTTTCTGACTTGATTGGTCCACCTAACAGAGCGTCGCTTTCAGAGTCGTCGAGTTTGACATCCTTGACGAGGTTCCAGATTTTGGAGGAGAGGTCTTTCTGCTCGCGGAGCGATGAGGCTTCTTCCTCGCCGACAACTTCGTCAGAGGGAAAATTGTGTTTGATAGCGGCGATGATCAGGGCTTGGGCTCCAAAGTCACCTATCGTCACCGGTGACTTGTCGTCCTTGGACACTGTGCCTTTAGCCTTTTCGTGGAAAACAGATTTGGTAAGTATGGCGGCACGTGCCACTGCCAATTGGGCGACCTTGAGCTCCTTCTCGTATGCCATGCTGTGATTTGAGCCTTTCAAGGCGTTGCTCGAGAAAGAAGACGTGCTATTGAGAGGTTTGATGCCAAGGCCTGCAGGTACAGAGCTTTTGGTGGGGGAGTGGAGTTGAGAAACGAGCGTACTCAGGCGGGACAGTGTCGACGATGAGGGGCGGCGAGGTGCCAGGATGAAAGCAATGATCACAACGACAATTGTACAGAGAAGATTCAGAAGAGATCGACGGTGCAGAAGTCTCATATACTCGTGACTGTTGCAGAAGTATCACTCACCGCCAAAACGAGGTTGTCAAAGTTGACTGTAGTTGAAGTTCTGATGCAACGCATCAAAGATGGTCGTCATGCTTGGCGGGTTCGTAGCAGCACAGCAGCGTACGCATTTCTTCCCTCACACACCGCTGGCCAAAAGGACGACATCAACCCGAAACCATGGTAGAGGGTGCAATGTTCACGCCGAGGCAAAGTGAAGAGCTATTGGTCTTTCCTCCTATACTACTGTAGTACCATTAAGTATCATTCGGTCTGCCCATGTCTGATGTGATAACTACAGTGGTACTTTCGTATTATAACGCCATGCAGAGTCTCGAAAGGTCCAAGCCTGGCCAGCCCCGGTTCATCTTTTGTCACCTGTCGGGGACTTCTTTAGGCCAGTGTTGTCCTTGTTAGGCGACGTCCAGAAGCTTTCACCGGTCGATCATCAAGCCCGCAAGCCACGACGAATCCTACCCGGACCGAGCTTCTAGCGGTGTGTCAAGTGGTGCGTGGCTTGAGAAACTAACAACAACAACAACCCAAGGCTGCTTCACAAACATCACCTCTACACTGTTCCACGGAATATCTGTGCGGAGGAATCTACTTGATTTCCTGATAAACAGATCAACAGATGACGAATCGCAAACATGGCTCCTGCTCAAGATAGCACCTCGATTCCTCGAACAACTGTTCGTTGATATTTTGAGAATGACGCAGTTCGAATTGGAATCTCCTTCGGCTTACCTGTGAGCATAGACGAATTGTCACTCCTACCAGCGCCTGGCCCCATTCGAGGCCGACTATTTGTGCCACATATGTGAATCCCGTAGAGACATGTAGCTCCGGTGCTTCCTTCGTTCCTGAGATGGACCTGATCCTCGACTTCTTCTGGATCAGTGAACTTGTGAAGGCGGTGAGATCAGGCAGAAGGACGAACCACAAGAGAATACTCGAGCATGTTGATACAGATTCAGCTAAGCTAATCAGCAAGGCTGCCCCTTTTTAGGCCACGCCACTATCGCCCGGCTCCCTGCTGGGTTCGGCTGCATCCTGCAAGATACACACTAGGCCTTTCCGCCGCGCTTGGTACCTTGCTTCCGGCGCTTGGATCCAAGCAGGCCCCAGAGCCGGGCTCCGAATGGGTTTGTGGGAGGACAGGGGCCCTGAAAGGATTTCTACATATGGCTTGCATCCGGCTTGTGATCCCGACGGGAGTCAGCATTCGCACAGAACAGACTGAAATAGGTCAGAAATGGTAACAACAGTAGTACTGATGTAGGAGGTCACTGGGACGAGTCATGGGATACCAAGTACCAGGCCGAGAAAAGGCGCCGAGAGAAGCTCTGGTTCCGGGCTTTCGGCTCAGCTGTCGCCAAAGCCTGCGCAATCTTGCTGCAGGACGAATGACGGCTTCTTGAAGAATGGAGTTGGCAGCTGGGCATCAAGGATTGGGAGAAGTCAATCTTGCAATAGCCGAAGCAAGAAGGAAACCGAATGTGTGGCGATGGCGCTGCAAATGGCTGGCGGATATTTGTTGTTTGCTCCTTCTGGGCTTCTAGGCGGTTGAGTTCCAGGTTACTTTGGCTCCGTAACTTTGGCGAAAGTGACCAAACTAAATCTGGTCGGACAAGGAAGCAGCTGTTGTACTGTTTCCCCGTCCAACTGTGCAACCCGCATCCGCAGCCCACGCACCGTTCACTCAATGCTCATTGAACCCCCCCCTTCTGCGATTGCGAATTACGAGTTCACACGCCGCTTCCTTTCTGACATATAGAGCCTCGTAGCCATGTTTTCCGCCTCGGTGAGTCTTTGCTTTTCCTCCTGTTACATTCTGTGCTGCTTGGATCCCATCTGAACGACAACCTATCCTTACCCCGCCATGCCTTCCATCATGAAGCCCAGCATGTCTCTACTCTTTCTACACGCCCCAGCTTGTGCACCTGATGCCGGATTCTCCGACTTTCCCAAGCCCGAGGAACCAGAGCCAGCAGATTCTTACGAGCTGGAGACGCTGTTGCATCAAGAGACACATGAAAACGAAGTGTGTGACTGTTGTGCCCGCAAGAAACGGCGGACGTCCTTCAACGCCTCTCCACAACCTCCAGTCATCTCTCGACGATCTCTGCCACCGGAACTCCGAGGTTGCAAGCGCCTGGTTGCTACGCTTCTGCATTTTGCATGTTGTGCTCGTCAGCGCAGAAGATATCAGCTAATAAACCGCTATCGTTACCATAAACAGAAGAAACCCTTCTCCGCCATCTCTGTCCATGTCGAGACCTACACCTCCGAAACATACGATGAAGACGATCTTGCCGGTGTCCCTGACCTGCTCGAAGTTATCAAGCTGCAGAATACTGGTCCGCAGGAGGTTGCTCGGGCATTGAGGAAGAAATTGAAGTATGGCAGTGTACATCGACAGCTAAGGGCCCTCACCATTCTCGACGGCCTTTTACAAAATGGCGGGACAAGAGTACAAAGAGCACTACTGTCTGACGGCCCTCTGCTGGAACGACTGAGGATTGCTGCAGCCGATCCAACTTCAGATCCAGATGTTCGAACCAAGTGCAAAGATCTCTTTGGACAGTGGGTCGCCAGCTCGAAAGACAACCCCGGACTGGAAGGAGCCAAGTCATTGTACAACCAACTACCAAAGACACATAAGCCGGTCCAACAAAGACGGGAGCAAAGCAAGGTGCTTCGGGAGACCGAAGAGGACGTACAACGGGAGCAGGAAGCAGAGATGGCGCGGGACCGATCAGACAGCATTCCTAGAGCGGGTGAACCCTCGAGCCCCAACATGCTACGAAAAGCGAGCTCGCCCGTCACGCTGGGACAGTCGTCACTGTTCGCTTCGAAAAAGGTCAAGAAAGACAAAAAGGGCAAAGTAAAAGCATTCAATCTGGAACGTGAGAAGCCATCCATACTACAATCAATCGCAGCGTCCTCGGTGGCTTCTACCGGACTAACCAATGCCCTACGGCTGGTCAACCGAGAAAATGAGCGCGTGTCTCACAACGCAGAAGTGATGAAACGCTTTGAGACTTGCAAGCAGCTTCGCCGCCAGATCCTTCGCTACATTCAGCTAGTTGAGTCGGAAGAGTTTCTGGGAGGTCTGATTCACGCCAATGAGGAGTTGGTCAACGCTCTGATGGCCTTCGAAGTCATGGACAAGGCTGTGGACGACGATTCGGACAGCGAGCTTGAGGAGGCACAGCACCGCAGCCGAGAAGCGGCTAGAAGCGAACAAGCTGCTGCTAGGGAGGCCGAGAAACTCGTCGCCGCGATGAACATATCCAGTCCAGCGAAACCTCCGCGGCCCGCGCCAGGACATATCGCCATGCCACCACCTGCGAGGGCGGCACGATCAGCCAACACAAATTGGAAGGCGAAGCAGATTGAGAGTGATAGCGAGAGTGAGACGGATGTAGATGACGACGAGGACAATCCTTTCGGCGACAAGAATGCCATGAAGACGCCAGACCCTGATCTGGGAAGGAGGGGATATACCTGGAAAGAAGTATAGTGTTCACTCCAGGAATGGATGCTGGGATGTGGCACTGGGTTTGGCGTGGGCCTGTAAGCTTGCCGCATTGGCAATTGCGCCTAGCGAGGACGTTGTTATCCTTATGAAGTTATGAATTTTGATGAGTTCTGGAATGTTGACGAACCCTACCTTTGATCAACTGTTGTCCCGGTAAATCCTTCTTCGTTTCAGCAAGTGCACGGCCTATAACCCAGGTATCTCGTGCTGAAATACCCTATCGTCTGAGAGAAGAAGCGCTACGGGGACTGGTAGCCGGTTGAGAGCCTAGAAATTCAGCTGCAATTCATTACCCGGTCGTCCTAAAGATGTACAGTATTTTCTCTGTGTTGTCACCCATACTACCAGCCAAATTGATTTTCTCTATGACCCCATCTGAATCCATCCGTAGTATGAAGACCTTGCGCACAGAAGACTGCCAATCTGATTGTTCGCCATAATCAATGCTCATCCTTGTTCCATCCATGATCAGTCCACGAGGAGACCGTTCTTTCTCTACATGATGACCTCATTCGAAACATCGCGCTTCAACTCCTTGTACGGCAAGCAAATGCAGTTCTGCACGCGGACCTCATCGCCAACACCGCACTCCTTGCCCAAGATAGTAATGCTCTGGACCTTGACGCCGTTCTTGATGATACTAGTAGTATGGCTTGTGACTGGGGTCGGGGTACCTTCGACACGAGCCCAAGCGCCGACGCGAGAGTTCCAGCCGATAATGGCGTACAGGACACAAGCGTCGTGCTTGATCTCGGCCTCCTCGAGCACGATGGCTTCCTTGACACGGGCGCCCGCACCAATGATTGCCTTCGGACCAACTGACACATTTGGACCGAGTTTTGCAGTCGGGTCGACAGTGGCGGTAGGGTGGATGAAGACTGGCGGGACGATGTTGGCGGACGGCGTTGCGATTTCGGGCGATTGCGACTGGAAGGCCTTGGCCAGATACAAGGCGTTAGCGGGCACGGCGGATCCAGCGGTCTTGATTTGGCGCCAGAAGTCCTTTGTCTCGTGGACGAAAAAGCGGTTGCTGTCAGCGAGATCCGACAGAATGTCCTGCTCGAGACGCAACACTTCGTTCTTCTCGCCGTCCTCTTCTGGGTCCGCGACGTACGAGGTGTCCAGGTTCTCGGACGAAGGGTACGAGATCATCCGCGGGCGCTCGGTCTTGCGCTTGATGGCGCTCCGAATCGACGGGAAAATGCACTCTGTCGCGAACAGGTAGACACCGCAGTTGATCAGGTTGGAGATGTGCGACTCGGGCTTCTCGACGTAATGCAACACACGTTTGGAGTGGGCGTCGGAGACGATACATCCAAAGTTCGAGGCGGCGTCGTTGCTGACTCTGGTCCCCAAAATAACGGCCTCGGCGTCTTTCTCCTCGAACAGCTTGAGCATGGCCTCGAGAGGGAACGAGCAGCAGACGTCCGAGTTGAGCACGAAGAATCGATCTGGCTTGCCCTTGAGGATGGCGTCGCGGAAGTGGTACAGACCGCCTGCCGTACCGAGGGCCTGGTACTCGCGGAGGTACTGGATCTTGATCTGGGGGAATTCTCGGGATGAGTCCTTGATGAAGTCACGGAAGACATTCTCGTCGTAGTAGCCGATCAAAATCACTTCTTTGAGTTCGGGGACTTTGGACACGGCCTTAAGGCAGTGCCAGATGATTGAGTGGCCGGCGACTTCGAAGAGTGGCTATAAAAAAAAGGGGAAAGTAATGGTTAGTTATTTTGCTGCGGTGTACAAAGCCGCGATGATGATTCAATACCTTTGGGACATCGAGACTGAGTGGTCTGAAGCGAGTTCCTCTAGACGGTCCTCCGACCTATTTGTTGTCAGCAAGATAAGTGAGCGGTTCATGATTTGTAGACTAACCAAAATGACGGCCTTGGTCACAGCATTGGAGCCAGTGGCCCGATTACTGCGCGAGGGGACCTTCAACATGGTCTGGTCTCAGTCTGGGTCTGTGATTGAAAGAATATATGGTGTCGATCTATTTGTTATCAAGAGCTGTTATCTTGACAAAGGGTGATTGATGTCGTCTTGTGTAAAGGTGCAAAGTGAGGCCACGGTTCACCGATTTCAGATTGACCGCCAACCAACAAAAAGACGCTCTCGACCCCTGTCACGTGTGTCTCCTAATTACAGGTACTGTACCGAGCTGCCCCGCCAAGGCTCTAGACCAGATCGGTGTTTTCCCCCTGCGAAATAACGATCTTTTTGACCCGGAGTGGCGTTTTGGTTTCCTTCACTTCGTCCAGCCATTTGGTCGCACGTGGGACCGCAGCGGATATCAGTCTTGCAGACTAATCTGCACACTCGGAGCCTTGCCGGTATCACGTTCAGCAGTATTTCAGCTGCTCCAGAATTCTGAAAAACAATATCGAGACCTCCTTAAAATATGCGACAACATGCTTGACACCAGCTAACTGGTTCATCGCTGAGAACTATGGTATTTCAATATGCGACGGCGGAAAGAAAGGATGCCATCCTGGTGATGCATCCATCGTCACTCTCCGAGGACGCCGGCGAGTCACCCCTACTTCTCCAGACACCCTCGCCGGCTTTGATTCTCAGACCCTCTCCTTCTCAATATCACTCCCAGTCAACTCCCTCTGCGCACCCGTCTGGGCCACGCTGCCCGTCAATGCCGCCTGTCCGACCTCCTTCATGAATCCCAGCGTGCTGACCTCCTTCTTCCAATAAACAATATGCTTCGACTTGACCTCAATCAAACTCATTCTCGGGTCCTTCCACGTGCCATCATGAACCCCGTCCTTGAGATCGCCGAACCAAGCACTGACTGTACTACTATAAAGTTCCTTGATCCTCGGATCGTCATTACTCGCCGTCGTCGCCTCGCCAGAAATACTGATCCAATCCTGCGTTTTGGTGTCCTGGAAAACAATCTGCACTTCTCTGTTGGATTTCAAATCCTCGAATTTTTGAGAGTCCTTGTTGGTGAGGTACAAAATGTCGGGTCCCGAGCGTTTGGCAACGGCCATGGATCGGCCCACGAAGCCGACGTTCTTGCGGTACGTGCTAAGCATACCGATCTTCTGGCCGTCGATCAGGTCGTAGAGTTCTTTAAATTGAACGTCCTTGGGCGTTTCACTGTCGAATTGCTTTGTGACTGCGGGGTCATTGCCGGCGTCGACTTCGCCTTTCTTTAGTGCTTCGGGCATTTTGAATGAGGTGCTGGCGTGGATGTTTCTTCCAAATACGTGAGGATGTATGGACAAAATTGATCTGGGTTTGCTTGATTTGCAAAAGGCCCGTAGTATGGATGGGTTGAAAATGGTGGTCATTGTAGTATCTCAAACCAGATCAATAGAACAGAGGTGAGGTCGTCTTATACTCGTAGAATACCTGTAGGAACAAGCGATGAAATCATGCTAAAGTTAGCTCATATGACGGAGACGCAAGTGACAAGATGCCTTGTCTTCCAAGCAGACGCCAGAGCCATGACTCGTACATGCACCATGTCTTTGCTAGCAAACACCATACGATTGTGGACGTGATGTTTCCCCCAGATCCATGCTGAGACAGATCCGATCTTGTGAGTGGGTGGGAAAAGGAATCCACAGAAAGTGGTGACGACACAAATTTGTCCTTCGACATCTCACAGAACAATCGCATCAGGACCGTCTCCAAATGTGACACGGGAATCGGGAGAAGATGAAACCGAGATACAGAATGGATTGTAGAACCTTGTTTATGGTACAAGCGTATTAGGTAGGATGCTCGAATCAGACCAAATGCATATGCACTTCTCGCCTTTTCTAGATCAACACCTTCACACAACATATCCCGTAAGTCCATGGCGCCCTTCAATGCTCGTAAATCGTCCATCATACATTTCCTCATATCATCCACCTTGCCAAAACAATCACGACATCTTAACGTCCTCCGACCTGCTTCTTGGAGAAAGGTGGGATCCAGCAAAGAGCCAAGTTCATGGCGATAGTGATACAACCAATGATCCAGAATGATTTGTCGTAGGCATTGTACCGGAAGATGACGGCGAAGATGACACCGCCAAAGTTGCCAGTAGCACCGGTCATGCCAGACACGACACCGTTGGCGTGTGGGTTGACGTGAGGCACCAGGGAGAAGTTGGCACCATTACCTCCCTCCAAAAAGAATGCCAGGCCAGCAATCAAACCAAACATGGTGTGCTGGTTGTGGGGGTTAAGCACACCGATGACGATGAGGAAGACGCCAGTGATAACACCACAAGTGTGCAACAACGCCTTCTTCGCCCAGACTGTGTGAAGATTTCGGTACAACAAGTCGGAGATGATACCGCCGAGGGGACGGGCTACCACATTCAACAGTCCGAACATGGCCGCCCAGTCTCCTGACTCACTCAGACCAAGCGTCTTGAAGTTCTTCTGGTAGTAAGTGCCGAGAATGGAGTTGATGGACAACTCTGCGCCGAAGCTGCAGAAATAGCAGAAAGCGGTGACAAGGGTGTGAGGTGAGAACATGACGCCAAAGACCTGCTTGGCAGTCGGCTTTTGAACAATCTCTCCACGCGCCGTGTCAAGCATTTGCTGCTCGCTCAATTGTGCCTCATGATCAGCGTAAGTCGACGTCTTGCGGTCGCCTGTGGCGTCATATTGTAACTTTTGATCGCCAACGGTCGATGGCGGTGAGTTGGTGCCCTCGGTTGATACCTTATCGGTGATGCCACCTGTAGGTGCATCAACGAGCCTAGCCTGCACACCATGTGCTGCGAGATTTTGCTCGGCATGAAGGTGACGCTCGCTCCACTTGCCGACAGGAGTGTCCTCGCACAGTAGGATAAGGCCAGCAGTGACGAATAGAATGATGATACCGGGGATCACGAAAGACACTCGCCAGGCTTCGTGGGGCTTCAAGCCCCGTTTGAGGAAGGACTTGTAGATGGCGGGCATGAGGAAGTAGGTCACACCACCACCAGCATTGCCGAATCCGGCAGCAACAGCATTGGCCGTCCCAACAATGTTCTTGTCGAAGAAGCCGGTCGACCATACCTGGCAGGGCACAAAAGAACCGCCAAGGATACCGATGAAGAATCGAAGAGCAAAGAGTTCGTTTCTGGTGTAGGCCGTGCCGGACAAGAACGTGGGAATAGCACCAATGAGCAAGGTTCCCGCGAACGTGTAACGAGGTCCGAAACGATCGCAGCAGGGTCCAGCAATAAGACGCACTATCAACGTCGCACAGAGGGCGATGATGTTCGAGTTAGCGACATCGATTTTGGTCAACTTGAGATCCTTTTTGATGATGTCGTTCAACTGATACCAGTCAGTGCCATGAAGCTTGAAGCAGTGTACGGTGGAAGACTTACCAGTGGTGGGAAAGCATACCAGGACCAAAAGGCCACGAAGAAGCCGAACCACGAGAAGAAGAACACTCGCCCATAGATGTTGACGATGTTGAAGAAGGGAAGGGTCCGAGCCTTGTGGGTGATAGGGTTGACCTCGGGTGCCTTGAAAAGCGTAGCAGGATTAAACATGATGGCGGTGGTATACACGCTGCTGCGGTGGAGGTATGTCGTAGATGGATACTCGTCGACTGGGTCGATGGCGACCTGCTCGAAGTGTTTTCGAGGTTGATGAATAGCGAGAACAGGGATGCGGATCGCGAGGGTACATATACACAGAGCTAGATCTCCCCTCCCACGATGTCAAATACCATAAGATATTGTGTAGATATGACGTTGGTGTCCTTTCTCCGGGGATTCAACACAGACGCGGTTCGAGGCTGGGGTCTATGCAGACCAGCAAGTCCGCGGCCGATCCTTTCCAGAGATCGGATGCCCAGTGAACGAATCAAAAGGATCGACTATACAAGCCACCTCTCAAATGGGCCAAGTCGTCGCTGATAAGGGAGATTTATGGGTCCTGGCGTCCTTAGACAAGACCCAGTCGATCTGCTATGAGCTCCGAGGCGGAGGTCTCTGTGTTCAGACGTAGTCAAATACCTGGACACACTCGTTGTTGCCTTTGTGTCCTCGGAGTTTGTTGCTCAGCCTTAAAAGATATATTGTTTGATGTTCCAGCCTTGTCGAGGTTTTGTGTGTGCCTGCTTCTGCACGTCTGGTGTGTTGCAAACCACCTCGCTAGATGTCTTGTTTACAGCCTTCGACCCCTAGTGATCAACTACGCATCGTTGCGTAGCTGTCCCAGTCTCGAGACTCAGTGACGAAAGTGTCGATCTGTGATGTGAAAAGCTGATAGACGAACCAGTGAGGCTGGCCGATCAATCTGACATTCGAGGATGCTTTTCTAAGCAGGGGAGTGCGATTGGGTGTGCCGGAGGGCAGATGCTAGGCAGACTTTGGCTCTAGGATCGAGGAAAGATAAGAAAAGACAGAGTGCCCATGTCCATGACAGGCCTGAGAAGTGAGTCTAAACCTCAGTGGTGCACGGTAGTGAGAGGTTGTGAGGATGTGGTTGGACGTCGGACGAGGCTTATCTGTGCCATGTGCTGTTTTGGTGTAACCAGGTGGATCCTCCTTATCGGAATTCGACGACGTTCCCGTTATTAAGTCGACCTCCTTTGATAAGAACGAGGCTCCTCTGGCCACATTTATATCGATTTCATATTCTCCGCGGGATACGTGTTGAGCCAAAATGTCATACTTCGACCTGCGATACTGAACTTGTTGGATTCATGTTGCGCTATGCTATGAATAGAGTTTATCCATTTGACATTCCGGTGCTGATATGCCAATCGAAGACTCCGTGAGATGCCAGTCTTTTTTTCGATCTCAAGCAGATACACTTCCGTCCGGCCAAGGCAGATGGCGTCGACAGTATGGCGATGAGAATGTCGCTCTACGACAGCGCAACAACGTGTGAGATAAGGAAAAATTTGGGTATCACGAACCAATGTGCCTTCCCGAATAGGCGATGTCTTGGCATATCAGGTATGTTGGCCACGTCGGCACTGACAGGACCGACCTAAGCATGACCTCCTAATCTTCGTCCCACCACGTCGATGGTCTTGTCCCTTCCGATGAACTGCTTGCATGAACAGTGTGGACATGCTGGACCACTTGAAGCCCCTTATAGATTCTCCTCGGAGCAATGGCATTTTTCCATCATAGCCAAGTTCCTCTCGTACCAGATACCCCGGTGTCTGCTTCTTTGCTTTTCGATCTGAAAGGGTACGAGTGCCTGAGACGCAGTCCTTCAGTCTCGAGATACTAGCTTTCATGTTCAACGATGGTCCTGGCCAGCTATGAGTCTCCTTTTTCCGTCCTGTTTGCGTTATGAGGTCCGGATCCAGTCGTCGCTCATGGTCGCACTCGCACTCCGCAGTGCCTTGCCCGGCAGTAGCAATAGCATTCCATACCCTTCGTTGCGAGCTTCCTCTTTGCAAGCGATTTCTTGCCTTACCAAGCATCTGTTTCCCACTTTGCAAGATCCATGGCAGCACGTTGAACGTGATTTCAAGCTTCAGTTCGATGCAACATCGGTCTGCTTGCCGAACGAGCGGTGATTGCTCATAATCCACAGGCGTTGTCTCTCGAGAAGGTTGTCGAACACATTGAAGACGCAGGCGATGAAACAACGAAGCATCTCTGGCCTGAGAATGGTAGTCTGGCGACCAGCAAGACGAGTCAGATGGTTAGGAGGGGAAACGCGAAGAGACATCTGATAAGGGAATGGCTAGGTGCGCTGGACACGGAATGTAAATGTATACATACACACAGGTCTGGTTTTGAGCCATCACATAGCCCTCTCGCCTTGCGCTGGTACTTTGAGGTGAATGACTATAACCACTTAGAGCTTCCATATCACCATCCGCTCGACGCAAGCTGCAATATCACAAAAAGAATTCGTCCACGGCATTCAGGACTTCGCTTTCCCTACAGAATTCCACCAACGCCCTCGCTCATCAATGACTTCCCCCTTTTCCTGACAGAGAGGGACAGATTTAGACCGCATGTTTGAGGCAACGTGCGAAGACTGCGGAGAATGACGACGGTGGAAAGAAACGTCTTGAGACGCTTTCAGACTTAGTCAACGCCAGCGTAAAGGTCGACAACGATGTTGATCGCACTGTAGAACGGATATTAGCAAGACAGCACAAATTCATCATTTCCGCCGAAGGATGACTTACGCAACCAGAATCTCTGCCGCAATGAGGACGATCACTACAAGCGTTAGTTACCCTGCCAAAGAACCAGATGAATGAGCATCCCTACCAATCCATTCCAGCACTTCGCCATGACGCCTGCTTCCTTGCTCACGGAGTACGGCCAGCAGATCTGTATCACTTTAGGATCCGCAACCATATCACAGCATTCGTAAAACTCACCAGCAATGACATCAAGTCTCTCAGTCAGGAGGCCCACACGCTGCTCGATCTCGAGATAGCTTCGAACAGCGGCATACACAGGCTCCAAATGCGGTTCTGCCCACATCAATTCTGGGCTGTCCAGGACGCTCCCCTGCAAATGGATGTTGATTCTGAGAATAAATAACTCTCCAATCTGCATATTTAGCTGTCGTCGGGTCAAGTTGACGCTGCCCGTCTGCGCGATTAGTGCAGGGAGCGGGCTCGTCGCATCAATCGTTTCGCCGACCAGATCCTCAAATAGACTCGTCTTCACGCTTTGCGACAAAGCATGGCTGATGGCCAATTTGATCATGTGGTTGCGTGGTTCCCGGAGACTGATAAAGTCATTGTAGATACGAGCCTGGTACTCCTTAGTGTAGTAAAAGTTGAAATTCTCGGTCTGCACGCTCTCCGTCGGCAAAGGAGCATCGCTAAACTTGGACATGTCGTTCAGGAATCTCTGCTCTTGCTGTACGGTCATGCCCCAAATGACTACAGTTCCGTAGTCGAAGATGAAAATTTCCGGAGTGTGGACGGTAGTCGAAAACTCGGAATTTGATTTTTGGTGTTGACTTTGACCTTCGGAGTGGTCAAGATCCGTATCAGGTTGGGTTGGGGCCAGAGCGAGCTCATTAGAGTCTTCTGTACTGATGGCTGGAGTTTCCAACTCCTCCTGAAAGTCGATCAGATCGTCTCTTCTCTGCTTCTTATTGTCCTCCACCTCAACCGCACTGTCAGAATATCTCCTCTCCCGCGGGGATATTCTCGGACTGGCCATGACCCTTGCAATTCTCTCCTGGACCGGACTGCTACTCAAGTCGTCCACCTTGTTCTTGTCACTTTTCTTCGTATAGTCGTAATCGTAAGGGCTGTACAGACATTCGTCAAATAGCTTCGGATTCGCTCCTCTCGTCCTTGCTCTTGATTTCATGAACTTCATGATTCCTTCAAGGCGATAGCCCTGCGCAACGCAGTATGCCGTCACTCGCGGAAGCTTGTCTCGGTCCGCTCTTCCCAGTCGCGCGGCATCTCTTCTAGCTGTAGGATCTTTGATTCGGGTGAATTGCGCATACACATCTCTGCCACTCTCTTCATCCGCATCTTCTTCTCCTATATCGGGATTCGGCAGGATCTTCAACTTTTCAGTAGTCTTGGTTGTCCTCTGAGCGCCGAGTCTGGGTGCGGGGGTGAATGGTTGTGTGGTGGGCAGAGGTGCTCCATGGCTGTTTCTCCGTCGCAGTTTCGAATTGAGGGCACTGAGCATAGGTTGCTGTCCAGGTTTCGCTCCAGTTGCAGCTCCAAGGGCCGCCGAAGGACTCTGCATCGGTCTTAATGAGCCCGATGCAGTTGCGCCAGATTGTGTGCTCACGGATGTTTTGGGGTTGAAGGTTACAGTTCTGGCCTTCTGGAGAACTGGACGTGAAGGAGAACCAGTCTGAGAGGTATGTTGCGGCAATAGAGGAGAATTATCGTCGGCGGCGGTTGCCATGATCCGGCCTCGATGAGGATACCGTCACACACGTCTTACACAGGGGAGAGGAAAGTGCTGGGCAGCTCAAGTTGATGGGTTCAGTAAACGCTACAACGAAGTTCGTTCTGCTTGGAGCAAAGGCCAGGGTCGGTCGGTTCGGTTTGGCTCGTGGTTGGCACAGTTGGCGTCATCGCCTCACTAGCCCTATAAAAAAGTCGCTTATTTAACGTAGTACGTACCCACAGCTTTGCATGCCACATGCACACGTTTTTCCCTGCTGTCAAGCACAATGCAGTCTATCAATCTGACAGCTACCTTCTAGAGACTATACCTCTCATCTATCAATCGAGAGTACATAACTAAGATCTCAGGCTTTTACACACGTGGCCTGATACGGCGATGGAAAGAAGTTCTATTGATCCAAGGACAATGCATTCCCTGCAGTTCCCACGACTATGCTCCCGCGATAAACCCAGGATCTGCCAAATATACAGAGCTTGAAACCCGCTTGTTTTACTTCTCCCGCTGAGATACCCAGAAGTCACGTCATCAGTAGTAATAAGTCTCCTCGGGAGTCCGGCCGCGCAGGTACTTGGGTTCGCTGCCACGTACGTAGATGTCTTCGTAGAGAATCTTCGGCACAGCATCAGGAGCCGGCATCTTCTCTGCCTCGGCCACTTCAGCATCCACAAGTTCCCTGGCCTTCTTGTCAATCGACTTGAGCTCATCTTCTGTGCAGACGCCCCAGTCTAGGATCTTTTGCTTGAGGCCTGCGATTGGGTCATTGGTAGATCGCATCCGTTGGATTTCTTCTCTGGTTCTGTAGGTTGTGCCAGGATCGGACATAGAATGACCACCGTACCTGTAGGTAACGAATTCGTACACCAGAGGCCCATTGTCGTTTGCGGTGAACTCCTTTCCATGCTGCACAGCAGCTTTTACAGCGAGCACATCCATAGCATTGATCTTCAATCCAGGGATATATTGGCCTCGCTTGTAGTATTCGGTTGACGCGGATGACCGAGCAGCTGAGGTTCCCATACCGTATTTGTTGTTTTCGCACGCGAAAATGATAGGGAGTTTCCAAAGCTTAGCCATGTTGAAGGCTTCAAAAACCTGGCCCTGGTTGGAAGCACCGTCACCATATAGAGAAAGAGTTGCCGTCTTGCTGCCGGTGTATTGGTGGGCAAAGGCGATGCCAGCACCAACTGGAACCTGGGCGCCGACGATACCGTTACCGCCATAGAAATTGGGAGCAAACATGTGCATGGATCCACCTTTTCCGTAGGCAATACCTTCTCGCCGACCCAGCAATTCACCAATGATGGACTTGACCGTGCCACCTCGCATGAGAGCAAAACCGTGGCATCTGTAGGCAGTGATGATAGCGTCATGCTTCGTGATGGCATGTTCGATACCGACTGCGACGGCTTCTTGACCTGTTGAAAGATGGCAGAAGCCTCGAATCTTCTTTTCTTTGTATAACCGATCCGCGGCCATCTCCATTCGTCTGCGCTGGTATTAGCATATAGCTGCAATGTCCTATTCGTCCTGCACTGACCGAACCGAGACCATATCGTGGTACATCTGCTTCAACTCTTTCTTGGTGGTGTCGAGGGTGTACGAGGGAGGATCGAAGTTGTAAGTCTCAAAGCTCTCGTCGGAGAGCTTGACTTGGAAGGGCTTGTCATCTTCCTGTAAGACAATATCAGCACTTGTGCATGACCGGCTGGAACTCTGGTGTCGAACGTACCTCTGGCACATCTTCTTTCTCAGCGTGTGAGCTCGCAGCATCGGTGGTGACGGTTCTGCGAGCGAGCTGGTATGCCTGCCTCTTGGGTAGAGACTGCAGGCCGAAGCCTCTGAGACAAGCCTTTGACAGCATTGCGCATTTGTCGGTGGTGAAAGAGAAGGTGTTCCAGGAAAGACCGCAGAGTGATAATTGATGGGTGCGTCTTTCTTTAGCTTTGGCGGTGTTGGGAGCCCGAAAGTAGCGCACGGAGCTCGAAAAAATGTCCCGACATTACTGTCCGGTCCCGCCGGTTTAACGCTCACCCTCCTCCCAGCACTCTCGTATTGACATTGAAGGGTCTGTATGAGTAGGAGGTACTGTAGGTACCCATGATTCAGATACTTTTCTACTCTCAAGGGCTCAGAACAAGATAGAAGGCCTTTGCATGTAACGACTGAAGCCTTAACACCATGTTTATGCCAATACGTTTTTCGCCAAATATGAGGGTATCACAATTCCTAATTCGGTTCCCGATGCTCTGGGACTTCAATGCCGTCCTTCTCTTCAGGCTCATTGCACATGTCCGCACCCCTTGTGCCTGTCTCGTAGTCGTTCAACGCTGCGAAAAGTTTTGACCATCAAGATCATCAATAGCCACCATGTCCCACCATACCAGGCTGTGCGCCATATCCTCCGACTCCTCCTCCTTGATGAGCCAATTGTTGTGGTTGATGCATAGTGGCACTGACCTGAGCCCTGCCTTGACCAGCATAGTTGGGCAAATCCTGAAACCATGGATGTCTGAGAGAATCCTGTGCGCTAATACGGTTCTCGGGTCTCAGTTGCAGCAGTTTGCTCAACAAATCGAGTCCCAGTGAGTCGATTTGCGGCAGGAGAATGCCGAGTGACTGCGTGGCGTACGAAGGAAAATTGCTCTTGTACTCCGGCAGTTGCGAAATTCCAGGCCATGTCCGTTCTGACGGTGTGCCCATCAGCCGGAAGATCTTCTGCAGTTGGTCTTCATTCGTCGTTCCGGGAAAGAGAGGTCGACCAGTGTACATCTCGGCCATGATACAACCTGCTGACCAGATATCAATGCTAGTGTTGTATGTCCTGGATCCCAACAGCACGTCCGGCGCCCGATACCATAGCGTCACCACTTCGTTGCTAAAGGTGTTGACTGGGATGCCGAACGCTCTCGCCAGACCAAAGTCAGCCAACTTTAGCTGGCCCTTAGTGTTGATGAGCAGGTTCTGGGGTTTCAGGTCGCGATGGAGTACTCGGTTCTCGTGGCAAAAGGCAGTTCCTCTCAACAAGTCCTGCATGAATCTCTTGATTGTGACCTGATCCAGCTGTCCTCGATCTCCACGTGCATCCATGTACTTTTTCAGATCTTTGTCCATATACTCAAAGACCAGCATGAGTTTGTTCTCGGTGTGAATAACATCATATAACGTGACAATATTCTCATGTTTCAACTCTTTCATCAAACTAATCTCTCGGATCGCAGTCGAAGGTGTGCCTTCTTCTGAGTCAAGGTGAATCTCTTTGAGTGCGACCAGTTCACCTGTCTGGCGATTTCGGCCTTTGTATACCGTGGCATACGTCCCCTCACCTAGCTAATTCATCTGTCAGTCTCACGCAACCGAGTTGAGGTCAGTGAACCGTCACATACCTTCTCCAACTGCTGAAAGGAGCTGGGGTGCCTCCTATCCATCTCCGTGTACTGTCTGCGCACTTGTGGTCTTGGAGGCGGGGTAGAGCCGTACTGGAAGAGGATCGAGCGTGGAGAAATGACCCGGTCTGCGAGTTCTTGTGCAGTGAGTTTGTGAGGTTGTTGTGGTCGTGGATGTGAGTGAGACGACTGTGAAGGTGTCGAAGAAGTGGCCGATGATATTGAAGTTCGATGTGGAATGGATGTGGAGCGAGAAGACATGACAAGGAACAGGCTGGATGATGGTCGAGATGGCCGCCGGCTTTCCTTAGTAGTGGACGATCTTCGCCTTCAGCGTCTGGCCAGGCAAAGTTCCAACGACATATGAGACGCGCATTATTCGCCACGAGCGGCTAAGTATTTATTGCAGGGGACAGATACGAGTACTTTGTGCCTGGCCACGTCGGAGAACATATGAAACACCTTTTGGATATACTGCTATTGTAGGAATACGCCTCATTCCTCATTCGACCATGTCACGCCTATGCTCAGAGAAATTGTCAACGGGCGCCTGCCACCTGTTGCCCCGCCATTCACTGTGAGACATTGACCAACCTTGTTGCCTCGCTTGATCTAGCTGTACACGAGGGACGGACTGACGACGCTGCTCGTGCACGTACAAAGCGACCTTTTTTGGCCCATTGAATAGCCCCGAAATAACCGCCTGGTACCTCGGCGCCTACTTACAATACACCCGCCTCTTGCTGTAAGCAGGTTCTTGCAATCGCAAAATATCTCCGGCACACTTCCTTGTCAGATTGTTTGACTATGTATATGTATGATTTATAAATTATGGCTCCTTCATGGATAGCTGCCAGCAGTCTCCCATTCCAGGACGCTTATATCTTGTTTTGAGGCTCGCGCCATGCCAATATCTCGAAGAGGCCGTACTCGGCCATCGCTATGCATTGAGCAGGAGTCAAACTTTTTGGTATATCGACATGCCACTTTTTGAATCGACAGAAACTTGGATCGCTTCAAACATCATTCATGGCGTCACTCGTAAGATGGATATGTTGTCCACACAATTATTCATATCCTCATCTCTTTCAGATCATGTCGTGCTAGTCGTTTCGCATCGTCCATTTCGTCTGACCGCCAGGGCCGTTTTCTGTTGAGGCATGCCCGTCAGCTTCAACAGGAAGCCCTCATGCTGTATTAGATCCACTCGCCGTTATCTGTTTCTGCTTGTGTGCTCCTGCTGTCGCCATTGCAGAAACAGCAGACTCGCTCATGGTACGTCGTCTCGTTTCGAAAACAGGGCGCTGGGCATACGCTATAAGCATTTTGAAACTCGAACCGCGGCTTCTGCATTCGCCCAAAACGTTCTTGCTCGCAAAGACGCTTGTTGACAGGTTTCCATTGGATATCACACTGGCCTCGAAGCAGTGCTGCCACCACGTCCTGGCACTCCGAGAGACGATCTTTCCGATCTTTGCGTCAGCATTGTCTGAATGGTCGGCAATGAGGTCGTTCAGAGATAAATTCGCTCCTCTGCGGCCCTGACCGAATGACATTCGTGGAGAGGCCGTTGCGTGTCGCTGATCTCCTGACCCAGGTCCTGCAAATGGATCGGATCCGCCGCTGGAACGTGACGACGAAGGTGAATCACCCGGCTTAGACGGGGGCCCGGCTACCGGTACGCCCACCACGCATCGACTGATATTGGAAAACCCTCGAGCCCCAAGGACGTTCTGAACGTTGTCAATGATGGGCCTAAGGCTGATGTGTTTGTCCGCAGTCGTCATCTTGAATTTGAGCTCGCGAACAGCTCTTCGAGTTTGGACGCCCATGTTGACAATGTCCAGGTCGAGGAGCATGAGCTCAATATAGCCGCCAGGCTGCAAGACCCTCCTGCATTCTGCCATGAGATTCTTCAATTTCGCCTCCGCCATCGCTGGCGGAAATCGAACGACAACCGCACAGAAATAGGCAGATTGGAACGGAAAACGCTCATGAAAGCTAGAGATTTCGGCTCGACGATGGTTGTTGGGTGCGTGCTGCGATGTCTGCGATGGAAGTGATCTTTTGGTGCTGATCTTCTCTTTCAGATCATGCACAAATACTCTCTGTGCTTCGTATTCAACGGCGCAATAGATAGACCAATCCTCGTTGCCTAGTCCGTCGATGACCAGCACATGTCGGTCAGGTATCCTCTGAACCTCATCATGGGCAGGAGAGAAGAGTACCCGGCCAAACGAGAGCCATTTGGCTACCATCAAAGAAGCGTAATGTAATTCAGATTGCCCCACTGGGTCTTTGCCTCGCTCAACAACATCGAGAAGAGCAACATTCTCTTGATGACGGGACTCGGTCTGCATCTCTGGTGCAGCTTTTTGTACGCGGTCCAATGAGCGTCCACCTGACGAAGTACTTCTGTGCCCAGATATACGTTGACTGCTCCTTGGATGATTTTCATATTCGGTTAGGAAATCGCGGAAAGAAAATGGTGATGTAGGTTCGGTCGAGGAGTGCAGAGCCGGAAAGATTCCCGGCAGGCTTAGCCTAGTGTCTTGCTCTGCATCGTGGGTAGACCCTGGAGGAGGCGAAAGTGCCACGGAAGATCCTGTCGAGGGCAACATGCCTTGGTCCTTTACAATGGGTCGTCTTATATAAGATGCAGCGAGTCTTCTTGGGCCTCTGTCTGGGGTTTCGAGCCGTGATCGTAGCGCTTCCCTATCCCATAGCCTCACTTGGCCTTGATGAGTGGAATGGTCCACCGTCATTGTCTCTGTGTCGCCTTTGGCACTTCTTTTCGCCTCGGAGGGTGACATGACGTGATCAATGAAATCGTCATACTCATTCCAGACCTCATCGAGGATGGGACTTTGCGGCACGTATGCATCTGGCTGTCGAACGCCTCTCACCGGATGGTTGCCACCGACAATGCCCAAAGCCAATGGAGGTTTCAGGATACTCAGAAAGCCGTCAGAGCTGCTGGAAGCGGACCTTTCGGAGGTCTGCCTCGAAGGGAAGCGCAAGAACTCGGGTGCCTCAGGAGCTGGGGTGGTTCGCGGTTTGCCACCGTCTAGGCTCGGGACGAAGCCTTTTCGGGCTTCATTCTGGACCACTGGTACCAGGCCTGGTATTTCGTAAGGCTCGTTGGTAGTCTCCCGGACAAGGACTTTTGGAAAAGGCTGTGAAAATGAGGAAGGGCTGGGATGATGCTCTCTTTCTGTCCTTGATACGACGGGCGGTATCCTTCCTATGCGAGCGAGTCGCGGGGCTTTCTGTCTCGTTTGATCGGTCGGAAAGGAGGCCTCTCTGTTAGGACTGTGTAATGGCACCGTTATGGGTGCTCTTACAAAGAAGTGAGGTGGCGAAGATGGAGCAGCAGGCAGGAACACTTCGTCGTAGTAGCTTTCTTGCTTCTCTTCGATATCCGCAGTCTCTGTCTCATAAGGCCTAACGAGGGGGCTGGTCTGGGGGTATTCGACGACTTCCATCAAGAGATCTCCGGGACGTCCACTGGTATTGACTTCATTCTCAGATTCAATGATAGCATAATAAGGTGCTAGCCGTGCTGATGGAATTGCAGAAATGGCAACCGCCATCCCCTCGGGTGACGCAGAAGAAGGCATGGCTGTTCTCTCGGGCTTCACTTCCGCTTCTTTCTTCCGGAAGATGTTCCAGCGCAGCTTGCGTGACTTTTTGTCTTTTATACTAGTGTAGACATCATCCCCACGACTGAAGTCTGGTGTAGTGCTGGGAGTAGACGTAGATATCGCCAAGGCAGAAATGCCGCCCTCGCTCTGACTCGTGACATAGACAGGCGATGACAATTGCTCTGTTCGGATGGGGGTCGGCATACTGAAGGCTTCTGTCCCTGTCTCAAAGCGTTGAGACCGACGAACGGCCAAGGTCGGTCTTCTCCCTGGATTCAAGATGTCTTCTCTCGATGTGTGACTATGGTCCACAACGTATCGATTGAAAGAATGCTGAGACTGCTCAGGTGTGACCAGCTCGTTCATGCCTGAGGTTGGGGGTGAAATCGTGCGGCTCGAAACATCGCTTCCAACACCAGAACCAATCCTCATATGGGTCCCTGAGCCGCCCACAATTGGGACGGGCCTCATCCGAGTAGCGGCGAATTCGTCAAGATCCGACTGACTGCCACGTTTCTGGCGGCTGCTGCTACGGACGACACCTTTAGTGGAGAAGAATGGCGTTCTTCTCGTGCTGCTGACAGACCGTTCGCTTTCGCTACTGTTCGCCGAAGTATTCTCTTCTGAGGATTTCCGTCCTCGCCTGCCGTATCTACCATATCCCTCGTGACCGGTACCGGCGACCGGGCCTCGGCGCTGAAGTTTGCGTGGACTTCTTTCCACATCTTTTGCTGGAGACTTTGTTCTCCGGCCAAAAATGGCGAGGCGTGAAAATTTCCCAACACGACCGGGTGAGCTCTGAACGGCCGGTACTGAAGATCCAGCGGTGTCATCACGGCTGTCGAGGCGACGGCGGTCTCCCTTCCTTTTCGTATCGTCAAAGGGCATGGAGAGGATATCACTGCTGGATGTTGCGAAAGCTTGAGGCGCCGCTGCGAGCACCGACCGTTCACCATCGCCGAAAGAGTACGAAGTCTCTGACGAGGCCTGATTTGACGACGACTGCTCCAGTGACTGTTGGAGCTGACCATGGGCATGTGCAAGATGATTCCGCCCAATTGAGTCGCCAACATTTTCTACGTGTCTCCGTGTGCGCCTGGTGAGTGGACTTCTCTCCATTTCCGACGACGGTGGTGTTGGCTGATGGGGCCTGTGACTTCGACTGCTGCTTCGGCTCAGTGACCGTTTCGCAGATGAGGTACGTGAAGGAGGCGTAGGTGCCTCTGTGTCCAACGGCGTCCTTCTTTGGCCGGGAGGCCTCTTCGGAATAGGGGTTCCAATGGTGGCGGCGGGCAGTGAATATGACACTGGGACAATCGGTACATCTGGTGTCTCTTCCCGTGTGGTCATTCGCACAGGTATGGCGTGAGATCTCTTCCCAAGCGTCTTTATAGGCGTCTGTTGCACGATACTAGGTGAAGCGGATGACCATGACATGGGAGTCGTTGTTGTGGATACACTCCATGGGCTCGTGGAGTTAGAAGGCCAGGTCGAAGGGCTGCTTATCGAGCTGCCTGACTTATTTATCGCTTCTGGAAGCCTGGTAGAGGCAGCAGCAAGCGCCTGCAGCTCAGGTATAAGGCGAGGAGGGAGGTCGGCTGGTCGACTGGCAGAAGTGCTGGGTGGCATGACTATGCCGAAGATGGCATCACTTTCACCGTCCAAAGAAGTCATGGCGCTGCTGGAAGATTGCCAGGGCCGTGCATTACGTACGGAAGGCAGTCGATGAAGCCCTCTAGTCTGGACTTGAGGAGGATCCATCAGAAGCGGGACTTCTTGCGACGATGAACTCCAATCCGATGCCAACTTCTTCGTTGTTGTATTAGAAGAGACACTCGAAATCGGAGCAGTGACCTTGCGCGTTAGAGGCGTGGTTGTCGACCGAGGGATTGCTGTCAGTCTCGGGCGAGAGAAAACGCTGCCACTTTGCGTCTGATCCATCATCACGAAGTTTGATCGCAAAGTCGAATCTGTGGCCGTCCGAGTAGGGGTCGGTCTCGCCTGATAACCGGGCTGCCTTGAGGTCTGTAATGTGGCCCCTCGTGGCACAGTGGCATCTCTGGGTCTAGGAAGACCCTGCTGGGTGTCATACGTCTGTGATCTGTACGACATACCCACAGCTTGTAGACCCCTCGCTTGCATGTCCTCCTAGATTCAAAGTATGTTGATCGAGGTGGTGAAGTCATTCCGATCTCTTGATTCAATCCCGAACGTCGAGCGTACTGAACTTTCCTTCCCTGCTGTAAATGGTCGTAATGAAGAATGAATATCGCAATTGTATTGATGCTGTAAATATGCCGCCAATTTAATGCTGCTACCGTTGCGGCGCTCGAGTTTGGGTCGCCCCAAAATGTCTTTGTCGTATGTTGTACAAGTCGTTTGCATCCGAAACAAATATATGAATTGAGCTCAAGAGGACGTCAGTAGGAAGTGGGCAAGAGAACATTCATAGTCCACACTCATGCGGCGCCACAACGACTGAGTCGGCGTGACCGAGGGCAAAAATAGTAGCCAGGAACCCAGCACGTGACACAGCGGCAACACGCTCTCCTCGAGGCAAAAGTAGCCTATAATGCAGGACGCGTAGACGGAGAAGCGAGAAAGCAAAGAAGCGAAGGGGAAACTGGGCATATGCAGATGACTTCTGGGATAATAACCGCTGAGAGAGATATGGTTGCATGGGTCTATAATATAGGCGCAGGGAATCTTGCAGGCATCAGTAACGGCGGCAGGGGAGGTCATTAGTCGACACGAGTCATATACTCCATAAATGCGGCACATTCAGAAGTCCATGGCTTGCTTGCTCGCCTCGACAATAATGGATGGCGCACATGAATGTCCCGAGGCTTTCGACGGCGGGGCCGCTAAACAGCGCGCATACCTCGTATCCCAGTGCTCGACCCCGATTCACTATGCCAGGGTACAGGTCGAGGTCAAGTCGCCTTTTCGCCTTGCAATTCGGTCATTTCGATTCTGAATCTATGCGCCGGTATACATTTTGAGTCTCCATACGGAGGTCTCCATGATGGGTACTCCCGCGCTCAGCTTCGGAGAAGTCACGCCAGGATGACAGCTGACTTGATTCATGCTTTTCTTGGACACGTGGGGTCGGATTCTCGTCAACAGATTTCCGTGTCATGGCCTGGCCGAGTGGGTGGACTGGGTTTGGAGACTGTATGTAACTCGCTGCATAACCTGCGTATGAGAGCTTGTTAGACGCTTCTGGAAGGGTCATGCGCGAGGGGAAAAGGTCCAATGCGGATGGCGTCTGGACGGAAGACTGCATCATAGGCAGCAGTCATCTTGCGAAAGCGAGGCAGACACCAGGCAGGCCAAGTAAACAGTGATAAGTGGTCGTTACTCGTTTGTGCAACAAGTGAAAAGTGGAAAAGATCCGTGGCAAATAGTTGAGTTGATTTGGCATTGAAGAGTTGCAAAATCAGCCACAATGACTGGCACCTTCGTATTGATGGGAAATGGAGACCTGGCTATGAGTGCAAGGGTCAGCAAAAGACGATTGTAAGGATTTGCTTTTGTCGAATCGCACTCGTTGGAAGCGGAAGGCGAGAAAACGTGAGCACCAGTCGTGGAGGTAGAAAGATACTTTGAGCGTAATAAGGTGCCGCGGCTTGTGGGTTCAATGCGTCGTGGCAACGCCTAAAGCTGAGGCCTTTTGCGGGCATTGGGGGCGTTGGGTCAAGTGGGAAGTAAGGCTAAAAGGCCCGAGCCATGCTCGCCATCTTTCCGTTGGTGCGCGGAGAGACCTTTTTCCTTGGAGACTTTTGCGCCACTCATTCCTCATCGAATAAAAAGTACCATGGCCATATTCTGACAATCAAAACTAGGCATGACTACGTCAAAATCCACCACTTTTTGCAACCGGTCCAAACTCACAGCACCGGAACACTGCCTGGGTGATACTTCTGGGCCGGCGCGGGAGAGATGGTCTTCGATCTCAGTGATGCTCTCCACAGAGATGACCGTTGATTCCGCCAAACTGCTTGCTGAACTGTCATCAGTCAATTCTAAGAGGACAGACTTCTGCTTCCACATGAAATAGATACCAGGTACACTCCTTCGTAAGCTGACGCAGCTGTTTGAGAAAATGCGTTCGTCACTCATACCACTTTTGATATCACAATCCTCTGACTACAGACTGCAATGCCACGCCAAAGACACATGCTCGAAAGGACCTCCACCCATGCCGCCCATGCCATATCTGCAAGCCTCTCAAACCGGCAGCAATTAGCGTGACAGAATTACCCCATTTTTCCACTTCGATTTCCTTTTCCGCCTCGTTGCGTCGACCTCTTTTTCTATCGACACCCAATTGAATGCTCTATCTTGATAAAAGACAGCTTTTTGGCTGCAGATCTTGACACAGGGATCAAAAGCCGCCCGAAAACCCCTGCATTTTTCCGTGCCCTTCATCGGCTGGCACAAAACATCCCGATCGTGAAGACCTTCAGTTGCATCATCCAATTGAAAGACATATAGGGGGCTCGACGCATGACAATAGGCAGACTTCGTCAATCACATGACGTTTGCAAGATAACATCAATTCACTCATACCATCACCGACGCTTGCACGCCCAGGAGCGTCTTGCAGGGAAGCCGAACTTGCGATCGTCCCAAACCACTTCCTCCCAGTCATGGCGCCACAAGAAGCTGCAATTCCCCTGGAGGGTGGATGTGATTGTGGAGAAGTGCGGTATAGGATGGAAACAGAACCAATGATCGTTCATTGCTGTCAGTGAGTGAGGTGTTCGTGCGCAATTGAATCTTACACTGAAACTGCAGAGCTGCCGCTGGTGTCAGCGGGAGACGGGCGCGTCATTCGCTCTCAATGCCATGATTGAGACAGAGCGGCTGAAAGTGCTGAAAGGTGAACCAGAGTGGATCAAGGTGCCGAGTGCGAGCGGCGCCGGTCAAAGCATTGCACGCTGTCCACATTGCCGAATAGCTCTCTGGAGTATATATCTGCAGAATGTTGCTAAAATCAAGGAATCTATTTGGATAGTGCGGGTTGGCACCTTGGACAAACCAGACTTGCTGCCACCCAATGCTCACATCTGGACGTCAGAGAAGCAGCCTTGGATCGTCCTCTCAGACGACGCACCCGCGTTCAAGACTGGCGACTATGACCGGGAGAAAGTCTGGTCCGTACAAGGTTTGCAGAGGAGGCAGCGAGTAGCAGAACTAGAAGATGTCCAGAAGGGATTGCTGGTGGAGTGAGTGTCATCTCTGGAGCAGTATCTGTACAAGAACATACTCGGACTGCAATGGCTGGCGGAAGATATCTGGGAAGCGCCATACGCTTGCAGCATAGCTGATAAACGCACGGTTAGGACCGGCCAAGCAGCGATTTTGCAGCTTGTAGAGTCTACAAGGGTTCGAGACAATACTAGTAGGGAGTAAATCTTCAGCCTTGCCTCCCATCAGCTGAACTTTCAGCCCTCATATCGTTAGCCACGGGGTTGAGGATCTGCGATGGGGAACTTCTCTCTCGCCTACGCTCGCTAAAAGGCAGTCGATTCGATCTGCAAGAACGCGACCAGACGAGATCGGAAGAAGCATCATCAGTCAGCCTTGTCACGGCAGGCGCAGGCTAAATTTCTAGCAACTTTGCAATCCCTGTAGCATCTGCAGATGTTGTAGACTATCCCGGCCAGCAAACCACGAGGTATCTATATGTGTATGATCATGCAGATAACCAGCGCGTGGTGACAAAACGAGGATATTTGATCGTGTATGAAACACGTAAGGTGAGTACTCCGTAATGTACCTAGTATATACATACCAGGTAGATGTTCGCTTAACTCGGTAAACGATGCGGCTACCAGAATTTAACAGGGTCTACGTATGGGACAGGTAAATTCCAGGTAACCCTGCGAAACGAAACGCGCCGATTTCGCCGACAGCCATCAACACCAGCATACAGTATCCTTTCAATTGCTGCCTACTATCTCTCACGCTTCGCTATCTAGTTGATTCCCATTGGTGTCATCCTCAGTCAGAGCTCGAAGCAGGGATCCCTCTATTGCTGACTTTGCGCAACCCAACGGCGCAATTGACGCGACCTCCATCAGGTTCCAATCATGGTCGACTATGCGAAGAAGACAGTGGCAGAGCTGCAAGAAATACTGAAATCGCGGAGCCTGTCGCATACTGGAAAGAAGGCCGAACTCATCGCAAGACTCACTGAAGCCGATGAAGAAGCTGCTCAGAACGGTGCGTACCCCAGTGCTCACAAAATCCCTCCACTCCCAGAAATCCACCTCACCTGCCCGAAAACCCTGCGCATATACGAAGCTCGTAACTGCGCAACATCTACTGATGCCATGTGTCTTTAGAAGCGACTAAAGCCCCTCCTGCCGAAGCAACCAGTGCGCCACCTGCGCAAATACCAGAACCTGCAGAAGAAGCGGCCCTAGAGCCAACAGCGGCATCCCAAGATGCTCCGGTAGCTGAACACATTGAAACGACTGGAACTGCTGCCGCTGCGGACACCGAGCCAGCACCTGCAGCTTCAGAGTCGTTTGCGCTTCATCTACCCACCTCAGAGGTCGACGCGGAGCTAGCCAAGCGCAAAGCCCGCGCTGAACGATTCGGTGTTGCGAACGGGGATGTAGGCGCTGCTGGTACAGAAGATCCAGACACTGAAGCAGCGAGAGGTTTGGAACGTGCGAAACGTTTCGGCACCGGACAGACAGCGATGGGCAAGTTGGACGAGGCTTTACCATCAGAGATTGGAAGAGGTGGTAGGAAACGTGGCAGGACAGAGGAGACCAGTGCTATGGACGATCCTGCCCTGCGGAGAAATCTCAGTGGACGTGGCCGAGGAGGAGGTCGCGGTGGAAGGTTCCGTGGAAGAGGACGGGACGACTCCAGGAAGAGAACGGGAGAGAGACCTACTGGCGTGTCCAAGTCGAGCAACATTTTCTCTTCAGAGGCGGATCGTCAGGCGGCTGAAGCAAGGAAGAAGAAGTTTGCGTCGGCGACGTGATCCGATTTTCGTTTGGGTTTGTACAAGAGCTTTACATGGTTGGTTCTGGGAAAGGAAGACGTTCACAGGCTTTTAACAGTCGCAAAAGCAGAAAACTCGATACGAGATGGATATCACTACTGTGTACTTTATTAGGCAGAGGTGGACATTATCAGAAAAGATATCATTACGACACCTATTCCGCATGGCGGACCGTTCATGTTCCTGTCGCCTCGTCTTTCGAACACGAATTTTGACTCGGCGGATGTGAAAGCATGAGAATTAAGGAGATGTCAACCGGCAAAGCAGTATGTTTGGCTCCTGAAGATGCCGGAACTCTTTGGATCGAGCACTGGCTGACGAGATATAGCATTGACCATTACACGGTATGTAAGCGCTTACTTTGCGGTTCATGGTAAGTACATAAAGGGTCAATGGGAAACCACATTTGCAGACGAATGCTCTTTGGCATTTCTATCTGTGTATCTAGCTAAAGGACATGGACTTTTTCCTCCACTATGTACGTGCGTCACCATCCTTTTGTGGATGGTGAGCCTTCTATCAACACCTTCTGATCACTTTGACAGTGAGACAGCCAGGTACAACAACACCACACATCACTTCTCTCAACAACTCTTCCAAGATGAAGCCATGCTTCCACCTGCCAACATCAACCCACATTCAACCTCCCAAACACCAATCCCATGCTCCATGCCTTCCCACAACTCTCCATCAGATCACATCCAGTCCATGTCCTGTCCAACACCCATGCCAACACACCAAGCCACTCATCCACGGGCCACATTCGCCTCAGCCAACTGTGCTAATCTGAAATGACAAATGAAATGCTATCCTAATCTTCTGTTGCGGCCTTGTTTTCTTTTCTTTCTTCCCTTCGAGGGGATCGGCCTTTTTTTGTTTTTGTGGTGTGCAACTCATCTGATGAGATGCTGCTGAAGTGACAAAAGAAATGTTGACTGAGGTCGAATGTTCCCAACTCGATGCTCCGGACACCCTTCATCACTGACAAGCCTTCGACAACCATTTGCATCGCCATGCAATACCGCCAAACTAGCTAAGCTGAACAGAAATTTCTGATTCCAGGTCATGATCCTTGAATCAATGACCTGGTTGGCCTTCCTTGTCGGGCTCTTTTCTTTTTTTGTTTTTTTTGGGTTGCTTGAGCTCTTTTGCTGGCTCAGTGTTTTGTTGCTAAACTGAAAGATATGAAACCCCTGTTCCCCATGTTGCTCCTTCATTGTCCTTCTTTGAAACCTCTCAGGCACGTATGCAAGAGAGGGGGTTTGAGCTTTTGAAGGCTCAAGTTGTCCTTGACCACCCAATGCAAGCATTGGAGGTCGAAGGCGTGAGATGGTAAGAGTGCAAGAGAGGAAGGGGAAAAGGAAATACTTATACCCAGAGAATCACTCGCCAAGCCAGAGGCTCTGAAGACTTTCTCGAACTGATCTCACCTTGGCGGAGGGCGGTGATAGCGACTTGGCAGAAAGAATGTGCCTCACCTGCCAGAAGTTCACGAGAGTGGTTCAAGTTGTTGGATGTCACCGCTTCAGCGAATGCGCCAAATGATCTGGGGGCTGGGCAGATGCCGACTTGAGTGTTTCTCGGCAGGACAGCAGCAACGTTGCTCTTTGGGCGGCAACCGGAGATATCAGATGCGCATGGAGTTCTCTACACCGAGATGCCCGGTCTTGAGAACGGATTCAGATTTGATACTAGCCTTTCCCATGGCAGCCTGATCACGTGATGTCCTGCCCCTATTCTCCACTATTTCAACTGCATAAAGAGCAATGCTTGGATGCCCTTTACAGGTCTCTGGAACTGTCTGGTATATACTACCAGTGTGGAAAGGGTGGGAAACAGCCGCATCACGTAGGTACCTGCACAAATACTGGAGGCATGAACTTGCATTGGCAGGCACTCCAATGGTTCTACAGCAGCATTGGCTGGTAGCCATAAACCCATTCTTCGGAATGCCTCATCAGTGGCCAAAGAGTGTAGAAGGTCCATTTACAGGCAGCATCGTTCCAGAGTAGTTCGTCCGCTCGCATATCAGGTACTCTCAATGTGTCCGCTTCTCAGTGAAGCAGCCTTGCCAATTCTTCACCTCAGCCTCGTCACGTCGCGTGAGTGGCAAGAGACCAAGATGCCTCATTACTGCCTGACCCAGACTCCTGCAAAGTCATTTCTCAATTATGATTCACTTCCGATCGACTCACCGCCAGTGTCACCGCCAAGATCAATCGTTTCCCAAGAGTAGAAGTATCTGCTCTTTCCCCCAACTCGTCCTTACTTTTTCTTCTCATTTTCAAGTTTCCCCAGGCTGGTAACGGGAACGAAAAATAAAAGTCTTCAACCACACCAACACTAAGGTTCTCCTTCTTTTTACTAAAGAGGCCTTTGTTGCTGCCATTGAGGTTTTGGGTGCCAGCAGACTTTCGAGTCTTGTTCCAGCCGATAAGGGTGTCAATGACTAGGTTCTGCGTTCCGCCTTGCCGGCGGCCTCTTCTGAGTGCGTCTCTATAGTGCTGCTGTTTGCCCTTCGGGGGATTCAGCATGCCATGAGACAATGCTGCCGATGACTGTCATGGCTCGTTCCGTTCGTTTGGACAGGGGGTATCCTCGAGGATGGCAGTCCAGGAATATTCTTCGGAGTAGTTCCTTGCCTAGAGGTGCTTCTGACTGTAAGGCATGCATCTTGATCTTGCATTTTGTGAGCAGACCCATGCTTCAATGGCTTTTTGGTGACAGGTTGATTGACTTGTCGGACACCTACCATCTTGGTCTTGGTGGTGTCTGTGTCCTTTTACAACTCGTGTCTTTGGACACTTTTCTCTCTTTTTCATCGTAATATTGGCCTTGTGCCAGGTTACGGAGAAGAAGATTGATACTTTATGAAATGCCCTCATAAACAATGATGCCGTGTTGATGAATGCCGAAACAGAGCATGTGGGCGGCTGAGAAAAATCCTGCTCGATGCATGCCCTGTGACCAAACAGTGGTTTCTCCTAGACCCTATTTCTTGCCTGGACCTGAAGCTTGTTGTTGCTGAGTCTGCGCCATCTTTGCTCTTGCACTTCTGCTGCCGCCCAATTTCGGTCCTTTGGCTTCTGCAGCGGCACCAGCCGGTCCCTTGGCTTGACTTGCGGGCTTGCTCTTTTGTCTCTCTGCCATTGCATCCAGAAAATCCTGTCGGAACTGCTCGGCCAAGCGTTCATCAGCATCACTACCGTCTGATTCCTCTTCGGCATCTTCGGCTGCGGCTTGTCGCTGTTGCACTAATTGATCCGCATCGTAGAGGCCAAGTTTGTTCTCGCGCATAAGTTGCTCAACAAGGGCGTCACGAGCAATGTCCTCGCTATTCCTCCCTTTGCGTGGCCGCGGTCTCATTGGTTTGCCGTCACGACCTAGTCGTGGCTTACGCGGCTTCTGTGGTTTAGATTCTTCGTCTAGAGGAGGGAGGCCTAGTCTGGCTCGTTCCAGTGCTAGTTGAGTACGTGCCAGATTTCGTTCTTGGGCAGAGGAACCCAGGTCGATCTCGGCCAGCTGATGGTTGGTGGCTGGATCAGCTTGGGCGGCTGTTTTCGGACCCTCCGACCCGGGCGCTTCTGGTGCTGGCAACATACCCGTGGCTTGTTGAGGAAGAGGTTGCGGAGTATCGGAACTACCAGTTTGATATCGTCTTCTAGCCAATTCGGAGTCTACGAAGTCAACCCTTGGATGGTTAGCAAGCTGTTCCTTCATTTCAGGCATATACCTAGGAGGGTTTTTCCTACATATGTCGATCGACATTGACGACCTGCCCTGTACTGCTGACAAAGCGGCTGGTGATGTCCATGGGTTTTTCTGGAGGCTGATCGGTCCTGATTATTGGAGATTCAGTGTTCCGGGCCTCATTTTCCGGCAGACTCTTGGTGTTCGAGAAACGCACGCCTGCAACATGTTTCCGATGGGTTTTCCGCGCGCGGATCAAGTTCGTCACCTCGACTTCGTCATCGCCATCGCCATTGCCGACATTCCGCTCTTCGAGTACTGGTGCCACATATTTTGCGTTTTCGATTCCAGAGGATGTCGATGTCGCTGGAGGCGCGGACTCGAGTGAAGCCTCACGGTGTGGTCGTGCAGTTTTCCTTCGTTTGGTTGCACGGAAGACCGCTACTTCTTCCATTGCCTTATCGGGAGAATAGCTTCGAAATGACCTTACAGCATCTAAGTCGTCTTCGACGAGTTTAGATTCACTCAATATCTCTAAGCGTATCAGGTAGGCGAATTCAGACGATGAGCTAGAATCAAAACAGTCCGAAGATACAAGAAATGAGATGTCGTTGTTACAAGCTTCATCGGCCACATGGCAAGTCCGACGATTACCCGGAATGACTTCCTGAAATCAATACCACCGAATTTCCATTAGCATGCAATTTTCGGCCATTGAGATACTACAACTTTGAGACAACTGTCGCTGAAAGGTCAAAGGGCTAACCCCATCTTCTCAGTCTTGCACGATTATAAGCAGCCTCACTCAGTCTGCTCCAGTCATATCCCGGATCTGATATGTGACGAGGACTGGCTTGCCTCTTCAATTCATTGCTTTTTGGCGGTGCATCAAAGCCTTCTTTGAATCCCTGAAATTCACAATCGCCGGCCAAACTGCTGCTCAATATGCCTGACAAAGCGTGTGGACTCTCGAAGGTCAGGGAACACAAGTCCAAGTCAGAATAAAGTTGGATTTCGCCCTCCCCAGTTTCTTCGCCTCTCCATCGAAAGCTGACATTCTGATTCTTTGAAGACGGAAGCGCAGCCTTTGAAAAGAGAAATTGTGTGGGCGTAGAACCTTCCTCTTCTGACTCATCATCATCATAACCGACTTCATTCTCATCAGAGTCGGTATACTCCTCCTCTTCGACAAGAGTAGGAGGTTTTGGATTGACGAACCGCAGAACACCAGTGAGTGCAACAAACTCGAAAAAGCCGAATAGTTGAACTAGGCCATCCGGTCGAGGCTGAGTAAGGCGTATCACGAGATTGCAACCCTGATCACTTCTATGTCCGTACTGCTCTTCAAGGTGAGGGCAAAGTACCTTCCATGTACCACTCACATCCCACTGTCCTTTCGACTTCGTTTCCTTCGATTTGGCGAGATTGAATTGCGTGTAAAACTCCTTGCGAGTTCTCGCTTGCTTGCTTTCTCCCTCTTCCTCCTCCTCTTTTTCTTCGTCCTCCTCTTCTTCTTCGTCCCCTTCTTCGTCTTCGTCCTCTTCTTCGTCCTGTTCCTTCTCCTCACCGTCCTCCTCCTCTCCCTCATCATACCCGTCCTCTTCTGTGAAATTGGCCCTCAAAGCGGCTCGTCTCGCGTATCTATCTATCTCGGCAGCCTTGAAAGTGACTGCTTGCCGAGTAGTACCAGCCACAAAGATACAGTCGGTCCCAATGAGTGGCTCTACAAGTGGCGATAGCGTCAGGAAACGCAGATCCAGTTGAAGGCAAGCCTCTCGAATACCGTGGCCCCGGTCGTCCAGTTTCACGGCAATGGCATCCTCACCAGCACCAGTCTGGGGGAGCAGAGTCTCACACAAGAACCTCCTGGGCCACTGCTTCGCCTTCTCATCGCCACTTGCGCTACTCCAGTTTCTTTCGATGGCTCTTATATTCTTCAGCTCATACTGACGCTTCATCTTTTCAAGGAGTTCTTCCATACTGCTGCTCATTCCTGAACCTGGGTGTCCACGAATACGAGCCTGGAGGTCGCGTATGCTTCCGTCGTTTGGCAAACCACGATACCTACATTGCGCCTTCCACCAGTTTAGCGACTGCTCAGGAATGGTTGATTGTCGACCGACAACCTTCTCTGCCTTTGTGGTCTCTTCTGTGAGCAAGGGTAGAAAGTGTGCAATATCAGCTTGGTATGTGGTGCGGTCATTTGATTCGTCCCAAAAGTCGAAACGAGGGCCTGAATCGATGTCATCCCTCTTGCAGTCCAGATCAGGGTATTTGGGTTCCAACATCAAGTAGATGTCCTCTGGTCTAGGTTCGACCCGACGATAGTAATACTCCTGACCCGATAGTGACGTCTTGATGCCGCGCATAACCGGTGGTGGAGTGCCATACTCTTCTCGAAGCTTTTGCTCATCCATAGGGTTGATGTTTCCTAGTTTGCAAGGATTCCACAAGTTGCCGTGCCTAGAGGTAGGATGCAGCCTTAGGTACGCTCCTCCGTCTTTCCTGGGTCTCACCTGGAAATGCGGCCGGGAATCATCATGCGAGAACACTGTCTTGGCTTAAGAAAAGGTGCCTGCTGGCCCCAGGTGCCTTTCCGAAGATAGTCTTCGGGTTCCTTCATGAACTTGGAGTTCTTAACGAGTTGTGCCAATGCGAGTGTCGTACGAGGAAGCTCTTAAAAGAGGGAATCATTAAAGCAGCAGCATGATTCCTGCCCGGCAAGGCTGAGAGCTTTCGATTTTATTTCTCTTGGCGCAAGTTTACCTTCGAATCCAATGCTCGCGCGATCATCTCAAAAAGTGTCTGTCCATCTCGCCTCTACTCTGTCCAACACATAGCTCGATCCCTTTCCCCATCGAGCCGCACACAGAATGTCCGCGCCTATATCCTCCGCAACATACCGTTGCTGCCAGCTTGCAGCTCGAGCACAGAAACGAAGCCTCTCCTCCCAATGCCTGCGCCTTTCCTCCACAAGCTCTCCCGACCAAGCAAGACGGCGGAACAATCAAACCATCTCGAGGGCGACGAGGAGATGGCAGTCGACCGATGCGGCGGCATCAACAAATCCTAAGATTACTGGTATTGTGGACCAAATATCGCAGTTGACTCTGCTTGAGACTGCGGATCTAGTTGCGAGCTTAAAGGTATGTCCATCATGGCGTTACCCATCTGTCACCCATCTACTTGTGTCTCTTGGGCTATCTCGCTTACCCTGCGCACAATGACAATCATGAACTCGCGCTAATTCTTACCCAGTCTCGACTGAACATTCCTGATATGGCTTTCGCCGCACCCGCCGCCGCTCCTGGTGCAGGCGGTGCTGCTCCCGCCGCCGTTGAAGAGGAAGAAGCCGCCCCTGCCGCAGCCGAGAAGACCATGTTCGCCGTGAAACTGCAATCGTTCGAGGCGACCTCCAAACCGAAGGTCATCAAAGAAGTCAAGAGCATGCTCGGCCTCAGTTTGGTGGACAGCAAGAAATTCGTGGAGAGTGCGCCAAAGGTCTTGAAAGAAGGTGTCCCCAAAGAGGATGCTGAGAAGATTGTTGAGACAATGAAGGCTTTGGGAGCTGTGGTCACTATGGAATAAAGAATGTACATCGACCTCCCGAGATCGATGACGTGGATATAGGAGGGAGATGAGCTCCCTTCTGGTTGTTGATGCTTTGCATTCAAACACTATGTGCGACACCGAGAAGACACGAACAGACCTCACAGACTCGAACACATAGAATCTGAGGCGCGATGCATAGGCGCAACACGTGGTACATGAGTGGAGTCGATCATCAACGTCCTGCACAGCTTGGTGTGCTCTGAATCCTTCTTGAACAACACGGTGTAACTATATTTGAGGCATGGGAAGAAGGACCATTTACGAAAATGTACAATTTTGACACATCACCTCGTGGCATGAGGCAAGGAACAACCATTTGTGTAGAGTTCGGTCGAAATATGCTTACGGTTTGAAGAGGCCAAGCTGCTGGCGCAAAGAGGTACTGTATCTCCAATGATCATGACATGTGGGCAACGTCGCAGACACACAGGAACGCCATTACCATTCCCAAGCTCCTTCATCAAAAGGGACATCTTTACCGCGTCTGGAATCTTGTGATCGATACCAACAACACTCTTACCCGACTGAGACGCTGCAACAGTAGCCTGGTTCTCACTCTTCTCTCAACGGTGCACTTGATAGGGTCATCCTCAAGCACCAGTAGTCCAGCAACGGTACACCCGCCAGGCGTTCGCGCCCGACCTGACACCTCCCACGAGGTGCCAACGCGATAGAGATCCCGTGATGAACGCTTGCCTTCATGTTCTGTATTCGGGGTAGTCTTCCGGTTCACTCACAGCATATTGCTTTGCAATTAATCCAGAAACATCCGGTTGCTCATCTGAGTGACGAAGTAAACATGTGGCATGCGAGATAATAGAATTATTTTTGGGACAGGCGTGAAAGCCCTTAAGGAATGGGCAGATCCACGCTGCAAGGCACACCAATCGGGGTTCATCTAGGCTCCGGCAAGGCTGGCATTGTCCCGCTCATCTTTGGATCTTTCAGATCTACAGTTCCGCATTCACCACAATGCTCTAGGACTACCGCACAGAGAAGATATTTGCTTCTGACCACGCCGCTACGGCGAAGAGTCCTTTAGCCCACAAGGACTTGGTCCATCCACGCTGACATCGACAATGTGAACAACTTCGCACACCAATTTTGTCTGCAATTGCGAAAATCCACATCCTCATCCGCAAACATGGCAGACCCATTCGAAGTGCGCATGCGCTTCACGAACCTCCTCACGCATCTGTCTGCGTCAGCAACAGCATCGATCAAGACCGCGCACTATGCCCTCAAGCACCGAGACATGGACGAGGATCTGCACTCCTGCATCATCGAAAACCTCGAGAGGGGAAACAACATGAACAACCGAGCAAACATAATGTACTTTCTCGAGCACCACGCCGACGTCAACTCGAAGGAAGGCGGCCACGAAGCCTACGTCGATATGATCCGGCGGGACATCCAGCGCATCGTAGACGCAGTCGCCCAGAGCGGTGCCAACGTCAAAGTGGTAAGGCGAGTGGTCACCGGACTGGGCGAAAAAGGCGTACTCACAACAGAGGTACTCAGCGTCATCGAGACTGGCCTGAAGGACAAGGAAGAGAAAATGGGGAGACTACTTGGCGACGACGATGGTCGAGCGGACGGAGAAAAGGATGCCACAACCAACGCCGCCGAGGGCGCAGCTGAGAGTCATAGACCAACGCCCAAAACAGGATATTCGGGGAAGCCTAATGGCGTATCGCGTATGGACAAGCGAGCGATTGAGCAGAGAATCGAGGAGGATCGAGAACGAAATAAGAGGCTACGAGAGAGCGTCTGGGCGATTACAGGTGACGACGATCAGGAGCTAGAAAAGATGTGGGAAGAAGGAAGTTCCGTTGGTGAAGATGAGCATGTTATTGCTGACGAAGAGGCTGAGGAGCGCCTTCAATTCGTCCGATACCATCAAGCAACGCTGGGTATCTGAAAAGGGCATGACATGAGGCTGGTACCGAAACCCCCAACAGGCGGCTCCTCGTTTGGAATGGTCTCTCGGAGAGACCGCCCTTGGTGCCTCAAGATCAACTGCATTTCGGATGCAGAAGTGCGTGAATTTTACACGCGGATCTTACGCCCTCCACACAGCAAAGTCTAAAAGAGCGCACCCTCAGACTTTCGCTTTCTTAGACGCGCCGTTGGGCTCATCCGGCTCATCTTCATCGTCCGACTCAATAATCTTCCTCTTGCGAACTGGTGCAGACGCCTCTCCATTTCCATGTCGATCAGCCTCCTTCTCTCTTCTCATGGAATAGGTATAGATGAGGCCTTCATACTCATCCTCCTGGCCCCGAGCGCTATCCTCAATCTGTGGAAGGCGTTCTTCAAGAGGCACCTGCTGAAGGATATCTTGGTTCTTCTTCATGATGCGTTGCTTCAGCAAGAGCCGCCACCAGTAATAACTCCTGTCATGTGCATTGGGAGCTCTCGCACCTCGGATTTTGAGACTGGTGAGGGATGCACCTCCTAAAGAGCGGTGCGACAGTGGAATCTCAGCTAGCAGGTACATCTCAACCATACGAGCAAATTGCCGGCTGGCGATTTTGTTCTTCGCGCGAATATCCTGCAACTTCTCCAGAGGGAGCAACTTTGTGGTTGGCACAAGCTTGAGTCTTCCTCGTTCGACAGTCGTGAAGGGAGAGGTATCAATTCTGAGGTCGACAGCATCGAACTGAGGTCTGAGCACATCAAAATCATTCATGTCGCGCAGCTTGTCGAACTCTTCACTCGGATCTTCCACTGTCATTTCCACTATGGTGGGATCGGCCATGACCTCCTCGTATACTGCTTGGTAAAGGGCAGAACCGTGGCCAGCACTTTGATAGGGAGGTGTGATCAAGAATTGTGATAATCGTAGTCGAGAAGGCAGTTTAGTAGGTGTGATTATTTCTGACGAGGGAAAGGCGAATGAAGATTGATGTTCTTTTGGTTTTTGGATCTTGTAGAAGCGGTAGGTCGTTGCGTAACCGACAAATGAGTACCGCGAGGCTGTCGGAGTTGGAGCCTGAGCTGCTTTGTGGTAGGTGAGATACACCCTCCATCTGTCCAACGTCCAGTCCGGATCTTCCAAGTTGATGAACTGTCCACCTTCAATGAAGAAGACAATCAAGATTTGGATGTTGTCGACGAGTGTCCGCATAGCCATGTCAAGTAATGACCCGGCCCAGACCTCATATTGCTGTCCCCCTCTTGTGTACTTCTTGACGAGGGTTCCAGGAGGTGTCCAAATTGCCGCCTTCGCATCGTTCTGCACTTCTTGGTCGAAGCCTTGTTCAAATGCAATCGGTGGTAGGAACTCGCCCAATTTTTGGTTCAGATCGAGTGCGCTAGTGCTCCCGATCGTGTTGAACTTCTTTTGATATGATATTTTGACATGCGGACGGAGGTCATGGGCTGCAAATCGGATCTCAACGTCTAATCCTTTGTAGCCGAATATCTGTTCGGCCTCGCCGACAATTGGGTAGGTGAATTTGGGATGGAAGTCATGCCGGGTTGTTAGTTTGTTGTTAGGCCCGGGCTGAACTATCGCAACGTGAACAGCGTCGTTCGCGTTGACAGAATCTGACCATCGTTAGCAAGATGCTTGAAGATCTGCCGCAGGCCCTGGACAACTCACATTCCTCCGCTTGCGCAGCCATGATCGGCTTGTTTTGCGCGACCGTTTTCTGGTTCAGTAGTGGTACATAGCGGGTGGGGGGAAATATCGGACTGATGGCAGTGTTCTTAGTGATAGGGTCACAGATATTCAATGTAGCAAGTGACTATTGAAATACTGGATGGTGTCTGAAGTGATGTCGGTCATGAGCATGGTGTCCTACGAGTCTTCACTTTGCGATTGCTCCGGCGCGACGAGCGACACTTTACGCGTCGAGCATGTTGGCTGAACCTTGCCACTATAAGCATTCCTTAGGCACGATAAAGCGGCAGAAGCCATTTTTGTAGCAGTACATAGAACACTCCACGACACCCAAAGCCCTACCTGTATCTTGCCATTCTTCTCCTTACACTTCCTCGCTCTGCTGACTCTTTTCCTGTGCTGTATCATCGCTCTTCGCTTTCTGCTCCTTTTTGACACTCCTCCATTCCATAGCTACAGACCCAAATATCGTAGCACTCGCTAGCGCTGTCGCCAGGTAGAAGGTGCTTCTTAACGCCTCATTGTAAGCCACCAATACCCGGGGCAACATGCTCGCCGATACTATCGATCTCAGTTCTGTCGCTCCTGTTGCAACAATGGAAGCCACATTGAGCCCAGAAATTTTCGCAAGGTCTTTGGCAAACCGAGAATCGAAGACATTGTTGCCAACACTGATGAAAACAGCGCCTCCCAGCATCTGGGAAAACATCATCAGTGATGCTCCAATCGGGACATCTTGACGAGCAAGTACTGTTTGCGCTCCAACTGAAGGCTGTTGAGATCCAAGGCCAAAACCAAAACCGGAAAGGGCGCCCGCAGTTATCCACACCGCATGACCGGTATGGACTGAGAAGGTCGAAGTCAGCCCGGCGCCGATTGGCGTTATGATTGACGACAAGATCATCCATTGTGTGAAATAACCGGTCTTCTTAGTTAGGATGCCTGCCGAAACTGATGCAATCACCAATCCAATCACAAGGGGTAGGGTCATGACACCAGATTTGATCGGAGATGCCCCCTTGATTGCCTGGAACCAGATCGGTAAGAAATAGAGCATTGTTTGCATGCAGGCACCATTGTAGAAGGAGAACCAAACACCTGCGAGTATGCTTCGGTTGAGAAGTATGTGTCCAGGAATGGTAGCATCTTTGCCCTTCCACCTTTGGATCAATACAAAGGCGACAAAAAGGACTCCCGCGAGGACAAGGAGGACAACGACACGGGCATTGGACCAGCTGTAAGTCACACCACCCCATTGAAGCGCTAGTATCAAGCAGATGATGCCGGGCAAAAAGCAGGCAGTGCCCAGCCAGTCAAGTCGAGCCGCTTTTTCTCTCAGTGTTGATGAGTTTTGTTGAAGCATTCCCGCGGGAATGTGCAAAAAGAGAACAATCATGGCGATAGCCACAGCTCCGCAGGGTAGGTTGATGTAGAAGCACCATCGCCAGCCAGGTCCATTGGTCAATGCCCCTCCAATCAACGGGCCGACGGCGCTGGAAAATCCGAATACGAGCCCGCCGATGCCCATATACTGCGGCCGTTTGTGCAGTGGCACGACGTGAACCATGATGATGATGGCGCCTTGGACTGCAAATCGTCAGAAAGTTGTATCGGTCTACACTGGGATAAAGCAAAAGACTCGTGCTTTGATGGCACAGTCTTTCGCCAAAAAGGATTCTTACAGAGACCAGCACAACCCAAGCCTGCAATAGCACGACCGACAATCAGAGCCTTCGAGTTGGGCGCCGTGCCGCATACTGCTGACCCAATCTCGAAGACAACGAGCGCAATCAAGTACACCCATTTCGGGTTGAACATGGTGTACAACCGGCCGATGAGCAGCATCATGGAGCAAGCAGTCAAAAGGTAGGCAGATCTGGTACATCGTCAGGACTTTATGATTTCAAATATGAAGAATGTCAGCGATAAACATACCCATACCATCCGACATCTCCAAGCGAGTGGAATTGATCGGTGATCCGGGGAACAGCGACGCCAATGACGAATCTGTCGAGGGAGATCAAAAATGCGGTCATCTGGGAGCTGTCAGAAAGCTGCATCGGTGAGATGTAGGCATGCGGAAAGACTCGTTCTTCGATGACACAGTCTTCCGGAAAGAAAACCACTTACATAGAGGCCTGAAATGATAGCGATCACCTTGCTTGTCGGAGGGTAGGTCTGCTCGACTTGACCTCCTGGGTTCTCGGCTACTTCAGACGTGCTTCCCTGAGAGGTCGACGGCGGAAAGCCTGGAGGCCCGTTGGATCCCATGGCTTTCACTCCTCTAGCTTGAGCTGCGGTTTGGGTCATGGTGTAGGATCTACTATGGGTTCTGTATGGTTGATGTTGCTGCGACGACTATGGGCCATGGTACAGGTCCAGCAACGTACCTCGCCTTTTTTATATCTCTGAAATGTGTTCGACATCATTGTCAATAATGGTCTAGCATGGGACTCCATTCTTTGACAATGTGTCTCGCTGCTTGCAAGCTCGGGGTCCCGAACATGAGTTTGTAATTGTTGCAAGTTCAATCGCGCCGATGCACCACGACGAGGCTTTGGGTGACTCGGGCGAGATGAAATTGAGAAGCTCCCGAACGCTCGGAGTGGGTCGCTATCCATTTGACCCGAAGGCTCGATGCCCATAGAAATTGGCATCGTCTGACCACTGTAGCTGGTCAGGTTCCAAGTACCTAGGTAGATATCATTCTTGTTGTCATTACGGAGTCCTTGACACACAACGATATAGTGTTGGCTTTTGGCATGGGGGAGGCCATCAGCTCTACTGTACAGTGCTTCTGTCTTGCTGTCGAGGCTTCCAGTGTTGGGAACCAGCTTGACTTCGAACTTGTGTCGTAGAGATACTCCCTGTCAGACGGTGCCACTTTATTCAAAATGACCTCGCGATCTCGGACTTCTGTGCTCATGGACGCCCGAAAACACCCCAGGAGGCCTGAGCTTCTTGCAAACAATAACAGGCATTATTGGTCGAACTAAGATGCACTGCTCATCAATAACTCTCTCTCCTAGCCTCCGCGAACCAAAGTCTTGTTTCTCCAGACTCATGTACAGATCCTAGCACGGTCCCACGTTGTGGTGTGCCGTTTGTGGCTGTTGTGGATCAAACTTCTGCAAGGCTTCTCATGCGCTAAAGACATGTGGTCGCGCAAGATATGTCTCTTGGGCCTTCGTCTTGCATCTTAACAAGACTACATTCGGTGGTAGCTCGAACCTCTCATCTCGCAGATCGGGCAGAAGACAGCAGTTTCTCGTCTTACCTCTTCATCATTTCGTTGGTTGAGCCACCACAAGCAATTACCAAGTATGGATACAGTGGATACAGATCCGCCGTCGAACAGACCCTCGCTCAGCTGCATTCGGTGCGCCGACAGAAAGGTCAAGTGTGATCGACAGGAGCCTTGCAATGCTTGTATCAAGCACAAAGCTCAATGCATTTATCGTCAAATTCCACCGCCACGAAAGAGACAAAAACGCGCCAAACAGGAGATCCTCTCCGCACGAATCAAGCATTATGAAGCGTTGCTCCAGGAGCACGGAATCAATCCAACACGGCCTGCACAGAGTGTTGGATTTGGATCGCGCCATATCAACACTGATGAAGAATCAACACCTCCAACAGCTAGCAAAGAGCAGCCCCCAATCCCAACGCCAGCGTCGACTATTTCCGAATCACAACGATCCCTTATCGCGTTATCTGAGACACAATTGATACAAGGGCGAGAAGGTAGCCAGTTTGTTGACAAGTAAGATCCAATGATGCATCGTCTCTCTCATGCTGATTCCTCTACAGTAGCTTGTGGACAAGAATGGTTGAAGAGGTGAGTAATCTCGAATTGCTATTTCAACGAGAACGATGAAGCTCCTAAGAATTTAAAGAGTTTGTGAATCCGTAACGCCTGAGTGTACCTGTGTGCTTCTTCAGGATGAGGTGTTCTTCCAGACGCCAGCACCTTTAATTTCCAGATTGACCTGAAGCGGCCTCCCCTGGCAGGCTGGCAACCACCAGCATTGAACCCGCCCATGAGCTTCGTCCGTTCCGTCGCTTGAATTGATGCGTTGATGCCAGTGCATTAGCTAACAACGCTTCCAGTTCCACAGTCCCGAGGATGTTTTGGAGACAGCTTCAACATCTGAAGCAACAGATGATGCTGATGGGTTCGGAGACGAATTCGCTTTCGTGCTGGGAACCACTTCAAAGATCGACATGGCACGTCTTCATCCACGCCCTCCCATGATGCTCGAACTCTGGCAAGTCTTCGTTGAGAATGTCGATCCTATTACGAAGGTGGTACATGTGCCTACTTTGCGGCCGGCCATCGACAGGGCAGCAGCTGATATCGCGAGCATACCAAAGAGTGCTGAGGCTCTGATCTTCTCTATATACGCGATTGCCATTTTTTCACTCAAAGATAATGACTGCAAACGAAAATTCGGTGAGCCACGCAGAATGTTACTAGCACGTTATATCTCGGCGACGAAAGCAGCACTGTCGCGTGCGAATTTCTTGGGGACAAACAGCCTTGTCGTCTTGCAAGCCCTTATGCTCCATCTCATGGTTGTGCGGGACGTCCATGAACCGCGGTCTGTGTGGGTCTTGACAGGGGCTATTCTACGCATCGCAGAAACCATGGGTTTGCACCGTGACGGGACGTCATTACGGTTGCCTCCATTCGAAACCGAAATACGGCGACGGATCTGGTGGCAATTGAAAATGCATGACTTCCGCACAGCCGAGCTCTGCGGTATTGCCAAATTTCGAGCTTTGGACATGGAGGACCGCACATGCAAGCCGCCACTCAATATCAACGACGATCAACTCTGGCCAGGTATGTCGACACCCCCAATAGCATCAGATAAGCCGACGGATATGATCTTTTGCGTCATCAGACCCGAGCTGGGCAGTTTTGCGATGGCTCATGCGGCGAAAATGGGCGAAGACGGGCACCCTGTCAATTGGGACAAATTTGGGGGAGCAGACCACCCTAAATTGATGGCAGAGTTTCTCACGAAGATTGAAGAAATATTGGAAACCAAATATCTGCGATTTTGTGACCCTACACAGCCGCTGCACCTCATAACAGTATTGTTTGCTCGAACAGCTCTGAATACGGGCCGTTTTCAGGCACATCATCCACGGAAATGGGGGAGCCTAGAACAGATCCCTGAGTCTGAGCGGCAATATGTCTGGGACCTCAGCCTCAAGCTTCTGGAACAAAACCACATGGCGCAGTCAAGCCCCCACCTGCACCAATTCGCATGGCACGCAGCCTGGTTTCTGCAGTGGCATGCACTTATACATGTTCTGGATACTCTGCGAAGCACCCCACTCATGCCAGATGCCTTGAAAGCGTGGCAACTTGTTGGTTTCACATACGAAAATAATCCAGGCATGGTCTGGAACACCAAACGGCCTATTTACGTTGCTGTAGGGAATCTCTGTCTGAAAGCTTACACCGCACGCGAGGTGGCCCTCAGCAAATCAGGGATCAGTGTTCCCGTGCCACCGCCTTACATTGCAACGTTGCGTCAACAGAGGGAAGCAGCAAGGCTTAGGAAGCAGAGGCAGAATGCAAGGGGCAGTGTTCACAGGACAGGTCCTGACTATGGCCATCGCAATGCTGCCCAACAGGACATGACAGCCACTCTGAGCATGACAACCTCGCAAGCTGATATCGAGTCTGACGATCGGCAGCTGGCACGACCGCAGCCGCCCAGCTACGATATACCAAGCAACGCGTTCATCGACAGCAACGGCGTTTACGATGGCATCTTTTCGACCGCCCCAGTGAATACCGACACGGATTTCATGTTGGCATACGACCAAGCTCTCGGAGATGCGGCAAATGAGACTGTTAACTGGACACAATGGGACAATTGGTTTGGTGATGTGGGCATGACACAGGAGGACAGCTGGCTTACCGACTTCGACGCGACGCAAGCTAACTTCAGCATGGATGCCCAGAATGTGTCTTCATAGAAGGACGTCAAGACATCTGAGGGTGCGACATAATACGAATATTGCATCATGATTCTCATCTCGATTACGTGAGATTTGCGAGATCTCGAAATACTTACCATCGATCGGGACCAGCACTTGCGGAGTAAGCGAGCAGTATATCATCCGCCAGTGTGATACCTTAGAGCGTCTCGGTGTCGTAATCTTCGATCCTTGCCTTCCGTTGATCTTGCCACAGGACAGATGCTGGAAATCAAGATAGGCATGTTCTTGCAGACGACTCACCAGAATCTGTCATCGGCCCTAAACTTCATGTCACAGAGTACGAGTATGCAGATTGCAGATTACTGCTTCGTCCAGAGTTGAGGATCCGAGCCACATTCTGTGCCTCGAACGACGCTACGGGAAATTCGAGCCTAGGATCTGCAGCCTCGGGACGCCGGAGGGTGTGCTATGGTGACCAGCATAGCCATCCCCAGCGAATAGATGCCCTCAAACAGGACACCCCAGGCGGCCAGGCCGGGACAAGGCGAGCCGGCTCGCATCTTTCGGACCCAATGACCCATCGCTTAGTAACTGTACAGCTACGGACTCTGTCCCTCTCTTCGCGACTTTCCCGAGGTGGACTTCACCGTCTTTCAGGACAACATTCGCGCCTTCTTCTGTTCTTCTGCTTCATATGCAGAATAATGGAGGAACCGACGACCGTGTTAATGTGATGACGGCAGGCGCACGGTGTGTGACTGAACGCACATCAGCACCTTATCCTCTCCATATCGCAACATCATGTTGGTCTCTTCTCAAGAAGCACGAGTGACAGGCTGGGTATGCGCCGGGCTTGCTTTGGTCATTCTCATTGTCCGAGTCATTGCAGCGAGGTTGAGACGTGGTTCATTCGATATCAGCACGCCTATCTGCACGACTGCTATCCTGATCATTGCCGCTCGGGTAGCCGTCAATCAGTTTGTGCTGAGTTATGGGACCTCGAACGATACCATTAACGGCAAAGGGCAATACTTCGATTCTGACGACCTGGAGAAGATCAAAGTCGGCAGCATTCTATCATTGATCGCGAGATTAATGGTAACGACGGTCTATTGGCTGCAGTCAGCCCTGCTACTGTTGTTTTACTGTCGCATTTTCGAGGTTCGAGCACAATCGACAACCGCGCTCATAAGAATCTGTTGGGTCGCGTTGCCAACGACATATATCGCCGTGGTCCTCGCCACCTTCTTGGAATGCCATCCTTTCAGCCTTTACTGGCAAATCGATCCAAATCCTGGAAAATGCATAAAAGCATACATTCAACTGCTTACCCAAGGCATCGCCAACATCGTACTGGATCTCCTGCTGCTGATAATTTCATGTCCTCTCATATTGGTGCGGAATCGGACTATACTCGAGAAAATACGGCTGGCAACTTTGTTCTGTCTCGGATTCTTCTGTATCATCGTCACATGCGTTAGGATAGCCTACATCTATGCCGAGGACTCTTATCAGCCCGTACGCAGTTTTTGGGCATCGGTTCAGATGCTGGTCTCATGTTTCGTCGCAAACGCTCCAACGATATATGGCAGTTTGCAGCTGATCAGGCGACGGAAGACAGAGCAGACGACACGTCGGGGAAGTCGTCCGGAGCTGTGGCTGCATCTGCACACAGCCGACGACAGCACCGCAATCCCTATTGCCCCAGTCCTGGATCGACAGGGGACAGGGTCGTCCCATAAGCCAGAGAAAACGTGGTCACGATGGATCCCATGAGGAGTGCTTTGGACGTCCGATGCTCTGATAAGAAGCAAGTATCTGGCAAAGTGCCGGTCCTCGGGTTGGTATGAATAATGGCAAAGACGCAGAGACCAGACGGGGGGTTGACTGCCGTGACCACCCGGGCTCGTTCATCCTGTGAGGCGCTGAAGTTGGTTGGTATATATCGGTTAAAGTCAAAACGTCGACATAACAGGCAATTGGATCAGTACACATTCACTCCGTCAATGCACTCGTCATCGTCAGCACCAACGCGACATGCAGGGCCTGCCGTCTCCTATCACTTCGGTAGAGAGGACTCTACAGGCGCTGGTGTGGAAGGAGGCCATGGCGATGGTGGGCAGACGGGATATGAGAATTTGAGGAGTTGGACGTACGCGTAGCCCGGTGCCACCGGTGTCCATCCAGCGTCCACAGGAGCGCTGGGGCGGGCACGTGGCCCGGGGCGATAAGCCTTCTTATCGGCGGAAAGGGGGACGAACTGCAACTTCTGGGTTTCTGCAGCTGTCTTGCTGGAACCTGCATTTCAGGGGACTTTTATTGACATACCATCGTCTCTAGTTCACCAGAGTAGTACAGAGTTCATAACATCATCTTCGAAGAGCACAGAGAACATGTCGACACAGACTCTCTTTGACCATCACATTCGCTAAGATTTGACGATTCTCCCCGACTCGTCGCAGCCATGGACGGCCTCTTTACCCTGCTCAGTTTGAGCGTCGTCATGGCCGTGGCTTCTTTTCTTGCGGGCATCCTACCTCTCTCCTTGTCGCTGTCGGCATCACGATTGCGATTGATTTCAACCATTGGTATGGGTGTCCTCGTTGGGACTTCCATGGTCGTCATTATCCCAGAAGGCGTGGAAACATTATACAGCGCCTCGGAAGTCGGCCACGTACATTCACGCGCCGCGCGCCATGTCCTGTCGGCGCCGAAGGAGCATGCGCAATGGCTCGAAACTCGCACAGCCGAGACCTGGCATGTCGTACCTGCTCGCAGCGCTGCGCAAGACATCAGTCCTTTCGATGTGCCTGGTCCGGTCATACCAGCAGATTTGGAGGCACCGCCGCGCACCCCTACAGAAGCTGGAGTTGTTGGGATCATGGACGTAGAGGACGGGTCCAAGAAAGAGTCAGACAAGGTGGATGGTACACACGAAGATGGCCCTGAATCTAACCATGCATGGATTGGAGTAGCCCTCTTGGCCGGCTTCATGCTCATGTACCTGGTCGACAAAGTACCTCAATACTCTCAGCCAGCGAAGGCGAAAGCGAAGACACATCACATCGCGCTGAACAACCTGGGTCGCAGATTCAACTTGACCACGTCACTGGACCGAGAAGAGGAAGCAGATACATTCCTGGACTCCTCGGAGGGCTCCCAGATTCGGAATCGGAGCTTTGCGACCACCATCGGCTTGGTCATACACGCCGCTGCCGATGGCATAGCCCTTGGAGCTTCTTCTACGGCTACCAATTCTGGATTGAGTTTCGTCATATTCTTCGCAATCATGATTCACAAAGCACCTGCTGCGTTTGGCCTGACTTCCGTCTTAATCAAGCAAGGCCTCACCAAAAGAGCAGCACGAGGACATCTTGTGCTCTTCAGTCTAGCTGCTCCTGTCGGTGCCATCCTCACATGGATACTTGCGAAAGTTTTGGGTGGTGGTCGCACTCACAGTGCGCAGACAACTACATGGTGGACGGGAATGCTCTTACTGTTTTCTGCCGGCACGTTTCTTTACGTGGCCATGCACTCGATGCAGGAGACGTCGAACTCGCATGAGCAGCCAATGAACGGACAACCCAATGGGTATATCGACGGACGTGAAAACACGCAGATTGAACCGAAAGCATCTTGGAAGGATTTGGCAGCGGCATGTTTTGGAATGATTTTACCGCTGTTTCTTCAGGTTGGACATGCACATTGATCGTCACCTATTTCTACCTGTTCTGGAGTTACAATGCTTCCCAAAGCTATGGCATATAGCTCGAGATACATAGGAGCGGCTTGGAGCACCTTTGCCAAAATGCAAAAAGAGATATACTGGTAATATGATTCGCAGATGCCAGTGTGCGGAGAGATGCACGAACACCTAATGGTGATGCCTGAATTTCGAAAATTGTACAAATTCGGCCAATAGCCTCTATCGAAACACAAGACTGGTTGACTCGCTGTCGTTCAACATTTCGACTCGGTCATGGTTAGGCAGCATTGTGCCTGAGGCTTTCGAGCATGCAGCCTGCAAACCTGGGGTCCGCCCAAAGATCATACGTCAATGGCTGGTACCTGTAGCAGACTCCATTACCATCCAGATGTTGAAACCACTTTGTATCGTTGCATGCTACTTAACGCCAACGAGTTGTCACTGGATTTCGAGTCGATGTAGAGGGAGCCCTGCTTCCACACCATCGATATGCGCGGAGTAGTTGGCAGTGGTCTGTGCGCAAGATCCAAAAGAGATATAGAGGACATGCACAGAAGGAGAACTCCGTGGTGAAGGTTTGGCGGTCTAGATGGTAAGCAATAATGACAATCGTAACCTAAGTTAAGGCACCTAAACCAAGTGGCGGGTTATCAATATTGGGTATACCGGGTGCCCCTAGTAGTGTCTAGTCAGGCCCGTGAGCCCCTCTCCACTCTTTCCACCGAATAATGACTACTCGCGGTCCGTGTGGTCTGTTGGTCGGTCTTCAGGTCATAAAACCAACTCCTCAGAAGTGTAATGTCGACATTGCGTGCCACTCACTCAGAGCACATAGAAACAGCCATCTGACATTCTTCGATACGATTATCATCTTGTCCACATACACTCACCGATCGCTGGCGAACATTCTATCACTCTTGCCACCACCCTACCTCCTATTTCGCTGCGACAAAGTACATTCTCCGCTTGGGCTAGACCCGTCTCTCATGTCATAAGCGCTCCTGTCAACCACAAACTCGCAGTCCAACTGAAAGTCCCCCTGTTACAGTGCTGACAATGGCATAATCATACGGCGACGATTCCAAGAGGAAAGGAGTTTGTTGGGCTGGTCTCTCAAGTCATTTCCGTACCTTCATAAACCCGTTCCCATTCTTCCTCCGCCCTGCCAAAACTGCGCCAGAGCCAGACGTCACTCGGCCAGAAAGAGATGGACATCGACGGGGACAACCAATCTATGTCGCTGGACAGACCTCTCTCACCAACACCCTCCAGATCAGTCTCGATAGATCCCAATCAACTGGCCAGTCGCTCCTATAATGCCAGAACCACTTCCCTCGACCAAGACAACGAATACCCCTTCCCTCCCTCTCCAGCCATCCCGATAGACCCATTACGATCCTCCAAAACCCGCCATAACATGTCACAACCGAGACCCAAACGGTTATCGACGTCCAATAAAGCCGGTATGCCTCTGAGTATACTACCCTCTGCTCCGGCATCTCCTCCCACACCTGCACCTTCTCCTACGCCGTATCAGCGCGCTCCTAGTTGGACCTCTGCGGGCGAGAACGAAGATGCGTTTCTCCGGGATGCTCGAGGACATTTCGCCTGCCTCAATGCTGCTGAAAGAGAGAGGTATCTGGCCGAGTTGCTCAACATGTGCGACAGTCATCTCTTGAGTTTTGTCCACCACTTTGTGTCTCCGAGACTAAAGAAGGACCCGTTCGAGCATTTACCGGATGAACTGTGCTTAAGGGTAAGTACATTGCTGTTTGTCGAGGCTGGGCTGAAGCTGACCCTGTCTGCAGGTTCTGTCATATATCGATGATCCGCTAAGCCTAGCGAGAGCGTCGCAAGTATCACATCGTTGGCACAAATTGTTGAATGATGACATGCTATGGAAGCGGATGTTGGACAAGCACGCCTGGCGGAAAAACTCGAGCGCTTCGTCTGAGGAACCCGAGGCTTTCTCTCTGCCGCAATCCGCTCAAGGGCCATATACTTACAATACTCGGTCCCCGAAGCGGAATATTGATGGATCCATTGTTGGACCGTCAAGCAGTGCACCCAACCTAACTCTACCCACTGGCTCGAACAGCCTCTCGTCAAGTCCCCGAGCGCGGAAGCGCCAATCACAGTCCCACTATTCGCACTTCAGACACAAATATATGATTGAAGCTGCATGGAGGAAAGGCGGCCACAGCATTGTCAAGCACATCACACCAGATCAGGGTGTAGTAACAAGTCTGCATCTCACGGACAAGTACATTGTGGTTGCAATGGACAACGCCAAAATCCACGTCTTCAACACCATGGGCGAACATCAAAAGACTTTGAAAGGTCATGTTATGGGAGTATGGGCTATGGTGCCTTGGGACGACATTCTTGTCAGCGGCGGGTGTGATAGGGATGTTCGCGTCTGGGATATGTCTACCGGCAAAAGCATACACACGTTAAGAGGACATACCTCGACAGTAAGATGTCTAAAGATGTCCGACGCAAACACTGCAATTTCTGGTTCGAGGGACACGACTCTACGAATATGGGACTTGACCACCGGGATGTGCAAGAACATCCTTGTTGGTCACCAAGCCAGTGTACGTTGCCTAGCCATCCATGGTGATCTCGTGGTTTCCGGCAGCTACGATACGACAGCGAGAATCTGGAGCATTTCGGAAGGGCGGTGTCTCCGGACGCTGACCGGACATTTCAGTCAAATCTATGCCATCGCCTTTGACGGGAACCGAATTGCTACTGGCAGTCTCGATACCAGTGTTCGGGTCTGGGACCCAAGGACTGGTATGTGTACTGCGATCTTGCAAGGACACACTTCGCTCGTTGGCCAGTTACAGATGCGAGGCGATACGCTGGTCACAGGTGGCTCCGACGGCTCTGTTCGCGTGTGGTCACTGTTGACCAATACGCCCATCCACCGCCTGGCTGCGCATGATAATAGTGTTACAAGTCTGCAGTTTGACGAGAATCGAATCGTCAGCGGCGGTAGCGACGGCCGCGTCAAGATCTGGAGTGTCGAGACTGGTCAACTTGTGCGTGAACTCAGCCAGCCTGCTGAAGCGGTCTGGCGAGTCGCATTCGAGGAAGAGAAGGCTGTCATTATGGCTAGCCGGTCGAATAGGACAGTCATGGAGGTATGTATCTTCTGGGAAGCGATAGATTTGAGCAAGGATTCGGTGCTAACTTGACGTTTAGGTTTGGTCCTTCTCACCTCCCGAGGACGAATGGAATCGCCGCTCCGAAAGTCCAGTCAGTCTTCCGGATGTCACACCGACCACTGTCGAAGATGAAGAGCCGACACATTTCCAGCACGATCTCGGTGATGTCGACGCTGCAATGAGCGATGTGTAGCCGCTTGATAGAGTCGGGTTTGACATCCAGCGGATGTACACACGCCGACACGACGAACATGAAGGCGGCATGGAACGATACCCCTGAGCTTTTCAGTCTCATCACGCTGCTATGGAGTCTTTCTTTGGGCTGCAGCAGGTTGCGGCATTGCCGCAACGATACCTGTTACCACGCGAGGAGATAATCCGGCGGATGCTTCTGTTTGGAATTCGAATGCCAATTGACCAACTTTTGGCAGCAACTCGCATATCCTTACGGCTACACCATATTTGCTTTGATTGGCGGCATGGAGCTTGAGGAGTTTTGGCATCGCTCTTTTTCTTATTGACACGGAAAATATTTGGTACCGTGCCCAGACCGCGAACTTCGCTATAGTCTGACGACGAGAGGGAGAACCATGGAAGCACGTCGCAAATCGATATATTGGTTGCTGAACATCTTGAAAGTCATATCATAGCTACATGCATAGCTATGGCAGCAAAATGGTTCCCTGACCAGTTCTGTCGCTGGGCCAATGGACAATATGGATAAAACCTAATGAGATCGACGTTCTAGACAATGGCTTTTTTCATTGTGATATCTATTCAATTCCTCTCATCAGGAGACCCTCCAAGTCTTCTGTCTCTCAGAAGCTACGCTTTGGCGCCCTCTGCCCAGCTAATATATACAGCCCTTGAGAAGCATCTAGCGCAAGAGGACCGAACTGCATTAGTCGTGATTGTGATCGCCTTCCCATAGCGCCTCCTCTGCTCGACAGAAGCAGCTCAAGATAGATCAGCTTCCCCTTCCCATGTTGGCCAGATACATCGATGGCATGGCAGAGGATTATTTTCAATTGACCACGACGTCTCGTCCACATACAGAAACTATTGATGGAACGCCGCTCAGGAGGCACGAGTGGTCTCCAGAGCTTCGCGCTTTCAGGCGTCTTCATTGGTCATGATGTGAAGATTTAATGGCCACCAGTCGTGGGTAGTCCGAGATAGACTTTGAAGGAGTCGTAGCTAGGGTCATGTTAGCGACGTGTTCTTTCATACGGAAATGAGCAAATGAGTGCAAGCACGTACATTAGCCATTGGAACGCAGTCAATGTTCCGATCATGAAGATTCTGACAGGAAGTCCGTTCCACAGGCCCGAGAAGCCGATGTTGCTGTATATGCGGCCAACAGCTTTACCAGCGGACTCACCAGCTGAAGCACACATGTTAGTTGACACTCGCTTAGCTGAATATGGAGTGGGTTGACATACGTTTGCGGTCGGAATTCAGTTTGCTAACCATAACATCTGCCGGGTGACTGACAACGGCGCAGGCAATACCGGCGATATAACCACCCAAGAAACTTACACCAGTCTGCTGGAGCTTGTTGTAGCTCTCCTTGGGCTTCCCAAGCTGTTTATAGATGACCTTGACAGTCTCCTCGAATGTTGCGAATTTGCACATAGTGTATGGGATCTGACGGGCCCAGAGTGGGGCGATGCCCTTGTACAGACCAGCAATGCCTTCTTTTTCCACGACTTTGCTCCATCCTTCCCGCAGGTTGTGAGCATATGGTGGCATTGTGGTTTGCATGCGGACCTTGATAGCTTCGAAGGGGCATAAAAAGATGTCTGCGAGGAATTCTGCACTGGCACTGGCTCCCAGGAAGACGAGCGTGCGGTTTGCGTTGGGAAAGAGGTTGTCGCCATATTCGTGCTTGAAGATCTCGTAGAAACCATATTTGCCCAAACCCTGGAAGCTGTAGCCTACGAACGTTGGAGCCCAGCCGAAGAATACACCACGAAGACCATCACCGGCGTAGATTGTCCTCCATGCCTTGAAGTTGGAGCTGTACAGCTTGGGATCGACTTGACGACGCGTTTTGACCAGATCAAGAGGCGTGACGGCTGTGTGAGTTGGACCACACGCGACGATACCTCCCAGCATACATGCGGCGAAGTATTTGGTCTGTGACAATAGTGTCAGCAACTGATCTGTTCAAAGAGACAGGTAATATGAAGTTTTGCATTGATGGAATAACGAAGTCCATGCCCACTGCATGTTAATCGGCGTCTCGCGATCCCCGTGACAGGGCTGTGCTTGTGTATACAACTTCTGTGCTTAATCTTGTACGTACTGAGTATGGGTCGATCTTGCCAAATGGAGACGTTTTCAGTGTGTCCACCGAAGGAGGCTTGAGTCCTGTTGAAGATGTCCCCGACATTATGAATGTGTTGGTTATGAAGAGCACGCGATCTCGGGGATACAGGAGAGGCGGATGCTCGAAGGAACGATGGAGCTGTGGTCGACGAAGTGTATATTCAACCTGCGAAGTAGGTCTAGTAGCTGGAAGCTATGCAGTAGGACTGGATTTCTAGAGGCTTGTAACACAAGAAGGACGGCGAGGAAAGAGAGGAGATTGTGTCAATGACCTGTATTGCTTCAACACAGGGTGTTACAGCGAAGCTATATTGCAAGAGAATAACAGCCCGAACCCGTGAAATTGTGAAATATAAAGAAGCAAGACTCGCGACGACAGAGAACCGAGATATGGCTCAGTGATAGCCGCGCATGCCGTACGGTGTCCTGGCGGCAGGGACCATGTCACTTTGGGAGTTGATGCAGGAGCTGCACTGACGAGTGGAAAGCTACAATTACGCAGTGGCAGTCCGGGAGATCCGCCTGTGTCCGCCAATCTACTTGGTGACATCATGCCCGAACAAAGCTTGGATTGACTTCATCTGGATGAAGCATGGTGCGGCCTCCTCCTGATGATTCAGCAGCCCATGCATCTGACTCAGCCAACCAGATAGCAGTTAAAAATACTACGACAACCCATGGCCTAGAGTATAGCCAGGTCCAACTCCTTCCAGAGCCGAGGTTACATTAGTGTTGGGTGGGAATAGCTGGTCCCATTCCGCCTGTACACACCGCAGTTAGCCATATACTCGGGAAAAAGATATTGAGGATTCTGTGACTTACCCAGTTGATGTCCATCATGACAGAGTCACCTCGTGGAAGACTAGCCGGGTACTGTGGTATGTTGACTTGATCATTCGGAAAGCCCGAATTGAGCCCATAAGGATTGCCGCTTTCTGGCATGGGTGGAAGTCCAGTGGTAGTCATCCCATGCATTGAGTGCATTGTAACCACAGGCGGTCGTGTGTCCGCAGGTCCCAATACCGTCTGCCAGCCTACCTGATCGGCACTGATGAGTGGCGGCCATGATTCGTTTGTGCCAGAGTCACTGGGACTGTTGAAATCGTTCTGTAGACCCGGAGAAGCTTGCGTCGAGTCTGGCCAGAACGGCTGCTGATGCTGTTGTTGGGACGTAGATGGTCTCTTGAAAGACTGATGCTGGGACATTGGTGGACTTGTGGATTGCGAGAAGCCACTGCCACCTGGCGCCTGGGTGGCTGCTTGGGTGACGTAGAATGTCGACGGTTTGTCGAAACTCCACGAGTTATCTGCCCCAAATGCCGTACTGGCCGGCATCTCTTGTTTCAACGATGCAGGAGGCATGGGTTCGAGAAGCTTGTCGACACGCGGACTGACAGACGTTGAAGTGCCTGAGGTCTTCCTTGTGTCCTCTGAACCAGCCTCCGCGACTTTTGCGAGTGTCGCGTCGGCCGTCGCATTCTTCATGCTGGTCGGAATGCCAACTTTCCGTAGTTCTCGATAAACCGTGGTTCGGTCTCTAATCGCAGCAATGATGGTCCTCGCCTTCATCGCTCGTGACAGTGACAAGTCGGGTTCGAATACATAGTCGATGATATTATAAACTCTGTCGGCTTCTTGTATGTCAGGGTCGGCATAGATAACTGACAATAGCAGGAATGCCATATGCCACTGCTGATATGCTCCATTGTACCACGTCCACTTGGAAAGTCCAGGTATTCGTTCCAGCGACATTGCGGTTTCGCACGCCTGGACGGCACTCCGAATGGTGAGCGATTGCAGCCTTTCCGGAATCCGATTGCTTTGATTGTGTAGATAGCGGTGCAGTATCATGATATACAGTCGTTTTATCATTAAGTTCATGACCAGTTGTGCATACTTCTGGATTGGGACATCGAGATCAAAGATCTTGTTGTACTTGGACTCCATAGCTCGACGGAATGACTCGACCTTCCCAAGAAGATGGGTCAGAGAGATTTTCTTCTTTTCCAGTCGGATGCGATCGTGCCACACCACCCGCTGCATTTCGATACATTCAAATCGAATGCGCGAGACCGTCATATCTGTCCACGTATCCTTGGACTCTCTCGGGTTCGGCGATAAAAGCTCTGCATCGTTGATGTTGAGTGGAAATTTTGTGTCATAATCCTCACGCTTGATAGCAGGTCTGGGCCCATGGCCTTCGCAGGTACGAAAGTCCAAGTGGCAGAGCTGAAACCAAGCTATTCGACGGACATGACAATCGACCGGAGATAGACCGTAAGTGTCTTGTGGATCTCGATGCAGTCCCATACATTCAGCCAAACGTACTGCCATCCCGACCAGGACGGAATGCGCCCTAGAGACCTGGTCCCGGCACATCGGAATCAGGTAGATGATCAGGGCTTGTAGAGTTTCGAGCTTGGTTGCTCGCAGGAACTGTGCCTTGCTGAGTGCTACCTCTGTTCCCAGTTGGAAGTTTGCGAGAATCGTGCTCTGCGGTCGACCGAATATCGTTGTGATGTCCGCCTCCGGCACGCTGGCCACGGCCGAAAAGAGTATCGAGAAGACAAGCGATTGCTGCCAAGGTGGTGGCTCGAGGCCAGCGAGCACAGCGATCCAGAAGTTGTCGTAGTGCAGTTGAAAGCTTGGCCAATGCACCACACGGGCGATAAAATGGACGTTTTCATAGTACTTTCGCACCAGAATGTCGGCCGCCCCTTTCGCAGGGAGAAAATTGATCAGCGATCTTTTGCTGCCGACATCACCAAAGAGAAATCCGGAACCTGGAGCGATATAAGAAGGCCCAGGTGCCAGGAAGTCGTAGGTTTGATCGGGAAACGAGGTCGCTTCGGATTGCCTTTCCTCAGCCGTGCGCCTGTCGCTTGCTGCATCATTTAGCTGGCTTGACAACTGCATATCAGTTAGTGACATATCCAGCGCAATAGTCTTGAAAATGTACCTCTTCGCCTATTCTTGGTCGGAAGAAGCCTCCGAGTCTCTCGTTGAGTCTCATCTTCCCCACCCTGACGCCGAGATCCAAAATATCGTCGTCGGCATCGTCTGCATAAGCACCATCAATGACCGCCATCGGTGTAGGCTCCAAGTCTTTCTCGTCCTCTGGTACAGCAGCATCGTTGTCTGAGCTACTCGACTCGCCGCCTGGGAGATCGGCGGAGCTCCTATGGCCACCCTTTTGTGTAGAACTGGATGATGATTTTCCTTCTCTACGCGCCAGATCTTGTTCAAGGACTTTTTCGAGCGACCCCATCTTCTCCTTGATCTCATTAAGTCGCTGTTGCGACACTGAATCCAGCGCAGGGGCCAAGAAGAGGCAATCGCGCGAAAACTTGCTGCAATTGGTACAAGGGTGTAGTTTGTCGCATTTGAGCTTGCGACGACGGCACTCTAGACATGACGTGATCATTCGATTCCTGTGTCGTACCCGACTCTGCCCTGACGACTTGGATTTGTCGGCATTGTCTTCAGAAGGCTTCAAGTTATCCATGATGGTTGTCGCTGGACCTCAAGAAAGAGTGACCTGATAGTGGTCTATGATGTCGGAACGCAGATGAGGGCAGCCTTGCACGTTACTCAGTAGTGGGGTAGACCTAGTCCCAGCAGCTATGAACCGCATAAAGATTGCGTGTATTCAATCGGCGACAGGAGACCTTGGCAAGATCAGTAGCTTGAGGATGTTGTGATGTTAGATAGGCGATTGTCAAGGTGTGCTAGAACGAACGTGTAGAAAGGATGATTGGAACAGTCAAGGCTGGAGTGTGGAAAGAAGTGCGTGGTACCGGAACGGGACACGGCACGTGCATACAGCACATGTACGCAGGGCGAGCGGAATTAGTAGATCGGCGTCGATTATTTTGTTCGTATCCCAACGTCGTCGTATCTGACATCGGGCATCATTTCACACAACGTGCCGAAGACCGTCATCATCCTATTTTAAATGGTCCCCGAGAACAACATCCTATAGGCATCTCTCCAGGATATGTCACTACGACGCTGAGTCAGGCATGTCGCGACTCCGGGACAGGGCTTAGAAAAGCTCGCTACCTCTCCGCACCCAGGCTTACGACACAGGACCCTAGCCTGCTTGTTCCTTGGCTTCTCTTGATTAAATCTCCACCCAGCAACGTCTTTGCCGCGATAATCCATTGACATAGCGTTACCACCACAAGTACCATTGAAAGCTAGCCACGGTCCGAACAACTTATGATGCGCCTCTACCAAAATGAGACCATGAGCCAATGCACACTCTTCACAGCTAGGATGATGATGTCGTTTGGGGTTGCCGCCGAGACTAGTGCTTATAGCCCCTTCACTTCTCGATGTCGCATAACCCAGAATGTCCATCCCACAGTATGTCGACTGTCGTCGCGATCGGCAGTTGACGTGATGGGTGAACCTATATCAAGCGCTGGCCGACTTTTAATCTTCGCTGCCGAATTTCCGTCCTAAAAGCAGATTTATGTATTCGTATCTGGGAAATGCCTCGTATAGAAAGTACCAGATACTTTTGTGACTGATGACTACACAATGACTAAGAAGATGATGACAGCAGATCTTGGGGCTTCTCACGTGACTAAGTCAGTCTGCTCCAAAGAAGCTTAGCTTTGCTTGGCATCAAATACGACAGAAACGTCTCATCGGTTGAAGCTGTTTCCTTCACACTCGACAATCTGTATCACAATCTGTACAACATTCGGGAGAGCATCGTGGCGTCGACCTCGACTCTAGACTACTCGTCTGCGCATATCTGTTCCTGACATCAGCTACAGAGTCGTTCGCCTCTTATAGCTTGTAGCTTAATCATCGGCGCGTGACCCCTGCTTCCTTTGCGAAGCTCAATCTGCACCGATCATCAGAAAGTGTCGACTAAGAAGTCGAGTCCGATTTCTTAGCAGAGACCCTCGTGGCGTCTTGTAGGACGGTCCCTGCCCAACATGTCATTCAGCGATGAGGCTCTCAAAGCCAAATTGTCCACCTTGAACGAGACTCAAGATAGTATCGTCTCGGTCTCACAATGGATCATGTTTCACAAGTACGTGCAATGAACAGGAGAGTGAAGGACGGTCGGCTGACATCAATTTCAGGAGACATGCAGATCGCATTGCCAACTACTGGCTCACCCGACTGCGAGATTCTCCGCCTGCGAAGCGCCTCAACTTCATCTACCTGGTCAACGACATCGTCCAGAACGCCCGTGCCCGCAAGCGCAGTGAGTTTCCAGACGCCTTCGCGCCATTACTCCCGGAAGCAATTCAGACGGCCTACCGCTCTTCACCGCCCGAGATTCAAAGCAAGATCCGACGAGTTGTCGAAGTCTGGCGCACACGCAATGTCTTTGAGGCGCCCATCTTGCAAGCCATCGAAGCTCGGGTCGACGAGATCGATAAGTCCAAAGGCTCAGGAGGCAAGAAGACTCTTATGGGAAACTCGCTCTTCAACTCCACTTCATCCACCGGCATGCCCAAGGAACTCGAAACCCTTGCACCACTCCAGATCGCCGTCACAAAGGAGACCATCTCTGCCCGCCCGGCCATTGACACCGCTCAGACCGAATACACCAAACTCAACGACCCGTCAGCAGTCCTGCCCAGTCCACCCGTCCACGCCGCACGGCTGTCCAGCCTGATCAAATCCCTCGCGGCAGCCGAGTCCGCCGTTTCAGCTAGCATCAAAGCACGAAAGGCCCTGGTCGCCGACCTCCAGCGCATCCTCGACATCAACGTCTCATCACTGGCCAAAGACGAGGAAACCTACATGCAACTCGACAGCCGCAAGACCAGCACCGAAGCCAAAAAGCGCGAGGTCGAAGACGCCATTATTCGCGGTCTGTCTTCCGCCGAACAAGCCCCACCCGATAATACCCTTGGTGCCGGCAGTGTCGGTGAAGTTCTCTCTCCAGGTCTTGATAATGGCACCGGTGCAGATAACAGCGGTTTTTTCTCCTCCGAACGGCCCGAAGTCGAAGCCCTCACGCCCGAACCAGACGAAGATGATTTTGGCGCCTTCTACCAACCTCAAACACCGCCACAAACAGAGCCCGTTCAGCTAGCAAGCAACCCCGCTATTGCCGCAGCGTTGGCAGAATACTCAAGCACGGGCAACAACGACTACAATCCTCTCGGAAACGACTTTGGTGGGATCGGAAATGACTACGGTAGTGCTGGTCTAAGCCGCGCACGCTCCAGCAGCGGTCCAGGCTTAAACGGATCCAGCGCGAAACGACAAAAGATGTCACATGGTGACGAAGAGGCGGTGCCTGATCTGGGTGAGATGGGCATGGAAAGCTTTGGCGATACAGAGGCTGCAGGTGGTGAATACAACCCTTTGCAGGATCTGGACGACGACGTGAGTGAGTTATTGAGGCAGGAGGGTGGTGGTGCTTAGGAGAGTACCTCTGTATCGGCATCGCATTTTGCTGCTTTCCGGGACCGAGACGACGACGTGAGTGGGTTATTGAGGCAGGAGGGTGGTGGTGCTTAGGAGAACACCTCTGTATTGGCATCTCATTTTGCTGCTTTTCGAGATCGACGTTAAGAAGGTCTACTGACCATACTGTACGAGTAATGTGAGGAGAAAGAGGTAACATTCTTCACAATTCGAGTCTAATTCTGGATTGGTCATGATCGTTATTGATATGGACCTCATCTCGAGGTCCCGGGTCTATGTACTTATCCACGTCGTACTAAATTTCACGAAAGCCGCCGGCCAGCAGCGGTCTCCCAGTCTCATTCCCTGCTCGGGCTTCATGTAACCTCTCGAATGGTATTGTTGTGGCCCTTTAATATGAGCTCCCCAAGTAATAGAAACCCCGGCAATTGCGGAGAATGTCCTCGACCTGTTGCAGCTCGGTAGTGGAGATACTTTGAACAGCTCAGGAGCATGGACCTTAGAGTCGTTGTCCAAAATAGCTAGTTGCAAGGTTGAGGACGCACTTCTTGTGTCACAGCTGGGCTTCTAATAGTTGCCTCGCGAGGCAACATGCCTAGGTCACATCATCCCATTTAGCACTCAGCTCGTCGGGCGCTTGAAAGGGTGCGCCTCAGTGTTCAGAACCCAGTCATCCAAACTGACAACTGATGGGTCACTGAAAATCAAATAGAAATACTTCAGCGTCTCGGCCAGCCAAAAACTCTCCATGCGGTCGCTCTTTTCTGGAATCTGCTTCCTCACGTCGTAAACGGCAGCATGCGCAATTGGTGTTTTGGTCGCGACATCGATAGCTTGGAACATCCTCCATGCGGCGTCTTGCAATTTTGTGTCGCCAGTGATGCGATATAGGATGAAGACAGATTCAATAGCTTCGGGGCGGAGGATGTACCGATTATCACCATGCTGCGTAAATCCAAGCACAAGTTCGCGTTGCTGTACCAATGTTTTGCCCAGCTCTATCGGGGTCATCTCCTTATTTTGGACCGGAGAGTTCTTCCTGGAGATCGCTTCGTACCACTTTTCGTCGCTCCATTCACAATCATTGGGCTTGGGATCATCGACTCCAACATGACACACTGCCGTGTGGAATATCTCGGGCATCAGTCCTGAGGGCATTGCGTCGTAGGCCCATATGCAACCGTCAACAAGTCGGCGGGCGACTTGCAAGTCTTCAGGTCGGTTGAATATCTTGCCTGATATAGCTACCATGCCGCCGATGAAACAAGCTAGATGTTGGCCCTGAGGGTCAAGGATTGACGTAGGAAGCGAGTCCACCGTGGTGGCGACAATGTTCCCGCTGAAGAGGATGTCCTCCCCAGAAGGGGTCAATGGCCGGAAGAAGAGATGTCTCTTTGCAATGTCGATAGCTTGTTCGTACATTGTTTGATACCGTTTATCGCGTCCTCCCAGCAACATGAACTGCTTTGGTAGGTATTCGTAGGTGGAATCTGCCATCCCACCCATTGTGAAATGATTGTAGTCAAATTTCAACTCCTTGCCGTTTAGGATTGTCGGCCACAACCCTGGCATCTTGGTCTGGTTCTGAACTCGTTCCATTTCCTCAGTCAAACGTTGAACGACATCGAAGTATTTCAGGTCGCCTGTAAGTTGACTCAGTCGCGTGAACTCCAGAGTCAGACTTCCGATCTCTGCAAGAAGCGTCTGGGTGCTTGGCTCGATCTCGCCACCAAGCGCGGTTTTCTTCCATGACCAACGAGCCATCGGCACATGGTTCGGTGTATCGAACGCAGAGTAGAGTATTTCGCCGAGTTCTTGTGCTTTGGCAAGCAGGATCGGGTACTTGGCCTCAGAGAGATCGTAAGCCGCAAGAAGTCCACCGAGATATCGTATGGTCGTTTCAAACACGTTGATTGTTTCCTCCTCATTCGTGGTGAAGTCGATCTGCGCTACGGCCTTTACACATTGCGCAAACTCGTCCTTCAAACCCATGATCCATAAAGTATCCATCGTATCGACCAAAGTTGCACCCCAGCCGCCGAAACTCGTACGTGGCATACCACTGATCGGTCCAACCTCATCACGGCCCCAAGCATGTTTCTCGTATCCATTCCATGCATGCACGAATGCTTCTTTTACAACTGCCAATCGCTTTTCTCTCGTCGACTTCACGTCCGATGACTCGGGACTGGAAGCGAAAGTGTACTGTATCCGCGGCATCGGCTGCAAGGGCCCGGTAGGGTATTCGCGGAACTGCTCGATAGGATATCGCTCAGGACGCTTGGTCCAGTGAAGCTTGCTATCGACGCCATTGGAAGGGTATGATACTTCGGGTTTGATATTATCGCTGGGGTTCAAAGAGAAGTAGTATACAATAGTAGCGATGAAGAACGCTGGAACCAGCCAGAGCCTTCTGATACGGATCATGATTGTTGTCAACGGGGTCGGTTAGCCCAGGCGCATCTTAGTACGCAATAAACAGCCGCTTCTCCAAGTCGGACTGTTGCTACCTTGGGATTGAAGGCATGATTGTGAGAGCGGCAGCAGCGCCCAGGATCCCCAAGAAATGTCAGGGGCTCTTGGGTCGCGACAAGAAAGAAACCGCCAAGCTGCATGACTGCACCTGGTGTTTAGATCGGCCCTTCGCGTAAGAGTTCCCGCAGGCACAATTGGCTCTTTGACAATTTTCCCCAGATCTACTGGAACTTTAAGTTTATAGGGCACTATAGGGATTAGGGATGCCGCGGAGCGCTAACTTAAGCCTATCCGACACGGCCACAGATCTCACTAACTTAGGCTCTCGGACAACAATCACTTCTTGAGTCTTGACACCTGCACCTAGACTGCCTCATTCGACAATCAACATGAGACAACCATAGCAGTCAAGGCAGGACCTGTTTACACTGCACCCAGCATGTCAACAACAGGTCTCTTCCTCATTCCAATCCCTCCCAACCAACAATCCCCAGCGTCGAACCTGATCTCATATATTTCTCGCTCAGTCCGTGCGGACCTTCTACCGCCCTTCTACCTCGATCATCGGCTGTTCGTCGATACGTCCTCACTGCTCCCGAACACAGACCTGTCCCAGCGCAAATTCACGAGCATACTGACGCTGTCACACACTCCGTCGAGCACATTCGTTGGCACGTCCCTGCCAAAGGACAAATCCGAACCTGCAGAACAAGCCTCTCCTGTGACGCTGATTACCATCCCTACCTCTGCGGCCGACACATTCACCCAGCTCATTGGCACGAAACTGCAACCTCAATGGGCGCATCGACAATCCCTGGTTGTGGAGAATGGCACGACCTTGTCCGTAAAAGATGGGTACCTGATCGTCCGTATCGGTGACCTGAAGACACCCAGTCGCGCAAACCAGCCCAGCACTCTTCGAGCCATGGCGTTGGAAATCACATTTAAAACGAGGGCAGATGTCGCTAGTGGTGGAAACAGTGTTATTAGCGCAGCGGACGAAACATTGATTCGAAAATTCAGTGAATCCATGGTCCAAGGAGCCGGCATCTCCGTGGGAAATAGCCGTTCATTGTTCCGCAACACCTTGCAAGTGCCCAAGAGCGGACCGACTGCTGATACGGTAGACTGGGATCTCGCCGAGCTCTATATGGACATGCTTCGCGGTAACAGAGCCTGAGCAGAAATCGAGTGGTGGCCGAGATAACCCATGGTCCTGATCTTCGCTACCATGGAAGTATTGATGTCCGTCAGACACGACTCTGAGGGGCTCTTTGATGCATAGCCAACATAATTTGCAGGTAAGCCTGTTTGCCGCATGCGAAAATTATGAACAGCGTCCCTGAGGAGAACCTAGGACACGTTCGATTATCGCTACAATGCGTCAAGTAGCAATATCAGCCTTCGGCGCGTCCGGATTGAACGTATTCCTCGAATGCATTCAATTGAATGTGGCAATCAGAGCATAGGCAGATACAGACATGGTTAAGGACTAATCCGCCTTGTCCTTTTGTTTGTTGAGCAAGTCTACTAAAGGTCCGACCGGTGCATCTTCACGATCCAAAAACACTTCTACCATCCTCAGTCCTTTCGCATCCGTCAAGCTCTTGTCTTCCAGAACCTGCTTCAGCTCTCCATAGGTCTTGGCCGAATTAGTATATGTATTCTCTGGCGCACCAAAGAACTCAGGCGCCTTCAAATACCGCCATGGCGTGATGTCGTTGTATCCTTGACGCAGTCCATGGATGCATCGCTCGATCGTGTATCCATCATTGTTGATGAGGAAGATGACGACATTGAGATTGTGGCGGATGATCGTTGCCAGCTCTTGTACCGTCATCTGGAAGCTCCCGTCGCCAATGAGTAGGACTGTTCGTGCATCTTTGATGCCATGGTAGTTTGACGACGCCATGAGTTCTCGTTGGGCCAAAGCCGCGCCTTGGCTCGCTGGCAGCATGTATCCGATAGACAGCCACGTCGTAGGTGTGAAGAGACGGGTGTGCGGAGGTAAGGACATCTCACGGACTCCGTAGCCTGGTGTACCGGTCTCGCCCATGAGGATGTCCCCGGGCTGAAGAAAATTTCCTATGAGGCGCCAGACTTTGTCTTGCTTGATTTCTTGTTCGTCTGACACATCGGAAAACGAAAGATTACGCTCACGAGGGAGGTCAACGTCGGTTTTTGTGTCTGCGTTCAACTTGGCGAAGTCCAGATTGTTGAGAAGGTAGTCAAGTACCTGTTTGGCGGAGACGTCACGGTACATGTCGCTTGCAACCTTGATGCCGCCGAATGTGAAAGATATCGTAACATCTGTTCTGGGCAATGCTGTCAGACTGTAGCTGTTGGTGGTACTCTGGTGTGGACCAAAGAACAAGACCAGGTCTGAGTTGTCCATGACGCTCTTCGTCTTGGGCGCGGCGAAGCGCCCTTGATAGATACCATAGACGTTGGGTAATGTCTCGTCGACGAGGGACTTGCCGGATGACGTGGTGAAGGTAGGCCACCTTGTAGACTCGATCAGTTGCCGGACGCTGTTCATCAGGCCAAGCGGTCTTGTCTCACAGTCCACTAAAATGACTGGTTGCTTCGCAGCGTACAACCTTTCTGTCAGCTTGGTTATTGCAGCCTCAAAAGCCGGAGAGGGCAAAGACTGGGATATCTGAATGTTGGATTCAAGTCGATCGGTTGGTACTGGGACTGCAACAACATCCACAGGCACTTCAATGTAAACTGGCCTGCTGTGGAGGATGCATTGCTCTAGGGCGTCGTCAATTTGCTTGGGCGCAGTCCTTGGGTCTAGCAGATTAGCTTGTGCCACTGTCACATGGGCAGACATTTGAGCGAAATGGCTGTAGTCGCCGTCGCCCAGAGTATGATGGATCATCTTTCGCTCGTCTTGAGAGTCCCGCGGCGGTGTCCCGACAATGTGCACGACTGCCGCTCGCTCGGTGTATGCGCCCGCAATTGCATTGATTGCAGAGAGCTCACCGACCCCAAAAGTCGTGATCAGCGCACCAAGACCTTTGATTCGGGCATAACCATCAGCAGCATAGCCTGCATTCAGCTCATTGGTGCTGCCAACCCAGAGAAGGCCTGCGGGCTCAATGTAGTCCAGTAGAGTGAGGTTGTAGTCTCCGGGAACACCATGGATCGCGCCTACCCCAAGCTGTTTGAGCCGCGTAAGAAGATAGTCTGCGAGGGTAACTGTGTTGTTCTGGGGATGTGATCCGTTCATGGTGAAGACTGCACAAGACGTTGGCTATAGAAGAGCCAAGATGTGTTGCAATGATATCAGGGATCGTGAAATTGTCTCTCCGAATCATGCGTCACGTTGTATCTTGCATTGCAGCAGAGGGCTTTCGCAGATGTATCGAAAGAAGACACGAAGGCACTATCGTCCTTACCAAAGGTAGTCGACTCGGATCAGAACTCGGAGCGATGCAACATTTGCAGCAATGCAGGTACGTAATAATGTCAGACAGTGTGTGAGAGATGCGCCCTTCGCGTCAATGCAGAAGAACAAAAGCATCCCCACGCCGCATTCCTCGGTTACCCCGTACTGCGTACTCGTATCCCGTACCTTGATGCCAGCACTTTCAAAACACTTCTTTCTTCTATGGCAGAGGTAGAATAGCGGTGGTGACTATACCTTCCCATAAGGTTCTCGGCACAGAGAGTACATGGCTACCGCATATAGCTAGGTTCACATCGACAATGATAGTTATTGTAGGCCCTTGATCAGTTGTCTCAATAATGAATGTTCCGAAACTCTGCCGGTACAGTATGAATCGTGATTCCTGGAGATGGCCGCTACCAATGACTCGAAGTTCCTTCTTCTCCTCGCGCCAATTATCTCAACTCCAATTCGGCTTCACAGCTTGTCGTTGAGCGCACACGAACAACTTAACTTCGGTGAGCATCGCGCACCACATATACTACCCTGGCATTCCAAATGCTATGCCGAAGGGCTTGACTGCAGCTCGCTGCATCCCACATCAGACTCCACGATCCGTATGGGTATCGGACGCATTGCTAGCGGAAACATTCACTCGGTTCTGTCACCATAGACGACACGGCAGCAATGTCCCAGGGCCCTTGGAAGCTCAGCGTCGCGCTGCCCGCCGGAAAAATACAAATCTCGCACACTCCGGCTGTCCCCCCGTATCGCTTGACCCTGCCATAGTCTTTGGACGCAACAGAAACAGCGACTGGTGGCAGTCTCCCACAAACCGCGGGCCCGCACAACGTGAGTGGCTCCTTGATGTGATGCATGTTCGCAGAACTAACATTGACATATAGCGACTGCTTCTCGCCTCCTACCGTCCTGGTTGTTCCCTATATTAGAGGCCGAACCACGACCAGTTCCGCGTTCTCAGGATGAGTCGAAAACAATACCCAGGCCACCGGACAGAAACCGGGAAAGACGCCTGTCACAATGCTCCAATCTGCAAGACATACGGGAGTGGCTGCAAGAGACTGGCGGCAGTATAGGCGAATCCCCGGCTCTCAGCGCTGCAATTCAAAAACACATGTTAAAGACGGAATTTCGTGGGGAAGAAATTGCGGCATATATTTGTGATCCCAGCTTTCATCCTCCAGGCACATCATTCATCAGGCGACTCATACCTGCCATCTTCGAGTGCACCTGGGAGGTGCATTGTTGGCAGGCTCTACGCGCCGCCATTGGCAAAGCTGCTGAGTTGGGTCTCATTGGAATCTCCGACATACAAACGATCCTGGACTTTGCGACTGCTTCCAGACCGATAAAGTTACACCGACCCGATGGCAAGATTGAGCAGGTGAAGAGTAGAGAAAGGATGCACCTGATTCGCATAACCCTGGATTCCCTGGCTCGATCAAAGGTGCTAACGGTGGCCAACCTTGAGGGAGACTTTTTGTCGAACCTTTTCTGCAAATTAGCGAGCCTCAGTGCTTCACGCCTCACGAGTGATAGTGTGGGCGCGTTATGGAGACTCATGCCTTGGGCAGGCGTCCACGACGCGCCTGTAGTAAGTCGGCTCATTTTCAGAAATCTTAGGGATCGCTGCCGAGACCATGCCGATGGAACCATAGGAGAGAAAATCGCACAACAATTGCAGATTGTTGACGTTGCACTTCTACGGTCTGCCATACTGCATACCACTGCCCAACTGGTCGAAGACACACAAGGTCAATCAAAAAGTTCTCACCGCTACCTACTTTACCATTGGATGGGTGTCCTGCAGACATTAGGCTCGACAAGAAGCATGGTTCAGCCTACAATGGAGGACTGGGCGCGCTTCAAATCGAACACAGTCGAGCCGGATACAGACCGAGCTTTGCTAGTCTTTGCATGGACCTCATTGCATCTATCTCGGCATTGGCGACTATCAAGCTCCTTGTCCGACAGACTACAGGCTTATGACCTGTTTAGCGAGAACATGCTCTCCATCCCAGAATTCGTGGCCGAGGGATTCTTGGACCGTGCTCTCCCAGATCTGGAAACCTTGCCTCTTCCGAACAGGGAAGTCCTCCTCCGTGATCTCACCACGATCGCAGGACAAGTCGGGACAACATCGAAGTCAGAAGACGCAACAAGCTCGAATGTCAAGGGAGTAAACGTGCGGGGTTCGCTGATACCGATCGAGGATGGCTTGTACAGAGATATGCGAGGTCGATATAACGAAGCCCTCGCCGAGTTGTCGGACTGTCTTCTTAAGGACCCGCTAGCCTTTCAGACGGTCTCGCGACGTTTGATCTGGAAGAACTCGACTTCATTCACAATCATCTCCCGGATCCTGGACAACAACACATCACTTAAACTTGCGTTGTCACGGACTGCACAGCATCCTCGCATCGTTCCAGAGCGAACACGTCCTCACGATCATGCGACGTCCATACACGACGTTCGCAAGCTGCAGGGCGACGGCGAAAATCCCGGACTCGGGTTGGCAAGCACAGTCCTCGATGTCGTCAACCATCTCGCAGTGTCCTGCGCGACTTCTCCAGTCGTCAGCCCTCGCGAAGCCCTACGAAGAGTCCACTGGTGCTATCGCTTCCTGCATCGCTACGGCGCACCCATAGAATCCACACTTACAAAAGCACTGTGGCATGCGGGCGTCGCTCGGTACGCGGAACACGGCTACGGAGAGTTTGGCACGGCCAAAACACTCTTGAGATGGATTCTGTCACAGATCAAGATGGCAGAGGGCGAGGACGTTGCAAGGCGTCTACTCTGGAGTCCCGCTTTTCGCGCGCAGCGGCGTCTGGAAATGAACGAGTTGGCAAAACTTAAGGATGTCGCGTCGTTTCTGCCCGCCAAAAGCGAGGGTCAAGATGCGCATGACAGCTCGACTAACATCACGACTAGCCTGGACGGGCTGCGAGAGCTTGGCCAGGCTGAGAAAACGGACTTGTCTGCAGATATGGACCACGCCATTGAAGATCTGGGTTGCGACTTCCCAATCAAGCAGCAGGCTATGATCAGCATCATGTCGGACTTAGAGATCTGGCAGAAGATCCGCCATGTAAACACGGTGCCGCATGCTTCACCGTTCTGGCATGAAAAGTCGGTAAGGAAGGAACTGTGGGAGAAGGCCCAGGTGGCGAAGCAAGCCGGACGTGGAAGCCAGAGTTCGTATAGCGGGCGATCGGATTGCGGACGAAATGCTTGATGAATGCTAGTCTTCACAGACAGCACTTTCCGCCACGCTCTAGATATTAACTACTTTGATATACTCTGCACCAGCAGATCCTCAGACTGGACGGCAGATCGTACGTCAGTATAATGACAATGATCATGATGACAACTGTGGTGCTTTTTCCTGCCTCGGGCGATCTGGACCGCGCTACAGAAGTCCAGAAGGCTGTAAAAGGAGGGCCAACCAACGAAGCTCGGCTAAGATCACCTCGTGTCCCTTTCCGGGGCCCGTCGACCAATTTCTTACTTAATTCGCAAAACAAATTGTACTTCTGTACATGGAGATTCAGCAAGTATGTTGATCAAGGACGTAAATGGCAAAAAGTTCACTGTCGTGGCCCAGGGCTTAGTGATGGTAAAATGGGTGGTGTTAGTAATTTTGGGCAAAATCAAGAAAACGGGCCCATCTGGAAAGCCATGGCATTACTGGACAGTGGAAGATCTTCAAATCCCGTGGTACTGGGAGATTCCTCTTCCGCGGGATTCGCCCGCGTAGTACAACCGGAACGTGGTTGCACGGGATCCTCTTGATCAGTTGTGGCACGAGACTCTTCGAACGACATGTTCGTTAGTTACATCGTGCAGGGTGATCGACCACTTGGTGAAGCCTCACTTTGAGATCTTGACGGTCCAATCAGTCACCGTCAAGGTAGCGGTCGCTTCAGGTCTACGACCTCCCCAAGTTTTGTTACTGTGAGAGTCACGGCTTCGAGGCTCGGCGCAATCTAGACAAGACCCTCTTCGGCTTGTTTCGTCCGTGGCTGGCAGGCGAGGTGTCTTGGGCGAGGCAGAAAGAGCGTCGAGTGCCCTCAGAAACAAAGGAGCCCTACCTGCTATCTCCGCTGCATGACCCGCCTTGACGTGGCTGTCCGCTGTGGAATGGCATACCGCATTCGATGACTGACAGTGTGGAAAACCCACCAGGGACCTCCTCCATGATTAACGTCAGTATCTCGTGATGCAGCCCAGCGGCGAGCATAGTCGAAGGTATCGTTGGCCATGAGAGGACATGGATGTCGTTTCTCGTGTCCTGTCTCGGCTTGGAGAAGTAAACCTTGCCAGCAATGGACATTGGTCTGGCGGAAGCGGTCATGACGGACACATTGCTTGACACAGAGAAGGGGCTTCAAGGGCGGACGTAGTCAAATTGATGCGGTGAAAACCATCATCAAAGGGATCCCTGTTCGAGCATCACCACGCCAGCGATCGTGATCGGGTGCGTTCTGATCTGCGCCACGTGTGTAGACACACACACTTGCTTCCATCATGGGATGAATAACACGTCCGGGTTGCAGGGAGTTCCAGGAAAAAGATTCCCTCTGCGTATTATTGATTGTGCATCCGAAGAACGACGCACATCATGCACATGCAGAACATTTGGCCATCCACCTCTTGACAGACTCACGAATCGTACGGCCCCGTCACACATATTGAAAGCCTGCGAATAGCCAGAGCCATGGATGTAAGTATCTTCAGTCCTCAGGCTGGTCATGAAAGGGCCAAGGGTGGTGACTGAATTTTTGACGTGTATCATGAAAATCAGAGAATGCAGCAGGGGGTCTCGGGTGGCATGCAGCTGGCATTGGACAGGCGGGGGTTAGATTCGGTAAAGTTCACTGCATGTTGTTGGACAGCTTCTCAGGCGAGTGAGAGCGGAGACTTGAGCCGGTGGACATTCGCGAAGGAGGCGGTCTGCATGGGTAGAGGCGCATTTTTCTCGGAGCTATTGACCAGTCAGATAGTCGTCCAGCAGGAAAAAGGGATCCATGCTTTAGGAACTTCCCAGAGATGGGGCAGCTGGTATGTCGCACGGTAGGGGAGATGTAGGACAGAAAACGCAACAAATCTCGGTGCGGGTGATTGATGTGATCTGAGTGACAAGAGAAAGACAGTTGAGTATGGTGACACGGGGCAGGAACAAGACAACACATGTTCCTGAAAAAGATTGGAAAGGGCGGCTTGAGAAGGGTAGACCCGAGAGTCTGGGTCACCAATGGAAGATTGAGACCACGGTAAGCGACAGCAAGCACGGCAACCATCGAACCATGTTCGACATTGTTGTGGAGGAGTGGATGAAGCAAGTGTTTGGTCGTAAGCAAGGGGCCGATGGGACTAGTCGAACAGGAAAACTGCGAGGCTATAATCTTGTGTAACCCGCGGACTCGTCGGCGGACGTTGGGGCGATCGCAGCATTTCGGAAAACTGGGTAACAGGGTGCTAGCCTACAAGACACCACACCAATGATTGCGACACCCTTCTGTGGCGGTAGTGGTGACTCGACGCCACGCTACTCCCCTCTGTGGGCCGGGGAGTGAGATGAAGCAGCTGGGAAAAAAAACCTGCAGCTAGACTAGAAGCAAGAATGTGTTGGAGACAAGGAAGAGCAAGTCTGAACAAGGAGCCAAGAGTGGAAGGCGAGAAAACAAGTTTGCAACATTGCAACATTGGCAAGCAGAAGAGAGGGGGAAAGTGATATCTCAGCAGATCAGATGAGATACTGAATGACATCAACTTCTATCATTTCACTTGCCCGTTTGGTGCGATATGAGAACATCGTGACAGAGTAAAAGAAGGAACTTAACTCCATAGAGGTTTTCGGAAAGGGGGCAAGTGATATAGCGCCAAAGCTACCCGTGAAAGGGACCTGATAAAAAGCTGGGGAAGGGGTGATGAGCGGCCCGGGCTGGCTGATTCCGTCTTATCAGAAGTGAGCAGTCTACAGTGTGAGCCATGAAGTGCCTACACCCAATACCGAGGACTTATCAGTAGTCCATAAGTTATGCCTACTGTGGTTGTAGGGATAATATGGGAAGAGGGCATAAGCTATCTATCTAACACCAATTAGTACAATATCCGGTAGAAAGGCCAAGATGGTCATGGACCATGGTCCTTGGGTCACTGGCAGTTGGCTGCAGTGTTCCGTAGTTAGTCCGTAGTAAACTAAACTCGATACAAAAAATGACATGATGATTGGCGTCTAGAAAAAACGGCCATCAAACTTCGGAAGGGGAGAGTTTAAGGCCTCTGGCTGAAGGTAAGCATCCGTTTCATTTCCATCTTGTCCCAGAGTGGTCAAGACTCGTATCCCTCTGACGTCGACCTTTTGTGTGTTTTGCTTGAATTGAATCCACCCCGCCTTTTTCTTTCTTTCTTTGTGTGTGCTCCTGATCACTTCAATCTCGATATCGAAATCAGTCCTTGCACCAAATACAGTCGATCATTTCCCATGGCCAATTAAACATGGCGTGCATATGACAGATCGTCCTTCGCTACTCATACCTCCCTGTTCCTTTTCTGTCCACGAACGCCCGCCGATCCGGATTGAAGCGAGACCATATGACATTATCAAGCCTCAAACCAGACGCCACCAGGACCCTCCCCATGGAGTACACGGTATTTGGACACCTTGAACTTGTGTACGAGTCCTTCATCAACCGAAACTAGTCGCCAAAAACTAACGTATTGGTGGATATCTGAATTCCAGTAGTGTGCTCCGCAATGCAGAACACTAATACTCCTTACGACGCGGCCACTTGCCCCTCGCCTTTTGGCCAAGGGTTGAAGGGACCTGCCTACAAACAGCTACTGCATGACCCGACCCATGTACCCCTTCATCAAATATGTATATCATGATAAGATAGCCAGACGTCCTGAACCCTGCATTTCTCGGATGTCTCTTCAGAGCCGGGCTCCACTATTGCGCACCAGGTCAGCACTCTCTGTTCTTTCTCCACCACCACGACTCAGTCAACATCAGATGGAGTCAATTAGACTTTGTCAGTGTTGCCTCCGACGACAACGCCTGTCCTTATATCCAACGGGCGGGACAATCCTCCCGCTGTCTGGCAACGACAATATGCCAATTTTGACTTTTAGCCTCCACTGAAATCCACCTTTGAATTACTTCATCCAGTCTTTCAAGAGCTGTAAGGAGGCCAGCTGTTCCATCACAGCGCGACCAGTCCAGTCCCCTCGGCCATGGCGGTCCAGTCAACCGTCATGTCTATGCCTACGGCCCCCACCGTTTGGCCCTTGTTCTCCGCGATCCGACCTGTTCAGCACTCTTTCCAAACCTTAGCCAGCTTATTTACCTCTTTTGACTCGCCCGCCTATCGACTATGCCCTACAAGTCTCAGCCTTTTGACGCCATTAAGTTTATTCAATAATGTTCGTGCGCGTTCAGGATCCTCCTCATCAAAGACTACGCTAGGGTCTGCGTCTGCCGTCACTCGCCGTATACTTGTGGCAAGGAGCCTCTCTCTCTTATCATACCCTCCATCCGACACGCTTCAGCTCCCGGCGGCTCAACGGAAATTTGATTCGCCTCTGTACGCCATTGTGTGAACCCCAGACCACCCTTGCCTTGCTTGCATCTAAGGCGCGCCTTGTGTCTCCCTAGCATCTGACAGATCGCAGAATCCTTGTCGGGAGCTGTGGCCCAGGGTCTCAAGCATCCCTAGTCCTAGCCACTTGCCTCATGCTCACAGGGTCCCACAAACCCTACTGTCCTCCGTCAATATCTGTCCTGCACGCAAGTCCATGCAGAAATCAACTCATACCGGTTCCACCTCTCTACGCCACTTCAGTTCGCCAGGGTTGAACTTTAAAGGCATTAGACGATACCTCTATATCTGACGGTGCAAGTCCAGCCCTTGTGTCCAGCCCAACTTTGGTTTTCTCCTGCTCACGCCGTTGACCACATTTCTTCCCGATACCGCCAGAGAGGAGCATCATTCGACTAAAGTCAATCAGTGCTCGGTGAAGCCGCATTCTAGATTGCGAAACATTGACGCGTTAGGACTTTGGGACCTTACCATGTGAGTGCCAATTGTTTTTCCTTCTGCCTGTCTGAATTCAAGCGTGCCCCTTCTGTGGAGGCATGTCACTTCGGCTGTTCAATGAGGACATGTCAATCCTGTCATGGAGAGCATTTTGACATTGATCCTCAAAGGCATGCATATCTGGCATTTGGGTTATGCACAACACGGCCTTCGCCCCTTCATTGTCCTCCTTCGTCGTGCCTGCCGGTGGCACAGCGCTTCATGGCTCGAACGCAGGTCATCCTGGTCTGAGAGTGTTGACGGCTGACTCTTAATGACTCTTCCTGAACGTCTCTCAATATGCCGAGAGACCGTTTCTGTTCCTTTCCTCCAAAGCTTCATGGATCCATATGCTTCTTATACCTACTCGTCTAACTATGAGTCCCTTAGAAACGAACGCTCAGATTCTGCACCTGGATCGTTACCAACTGCCGATCATCACCACCAACCGCAGCAACTGCCGCCTTTTAGAGAGGTATTTGGTTGTATCTGGCGATCCACCAGTCTCTTACTAATTGTACCAGATTCTGCAAAATCATCTGCAGCCAACCACTGGTTCCGCATGCGCTGTACCTGCCGAACAGAGCTTGAGCATGACAAGGAAGACGTTTTCCTACACGCAGGCGCCAACATCAGCGAGGTCAGAACCTCAATCACCTATAAATTCGCAAACAGGCAATAGCGTTGAGGGCTACGAGACTATGTCCGTTCAGAGCATCGACTCAGGATATCCTTACCCTGAGCGTCGCGGCTCCTCGTATGCTCCACAATATCCAGACCCCAGCGTTCCCTTCAACCCGTCACAGCGACTGTCTTACCAGTCACAAGCTGCGTTCAGTCCTTCCCGCGAAAATGCCAGCTTGCCACCTATTCGAGACATTGATCGCATGGGGGGTGCTTACGATTCTCCTTACTCTCCACCTTCTAATGGATATCAACCATTTGGGGCGGTGGCAGCACCGCCCAATACTCACGATACTTATTCTCTGGGGAATGAAAGGCCTGCATACTTTGACCCGACGAATCGACATGGGTACGCTTACCCGCCACCGAGTAGACCGGCACCGCAAGCAGAATACCCAAGATACGCGCCTTCTCCGTATGGCTACCGTGCTGGCGCCCCTTATCCGTCACCCTATGGCCCAGGTGACTACCTACCCTCGCCAACGAGTTCTCACAACGCAACTTCACCGACTGTGGCGATGGACACGGACAGTCGCAACAGAAAGCGGAGGGGGAATCTGCCGAGGCAGATCACCGACGTCTTTCGTGCTTGGTTCTATGACCATCTTGATCACCCTTATCCCACGGAGGAGGATAAGCAGATGTTTTCAGAAAGAACGGGACTCACGATGGCCCAGGTACGTGTTTTAGACATCCCCATGACGTCTGAACTCGTTTCGACTGACCTTATAACAGATTAGCAACTGGTTCATCAACGCCCGGAGGCGCCAGCTTCCTGCACTGCGACATGCGAGGGATAGGCAAAGTCAGAGCGTGGCCACAGAATATGACCCAGAACATTTACGCCGGTGAACACTTGCGGTTGTTTTCGGTATGCAATGAGGTCAACCTGAGATTTTGGCATAGGGTGAGTTGGCGCGGTTGCACGAGCAAGGGCGTGTTGGCGCACAGTATTGATACCCTTCTCGAAGCTGGTCAGGACGGCGAGAGATTTTTCTTCGGCGGCAAATCGACATGCAAGCGCTTTAATATGGATTTTCGGATTAGTAGAGCAAAAGTCTCGAGCGCGCACTTGAGGGGAAGGAACACTGCAATATGGTCTATAAATTTCTGTTGCTATTAACGGCAGGTTCACCTGTTACAGCCCTTTCCTGCCGAGTCTTGCAGATTAAATGTGTGCTGACACAGCACAGTACTCGTGGTGGCTGATGAATTCGCAACCAGCACATGGAGGCAAGCTGCTCGTACCGTCTGGGTGGCAGATGGCATACCTGCGCGTGGGACCAGTCTTCACCGATGAGGAATACTGTGTCACCACTGGCAGGCGTTCCCATAATCACGAAAGCAGTATTTTTTCCTGTGATAGGCAGTCCCGTGGTCCTGAAGCTTTGCAAATCGTGATCTTCAGGATGGATTCCATGACATTGCAAGTTGGCAACCAGTCACATGCAAAGTGTAACAAACGTCACTTGATTGAAAAGAAGGGAACGATTGCAGATCACAGTGAGGGATGCGCCAGGCACGAATATCTAACTCCGTACACTTTTTAATCTTAGGTCGCTGCCCGACTGTCTAGTCGTACGCCATTATATCATCATCAGTGCCTAAACTAACCTCTTCCTTGGACTGGTCGTCGAGGGACTTCAGTCGTATGTCCTGCTTATGCTCAGCTGCTCTCACAGTATCAATATTGTGCATTATTCGATAACTCGTGGTGTCCACAACCAGACATTCATCTACCATGTTTACCACCGGCCACCAAAAAAGTTGTCTGAACCTTCCACCAGCTCCAATGGTCGTCCTTGCCCACAAAGTACTGAGATCCATTGGTACAACCATAAGTCAGGCCAGGATATACTTTTGCCGATGAGGATGCTAATATCGACTAACAGAGAAGCTAGTTCTGCCCAAACAACACAAAACGGACCGGCAGCCGATTCCCACCTACGATCCACTTATGACAGCGAAGCGTGGTCGACAGCTGGCTAGCTGGTCTAGGTCTGGCAGCTGACAAGTTGACGCACTTCAGCCTGTGCCAGAGCCCAAGACATCCTCGGCGTGCTGATCAGATATAATAGGAAATGGTTTGGAGAAGCAATGTTCTTCTGAGTATGAGCATATGATATCAGCCGAAGATCAGCGACCTGTCTAAAGACCCTGCCAACGACACTAGCATGAGCATCGCTGGTCCTCCCTGAGCAGTAGCAAATTCTCCATATGTAGCGATCCGAACTTTTACACTGATGCTCGTCGCCCGAGGCCTTGCGCTGCTGAATAGGGACCGCGTCTGCTCAACCTGTACCCCTGCTCAAAACCGGCTTGGGCATGGTGAAGATCAGACTTTGCGCTTCGCGGAAAGAGTATGCGGCCAATTAACCGAGATCTTTCTTACTCCAATAAATCGGTAAAAGGTTGATGCGTCCTGACCATCATACCCTCACCTCTGCACCATACTTGCAACCTCGTGTCTTCTGCAAGCATAATCACGAGCATGATGACAGACCTCACCGGTAAGGCATGTACTAATATGCAAGCACCTCTGTGCCTCCCTTTAGCGTCGATCCAAAGGCCTCCGCAAAACCAAATCACCATGAAACAATGACGGAATCTTCGCACAGAAGTCATCTAGCTGTGTGCAAGAATGCCATCCACGGGCAGATCTTCACCTTTCATGTTTCGTGGACAATATGGCTCGTTATTTCCACTTCGGTTAAAATTGACCTACGAGAGGCGGGCATGTCAGAAGGGAATAGGGATACACGGGAGAGCCGGAAGAATTGCAGCCAACTGGGCGGACCTATGCGAAGTCGACGACCCCTTGTCTTGACCACCTCTTGCCCGATTGAGCTTTCATGAAGTTCATCAACATCGAGCGGTCCTAACCTACTGGTCGAGTTTCTTATCTGGTGTTTGATCAGTCGCTCGTCGCATGTTCTAAGACGGCGAAAGCCTCCCAATTGCGCATCGATTGTGACCGGAGAGAACCGGGCATCATCTGCGTACCTGTCATCTCAGAGTGGGAACACATAGGGGCCGGACCACTGGCACCGAAGTTATGCCCTAAGCGAGACGACTTGCAGAGTTCGGTAACAGCATTGATCTCATACTCCTACAACAACAGCACAAGGTCTCCAGCATCGCCAAGGTCCACTGCACATGCCAGAGCGGTATCGCGATCCAAGCTGAAGTTGCTGTGCCTGCACCGTTGACCGGCCTGGACGCGAGCGGTGATTGACTTTCGATCTTCTTCGTTGGGCATGCTGTCAACTAGCCTGCTTTCCTTTGGCAGCACATATGTCGCTTTCCAGGCTACTGTTGTATGATCAATCTCGATCCGACAAACTTCCAGGTGTCCAGGCTGTCACTATAGCCGAGACGACATAACGACACTTTACGTCTCTGTGAATGGAGGGCTGATGCCGTTGCCGGGAACATCTCACAGTGACTGAAGAAAATTGGACGCCCTTCACTGCTATAGGTACCTATTATGTGCCGATCTGCTCAAGATATCCGGCTATCGTAGGCCTGAAATCGTCAGCTAATCTGCGCATCAAACATTCTCAGGATGCAGAAAGGTTTCATGACCCCTCCACCCAAGGACATTTGGACCAATCGATCAAGTCACTGGGGCTGCTTTTTAAATCGTGTTCCGTTTTCATCTGCACAGGAACGTGCTTACAAGTCTTCTGTAAGTTGTGAGGAACGCTGAGGTGATGACAGTGTAGCCACACAAGCAACCACGTCGCTCCTACTGACAGGTCAATCTTCTTGCTTCGCGTGTCATTAAACCTTGACCCCGGGTCTTGGACGAGGCTCCATAATGACCCTTGTTTAGGCAGCCCGACATTGATGGTGACAAGGCTTCAAGCTCCTCGATTTTCGGTCGATATGGAGAAGGCTTGCTCAGTGGACGTGGTACACGTGGAAAGCAAATCAGCCTATTATCGGAATACTACAGGCAAAGCTTCTTGACCTTCGATAAGGCGGGTTTCAATAGTAGAGCGGGATGAATATGTCTCGCGCAAGTCGCGCATAAGTCTCCCTTGCGCCTTCCTTGCGGTGGTTCATATCTGCCTCTGTTTCAGGATTGCCCTTTTTCGCCAACATTGGATTTTTGAAGACACCAGAGGCCTGAACGAGCAAGTGATGTGGCACCTCACCACGCTTTTGGTCTTAATCATAAAATCCCCATTGGAAACTAGGTTCAGCTGAAATTAGGGGGGTTATATTGACTTTCCCAAGGACCCCCAGGACACTGACAAAAGCTAACTGCGATGGCTCTCTGCCGCAAGAACGCCCCTAACCGCTCCATCTGGGAACACCACCGACAAACACAGAGCGAGAGCCCCTACACCTTGCATTGCTCATCAATGTTGAAAGGTTCAGGCTATCAACCAGTCATGAGCCAGAAAATCATGAAACCCTCGAGGTTTGAGTGGAATAACTTACACGGCAGGAGTGATCGGTTCTTGCACAATTGTACTCATCAGACCATAAGCGTACCTTGTATGGCTCAAACGAGCCTGAAGGATTTCTGCGCCCCGAAACTGCTCATGGACACCTCTACCTTGGAGGAGGAACCTTGCAAGAACCTGTACAGCCACTTCGACCACTCAGCCCACGTGTTTTCCCGAAGGGCCATGGAAGCTTAGAACTCTCAAGGTCACTCGTGCTCCAGTATGGTCGACTATTGACCCCTCTGAGACTACCTACAGGCCAAAAAGATTGATGAAGAGTCTTTTCAGAGTCTCCAAGGTTGCAAAAACCTTGTGTTAAGTCCCTATGGGTCTTGTCCAGGCCGAAAGTCTGGGTCCTTAACCCAGAGCCGCGCCCGGAACTTTCTAATGATGTCTGTTTTGTAGCTTTTCATGAAGATCCGGACGACATCCCCTAACCTGGAAAACTTACGGTGCAGAGGTGAGCGTGAACAACCTGAACTGCGCCTTGCTGAGCCAGCTATCAAGGTGTGTGACTCTTTGGAACCTCATGCAGGCGCAATTTTCTTTGGCGATGCAGAGATGCATACACTCCTGTAGCAAAGCCCCTTGTCCCAAGCTCCTTAGAACCCTGTCATACGGGACTCCCAGCAGTATGGGGATGTTTTCTGATTGAATTCGGACGCAGACAAGCCGGGTTGACCTTCCTGCCGCAGTCTATAACGACCATCCCTACGAACCTTACAATGTCTCCAAGCTGCATGAATCATGAGCTGGACCGGCTTTCCTAGTGCAAAAGCAAGCTATCAGGGGAACACATTGGTCTGCGACAGACTCAACTCTGTGCGGTTCCGAGGCTGGGTGGGCAGCGATCTTCTCGTATTCATAGTCTTGAGCGAACGACGAAAGGCCTGACGAGCGAGCATCATGTCCAGCCATTACATTCAAGGGACTCGCTCGAGTATTGCAACCAAGAAGCAGCATATACACGACGATCATACCCAGATGGAATGGAGCGCGGTCCAATGCCTGGGCGCATCAGTCTGCCTCTGAGTGACTGCCGTGCCAGTCGCTCTCTGGAGCAGGTTGTGAACACAAAGACATCTAAACAACACAAAGATCTTCGGACCCTCTCATATCCGCAGAGGCAGAACTGCAGGACTTTAGGAGCACATACACCAAGAACACTGCATAGCGGCCTATTTTTGACGGCAAACACGGGCGCAGGACATTTGAAGTCTACAATAAGTTGTACTACGCGTGGCCTACCTGAGAAGCCATACGGCTGTGGGCATCTGATTGTAAGGATCCAGCACCCTGGAAACTCTACAAAGCCTTTCGAGCGTTTGAAGTCTTACCCTCTGCCTTCTTTGACGAAAACAGAGGTCTGCGGGCATTGTTCCCACGAAGGTTCGGCACCCTGGCAGCCCTATAAACCTTCTTGGGGGTCAACTTGAACCCTGCAGGTGTCGACCTCGTATTCGCAAAGGGTTGACTTTACTTGACCTCTTTCTACTGTACGACTAAGTTCAAGTGCGGAGAGTATGACCCCTAGTCATATATGTTGCCTGCATATGTCAATGTGACACTGTGATCCTTGATATATTGCATGCGCGTGACCTTGCCGACGATCCGACATGGTGATCTTTGTCTTTTTCCTGTCAAAAAGTTGAGTTTCGGATGTCCTTAAACTTACAAAGTGACAGAATCATTAGCGGAAAAGGCAAAAGTCCTGTGTCAATGACTGACTCGAGTGTCATTGGACGGGTGATCTTTCCTGTGTTTTTGGGATATGGTATTTCTCTCTTTCTCATTTCCCAGAATGGCAGGCCCACGTAATCAGGAAGTATGATCCATAGAGACACGGGAAGGAGATTCCCATATGCCAAGGGTATGGGATTCTTTCGTTCTCAGATGGCAACCTCATCCGTCCAACATGAGCTTGGACTAGAAGGTGCTTTCGTGATATTTCACAGCAGAATCAAGCTGGAATATAGCTGTGCTTGCAGCCGTGTCAATGATTGTGAGGGATGAGTCAAGCAATGACGGTCGCCGTTCACTTCGTCTTACCCGCCTGCTATACCCGCGAAATCCGTATATCACATATGGAACACCGTTCCAACATCAAGTCCAGACATAAGCCAAGAAGAGCGGAGCCGCGTTGCATGTTCTTGGCCAGGACTCAAGGACGATGTCCTTTTGTCCACGGTAATCTTGCTGCGTCACCTATATTGGCAGCAGAAGGTTCGGGGTGGCCGAGTGACTTTGATCCTCCTCTTGGCGATCACAGGCGACCTAGATGGTAATCATTTTCTGCGTCAGTGTAAATTCGGTGAACAGCCTCATCGTCCTCTGGGACAAGATGGACAGGTAAGTTCCATGTCTTGGGCCGACGGCACGCGGAACTTGTCAGGCCCAGGCACGGCAGAGACTGTCAACTGACAAGTGTGCGGGCCTGCGGCATGGTATTGGCATTTGCAGGTGGCAAGGCTGACCTGACATAGAGTGTGAAGAAAGAAGGTTCAACTTTCTTTCGTGCAGTGAGTTAGAGTAAGAAATATGCTTGACAGTTGACATTTTGGCAGTTTGGGTCTTTTTTATTGCTTTGGGGGCGGTTCTGTGGCTTACTTAACCTTCCAGGCGGGCTAGTGAAGGCTCGGTGGCGAGGCTGACTGTCGACCTTTGACTTCGCAGCGCCGTTTTGGCCATTACAGCTCCGCGTAGGCCTCAATCAGGTCTAGCCGAAGCCTATAGGCGCCGTCGAAGTCTTACAACACCAAGGTTTAGGCGACAGCAAGGTTTGCAAGCTATACCAAAAACAGGCCTCCGCGGAGGTCAGGAGTGGAGTTGCAGAACGCCCCTACTGAGTCTTTGGGAGTAAGTTGGTTCAAGATACTTCTGCCTGACGTGCAGGCTGGACATATGGCGGTAAGTTCCATGCTGGTCATGAAGGTTTGCTGGGTGGAAACGAGAACAAGTCTTCCTTGCTCGGAGGCTGCCATCTGTGAGCACTTTGTACTGGGAGATCCTATGCTCAATGCTTGGCTCGAAATCTGTGATCACTATCTGTTGGGGCCAAACTTCGACTTGGAAGAAACGACACAATGCTTGATCCAGCTGGTCAGCACTGCTGAAGATACTAGTCTTACTGCCCAGAAGTATGGTACTGGGTGCACACAAGAAGACGAGAGAACAACTGGCGAGGACGGGAGTGCATGATCGATGCCCACTGTCAAAGGTTGCCACTTGAATCCTGAGCTCGTCACTCCAGTAGGGACGATGAGGATGAGGACGTGGATGGGAACGAACGCGGCCAGGCGGAAAAGGAGGTGAGTTGATAAGATGGTGATCAGATTAGATGAAGTGATAAATGTCCAGGATCGACAAGGCAAACCCCATTGTCTTTAGAAATTGAATTCCATACTTCTGCTAGTGGAATCACGCAAAGATCTCCAAGATGACCATGAATGAGTTGTCGGACAATGAGACCTTCTCTTACAAGCCAATCGCCCGGGCCATCATGCTTGCCATACTGGACATGTTTTGGTAGATTCCTCTACCTTCTCTCGCCTGTACCTCCTCTGATCTCAGACACTGCAATTCAAGTCGAAGATACTCAGCTGCACATGCGGAGACAGTTGAAGACCCGGATCAGAGCCAATGCGCCGCATGTGAGTCAACCGACGCCAACCTCTGAAGCATGGGAAGACTCAGAACCAGAGAGGAGCAGGCTTGCTCGCCGGTTAGGTGATCTGTGGAATCATGGTAGTGGTCGTAGTATTGTTTGTAGATACGCCGAACAGAAAGAGGTGGCTTGAGCAGTAGACTGGGTGGGGTAGTTGATGAGGTCGTCAACGACTTTGCATTTGATACCTCGTTCCGCAGGCGGACACCTGCTGGCACTGAGACTGCAGTGAGAACGCAGAGTAATAGATGCATCAGAACGCCAGAAAGCATGGTCACAATCATGGGGCCACAGGTTATGTGAGAGAGCGGAAAGCAGGATCCTGTACCATTGATGCACCTACTGTTGCAACGCAGTCTTCGACTCATCGTGTCTTTGGTCCAACTCGCTCGCAGTGTTCTGTTTCACCTACCAACACCAATTTATCGTGAGGCGAACGGCCTGATGAGGCCTGGCGGTCTTGGAGCAGGCTGAATCTTGGCCTGACAGGACTATATGAGGATTGGTCTCTTTGGTATGCCGCAATCTAGCGGAAATGAGCAAAGCTGAAAGCCATGCAGATTCTCATGGAAAGGTTCTGCGATGGTATTGACGGGGTTTCAAGTTGTCGACTCTTGGAATCGGCACTTGCAAGGTTCACTTCTGCAACGTAAGTGCCCGAGTAGCAGAAGTCCACATCTAAGATATACCTTGTCGGCAACGCCGGCGATGCTGATATTGCACTTCACAGTCAGATTCGAGCTGGGAGATAGTGAGTGAACTTTTGTTCATTTCCATTGGGTGAAAGATTAGCTTGGACGTGAAGGGGGTGGTTACGCTGATGGCCAGTAGTCCTGTTCAATGATCGAATTGTTAGATGGTGAATGCCGTTGACACAGGCACGTTTTCGCTTCTTTTTGGGGACATGTCGGATATGTGCACATGACAGATGGCCTCTTGACGATATGCCGCATTGCCGGTACGGGTATCGATGCCCGTAGCTTACCCGATCAGATAACAGCCATGCCTAGACCTTCACCCACAGACTCAAGTTGAAAATTGGTTTTAGAGTACATGATGATGTTATGGGCAAAGCCGTGGATATACTGAAAGAACCTGCTTTTGAGGTAGATCCTTCACCTCAGTGATATCTCTCGTCAATTTCGGACCTTGCATCTGCCAAGTAGAACAAGGGGGCACGTTGCAAGGGGTTTGTGCTTAAGAAGCCTTGGAATGTCCGACCTCGGCAGGGGTGGAGATGCAAGATCAAATTTCACCATCAACTAGTGCATCATATCTTATCGATCCATCTAATCAAATCAAAGGAATCAGTGGTACGACGCTGTACAAGTGGGGTAAATCAATGTCGTACTCTGATCTTTCACTTTTCTCGGGAGGCCACCGATGAAGTGGTCGGGAAGACACCGCACCCTCTCGCCACTCTCCGGATGCCACAGGATAAGAAGATGAAAGGATGTACGCAAGATCGGAATGAACATGCTCGGTACGAATAGGATATAAGAGAGTAATATAAGTTAAAGGAAACAGCATCAGTCCAACCGTCAGCCCACTACCATCGATCAGCGTAAGTTTTAGTTGACTTGACAGTTCATGTCAGTGGGCACTCTGGTGACTCTGGGCATGCCCATCATAGGCTAGCGACCGATATCTGCCGACCTCGCATTCCCATTATTAAGTTACCCATAACCCTGTTCAAAGAGCCTCCCGGTGCTCGTTCCCCATCATTCTTTGATTTCTCAAACCTCACCACCTAAGTTACCCACGGCAAATATTGAACTCGAACACTCCCTCACCTTTGCACTACACCCCGATGACGCTGCACTACAACATCCTCAATTGACTGACGCGCTGGTATCTGTCAAGAATCGCAAGTGTCAAAGTGCCTTCACGCGTCCGAGGCTGGTCTGTTCTGGCCTGCGCCGCCCACCATTATCTAAATTCCGCACCACGTTACATCATCCACCACCGTAAGTCCAAATCCCTCTCCACGGTTTCAATCATTCAATCTATTGCTTGGATAATGCTGCCAAATCCTCTCACGAACATCCTGCCTCAACTTTCCGCATGGCAGGACCTCCAGTGTTCTTATAAACAATTACTCACTCTCTTTACTGCACAGGACCCTTCCATCTACCTACAAAACCCAGAATGCAGTCCACCACCGCCATGACGGCAACGCACCACATACCCACCACATCCCATTCTCATCCTAATGACCCCATACCCGAAGACCCTACGAGAAAGCTATCAATGAGTGTCTCACAAGTCAGCCAGTCGCCAGTATCAACCGCCACTATTGGCACATACTCTGACGACGGCTCAAGTATAGACACAACTCCTACCACGCCTTCAGATCACCTGTCGGAAGACTCCTACGATGAGGAACAGAGCAGGAAAGCCTCCAATGATCAGCACAAAAAGAGACGAGCTTCAACGGTGTTGGTGTCGGAGGACTCCGAAGATGCTAGACGGTTTCTAGGCGAGGCAGGTACTGCCACATCTATGATACAAAAGGCTTGCTGTGGCGGAGGCTGTTGCATGCTCCAAGAGTTCAAGTCCAAAAATGCATCGCAGGGGACAATCCCTGTTGGGGAACCTCAAACTCCCGCATACAAAAGTCTCAAGCTCAAGCTTGGCCTACTCGGCCTCGACAGCGAATTGACGGGAATCGTCGACATGCCACCAAAGACCGTCTCGCTCGAACCATTATCCACATCCCCTTCCACCACATATGCAGCGCCCACGAAACGGCCATCGACAGAAGTCTTGAGAAACCCTCCCAATTTCGTCACTCCCCACCCGCCCTATCAAGTATATGCAGCCCCTCTATTCCACGCTCGCGAATTGACGAAGCCTGGCGCCGAGAAGAGAACATATCACTTTGACATCGATGTCACAGATTACCCTACAGAAGGTGGGGACGTTGATTTTGTGGTGGGCGGTGCGATCGGTGTCTGCGCCCCTAATCCAACTCATATGGTGGATCAGATCTTCGATCGCCTCGGCGTTCCCAGTTTCGTACGGGACAAGCCAGTGCTACTAAAGACCACGTCTGGACGGTGGCCGACCATTTGGGGCGACGAAACCTCCAGAGAATTGGTCACCACAAGAAGGGAACTTCTGACATGGTGCTCAGACATTCAGAGTTATGCACCCACCAAGCAGTTGTTCCGAATGTTCGCCGAGTTTGCCGAGGACGAACACGAGAAGAAGATTCTCATGTACCTATCTTCCGCCCAGGGTCAAGGCACCTTCTGCGATTTGCGAACTGGGCCATACACTACCATTCCACAGCTCATGGATGCTTTCCAATCCTCAAGGCCTCCGCTCGATTATCTGCTTTCCGTACTCAATCAGCTCATGCCGCGATTCTATTCACTTTCTCAAGACCCACAAGTGTCCTGCCTACGAGATGGCACAGACTGCCGAAAACTGATCGAAATCGCGGTTACCGTGCACGAGGCCGAAGATTATGCCACTGGCAAGCGAACAGGTGTTGGCTCAGGATTTCTCGAGAGACTGGCTCGACAACTTCTTAATGCTGAAAAGGAAGGCAAGGATCCTAGTACCCTGGATCTCAGAGTCCCTATATTCCGCGGCCTGATGGCAAACCCTCTCGCCCGAGAGTTCGTCAGTGACGGTCCAATGCTTCTGATCGGCGCTGGTGTGGGCATTGCCCCGTTCCGTGGCTTTGTCCACCGAAGGCTAAAGTCAGCCAACTGTGCCAACAAGGTCTGGGTCCTGCAAGGCATTCGTGATAGTCTTGTTGACGAGCTATATTCTGGAGATTGGGGCGTCCACGAAGACCAAGTCAAGAAAGTAGTCCAGTCTCGCAAAGGGAAAGGTCGATATGTGCAGGAAGAAGTTCGACATCAAGCCGATTTGGTGTGGTTCATCATCAATGCTCTGGACGGACGAATCTTCGTCTGCGGAAGCTCGAAGGGCATGGGTGAAGGCGTCGAGGAAGCGCTGATAGACGTTGCTGTGGCCAAGGGCAAGTTGAATCATGACGAGGCGAAGAGTTTCTGGGCCGAGAAGAAGGCTTCCGGTCAATACATCGCTGAGACTTGGTAAGGCCGAATGTACAGAGTCTTTGGATGAGGAATTCACCAGAGCCTTGTGCTGATGGAGGCTGTTTGATTACATTTTGGAAAGGCGTGTACAGTTTAGCGAGAAATAACGACATGGACTCGGCGTTTTAGTGGAACCTTCTGCCATGCAGAGCAGGAAGGGTTGTGTATTTTGGGTACCATGGGAAGGCATTGTCACGAAAAAGCTGTCTCTACCTCAAAGTCAGGAAGGATTCAGAACCGGCGTTATATAGTGATTAATGCTTCGCTGGCGCTGTCGCCAGATACATGCACATACAGGCAATAAATCACATATGAGACCGATGTTTTTTGGAAGACCTTGATGAGTACATAGAAAGTGGCACTGGTCTGACTGCTGTTGCGCCGCAGGTCCAAATAGATATTGTCCCTTGTTGTCAGTCCGGAGTCCTTCGCCTACAAGAATATAGCTTCGCTTTTGATGGGGGTGAAGGTCATCACCTCTATCGTACATGGCCCCTGTCTTGCTGCCAAGGCACCCGCAGTTGTGAACATGCTATGACTTCAAACTTGTGTCTTCGATATACGCCCTGTCCAGTGGTGCCGTTTTTTCTGCAAACAGGCTCGATATTTGTTGCTGTACCTCTAGAACTTTGAATGAATGAGTGGTATATACGCTTCACACTAGCTGTTCGCATGCCAAAAGATCAATGCTTCGATTTCTTTCAGAGTCATACCATCGTCACCTTGTCGTTGAATCGACGTTGAGCCCTAAGTGCCCGTTCCATCGCACCAGATACTGACTACCTGGTACCTTTACTCAGCATGCCCATACCAACGCCCCTAGATTCCGTATCCAGAAACCTATGCTCGGAACATCTTAACCACTTGCTTCACCGTCTTTCTGCAAATAGGACAGATCTCGCACTGTTTAGCGCACTCGACGCATGAGCACACATGGCCACAGTCGAAGAATAGCGCGTCAATGTCCTGTTCGCAGCAGATCTGGCACAAGTCGGCCTGTTCGTCCGCGACCTGCCAGTAGGTCGTGCCCATGCCCCAGCGCTTTCCATACTCAAAGCCGCCGACGTATTTGTTTCCGGTCCTCTTCTCGACGAACGTCCCGTGACCGTGTCGCTCGTCTTCATCCCAATTGCCTTCGTAGGTGTCGCCGTTTCGATAAGTCATTCGCCCTCCCTTGCCACATTTCTTGTTGCACATGAGCGGGCCTTGATACATGTTTCCGCCCGAGCTAATCCATAGGCAGTCCTCGCCGTGCTTACGTCCATTGACGAGTGGGCCTTTGTAGTAGTCTGTGCCAAAATCGGCCAGCTCGATAGGTTCAGTGGTGGTCAGAGATCGGACCGGATGTTGTCGATCCACCATGAGGAGGTACTGTGACAGCTCGAACGGATCCGAGAATTTGCCCTCTTTATGGAGACTCTTGACTTCAGACTCAGAAATCTGTTCACCGACAATCAACTCACATCCATCAGGCAGATCACGGTCTTGGAATGTATCACCTGATGCAATCGAGCACCCGTGAGCTGCTGAATCTCGGTACCAGACATTGAAAGCTTGATCTGCTGTAAACCCCATGCGCTGCTGGACGAATGGCTTGATTTTCTCATCGCATCGGGCAAAGAATGTTTCTCGCACCTGGAAACTCTGCCTTTCCACGTCAAATACCTGCAAACAGCCGTACACGTTTTCCGGCGGTCCTCTTGCTGCTTGTGCGGACTGAGACGACTCAGTGGATGCTTCTGCTCGGTCAGGAACCGGAACTGTCGAATAATATGCGGAGATATCGACCAAGGGCTCACCGGGTCCAGTAGCTCGAGCAATGGCGTCGGCAATGATATCTTGTTCAAGCGATGACAAAGTACTGCCAGGTTCGGCTGAAGACTCTTGTGTATCGTCGTTGCCAGTGGTGATCTCCATTGCTCGGGGGCCATCGTGCGCTGCTGCGTCTATCAAATGACCGTGTGGTACATTGGCATGGAGGCTTTCCTCAGCAGTTGGCGGTGGAATGTCCATTTGCATGGGAGTGTCGGGATCCTGCATCTCGGTCACTTGGGAGACAGGTTGCTCGCTTGTGGCCGGCATCCTGGCAATATCTGCGGCGACTGCCGCTTGGATTGAAGCTTGCTCTGCGTCTGCATCTGAAAGTTGCTCATCAGCCCCGTCTTCCTGTCGTGAAGCCTGGGATTGTCCGCCTTCTTCCATTACTTCTTCGGGCAATGGGCGATCATGGTGACCAAAAAGCTCGACATCGCTCTCGTTCTTCAACACCGCAAACCATAGGCACCGAGGTTCGTCAAATCTCGCGTTGTACCTCAAAGAGACATTCAGGTCAATTGGTCGCCGCAAGCACGTACGCAAGTGATGCTCTAGACCAGTGGAGCTTAGGGTGAAGAGTCGTAACTGGTTCTCGTCATCAATTTCCAGCTCTTCCGCAAGCCGTTGTCGTAGATCCCTGTAAGTGGACCCTTCGGGAACGCTCATAGTGTAGTAGCACATCCGTTGTTCCTGGGCGTGCCTCTTGAGATCAAACACATCAAGCAGTCCTTCCCGTCCAATCGTACACTCGTCGGAATACAGCTCCACCGTAACTTGCCGAGGGTCTGCAGGCAACGACTCTGCGGGCAACGACTCCGCAGGCAACGACTCTGGAGCAGACGCTCCACCAGAGCCGTGAAACTCAGAGTGAGGGTGCACAGAGTTGTAAGGCTCCAACTTGCCAGTCAGATACTCCCCAAGTCGGCTTGTCTTGATATACATGACCATATATGCTGTCTCTCTGGTAGAACTGAAGTCCTTGAGTGCTTGACCTTCAAGTCCCTCAAAGCTCCGAATTCGCTTTTTCGTGTATGAGAAAACTTTGTTTCCGTCGCCGTCTTCGAAGGCGAGCCACTTGGTGCCTGGACCGCCAGGGCGCAGGACAGTATAGAATTTCCCGGAGTTTCTTTCGCCAACATGAACCATGAAACCGTACAGAGTATACTTGGCGTGGTCGTTACTGAGACTGAAATCGGACATATCCAGCGTTTCATTGAGGGAAACGCGATTGTGGAGTAGTTTCCATTCCCGGGACTTGGTGTCGAAGCGCTCGCGAGCCAGCGAAAGTGGTAGGAAATCCGGCAACTGACCGCTGAAGCTTTTGTCATGGAGAACTTGTGCCAATCCCTGCTGGATATCGTTGACGCCTTCCCCAACAGGCAACGATGGTAGGGACATCGGACCATCCGGCGTATCGAACATTGCAGGCAAGGATTTTGAGAAGTGGGTGCCTTTCAACTCCAAGTCAATGGTTCTGCGGAATACTTCCCAGAATGTCTTCACATCGGTATAAACCTCTCCCAATTCCTTAAGTGTCTGAATTGCGGGATACACGTCCACGTAAGTTTCTCTCTCTTTCTTCAAGTGGCGCATTAGGTTGAGGATCATCTGTAGCTGGCTGATGAACGGCTTAGGGTTTTGGCGCCCGTCACCAGTATCGACCTCCTGGAGGATCTTTCGGAACGGAGCCAGGAGCAGCCAAGCAGTCATACCAGCTACTGCAGGGCTGTGGTAGAGGGGAGGTGTGCCCATTGGGAAGTAACCAGTCAGCGATTTGGAATCCCAGTGGTTTTCTGCGTCAGAAGAGTGCCACCACAAGGCTTGTGTAGGGTCGTCGAAGATACGAATGTAAGCATCAATGGCGATGGTATCATTTCGCAGTAGAGGCGCTCTTTGCAAATGTCCACGCGTCTGGACTTCGCTCCAGGGTCCGACAAAGTTCGTCCATCCCCAGTCATCGTTCGATTGTGCGAACTGGTGCTCGGAAGACATAACGTGACAGGTGCGCGGCTCTTCTGGATTGTACATGACCATACCGAGCTGCGCTGGAACACGCCAATCCTCTGCCTCCTCCTCGCCTTCGGCGGACTTGATATCTAGAGGTTCCTCTTTATCCGCCTGTGATGAATCCGTGGAACCTTCGCCGTCTATGCTGTCTTGTTTCGAGCTGTCCGAGGCTGAATCGGACGATGAAGAAGTGTCGTTCTTGCTCTCACTTGCAGTGCTCTGAGTGTATACTGTGTGACTCGGGGCAACGTCATGACGAAGGTCAGCGTCTGGAGGACCTTGCAAGAACGAAAAGCTGCCGTCCGGATACTCGATGTCTGATTTGGGAGGATGTCGGCTGCATTTGATGTACGCACTAAGCGAGACGGACTTGTTGCCTCGAGGGTAGAACTTGATCTGCCAATAACTGCCATCCACCTGTGCAGCTGGAGACATCATGACTCTGGCATTGTTCGGCTTTTCTCGGATACCACGGACACCTTTAATGACCCAGCTCAGCCGTAGCTTCTTGACTGGTCGCTGCTCTGGATCGTCGACGTCTTGATAGATCCGCTTCTCCACACTGGGCACGTCCAAGGCATTTAGTTCTTGGCCTCTCGATTCCCTCAACCTGATCTCAGCCATTTCATCTTCTGTGGGTGTGGATAGGTCATCTTCCCAGGTCGTCCATTCTGGAGGACGGTCTTCCGGCACAGGTGTAGCGGGAGACGTTGGGACTTCTTCACCAGATCTATCATCGATGGGAGGTTCCCCTTCGGCTTCTTGAGAGGGGGCTTCAGAGACCGCACCTCCAGCTGGCTCTGCTTCGGTGGGTCGTTCGAGATTGCCTTCCACCGGCCTTGAAGGCACCTCTTGTTGTGACTGTGGCTCAGCCGCCGAAGGAGGCGCATCTACCATAGGTGTATCCACCATTTCTAACGTAGATGTAGGAGGTTCGCTTTCGGTTGGGGGCTGATCGGGATGTGGTTGAGGTTGGCCTGCGGGCTCGGAACGAGGTGCCGTTTGTAGGACAGATTCCGGACTGAATGCTGAGATTGAGACGACGCTGACTTCTGGAGACAATCTGTGTGCAGGAGAGGGCACCTGGATGAGGATTGGAGAGGTCTGCGTGCTGGCCATGACTGGCAAGAGGTGAGACTAGGAGTCACTCCGCAGGGCAATGGGTCGTGATGATAGAGTGACAGAGCCAACGACCGGAACTTCGATGGATTTTGAGGTGGCTGTCAAGTCCAACGACCGGTATTTTGATGGATATGGTTGAGGTGGCTGTCAAGTGAGTCATCAGAGGAGTACGGCATTACATGATCAAGCGTGTGTCAGAGGTGACCAAGGCAAGGTTGACGATGTCAATATGGGGGAGTTCGTCAGATGAAGCAAGCAAGATGCGGAGAAGAGAGATGCGGACGGATGAAGGTAAATATGATATTTCGACGCAAGATCAAGTGTCTGGATGCCTGTTCAAAAAGAACAGCAGGGGTCTGAGGGAAGGATGAGTAGGTTAGCTGGTATGCATGCATCTTGCGTAGGTAGAATCGCAGGCAGACAATGGCCGGTGAGGCTATAACGAATGTTTGGAGGCGAGCGATGGGGTCCTATCGGATGCCTGGTACTAAAGATCCCCTGCTGATCCAGTTAAAGTCCCCCACGCGTCCCAAAGCTTCAGCCCACATCTTCTCGGGGGCCTTCCTCTCATTCATCCGTGCTCCGCTGGCTGCCTCATGACTGGTTGCTTTCCGCACCGGCGTGAGGCTCAGCGCCACCCCGCCCAAGACCTGATCATCTTGCACCTTTCATGACTCCCAACTGCCTAGGCATCAATGGACTCTTGACCAACCTTCAATGTGGACGCCACGCATATCCATTGCACCATTGGGCAGTGACATCTTGGGAGCCTGATGACCACCACAAATGGACTCCTTTCGACTCATCGCACAGAGGCATCAGCCTCACCTTGGCTCCACAACGGCATGAAGCTCTGACACTTCATCAGCTCATCATGGTAATGACACAGCCCATAGGATTTCCCCCGCAATGGCCAAACCGTCGATGCCACCCGAGGCATGTGAAGGATTATTCATGACTGGAAGTCTGGCGAAAAGATTGTGGCCTAAAGGCTTTGGTTCAATGCTGCTGTCACGAATCAGGTTTCGCAAAAGTGCCGGCCACAATGAGAGGGAAGGCAACCGTTGCCTCCACGTAGACCTGATCACCAATATTAGTATGAATGCAACATGTTCCAGCACTGAGCAGGTCCAGCGGTGTCTTACCTTCACACTATCTGCATCTGCTTTGATCTTTCCCCAGCTGACTGCTTCGTCTGGTCTAGCACCAGCGTCACTGCCGTCGAATTCCTGAGCGGTGTTGATATACACCGCACTTTCGGCACCATTCCGCATCAGGCAAGCATTGGCAATATGATGCTTCACAACGCCGCCACCCAAGATGATCATGCCGGCCCGCTTCGCCCGTACGGCGATGGTGTTGATCTTTCGAATATCCTTGGCAATGTCGACACCGAGGTGTAAAGGCGAGGCTTTGAAAGAATGAAAATATATCATATCTCCTAGGCTGCCGTCGGTCAACGCCGGGCAAAACACGGGTATGTCGTTTTTGTACGCCCAGTAGTAGACTGAGCGCTCATCGTTGATCTCTTTGCCGAGTCGATGGATGATGTTGCTTGGGGTCCACATGAACCGTTCGCCAGTGTTTTCAAACTCCTCTTCCTGCTCGGCCAGCATTTTGTCCAGGATTGGAATTATCCAGTCTTCGAACGCACAATAGTTGTTGTTTGGGACAACCAGATTTCCTATACGATTCAGGCCCTTGGCTCGTAACGACGCCCCAGGTGTGGAGAAGGATCCCAGATATGTGGGAGCCAGGCATTTGATGAAATCTTCCTCAATGCCGCCAGCAGTCGTTACGATGGCCGACACGTGGCGGTGCTGCACAAGATAGCGGAAAGTCTCGCGCAAACCGGAAGAGATCATATTCGATGTGTAACCCAAGAATATGGTAGTCTTGTCGCCTGTTTCAGGATCTCGCCAGAATCTCTAGAAAAGGTCAGACCTCGTTTCATGACCCCAAACAAAAGGAAGGGCGTGACCAACCATATTATTGATGATGCGTATAGCATCGCCTATGGAACTCGATTGGAAGCCTTGTCCCGCAACCTGATCGACGAAGGCTGAAATGATCGTTCGCTGTTCTGCAGGAAGTGCCAGCCAGTCAATGCCCTTGACCTGTTGGACTCCTTCCGGCACCGGTTCTGACGGAACCAGGACTGCATCTGTGGCTTTCGCAGGCGGTGCGGAGTGGGAGTCCATGATAGTCTTCTCGCAGTTGAGTGGTCTCGTCGGGATGGCTCGTAAAGGTGCTGAAGTCGTGACTAGGACAAAATGTAGGGATTTTTTAATTGCTGTATGGCCAAACACGTCATTTGTCACAGGCTTCTGCAGCCTATCAGAGTTGTAAGGGGTACAACTTAGGGTGTGTTTTTACTTGTAATCGGGGCGTCTAGGCATGCTTAAAACCGGGGTCATAGTCGCTTTGCTGACTTCGAGATTCACTTTTGCTTCTTTTCTGAGGCAATGGCGATGGTAATGAAAGTGTTTTTACAAACAGAATTTCAAACTTCGGCGACCCATTCACCTGGGTAGACCGCCCGTTGGTACCATGTAATGACCGTCTCTGGTCGTCGTTACCGAAACGAAGAGCAGTCTATGAAAAAGGTCCCTCCTTCTAGGGTCGCATCTGTGCGCAACACAAAAATCTAGCTCTACGTTGCGGCCAGATCGGCGGCTAGCCCAATAATGCACTTATGCACTCTCTTGTCTTTCGGTTGCCTGACCCTCTCTTTTCGTCTCCTTCACTCCTGGCCATCTCCATTCTTCACTCCAACATATTGAACTTATCCAACGGCATCCGAATCCCAATCACATAGCTTCACGACTGTCAAACTAAGGTGTACCATCACGTTGTCGCATCTATTTGTTTCGATTATTCGTCCGGCGATCACTACGCGCTGTGCGAAAACGTGATCCTTCGAAACCCAAAACGTGTTATCTGGTTTGCGGTCTCACTTACGGCCATATTGAATCGACTCTCAACGCGCCGAATACCGCTCAGCGCCATTGGACTGGGTTCTGCTGCACCATTTTTCCGAACGTACTGCATTGCACCTGCTCCAAGCATTGCGCGCAAGATTGACGACGTGTTGAGGTTTGTCGCGGCAGGATTGACTTCAGGAGGACTTTCGGCTAGACGTCACGCTGCCTGAGTGCGTTTTGAAGACAACTCATCATTTTCATTTCCAAGGCCAGGCTCGGTCAGGTCTACCAGTTCCCAAAGCCGAAGCTGCAGGTCAGCCTGACGGAGGTTGTGGCTGTCGATATTGTTTGGGGTGCCTTGCGGTAGTGGCAGACAGCGCAATCACGAAAAGACGAAACGTTAGCCTTGCTTCTCCAGTTGCAGGCATTAATTCGGCGACCAGTCAAGGCACAAGAGCGAGCGTGGCACTTCCGGACCCGATCAAATAATCACTCTGCGCCCAGACCCTTCAGCGACAGATCTCATTACTACTCCACACTTCGCCTGTTGGAGTGAAGGCCTACGCAATTGTCGGCATCACGTGATGTTGGCTTACCTCATTTCCATTCATGTCGTCCAGATATCCGCCGCCAGCCAGAGATCGTTCTCCACCTCGGTACGATCGTAGACCTTCCGGCACCTACAACGCAGGAGGGTCCTCTTACAGGGGACAGGCGGACTCGACGCAGCTTCCCTCGGACCGAGCCCCTCCTCGAGGCCCAAAGGCTGACTTTGGGCGTGGCGGTTTCTCTCAATTCTCTCCCGCTCCTCGTGGTCGAGGCGGCTTTGCTGCTCGCACAGGTGATACCTGGGACCGGGATCGTGAAAGAGATCGTGAACGGGATCGAGACCGTGACGCCAGACCAGTTGCGCAGTCCTACCGAGGAGGCCGCGACGATGATCGACCGGAATGGTCGCGGCGCGACCGGGACTTTGGCACAGCTGACCGCGGCAGAGAGCCGCGATCCTACGTTGCCAGGGATCGATCTGCATCGCCAGTTCGTGCACGAAGAGACTCACGCGAGTCTGTGCCTTCCGCATTTGGTAGGTCGTCAGATACCGCCTCGTCCTACTTTGCTCCTCCAGCTCGAGGCGGAATAGGTCGCGGCAGAGGCAGAGGCGATTGGGACCGAAGCAGAGGAAGGTCATCTTTTGTCGGTGAACGGGACCGAGATCTCTTTCCGCCAAGAAGCCGGTCACGGGAGAGTTGGAGAGACCGTGAGCGCGACTTTGATCGTGGGCGCCCAGCAGGTGCCGACGCCGATCGATTCGAGAGACGTGGTTTCGATCGCAGCAAAGAACGAGAGGGTAGAGCTCGCGACCGCGAGCACGATATATGGCCGAGGGATCCATCGCCTGTCAAGAGCTCTGTGGCCAACACTGGGGCTCCACTCCCCACTTCCTCATCTTTGGCGACCGATCGGGCACTCAAATTTGATAGCGATGGTGGCAGAAGGGCCTCCGTTGTGGCTACTCCAACAAGTGCTTTACGCGATGTTAGACGCGATGGAGAGCCTTCAGACTATTTTGGGACGCGGACCGACACGGCTCGTCGGGATCAACCTCCAAGCGCCCAACAACCATCTGCTGCTGCAGGACTCGATTATGGCCCTCCGCCATCCCTTCCGCCTGCGACGACGCCCGCCTCCGAGAAGCCCGCCCAACCGAAACCGCCAGGTCCCAAGATCGAGACAAGCGCCCAATCTTCGTCGACGTTTCAACCACCAAGTGCTCCCAAGGCTGCGAGGACGTCTATGCTCACTAGTCTCATTCAAAACTCGAAGAGCACTCAGAATGAGGCCTGGTCACGACCTGAGCCCACGTCCCGTCCAATTCGACCTTTTCAGCCTAGCGACGTAATCACGAAAGAAGAGGAACCTGCAATCGATCTCAAGCCTCCTGCAGCACCAGCCGCTGATCGTCAGATGCCTCCCAATGTACCATCAGGTCCAAGACTTGGCAACGCGCCACCTTACAAACCACGACTGCCGTCCACTGAGCCTGCCTCTCCTGCTCAACCTCCTAGCGCACCACGGGAAGTGCCCAAGCCACAAGCATTGGACAGCAGGTCTCCTAGCATCCCAACAGGCCCACGTTTAGACAGAGAAGGATCGAGGTCCCTGCCAGGGACAGGCTCCAAGATATGGGTTTCTCCGGATTACAAGCCCAAGCCGTCAATCATGAATACCATGAACAAGCCATATCAGCCAGAACCGCGAGAGCGTCTGGGATCGATTCCGACTGGTCCAAGAGGACAACAGATACCGTTTCACAATTCAGGAGAGAAGTCTCGAGGTCCTCCGCCATCTTATTCATCTATAACTTCGGCACCTTCGGGGCCCAGGCCATCGGTGCAGACGAGTCCTCGAATTGAAACCAAAATCACACTTCTTCCGCAAAAGCGGCCGTTCGAACCGCCGCTCGAACAAGAAGACGTGGAAATGTCGGCCCCTGCTTCCAGCGAGGATGAAGATGAGGAGGAGGAAGAAGAAGAAGAAGAAGAAGAGGCCGAAGACGACTCGTTTGATGAAGACTATTTTGCAGAGTCAGAAGAGAGGTTCCGACAAGAGCTCGAGTTGCTCGAGGCCAGAAAGCCTCCGCCGATACTGGAAGATGCGGCTATCGTGTCTCTTTTGTTCAAGCTGCAGTTTCTCGAGATGATCATGCAGGAAAACAATCCAATGACGGTGCGCTCGCCTATTCAGGCCACCATTGAGCAGCTACCAGCTCCTGATTCCGTTCCCACTGGCCTGCCGTCTCCTGAGCAAGCTCCCCGAGAGATGGACAGCAAACTTGAAGACGGGAAAGAGAAAGAACTTGCACCAGCTCATCCTAGAGGCAGGCCCTTGAAACAGGCTCCGGTCAATCCTATTCCTACTCCACCTATCGAAGACTTGCCTTATCTTAAAGTGGAAACTCCGGAGAGGGCTGTCTTCGAAGACTCCGATAATGAGATCGAACATGAAGCTGTTGCTATCCTCTTACAACAAGAATTCGAACGCAGTGCTTGGGACTGGAGAAGTGATCTCGAAGACATGCGCGGAGAATTCAGACGCAAATATCCTATCTGGAAACAGGAAATTACACAACTGAACCATGAAAGGCGTGAAACACAACCCAGCCCTGCTCCAGCATCCCCTGCGCCATCTGCGGCTCCATCAGTAACCCCATCCTTGAGTCACGAGCGTACAAGAGGTGCTCGAAACACTACAGAGGCAGACTTACAAGCTGCCATCCTCATGTCTCAGCAGTCTCTTAGGGAAGAGGAGGAAAGGAGGGAAAGGGAAGCGGCTTCCAGCTCTTTGCCAAACTACGATACCGAGGCAGTGGTACCTCCGATGCTCAAACCAGCGGACGTAGAATTGTCGGAGTTCAAAGACACAAATCGTAGTGTCTCGAAGGACTTGGCTATTGACGTTTTTGCTTATGTGCCCCCCGAAGACGACTTCAATGAGGAGGAACAAGGCCTCTTCATCACGGCATACTGTCAAACCCCTAAGAAGTGGGGTAAAATTGCAGAATCAATCCCGGGAAGAACATATCAAGATTGCATTGTTCACTATTACTTGACCAAAAACCAGGCACATTACAAAGACCTCTGGAGGCGTTCCCAACCTAGGAAGAAACGGGGCAGGACTGCAAACAAACCTCGGTCCAATGCTCTGCTTGTATATGGTGATGATGGGGAAGTGGCGCCTGTACCTGTCACCGACAGTGGCAGGCCAAGACGAGCAGCTGCACCGACTTTCGGAGACGCTCCTAGCGAAGTTGACTCCTCAACTCCTGTGCCGCAATCCAAGAAAGTCGCGTCCGCCTCGAAGGATGGCAGTGCAGAACCAGCTGCGACGAAACCAGCACGGGGTCGCAAAGCTGGAATCGCAACCAAGACCCGAAGGACCAAAGCTCAGATGCAAGCTGATCAGCAGGCGCTCCTTCTTAGCGGAGCCGACCCGCCGTCCGACAAGCTTGTCATTGGCGTCAAAGGTGAAAAGGCTCGACCACTTCTTCGCCCAGAAGTTGTGCCGGCGAGAAATGATGTGCCAGCCCTCGAACAGATTCCCGGACCTCACGATGCTCCTCTAGCACAGTACACCGGGTCGGATATGTCAGCGGCTGCGCAAATGGCAAACCCTGTAGCATCTCAGGTCACGAGCTATTGGTCCGTTCCTGAACAGCACAAGTTCCCCGAGTTACTTGCCTACTACGGTCGAGATTTTGCGGCGATAGCAGATTTCATGAAGACCAAAAGCGTGACTATGGTAAGTCTGGTCAGTCGAATCTCATTACTTCGCTAAACATTTCCAGATCAAGAACTACTATCTGCGACAAATCAACGATGGCAAAGGCGACTTCGAACGGATTGCTCAGATGGGCGACCAAGTTCGAATGGAAGGCAAGACACTTGGTCAACCCCCAAGTCCGATTGCTCCTGCCAAACGCCGTTACGAAGCGTCCCCGGCAGTGCCTTCCATTACTCGGCCTATCCACCAAAACGAGCATAGCTTTGTCGACTCCGAGCCGGCTGGTCATGTCTTGAAACCCGGTGTCATTGAAGAATTTCCTCGCAACACAATTGAGAGGAACGCAAGTGGCGAGATTGTCTCTAAGCCCAGAGTGGTCGGAAGAGAGGCAATTCGCGAAGCACCCTTGCCTGGGACGGTCTCAGCCAAAAGTGAGGAAGTATCCAGATTTTCAGCAGAGCGGACGTCACTTTACGGGCCGAAGCCCTTACATGGGCCGAGGGCAGGCTTGTTTCAGGAAGAGGCCATTGGATTCCCATCTGCTCGTCAAAACTTACGTCCTTCAATCGACGAGCGTTCACCTCAATTGCATCCACAGCGACCTCTGACTGATTTCCCCCGGAACGAGCTGAGCCAGCCATCTCCAGCGCCCGGCGTTGGGCAGAGTATACTCGCTCAACGGGAACGAGAGACAGTGCCACAACCTCAGAGTCAAATACCTTCCATGTCATTGGCACGAGGAACGCCCATGCAAGTGGACAAGTATGGTCCGCAGCAACCAGTCTTCCGTCCTGGGCACAGCCGGAATGGAAGTCTAGCCACCTCTAGGCCTGGTTCCTCCGAGCCTTCCCGTGACCTAGCCTCTTTTCGTCGCCTCGATAATCAGCGTCCTCTGTATAGTGGTCTAGGTGCTGCAGGTTCTCCTGCCGCGATTCCTGCAGCCACTCCCGCATCCCAGCATTCCAGGCCTGAGGTCCTCCAGGCTGCTGCCGCGCCTCTGGCAGGTGAACCTCCGAAGCCGCCGAGCAAGCGTAGCAATCTTTTCGGCCTGCTCAATGACGATTCAACCGATCCACCACCCAAGCGACCATCATTGGAAGCACCCAAGCGGCAGCCTGTCCTCTCTCCGCAAGTCGCACCTGTTGATGCACCCCGGTCAATGCTGCAGCAAGCTAGCGGCCAGATCATACCCGGTGAGACGGGCGCAAACAGGCCATCCCTGATGGGGCCATATCGTCCGCCAAGTGGAAGCGTGCACCACACAGGCTCTGGTCCACAGCCGACGCCAGAATATCACGGCGGATTCTCCGCAACTCCTGCCAAAGATCCCAACGATCCCTGGATGGCCAGGTTCGATCCGCGTAACCAGGGCGGTCCTGTCGACCAGCGGGCACAGCTTCACTCTCCTGCTCCGTCCCTTTATTCTGTTGTACCTCCAAACTCTCAGCCAAACAGTGCCGGCTCACTTCACCCTGGACGAGCCGAGACTCCAAGGAGTTTTGATCGGGCTGGTCTGGATCATCGACGGACATTCCTAGGTGGCATTGCACAGATACCACATGCTCCATCGCCACCACCACAACAGCCGTCCCAAAGCCTACAGCAGTATCGCTCGGCGTCCGGTTCATCACAGCACTCCCGAGTGTCTTCCGTCACGTATCCTGCTGGATCTGCCCAAGCAGCTGCACTCGGTCAGCAACAGATGCCGCAGAGTCTACCACCATCCGCCAGCTCGACTCCCGTACCTGGCCTTCATCATCAGCGTACCCAGTCTTCGGCAGAATACCCGCAGCGACTGACGATCCAACAACACATGGCTCAACAGACCCAGGCCAAACAGCAGGAGCAACAGCGCGAACATGAGAGACAAATCCAGCGACAAATGGATGTAGATATGGCACAACGTGAGCGGGAGCGCGAGCGCGAGCGTGAACACCAACAGCAGCAGCAGCATCAGCAGCAACAACAACAACATTTACTCAGACGAGACCCGTATAGTATTGATCAGCATCACGCAGGGGGAGCATCTCGACAGAACCAGATGAGTGTCAACTCAAATCAAGGCCATATGACATTTGGACCGCGTGAGATTCCCCGTACTTTCACTCCTCCTCATTCACATAGTCACAACCACTCCCCGTATCCGGGGCCTGGTAGTGGCACAATGGGACACACACATAACTTGTCGCAGCAACATCAACACCAGCATCTGCAACAGCAACAGCACCAGCATCAACCTGGACCGGGTCCGAGTCAGCCACAGGGAGCAAAACCACCTGGTCCTAACCAGATGCATCATCTCCATCAACAGCATGGCCTCCATCCCGGATCTGCTGGCCATTACCGGGGGTTGAGTCAAGGTGGGGAGCCGAGACGGGAAGATAGACGTTGAACATATGTGGCTTGATCTGTGTGATAGACACTGTTTTCGATACAGGGCAAAGGGGGCTTCTTGGGTGAAGTTCTACAGACGAGGGGGAAAATGATTATTGCTTGTACTTTTTTGTACGATAGATATTGACACGACTGTGCATGATGGCATCAGGTGTTTGTACATGAATTGTAGGCTTTGGGGCTGGCCACTACTCTTTGGAATGGCGATTTCGAGCCATCTGAATGGCGAGTTTTAAAGGTGTTGCCTACCTTAGGGTCAATAGATGCCACAGAGTGGTACAGTACACAGCCACACCTTATCAGCGCTGTGATACTGCTAGTTTCAGGGAAGCTGGTCGGCGCACTGCGGTGCCTGTGGTACGTCACTCTACTTAAGTGCGGGCAATGGCAATAATAAGTGCATGCCACCGCATACAAAATAAACTTGCTGTAGCAGTACTGTACGATCAACACCAGAAATCCCGTTGCACACACGGCTTACACGGTCTGGTCGGCCAGCCACGACCTTTGATCTCTACAATATAGACACACCAGTCCGGATTATTTCGGTCTCTACAGACTTGCCTCTCATACCTGTGATGAGAACGAAAGCAAATCATCGTGGCATCAAGGCGCACTTCATCGCAGGGCCTCCCAACGCCATGTGAAGCGCAGGCAGCCAACTTACTACCAGTCCGACATCTGACCGCTTGTTTACAGTTTATATCCGGTGCGCTCTGCGACACTCCAACATCATGGTGTCGCGCAAAACTAGTCTACCGTACCCAGCGAGCTCGTCGTCGCAGGCTGACACCCCTCCTCACAACACCGGCTTCCATTCGAACCTCATACCCGACTCTGCTGACCTGCCCCCTGTTACAAGGTCTCCCAGAACCTCTCCCAGAAGCGCGCAAGGCAGTTTTCAGAATACTGACAACCCGTGGTCTGACGTCGGGACACAAGATTTGAGGTCGGATCGACCGTTGCCTGAGATTTTGAGGGCAGGCCCGAGACCCCATGAGAATAATGATCCACCACTGACACAAAATAACTTGTCCAATGTTCCGCAGGCGCTTCGAGTCGGTCAGCCACGAGAGGACACGCCCAGGTCTTCACTGGACAGCGATAGGTCGAAGGGTTTCTGGGAAGAGTCGGACGACGAGGGAGAAGAGAGAAGCGAGAGCCCAAAGAAGTCGCTTGTTCCGCCAGAGGTCGACGCACACAGCGATGCTTGGGTAAATGTCGAACCGCTTGAGAAGTCTCAAGGGATCAAAAGGAAGCCGGTGGCTATAGGCATGTCGCCGCAACCAGATCAGCCGCCGCCAGCTCCGCCTTTCGCGTCTAACAACCCGTTCAGGCGACCTTCGCAGCAAGTGCAAGCAGCAGAGGATCTTCATGGGCCGGACTGGAGTCAGGACGCGGTTCGATTGGACAAGGGAAAGGCGCCTGTTCGAGAAGACGCTGGACCCCCAACTGATTACTTCAGAGGCGTGAGCTTGGGAAGCAGTACGGTCCCTGATCTGTCGTCCTACAACGGGCAAGAAGGCCCTGAGGCTCCGGCGGAGAAATGGCAAAACGAGAAGCTGACGGTACAACCTCCTATGCCACAAGCACCTCCGCCCCCTCCGCCAGCCGAACCCTTTTCGCCCTTTAGCAAGCAGCCTGGTCTGATCCCAGTCTCACCACAGCCAGCTTCTATAGAGAATCCCTGGTCTTCCAACGTCAGCCTTGCCGCGCCAACTCCATCACCGATACCATTCTCGCCCTCTCAGAAAAACGTATCAGAGTATAATGATGGTCTGCTAGACCGTGGGCAGCGCACCGGAGTTGTGTCTTTGAAGGACGAACTGGAAACATTGCCGAATGCGGCAGAGAATCCTGTGCGACCTCAGGATGAACCGTCACTGCTGGAAGATGATGTCGGCCCACCTTTGCCAGTCAGGCCAAGTCAACAGTCTGGTACCGATTATTTCCAGCCACCCGCTGGACCGCCTCCTTCCAAAGCGCCGCGCCCAACTATACGCACGACCGTTCCATCAGAAGAGGAAGTGGCCCGGATGGTCGAACAGCGGAATGAGACATATCAGATCAAGCACTTCAACTGGTTCGATCATAGCTCACGGAAGTTGCGAAGATCGTCTATGTTGACACAAAATAAGAACGGCCCTTGTCCTTTACTTGCCCTAGTCAATGCTCTCATATTAGGAGCACAGAACGAATCTCAAGCAGTGTTAGATGAAGCACTCCGATCCAGAGAACAAGTGACGCTGGGCCTTATTATTGAGACCCTGATGGACGAACTTCTCTCAAGAGGGTACGAAGCCGTCGGAGGAGACTTGCCGGATGTGGACGAGTTGAACAGCTTCTTGATGCGCTTACGGACGGGCATGAATGCAAATCCTAGATTTGTGCCTTATTCTGCGACTCCCCCTAACCTGATGGACGACGATGACTCCATGTTGGATGGATCTCAGCGTCAAAAAGCGCCGCAACGGCTCGGAACATTTGAAGCCACCACAGATATGAAGCTGTATGGAGCTTTCTCAGTATCCCTGATACATGGCTGGCTTCCCGACCCATCTACAGACACTTCAAAAGCTTTTGCACGGTCTGCTCCCACCTACGAAGACGCTCAAGCTTTGCAGTTTGGCGAAGAGGAATTAGAGTATAAAATGTCACGTCAGGGACTGACACCGGCAGAACAAAACATGTGGGACGACATCATGGCAATCAAGGACTTTTTCAAGACCTACCCAACACAGCTGACACCGACTGGACTGGAAGTAGTGCAAGAGACCATCGCACCTGGCACCTTTGCAATTATGTTCCGAAATGATCATTTCAGCACCGTGTACAAGCATCCCGAGAGCGGTCAGCTGTTCACTCTCATCACCGATGCTGGCTATGCGGATCGAGATGAGATCATCTGGGAGAGTCTGCTCGACATCAGCGGCAAACACAACGAATTCTTTAGCGGAGACTTCATGCCCGTCAGCCATCACGATGGCGCAGACGACTCATCAACGCATCCTGCATCACGGCGAACTTCACAGCTGCTGACCGTGAACAATCCGGATGTCGCGACTCCACTGTCGCCGCAAGAACAACAAGAACAGCATGACGCTGATTTCGCCATGGCCTTGCAGCTGCAGGAAGAAGAGGAGCAGCGACAGCGAGCAGAGAGGAATCGGCGCAGAAGCAGCGCAAATACACCCAGTGATAACAATAACAACCGCAACAGCAACCCGCGCAGATCGACAGGCAATATCCCGATAACTCTGTCGCGACCACAACCAGAAGTGCGCCCGGCCATTCCACCTCGTAATTCACATGCGCCTGCCAGTGTCGCTGTGAGCAGGCCCGTCGATCCAGCAGACGAGGCGCCTCCACCGCTATATGAAGAAGCCGTCAAGGGACAACCTTATATCCCACCACTCGGAAGTCCCCTGCATCCGTCGGCGGAGCCCAGCCCCATGAATTCGAACACGCAATTGACAGGGACAGTCAGCAATACTTCGACGTCAGCGATCGAATCCACCAACTCGCATCAGTCAGGGCCGCCTCCTGGAGCTGGCCCCGGCGTCCTCAGAAGACAACCTGGCAGACGAGCGAGTGCGTACAGTGAAACGTCGCAGTATTACTCGCCGCACCAGCAGCGGATACCTGGAGGGTACAGTTATGCTGCGGCTCAGGCGCAGGGGTTTGGCGGCCCGTCGAGGCAGACCAATATGCAGCGCATGCAGCAGCAGCAGCTACTACAACAACAGCAGCAGGATAGGGACTGCGTTGTCATGTAGCCGAGCTTGACCATGGAAGGGAGCAAAGAGGTGGTGGTTTTTTCTTCTATTTGGTTGTCCTCGACTGCCTGTCGGAGGGTATTTTGACCACGGATATAATGTACGCGTTTTAATTTTCATTAATAGTAGGATGTAATGAGATTAAAAGTAATGCAGTCAATGAGATTGCCCACGCAATGTTGAGAGCCGCTGTCGGCGATACCTCATCAGGTATCGCCGGCGGGGTCCCGCACAGTCAAAATCGAAAGAGTCCAGGGGATGTGAAGGCTTGTGAAGGCTTTTTCAAGCGTTTGCCCTATCGTGGATATGGTGGCAAGTCTACAAGTCAGCCGCAAAAGCCAAAATGTGCTCTACGGAAAGTCTCGTGGCAGTTTATTACTCATGGCAAAGGCTTCAGCACGCTTGATCGGTCGTCGTACCGAGCCGCGTCCTCATGTGTCAGGTGTTGGGCAAGTCCACCCTATGCACGAGACGAGAAACGTGTACTGTGGGCTGCTTGCGACTGCTTCATCAAGCCCTGATCAGTTCATAGCGCAGGGCAAGCCGCCGAAGGAGTAAAGGACCTGCCAGGTTAAGACAGGGACATATGTCAGTCAAACTCGGCTCCGCCTGTTGTACGTGTGTACTTCAGGGCACGTTAACATGTAGAACCCCCACGGTTCACTGCTTGGGGGTCCTCGAAACCCCATGGATGGTGGGTTCCATAGGCTTACGTGTCTGATCGCGACCAACTCACATACTCAATCGGTAGTGGGGACGTATTAGTCGTCGACCATATGGTGCAGAATGCTTGGCTCGCTAACACGCGTCCAATGGCCCTTCAATCGCAGGGTGTATGGACTACACAAGTCGGCCTGACCTGTTGAAAGCAGGGCCCTTATGGAGGTGTCAATATGCGGTAACACGGCATAAAACCGAATCACAGAACTTCAGTCGGTCAGGAATTTGGGCGGTGTCCATTCACAAGGACAGCAACGTCCCCGTTTCGCGGGAAGTCGGTTGTCGGACAGCATTTCACATGTGAGATAAGAGGTGCAGGAAGTTGAGTTCTCGTCTGGGCAAGGGTTCGACCCGCTCCCATAGCGGAGAGGAGCGAACGATAAGACCCAACAGTAGAGAGGGACGTGTGAAACCCGGCACCGCTTCAATCATTAGTGACTTTTAGTGCCCGGACTCAAAAGGAAACCTCTTCTCACAATCGGCTTCCATTGAAGAATCTGATAAGAAATAAAACTCGAAGTGATATAGAAAAACAGCCACATCAACGCCATGTTTGACGCTGTCGTAGTCGGAAGCGGGGCTGCAGGTATAGCCACCGTGGGCAACATCCTCGAATGCCATGAATCCGCGAGTATCCTCTGGATAGATCCAGAGTTTAACGGCGGAAGGATCACGAAGAAGTATCTGGACGTCTCGAGGTATGCAATGCTCTTACCAGTCTCGTTGAGAGCCATGGCTGCTTCAGCAATGCCCCGGCGTGTGTATCAGACAAACGCTAACCACCGCTGTCTTGATGTGCAGCAACACCAAGGTTGCAGTCTTTCTGCAGTTCGCCCACGCTCTTGAGCCCTTCCGTGAGATCGTTCGGTCGACTCCGAAGCCGAACGCAGTCCACCATCTTGAATGTCTCGACACGAACTCAGGCTGCGATCTGCAGTATGCCTCCGACATGCTCTTGATGCTCACCGATGGACTCAAGCAACTTCCAAACATCCAGCCGCTGGTCGGCACTGTGATTGAAGCTACCTATGATAGCCAAGTGAGAGGACTTCATCCTGTTGTTGACCATCAAGCTAACGCCACGCGCAGTCTGAGGTCTGGTCGATTCAAGCGCAGGACGACGAATCCTCGTCCATCATTCACGACATATACACACGCAAGCTTGTTTTGTGTACAGGCTCATCACCTTCAGTGTGCGACGTCGGTCCAGCTGGCCAGGTACTCAAACAGATTGATCTTGATGTAGCTCTGGACCGACCAACGCTGAGAGAGAAGTTGTGGTCCGAGAATGGGGCGACCGTAGCGGTCGTCGGATCTTCGCACAGCGCCATCGTGGTCATTATGCACCTGTTCGAATTAGCAACGACAACCCATCCACGTCTCAGGATCAAGTGGTTCACACGTAAGCCATTGCGTTACGCCACTCAAATGGAGGGCTGGATCCTCCTTGACAACACCGGGCTCAAAGGCAAATCCGCCGAGTTTGCACGCAGCCACCTCGAGGATGACAAGATCAAGCTGTCGCCTGTAGGCCAATACCTTGAGAAGTTCGACTGTTCGGTGAAAGAGAATGAGGTATACCAAGCCCAACTGCCTCAATGCACACATGTGGTGCAAGCCATCGGGTTCACTCGAGATCCCGTTCCACCTCTTCGAATGGGCCTTTTGCCTCTTGACAAGCTCGCGTACGACAATCGGACAGGCTTGTTCCATGACAGTAAAGGTCAACTCATCCCGGGATTGTGCGGAGCGGGCATTGCATTTCCTGAGCGAGTTGTAGACCCGGCAGGGAACGCGGAGTACGCGGTTGGCTTCTGGAAGTTCATGAGGTATCTGCGAAGGGTGGTTCCAGAGCACTGGGGCATCAGCAAGCAAGGAGAGATGGTTCGAGTACCAAATTGATACTGGTGGGATTCTGCCAGAGTTGACAGCATGGCGAACATAGATATTCTTAGAGGCGTTGGCAAAGCATTCATGGTTGGCAAATGTAGGCAGGTATCGTTAGACACAACTCATGCATGACGAGCACCAAGAAGGCAGATTCCTAGCGAAGGGGCAATTGCAACGTGGAAAATCACCCGTGCAACAGCAGGTGCAACTGCGCCCTACATGAAAAGACATGTAGAAAGGTGTGAGTAACGACGGGCGTGCTGCAGTCTTATACCATGGCGACATTTCCTGGGAATCCTTGCGACAGATTCACAGAAATCACGCCATACGAGCTTTATCTGAGTGATCAGACAGAAGCCACGACTCATCCAGCATCTGTCTTATCGTGCTGACAGCCAAGAGCCATTGCTTCTGTGTGTCCGTCTGGTAGATCTGAACAATTGCAGCGTGCACAGTGTCGATTTGCTTCGATAGCACCAGAAATAAAAGTATGGTGTTTTCTCCGACCTCTTCAAAATGAGTACAGTACGGAGTACTGTACCTAGGTACCAATCCTGCCGGCTAGGGGCGCATATTGCAGGGCAATGGGAGAGGCGCCATGCCGACGCCGGACTTACTGGGGGCCTCGTTCCTGGTGGCCTCTCACGCTGCACTCAAAGTCTCCTTGATGTCGATGTTCCAGGTACTGTGCTCTTAAGGCGGAGATGACATTCAGGGCTGCTTGATCCTCACTGACTCGGAGTCCCTAGCCCCTAGCCTTCCGTGATCGGACCTCAAAGGCAACGCTTCGTGCTTCCGGACTGTGCCACCTCCATTAAATCGTCTCCAACACGGCTCCCTAGGTTTGACGGATACACTGCGAAGAACTGCGATAGGGCAGTGATGATGTCGCCTCAGGGACCTCGGAGTCTGATGCGCCGATTATATGAGGGGAACACAGGCAGGTATGAATCAAATCTACCCTGAGTTGGGCTTTTGACGACTGCAACGAATGTTGGCCTTAGGTAAGATTCTGGCTTTGAGCTTAGCACCATTAGAACAGGTCGGAAGACAGACTCAGCTTTGCATTGCACATCAAGTCCCTCCTGAAGAACAATAGATCAATCGCGGGAACCCTGTTCCGAAAATATTAAACGTTGGAAGTCCCGCGAAGTCTCTACACGCTCAATTCAAGATCATCATACGTGTACCAAGCATTTCATCCAGAGCAGCTTGTCGCGATGGCAGCTCCAGTCCTCCCTGATTCGGACTCGCAAACGTTTCGCGTTCTCGTCCTGCCAGGCGACCACGTCGGTCCAGAGGTTATGACCGAAGCCATTCGAGTCTTGGACGTTGTTCAAGCGAACTCGGAAGGCAAGGTCAAGTTCGAGTATAACTGGCAGATTGCAGGCGGTTGCAGTATCGACAAACACGGTACGCCCATCACAGACGAGGTCCTGCGTATTGCTAAGGAAGAGTCCGATGCTGTGTTGTTCGGCAGTGTTGGCGGGCCTGAATGGTGAGTATATATCGTTCCTTACCCAGTCACGACGAAGACATGAACAAATACCATATGTGCTAACAATGCTCTTCAGGGGCACAGCCCAACCCAATCCTGAGTCCGGCCTTCTTCGACTACGCCGCCACCTCGATGCATTCGCCAACGTCCGTCCCTGCACATTCTATTCGAAATCCCTGATTCCGTTGTCGCCCTTGAAACCTGAAATCGCCGAAGGCACCAACTTCATTGTTCTCCGCGAGAACTGTGGCGGCGCCTACTTCGGTGAGAAGGTCGAGGAAGCCGACCACGCAAGCGACTCGTGGGCGTACAAACGGGACGAGATCGAGCGATGCGCTCGGGTCGCCGCAGCCCTAGCAACGACAATGGGCAAAGACGGCCTCGGCACAGGTCAGTGTCCTGAAGGCCCGGCGACAGTATGGTCCAGCGACAAAGCCAACGTCCTCGCATCAGGCAGACTGTGGAGAAAAGTCACCACCGAAGTCTTCGAGAAGGAGTTCCTTCACATCGACCTCAAGCACCAGCTCGCCGACAGTTTGAGCATGCTGATGGTGAAGAATCCGCGTGGTTTCAACGGGGTAATTCACACGGACAACACCTTCGGCGACATGCTCTCAGACCAGGCCGGCGGTGTTGTCGGTACGTTGGGCGTCCTTCCTAGCGCCAGTCTATGCGGTATTCCCGACGGTGGTCGCTGCAACGGCATCTACGAGCCTGTCCACGGCTCCGCGCCCGATATCGCGGGCAGAGGCATCGTGAACCCTACAGCTCAGATCCTCTCCGCGGCCATGATGCTGCGGTACTCATTTGGTCTCGCACAAGAAGCGACGGCTATTGAAAACGCGGTCGAGAAGGTCCTGGACGGCAAGGACATTGGCGGTCTAGAGATTCGCAGTGGAGATCTCGGTGGACGTGCTACCACCAAGGAGATGGGAGACGCGGTGTGCTCGGTTCTCGAGCTAATTTTGAAGGGAAACAGCACTGGTGTACCCAAGGGCACGAATGGCAATACGGAGAACCTAGTCTCGCCTGTCCATGAGACGCACAGCCAGGAGAACAAGAAGTGGGAGAAGCTGTTGAAGAAGGAACATGTGCCGACCGGACCCCAGGAGAGTCTCGCCTTGTAGTGATTCATTCGATTCTTCAAAAAAGCAATTGTTTCCCGATTCAGAAACCCGTGCATTCTCGACTGTGTATTCCCAATTGTGGCACAGGACGACATGAAGGTTTCAGATTGTCATCAGATAAGATCAAGCACTCCAATGGAACATCAAGACAGTCATGCATAAGCAGTTCCTGTGGTTCAGAGAGTTGTGGTTCGAAAGCAGTATTTAACCAAATCTGAAGCTCAGTGGCCATGATTCTCAATGTTCATAACATCGTAGCGACTGCAGGAATACAGATATGCGGCCATTCCGCAAGCTCTATAACGCCTCACGGCTCCTGCCGAGCCTTCAAATGCCTTGTGCAACATACCAGGTGCGACACGACTGCCGGATAAGGGCCTTCCACAGCACTCCACATCAGATCATCTGCTTCACGAGCAAAGGTAGCCAGCACTAAAACTGATCTGTTGGGGTTGTCAGCTCTTGGTCATAATTTGAAGGGGCTTGCTCGAACTCACCCAGTGTCATACTCATGCTCACATCCGTGTTCTCCACCATTTGCGTAAACTCCTCAAAGCTGATCTTGCCATCGCCGTCCTTGTCGGCCTCCATGATCGTCTTGTCCACAATCTGTTGTAACTGCTGATCTTTCAGGTTGCTTCCCACCATCATCTTGAGCACGATGAAGAGCTCTCCATTCGAGATATATCCATCACGATCTATGTCATAGACTTTGAAGGCAAACTTCAGCTTCTCTTCTTTGTTGCCTTTAGAGGAGAATGCAGAAAGACCGAGGACGAATTCTTGAAAGTCGACGTCGCCACCTCCATCTTCATCGAATATTGCGATCATCCTGCACACGTCGTTAGGGAGCACAGATAGGTCACGTGGGGTGTGTGGTACCTCGTCGCCAGCGGGTTTGACGACACCTGTGGCAGTGACAGGAATTCTTCTCTCTCGATAGTACCGCTGTTGTCCTGAACGCTCATGTCAGACTGGGTATGACTTCTTGAGTGGCCCGGCTTACCTTGTCCAACTTCATGAATCTCTTTCGTAGTCTGTCCACCTCATCTCGATCGACTGTAATCAGTTACGGTCAGCGTACGCTCAATCTGCCACGGCCACAGGTTTTGGGGTGCGCTGGCAACTGTGCCTGCACGCATGGCAAAGACGTAGCCGTACAATTTGACCCTGACACTATGTTGTCGAGGATCTGAGTCCCAGGCACCGTCTGCCGCCGTCGGGCGTCAAACAGGGCTGCATTATTAGGCTCAGCCTTAGAACTAGCCTGGGCGCCATACGCCGGTGTAGCCATGAGGAAAGATGTAAAGGATCACTAGGGTCGTGGGGTAGTGAGAGAGGAGGAGACCGGGCTGCGGACGGGGAAAATGTGTATCTCAATAGGTCGAGCGCAGGTGATCTGGTTGGGTGGCTGTTTCTTGGTGAACGTGGACTAGCTGAGAGTCCCGTAGACGGTTGAATGCTATTGTCGAGGATGAATGACTTGAATAAGTGAAAATGTGTTGCAGTGAGACAGCTGAGAGTATATGGGGCCGAAGAAGAAGTGCTGGTGGACTAGTACTCAGTACTCTGTACTCCGTACTCCGTACTCGCGCAGTTGCGAAACAGTACGGAGTAGGTCAGCCTCACTAGCCTCACTAGCCTCACTAGCCACCGTCAGCCACATTCATTGGCTTATTTTAGGTATCATCATGACTAAGCAGATATTGCTGTCCAGAGACACACGTGACTATCACTGTGGCTGATGAGCATACTGTGGCTCGTTCGTTGCAGTTAGGCAGGTGCAGGTGGTTTTGGGTCAAAGCTGCTCTTGTGCCCGATTATTATTGCCCTGAAATCAATGCCTGGCCGCAGTGACGATTCCTACCCGTCCTTCACCACCCAAGTGAAAGCCACCCGCCTCTAGGCTGCTGCGGTGCCCAATTTTCCCCCTCTCGTCCTCACCCCTACTCTGTTGCTCTCTGCCTCCCTCTTCCAAACCTGCTCTTTCAGCGAAAATTCTTCAACCTCAACCCGACCACGAAAGAGCCCAAATATCATCACAACACCACAACCACAACCTAATTCATCCATCTGAGCGATTCGCTGACTCCCTACGACAACTACTAATCACTTTACACCAAAATTAATAATTATTCGACACCGGATCGCATGATTTTGCACGCGACTTGACTTTTATTTTGCCACCTATTTTTTCGTGTGGTGCTGGTGCCCTCCGGCGGTTTCCTCTCTCCATGAGATTGTCACCACAAGCGCGGATCCATGTCGCGGGCACAACGCACCACTCGGCCCAAAAAGTTAGGACCCAAAGTCAGCGTTCAGATCTTTCGTGAAGATCAAGTCGACAGTCTTATCGATTATGATTCTCAACGTGCTGCAATAGAAACTGGTGTTGAAAAGGCTGAGGAGTCGGTATGTTGCCCTTGTTTTTGCCCTTCTCTTCACCAATCTTTCATCTTGCTGTCATCTTCTCATCTCCGGTCCACCCTTTTTCTTGGCACAAACTGACGGTCCTTTGCACAGGAATACCATCTTCAACAGGCCATCAAAGCGTCTGAAATAGCAAAGGTTGATGCAAAAATCAAAGATGCATACATTCCCACCCCACCTACCATCGCCAGCGATGTTCAATATGATGTCCTCTATCCAACGGGGTTTCAACAACCCGCCACGTACATCCGCTCCTCTGCCACAGTCGAAGATTGTGCAGGGGTGGCGTATTGCATGGACGAAGAGGATGAACTTGCCTTGAAATTGATCAATGGAAGGTTACCTGCTGGCCAGGAACCTTGTACCGAAGACCAATTTGAAGAGGTCATGAACTTCTTCGAAGAGACCGCTCAAGCGAAACAACCGTTTGCTGTCGTTGATAGTCCGCCCGTCCTACCTTTAGAGGAATTGCAGGAACAGTTTGATGACTCCACTCCCGCCTACATTCGCACCTTTTCCAAGTACCTGTACGACCATTGGAGTTCTCGGCGCACCGCGACTGGTAACCGTGGTCTTGCTCCGCGGCTGAAATTCGAGACGGGTCAAGAGTCTGACGACTCCGATCCATATGTGTGTTTTAGAAGACGAGAATTGCGACAGATTCGCAAAACTCGAAATCGCGATGCTCAGAGTGCCGAAAAACTGCGGAAACTCCGCCTCGAGCTGGAGACGGCACGTAGCATGCTGTTGATGGTCAAGCGAAGAGAACTGCTCCGTAAAGAGTGCCTCGAATCTGATCGTCAAGTGTTTGAACAACGCCAGGCACTGAGAGACACCAAGAGGAAGTTGGGCATAAAAGGCGACGAAGAACTGCTCATCAACCAAAAGGTACGGCTCGATCACCAGAGCAAACAAAAGAACATCGTACTGACCTTGTCACAGAAGCAAAAGTTGCCTCCAGGCATGACCCCGAATCAAGCCGCCCTTGCCCAACAACTCCGTATGCCCATGGCTCCAGGACCTGGCATCGAACTTCGCACATTGGAAGACGTCACTACCGCTCGCGAACGCGAGATCCAGAAGGAGATCCAGATCAATGTCGAGAAGCATATCAGATGGAATGAAGGGTTCGTCGACAAGACAATGGCACCACTTACCCCCGAAGCTGAAGACTATCCATCACCGGATGGGTATTTCCGACAGGCCATGGCTGCCACAGAGTATCTGCCGACGCCGCCAGCTAGTATCTCGGATGATGAGGGGCAGTATCCACCTGAAGGCGCCGACCTCGTGATGAAGGATGCGTCTCGCTCATCGACACCTTTCCGCTATGCCAGTCCGGCAGATGATGACAGTGTCGAAAAGATGCCGTCTTTCAGACGAAGAATAGGTCGTGGCGGCCGTATCATAATTGATCGAAAGCTTCCTCGCGTCAGACAGGATGTTTCTGATGACAGATTCAAATTCGATTGTTCGGATAATGATTCGGATATCGATTCGAACATCGACATGACATATGCTCGCATGTCACAGCGAGCATACCTTCTCGGCAACAGTGCAGGTCAAACTGTCTCGTCTCGACGTGCCACAATTGAAGGCGGCGGTCCTAGTCAGTCGCCGTCGGGACCACAAACACTGCCAACCCCTGCACCTTCTTGAATTGTTTGATTACTTCGGACCCTTTTTTTCTTCACCATGTCATTGAGAGCACAATTTCAAAAACTCTCATCTCTCGATCCAGCCACTGAGCTTGTTGCGAGTATGGCAGCCGCCTCGGGCGTGTAATATGGTGCCGCAAGTTGGTTGGTGGTCAGAGGTTGACTAGCCGTAGAAGTGGTGGCTGTGGATGGCAGTGTCGGATTGTATGACTTAGCAAGGCCAGCGCCTTTAGAATCACAAGAGAATATTGTGAAACTCCTTCTCGTCATTGGTGTCATACTTTTTCTTGCAACCCTCACCTTCTTTTCTTCGCTCGTGCTTGCTGGGTGGTCTCATCGGATCGTTTCCGTTTGGCTGTCGCTATCTCGGCAGACATCCGCTCGATGTGCTGCTGACAGAAGCTGATCAATTGCTGCAAGATTTCTTTTTCTCCCATCCTGACCTGTAGCGCCATGGCAAAGCGGCGTGCAATGCAACCTTGGGGGGTGGGATGGTGGCCAGACTTTACTGACTCCCACGTTGCCCGATCCTGCGAGTACGTCGTACTGTACTCAGACAGTCTCTTGGTGAGCACCGATTGAAGCAGAGCAGCTTCTCCAATGGACACGGCCTCTTTGGGCTTCTTTGGTGTCTCGTCCTGCTCATGCGCGCACAACGCCCGCAAAAGCATGTGGACTTGGCCTGGTATGACATCTTCCAACTTTGTAGCAGTCGAGTCGGGGCGAGGTATTGAATACCCATCATCTAGGAGGCCGAGCTCGTCAAGCTGCTCTTCCCGCTTCAACCACGCTTTGTTGTTTTTGTCATGTTTCTTGCCCGCGACTTCCAATATCAGGTCGTGCGAAAACTCGACGACATCGTGCTTAGCATACTTGTCTGTCACATAACCATACATGCGTAGGAGGTCGGATCGTGGAAGCGGTCCGTAGTCATTGAAAATCTGTTCGCCTGCAGCTATCGATTTGGTGGCTTTCATGATGAGGTAGTTCTCTTCCTGGAAAAGTCGAGCCTATCGCACCAGGTCGTCAGCCAAACTCGTCAAAGATGGGTGAGTTGGCACTTACGTTGTTTCTGTCGGCATCGGCGTTAAGCATATCGGCGAAGGGCACCATACCTTTGAGCGGTTCATCCTCGTCGTCTTCTTCATATTCGTCTTCTGAGACGCCATCCCGTGGTCGATCGTCATCCTCATCCCGGTCAATATCGAATGCGTATGCCATGATCAAACTCCCAGCCATGTGTGCTAGCTTGATCAATTCTGCAGCACGATCCGAAGCAGCGGCCCCAGGTATAGGGAAGAGATCAGGATGCTCCAGCATTATTGGGATGATTGTGTCTTTCCAGGCCTGCTCTGCTTCTGCTCTGCCAATCTTGTCTGTGACTGCACCTGCCTGTAATTCTGCAAGTTCTGCCTCATTCCAGAACATGAGGGTGTCGAAGGTGGTAGGCAGGACTCGAAAATATGGATACCACGGAGACGATTCTTTACACAGATACTCGTAGATGATGGTGACGATGAGAGGAGGCCACGAACCGCTCTCAGCAAGCGGCTCCAGCACCGATGGTGGGATGCTGGAAGTCGAGGTCATCAAGACAAGCGGGTGAGGGACGGCGAATAGTTCTTCATCCTCTGCGATGTCTTCTTTGGCGACTGATTGACAGGTGTTAGCACAGGCATTCCCCGCAATGAAGAAAGCATACCAGCTCCTCTGCCCGCACCCTCGGCGCTCAGATCCTTCAGTTGGATCTTCGTACTGAGGCGAGTGCCATCAACCGCCGAGAACCATTCGATGAATTGAGCGCTCGCCTGGTCGACGCCTGACCGCGCAATAGAATTTCTGTCCTCAACCATTGTCTGCGTGGCCGCCAGACCAACGATATCTCAGAGAACAAACAATCAGGAAAAAATCCTGAAGCACACAGATGTGAAGTTGTGTGAAGGTCGATAGTGGGAGAGGCAATACTCAGTAGGAACAGCCTTATTCGCGCCAAGTTTACTGTGATTGGCCGACCGATATTTCTTGCATCGTCAGAATTCACCATGACCCACCTCGAGTCATGATGCCTCTCGAGCCTTGTCTTCGATCGCGAAGAAAACAGCAATAAGTGACAAAGAATACCCTCGTGTATTGGATTCCACACGGTCTGCTTCGCAATGATTGCACTCGGTCTCGAAGGATCCGCCAACAAATTAGGCGTTGGTGTAATACTACATCCTGCCAAAGGTGGCCCCGCACAGATACTATCCAACATCAGAGACACATACGTCTCGCCGCCGGGTGAAGGATTTCTACCCAAAGACACCGCCATTCACCATCGCACCCATGTCACAGATTTAGTCAAGCGCGCCCTGAAACAAGCCGGCATCACAATTAACGATGTCGACTGTATCTGCTACACCAAGGGTCCCGGCATGGGCGCACCATTACAGAGCGTGGCGCTGGCCGCCAGAACGCTAAGTCTGCTATGGAACAAGCCACTGGTCGGCGTCAACCATTGCGTTGGACACATCGAAATGGGCCGAGAGATCACAGGCGCGACGAACCCGGTAGTCCTGTATGTGTCCGGAGGCAACACACAAGTCATCGCCTACAGTTCGCAACGGTACCGAATATTCGGCGAGACGCTCGACATCGCGGTGGGAAACTGCCTCGACAGGTTTGCGAGAACCCTAAACATTTCAAATGATCCTGCACCGGGATACAATATCGAACAGCTCGCCAAAAAGGGCAACGTTCTACTTGACATTCCGTACGCCGTGAAGGGCATGGATTGTTCATTCAGCGGCATCCTCGCCCGAATAGATGAGCTTGCGGGACAGATGAAGGCGGGCACCCTGAAGGACCCTGCCACAGGCAACGCTATCACGCCTGAAGATCTATGCTTCTCTTTGCAGGAAACTGTTTTTGCAATGCTGGTGGAGATTACTGAGAGGGCAATGGCTCATGTTGGATCGAACCAAGTGCTTATTGTTGGCGGAGTAGGCTGCAACGAGCGGGTTCAAGAGATGATGGGTATGATGGCCAAGGACCGTGGTGGCGGTGTCTATGCCACCGATGAGCGGTTTTGCATCGACAACGGCATCATGATCGCACATGCTGGCCTCCTCGCTTACCGCACTGGCTTTGAGACTACGCTTGATGACAGTACCTGTACACAGAGATTCCGGACCGATGATGTGCACGTTGCCTGGAGAGAAGATTGATTATACGAAGGACGGCGCTACCTATGACATGCGCACATCCCGCCAGCGGCTATAGCGTCATCAACCGTTCATTCATGACATCGTTACAGTTTGAGATGTGAGCCAACTTCCAGACTTTGCGAGGCACTTGGAAGCACCAAGCTTTACTATCAAGACTGCTGAAACCTCGGAACGGGCTTGAAGGAGATCGTCGTCACATACTATGCGAAAGGTCAGTTCGGTCATTGAACAGTGCAAGGAGTAACCAACCTTCTTCTTGTACCGGGTGGTCACACTCGTCGCCAGAACACCATTCTTGACGCTGCTAGTCATAAGATGGTTTAAGACGGTATGATTCGGCAGTGTCAAGACACTATTATCATCCTTGACTGGAAGCATACCATTGAGAATCGAGCGACTGAGGAACATTGGTAGACTTGGTGGGCAGCCAGAGTCTTGAATGACGCGAACTGCATCGTGGTATCTCTGGTCGTCTTCTGGCAAATCAACATCGACCAGAGCTTGCGGCATGAGCGGGCGGAAGTCACCCGGTGGTATTTCTTCCGCTCGGGGCTCTTCAAGTACAGGTTCTTCTGGCGTCTGGGATCCAGATCGACCTTGGACCTGCTCTTCAACGGTGAGAGCCGTCGATCGACCACCCGGTTGGGCACTTTCCCTCCTCGGTTTGGTTAGGTCTTCGGTCGCAATCTCGAGATAGTTGACCAGGAAGTTGTTGAAATCGACCGCAGTTGACAGGTCAGGACTGGTGACCATTTCACCATCCACCACAAACTTCAGGTGATGAGTGCCCGATGGAAGGTTGATTGTAGTGAACATGCCGGGAGCATTCTTCCTATAGAGTGACTGTTAGCATGTGGGATACTGAATTTGGGACAGTGAAAGTGTCTTGATGCTTGGGGATGCTAATGCCGAATGGGTGTTGGATCGGTTGGCATTGAAACGAATACGTTCCAGACAGACAAAGAATGACTGGGAAGAACATACCTTGGATGAAGCCGGTATTTCTTTTCCCAATTGGCAAAAGTACCCGTCACATAGACTTTATGTCCACCGTGATTCCACTCGATAACGGTCGGAACCGTTTGTGCAGATGCTTGCTCCACCGCGAATGGCTGCAATTCTTCCCCAACCTCTTCCTCTGACTCGGTCGTGCTGCTCATCATGGAGTTTTTTCTTTGAGGTTCGATGGCCGAGAGAGGCTCATCGGTCTCGAAGATCGGGACATCTTGATTTCCTTTGTCCACAGGATGCAAAGTGGGTGATTCTGGTATAGGCACATCCGCGATTGGAAGGGGAAGACGTGGTGGACGAAGTTGGGCAACGGGAGTGTACCGTCGATCTTGATATGCAGTGGTGTGTCCTTCAAAATGCTCATCAACGGTATTCGTATCGTTTTTGCTCTTGGACATTGGAACATCCATGGGGCCTGATGACTGCGGCACAGGCATTGGTGCTTGATGTCGTGGTCTATGTTCCAACTCATCTCGCTTCTCCCGAGAGGCTTTTGAGGTCGACCGCTCCACCTTTGGAACTCTTGCGTGACTTTCAGGAGAGGCCGAGCCTTGCAGGTATTGTTGTAGGGCAGGCTTTTCGAAATGCTGAGAGGTGGGTTGCGCAACTGCAGTGTCTTTGGTAGCCGATGGGTCTATGGGCGTGGCCCGACCTTGAGCCAGTGCTGGAATCGAGACCCTGCGGTGTATCTTTCGCTCTTTGTCGGCTTGAGGTGTAGCCGATCTTGACCCCGAGCTCTTTTCTGAAGACTGTTGTTGACCCATTATGAAAGGCGTAGGCTGTTATTTCGACGTGAATCTTTGGTGTCGTGCGACACTCTGCAGGACTTGACCCGAGGAAGGCCTACGTCAGGGAGATAGGAAGTCCGAGGAGAATCTCGTGGGCTCCACGCAAATTAGCATCCGGGGGTCTGAAGTCGAAGTCCGCGAACAGTGTTGGAGAGGGGTGTGGGTAGAGCGAAACGAGCGCTTTGCCTTCAGCCTCGAAGTCAAGGAGAGAGATGAATAATGCGGGTTGTGGTTGAAGGAGATATGGAGTACCGAAGCGCCCAAGCGGCTTATTAGTAGTGATAATTGAAGATTGATGGACGAAGAGTGCGCTAGTGCAGGGCGGCATGTCGACTAACTTAGTGACCTACCTTACCTGTAGGTACCTGCGGGGGAAGAAGGAGGACCTCTCACAAAGAATGACATCGCCAAAGTCCCGGCTGCGACTTCCACCCTTCTGGAGCTGTTCAAATCAATTTCTCGACGACCTTGATCAGTTTCACAACATCAGACCCAGATCATACCACTCGCCTTTCCTCGCGAAACCTCATTTCCAGCCACTCGGGCCTTTCTCCCACCATGACCAAGTCGCAGCAATGACAACCGATCCAAACTGGCCGCCGCAATGGCTCACTGTCACGATCGTAGTGCTGTATTATGTGGTTTATCCAGTGTATCTTGTTCTCAAGGTGCTATGGTACATTCTTCTACTTCTTTCCAGTCCCTTTATATACATAGGGCACGCTACATTCAATCTGTCCATGATCCCATGGCGCATATTTGCCCGTTTTGAGGTATGTCCGGCACAGATGCAAGCAATAGCAACGCTCTGATTTACAGAACAGCCGATCTGGTATTTTATTGGTACCGCAGTCATCCTTGGTGTGCTGCTCGGTCTTACCCTCCATTTCGCCATGCGCGCCTTCGTCGTCGTTCTAAACCTCGACCACAAGCCTGCGCAGAAGCCTATCCCGGCCAGAGGACATGATGCCGTATCCTACAGAAAGGCACGGGAAGCAAAGAAGCAGAAACAAATGGATGAGCAAGAAAGGCTCAACGCTCAGGCTCAATTGATCGCATCGCAGCCGTTAATTCAGGAGGCGGTGCGAGAAGCAAGGAAGATGCCACTCTCTGGTGCGCCTGTCAGTCCGTTGAGCCCCAATGTCTCTGGTGCCAGGACGCCCGGCCTGCTGCAGCAGACGATCCTTGAACATAGTGATGAAGACGATGATTCCTCGGTCTTTTGACAAACTAAAGCCGGGTTCACCGCAAGCCAGCTTTGACGAGAGCTTGTTGGAACATGTCCTTGCACTTGACTCGGCTGCTCAGTCTTGCACATAAGAGGAATGCGCCACTCAGTTTGCGATGTAGACTGTATGTCTCCTCTGGCGGTGGAGCAAGCCGTTCTTTCAGCATCACTGGTATCAGACCACGCACACGATCAGTAATCGTCTGGTTCTCGAAATTATAGAACTCGGGAGCCGAGTCCATGAAAGGTTCGGCCAGAGTCATGACTGAATCGACATGTGCATTCAGCATGGCTTTGGATTCATATCCAGTGAGATATCCAAGCTGGACGGAAAGATCTTTGCAAGCATTCCTGTCTTTCCTTGCGGCAGCATCGAGGACTTTCACATAGAGGTCGATGAAATGCGCCGGATATTCTCGAGATGCGCCGAAATCCAACAACTCCAGTTTATTCGTTTTGGCATTGTACAAGAAATTCGTCCAGTTTGGGTCGGTCTGCATGTATCTGAACTCGGTGATCTCTCGCAGACATAGTCGAAGAATCTGGGTACCGATCCAGTCTTTCTGCTCCTGCGTGAGGTTCTGAATTTTGGTCACGGCAGTACCTTCCATCCTCTCCATGGTCAGCACTTGCTTTCCTGAGGCTTGATCCACAATTTCTGGGACCGAGAAAGCCTCTTGATCATCTGCCAACAGCTCGCTGAAACGTTTGGCCCCTTCCGCCTCACGAATGTAGTCGCATTCCCATGCAAGTTCAGTGCGAGCGTTTGCTATGGTCTTGTCGAGGTATAACCCTTTGGGCAGCAGACGAGAAGCAGTAAGCAGCAAAGACAGATTGTTGAGGTCCGACGAGATCGAATCGGCGACACCAGGGTACTGGACTTTTACCGCGACTCGCTTTCCTGATTTCAGGACAGCTCCATGAACCTGGCCAATCGAGGCGGCGGCCATAGGACGGTCGTCGAATTGCTCGAACATGTCACGCCAGTCTGGGCCAAGGTTGGCGGCGATCACTGCATCACGCTGTGAAGCTGGCATGTAGTCTGCGCTGTCTTGGACACGTTGCAACACGTCATGGATGGGCTTTGGCAGCATTTTGGCATCTTGGAAGCTCATCATTTGACCTAGTTTCAAGGCGGCGCCTCGCATTTTGGACAATTTGGCAACCAGGCGTTCCATGTTCGCAGCACTCAGCATGATTGACCCTTGGGCACCGCCTGAACGGGTAATGCTTTCACTGACAGCTCCAAACGCCATCGACGCCGCTAGCCCTCCATACTCGACAAAACGTCCGAATCTTGAAGAGGGTACCCGCGATTCGCGCATCTGGTAGGGTTGTGCACTCTGAGCTTGTGGTGTCTAGGTTATCTGTCAGTTGATCAGTGGAGTCCACTTTGAGCGTAGTATGGATCAAGACTCACGTTGTTGATCCTTTGAGCATCCTTGGCCATATCTGCTGCGAGCTGCTTGATGCTAACCTCGTCTGTATTTGAAGACTTTTGCTGAGCCATCGTGGACTGATGGAATTGTCGCTTGGATGGAGGAGTCCAGCGACCTTTTCCACCCATCAACTTCGTTGCATGCCTTGGGTTATGGAAGAGCTGCGACAGTTGTTCTTCGCTCGGCTCCTCGTCTACAACCCCGGCGTCCCTTTTCGACCCGGAATAGTACACATCTGCATTGATGCCGGGTGCAATATGAGAATCTCCTTCTTGAACGTTGTTTTCCGTCTTGGGCACGCGAACTCGCGGGAGAGCCGACAGGACCGGCTTTACGCTATCTGGAGGCTGGTAGAAGACATCTTGTTCTTGCTCAATGCCAAACTCTTGCGTTGCTTCCCCTGAATTTGGAGCTTCGGCCGTATTCGCAGGTATCTGGTCTTCGTACTGGCGTTGCAGCTTTCGGGCTCCATCTGGAGACAGAGAGCTACTGTGTGTAGGATCTGGTATGGTCGTTTCTCCCGACGACTTCACCTTGAGATCCGCCGCACTGTCTAATCCACCTGGACCTTGTGCCGTCTCTCCATCGGGTCTCTTGTCATAGCTCATTCCGTCCCCTGTCTCTTGTTCAATCGGACTTCCTTCTGGTGGCACCGACCCATCTGGGAGAGGAGCCTGCGTAGACTCGGCCTGGGTGACATGTATATCATTCTCTGAAGAAGTGTTGGTGGACGAGTTTTGTTCTGAGCGGCTGTAGTGATGGTCTTGCTGTATGTCTTCTTCGCGTGATTTCGATGAGGCAAATCGCGAGACAGAGGTGGCTAATATTGGAAGGGCTCGAGTTCTCAGTGCCTTGACAACAGACGACGACTGCCCGTAGAGTTTGACTTGTGATAGCCGGATGTCGAAGTGCTTGGATGCAACTTTCCGAGAGACATTGAAGAGCGCAAGTGCGTCGAGGATTCTTTTGCCAGACATGATTCAAATTGGGTCACAGACCCTTTCTGCACAATTAGCACATAAGGACACCCTGGACGAGTTCTATCATCAAAGACTCGCTTCGTGTCAGTATAGCAGCGAGGATGGAGTGGGAGTCGTTGACCTGCTAAGATTTCCAAGTAGGAGACGATCTTCTGTCTGCATCGGAGCTAGCAATTTTTCTCCGCAGTTTGAGTGAGAACCCCACAATGACCAGCTTCCATCACTCTATCAGTATCACGCCGTCGCGAAAACATCCAGATCCTGGTAGCTCGCACCTGACAGCAGCTGCAAGGATCGGCAGGTCGGCACTGATGATTCTATGAACGCCCACGATGTCGAGGCCCTCCGCGAAAGGGTTGGTGACCTCGAAGCTCAATTACAAACGAGCAAGGCTTTACTACGAATTGCAGAGGGGAAATTGAGCAACGGCACGAGCAGCAATGCTTTCCACCTGCCCATCTCATTACCTCTGGGTCCTTCTGTTCACAACTTGATGCTCTTGTCAGATTCAGCGCTACCTCTGGGATCTTTCGCTTTTTCCAGCGGGTTGGAATCCTTCTTGGCTCATCACAAACCACTTCCAGCTGGCCAAACCAGTCTATCTCTTTTCCACAAGTTTGTGAAGCTGTCTATTCAGTCCGTGGCGTACACCAACGTGCCCTATGTATTGGCGGGCTTCCGAGACCCGCTAGAGCTCATGGACCTGGACAATGACCTGGATGCCTCGACACCATGTACTGTGGCACGTCGAGCGAGCATTGCGCAAGGTCGAGCTCTGTTGAGCATTTGGGAGAAAGCCTTTGCTCCTTCAGCAAAAAGCCGACTCGAAGAAGAATCTGAAACCGTCATTGTCATAGACACATTCGCCAAAGATCTGAAGATTGCAGCGATTTCTTCAGATCCCCTGCCCGTCAATGGTCATCTTGCACCGCTGTGGGGCGTTGTGTGCCTGGCTCTAGGCTTGAATCTAGAGGAAGCGGGCTACCTGTTCTTGCTCAACCACGCGAAAGCAGTCCTTAGTGCTGCGGTCAGGGCATCGGTTATGGGACCGTACATGGCGCAGACTATACTTGCAGGACCACAATTACAGGACTTGATCCGTCGAAGCCTGGAAAGGGTTTGGCTGCTTCAGCCGGAGGACGCTGGTCAGGTGGTGCCGATGATGGATCTGTGGATTGGGAGGCATGAAATGCTGTATAGCAGGATCTTCAATTCTTGAGCTGCTTTTTGCGGTGAATGGGTCTGCAGTATGTGAAAGTGAAGACTCAGCAGGGAAACAGCAGCCAAGGGCTGTCACGCACCATGGACTACCCATGCAAGATGCGAACAGGCTGTAGGTCTCTGTGGTTCTCGCCTGTTATCAGCATTCTCAGACCAGGACGACGCTGGGGGACGACCGTGTCGACACCACAGCACGCGCAACCTCGATCGACCAACGCGACGCTATGAAAGGCATTCTTGCCTTGCTGTTATCAATACTCATGTTCCTGGTCACAAAGAGCAATGCAGTCCGTGGCGATCAACGGCCAAACACCGTGATAGGGGTCTTCAAGCCAACCATATCCTGTCACTGCGAGCTGGTCAATCGAACCGTCAACGTTATGCCTGAACAGTGCTTCGATTACTGCATCTGGCGCTGGGCTTGGTACTGGTTCTGATGACGAATACTCAAAAGCGAAGATGCACCAGATACGACGTTCGATGCAGGACAATAGGACTTGTACAGAGACCAGGATGGAGAGCACGAAGCAATTCTTGTTCGGAGTACTCTAGTCAGCGACTGACTGTGCTGGTTATGCGCCTCATCGGGCTTTTTGTTTTCCAGCACTATGATATGATACAGGAGCGCTCTAACGCTCGACTTCATCGATAGGGCCGATTCTCTCTTCGACACCTTCGATCGCTCCTCTGCCTTTCTTCGCTTGTCTTCCACGGCCGACAGGCTCTTTGGTCTTTCGCAGTGCTTGCTTCCTCTTCGGTGCCACAGCGGCCGCAACGACTGTCTCTGCCAATGATGAGATGCGATCTCTCCGGTCTGTATTCGCTGTTTGAGCAGGTACGCCTGCTTGACTTTCCTCCTCAACAGCGTCCTCAACCCCATCGTGATCTCTTTCAGTAGACGGCAAAGGAACATCCGCTCCCTCAAGAACATATCCTTCATTGGTACGCCTCTGTCGGTCTTCCTCACGCAGCCTCTTCTCGTCAGCCGCCAACTCGGCCATGATCTTATCGGGATCCTCGTATTCCTGGTTCGTCATCCTCGAATATTCCTCAATGTCCACGGGCTCTTTCGCCGCCACACTCTCCCGCACTCGAACAGGAACTTCGCGCTCCTCAATAATGTACTTCAGCTTGACCTGCTTTCGGTCCAGACCAGGAAATAGATTTGCAATCATGGCAAAATCGGTTCCAAACATCCGCAGACCTTTGTAGAATAGCTCTGTCTGTTCATCATCCCAGCGTGTCCCACGCCGCCGGCCAGCATGCTTGCCCAGTGTGCCTTGGTTGACATACTTGTAGATTCGATCGTCTTCCAGCGCTACATCAGCATCCTCGATAACTGCTTGCTCCACGCCAGCTCCAAAAGCGACTTCTCGAGATTCGTTTGTGACAACGATCTTTCCATTGACAACGATCTGCTGCGGTACCACTGCTTCCTCCACGGGAACGTCCTGAGGGGCAACTAATGCTTGTCGACCATGTCTGCCTTGTGCGGCCGCCTCCCTTCGTCGCTCAATCTCCTCTTTCCTGCGTCGCTTGATTTCCACCCAATTTTCCTGCATCCTGTTCTCTGTTGTGGATTTCCTCCCTATCTTGTTATCTTTCACCAGGTCGCTCATTGAGACTTCCTCGGGATCAATCTCCATTTCTTCAGCATTTTCAGGGGTGGAAAGTCGTGATTGCCGACGACCTTTTGCCCCACCACTTACAGCGTCTTCGATCACTTGCTGTGCTAGAGCTTCAATGCGCTTCGCCCGGGATCGCTTCTTTCTTGCGGTTTTTGGCTCAGGAGTGTGATCTGCTCCATCGGCCCCTTCCTCTCCCTCTCCATCCTCCCCTGATTGTGTATATGAAGGGCGTTCAGACCGGGGCCTCAGAGACCTGGCTCCGCTCTCTATCGAGTTCGCAAGTTGCGAAACCTCGGCAAATCGACTGGTGACATCCTGCAGGAGAGCTTCGGAAGTCTGTGACTCACTACGTCTGCTCCTTGGGCTGGCTCTTAGCAGAAGCGAGGTCTCGTCCGAGGGAGGTGGTGTAGCAGGCAGTGGTGGTTCGTTGTTCTCTCGAGAGTGTGTGATCTTCCGCCTCTTCCTGGAGTCCACGGGAGAATGGGTCTGTCCCTGTGGTCCGTCGCCCTGTTCTTGAGCAGGCCCGTCTAATTGCGCGGTTATGGGTTCGCTCGTACGCTGACTGGTTTCTCGTACAACGGGAGTGCTGGAGGTAGCGATAGTTGGGATCGCGTTTGAAGTGGAACTTGGTCCATTAGAGTGTACTGGATGTAGGATGGAGATCCCTTGACTGGTGTTGCTAGGGACAGTCACTTCCACAGACACCGGTTGCTCGCTGCCAGAGCGCTGTTCGGTGGGTTCTCTCGCGGAGGTTTCAAGAGGAGCGGGTAGTGGAAGAGACGTTTCTATGGATTGTGATGTTGATGGTATCTCGGTCGACTCCAGGACACTCTGGACTGGTTCTTGTACATCTTCCTGACCTTCTGTACTCTCTTCTGGGCGTTCAACACCGGGGCTCACTGTCCGACTCTCTGGAGTCAACGATGGTGGTGCTGCATGTCGGGTCGCTCTCTGAATGTTTCGCCTTGGGGCTGTTTTTGGGGTGATTTTCTGGCCCGGTTTTCGGACAACAGAAGAAAAGGTTGACATTCTGTCAAATACTGCGGTGTGCGCCCACCTACCCCGACCCTGGTGTTGTTGCTCTGGTCTGAAAAACAATGTTTCTTTGTTATGGATTCCCCACGCTACAAGTTTGGGGTCGCAGGCGGCACCGGATTCCGCCAAGACTAACGATTAGGCTGTTCCCAAAACGTGTTAGCCCAATTAGACTTCTGAGGTTTCAATTTCTTGCCTCTGGGAGTTCTTTTACTGCAATTGCTCACTCAGCGAACAACGCCTCTCGACGTGACGGCCTTCATTTGTCTCAGCCGGTCCAGGGCACCTTTCAAAATCTTTATCGCCAGGGAGCATAGCCCTTGGGTGACCAGGACTGATGACGGCCGTCGAATCTCTCCCCCTTTCCCTCTCGCAACAGAGTCTAGTCAAGATGGAAGAGCGCAAAAGACCCAGTCCATATGACCAGGTCGACTCAGCTCCTCCGTCGAAGAAACAGGCGACGTCGGCCAATGGCGCGCCCAAGTCTCACAAAGATGACGATATGCCTTGGAAGGATGACCTTGAGGTAAGCCCTTGATGATCAGAACTGCGCCTGTCGAATGGACATCATTTCTGACTTTCGATTCACGAACAGAGATTCCAAAAAGATGCGATCTACCGGCAGATGCAAGAATACAAGAGGGAGAAGAACACTCTTGAGTCACAATTAAAAGAGATGCGGAAAAAGTCCCGATATCACGATGATCACCTCCGGATCATTGATTCTTGGTTTCAGCAAGTAATTGACGAAGTCAAGTCTCTTGCTAAAGGCGATGATGATGTAGATATGGATTCCGCGTCGTTACCCTCTTCCCTGCTCTTTACGGACCAAGAACAATTCGAAGAGCACCTACGCACCCGATCTAAGGAAATTAAAGCCGTAATATCGAGATTGTTCGGTCCAAACAAACCAGATTCGTCAGACGTGGCAGAGCTGCAATCCAGAATCTCCCGATTACTCGCTGCAGAAAAAGGTCACGTGGTCGAGTTATCAACATTACATGCGGAAAAGGAAGATCTGGAGACTCGATTAGAAAATGCATCTTTGCGGTATATGATGGCAGAAAAGAAGATCGATCGCGCGAAAAGTGTGACCGTCGCAAAGCTCGAGAAACAAGCCTTGCTGGGCGCCACAAAACCTGCCGCAGAGGAAGGAGGTGCAGTCAAGAAAGAAGACAGTATGGCCAATGGAACGATTGATAATTCTGAGGAGCTTGCCGAGTTGGAACGTGAGTTGAACAAAACAGCGTCAATATCGGAAAAGCAGAAAGAACAACTCGAGAGACTGGAAGAGGAAAATGCCAAGTTAAACACCCAACTCACGGAGTTGACCACAAAGTCGGCCATTCTGACCGACGAGGATTATGCAAAAACCGAGTTATTCAAGCAATTGAAATCGCAGCATGAGGATGTTATCAAGAGGATAAACAACCTTGAGGCCACAAACACCGAATTGAAAGAAGAAGCCAAGAAATTGAGGTCTGAGAGGACGACCTACCAGACTCAGGTCGAGAAAGAGGCTCGGACTGCTTTGCAGGAAAAGGAGTCACTTCTGGCAGCGTCTGAGGCTAACCTGGCAAGGATTCGTCACAATCGGGACGAACTGTTAGCCGACCAGGCCATGAAAAAAGCCACAATGGAACAGGACCAAGAGTCGTCCAAGAAGATATCAGATTTGGCTTCGGCCCAGGAAGATCGAATCAAGGCGCTGGAATCCGAAAACGAGCGGTTAACGGGACAGTCGAGTGCGATGGCTGTGGATAATGCAGAGCTGGATTCTCTCGATATCGGAGACCTGCGGGCCAGATACTCTGATCTGGAGAGAAAGTACAATCTGCTGAACTCGGAGCTGGCCTCGATGTCGACGGCATATCAGAAGACGTCAAAAATCGCCAGTCAAAAAGTTACAGAATTCGCCGTTATGGAAGAGAAAGTCCTGCGGTTGTCAGCGGAGAAGGCCAAAGCTGATCAAAAGTTCTTTGCCGCCATGAAGAGCAAGGAGACACGAGACTCGGAAATTCGGACTTTGCGTTTACAGAACTCGAAATCTGCAGAAGCTGTTTCTCAGCTGAAAGAGGCCGAGAGTGCATCAAGGGCACTACTGGCCACTATGGAGAAGCAATTGGCAGAGCTGAAGGATGCTTTGACATCGAAGACAAACGAGCACCGAACCATTCAACAACAAAACATCACGCAAGGCCTTGAAGTTTCCAGGCTAAATACCCAGTTGACCGAGTTGAAGAATCAGTTGATGGCAAAGGACGGTAAATTTGCCCAGACGGCCAATTTATGTCGGGCGGCGGAGGTCGAAGTTGAAGAATTGAAGGCATCTCTCAAGGACACCCGAAGAAATCTCGAACAATGGAAGAGTAAGAGCGGACAGTCCGAGCAGTATGAAATTCTGCGACAATTTGCATATTGCAACATCTGCAAACGGCAATTGAAGAATACTGTGATCAAGACTTGCGGGCACACTTTCTGCAATGAGTGTGTGGAAGAACGACTGACGTCGAGATCGAGGAAGTGTCCCAACTGCGGCAAGTCCTTTGGCAGCAACGATCATATGCGGATTACGCTATAAATTCTCCTTCTCATTCATGTACCCGTACAACACGTCCGCCTTCATCTCCTCGCGACTCCGCGTCAAGCCAAATCGGTGGACCCTTCTCAAAATCACGGCGCTTTGTGAGCGTTCTTTTCGTTATATGTACAACTACCAATATCTCAACGGCATGAACGTTGGCGGCCTGGGTCGGCCAGTTTTATCAGCATTCATCCGAGAATTGAGCGTTGGAAATCATGCTGGAGGTTGACAAATCCGCAAAGGGATTATATGCGAGAGGGGTAAGAGGGTGGATATTCATCCATTGGCTGCCCTATGTTTACCGTCATGGCATGCCAAATGGCGTCCTCTATCGAGTATAACTCGAGACGAGGTACGAGGGCATCTTCCCTCGAAAGGTCCAGCTTGGCTATGTCAGTGATGGAAAGACCCGACGGCCCGGTCGTAGTCCCCTGGCACGCGACATTTGGGATCCTTCCCATTTAGATAGCAGACCTCCCTGCCAGCCAACCGTCTCCTCGGTCGCGGTACCTCGAGTCGAGACCGGCAGCAAGATAGCCGAAATGAATTCCTTGGGAAAGTCGTTTCTTCATCTTTGCATTTATCGGTGTCAGCCGTCCACATCCATTTGTGTTTCGTCCTTGATATCTTTTGCTTCTTCATTTCCAGCATTCTTCTGTTGCTCATCACCTTCGTCGCCCTCCACTTCTTCGTCCTCAGGGTCTTGTTCCTGGTCATCCTCAACATCCTCCCCTTCTGCACCTTCTCCATCGCCATCTCCTTCATCGGGCTTCTCTTCCATGCCTTCCAAAGGCGGGAAATGCAAGTGTTTCCAATCCTCAATCTCCTCGATGATACTTTTGAGCCGGTCCCGAATACTCTCGACGGCAAAACTGCCCAGAAGTAGTCGGAGGGGCGGATAGCGACAATGACCCAATTGCCAGACCAGCTCCGCGGACTTGACAACGCTGGTAGGCTGATTCTTGCCCATCCAATGTAACGTGCGCTGGGCGTGCGCCGCGGGTGCATCCTTACCCATGTATGGCTCGGAGGCTTTCGCGACCTTGAAGTGGCCGAACAGCGGCAGCTTAGCACCATCTGTGTTCTGGACGTGCTCGTCGTCGCGACGCACATGACCCGGCTCCACGAGCGTGGCTTTGATGTTGAAGGGGTCGACTTCGTACAGCATGCTCTCGATCAGTCCTTCGACCGCGTACTTGGTTGCGCAGTAGGGTCCTAGCCCTGGCACGCCCAATGCCCCGCTCGTGCTAGAGAAAATGAGATAGCGGCCCTCCTGGCGTTTGCGGAAGTATGGGAGTGAAAGCTGGATGATGTTCAGAGTGCCCATGAAGTTCGTCTCGAATTGGTTGCGGATCTCGTGTTCGTCTTGGTCTTCGCAGGCGCCGATGACACCGTAGCCGGAGCAATTGGCTATGATGTCGATGCGGCCGAATTGCTTGATTGTCTTTTCGAGTGCGCTGGATACGCTGGGCCGGATGCGCACGTCGCAGAGCAAGGCTAGGTACCGGTCTGGGTCGTCGTGCCAGGTCTGCATGGACGAGAGGTCGTCCTCAAAGGATTGACCGACAGCGGCGATGATGTCGCCGTGGGAGAGGGCTGTTTTGGTGACGGATCGACCCATGTGGCCTGTCGCACCGAAGATGAGCCATACTTTCTGCTTGGCTGGGTTGGATCGCGATGGTGGATCGGTCGTGGCGGGAAGTGAAGGTCGACTTGAGTCGGATTGCGGATTGGGAGAATGCTGTGCTGAGGGTGACCCAGGACCTCCTGCTGGATCGTTGGAGGCTGTGCGTCCGAGGACGTCCATTCGTGGCGAATGGAGTGTATATCGAACCTCACCTTGGGCCAGCTAACAAGGTGTTCTCACCGAGTTTGATGCTTCGGGCTGGTTGAGCGTCCAACTGTATTCTCAGTTACATGCTATTCAGTCTCCAGGCCAGTGCCATGTTGCCTTTTCTCAGGATGAGGTGATCAATCGTAGGTAGATATCCTGCTTCCTGCTTGGTGCCTTTGGCCGAGAATGTGTACGTAGTCAAGCACACAACCAAAAACAGATCAGTGCCGGAAAGCTTTGATAGTCTCTGGCAGACAGCGCAAGACCGATTCTAGACCTCTAAGTGCCGGTCAGAGTGGCGGTAGAATTGAAGCCGTAGGAAAGAGGTCGCTGTTGTACACAAATCCCCTTTAAAAAGATGGAAGAAGGTTGTACCTGAAGCCCAGTCTGAATGGCCCACAGATTTCTACTGTAAGCCCAATCCAAAAGTCTCCTAACCGTGCTGACCTGCTTAAACTGCCCTGAAAGATTGATCTTTATGGGGCGCTGTGGTTGGTTATGAACCTGCAGGATTATCATTGACCTCGGTGACCTCCACAGGTGTCGAAAACTACGAGGAGTGGGTGGTTCTGATCATCAGCAAACCCCGCACCTGTGGCACCCACAGTGTGGTACCCTGTTGCCTCACACCCATTACGATTGCCATCGATGGCGCAAGAGGCGCCTGTTGGAGAGGAATAAAAATCTTATTCCAGTTGAACCAACGGCGGGTTCGGTTGCCTCAACGTGCTTTTCCCTTGTGCCATCCTACCTTATATACCCTATAGACCTTATAAACATATATCTTCTCACTGCTAATCCCCAGTGACACTCGATAACTTCCCCATTCCTGATCTCACAACCCATCTGCTTGTAATCCGCACCAACACCCACAACACTCCTTGACGATGAGGGCATACTGGTTCGACAACGAACAGGTAAGGCCACCACCATTTCACCTTCCAGCATACCAGCAAAATTCAGGTTGTAGCACTTGCTGACTCTTCACTTCCAGGGCGACCAACGTCTCCCCCACGACTCCAACCGCGACGTTGAACCCTCATACCTCGCCCAGCTAGGCGTCCTGTACTACCACCTCCCCGAAGAATCCAAAGTCGACACCATCGCGAAAGAGCGCGACTACAAGAACCGCGATGTCATCACCGTCTCGCCCGACGCCATGGGCGCCATCTACGAGGACAAAGTCAAGTCGTTCTTCCACGAACATCTCCACGAGGACGAGGAAATCAGATACATCCGCGATGGCGCAGGCTATTTCGACGTCCGTAGCGAGGACGACGCCTGGGTGCGCATCAGGCTGGAAAAGGACGACATGATTGTCTTGCCGGCCGGGATTTACCATCGTTTCACGACGGACGAACAGAATGTAAGCACAGCATTTCCACACACCGCGTGAACCAAGGCGTGAGTTGGACCCTATGGAAATGTACTGACACATATCCTAGTATATCAAAGCTATGCGCCTGTTCAAGGACGAGCCGAAATGGACGCCACTGAACAGAGGCAACGAGACCGACATCAACGAGCATCGCCAGAATTATCTTCAGTCCAGAAGTGCTCCAGTTTCGGTCGCATAAAGAGCGAGCAACGACCCTGCTGCTTTCGATAAAATAGTTCGATGATGAGCTTGTTCATGAATGATGAGTACCTTGTAACAAAAAAAAGTTTCCTCGGGTTGAAATTACCGTGCTTCATGTCTTCTGTCATATGCTCTGGCTATAATGTGATATATATGGGTATGAAGTAGTGTTGCGTGGACTGATGATGCCCTTGTCGCTTGCCTGATCCTTCGACCTGAGGTGATCAGACATAATTCCATGCCTACAAGCACTTGTTTCACCAGATTGTTTTCGCACCATATTCCTGGCTAGTGCGCCGGCCTTAGTATTGCCCAGGTGTCCCAGACGCCTGATGTAAGCACCAGTCTTACCGAACTCCAGCACGCGCAGAGTAATGGTGCTAAATGCAGGACGACCTACCCTAAAATTGAGATCTCAACGAATCCCGTTGGGCGGCGCTATTTGCCCAGTCGGCAAATGCCCTAAGACTGCTTTACACTAAGCATGGTGGAAGGTGTGCCCAATAGAAGCGGGTCTCATATGCAGAGGCGGAGGATTTATTGCTGGCTAAACCGGAGTATTGCAAGGAGCGCGGTGGCTTGGAAATAGGTCTGGAGAAGGCTTTCTTTTGCGGCTGAAATTTATGTACACGTTCTTGACTTTGTTATATAATGATTGGAAGATTGCTAGATTTGGTTCGAGCTGCTGAGTGTGCTTGTCCGACATGGCCGACGTAGTCGAAAGCCAGTACATGTTCGTGGAGTATGCGGCGGCTACCGTGCCTTCGCCGAACGGGAAGAGACGTCGAGGTGGTCCCACCGAGGTCAGGTCGCACATCACCAGAGAGTTCCATCGGAGGACAAAGATAAAGCGTTTGAAAGCTTGCACGGGGATTACAGCAACGCCGGAGCTGAAGCTACAGGCACGAACAGGAGCAGCTGAAGAAGACCACGATGCCAAACAGGTTGAGGAATCCCAATCACCTGAGAAAGATCCGGAGATGGGTGCAGCGTGGAACCGATGTTCGAGCAACGATATATCGTTACAACAATCAGATGCCCACCGAAGCAATGTTTTTCTGGGAGATGGAGGATTCAATGCTTTTGACATACTAACAGGTCAAAGAATGCCGCGGTACATCCACCTAGTCCTGGATCACGTATGTCCCAGGCGCCATGAAGGTGTGCCTTCAGTGCAACAGACAGCTGCTAATCACCTGTATTCAGGCTTTGCAAATCTCCTGGCCGAACACCCTTCCGGTCATGTCGAAGGCCGTGGTCAATCCAGTCAAAGGTGCCTGGCTCAAGTGCGCCATGCAGTGGCCTGTTGTGTTTCATGCATTCATCTATGCGACAACACTCCACCTCTTGTGCGCATACAATGGTCAAGAACTGATCGAGTCAGGGCCGCTGATGCGGTTGTCTCACAAGACCGAGACGATCAAACTGGTCAATGAGCAGCTGCGCAGCTTGAAAAGTCCGGCCTCTGATGCTTTGATCATGGCTGTGGTCATCCTAGCAATCCATGGTTCAAGAGATGAAAAGGAATATCCGAAAGTCCACCCACCTTCACCGTTGGCGTCTGCACAAAACCTTCATGTCTACGGAAACATGGTGGCCGATGAGCAGCATACTCAAGCAATCCTGTTATTGATAAAGCAGAAAGGCGGCCTCGAGGCCTTTGAACTGTTTGGCATGGCAGACACCATGGCTTTGTAAGTGAGACCGCGGTAGAAAGGTGACACTGCTCACGATAGCGTAGATGTGACCTGTATTTCTCCACCAAGCACATCTGTAGGCCGGCCTTCTCATTGCGACGTCCGCCGCAGTCGCTCGTCGTTGATGGTAAACATGTGCTGGATTCTCGGGCCATAGAACTTGACTCTGAGCTTGGCACCGGATTCAGGTACTTTCGATCGAACTCTACCAGCTGCGAGCTGTTGGAAGTGTTGCAAAGCTTTTCAGAGGTAACGAATGCACTGGATCACCATGCAAGAGGAGGCTCAACAGCGCCAGAGCTTGTTGACCTTATCGAAGCCCGCAATGCATCGCAGCATCGTCTTCTCTCAAACTTGCCAGAACGAGTGGACCTGACAGATGCTGAGTCCTGTGTCCAGCAAGCAACACGACTGGCCACCCTGATATTTAGCGACATGGTGGTTTTTCCATTGCCGCCGACGCAACGGGTGAAGCCGAGGCTGGCTCGAAATCTGATTGACATTCTTGAGGCATGCGATTTGTTGCGCTGCTGGGATCTGCATGGGCAAGTGCTCATGTGGGCTCTTACGCTCGGTGCGATCGCGGCAAGCTTCACCCCTGAACGGATATGGTATGTCGATCAGCTCAAATACCGCTGCTCGGTTTGGAGCGTCGACGAGCTGCCTTTGCTCGAGTCAATCTGCTCCAAGTTCTTGTGGTGGGGAGAGGTTTGCGGCGGACCTGTTCTGACGTTGTGGAGTGAGGTTCAAGCCGGATTTCCGGCAATCCACATACTTGCGGATTGATCTGCGATAACTGACGGTAGAAGTCCCCCTCAGGTGGGAAAGCCATCGAGTGGTTGTCAAAATGGTGACTCACAAGACGCAGAATTGCTGGATGTGGTATATTGCTCAAGCTGGTAGAGCTCCAGGCATCATCCTAGTTCCTTGCGGAGTGGGCAAGTCCCCGTCGCTCTCAAAGACTTGGCTGTTCAATCGGTCATGGCCTGTACGGAACCTGAGGCCTTCAAATATCCTTTCCGTCTCTTCTTGAGATGGCAAGCTGTCCTCTGATCTACGCTCTCTGTGTTCGACAAAGGAGGAAGATCGATGTTCGTCTTGAGTCGGCGGTCTTTCATCATCTTGGCCTTCCCTAACCCGAACTTTGCCCATCCGTGGCCAAAGACCAGGAAGAGGAACAACTTGCACTCGTGGTTCCACGACCCTCTCTTCGAACCATGCCTGGGCTCGTGCTTCGATTAGTTGTGCAATCTTCGGCACATCCTGCAAACGAGTTCGAGAGCCAATGAGGCTTCTGACGGAGAGGTCAAGTCGATAATCGGGGAGGAAGGAGAATGCGAGATTGGTCTTCGGCTTGCCCGACACAGGGGCTGGTGTGTTCATCTTCGCCGTCTCATCCTCCGAATCGTCTTGGATTGAGGGGACGAAGCTTATTGATAACGTGCCGGAGAACCGGACGACAGAAACAGCCAGGGCTACAGGCAGAACAGCCGAGAATGGTTTGGGATAGTTGAGGATAAGCGCCGTCTCTATGGCCAACGTCAGATTGTCGTCCGCAAGATCAACGTCCATCAGAGCCTGTAGCCTTCCGCCAGTAGCACTTGATGCGTCATCATCAACCGTGGTTACCCGCACGTTGCTGAAGATAGGAAACTCCTCGCCCATTGATATTTCCGTAATTTTGATCTTGTCCATGTACGAGGGTCTCTTGGTAGGATCATTTATGGCTTCTTCCAAGCTCGCTAGGATCGTGGGTGTATTGCCAGAGCCTTCTCTGAGATTGTAGGCTGTCTGGCGGTATTGTGCTATTGTTTGAGCAAGCAAGACATTGAACCAATCCAGGCTCTCCGGTTGATGCGTCGAGTGACTGCTATTCTTGACATGGCCGCGGCTGGGGATCTGGTAGTAAGTTTTACGCAGAATGGAAGCAATGTCCGTAGCAGTGTTGGCTACAGGACGGAGGACGTTGCTTGCACTGGCCTTATTGCGTAAAGACTGTGAAACAGCAGTCTTTGAAGAGGCAACGCTGTGAAGGGAGGGGGTGCGAACGTGCTTCGGAGCTCGACTCGAAGGACGAGAAGGAGGAGGAGGTGCTTCGCCGAAGATGAAGAACTTGATGAAGGCCGCAATGAACAGCGCGACCGAGAGTTGGCCGATGATGAGGCCTTGAGTGAAGGTCAAGTCGGAGGACATTTTGACGGATGTGGATGGAGGTTTAGTCGGTTTGACGCTGAGTATTGAGCTTCTGGTGCAGACGAGGCATTCCGAAAGCTGGGAATATTTGAAGCCTTCTGCTTTCAGAGGCGGCAAGAGCAAGCAACAGTGTCAAGGCAAGATTTGAATATATGCACGCGTAGTAGAAGGAGCCAGGGTGCGCGCAGAGAAATGAAAATAGTGTGGGGAAATGGTTCTTTTGGCGAGTTCATTCAACGTCATTTCGTCGACGTCAATGCGCATCTCAGCCTGATCATGCCCCCTAGACTTTTCTGTAAAGCTATCGACACCTCTTACGATAACCAGTGATGACAAGGTGCATCAGCTGGGAGTCGTGTCTCTTCGATCTGCTAGACCATGGCATCCCATACTGGAAAGAAACGTCTCTGCCGTCATGTTCTCTTTTCCTGCCGCACAGCAAATCTTACCGCCTTCCCATCCCATCACTTCCCTCACATGACCAGTGACCACCCCTATTGACCTTGATATATTGTACTTCCTCATTACTGTTCAACAATCAGAGAATCAAAAAGATTCAAGGACGATTGTTTAGATAGTATAACCTAGATAGTATAATTCCGGTCTCCCGGGCTCGAGAAAAACCACCCTGAACAAGGTTGTTTAACTTCCCTCCCAACCAGATTGAACATAACGTTCAAATCTGCTTGGAGGAAAAAGTTTTTTTGGTCATCTATGAGATCTGATTGCTAAATTCGATTGCGGACTGCCTGTAGTGAAGTGAAGATGAAGGTGGTGCGGCAGTATGGGAAAGTGAGGCAGAAGCCGGCAGCGGTGGTACTGGTATAGCAAACCGCACTTCGGCTTTGACTCATCACCACATTGCTCTCCCATTATCAATTTGCGAGGCGACAGCTAAAACAAGTGCAGATGTGTGGGAGCGAGCATAAAGATCACGAATGCTGCTCGAGTGGCGGGATGGGAATCATACATGAAAAGGGGTTCGCAGCCTGGCGGCCATCAATACTTTCAGTTTCAATTCTCAGCACTGTCCATTGCTTACTCGTATCTAGCACAGTTCTTCGCTCTTGCTACCAATCCACAAGATTGCTGAAGCGCCACTCAGGGACCTGCCCGTTGTTACAGCACTCTACCCTCGCACGTCCTGCTCCCCTTGCCCTCATTCATCGACCTTCTCCAAGTCTTTCCTCATTTGTTGTGAGCATGGCGACGACAGCATGATGAGCAGAAATCAGCATCGTAGCCGTCCCCATATACTCGATCGAGGCCCTGCCAGAGATGGTCCGAGATTCCTCCATCATACCCTTCTTCTTGTCTGAAACCCTTCCCCAGCCCTTGGATGTGCCCTTGAGTATTACCTCCGTGACCTTCAGACAGCTCTTGGTTTTGCGCAGCTGGAATCGATCTTTCCGCCCATGCAACACCTTGAACTCCCCCAACAAATGTAAGAACCCTTCCATTACCTCGACCCTTTCTACCAGCTCCTCAGCGTATCCTTGTTCGATTTGCTTGAACGTGTGCTGATTGGAGGTTATTTTGTATCCTAGAACATCAAAGTCGTCCTTCCAGATATCGAGTTGGAGTGGGCGCAAAAGGAGGAAATTTGTCGCCGTAGCGTCCGCGATTTCATGGCGAATCTTGCTCAGGTCTGTGGCTGCTTTCCGCAGTTCTTTCTGGACGTCGTCAAGTGTGCTTATTTCCGAGCGCAGCTTGTTGATCGCGTTCTGCATTGGTCTTGCTTCTGTGCGTAGCTCAAGGAGTCTCCCTTGTGATTGTTCCTCCATTGCGTCCATGATATCTGTCTGTTGATGGTAAGTGTGGTAACAGAAAGCTTTCAGCCATGATTTAGATGTATAGATGCTGCGAGGCGAGGCGGTCAGTGAGGCAGTTGGTTTGTGACAGACCACAGGACGCAGGCTTCCGAGCAGCCGCAACCATTATATGTGACAACCACAACTTTGCTGCACTGCCTGACTAAATTCAATACAGGACTTCACGTGCTTTGTTGTCCAGGGGGGTGCCACCTCATTTCGTGACTGTGTCTTTGTTTCAGGGTTGTTGTACGCCTGTTCCATTGTGGTCTTTGACGAGGCTGCGTCCGCCAAGACAAAAAGGAGATCTCAGCCTCGTCGTTGCAACGCTCCATAGTCGTACTGAACTATTTATTGCACTCCGGCGTACGCGCCATTTTCATTGTCCCAAGAGGAGTTCACTCATCCACAATCACACCTTTTCCAATAGTCGCTAGCACTTTGCAACAGCTCAAGGTGAGCACGGCCAAATTCTCCTCCATCTCCTTTGACAACTTGATATTATCTTCAGTGACTCTTGCCACAATTTCATTGACCTTTTCAAGTTGCTTGATAGCTCTGTCCATTGTACGTTCCCATTCTCTGCTTGACAGGTTAGTAACTCCAATCACTCCAAGTATAACGGTCAAGACACACTGTTCTCCTGACTCATCCTGTTTGTCAATAAATGGCTCAGGAGGTTGTGGCCGTAGGCGTCCTGGGACCCGAAGAACGCGCGGCGCCTCCACTCTCACTCCCCCGTTTGCAAGTCTCTCTCGACTATGCTCCAAGTATCTCTGTGCACCGATGATTGATGCTTCTTCTAGGCCGGCAGATGTGTCAGTTCAGAAGCCTATGTCTCCATGTAGAGGCAGCATACGAGATCGATCATCGAACGGCAGTGGGCTCGACTCTGGAGCCAGTCAGTAAGAGTACTCCAAAAGCCAACTCCATGGGCCTTACCAATGAAACCATATGTTGCTACAATACCGTTCCTCACAATAGAAACTGTAGTTTTTATGTCAGTAAGCAATATCGACGACGCATCCGGAGACCAAAGTTGCCCGTGACTGACTTCTTGGTGCATGATCTGGGGCCTTTTGAGTCCTCCTGAAGCGCGAAAGTACTCGTTGAATCCAGGACAGAGCCATAGCGAAGTTGCTGAAGTTGACTGTCTCGATTCGACGGAGTTTATCACTTGTCATTGATGACTGTGGAGGCCATAGCAAGGGTTAGGTGTATTGGCAGAAGATTTCAATTGACAATGAGGTCAATGTCTAATTGGTCGTCGCCAAGTGAAGTAGACTGAAGACATAGTCAGCATTTGCTGTAGGCGGCGTGGACCTGAGTGGCAGATTCCCAAGCTAGGTGGCCGAGTCAGCATTTTGGTCTCCCGAGGTGCACAAGGTGTCTCCAGGCATTCAGTTTTGATATGCTTAATATGCTTGATCAGCGCAGTCCGCACCTGTCCTTCAAGACCTTCCCAGGCGTCCTGTGATGTTGTTGAATCGCCCGGCAGTTCACATGCACTAGAGCTGGTCAAGGTGAGAGGTGAGAGGAGCGTGAAACAATGGATGTGGGGCTCGGTCAAGAGAACTGGGATGAAAGGATACGGCCGCCGCGAAGGAGGACAAAGAAGGTGCGGATAGGAAACATAAGTCATCAAGGATGACGATGACAAACCCAATTAAAGGAGGTGATTTAGGCGGGAGACTGAGTTATTGGCGATAGTGCTTGTCGGCTGCACTCATGCTCATAACACGATTTTAGGATGAGGGAGCGGATATAGCGTTCACAATGACTGGAAGACGTGATGGACTTTTTGCCCTAGTATGCTCATCATTTATCAAGCATGTGACCCGCTTTCAGGTATCAATGCAAGTCATCAGTCTCATTAGTTCCACTGGTCTTGGGCGATTGTCTTCGCCAGTTCAAGGTTCTGCGAGTAGTCGATACTCACATCGACCAGCGACACGCCTTCATGTGCGAGAGCCTCCTTGATGACACTCTCGACTTGCGATGAGTCCGAGATCCTGAAACCTTTGGCACCAAAGCTCTCAGCAAACTTGACAAAGTCGACCCCTCCCAGCTTGACACCACTTGATCTGTTGTACTTCATGATCTCCTGGAATTCAACCATGTTGTATGCCTGGTCATTCCAGATGAAGTGTGTAATGTTGCAGCCTTGCTGTACGGCAGTGGACATTTCTTGAGAAGAGAACATGAATCCACCATCACCACTTACGGAGATGACCTTTTGCGAGCAGGGTGGGTCCTGGACCAGAGAGGCAGCTATCGCCCAAGGTAGACCGACCCCCAAAGTTTGCTGACCATCGGAGCAGAGAAGTCGGCGAGGCTCATAAGCGAAAAAGTACCTGCGTAGAGCAGTTAACGTTAGTCCTGCATTACCCGGCAATAGCTGTTTTGGCATCGAAATTGTGGACAACCGTCGCGCAAACTCACCTCATGAAGTATCTATTCCATGTTAGTATAATCTCTCGAATCAAATTACAGAGAAGCCAGGAACGTACATGTAGACCGATCCGACATCGACGCACACTGTTGTGTCCTTTGACACAAGCCCCTGAAGCACCGTGATGAAATGTAGTGGATGAATAAGACCCGAGGATCGTTTGACATCAGGTAACTTTTGCCATGAGAGGTACTCGTCGTGGAGACTCTTACACTGTTCCGATATGGATGATTCAGGAATGTGCTGGAGGTTCTGGGTAAGGTATTTCAAATTCTCCGCAATTGAGCCCACCAGCTCATGCAGAGGACGGTAATGTGCTCCATAGTCCGCAGGTGAGACATCAATGTGTATAATACGACCATCACCCTTGGGATTCCAGGCATTTGGATCGTACTCAACAGGATCATAGCCCACGGACAGCACAAGGTCGGACTTGGTCAGCAGTCTATCACCCACTTGGTTCCTGAAGATGCCTACCCTTCCGTAGAAGTTTTGCACCAATTCTTTGCTGACAGCTCCTGCAGCCTGGAATGTCTCGACTGTGGGGAGAGGAAATTTGGAGAGTAGAGTGCGGACCGCTTCGACAACCCTGGGACTACTGGCTCTGAGTCCCAGAAACAGGACCGGAAGCTTTGCGTTTTGGATCAACTTGATGACCTCGTCCAAGCGCGAGGTTGGAGCCGTTCCGTAGGTGGGAGGTCGGAAGGCTTCACTCTTGAAAGGCAGAATTGAGGTCTTGCCTTTCGAAACGTCGATAGGTATTGAGACGACGGATGCGCCTCTGGGTGAAGAGGAAGCTGTTCGGAAGGCGTTCAAAATGACCTCGGCGGCTTGGTCTTCGACGTCTATTGAGACTGCAGTCTTTGCTGTTGGTCCGAGAATGTCGAGAGCTCTCATACTCTGATGAGTTCTGTGCAATGCCATTGCTCGTGGGACGCTGCCGATAAGGGCAACAACAGGGTCGCATTCCGTATTGGCGGTGACCAGTCCTAAGCCCGCTGTCAGTCTCCAACTGAAGTCCTATCGTGGTCCGAATACCTGTTGCTAGGTTTGAAGCGCCTGGACCGCTCGTGGCTATGCACACTCCAGGCGTGCCGGTGATACGGCCCACTGCAGCAGCCATGAAAGCTGCATTCTGCTCGTGTCGGGCAACAACGAGCTTGATCTCGCTGTGATCTTGTAGGCAGTCGAAGATTGCGTCTATCTAATGCCCAACGTCAATGATGAAGCATCACCAAAGGCCCTCCACTCCAGAGGCTTACCTTTGCTCCTGGCACGCCAAAGACGTAGCGGACCCCAGCATTGTACAAGCTGTTCACGATGACTTGGGCGACAGTGTCTTCGGCCATTATGGTCTTCTTCCTGTCAGAATCTGTAGAATGTGAGAATGATCATCGTGGAGACATTGTTGTTAGAACAATGAATGGTCTTTTCCGATTCCTTCAAGGAGAGAATACCTTATGAAGTGCATCCGGATGACGTAATCATGAACACATCCGAAGGTAGCCGGCACTCACCGTCATTCATACCGGACCGTCAAGCCATCGAACACTTCAATCTTTGTCAGTCTGTTTGTCGCCTTTGAGTAGTTCAGAGATTGTTCAAAGGAACAACATCTCATCCGCTTGGAGACTCGCCAAAAGACAGCTTTGTAGCAGCAAACGACACTGCCGGAACACCTCTCCACGAAGCTACCACAAAGATGGCCGTTAACGAGCTGTACCAGTACAGCCTCGTGAACGCCCTAATGAGCGGCGTCTCCGAGTCCGGCATCACCGCCAAACAACTGATCGAAAAGGGAAACATCGGCCTAGGCACATTCGTCAAAATGCAAGGAGAACTGCTCCTCCTCGACGGCAAGGTCTACCAACTCCTAGCCGGAGGCAAGATCAGAATAGCAGACGATACCGACCAGATCCCATACGCTGTCTGTACCCGTTTCAAACCTCAGAGTACCGAGACCCTCACTCTCGAGAACAAAGACTCAGTCGATACCGTCCTGGAGAAATTCAATGACCACGCCAGCAACTTGTTCATGGCATACCGCATTGAAGGACGTTTTCGCTATCTCAAGTGCCGTACCGTCAAGGGTCAAGAATACGACGGCCAACCACTCTCGGAGCTGGGAAAGAAGCAATTCGTTGCAGAGTATGACAACATCGAAGGAACTATCGTCGGATTTCGCTCGCCCTCTGCATGGCAAGGCTTCTTCGTGGCAGGCGAACACATGCATTTCATCGATAAAGATCTGAAGGTTGGGGGCCATGTTCTGGACATTGCGGACGGCGAAGTCTCGATGGGAGTGGCGACTATCCACCAGATACACTTTGAGTTGCCGACGAGCGAGAAGTTCAATTCAGCGAAGATGTCCACGGATGATGTTGGGCTGAAGTCGGTCGAAGGTTGATCAGGGCTTGACCAAGCGCGACCGAGACACGTTTGGCATTCCTATTCTGCGTCGATGAGTCTGGTACAAATGCAGGACGTGTTCCAGGACCGCTTTACAATGTCACCGTGGCGTGCTTGTGCTCGATGCGGTTTCTCAATCTTTGTCGCCCACAAAACAATTTTCAATTCTCCCTTTGTCTTGCATCTACAACGCCTCCTAGTCGAGACAGAGTCCTCCGTTCGTCCCAACGCAGACGACATGGGTATGTCCTCCTCAAGGTCAAGACTGTCCATTTTACTGATGCTACAATGAAGCTACACCGTCACCATCGCAGAGAATCGCCGAGTTGTCCCCCTGGCCGCTATGGGGGTTCCTCAACCCTCAGCGATGGTTGCCAGAGGGCTTCCCCCAAGTCCCCATCGTTGTTGAGGACATCGACCAGCCCGATATCTACGGGATCTACGCGCGTCTTTCCTGTCGATGCGATATCGACAAATCGGTCGATGATGCGGTTGAAGACTCCCGAGACCCAGCCTTGGAGCGACAACAGAGGGGCAGGGTGTATGACCCATGGGGCGACTCAGAGTATGTGGCACTCCCTTCTCATCAGCGACGTCGTACGACTTGCTACGGACAGACTCCTTACGCTTCAAGTAGATCAACATCGTCGAACGAGCCGACCGACCCCTATGAGCTGAGCGTAGAGTACTGGCATCGTATGGGGATGCAGGCGGAGCTCGACATCGTCAAGGAGCAGCTGGAGCGCACCCAGGCGTCATTGAAGACCCTGCAGGATCAAATGGTATTGAGAGAACTGCAAGAGGGATATCTTGAGAACGTCATACAGCTCTCCAGCCTAGAACTCGAGCAGAAGATCAGAGCTGAGTTGGTGCCGCAACTCAAGGCTGAGATCAAGGCCGAGCTTGAGGAAGAGCGAAGACCCGAGCCTGAGGAAGAGGAAAGACGGAGAAGAGCTCAAATCAGCATGTACATCTAGCGACAAGGAAAGGCACGCGCAGAGCTCATCCACGAGTGCGGAGAGGCCAACGAGCAGAACCAGTACAGCGTCCTGAAGAGGCGTTGCTAAACATCCCACAACCACTCTTCCCTCTTGACATCCCCAAAAACGTCCTTGATCGCACTCTTAGCCTGCTCGATACACTCCCTTTCATCCTTCTTCCAAGTCTCAAACCGTCCCAGTTTGCGCCCATCAACAATCCGATCTGCACCCGTGAGTATCGCGCTCGCGAAACAAATGCAGTTGATCCCACGTTCCTCTGCTCCCGTGTGCGTCTCATCCGAAAGTCTCGAAACGACGCGCACGCACCGCTCAAACACGGCGAACAAATTCAGCCGCGCGATTGGCAGGCCATTACCAGCAGCATTGCCATCTGAATCAGTGCATCCATTGAACATGCTCTGGGCTGTCTCGGCTAACCTCAGCAGACGCTCTCCCGGGCTCAGACTCGCGATTTTGAGGGCTTTCGACGCAGTTGAGTTACTCCGTCCTTTCACCGCCGTTTGCGACGACGCAGCGCTTGCGCCCGCAGCCCCGCATGCCGAACCGCAGCAGATATCTTCCCACAGGTCCTCAGCGACATGGTAGTCGCGCTGCTTGACCTGAAACAACAAACAATTCGTGGCTGACTCCGCGCCATTCTTCTCTCCAACACCCAATCCAGCAGCCCGTCTCGCAGCATGCGCAGGGACAGCCATGCACCAACTATCCCGGCCGTTCCTATTCTGGTTGCGGTTGTGCCCACCCTTCTTGTTGAATTTGAGTCGCGCACCAACATACCTGCTCCAACACGCGCGGAAGCTGTTTTTCGGTTGTGTCCCACCGGGGAAGAAGACCGAGCTGAACTGTTCGGACAAAGCGTCAAGAATGGGAATACTCTCCTCCAGTCCTCCAAGGCGGCGCAGGACATTGTACGAATGCAGCACTGCACCAACATAGTGTCTGTAACTCAGCAGACGGATGCCGTAGTAGTGACACAGATCAAGCATCTCCAAAATGTGACTCCCGCACACCCACGGAGCTTGAAAATACATGTCCCAGCACTTGTGACGTGTGTACGACTGCAGGTCCGCTTCCAGGTTCGCGAGATGGTATGCCAATGTCTGCGTGCAACGGCAGGGGAAACATGTCTTGTCGCTGATTAGTCTGGTGACGTGTGATGCTGCTGTCTGTGCGAGGCGTAACGCGGTCAGACGGCATAGAGACACCGAGTTGGCACACTCCAAGGATTGGATGTACGCTTTGTAACCGCTGGTCAAAAAATGGAGGCCTTGGACTGCCGACCACGATTGGCTTTTCTCGTCGGTGCGAGTTACGAAGTATCCCAGGTCCGCGTAGACAGGGGTACTGGTTCGGACGATGTTCGGCGGCGTGGTTGGGCTGCTGACAAGGTGCACAATATTGTCGACCACGGCCTCGACGAATTGGGGTCTTGCCGCGCCGTTGTCGTTTGCGGCTGGTTGGATGTACTCTGCTGTTTTCTGAAGACACCCGGCGCAAGAAGGGATGATGAGTTTCGCGTGGCCTTCGCGATAGTGCAGGAGAGATTGTTGCATTGTTTGCAGATCGCTTAGAAGGATGTGGTCGGTATTCCCACCAGCAGTCTCAGAGCCCGCCCGAGAACAGATGACTTGGTGCAGTCTCGAAAGATCGAGCTGCTCGTCATGCTCCAGCAGCTCTATCCCGACTTGTCGTACTATGGAGAAGGCCACGCTCGTGGTGAAAGCGGCTACCGTGAACGAGAGCTGCCCTTTGGCGGCTAAGTGCCAGCAGTGGTTGGCCGAGGAGAATATGTCTTGCAGACGCTGCACTGGTTATGACATGGACATGGATAAAGTGAAACCTGACGTACCTGTACGGCTGCTGTTACCTCGAGGAATGTACCGAGTTCGTCGTCAGCGAAGTGAGGTTCAGTCTCGTTGCACGTTGGCGGGATTGCATCGGTGCATTCTGGACAGGAAGCGAGTGCAGCATCTTCGGCAATTACTTCTTCATCGTCATTGTCTTCTATGTGCTCTGCGTTTAGGCTAACGTATCGATTCGCAGCGCCATGTGCGAGCTGTGCCCGTCGCTTCTTCCGGTCTTTTGCAGCATGATCATTCCGCTTACAGCAAGCACACAGGTCGCTGTAGATTTCGGCAAGACTAACATCGAAATGTCAGGCAGTCCGCATCGGGCGTGGTAATGGGTCATACCTTGTAGTGAAATGCTCATGATTGATTGTGTCTGTATCAACAGGAGCTCCATCGGTCTCGGCACGAAAGTATTTGCTCAGTCGCTTTCGAGCAGAAATAGTCTCACGGAAGTAGAAATGCACTGTATCTGGCAAAGACCGTATGTTCTGAGAGGCGAGACTGGCAAGGTATTGAAGTTCCTTGATTGGGAGACTTTTGGCCCGCCGAACGGGCGATGGGTTGTACTCCGACAACCATGCAACCAGCGCACGACTACCTTTCTTGTATCTAACATACGCATCTAGAATGTCCGGTGGAAGGCCGCTGTAGGTGATCTTGTGGGAGGGATTGAGCAGCATCTTGCAGGATTTGCTGGTATTGGGAGACTACCAAGGGGAAACGGAGGTCTTGCAGGAGGAGATCTGTTATAGCAAGCAGAAAAGGCAAGAGCTTTGTAGTATCTGACGCTGAAAGAGCCAAGGTAGAACTTGCCTGAAGGTCAAAGAAATGAGGACAGCGTCTTTATAAGACCACATGCCAGAGTGAAGGGATACTGTGGAAGAGCATTCCCTCATTGGCATTGGAAATGAGGACAAGGGCCAGATGACCCACCAAGGATGTTCGATGGGATAGAATGCTGCCAGTGGTTGATCGCACGCCATCATTGGAAGGTTTGCTTTACAAAGACGGCATATGAACTTCATCTTGACACATTTGTAGCGATGATTGGTGAGGATGAAGGAGTCAACAAAGTGAGGACCTTAAGCAACACAGTGAGTGACATTGAAGGAAGTCCATGTCATGTTGGAAAGACGCCATATTATGTCATTCGGCGAACCTTCCTCACGAGGTACGTCTACACGTGACTCATGTCCACAGCAGCATCATGATCACGTGCATTGTTTTGTAAACATCCATGGATTGACCATGACGAAGGCAATAGCAAAATCATAGTCATATTGTCATAGTAAAGTACATATGGCTGTACCAGCCGAAAATCATTCCCTCATAATCATTGTCATCATCGCCTTGTTGCTTCCAGCGAAAGTAATCCTTCATGTCCATCCGTCCTTGAAACCTCGTCCCTCGAATTCCTCGTTTCCGTCATCAGTCCCTCTGCCTGCCTTGCTATGCGCTTTCCTTCTCGTCGATGATCTGCTCGTAGCAACGTGAAGGCAACTTCCTGTTGCGACCACTCGTCGGCAGAGAGGACTGTCTGACCTTGACAAGATCCTCAAGAGACTTGGTGTGCCTGTGTCGAGGCTTCTGAGGCTTCGCTTGAAACAGCGAGAACTTCCTACCCGGCAACGAGGACTTCCTCGCCGGAGCGTTCTCATACTCGTGCATAGCCCGGCTACGCAACTCGCCAATGTCGAGCTCTGCGACGTTCTTTTCCTCAATCAGGGGATCCAAGCCGTCCTCCACAATGACGGAGGGACGACGGTCCAGCGGGCAGCGGCCGTGGTCGGTTGATACTGAGCCAATTGAGAAAAGCCTCGAGAGTTTTGACGGTGCCGAAAATTGAGCTCGAAGGTCGTCTTCTTGGATGTACATCGACCAGAGGATGTTGCTATTCTGTCTGGCCCAGTCGCTGGTCTTGCGGCGTGGAGTGATGCCTAATTCGGTTGCTATAGAGCATCGCCCGCTCGATCGAGGTGCGACGAACCATTTCCAAACCCTGCCTACTAGCACAGTCAAGCCAACGATGACTACTGCTGATAGGATGATCAAGATGACGATAATTCCTGTTAGAGCATCTGGTGGGAGGTCGCGAACATGATACCAATGTGATGATTTGGCTGGGGCAGTCTTGTGGAGCAAGGAGTCGATGAATGGTAGTGGTGCCATATTGAACACAGCAGACAACTATGGTGAGTGATAAAACAAGTCGTGTGAATGAATGGACAACCCAGCCCACCACTGATCAGCCTTATTTGAGAGACAAGGTGGACACTGAGAAAGGTATGATATGGCAAGGTGACCAGCGGACTCGGGAATTAAATAACCATTCTGGAACCCATGTGAAGATGCAGCACAGAAGGTTTCGTGGAGGCTGGAGAGCTTCCAGCCCTACTTGGTCCGTGCTGAACGCTCCGTGCACATTCCAGAAACTCGGGCTTGCTGGTGGCAGGGAGTATTTTTGTGCTCCCAAGGACCTTGTCCAACCTCATTAACATGAGATCTGGAACTTCCCATGGTCAAAGCAACCCAAGTCCATCTGACCACGGGTCATGCGAACTTGGAAGAACCGATTGAATGGATTGTTCCTTGCAGAAGGATTTGAAATAGTCCCACTTTCAGCCGTGGTATGGCACGTGCGCCGCGCCTTTAGCAGCAATGCGCAGCGCTCTTGGGTGGTTTCAACGTCAAATAGCTTACTACTGGGAAGTTTCAGCCTGGCCGTCGCAGCAGGGGGTGGTCTAGAAGGCTGTCAATCGTGACATCGCCATTCGATCGCCTGAGCGCAAGATACTGAAGATCGACAGTGTTAATCGATGATATAGGAGTGGGTGCCTGGGGAAGCGCGATAGCGGGAACTTCCACAATTCCTTGTCTGGTGCTGCTGATAGAGTGCTTCATTGTATTATTAGGGTCATACGCAACGTATTGCCGCGGGTCATACTGCCGGGTGGCATGCATTCTACGATATGTCTGCGCCTTTGTCGCATAGTCTTGGTTCGTTGTGGGCTGTGGTGGTGGAAAGTATGGAGGCGGAGGATCGAGGTATTCTGGAGGTAGAGCAACGGCAATCTCTACGCTCATATTCTTATCTTGGTCATGTGGTTGTATCTTTGGCTTGGGTGCGATAGCCTTGGGCGGCCAAGGGGTATGGACTGCCCGTGCAGGTCGGCGGTTGTATGTCTGCGACGTATTGGGGTAGATGGTGCCGCTAGTATCGACCCAGAGCTTTGGTCGCGAGGTGGGAGCGGGCGACGTTGTCCGTGGCCGAGGATTTCCTGGCAAGTGTGTGTTGAACATTTGAGCAGACATTTCTTCACTGCTTCGTCCTGGCCCATAGCCTACTGGAGCGGTCTCCCAGTATACTGTCCGTGGCCGAGGTGCGGGCGTAGCTGACAATTGCATATTGGATCGAGACTGTCGAAGCTTCGTCCGCATGTGATTGAAGAAATCATGTCCCGAACTCATCCTGAATAGTAGTGTGGTCCTCTTGATGATTAGACAAACAGTCCCAGCCTGCGGCAGGAGACTTATAACACAAATTCAATATAGGTGTGAAATTTGCGACCAAGTGTTAGCTAAAATGCGAATACAGATATAGTAATCGGGGCGAACCTAACAACACCGGAGCCTCACTGTGATGGGGTATATGCACTATATTAGCACTTCTTCAAAGAACAGTGGGCAACCATAGATTGCCTATAGCATTGTCAGCGGCGAAGCAAACACCGTGACATACCCTTGGCATAGAACTAAGGTGAAGGAGGCCGTAGCATCACAGACCAACAGAGGTCCCGCCTAGAGAAGACTCGTAGTAAAGAACAGCGGCAACCGAGAGGGCAACGATAACGACGGGCAGTACCGCTGCGGCCGGGTCGGTGATCGACCAAAGCAGTAACAAATGTGGTTGTATTCTGGTGTAAGATCAAATGCAGTCAGGACGGGATGGAAGGGGCGAATTTGGCTCCTGCTTTAGTTGTTGCCATATTTGAAGATGGTGAGCGGTCCAAAGCATATGAAGGAATCCACCAGTTGGCTGTGCAAGGCCACTTTCGTTACAGCAGGACATATATGTTATCCCTTTGTATGCTCTGGCATCGTGTCGACCGGTGTGGGAGGCGTTGAATACCTACAAAAATTCAATGTTGCTGTGGTGAGAGCTCTTCGTATACGAACGTGGCCGCTCAATCTGATCGATTTGCTTGAGAATACAACAGCCGTCTATGAGGCAGCTTGACGTGGAGGAGGATGACTTTCAGGCCCGAACGAGCTAGGACTTTTAGTGAGGTGAGGCGGCTATGCAAGCTCGGAATCGGTCACCACAGTCATGAACTATGGTGAGTAGGGTATCTTAGCGATGTTAGTCTTTGGGGTCCAAAAGGCCCGCTCAACATCGTAGATTGGGGTCGGTTCAGAATCGTTGCAATTTTTGGCGAGTTCGGCACGGTCATGCTGCTCATGCACTCCATGTCAGGCATCGCATGATGTTGCCTTGATGATTTATCATACTGTGCTTTTCTGCACTCGCCAAAACCTGCAAAAGGATGATTCAGAATCATGAGGGAAGAATGCTGCAGATTCGTCAAGCATGCTTTTGGAAGCCTCAGCAATGGTCGCGTGTTCAGCACACAACACACATGGTAATCGTTGGGAGTTTTCCTCTGAACCTGCTAATCCAGAAGCACCGTGAGAGGAATTTAAACGAGGCTTGCCCCCAAACGGTGGTATCGTTGCTGGTATGGTTGCGCTCGTAGGCATTACCACAGGTACAATAATGACTGCTTGACCTCGGTACGACTTGCTCCTTGCGATCTCGGTCGTGAGAAAGCCGAAGAGAACTCAGATTTGGGGGCCGTCCTGCTTGAGGCATGCAGGCGCGTGATAATACTCACAATGAGCGAGGTTGGGAGAAGGAGACGGGTTTTTCGCACGCGGAAAGACACGCGAACCCGTGCACTGCTCAGATTAAGGTCCAGGTCACATCATCACCGACTTTTGGGAAGAGAGTTTGCGAGGTGGGAGGACGCCATGAAGTGACATGTTTCAGGCGCCAGAAGCGGCAAGGATCACGGGGTCAAGATATCAGGATGCAAGAAGGACAAAAGTCAGCCACGAAAGAGGTGCCATGCGAGGTGGCTTGGGCGGGAGGAAAGGCAAAAGGAAAAGCGGCCAACGCCCGGGAGCTTGGGGTCTTGGGGTCTCGTAAACTTGACTCTTTAATTTCCACTGACTGGTGACAGAAGCAACTCCGCTGCCCGCTCCTTTCGCGTTTGTTTCTCCTGAACTTTTAGGCGCTTGTGTACACCACCGAGAGGGCGAAGCTCGCAAATCTACGAAGCGAATCATACAGATGTACAAAGGAAGAGAAAAAGATGGCACAGCAGATCCGGTAAAAGAATAGGGTATTACACACGCGATGCTAGCTACTGTGTCGCCCAGCCAGCATGTCCTATCCGTAGATGTCCCCCAAAATGTATGCAAGAAATATTCCCTCCAAACATGCCCATGTGACACTGCATTTGCCCAGATTTGTCCATTTTCTGTTTGGGTAATCACAAAAAACAAACTTATTCGACCCCGACATCCCCAGATATGCTTGTCGTGAACCCGGGAGAACTTGTTGCGAAAGCGGCCATGTGAATCGTGACAAATGATCAAACGCGGAATGAAAAAGGCGTTTATGCGATGACAACAGCAACAGCGGCGGCGAGACCGGCAAGAGCGAAAGAGCCAGCGTTGACATTGGCAGCACCAGTGTAGGTGGCAACGGCAGCGGAGCTGTGCGAATCGTTAGCGGACCATTTGATAGAATCGGCAGACTGGAAAATCCTTACCTTGTGTATGATGACCAGGCGGCAACGCTGGTGCTGCTGGCAGACACGGCAGCAACTGGGGTGCTGGCGGCGGTGGAAGTGGCCCAGGTCGAGGTCGAGGTGACTGAGACAGGGGAGACAGGAGTGCTGCTCTCAGAGGTGCTGTACGTGTAATAACACCAGTCAGCTGGGGCTCCAGAAGTCCAGGCAGAAGAGAAGGAGCTGAGATCAGAGGCTGGAAGAAGAGAGAACCACGCCGGAGCAGTGGTGGCAGTGTATGTTGGGCAAAGAGAAGTGGTAGTGGAATCCAGAGGAGAGACTGACCTGGTGCTGGAGGCGCTGGCGCTGGACCAGTCACTCCACGATCCGTCCGAGGTCGCAGTTGAGGCGGGAGAAACGGGGACGCTGCTGGTCGACGAAGCCCAGTCGCTCCATGAGCCGTCCGAGGTCACAGTGGTCTCGGGAGAGACAGGGACGCTGCTGGTGGTGGTGGTGCTGGCGCTGGACCAGTCTCCCCAGGTCTCGGTAGAGTCTCCGTCAACGGTCGCAGTCTTGTAGGGGCAGTTGGTGACGGTGGCGCCGCATGAGGTGACGGTGACATCGACGGTGGCCGTGTCAGTGTAGGTGGTGGCAGACGCAACAGCAGCGAGGCCGGCGAAGATGGCGATGGAGGTACGCATTTTGGTGTGTGGTGGGTATTTGTCGACTGTTGGGCTTTACCGGAGTTGCAAAAGATAAATATCTTTGAAAAGGCGAAGAGGTTGGTTATTAACGAACGTGGTTGGAGCTGAATTCGAAAGAGTGGACGACCGAGGTCAAGGCTTTGTAAGATACTAAAGTCACAGCTTGAGTGTACAAGAGAAGAAGCTCAAGGCTTTGGGCACTTTGAGGTTCTTGTACTGCTCCCGGGTGGCTTTGGGAGATTAGGCTGTGGACGAAGCCTGTTGATGGGCCCCGACGTGGAGCTAGAGTGGGCGGACATGTCTCGACAAGGTGCATCTTGATGGCTGTGCTTGGGGAGATTGCACTTTGGCCGTCGAGCGCGACTGAACATAGCAAAGACAGGGGTTGATAGGAGACGCCGCTGGAGCTCCAAGGCTGTCGACACTCGGTCAAGCTCAAATTAAGGCTGCGGCAGGCTTGAGTGGGCTGACAGACTTGCGCAGGTACCGGGTGCTTTTGAGCCAGTCAGAGGCTGTTACAGGTGCCACTGGTGGCCACATGGACAGCTTAAAATCTTGCTGACGGCTGGTTTTAGTTAGGGGGTTAGTAGCGCGATCGACGCGAAAGGTGATTCTTGGGGTGTCACCATTCACAGGCGCCTGGGCAACGGGGGTGCGAAGTGTGGATAGAAAGTAAGCAATAAAAAGGAGAGTCACGAGAGAGTGGACAAAAAGACTTCGTCTTTACCATAACAAGCTCTTCGCGTGATAGAGCGGGGTCCTTTTTCTGGAGTCTTGTCTCCTTTTCCCCAGGTGATCTTGAATTGGTAGTAATTGAACCTCGTATGCGATAGCCGAATATACATGGTATGGTCTTAGCAACGGTTCGACCTGGCGAGCTGCGTTCATCAAATGCTCGTATATGTGAAGGTGATTCCAAGACCTTTCTGAAGATCAATCAGATCAAGGTTACGCCGATTCAGATGAGAAGGAAGTTGGAGAGTTTCAAGTTCGATCAGATGGAGCGAATCCATCATTCAGGGGTTGGTTGGAGTTTTTTCCCATTGGGTATAACGACACCATTTTGGCAGATCCTTCAGAGCTGATCCCCAGTTAAACAGCTCACAGCTCACAGCTTTTACTCCGTATTATCCGGTCCATCAGGTGTTGCGTATGCCTCTGAACCACAGTTATTCTTGTCTCATCGATATGTGGCTACCATACCGCAGCTCACTATAGCATTGCATTGCGGCCTTCTGAATGTTGAGACCTCATGTTGCTTTCTTGCAGACTTCATCCAAGTTCACCATCACGTATTGCTGATTGACGCCGCTCTCAAACCGATGCATGTCGAGCCCACCAGCGATCAATGGCTGGAGCAGCGCATAACATGTGCCCATTTCTTCATCTGTTCTGACCTTTGATGTTTTGTTCTGGCGTACGGAGTACTCACCTCTATGTACCCTCTTTGGTGACCCGCTTGTGGTACCTAGACACGCAAGCCCAATAATGAATGCTCCTCTTCAACGTGATGTGCCAGGAGGGAATTTGCCAGACGTCAACGGTCAAGATGAGGAGCGTACCCCTGGTGACGTTGCGCTGAATGAACGTCGCATTCGAGGACCGTGCTATCTGTGAAGGTAAGTCAGCATGTCAAGCACACGTCTCCCACGGCAAGAAAATCGAGTTTTTCCTGTCACAACAGCCGTATGACATGTCGCCGTTGTCAGTCTCCTGTCCGTGGCAGAGGTCATGTTGCGCGATCACCGAGTCAACAATCTTTAAGAGCAAATATATCAACGGTCTTTGAATTGATAAGGCTATTTTTGAAGCTGGATTGTCGCGTTGTATACAATGTGAAATTTCTACTCTCTGATGAAACTGCCCTCATAACCACGGACCTCCCCTCCATGGCCCTAAACATTAATTTATCGATCAATATAACGGCTCGCACTGGCCGTGCTTCTCAAGCAAGGCAACAACAAATCACATGAGTTTCGGATCCAAAGCCGTCTGCTGGGTTTTGGACTTCCATGGAGTTCTCTGCATTATCTGCTGATGGACTCGAATTTCCAAAAGCTGATCTTTCCTTCCGCGCCTCGACCAGACATACAAATCGATGAAGTGCTACTCAGCTTCGCGAGGCTCGTATTCCCGGACATGACGTGAAGTCGACCTGGTGTTTGGAATGAAGCTCGCTCGCCACCCCCGTATGCGGTAACGGCGTTGCTGTCCTGGGGAAGCTGCAAGTTACCGTTGTACATGCCGAGGTGCAGCGTGGAGCAATATGATTTACTAATGACTATCTCGCTAGGCTCGCTTGCGCTCTGCATGTCTTTTCACCTCCTCATCTTTACGAGTTGAACCTGGTCATCCTCGTCAACTTCCGCTGCTACTGTGGTACAACTGCAGCCAAGGTACGAGTAAAACATGCGCTTGGCACTATTGGACGCCTCCTCACTCATCGAACCATCTGCATTCGACGGAAGTCCGATCCAATCCTGTTTTGCGAGTGAGTCGCTTGCTGCTGTTTTAGTCGAGAGATCAATAAACTGCTCGGGATTGAACTCAATATCCAGATTCATTGGCTCTGAATCTTTCCGACTGAGACTGTGGAGTATCGCGCCCGCAATATGATGGCAACGTGCATCATAGATCTGGAAACCTCATCCGGCTCAATGACGAACAAGAACTGGGACTGACTTTGGACCTACTACACTATTTTGCCATCCACAACTCCCTCTTCGGTTCCTGTTCCGCCTGCATATTGTACGATCGTAAGGTACTGAACAGAAATGGTATTTCCGTGGCGCCACTAGTGGTGATTATCACATTTTCACCGCTACGGGAATGACAGCCTCGCCCGTCTTCATTCGAGGCATCATCGACTGCGTCACAATTAACGCCGCGTCATGACTATCCCATTACCGGCTCAAACGGTATGGCAAAAAGGCCAGCGGATGTCCACGCCGGCATCGCTCTGGAGTCTGTCCCTGCCCGGGCAGCCCGGCAGATCATCCCTGCGGACACGAGGCTCGATTCGGAGGATATTGTGGGCAAACTACTGAATCCGCCACTGACCATGGAGAGGAGATATGATGCAGACTCGTACTGAGGTACTGCCGACCTCCACCGACTGGACGAATCTGGCTTGAATCGTCCCTCGGTGCGGATGTTTTGGGTCGTGGTGAGGTCATTCGGTTGAACAAGCTCTGCCTTTTTTCACAACAGAGCTCACAATCCCCCAATATAATGGGCAGAAAGCTCCCGTGGTAGGTTGTTCTTCTTTTTCGTGTTTACATCGACCTTTCACAGCGACAATCACCATGAAGTCCTACGCCAGCATCCTGCTGGGCTTCGGCGCTCTTGCAGTGGCCGCCCCTCAAGTCACCCTCACCCCCGCTAGCGGTCCCATCCCTCCAGTTCGAAGCTCCGAAGTGACTGGCGCGACCTCCCACGGCCCATACTCAGGTCCCGCGCCAACAGTTACTGGTGCGTTGACTGAGCCAGCGCTGGCAGCATCCGTCGCACCGCTACCTGCCGCGACGGTCACATACAACAACACCAACGGCCTGCTTCAGGCTGGATACGAGCCGGTTCCTTACCAACCAGCTGGCGGTCAGGGTGTGAACGGCACTCAGCCATACTATCACCCATTGTCTGACTTCGACTACGAGTCACTCACTCTTGCTCTGTATCAAGAATGGATTGAGCTGGATCTCTTCCACAACGGCTTGGCGATGTTCTCTGCTGCAGACTTCACCGCTGCTGGTTTGACCGCGGAGGATCGATTCTTGATTGAGTTCATGGCAGACCAGGAAGTTGGTCACGCTACCTTGTTGTCAAACATTTTGGGCGTTGCTGTAAGTTTGAAATCTGTCATCCCGCGCATCACGTGAGGCGCCACTTGTATGAGCATATGTTGACCTTCCTCCCAGGCCCCCAAGCAATGCACGTACAACTACCCTTACACCACTGTACGAGAATTCATCGACTTCTGCCAGAAGCTCACCCGCTTTGGTGAATCTGGTGTCTATGGTTTCCTCGGACATTTGGACTCCCGCGAGTCTGCCACCCTTCTCCTGCAATCCATCACCACCGAGGCTCGTCAGCAATTTGCTTTCCGCCAGATGGATGGCCTCTTCCCAATGCCAGTTTGGTTTGAAGTTGGTGTTCCTCAGAGCTGGGCATGGACTCTTTTGGCTCCATACATCTCCAGCTGCCCTGCCAATAACACCCGCCTCGCATGGCAGAACTTCCCCAATTTGACCATCATCAACCAGCCCAACGTTTTCAAGATCAACCCCAACTTGGGCGCCAACTCGAGCGCTACCGGATCGAACCCAACCAATGACACTGGCATTGCCACCAGCAACGCATGTTACAACTCGACCATCATTGGCGAGGATTGCTCTCCAGCTATCAGCCGCAACCGATCGACCCCTCTCTCGTACCCTGGCCGCCCAGTCTACTTCTCGTGGGGCAACGTCAACGCGACTGTTGGACCCAACAACAGCTACGTTACTTCTCGATCTGCTCTGGCTGATGCTCCTCGCTATGCCATGTTCGTCTCTCAGCTGAACGCCACTTATGTTCCGTTGATGAACATCAGCGGTAACAGCGCCTACGCTGTCCAGCCCAACATGAGCACTTTCGCCGGTGACCCAGCTGCCAACGGAACCATGTTCATCGCTCTTACTTCTCAAAACCCATACCTCACACCATTCAACCTCAGCTTGATCAACCCTTACGTCTATGCTGGCCCTGCCCTTTACCAGGCTGGCTAAGCTAGCAGCTTAAAGCTGTGACCACCCTACGACGGACAATATGATGAGGAGCGAGATGAAGATGCATAATACCTTCGAGACGCCGATGATGACCATTGCGGTGTTTGAGGTGTATTGTAATAATAATACCCTGACCGTTACAAAAGCCGTGTGCAACTACAAATCTTAATACCAACGTTCATTACGTCAATATTTCATGCTCCCAATGTTAACGACCTAATTTCTATGTCTTGCATATTTCCAACTTGATTACGTGCAGCCAGTCATTAATTCCACATCGATAGGTTCGATCTTGCGTTTCCATGTTGAACGGTGAACACCTCAAACTCACCAAGGCAAAAAATAGCATAATCTCGATATATCAAATCCTATCACCTTCCCTTACCTTCCGCCAGTCCTTCTCAAACTTCGGCCACCCACCATTCTCAGGCTCCTCCAACATCTTCATCTCGTGCACAACAAAATCGTAGGCTCCCTCCCTCGGCATCTGTCCCTGACACACATTTCCGCCCATCGCAATATTAAGCAGCACCACAAAATCAGCCATGCGCCTCGTCTCAGCCGGCATCGGCGCCTTCATCACAGCCTTTCCGTCAATCCACCATACTAACCGTCCCTGATTCGAGTTGTCGTCCTGCCACCACGCAAATTCAAACATCACAGGCCGTCCGCTCTGCATGCCGGTCACATTCGTGCCGACGACACGGTGCTTGTCCGTGTCTTGGGGAGTGTAGAAACCCCAGTGCAGACAACTGTGGTTGATACCGTCGCCGTTCCACGTCTCGGCGATGTCAACTTCGCCGTCTGTCGGCCATGAGAAGGGCTCAAACGGTAAAAGCCAGAACGCCGGCCAGATACCGGCGGCGCAGGGCAGAGTCAGGCTGGCGACGAGACTTCCTCGGGAGCGGGAGAGGCGCTGTCTCGAGACTAGTCGGGCGGAAGTGTATTTTTGGGATGGGTCTGGGTGGTTGGGCAGTGATATGGCGCGGAGGATGAGCTTGTTTGAGGCGTGGAAAGAGTTGGTGGGTGAGGAGGTGTAGTTTTCGATCTCGTTGTTGCCCCAGCCGTTGTTGTTGCCTTCTTTGTGCTCCCAGTCGGTGCTCACTGGGTTGGACGGGTCGAACAGTGGTTGCCAGTAGGTAGTTGAAGGTTGATTGGACCCAGGGTGTGTGCGGTGCGGAACAGGAGGAGGTCCTCCTTGATATTGCTGGTGAGCTCCTGGGTAATCTTGTTGAGATTGACCTTGTTGTTGTTGATTAGTCTGGCGATTAGATTGGTATTCATTGAGGTATTTCTGGCCTTCTTGTTGGAGATCCTTGAATTGGGATTTCAGTTGTGAAAAGGTGTTTTTGAACGGCATGTTGGGCGTAAGATATATCAATATAATCAACACTGTTAAACCTAAGATCTTGATTTTCCAGCGCATCAGAGTAGAGCAGAATTTCCAAAACAGCTTCTTCGATATTGTATGCCACTCGGCGACTATACTATGAAGCCCCAAAGAACACAGTGCAAACAAATGTGATACATATTCATTGACGATTGTTGAGGCTGATGGAAATGACGTCGACCTCGCTAAATGAATATCCGGAATAAATGCGAGGTTGGTATCTGTCAACACGGTCGACCTCATTTTCACACACCATTTCTGTGACTGTCTTACATCTCCCTCAAAATCCCCTGGACAATCGTCCTGATCCATTCCACGTCCCCTTCCTCCGGCCGTGGTCCTTTGATGACCTGTCTGATGTCGCTTCTGCCCACAGTTTTATCACTGGACACCTTGACATCGCGTTCATATATCTTGGCCATCTTCTCAAGCAGAGCTTTGATTCTCTGGACCCTCCTTTCGATCTGCGTCATCGTTGAAATTGAAGGGGCATTGGTCTGATGTGCAAAGCTGCGAGAAACCTTCAGATCTGTCCTTGGCTGCAGCTCCTTCAAAGCCGACAGAGTCTGCTTGTATATGACGCCCTGCCAACCATGACGCTTGGCCAAAGAGGAGGCGTACGCTGAAAGCGCATCGTATGCAGTCATCTTCCCGACATTGTTGGAAGTCCAACGAGCTCGAGTCCCAGTGAACGCCGGGTATTCCACCTCTTCCGCAATGGTTGACATGCGCAATTTACTGACACCGCGCGGTTCTCTGGGAGTTACCTCTCGACGTGGTGGTGGTCCGTCTGGATCCTCTGCACCAAAATGCTGCTTTTTCAACCCGAACATTCGTCCGTCGACATTAATCAGTCGCGCTCTGGAAGTTATTTCTTCCTCAGACGTAATGTGGTCTGCGATGCTAAACCTGACAGGCACTCTGACGGCTATAGCTCGCTTGCCATCCACGCCGAAACGCTCTGGTGCTGGGACCTCGCATACAAAGGTGCTCTCGCCAGGGAAGTCTCGCGCAAAGGTAAGTGACTGTCCTTCCTCTGCAGCTTCGTATTTCTCTATGGCTCGCTGGACGACTTGCCTCATCACCATCACCTTGAATTGCCAGCCTTCGCGTCTAGCATCCCCGGCTTGCTCGATGATTTTTCTCAAGTCCTTCACAATCTTGGCCCAATACACTTGTGGTCCGTCTGATCCATACACAGCGGTGTAATAGGACAAACAGGGCTTGAACCTGGCGTATGTGCGCTGGTCGCACAGTTGAGGTCGCGTCGAATGAGGACAGCAGGCACACTGTGGAACAACGAAGGATTTGTTCCATATTTTGTCGACTTGTTCCTTGACGCCTTTCCGGTAGCGCTTGCGCCGTGCTTGCGGACTGAGTTGAGGGCGTCGGGGTGTGTCTGGTATAGTATGATCTAGCTTCTGGCGTTTCTTGCCAGCGAACAGCGTTGTCCATGAGCGCCTGTAGTAACTCTTGAATGGTGGAAAGCTCACCAATCTATGTTTAGGGGGGTCTGGGGAGAGAAGAGCCTTCAAGCTTTCGATCGCCGGTGATCTCAACTTTGAGAGCCCTGTTGAAGAGGGTGTGTTGTCCGCCATTGCAGAAGCTCTGTGTGAAGCTGCTTGCAAGTAATGGGTGACAGAATGCAATCAGGGTCAGAGAAAGACGACGACCCAGGAGTTCTTCTTCCCACGATTATGTACCGTGAGAACGTTGTGTGGTGGACGGGCTCTCGGCACAGTGAGGACCCATGGTGTAATTGTGACAGGCAAGATTTCTCTGGGCATTGTTCAACTTTTCGGTTCAGTGTGCTTTAGTTCGACACCATGGCTGGAACCTGGTGTTGAACCATGGAAAGGGCGTTGGCTTCGCCACAAACCTTGGAACCAGACTTTGCAAATGGTTCGCAGCAGAATGACATCGAGGTGACAGCATGCGATGGTGTCGGAGCTTCTCGTCGCTGTCATCGTTGCCATCGCAGGCGATGCGGTTTAGGATCATCCCGTTGAAGATGGTGCAAATGGCAACAATGCGTTATGGAGGAACTTCAAGTGCATCGATTACAGGGATATGAGGGGAAAAACAGGTGCTGGAATCGTGTGTATTAGTCACTCAATGGTGACGGAGCGCGCGCTCTCTCTCAACGAAGCTATTCTATCATCTTCACTCTCTTCAGTCCGAGTCGGACTCCACCTCCACCACACCCACAACCGCGCCCTCCTTGGCCTTCTCCTCCTCCATCTCCCAGGCAGGCTTCTCTGGTGCACCGCCCATGCCCTCGGTAAGAAGGTATGGCTCGCGAAGCACAAGCACCTTCAAACGGTGGGTGACCTCTCTCATGAGGACGCACGTCTCGCACTTCTTCTTCTTCGCACCCCAGGGGTTCTCGACGGTGACAGTGCACCAGGTTCGTCCACTCTCGACGTACTCCTTGCAGTAGTCGTACTTCTCGAGCTTGCAGTCCTTGCAGAGGTATTTGAAGCACATCTTGGTCGAGTAGTAATAGTGATCGTGCGGAGTGTGAGGTGTGTTGACGCGTTGAATTTGCGTAGAGGGCTGTTCGTGTGGAGTTTGGACTGCACGGAGCTGTCGTCGTGTCTTGAGGATATGTCTGTGCTTGAGAATAGTCTTAAGAGGGTTCTGCGAGTCTCCTAAAGGATCTTGAGATGGTGTGAATGAGTCTTCGTGCTTGAGAAAGACCAGTTGTGATGATGTGTTGTTTAAAGGAGATTGTTGACGGGTTGAGAAAGGATTTGGGTGTGTCAACCACTCCTGCCAAGCGGCAGCGAGGTCAGCATCGTTGCCCTCGTGACCCTGGGTCCGGTATGTTGAAGACCTGTCCGTCATACTGCCAGGAATTGAATTTGAGGACCTCCTTAACGACAGCGACAATGATAACTTGTGACGGAGAATGCTGTCCTCTGTGTGAGTATGTCTAGACGGAAGCTGGCTTGAGGACTTACGATTCGACAGTCTGACTCTGCGCAAGGTGCTTGAGGGACAGGATGGAAGAAGGGGAAGGAGAAGAGAGGAAGAGGATTGCGAACAATTCTTCAAACTCCAAGGAAACCTTTCAATCATCGTGGGTTGTCGGCCAAGAGGTTGATCGCCGAGAGAACCTGTGTGCGAGACGATTGGCCGACGACGACGAGGGTGAAGATGAAGACCCGCGCATGATGATGTCGTCGCCAGCCAAAGGCGACGTGCCAGAGGCAGAGAGGGTCTGTCGCAAAGATCATTCGCAGTATATCAAAGTGAGGTCTTGCTCTCACAAAAACCGCTCGTAGCGACAAACATTCTTTCAGCGCGGACAAGCCTTTGTTGCAGTCTCCTCAGACACAGAGAGCGTTGTGAGCGACCTTCTTACGGGATTTAGCGTGAGCTCCAAAGATGGACGAGCCCCATCAGATGAGAGATGGGCGGGAGCCGCTACAAGTCCTAAGCCGAGCAGCATTCTCCCTCGCTGTGAGTATCTCTCGAAGACGGAACTGTCGAATAATGACACTGATACTGTTATGCACAGCACCGGGCCGTAGACGTTTACAACCAAGCAAAGCAAGATGGACAGAAAGAAGAAGAGAATCAAGGGGTCGAAGTGACTACGGTGAGTGTATCCCCTTTATGGAGACATGTGGCGCAGTCAACATTATTGGACGCCATAGTCTGGGCATCACTGCCACATCTGTTCCGACAACGACCTCTCCGTTGCACCACCATCAATGATCCCATTGAAAGATACTGATTTGCCATGTCTGCGAGCATACTCTGACGGCTACAGCGTTCTATCTCCATTCCTCGAAGCCCTCCAGTGCTAGACTTGGCCGACATGGCAGAAACCGAAAACCACTTCACTGTCTTCATCCGGCTGCCCTTCAACCGCGGCGACTTCATCGATCCACCGCCTGTAGCATGGTCTGCAGCCAAGGAAAGTGCACTATGGAACATTATCTCTCGACAAGCGAAGGGAAATGAGCCCGACTGGCGCGCTCTATCGGAACAGTTCGAAGTCAGCCAATCTTTCCTCCTTCAGCAAGCCGCATGGCTCTACGAACGTCAACTATCTCAGGTTCGGGCTCAGATGCGTCGTGTCGGTTCCAGACAATCTGCAACACCGTCACCCATACCGGGCTCAGCCACCGCCAGCATGGTTGGAGGACAAGCGATGAAGAGAGCCGGTAGCGGCGGATCACGTGTTCCATCTCGATTGTCCACCCAGGCTCTTGGAAGTCCTGTCATTGCCTCCGGAGACAGTACACCCAATACGCCAGCGAACAAAAGATCCTCCATGACGTTTCGGAGCACCTCAGGTGCGAGCACTGCACTTCCTATTCAAACACGAGGCGTTCAGGGCACATCGAGACCAATCTCACAACAGTCGTCCAAAGACGAAGCACCCACTCATGCGGCGCAGCCCAGGAGAGGTAGTATCCAGCACCAACTAGCCAGATCCCCAGGACAGACACGAAATCCTCAACCTCAATCTTCCGACTCCGAGGATGAAATGACCCGGTCTCGGATCCAAGCGCGCCGCCTCAACCCCTCCTCCATCCACCGTCGAGCACTTTCGCAACGCCAATCTCTACGTGGCAATGTGAGCACTTCCACCGACTCCACAGCGCAGCAGATTCAGCATACACATCACGATGATGACGACGACGAAGACGAGCCGTCTTTCCTGCCATTCGCACAACCCGGCAGCACCTCATCCTCCGCCCGGCAAGATCCTGGTGCGACTATCCGTCCCAGCTTGAATACACAGCAACCTCAACCAGGAGGCCAGAGTTCCCGTCCGAACATCCCTCGCCGCACCACATCCGAGCGCATAGTATCCCCAAACGTCGAACCCCCTACGCCGGTAGGAGTACGATCAGAACGAGCTCAAGACCTTACCTCCTCTACGTCGTCCCTATCACCACCTACACACCCATCACGCCCGTCGAGCAATAACAATAACCCCTCCAATCCAGCCCAGACTAACAGCTCCGGCTCAAACGTTCCGCGCTTAACGAACCCATTGTCCCCAACGCACCGCGCCCTCTTGCAGTCCTCACCACGACGCCACACCGGTGCCGGCTCCGACACGTCTCCCAGCATGGGCTCTTCGTTTTCAGACCTTGACGACGCGAGTGTGACTCAGAGTGCACTTGAGGAAGCACTTCTCAGCGGTATGGGAAACACTACGATGACGATGCCAGGCGGAGGTGTTGCTGGTAGAGTCAGCGGCATCAGTCAGGCACTACGTAGTCGATACTTCGATGCGAGGGGAGAGGGTCAGGGTCAGAACCAAGGGCAGAGAGGTGGTGTGAGTGAGAGGTGAACATGGACACGAGGAGGGTAGGAGATGTGAATGTGTTGGAGTCCTTCAGATGAACAGCATGGCTAATAGCTTTTTATCCGTTGGGTGTACATCTCAAGATACAGTAATTTTTACAGGGCTTGCCAATGAACATGCAGTCTGTCCGACATGGCGTGCTTCTCGGCCGCGAGATGCTTCTAAGTGCTGATTTGATCATGCCCACTCTTTCGGATTCTTGAGAACATCCATGAGCTCTCTCTCTTTCTCCTGGTCACCGTCCTCCTCCTCGGGAATCGCGGCAACGCCGGTACCACATACTGGGTGCGCATATTCCCAACGGGCGGTCAAGGGCAAACTCATAAGAATACTCTCGACTCGGGCTCCGGGTGTTCGGAGGCCGAAGCTAGTTCCACGATCATAAATGAGGTTAAATTCGACGTACCTGCCACGTCGGATCTGTTGCCAGTCTTTATGTTGCGGTAGAAATGGCATATCCTTCCTCTTCTTGATGATAGGAAGATACGAAGGTAGGAATGACTCAAGACCAGAGACAACAAACTGGAACAAATCTTCCTGCGGGTTCTTGGCGTTGGGTTGTGTGCTGGCATCGAGGTCGTCGAAGAAGATGCCACCAATGCCTCGCGATTCGCCTCGGTGTGGGATCTTGAAATAGTCGTCGCACCATTTCTTAAACCTGGGGTAGTAGTCCTTGTCATGCTTGTCACAGGCAGTCTTGATCGTCTTGTGGAAATGTTTGGCATCCTCTTCGAACAGATAGCTTGGTGTGAGATCCGTGCCTCCTCCGAACCACCAGTTCGTCTGGGATGTCCCTGTAGCATTGACGGGGTCTCTGGGATCTGATGTCTCGAAGTATCGGTAATTGAGATGGACGGTAGGAGCCATGGGGTTGTATGGGTGCAGGACAAGAGAGATGCCTGCTGCGAAGAAGTTCAACTTCTCGACATCTGAGTCAACGAAGGACTTGTGGTCCGCTCGCATTTTCTCAATGGCAGGACGAGGAAGTTCGCCATAGACGATACTGGTATTGACTCCAGCTTTTTCAAAGACGTTTCCGTCCTGCAGGACGCATGATGTCCCTCCACCACCATGGGGTCTCGTCCATTCATCCCGTCTAAACTTCTTGCCGTCGATATTTTCCAATGCGAATACTATGCGGTTTTGATGTTCTTGTATTAGAGCCTCCATACGCAAACGCATGGGCGAGCTGCGTGATATTTTGGTCTTTTTCTTGGTTACCTCATCAACCTCCGCTAATGAGACTGTTTGGATCGGAGGCGAGTCGTTGGATGCTACGTTGCCCGTGGCCATTGAGTATATTAGGGCGCTGATGAAGACGACTCCGAAGGTGATTCGCGCGTAAGACACATATATATGCCATTTGGGTGTTTCTTCTTGACGATCCCGTGGCAGTGGACGAGGAGCTGAGCGTCTTGAGCTCGTAGAGAAGCGACATCGGGACAGTGGTAGGGTGTGGTGTCGAATGGGTTGTGATCGGAATAGAGAGGCATGGAATGCTCGTAATGAGCTCGAACACCTGGCTGTGGACATTGCTAGCGACGACGAGGTCCGACGACCTCACTGCAGATGGAGTGACTGCGGAGCAGAACAGTTTGGAAAGCTACTCAGTCATTGTTGTCAATCTAAATTCTTCTGTACGAAACGGGCCCTTGAGCCTTCAATGATCCTTTGTATTTTTCTCGCAGCATCACCTGCGCATACAACGGCCCTGACGTGATTGGTCAGACCACCATTCATGTATCGGTAACAGCGCTCATGGGAATGGAACAATTCGTTCTGAAAAGAGGGTCTTGAGATCGGACCGGTGCGCAAGGTACTGCGGCTCTGCAAATTGGCGCAATGTAGACAGTGCTTGATGACAGCAGCTTGAGAGTAGAAGACTGGGCTGCATATGGACAAAGGCACTGTGTACAGTACCTAAGAAAGCATCGAGGGCTTGACAAAGGACGCGTCCCAGGCGGCGAATCATGCCTACTGTTCTCTCTACCTAGGTATGTACCTTTGTGCCGTTCTTGGAGTCATCGGCACGAGTCATTCCCCAATCATAGAGAAGGAGGAGGAACTTGAGAGTCATCGCGTTGCTACCTTGTGATCAATAGTAACAAGTCATCAGCCTCAATTCAAAGCTCAGCATCGCACGGTTGTGAAGTTGGGCGTAGTGAATGCGGGGCAATTAACCTGCACCTGAACCCCAAAGTCCAAGTCCAGTGACTGGTGCCAGTGATTGCGAGAGTGACGCCTGCAGCCTGCGCCTCGCCCTGGCGCCCTGACCTCCCGCCTCTATCTCACACCGACCAGCCTTCTAGTCTCATTGCCATCTCTCCATCCGCATCAACCTCGTCACCTATACGCTGCGATACGACTCGATACTCACAAACTCATCAAGCCTCACACATCTTTCATCCCGTACTCATCCAACATGCGTTCCAAGTTCAAGGACGAGCATCCCTTCGAGAAGCGCAAGGCAGAAGCCGAACGTATTCGTCAGAAGTACGCCGACCGCATTCCCGTAAGTCCACTCTCGCCATCCAAGTATGTCCAGATGCAGATGCTGATAGACTCCATTCTAGGTCATCTGTGAAAAGGTTGAGAAATCCGACATCGCTACCATCGATAAGAAGAAGTACCTCGTCCCCGCAGATCTGACCGTCGGCCAATTCGTCTATGTCATTCGCAAGCGCATCAAGCTCAGCCCCGAGAAGGCCATCTTCATCTTCGTTGATGAAGTCCTTCCTCCTACTGCTGCCCTTATGAGCAGCATCTACGAAGAGCACAAGGACGAAGACGGTTTCCTGTACATCACGTATGTTTCGACCCCGCCACGTCTTCGATATGAGTTGGCTGACATACTACTAGATACTCGGGCGAGAACACCTTCGGCGAATACTAAACGATCGAGTATCTCAGGGAAGCCCAACGTTGGGGTCCTCGAAGCGTATGGCAATCTATCAGTCGAACAACCGGCCCGGTGATCCTTTTCCTTACATGATGGCGTTTGGTCTACATCTTTCCGAGTGTTACTGCGGGTGATGATCGAAGTGAGACTGACGTGGATGCGAAGGGATTGAAGGAAGAGGCGAGAGCTCAACATCCTGATGGCCTGACGGATTAAATGCTCGTCCCTCGAAACATACAAATGAAACATGACTACCACCCCTCTGGCTTGCTGGTGCTGTGCTTTGCGCTTTGCTCAGTCATTGCTATCCTGGCGAATACGTCTTCATCAGATAATGCTGTGGTTTGAGGGTTGCATAATGGTGCCGTCTTGAACTCGGATGCTTGCAATGGCAATAGGGTCGATCCCAGCATCAGGCGTCTAGATAATGCCCAACAAGACAGCTATCGAGTCAACATCCCACGAGCTCCGTACTTAGCGAATCATCCCCTCTCCCGGGGCAACAGTGACCTCCATCGCCCGCCATCTCTACGTCTGTATGACTTGATCATATCGCTCCTTCGCAGCGCGATTACCCAATTGAGTTATTTGATTGGAGCCTAGCCAGCTGACTAATACATTCGTACTCACTCAACATTCAAGGCAATCAGATTGGCCACGGTGCTTTCGACCGCCAGATTTTTCGCTCAGTAACCCTGTGCGGCGAGTGAACCGTACAAAGGTGGCGTAGGCAGAGAAGGTCTGCGGTAAATTCATGAATTTGCTCGAAATGCCACCGTCGCACGAGGATCTCGCAACGATGAGAGCACAATTGCGGATCCCGACACGATCGATCCCATCTTGCATGGGCATTTGACTGAAGACAACTGAGCCAGAACGATGAAACGCTGCAGCCACCTTACCAAACCTTTAGAAGGCATAGACCTCATGGAAGCGATTATCCGCAAGTTGTGTGGCTCTTGAGTTATGTGCGGCTCTCTCCAGCAAAAGGAATTGAGGACACAAGTTGCAGCCTTAGTCATTCTTGACAGATGACCAAGTACAGAACCAAAACAAGTGCCCAACAAGAGGACAAGTTTGAGGCGAGATCCTTTAGGCCTGCATAAGCAAAGGATTGACAAGCACTGCCGACCTCGACCTGAGGCTCTTCAGGCCCTTTGTCGGCGCCGGTGAGCGGAGTAGGAGTCTGCGAAACCACAAGTAGTTGATGGCTTCTCGGGCCACCAAGGGGTTCCTTTTCAAGGTCACTGATGACTCTCCGAAAATCCGCATAATGAAAAAAAAGTATAGAGTAAGCTTTGATGCAAGTGATTTACTCAAGCGAACAAGTAGGCTTTCATTCCGACTACTGCTTTGGGATCATCCTCTAGGCACAGAGGCTGTCTACTCGTACCGTGCTTACCGAGTCTCGAGAAACAAGAGTCTGATGCGCCATAGAAAAGTGAGATAAAGTGAGATAAGATGTTTGGTTACTAAACACCTAGACTGAAATGAGGAATTCTGGGGCGCATTGCTAACCTAATTCTAAATGATGCGATAGTTACAGGTGGTAGTGATTGTTAAGCTAGTGCCACCCAGAGCCCGAAACCGAAACCAAACTGAACTCCGGAATATGCCTAGTACCTCTAGTAGTAGCCTAAGTAAAACTTCGTGTCTTTTCTCTACTAGTACCTGTAACCTTCTTGGCCGCCTTGGGAATTGAGGCCTGTTGCACGGCCCTCAACGACTGTGCTTGCTTACTCGACTCAGACTCATTCGTCTTCTTTCGCTCTCATCGCAATTTTTGCTTCTCTCATCCGAACCATCTCTGTAACAACCTCGACTTTGTGTGCCCTACAGAGTCGCTCTTCTATCCGATCTCACTACAAGTCGACGTAACGTTGACGGCCCCCACGCCACCCACCGACTTCCGGTCGGCCGAAGTTGGTCGTCCTTTTGCATCCAAAGACGCCGATAGTTCCCTTCCATGGACGAACAAGAATAATGAAGAAACGTGCGTCCGACGACAAGAGCACTCCGGTATTCCTCTTCGTTAACAAGACCCAAAAATCAAAATCCCTGTCCAAAAGTGATGGGGTCATTGCCAAACAGATTAATCGCCATGCCCAAAATTTCCGGACACGTAAAATCGAGGCCCAAAGGATCGACTCGGCCTTAACCAGCTCCTCTTCTGCACGTCGAATTGCGTTGGATGGCTGGAATAGGAGAGAATCTGGGGAAAGGTAAGTCCCAAAGCCTGGGTATCTTATCAGGCATTGATTGAGGGATTCCTAGTGCGAGTAGCGATGAAACGTCAGAAGAGTCCTCACCTCAGGACAAGTCGACAGCCGCACCGGCCACACCTTCGGCAAACACACCCTCTGACGACGGTGTGGTTTCTTCCAACCTGAGACCAGATCAACCGCTTGCACAGTCACGACATGGACACTCTTCCTCTTTCGTCGCCCTGATCAGTGACCGGGATGGGGGTGCCCAAGAGAGTTGGCCCACTCGCTCTGTTGAAGGACAGGCAATTGAGCTCAACTCGCCAGTCTATCGGGCCAACTTTTCGTCTTACGATTGTGTCGACCCATTTGGGAGTACACCAATTAAAATCACTAACAAGATTCACACTGTCCTTCAGTACACCCTTCGGATATATGCATACTCTGGCAACAACTACAAGTTGGCTTTCTTACCTCCACACGTGAGAGCTACCATCTCTCAATTTCCTATCGGGGCCGTGGTCCAGCGTAGCGTCTTCAAGGAACACCATCTATACGCTCTGATGGCTGCGATGACTGCGCGACTCAAACACGTCTTTGACGTGTCCCCTACTGGAGAAGATCCCCAGGTGATTCGGGCTGCGGCTTCACATTATCTGAGGCTGGAGTTGATGCGCTGTGCTCGATCAGGAACGGTCGACAAACAGACCATCTTAGACATCTTGTATCTCGCCGTCAACGAAATGCAATATGGTCTGTATGAAGATGTGCGAAAACATCTACAGATTGTGGGCAAACTCTATCACCTACTCGACCTGAACGAACATCTGGATCGGTGGATTTCAGAAACTGCAGCTCACGTGGACAACCAACTCGCCCTCTCCACCAACAAGCGACCAATTTTGGCCAGCACCTTCGACCCGGGCCCGATGTTGCCCGAACGCATGGCTATACTACGGAGAGAAGCCCAACTCCTCAGGCAGAGCGAATATTATCCCAACCCGACCAGACTAATTGTGCCATCTGGTCCTAAAGGTTCTATGGGGCTTAATGATGCCATGTCGGACATCTCACGTACACTGGACGTCCGGATGGGATCTGCTTTCATGGTTGGCCTCAAAGCTGGAGCGTTTACTGGAGAGCTGAGTCACGTTGTGGCAGACCTCGTCGATTGCATCGAGATTGCCAAAGTCGTTTGGCTATCTCCTCTAGCCGTCTGCTTTGATGCAGAATGGCTGTGCAGAAAGGCCCGGGCGGTCTTGCGCGCCTTGCTCGCTCTGGCTCCAGAAAACAATGTGGGGCCAGTGGACTTGGCCAGCAAGTGTATGGAGTGCGCAAGATTGTGCCTGATGGTTCTGATGACTTATGCTTGCACCTTGATCGGACCTCAAACAGCCAAGCTGAATGTTAAGAGACAGTTACTCGCCAAAAAGGCGGCCTTGGGACATTGGTGTCCTTACATTGGATGGACAGAAGAGTGTGTCCCTGTGGATCCCAAAAGGCGGCTGACTTATCTCGAGGAGCTGCAAGCCGGTTTTGTCTTTTGGTCAATGCTGACCTCAATCTGGTCTTGCCAAGGGGCTTCGGCGGAAGAAGAATGGTTCATGGTACGAGCTGTCAACATGTGTCGATACTTCGGCTATACTACCTACGAAGACTTGCACGACCACATGTCACAGTATCTGTACTCCAAAACTCTGGCAGAGCAGGCTCTTCGGAGAGTGGCAGATAAAGTTCAGACGGTACCGAAAAACCGGTTCTACGCCGCGGCTTGAGCATGTCAGCATTTGGCACATTTTGGTAACCTGGCTGATTATCTAATCGGCTATCGGCAACAATGACTGCGGGGTCTTGTGATCTTCAGTTCACTAGGGCTCGAGCTGTTTGTCAGTCCTCGGCGACGCTTGGACGTGCAGCTGCGATGATGCTTGCTGGAACGCAGGCAGGTATCCGACCCCTTTGCAGTTCAAGCGATCTACGCTGAACTGGACGTCTGAAGTGTCTGAGGCCCTTTCAGAGTGACGGCCACCAGGCTTGCTATGGTCGACGTCGACCAAAGACTATTCACACCGCCCCATGCAGATACCCCAAGGGACTGCTTCTGCGCCGTGTACCGCGTGACGCGACGACATCCAGCCAAGCATCTCCCGCACCTCACGTTACCACTTCTGTAGCGTGGCGCACTTCTTCCAGCAGCATCACCTGGTCGAGCGCCACAGCTGACAAGATGTTCGGCTCGACAGGCAGAGACGCAGTCACAGCAGCCTGACACGAAGATTGTATAAAACCTCCACGATCTGACTTCGTCATATCAACAATATAAAGCAACCTAGGAGGGGGACCATCTTCCAAAGATTGGAAGAAATAGAGTTCAGAGGCTCAGGCCGGGAGCTCCACAGCTTGTCGATGCTACAAAGAAGTTGGATGCTCTCTTGTTGGCCGACATGATCGACCATACCGTGTTTGGATTGTGAGACGGCCTGGTGCCTACCCAAGGGATAAAAGGCAGGGTATGGCGCCTGGTGATACATGTACTTTCGATCTTATTGTTTTTCATTGATACCCAGGATATACGGTTTATTCAGCAACTCCCAAATTTTGCCTGCACAACAAAAAGACATTGTACAAAGTCATATTCTCAATCCGCATATATGGATCTTTTCTCTGAAGATATCATCGCTGGTGAGCCTCTACAGCGTGTACTCAGGCGGTCGCCCTTTTACAGGTCAATATCCATCCACACCGAGCGCCATATACGCAGCCCTTAGATAAGCTTCGGTTCTCTCACTTCCTACAATGCCGCTACTCATTTTCTGCATCACATAGGAGAACGTCACTTTTCGATCAAGGTCCATGACGATTATGCTTCCGCCCCAACCACTCCAGAAGCAAACTCTGCCTTTTGGAAGCCAGGGTGCGGTCTGAGCAATGGCGCCTTCGGTCAATCCGAACCCGATACCAAAGGTCAGGGGTATACCTACGACCAGGTCCGTCCCATCTGCCTGCTTTTGAAAGATCAAGTCAATCGTCTCGGGCGATAGCAGCGTGACTCCATCGACCGTGCCCCCGAGAGTGATGGTGGATAGTATGCGTACAAGAGATCTCGCATTCCCGTGGCCATTGATGGCAGCCATATCTGCGCGCCGCCAATCCGCAGTGTTCGCTCGTGTCGCGTCGGGCGGTGGATTCGCAAATGTCTTGACCGTCAAGCTATTTGGGTCCATCTTGGTCAAGTCGATGGGCATCGGTGGTGGAGGTACCACTGCGGCGATATGTGGCCAGTCTTTGTCCTGGGCGCCAATCTGAAAGTCCGCGCCGAGGGGCCCTGAAATCTCCTCTGCGACAAATTGCTTCATGGATTTCCCACTGGTGCGTCTGATGACCTCGCCGATGAGATGGCCCATGTTGTTGGAATGGTAGCCGGACGCGGTCCCGGGCTCCCACCAGGGTGCCTGCTCGGCCAGTCTTTCAATCGAGCTGGGGCCAAAGACTTCTTGCCATGTGATTGGCCCCTCCCAGCCTGAGACGCCTGAAGTGTGCGAGAGGATGTGGCGGACCAGGACTTTGTCTTTGCCGTTCTGAGCAAACTCGGGCCAGTACTTAGCGACGGGAGCGTCTGGATCTAGGATACCTCTGGAGATGAGGATCAGGGCTGCTAGAGACGCAACGGTTTTGGTGGAGGACCAGACGTTGGTGATGGTGTCTTTGGACCAAGGCTGGGTTCGTGCTTCGTCGGTATACCCGCCCCAGATGTCGACGACGTTCTCGCCGTCGATGTTGATTGCTATGGCGGCGCCCAACTCGTCTCCCGAGCTCAACTGCGCTGCCAGTGTTGCTTTGAGCTGGTTGAAGCGAGGATCACAGTGGCCCTCGACATTTGCCATGGCGGACGTTGCCTGGGGTGCTGGAGTCTGGAGAAATACAAGAGTCTCAAGTTGGTTGTTCTCTTCAACGCTATGCCGTGAATCTCTATGGCAGCGAACAGGCAATTCGAGGGTGGATGAGGGCATGGCAATGTTATAACTCCGCTTATAGGGCCGCCTGGCCGCCTGGCTTCACAGGTATGACCGTTTATGATTACCGTCACCGGGCGAATTGTTGCCATTACCAGCATATCGGCCACCTGTCTAGAGCAGTAGTAGAAAACTCGCAGTAACTGCGGCTGTCTATTAGCAGCATGTTTCTCATCGCAATGTGTTCCAGTAATGGTTTAGTTCCAGGCCGATATAAAGACCCCTACTCCGCAAACTGATCACTGCGCAGACCATACGTGATCGGGGTTGAAAGGGGCATGGAATGGATTTGATGCGCCTCCTCATCTAGCTACACCTTGGGCTACAGCAGTTCAAGTCCTAAAGTCCATCCGAGTATTGACCATCATTCCACATAGCAAATAGTGACTTTGGCTTCAGCCGACATCCGGGTCCTCCAAGGGTACCGATGACTACGAGCATGCTGTAAGAAAAGGCATCCCCACCAACCTTGTCAATGACCATGCTTCAAGTTGATGGGATTTGCCATCAAAATTGAATTGCAGGTACAATGTTACTATGTCTCGAAGGTGATGCCCTGTTCTTGCCGCCCTCTGCCGTGAAGGCAACTCCGAGCTCGGACACTGCAAAGTCTGTTGGTGGAACTCGTTCAAACCTCGGGATTTCGAGAGGTGACAAAGGTTCCCCGCCCGCCCATCATAATTGTAGCAAGGGACAGGGACATCACAGGCCAACAATGATGGCGACGTCGGCGAGTGATTTTTTTCGGCATCGCTCCCTTTGGAGACCATTCTCCGTGACGGATTGCTCGTTGAGGTAAATACAAAACCTCAGGGTCGAGGAGTTTGTAAGTTCCCTTCCTTCACCAACCTGATCCAAATCCGACATCATGGGCTCTACCGGCATGAGTACTCGTGTGTCTAAAGCGACGCAACGACTCCGAGAACTTCTCGCCGACACAAACAAGATTATTGTCGCACCTGGTGTGCACGATGGCATATCAGCACGGATTGCACTGTCCATGGGCTTTGATGCCCTCTACATGACGGGTGCAGGCACTTCAATGTCTCGTCTGGGATGGGCAGATATTGGACTGGCAACGCAACAAGACATGACACAACAGGCAGAAATGCTTGCCAACATCGACCCATCAGTGCCTTTGATCGCCGATGCTGATACTGGCTACGGCGGAACTGTGGCAATTGCACGGACAGTATCCAAATATGCCCGTGCCGGTGTCGCCGCCTTCCACATCGAAGACCAGGTCCAGGAGAAGCGATGCGGCCATCTGCTAGGCAAAGAGATCGTACCGCGAGAAGTTTTCTACAGCCGGATCCAGGCGGCTGTCAACGCCCGCGCAGAACTAGGGCTTGATATTCTGATCATTGCCCGCACAGATTCTCGGCAGAGCTACGGTTTCGAAGAAGCATATGAGCGGTTACGACGTGCTGCGGAGATCGGTGCCGATATCGTGTTCCCTGAGGCTATGACTTCCAGACAAGAATTGGCGGATATGATTCGACTTATGGGTCAAACACCATGCTTGCTTAACATGGTCTCAAAGGGTGTAACGCCGGACTTGTCGGTTGACGAGGCTAAGGAGATGGGTTTTCGCATCATGATCTTCCCTGTGGCTGGCTTCGGAGGGGCTATCAAGGGCATCAGGGAGTCCTTCATGGCTTTGAAGAGTACTGGTCGGGAGGCCGAGGATCTTGTTGGTGTTAAAGAGGCCTTTGAATTGTGCGGACTGGACGAGTGTATTCAGGTTGACCAGAGGGCTGGCGGAAAGACTTTTGCTGGGTTGAGATGATCTGAGACGTCTACTCGCCGACAGCGACGAAGATCTCGCTCGAATGACTTGTGGCTGGGGAGCGAGTTGTCATTGTCTGCCTCGTCAACCAAGACATTCAGCGTGCCGAATCATCCACGTGTGCATCGAGATGGTCAGGTTCGCAGTTTGCAGCTGTCTTGAACAATCGTGAAAGACGCAAAGGTCGCGAAGTTGACTTTTTGGGCAAATCGGACGTTCTGAGCACCGTCAGGCTGAGAAAATCGGACAAGATTCGATCTGCCAACACGGTGGACGCCGAGAGTCCTCGGTTCAGTAAAGCTATGAAATGAAGGTGGCAATTTCACAACGCCATGGGCCCGCAGAGTGATTTAGTCTCTGAGCACACCACCACTTATCCCTTCAGTCGTGTGATCCTCGTCTTTGACGGGACCATTTATGACGATAGGGCAAGTGACATGGTCGCCGATCGAGAAGTCCTCGACACCAGCGCCAACTTGTGCAGTCTCACTGGCCATGTCTGAGCATGGAAGGACACGGTCTTGGGTTGTCAGTGGGAGTGAGCCTGGACATGTGGCAATGTCTTTATAGTTAGTTCGACACCGCACATATAAGATAAGATGTCGTATATTTGCAGAGAAGAAGAGCATACCCAACTCATAATCGCTTCACTTCAGCAATGGTGGTACTTGTATTTGCCGGTATGAATCTAGGTTGATGCAAGGCTGTGTTTCTTAGCACGAGGCTGAAAAACTAGGTTTGGCTTAGGTAAGGCAGGCCGCGACGACTGACAAGTCCAGATAAGTTAATGCTGGTCGGGGAGTACAGATTGCGCAACACCACATCCACAACAGCAACGCAGGGGGTACACGTCCCAAGCGATCCTTTTCACCATGTTAACTATCTTGGTGCAATACTCCTTGTTGCGAGATCAATAGCATACACTGTCTTTTCCGTTTGACGTTTTAGCACTCGTTTCTGCGTACCACCACACCATGCCTCCCCGACACTTCTTGAGATACATCTTTGTCGGCGTGGTATTGGTTGTCGGTGTTATAATATTCACTACCACTTCAACACCGCCCAGCGTCATCCTGAATGACAAGACTGGCTACACCGACGCCCTACGAGAGTCCTTATCGACGTTGAATGTCCCCTTTCGCTTCAAGTTTCATCAAGCAGCTCACAAACCACCCGATCAAAAGAACAGTACCCATGGCGACAGCTCTTGGTACAGTGACTGGAAATGGATGAACCCCTTCTCCTCAGCAGTCACACTCGATCAAGAACGTATTGTTCTTCCTCCCCTAGCCGAACGACCTCCAGTCTACACCTACTATGATACGACCGTTAAAAGAGACGAGGCTACTCAAGAAGTGGACAAAGAGCTGCTGTTGACGTGGCGTCGAGCGTGGTGGGCTCATGGCTTCCGTCCAGTCGTTCTGACAGAAGCGGAGGCTATGAGCAATCCACTGTATCCAACTCTACATGCGAAAGGGATGCCATTGGCATTAGAAAACGAGTTCAGGCAGTGGTTGGCATGGGCGCACATGGGAACAGGGCTGCTGGCTAGCACTTATTGCATCCCCATGGGTGCATATGATGACCTCTTGCTGTCACATCTACGACGAGGACAATACTCGCAACTCACCAAGTTCGAAGGTCTAGGATCGGGTCTATTCGCTGGCGAAGAACCCCAAATCAAGGATGCCATCAAAGCAGCCCTTGATAATGTTAAGCTGAGTTCATTCAAAACTATTACGGAGGCTATCGCATCAGATCGGTTCAAGGTCGAGCAGCCAGCGTCTATCGCCTTTTACGATTCTCAGACAATCACCTCCAAATACCCCAAGCTCGCCGAACAACTGTTGAAGGATCCCGACAAAGGCCGACAGTCTCTCAATCAGCTGATGATCGCTCATCTACACACCATCTGGCAGAACACGTTTAGCAGCGGGCTTGCTGTTTTACAACCACTAGCTGCTCACACCTTTTCGCTGGTGAAGCCTGCTAAAGATCTGGCCCATCTCCTGACCGAATGCCCCAGCTCAATCCTGCAATCATCTTGTCCGCCGAACCGACCTAAATGCAGTCCATGCATAGGCACCAAGATGAAGATAAACGTCGCACCATCCTTTCGAAACACTTCGTCGCTATATACGATCGCCATCGTTCCGCATCCCTACACCTTAATAACGGTCACCAACCAGTCCGATGCCATAACGGTTGCCCACATCAGACGACATACCGAACGGGACCCGTGGATAACCGCCGTGACACGCGACATTCTTGGAAACTCTAGAGGGGGTCCAAGCAGGGTCGTGGGGATAAAAGATGCTGTTGCTTCGGAATATGGTAGTAGCCGTTCGTTGTGGTTCACAACCGAACATTTTCCTCTTTCTTTTTGGCCACCTCCACCGCCGCCCACATCTCCTACCAATGATGCCCATCCCCAGGAGGAAAAGGTCTCTCCCTTTCCTGAAGACTGGCTCCAGCATCTCGACTGGCACTTTGGGTTTCCAGTCCCTCGAACGTCAGTTTCTCATGGTGAGTCTCTTCCTCCAGTGCCAGGACCTGAACGATGGGCCAAATCCCCTGCCGGTCTCCCCGCCGAGCGTAAGAAGAGCTCCGATCCTAATCCACCTACAGAAGAGCAGGCGGCAGTAGAAGTTGAGCTATTACGCAAGGCTGCGGAGACTGTGAGCAGTAAGGACCCAGAAGTGCTCAGAATTCGGAACGTTGCCGAGGCTTGGAACCTAGCCGATACTGAAGCATGGAAATTTGTCAAGAGTTTCCGAGCTCGTCAGGTTGTTGAGATCCTCACGTTCGAAGAAGAGGAGTCGGCCTATGGCACTGGAGGATCCGCACGAGGAAAGACGCGCTGGTGGGGTTCTTCATAAGATATCACGGGAAGCCTTACTCGAACAATGACACATCGAACGTTCGTCATGCCACACTCAGTCATCGTGTCCTGCTTTGGACGACATATTCTTTATTCGGCCGGGCAAATCACCTATGGAATGTCATCACGACAGATCAAGAGAAACGCCAACCATCATCCAAGATTCCAAGACACCTGCAGATGAGTGCTGTCAAGGCTGCCGCCAGGACCGATCCGAGCATGTGTGTTGTTCTTGACAGACCTGGCGTCCCTAGCCGATTGATCTCGATTCCCCACCAACGCCCAAGTGCTCCCCGAAAAGCCGCAAGTGCGGCACTGACAACATGATACGCACCAAGCATTGTACAAAACAGCATAAACAGTCGAGGCCACGTCAATGAACGCAGATACTCCTCCGGCCAGTGGAGCTCAGGAAACGAGCTGAGGAAGAATGCCCAGTACAATAAGACAGTGGTCATCTGGAACACGTACCAGAACGCGGATGCACCGTCCATGAATGCAATGCTTTGACGGCACCACGTTACTGGCATAGGGTCACCGGTCTCATTTGCCGCAACGATCTCGACGGCTTGACCTGTAGGACGCTCGTGCAATGACCGGTTCGATCTGGCAGACTTGAACGAAGCCGAACTCGATGAATTGGTGGCCGACTTTGCTGAGGCGGAGTTTGTTGGGTTGGACGCTGGGTTCGATGGATTCGAAGCCAAGTTTGACGGGTTTGGGGAGCCGTCCTTTCTAACGTAAGAACCATCCTCGTTTGAAGACCACGCGAACGGTGGTGATTTGGGAGACAGTCGAGTTCTTTGCGATCCTCGCGATCGGGCGCTGGAGTTGTTTGACCGGGATGCCAGGCTTGCGACGGCCGCCGCTGCTGCTCGGAATGTGGCTAGGTATGCTGAGGGGGAAGCTGGATTACGATTCTCCTTATCCGAGCCATGGGAAGAAGTGCCCGAGTCCGCGACGTGTTCTCTGGGGCATGATAGAATCTCCGGCCAGCTACCTTGCCACAGCATCTCTGCGATCCCTCTAGCCTCGCGCTCGCTCCTGGTCCGGCATTCCGTGTTGCGCATGACCGATTTCCTGCCTCTGTTCTGTATGGCAAGCTTGGAGCAGATCATCTCATGGTCGCAGGGAATCCACCCCTGTTCGGTCGGTCTGTTCCAGTGACCATTAGGCGCCAAATCATTCTTGATCAGTGGCACATTGTTGTTGAGCACGACTTCAATGATGTTGGCGACATCTCTTTCATTCATCTGTGGCTCATCGTCCGGGAAAGTTACATTGTGTGCAATGGCAATCGATGTGAATGTCAGGATTGTGGTGAGATGGTACCATAACACGAAGCGGGTGTCTCGGGGTGTCCACTGGGAGCCCTCAGGATGTGGCCTCAGGCAGTCCACTACGAACTGCTGGGAGATTCTGTCGTAAGTCAATTTGGGCTTCGTTCGCTTGGTTGAACGGGGCGCCATCGGAGGTCATTGTTGAAGATCAGGAGTGTAGTAGTTTGGTGGTACTGTGGAAGTACAAGACGACCTTTTGCTTCCAGGAGTCATCGTCTTAAATGTGTTGATGGTAGAAGATTGGGCACATTCCGTCCGGCATTGTTGGCATAAAGGCTGGCATTCCAAACAATGCGGACTGATTGGCGGCATGGCAAGGCTCCCGATCGGACCGCTTGTGAAGGGAGCGGGATCGGTTCAAGGGAACTGAATTCCGGACCTACGGTACTGTACAACAAGTACTTACCTAGATACCTGGGTTACATTGGTACCACTTTCCCAGCAACGATCTCGAGAGCACCATAAGGTGATAAGGTGCAACGAGGTAAGCACGATGATCAGTGCGAATGTCATGGTCGCGACGGTCCGTGTTGCGACATTAATGCAGGTCCAACAGGCAAATGGTAGTTGAAGAAGTCTCATCATCCTTGCCAGGCGGCTCTTGGCTTATGGGTGGCCTCAAGCCTGGAAGGGTTTGGGCTATCTCGCCTACGCGCCTCATGCTGAGGTTCTTTTTTCCCATGCCTATTAGGAGCTGGTACAAGGCAGGAACTGATCCACAGGAATCTAGCCCGGTGGGATCCTGTTTCACCTATGAGCCACAGTCAGCAGCCTTCATACATTTGCTATGACATCGATTGCCCCTTCGCGTGAGGAATTGGGATTTACAAAGTTGTTATATTTTCATCTGGATTTTAACACTGGCAAGAGGAGTCTGATCAGACATCGTAACCATCTACCGAATCATTTGAACCGTGCGGTCATATATTCGAATATGGAAAGATCAGATACCCAGAATATCGTTGATTCCACTGTTTAACCACGCCCCTACGCACGGCCTGCCGCCCGCCGCGGGCCACTCCTGATCTCCCGGGCCCTCTCCACACTAGCTGAACGGAGTACTTGCGCCTTACACATTTATTTACTTCCCCTCCCACTCAATACCACCTCGTAAGAGCCATTTCATCTCGACTGTCCGATCTGGCTAATTGCGAGATGCACTCAGATGTCGACTTCAGAACTTGTGGAAGGTCCTAGCGCCAATGCCACTATCATAAGTTTGACCAAGAGAATACGAAATCTCGGACGATTAGGGCCATGGGTGAAGGGAGGAGTAACGTCTTTCCCATCTCAAGAAATGCGTGCTTCAGCTGACACATGTGCAGGATGCTCGAATCCCGCCAGAAGAGTCCTACCTTTGTGATACCTGCCTGCGTCTTGACCTGAAAGTCGAGTCGTTCTGTGTACAACCTGGAGAACATGAATTCGCGAAGCAGCACAGAGTTCCCCGATACTTGGGAAAACTTTCCATGATCCGCACGCGAACTTATTGTCCCTTCTGTCGGCTTGTACTCGCCATAGCAGACCGACCATTCGACCAACGAACACCCAGTCTACATGCGGGCGACGATCCAATATGTTGGGCACGATGGGTAATTGACGGACAGGAAGACTTGGGACCGGATCCCAACAGACCTGGAGAACACAATTTCAGACCTCGAACGCGGCGACTTCTGATATACAGCGAGCCACAAGCCTTCAAGGACGGCTATATAGTCCTACTTGCCGACGATGCGCCCAGTCGCGAGTTCTTCGGACGTCGCATCACTTCACCCGACCTCCTCGATCCGCAGATTATTCGCAAATGGCTACATCGTTGCGAGACGACGCATGGCGAGGACTGTGAAGAGTCGCTAGTACACCCAGACCTACTTGGAGCGCCCAAACATATCTTCCGCGCGATTGACGTGGATAATATGTGCATTGTGGAAGTGCCACAGTCCACCAGATACGTTGCGCTGAGTTATCTCTGGGGCAAGGGATTCATCCAGCTCTTCACGACCTCTCAAAACCTTGCAAAACTGTGTCAACCAGGAGCATTGGACAAAGAGAAGCTACCGCGGACAATCAAGGATACAATCAAGCTTACGAAAATGCTTGGAGAAAGATATCTATGGACAGACAGTCTGGCATTGTTGCATGACTCTGGTTTCCAATACCATGACGACTGGGTCTATGCTCGCGCCGCCATCACTGTAGTGGCTGGTTCCGGCAAGGATGCCAATGCCGGTTTACCAGGTGTCAGAAAAGAATCCAGGACATTTCATCAAGATATCGAGGTGGTCAGGCCTGGCTTGCGGCTTATGGTTTCGCATCTTGCGGAAGACTACATCTCTACCTCACAATGGGATTCTCGAGCATGGACTTTTCAAGAGCGGATGCTGTCACGCCGGTGTCTGCTGTTCGTCAATAGTCGTATCTACTACCAATGTCGACGAACCACATTCTGCGAGGACATGGAGATGCCGCCAAGCAACGGGTGGTCGTTGGACTCGATTGACATGCCGACCAGAATATTCCGGGAGAAGCCGTTTGTACAATTCACGTCGGCGGTCGAATTGTATACACGCCGGGAGCTGACGAATCCCATGGACATTCTCAACGCCTTCGAGGGAGTCCAATTGGTGCTGGAGAAACGCATCGGAGCAGGAATCTATTATGGTGCCTTAGAGACCATGATGAACACATCATTAATATGGGAATCCACTAAACGATTGACGCGTCGTCAGGGGTTCCCAAGCTGGTCCTGGTCAGGATGGATCGGAGAGATCCAGTGGAAGTTCACAGAAACAGCGCGGTCATGGATTGAGTGGCATGCCGACCAGGTTTCTGGGGTTCACTCGTTCCCAAAGCAGGGATGGGAGCTGATACCACCACCTGTACAGCGTCCAGGCGATGCAGGGCCAATGTCTCGCCACAACATGTGCTCGACATTTCCTTTGTTGCACTTCCGGACCATCACTGTGCAATATACACTCACCTCGCCGGCACTTATACACAAATCAGTTATCTCGCCCCTAAGAAAGAGGCTGACCGGTCCTAGCGCCTTGTCAACAGTCAGGCCAGCACCGGCAGACCCAGGCCTGATTCGAGCTGGCATTGCAGACCGTAACGGACTGTGGTGCGGCACGATTGACCTGGATAAGGCATGGATGAGCCGAGTTGGGCGGCCGTTCGAATTTTTGGTCATGTCGAAAGTCCATCACTTCACGGACGACGAACTTGCAATTTGGGAAGGCACGTTACCCGACGACATTGAAGAAATGTTAAGTCGATCACGGAGTTACGGTGTTTATAATGTGATGTTGGTCTCCCAAAAGGATGGCATCTACTATAGGGAAGGTCTGGGGCGTATATTGACGGCAGGCTTGGACAGGGCCTTGGAGCCAGGACCTGTATGGAAGGACATTGTCCTGGGTTGAAAGCATCTGTCTACGAGATCGATGATCTACCAGGGCCAGCATCAGCATTCTGGCACAATAGCTTGTGCACAGACCATTGAGAGTGTATATACAGTATCCGGAGATCACTATCCGACTATTACAAACCCAACCACAGAATAATCTCCGCGATGCCAACGCACGAGCCAAAACATGGTCCGAACACTACCAACCTCTCACTCAACCTCGCCTTCCAATCCAAACGAGGTATGGTCAATGAGACTTCTATCACCCTCAAACACCAGATGTCGTGAACTATTGATATTGCCTGCTAGGTACCGAGACTTATGGGAATCTATACAGCTTTCATACCAATATTTCCCTGCCCTTTCCCAACCATGCACCATGGAAACTTCACCATGTCCTCGACACTATAAGAAGATTGAAGATTCATGAAAGAACATGCTTCCTTCATCATCCAACACAATATCACTTGCCTTTGACACCATTAAGTCAAGAGATCAAATACTGCTCATCCCGTTAACACATCATGTTTTTCTCGGCACATATTCTACGCGCGCTCATCGATATGAGCTTCGCCTCTACCAAGGTCGATGCATACACGGTCAACAAAGCTCACTCGATTGAGCCTGTCGATACAGGCGAAACATACGCGACCTTGTCACCAAGACTGAATTTACCTGGAATGCCATCAATGCCTTCCAGCAATCATGTGGAAGAGCACGGATGATGGCTCTATCACAAACGTTCAACCTTTCCTTGCTTCTTATTTGAGCTGAAGGCATTCGCATCGAACAACAACCAACCGGGATTGCGCATATCTACAAAAGATGTGGACGCGAATGCCACGGTACAACCCTTCAAGAAGTCAATCTCTCATGTCACTTGTTGACCGAGATGCACAACACTCGCTCGCAGTTGCCAAATACTGCGAACGCAGAGAGTAACAGTCCACATGTGGTAATGGAAAGCCACTTGTGCGGCGGAGACTACTCCTGTTGGGCTCTTGCAATCTCTAACAAGTAAGTAACGGCCCACGCCTTCTGGTTTATGTTGCACTTGCTGACACTTGCCTTCTTAGGGATGCTCGAGGAAGTCGAAGAGTCTGAGGCTCTGCTGCTGGATGGCAGAGCTGAACGAAGCCTGGTTTATCCATGGCATTGAGGGAGGTCAGCATGCAGCATCGTCACTTCGGATTGAGAGTCTGGAGTTGGCCTTGCCAAAGCAGCCGTGCAGGAGGCATAACCCAGGAAGAGAGATGGGCCATTGAGTGTCAACAATGTTTTGCCATGCGTTTTAGCGATGCGATGCGTTCCAGCGATGTGATGCGTTCCAGCGACTCTGGCAGATGCTCGATACTTTCAAAGGTCTTTTGGGGGGAGGATCCCCGGGGAGAGCGAGTGCCCTCAAGTGCTGAGGCGCTTGTTGACTCCTGACGAGCTGGGTATCGAGCATTTTGTTCTAGGGCTTTGTCTGAGATTTAGCTACTGTTGCTCCATCATGAGATTGTTGTTGTACAAGCGTTTGTTGTAGCAGATTGAGAATATGGAAGATATTGAGTAAATTCTACCATGGACCGAGGGTTTCGTGTTTTGTTCCCTCCATCTCGTGTTTCCTCGCGTACTCGTATCCCCACCGGCTCAGGTGGCAGTGTTGCCCTGGGGTTGCAACCCTCCATCAGGCCTCCAATGAACGACGATCTCTCATCCTTCTTGTCATTATCTAGGTGAATGCACGACACCACCGGCTTGTCCCCTTTTCCACTTCGCTCGGACCAAGGCACCGGATAGCGAAGAATGAAGTATTATCGAAGCACCATGCAATCGACTCAATGCATCGTACGTGCTGCTACCAACACCTCATGAGCAAGAAACCTGCTCGGACGTAGCTTGGATGCGATGATTCGAGTGGTCGCAACCAAAATCTCCCGAGTCTGCGAAAATGTCTACCAACGCAACGATCTGGGACAATGATTACGGGCATGTCAGCCAAGTCAACTGCGTATACCCAATCTCTGGAACATATGGCCTGCTCCCACGAATCTTGTACTATGTCACCCTGGTCTTTGCCATCTTCGGACGCAGCAAGGAGTGGCTCATCATCGGTGCGCTGGTCAGCGCTTTGACCTACGCCGGCACCGCGGCAATTCACATGATGGCTCTCGTCAGGAACCGTAGAGGTGTCTTCGATTTAGACATCGTGGCAGCCTGGGCCGTTCTGAGCACCGGCGCATTGGCATACATTGGCATCATCCACTGGAGCTCGACGCTGCGCAACTCGCGGGCAAGGGTTGTCATGATCACTTGGGGGTTTTTGATCGGTACGGCCTTGATATTTGGACGATCGTTACTGTTCACCACGCCGCTGGAGACGCCTGAACCGGCGTGCTATTCTTCCCGGGGGAAGCTGCTCGAACAACCGATCGAGTTGATGAGTCCCGAGTTCAATTGCACGTATAAGTGTTTCTCGGTGTCGAGACCGATGCGACACCGCTATGAGATCCAGGTGATCCCACATCACTATTTGGCTAATCAATACACCAAGCTGGCTTTCGTGCTGGTTGGACCGATCCAATTCGCGGCCTACGCTGCTGTAAGCATTGATAGCTTCAAACATACGCCGTCGGTCATGTGTCTGCGGTATATTATGAGTCGGTTGATCCAACCCAGACATCCGGATAAGTTGACGAATGTGGTGTACAAGGCGTCGATGGAAACGTGGTATGGGGGCTACTTTGCGCTTCTCGGATATATGCGCCGGGTCAGGTGGTCGTGGGTGAAGCTGTGGTGGGCTTCGTTTCTGATTCCGTGGTTGACCATCAGCTTCGTAATTGACGTTACCTGTCTTCCGCTCATGATTACGAATATCGTGCTGAACGAAGTCACGCTGTTGGCGGGGAACCTGCCTACCAACGAGTCGAGTATGGCCATTGGGCAGTGGGGTCCTATTGTGGCTGCTACTTTGGTTGTTCTTGCTGCTTGTATCAACAAGGGATTGGAGCTGCGGGAGAGACGGCAGAAGGTCAAGGAGCTGGAGAGTCACGGTGCCGCTGAAGACGTCGTATCTGTGGCAGATGACGCGGACGAGGGCGGTCAGACGACCGGGATCGAGAAGCCAAAGCTCGCCCACGTTCAGACCTTGCAAGATATGGAGGACTCGATGAACCGGCCGAAGTGATGGACATCAGGTGGTCTGTCGTCTTTGTGGTGTGTCGTGAGGGCCACTTCGCGGTCGGAGTTGGTGCTCAACGAGATTGGCGTTTTGGTCGGACAGTCTGAGAGATCACTTGCAAGGGTATATATGAGTCACAAATGCGTCGGAGGAAGGTGTAATCTTACCATGCTTGTGTACACATCAAATAGTATATCATCCGCGGCTGGCGGATGCCGCCCGGTACATTACCCGACATCTGCTGCGATTGATCTCTCTTGATCTTGTGCCAGAGGCTCTGGATAGCCTGCCAGTCTTGAAATCCTATTGTTGTCGTAGAGAATGAAGTAGCACAAGGTGTCCCTTTGCATCTCCGTAGTACTAGATACCAGCGATAGTAGTGGCTGGGACCAACAGGCCTGGTGCAACAGGCGGCAATGGGCGCGAATTGGCTTCGACGTGCATAGATATTTGTTGCGGACCGCCGTAGTTCAAGGTGCAGTTGCCGCCGATAACGGCACAGACGGTGTGGGGTAATAAGGTAAGCTGGCCCATTGCTGGCTACTGCAGGGGCTTTTTAGCTTATTTGTAGCTGGGGCCTCGATCATTGAGTGGCGGATCTTTTCTGGAGTGCGGCTCATACACCGTCCAATATTCAATTTTCTACATACACTCGCCCAAGACACAACAAAGCGAGATACATTGGCCGCCGTATGACTCACTGTTCCTGGATCCCGGTCTGTATAAGTTCGCTCCGTCCAGATTGTCGAGTTCTCCTTTTGTTCTCCTTTGACAACATCCTCCGAAACTCATAACTCGCCAATATGGAGGCTATCAAGGCGACTTTTGCACAATGCAAGAAGGAAAACAGAAGTGCCCTCGTGGGTTACTTCACAGCTGGATACCCCACCCCAGAAGAGACGCCAGACATTATGCTGGGATTACAAGCTGGTGGTGTTGGTATGTCTATCGAACGTTTGCCCTCGTGCTCGTTCTGACCGCTTTCCGCAGATGTGATCGAGCTCGGTCTCCCCTTTACAGATCCTATTGCAGACGGACCGACGATACAGAAATCGAATACTGTGGCTCTTCAGAATGGCGTCACTGTGTCCTCCTCCCTCCAGTTCGTTCGAGACGCACGGAAGAAGGGCCTCAAAATCCCCGTGCTGTTCATGGGTTATTTCAACCCTCTCTTGCGCTACGGTGAAGATCGCATGTTGAAGGACTGCAAAGAGGCTGGTGTGAATGGGTTCATTATGGTGGATCTGCCCCCCGAGGAGGCGGTCAGATTCAGAAACAACTGCACAAAAGCTGGACTGTCATATGTGCCCCTAATTGCACCGGCTACGTCAGAAAAGCGCATGAAACTACTCTGCAAAATCGCAGACTCCTTCATATATGTCGTCTCTCGTATGGGTGTCACTGGCGCAACCGGCACACTGAACACGAAACTCCCGGAATTGTTGGAGAGAGTACACCAATATTCCGGCGGCGTGCCTGCAGCTGTAGGATTTGGTGTCAGCACAAGAGAGCACTTTTTGAGTGTAGCACAAATCGCAGAGGGTGTGGTCATTGGTAGTCAAATTGTGACGACTTTGGGCAACGCGAAGGAGGGCGAGCGTGCCAAAGCAGTGTACGAGTATACTTCACAAATCACTGGCCGAAAAGTGGGCGAGTTCAACAACACAAACGGTCTGACGAGGGAAGTGGGAATGGTCGAGACAATGGACGCTGCAAAAGAGCCGAACGCCACGACCAATGGACTGAACGGCCACCAGGTACAAGTCGACGAAGTCATCACTGACGCAGATGTCCCTGACGAACCGGGACTAGCAGACCAGCTCGACGCTCTCAATTCCTCCACAAATGGCACCGAACCAAACCCAGAGGCTATTCCTGCTCAATTTGGGCAATTCGGTGGACAATACGTCCCCGAGTCTCTGATGGATTGCTTAGCAGAGCTTGAAGAAGGTTTCACTGCTGCTAAGAACGATCCTAAATTCTGGGAAGAATTCAGATCCTATTATCCCTACATGGGCCGGCCTTCATCGCTACACCTGGCTAATCGCCTGACGGAAAAGGTTGGTGGAGCGCAAATCTACCTCAAGCGAGAAGACCTGAACCACACTGGAAGCCACAAGATCAACAATGCCCTGGGCCAAATTCTAGTTGCTCGACGTTTGGGAAAGACTCGAATCATTGCCGAAACTGGTGCTGGACAGCATGGTGTCGCCACCGCAACTGTCTGCGCCAAGTTCGGCCTGGAATGTGTGGTCTACATGGGCGCCGAGGACGTGCGGAGACAAGCCCTGAACGTCTTCCGTATGAAGCTTCTTGGCGCAAAGGTTGTCGCTGTTGAGGCTGGATCACGAACACTCCGTGATGCCGTAAACGAAGCTCTCCGTGCGTGGGTCGTTGATCTCGACACCACGCATTACATCATCGGATCAGCTATCGGCCCTCATCCGTTCCCAACCATTGTCCGAACGTTCCAGAGCGTGATTGGGCAAGAGACGAAGGAAGAGATGCTCGAGCTCACTGGCAAACTTCCCGATGCTGTGATTGCCTGTGTCGGTGGAGGTTCGAATGCGGTAGGCATGTTCTACCCTTTCAGCTCGGACACATCTGTCAAATTGATTGGTGTCGAAGCTGGTGGAGAGGGTATTGAGACTGGCAGGCACTCGGCAACGCTGTCTGGTGGTTCAGTCGGTGTCTTGCACGGAGTGAGGACGTACGTGCTGCAGAACGAGCACGGGCAGATCTCCGACACGCACTCAATCTCGGCTGGTCTTGATTACCCTGGTGTCGGACCCGAGTTGTCAGGTTGGAAGGAGACGTCGAGAGCGAGCTTCATCAGTGCCACCGATTCGCAGGCTCTGATTGGTTTCCGTACACTGAGCGAGAGCGAGGGTATCATTCCTGCCCTGGAGTCGAGTCATGCTGTCTATGGAGCTATGGAAGTCGCCAAGACGATGAGCAAGGATGAGACTATCGTCATCTGTCTCAGTGGCAGAGGTGATAAGGACGTTCAAGAGGTGGCAGACGAGTTGCCACGGTTGGGACCTGGTATTGGTTGGGATTTGAGGTTCTAGATGTCTGCTCTAGATGATATGTGCAATGCTGCGTTGATGGTGTGCCATGTTTGACTAGAAAATCATGAGGTGTAGCAAGATAAGCATAATATATCTGGAGTTCTAACTGCACATTTAGTAATCTTCCGCTTGTCTAGTGTCCTCGTGTGTTCTCTTCGCCGTCCAAATCTCTGTGCTTTTACATCCCAGGCAGGATAGGGAGAAACAACCCGGGATTGGCAAATCCAGGGTTATCCCTATAGTGTATGCTGGCCGCATGTACCAACAGCAGGGTTTGGTTGATACTCCGCGACTCGTCTTACTTCACACACGAGGGACAGTCGCGTTCTCAGCCTGCACAGCGCCAACCTTCTCCTCAGGTACCTCGACTTCAGCAGCTCCGTTGGCAGCAGCACCGCGGTAACCTTTCTCACGGACGATACCACCCTCAGTCTCAATAAGAGCCTGCTCCGCCATTCTCGCCTTCTCCTCGGGTGAAGCATTGTACCAATGACTCGCGACATGAAGATTATCTCCAAAGACGTCGCCAATCTCCTCGAGTGTTCGCCCTTTAGTTTCCGGGAACATGAAGAATATGACGACCCAATAGAAGGCGCTGGGGATGATTAAAACCAAGTAGAATTTCCAGCCGATCTTGTTGAGAGCCACCGGTGCGCCGACGAGCGTGACTTCGCTGGCGAGATAGAACGCCGACAAGCCCAGTGCCACACCGTAGGGGCGGAGATGATTGGGGAAGATCTCCGAGACGTACACGTACTGCGTGGCGTCGATGAAGAAGCACCACCAGAAAATGTAGAACCAGACGAAGAACACGGCGGCGTTCAGGCCAGCTTTGTTGGTTGTGTTGAGGAAGGATGCGGTCAGGGCGCAGAGGCAGATCAGCGCTGTGATGCAGCCGGCTGAGCCGATGAGCATGAACTTGCGCCGACCGAAGCGGTCGATGAACAAGGCTGTCCAGGTGTTGCCGATGATGGTCAGGGTGGTCCAGCATGCGTTGAGGAGGAGAGGGATCGAGCCGCTGAGACCTAAGCTTTCGTAGATCAGAACACCCTGTGATTAGAGTTAGCCTATAGGTCTATCGTCAAGAGTCCGGGGACTGGCGCACGTAGTTTGTCATGACGAAGATACCTAGGAACTGATCACCCCACATCAATACACAAGCCATCAAAGCTCGTTTCCTGTTGGCAGGAGTCTTGAAAAGCTCAAAGTGTCCGAAGTTCATTTGGGCGTCCATCTCATATTGCTTCTCCATGAGCCAGAACTCCTGTCGTGCCTTGGTATCTTCCGGGTCGGCGGGTGACTTGTGCAACCTCTTGACGATGTCGAGAGCCTCTTGTCGACGACCCTTGGACAACAGCCAACGAGGACTGTATGGGATCAACTTGCTGCCGGCGAGAACCACGATTGGGAAGAAAATCTGGAATGCTAGTGGGAAGCGCCAGGAGAACTGAGCTGAAGGGTCGCTGGCTTTCATGTAGTAGCAGCCGTATCCGACCCAGCCTGCAAGGCTGTACCCAAAGGCGTACTATGAAATGTCAGAAGGGTGTTCTGCCCAAAACGAGCCACGAATGTAGCAGGATATTGGAGAAGAGGGAAACGTACCATGATTCCAGTAACACAAACCATGGCTCCTCGAGTCTCGGGTGTCGAAACTTCGGCTTGGTAAATGGGGACGACACAGGCAAGAATCCCAGCACCAATACCTAGGTAGTGCTTCGTGTCAGAATACGTGACGCTTTGATATACATAAAGTTCTCCGTTTAAAAGCGAATAAGACGGCACTGAGTTTGGCGCGGAGCACTAACCTGCTACGAACCTTCCCACGAGGAACATTGCGATATCGTACGCACCGGCACACAGCGCGCCTCCAATGATCAGAATGAAGCAGCCAATCTGCATGGTGCGTTTGCGGCCATGGTAGTCTGCGGACCAGGCTTGGAAGATGCAACCTGCTATAGCTCCTGCCGAGTTGACGCCGTTGAGAGCACCAATGATGTTGGTGGTATGGGCATAGCCTGGTTCACCGGCCGTGGCCAGGTTGAAGTAGGTGTAGAAGTTAGGCTGGCCTACAGTAGACCCAATCACGGCCAGACCGTACGCTGTGGAAATGGTTCCCAAGGCCACGAATATAACAAGCCATAGGTTGTATTGGTTGACAATGAGTTTAGACAATGTGTTCTGAGCCATTCTGGCGGTGGGAGAGGAAGAACAAGCGAGAAAAGGACGGGACAAGAGTGAGGGAGATCAGGATTGGAGAAGAAGAGAGTTTGATACAAAGTACCTGGACCTACCTTGAGGATTTGTATCTTCCCATGATGCAATCTCCAACTCCTGAACCCGAGGTAATGAGATGTTGTGCAGAAAGTGGCACGATTCCGAGGTGTCCATATTGAGGAGGCGTTACGTCGATCGTATACCTGGTAGAGCTCGTTATCAGCTTCACTATTGGTTGTTTTGGGGTGTATCGATTCGGCAGTTTCTGAGTCAGGCCAGCTTTGCTCCATATGCAATCTTCGAGATCCACCGGAGCAACTCCATGGGGCAAAGAAAACCTCGGGGAAAGTGGACAACGCTGTGCGGGGACGACTTCAAAAGGTCGTTGTCAGCATGATATGATAGAGGATAAGCATCGTGAAAAGTGGTCGGCTGTGGCCTGGTCCGGTGGATGGTTCTTTCCAGCATGAATGCAATGCACAAGGTCGGTGTAAGCCCGTGTGTTCTCCGACCTTAGTCGAGCAGGGAGCGGTTACTCTGTCCGTATGTGGCGACCAGTCAAACCACGCAGCTTGGCCAGCTTCCTTTGATATCACAGAGCCTCAAACTAATCTGTCGCCCCCTAAGTGTGACATTTGTTGAGATATCAGGAGTTCAATACAGATATGGAATCAAAAAGAGCTGACTTCCCGCCCAAAGCCTCAATTCCAGGGAGATACAGCACGAAGCCGTGGGTGCGGCGAAGGATGTCTTTATGTTGCTGGCCTTGTCACCCCTCTTACACATCCCGTCCCATCTCCCCACGCCTGGCCAAAGGACCCTTACCGAGGATCAGAAAACTACTGCACTTCTCCATTGTCGTACACAACTGCGGACATGTTTGCGGGGAAACCCTCCCGCCATGGAAATCTATGGTTGTCAAGCCATCTTGCATGCTCACTGCACGTCATGTACGAGACGTAACTTTCAGAATAACAGAGTAACGGATTCTGTTTGACTCTGCTTCAGTACATCAACACCAAGCCACTCAGTGTCTCTCACGAGGACAAGATGTCGGCACAAGATGCCCCCATATACCCGGACCTGAAAGGCAAAGTCGCTTTGATAACCGGTATTGGCCAAGATGGCGCAGCAGATTCGTCAAACTGGGGCAATGGAGCCGCCATCTCCCTAGCTCTAGCAAGGAATGGCGTCAAGATATTCGGCTGCGACATCAGACTTGACGCCGGCCAGCGCACCAAGTCGCGGATCGAAGCTGAACTCCCCGATGCCACCATCGACGTTGTCCAAGCCGACGTGACTTCCTCGTCCTCCGTCGAGGGTTTCGTCCAAGAATGCATGCGGAAACACAACCGCATCGATATCTTGATCAACAACGTTGGGCGCAGCGAAAAGGGCGGACCAGCAGACATGTCCGAAGCAGTCTGGGACTCCCAGGTCGACATCAACCTGAAAAGCGTATATCTGACATGCCATTCGGTTTTGCCGATTATGGAGGCTCAGCGGGCGGGCGCGGTCGTCAGTATCAGCAGCGTTGCCTCACTCCGGTACATTGGCAAACCGCAGGTCGCATATGCTGCCACGAAAGCTGCTCTCACACAATTCACCAAGCACACAGCCGTCATCTATGCAGACAAGGGGGTGAGGCTAAATGCTGTGCTGCCGGGGCTAATGTTCACGCCACTTGTCCAGGTCCTCGCTGAGAAGTACGCGGGCGGTGACTATGAGGGATTCGTGAAGACGAGGCATGCCCAGGTTCCGACCGGGCAGATGGGGACATCGGAGGATGTGGCGCACGCAGTCGTCTTTCTCTCGAGTAATGTTGCAGCACGATACATCACGGGAACTGAGTTGGTGGTCGATGGGGCTATCGTGCAGAGTACCGGGAGGACTTGAGGAGTCCGTTGTCAAGCATATAATGCACGACATGCAATGACCTTAGACCCTCAATCCGTACTACAGCCATGTTCTTACCACTGCTGCAACCAGAAGAGTGCTATGTCCATGCACTGAATGTTCTTGCTCAGAGCCATTGGCTACTTTCCCTATGATAATCCTCGTAGGCCATCAGTATCGTGACAGTCCCATCACCACGTTGAAAATGGAAATCTACCAGTACCGGCCATCAAAATCGTCGCTACGCGACTATTAAAATGAGCGCCTTCGGCAAACAGTTACAGGGAACGCTCATCGAGGTCGATCTCGACATCCCTCCCAGATATGACGCGATATCACATGTCTGGGGCAGCTCCACGCTCGACCTGGCTTCGCACAGCTCGCAAATTCCTGTTCCCCGAAACTCGTGTGGAATGACGTATCGACGTTGTTTGTATCGATCAGTCGCCGATACCGGAACGAAGCTAACAAGTCGGCATCATGCACGAGATATATTCGCGAGCGAGAAACGCTTTGATTTGGCTTGGTGAGGGCACGGAATACAGCGATCGGGTAATCAGTCTCCTCGAATACCTTGCCTTGCGGCCAATGCTACCCAAGACCATGGGACAAGAGATATCCGACCTGCAACTCGGACGTGGAGCAGGCACAGGCTTCCTTGTCAAGGACAAAGACGCCCTCATAAAGGCCTTCGATGATCTTCTCGGCCGCGCTTGGTTCTGGCGAACATGGACAACCCAAGAGGTTGCGCTCGCACCCAATGCCAAAGTTCTGTATGGTCAAAATCAACCTCGTGGGCATGATGGGACTGGCAATGCCTTTCTGGGAACAAGTCATGAGTGCAGCGCCCGTATGCTCGCTCCCAAGCACTCCATGTCGATAATGCGAGCTCACTGGTCGGCTTCCCGAGACATCAAGATTTCAAGGGAGAGAGGACCATCGTAAAAAAGACCGTCTAACGGCGCAATCCAACATTGGAAAGTCTTCTCGAAGAGAGCAATGCAATGAAGGCCACCGCTTTGCGGGACAAGGTGTTTGCGCTCAACGGGGATGGCACGATTCTACGGCCTGGAGACGGTGCAACCAAACTACGATGAATCTTTCTCTGCGGCTAAAGTGTTCACCTTCACCACAATGATTGCGCTGATTGTGATCAAAAACAGAATCGGACTGTCGATACTGTATCGCGTGGAACCGTCAACCATGGCTGATCTGCCTTCTTCGGTTGCGGACTGGTCTCGAACTGCCCGGCTTGCCGTCATGCACCACAGCGATTTCCAGGCAGGGGGAGATTCGAGTTCCTGCTCCTCGATGTCTTGGGGTGACCGAGTATTGAGATGATTGGGCGTCTCCGTCGATCGAGTTATTTTTCTCAATGCTCCATTCCGAAGAAGTTCCGCAAAACATGATTGCAACCTTGCAGGAATGGACAGAGCTCACTTTAAGACTTGCGAGCTACCCAGATGGTGAAAGCGTTGAAATCGCCTGCCAAACGCTCATTCAGGATGAATATGAAGCTGAGATCCACAACGACAATCGCTACAACGAGATCATCGCGTCGCTCGGTCTGGCAACGTCCCCTTCTTGGGAGATCAGAATCTTCTCGAGCCCCCAAGTAACTACTACAAGCCTTTTTGTTTTGGCATTCCGTCATCATGGAGTGTGCCAACCCGCCAGTCGAATGTATCTCTTGCGAACGCGACACGGAGCTGACCGCGACAAGAACCGTCGACGGAGATGATCAACTCAATTTCGATGGACTGCCAGCAGCACCATGGAAGACCTCGAAGCATACGCACGTGCGGTGGGCACCACCAGGCGTGGCATGTGCTTCTTCCTCACAGAGTCCGGCTACTTCGTGACGAGGTATCATGATGCCTTATCTCCAAAAGACGACGACATCATCGTCCTCCTTAACCGGCTGAAAGCTTCCCTTCATTGTTCGCCCGAAGGCACATGAGCGACTTTTCTACGAGTTGGATCGATCCAGCATATGTCCATGGGATGTTGCGTGGCGAGAGATGGCCATACATCACGTACGCCGACAGCAAAGAGGAGTGGAATGTAGGTTGCAGGAACTCCTCTCCACACTACCCAGGCTTTGCAGCAAAATCGACTATCCACAGAACGAAAAAGCCTTACAAACACCGTCAAAGGCTGTGCAATACCCGTCGTCAGGATAGAGGTGCCTCGAGTAGTGGAGGTGGGCAGAACTGCTAAGCCGAGGCGTCAATCGTGTCGGATGCAAGCGGAACTGCGTCGCAAATTATGTGCGAGGACGAATTAGAGCCGGCTGTTGTGGACATCGCACAGGTGCTAGACGAGACTGGAGACAGCTGGGAAACGACTGACTCGGACTCGGACTCGGACTCGGACTCGGACGACTCGATGTCCTCCGGCGACGACTTTTTCTGGCTCCGCGATGAACTCAGAAAGGCTTCTGACCGGAGCAACCCTGCCAAGGACACTATGGGCGAAGACGAGCACTGTGGCTGTGGGACTCTCATGATGGGCAAGAGGAGGATGTTCAGATTCGTCTGAGCCGATTTGAACTCCTGTGACTCGGGCATTGAGGCCCAAGAATTGATGTGTCTCGTCGTGGCAAGTTATGCTCTTTCGAAGATAAAGGCTTACTAATTCCGATATAATAAGAGTAAGCTTAGTCTTTAACTTCGCTCTTATATATACTATAGCTACTAACTAAATATAAACGCTATTAAAATCCCTATCACTATAGTACTCTAACGAACGAATATACAAGAAAATATCGAGTAAGTTTAGAATAGTCGATTAAGAGTTACGAAAGTTCTAAACTTTAGTTCGAATATTACGCCGTTATTAAGAGAAGATAATTAGCTTAGATTTACCCTTAATGATTAGCTTCGAATATTATTAAATAAGCGATATTAGTAACTAGAAACTAAGGTAGAATACTAATTCTTATTAGAATAAGTATCTTAATAGAAGAACGATTCTTTAGATCTCTTATAATCGCTTCTATACGTCGATACTACTTTATATATAAACGATAAATATTAAACGATATCTTAAGCTCGTATAATAAATAATCGAGACTTAGATTAAAGATTAAATAACTTAAAAGATTTTAAAGATAATTAAGATAGAGAATAGATAATAAGAAAGAATAATTATCTATAATAGAAAAGAAAGAAGATTAAGAAGAAAGAAGAGATATATATATATAGATATAAGGCTCTTATATACTTAACGATAGCCTTCGAAGCTATATTACTATTATTAGCGATACTCTATTAATACGACTACTTAATTAATCGATAATAAGCTTCGAAAATAAATAACGACGAGATATTTATCGTCGTAATATATAACGATTAAGTAAAGTAAAATAAAGACCCTTAAATATAGAGATAAGACTTTAAGTAAACTAAAGTAAAGTCTTAAGTAAATCGAAACGACCTTGACCAGGTCATGACCAGTCAGGATACTCCAAGACCTAGGAAGGTCTAGCGAAGCCCGCCTAAGCGTTACGTGATGACACGTGACTGCTCTGTTGACCTGTGTGCTCTGTAGAACAGAGCAATAGATCATATAGATTAGCTATACTCTATTACTCTATATACTCTATGGGACAGAGCAACGGATCATACAGATCAAACCAGAATACTACGGCTATATAGGAAGAGTACTTCTTATAGTTATAGTTCGTAGTTAACTTCGTTAACGATCATACCTATACGTTTAAGTATTGATTAGTCTCGCTCAAGATACTCGACGTGCTCTCTTACTACTATACCTTAATACTTCCCTCTGCTTAGGAACCCCTGTCTCGTGACACCCTAGTGGAGCGATTCATAATACTTTAACTACCCTCTAAAGAACGTATTAGCACTATGGCTAGCTCTAAGTAAACCGTTCGTTCGCTATCACTAACAGGATCGATTAGATCCTCGGCTCCATAAGGAGCTAGGATCTATAGAGATAATCGTAAGAAGAGTAACCTTAAAGTAAAGTACTTCTATAGGGATAGGGCTAAGCTCGGTATATTCCTTATATAACTTAAAGTAGTGTTTACACTATAGCGAGATAAGTATAATATATATACCGATAGGGTCCTATACGCCGGACTTTATATAAAGGGCTTAGCCTTCCACTGGTTTAAACTAGTCATAGTGGATTATCTTACGACTTACTCGGACCAATAAGATAAGGAAACCAAGACTATCTTCGATAACTTTAATATTTTCGAAGCTCGACTTAAATAGATCTTTGGTATACTAGGAGAGAAATAAGTAGTAGCCCAATATATTTAGTAACTCCGATAGACTAGGTTAGTAGCCTAGTACTATACGTTGTTTTAGAGGCTTGCTACTAAACTCGATTAGGAATCGAATGCCTTTGTATTAGCCTATTACTTAGGACTAAAGAACTCGATTAAAGATAAGATAGGGATCGAGCGACCAGACGAATACAAGAAACTGGTCGCCAGATCTATTAAGATTAATAATTAGCTTTACGAACGAGCGATAGAAAGAAAAGAGTGTTACGAACCAGGCCTTATACATGGCCGCACCCAAGCTGTGACGACAGCCAGACCACAAAGGAAAGGTCAAGGGCACGTGAGACACCATCACGTGACCTCCGTGGCTCTGCTGGATCCCGTGGCTCCCAGCGCTCCGTACAGAGCCACCAGAGCCATAGAGATCACCAGGGAGCCACCAGAGATATATATACGACAGTCATTACATAGCTTTCCTTTGTAGTCAACTTCGTTAACGATCATACCCATACGTTTGAGTATTGATCAGTCTCGCTCAAGACACTCGACGTGCTCTCTTACTGCCATACCTTGCTCAGGAACCCCTTGTCTCGTGGACACCCTAGTGGAGCGATTCATAACAAGAAGGATATAATTATTTAGCTACCTTAGCTCTACGAAGGGATATAAAGACGGCCGAAGGCCGCCAACTAACTTAGGAGGATATCGTATACGATGTACGACCTCCGGATAGGTATATAGTCTGACGGGCCCCTACGGCCCTTGAGCAATGACAAGTCCTCCGTGAAATCATAACTAGCCAAGGTAAATTTCACGTGATTTCGAGTCCAATTTGTGAGCAAAAGTTCGTATGCTGTGGAAGATAGCTGCACTTCGAAAACTATAGTAGACAGAAGAATATTTTCCTTCCTATCGATATCAAGCCGCTTGTAGTCCGGACATAATGGCCAGCAGCCATTTTCAAAATGTCGTGTCACCCCAACGGAGTATCTCGCACAAAGCATTCACAATAAAATATGCTTTCTATAACAGAACCAGTGTCGTAAATCTGAACAGGTCCTTGAATGACCTAGGAGAGTCGACTTTGAGTCAAAATCGAGTAGACAACGTACGTACCGTTTCTGCGAGGGAACATCTCCTTCCAAGATAGAATTGCCACAGATGGCCCTCCACGCTTCAGCTCGGGTTCACAGGCATCTCCAGATCTTCGAGTAGGCATAGTTCCACCATCTTCTTATGGGACTCTCGTGCCAGGTTCGACAACTTCGTCAATCCAGCTATCGACCAAGTTGCGGTACTGGATCTTGGTTTCCGTAAGACTTTTGGATCTCCAGGTTACAGAATAGCGCTCGTATTTGCGAAGCATAGGGACAGCTGATTGAGTGATGCTCGCTAGTTCACAACTCATATGCTGGCACTTCAAGAAGATAATGCAATCTGGTTGAATCGTATGATTGATGGCCTCAATTCTAGGGGCTGGGGCAATCGCGGCAACGAATAGCTCTTGGTGTGTATTCTACGCCGCACCTTGGGTGGAGACAGCACAGGTACTAGCTTAGGATGTAAACAGTAGGGCCACGGATGCAACAACAAACCCATCGCAAACTTAGTGTGTTGTGAGAAGGCCAATATCGGGTCGACACGTTCCTGTGCTTGCGGAGTAAGGTTGTCCTTGTGAAATCGATGGACCTGGCACCTGCGCGGCTGGGCCAACAACGGCCGTGACCTCGACGTCGCGCTCCAGCACAACCTGGGTCTGGGCGGCGCCGTCGTCGTCACCGTCTACAAGCGCGCCGACGGGCGCACCAACACCGCCGTGTCTCAGAGCGCCGAAGAGATTGCAAAGTTGTCCGGTCTGGGCTACAATCCGGCCGTCGAGGCCCGTAGTGTCACGCGTGAATTGGCCGAGACGGTGAGGAGCAAGACGGCAAAGAACGACTACGCCCTGGGCGAGACGGCCGACAAGTTGCAGGCGAGGTTGTAGTGTAGTAACGCCCAGAAGAAGCTGGCAAGGCCGCGAGCAGACGGAAATCCCATTGAAGATGGCTGTTACCTGGTCGCTTATCCAGGAATCTCCTTCTTGGATAACCCCCTTACTTTTGGAATGGGAAATTGAGATTTTGTGGCATCCGCACCGTTCCTTCATCCAGAGTTTCAAGCCAACCAGCACTCGGCGTACCCATGTCAAGAGTCAAAATACAGCCGTACCGGCCACAATGTAGGCCGTATGCCTTGCTACTCCACGGTATTGGGTGGCTCCCGAGGTACTTTGTAACTTTAGTTGGCTGTCAAAGTTCTCTGGTTTCCAGTCTGGCCCGTGTTTCCGCTTTCTGGCTTGGTCCAATCATGCCTCAGCAGGAAGACGTTCTTTGCAGGATGGTGTGTGAACGCCGCCCATCTGGCACCGTCGGCGCGCGCCGAGGAGAGACCTCCACGTCAACTGGACGGGATCAGACACAGTGCAGTGGGAAGACACCCGTGCTTGCATCGACGATATCTTTGGTAGGCGGCCTACACGCCACAAGGCCTAAGAGGGAAATACGACATTTTGGTTACTTCTTGTCCGTAGCACTCCCTTGAGGTGCAGCAGCACAGACAGGGGGCGCCGGGCTCGGGGAAGAAGAGAAGCATTTCACGATCACCTCAACTTATCTGCTCTCATGCAGCGAGAAGGTCAAATCTTGGGTCAATTCACTCATTCCCATCTACCGGTCATCTATTCCACCGACCTGACCTGTGTCAGGAACTTCTTCGGAATATGCACATACCTAGCGCGAATAAACTCGGCAAAGGCCTTTCCCAAAGCATCAAGCCGGCTAGATGAACTGACGCCACGACCCAGAGGCCCATAAATCACAAAATGCACCGCTTTCAGGTGAGGGAACTCGACACGCTCCACAAAGTAGTCAGGCCTCCAGTCCTCGCCCATGAGCTGCTGGAGGCAGTCCGTGGTGAGAAAGCTACGAAGCCAGTCCCATTCGTCGTCGGTGTGGACGAAGAGGCCGATGTTGACATTGGCGCCTTTGTCGCCGGAGCGCGCAAGGGCCACATCCCCCAGGGGCCGGAACGCTGTCTCGCCGAAAGAGGAGAGTGGTACGGGCGAAGTAGGCTGGTAGTTACGACGAGCAGCCAGTTCCTCGTATGCAGGAGGATGTCCGGCGTCGAATGATTTGGGAGATGCACCGAGGAAGTGAACTGCTTCATGGAGCTGGGATTGTTGGACAACGCCTGGGAAAAAGGCTGGGAAACTCAGGGGGGCTAGGGTTCGGATATCGTTGGAAGAGCAGAATCTGAAACGGGATTGTTAGGAATTCTGAGGAGAGCGTCGAGGCGGAGGACTACTTGCCCAGCAAAGTGTTGCATCATATAGTACCAGTACTAGACTTGAATCAGCCCTTGGAAATGCTAATGTGACTTGAAATCTTACGGCTTTTGCGACGAGACGCAGAGGCTCCTCTTCTAGGGCTTGGGCAAACATTCGGAGGTACGTCGTTGCTTGCAACTGGTGGCTGGGGTTTTTGGCTGGAATCCCGACTCTGTGACTTAGAATTAGTTTAATGTAGCCTTTGACAGCTCCATCAGAAGACCGATGGGGGCGCTGTGGACATGAGAAAGAGGGAACTCGTCTTCCTTACCTCTGGAACTCAAACACATCCAGCTTGTCAAGAACGCCGAGCTCCTCCAACTTTGATTTCATCTGGGCCTCGAATAAATCGTACTTTCTCGACGTAGCGTACCCCGTAGCATTGATCGTAATCTCGCACTGGTAACCGCCCTGATAAAACACGGCAAATTTGGTGGTCGGAGGAGGGGGAAGTCCTCGAACACCCTTGACATGTACACTGAAGCTTTGTAAGCCCACGATTCTAGCAGCACTGTGGTGGACCCCTACCGGTTTTCAGATTCTTGCTCAACGGAAACCTCTGACAGATCAGCTTTCACACAGCTGTTGAGGTATATATCACCTTGGAGCTCGTAGAGGAGCTGACATGTGATGACATCTTTGGTCACATAACCCCGAAGCTTCTCTGCTTTCGTGATTACAGCTTCGCCTTTTGCATCGATCTCGGCAACAGGAGGACTTAAGTCGAGCAGGTCTTCCGTCGAATATTTATAGAACCCAGCAAAGTTGCCGCCCGTAGAATAAGTGGAACACTCAATTAGATGACCCGCGACTAATGCACCTGCCAATTCATCATAGGATGTATCGGACCAGCCATGCCACCACTGCGCAGCACCAATCACAGGGGATGCGTCAGAGACACGGCCACCTTTCAAAGGTCAGCTATATCTTCTGAAGACATTTCGTCCATAGTCCTACTCACAGATGACGATATCAGCTCCTTCTCGGAGACCCTTGGTGATAGCGCGAGCTCCTAGATACGCATTGGCGCTGAGGAGTGGCTGGCTGAAAACGTTCTGCTTGCGATCGTTGAGGAAACAGAGAGTCGACTGGGAAATCTTGATATCTGGGTTGGTTGAATCCAAATGATTTGCTTGCGTGGAAAGGAGCTCATCAGCCCTGTGGAGGAGATCATCTCCAGAGACCCAAGCAATCTTTAAGCTCAACCGCTCGCTATCAACCTTTGGGACTGTCAGTTACGATCGGGATAGTATGTCGCCAGCGGCGACGGAGTCGAGGAGGAGAGCTCCTCGCCATCACGTTGAGCAGTCGCCCTCGGAAATTTCCGTACAAGGACGTCAAAGCCCGTGAAGGAGGTCCAAACTTGAGGGGCATAGATCCTTTTCGACAAATGCTGTAAATAGACCTACCATTTCCTGGATCCTCTCCGCGAGACCCTTGGGATTCAACGCTCCTCCGTTTATAACCACTTTGATGCGCTTCTCGTTCAACCCCTTCAGACTCAAGGTCAGTCCTCCCAGAGCCGTTTCCTCATAGCCTGGGTGCGTTCCCGCCTTGAATGCTGTTGCGTTGGAAGCCAGGTTCATCTCTACCAGAATCAATGGTCCACTCAACAGGCCCAGCAGGACATAACTCACCGGCGAGGTAATCCCCAGTAATGACATCGGCATTGCTATACAGGGTCTGGTTGAGCATGTGAATACCCGAGTCGGGCTTCGCCCCAGCGCAGTTCGCGATCCTGATGGGCCGTCGGACAGTTTCAGACTCCGTGCATTGCGGCGATATCAAAGTTGCGTCGCCCATATTTGTAGACTACAATGTGAGTGATTGATGTGGCATGGAACAGCTGTACGAGACCAGCACCTACGGGAAGCAATCAAATGTGAGAGACGTGGCAAGGCTTGCAGATAGATCTCTGTGGGATGGACGAAAAAGGTCGAGACAAAACAACTGGCAACAACGCTAGCGTATCGACTCTAGAAAGACTGCTTTGCATTTTTTGTCAATGCGTCAAGGTTGGAAGAGGAAATAGGTCTAAAGATCACCCCTGAGTGCGGGACTCGTGGTATCCCGTTTCCCGCTATTCGGGTGAGGCGTTGCATGCTGTAAGAAAATCCTTACGCCGAGCGATAGTGCAAGCAATGATGGTGGAACCGGCAGTAACCCCAACCCGGCATTTACAATCTGTCAGCTGTGAGCCCGGCCTACTATCGGGCCCCGGACTCTCTCCCCAGCTTTGATTTTATATAACAAGCCAAGTGACTGAGAATGCCAACTCCCTAGTTGAACCGAGCAGCTCTGCGAAAGCTTACTCTGCAGTCTCCCTTCTTTCCTCCGCTTCAACCCAAGACATCATGGGGGTCGTCAAAGTCGCTGATTACCAGGGGGATGCCGATTCATACTCGGTTCCCGAGCAGACTCGGAAAGTCTTTGAAGAGGGCATCCTTCGGAATCCCCTGAATGCGAACGACTTGCCCAGAGGTTACGAAGAGTACTCCCGAAAGATTACCTTCAAGGGCTCTGACTTCCCCAGCCTTGCAATCAATTGGAGGTTTGCAGAGAGCATCTCCGCCTTGAAAGGCTTGGAAGCTGTATTCTTGAATGCTCTTCTGGTCGAAAAATATGGCGTTGAACCACAAGAGATTGTCGTTGATACGTTAGTGTTTTGAAAATTGATCTGGCCGGCCATGGCAATGCTGACCAAAGCCAGTGACCATGCACAACTCTTCGCCATGTCATGTTTCTTTTGTGAGCACTTCAAGGTCCTTGTGGAGCCGAGTCACGTTCTCCCTCTCAAGGCCTGAAACTGACTGAATGTCCCCCTAGGGACCATTGACCCCCATGGCGAGAATACGATCAGTGGGCAAACCCTTGGAAAGAAGGACTCTGCACAGCTCTACCCATTGTTCAAGAATTGCGACTATCACGATTGGTTGCAACCACTTCACCGCGGGCAAGCAACCAACATTTTCAAAACAAAAGATGGACGCTTCTTCCACATCCATGGGTCGTTGGATCCCGTGCCGATGCTGGATTTCTTTGGCTTCCCCCACCACAAACCAGAAGTCAAGACATTCGAGGAAGCCATTGTTCCCTTTGCTGAAGCCGTGGCTCAGTATGACAGCGAAGAGCTCGAGAAAAAGGTCAGCAAGGAAGTCAAAGCCGCCGGGACTATCTGTTGGACACCTGATGAGTACGCAAACAGTGAGCATGGCAAGGCAAACGCGCATGTCGGCCTGTACGAGATCTATGAGACGCCCAATCCTGCACAAAAGCCAGTTTGGTGGCATTCGACTCCGCAGACAGGAGTAGCGCGACCTCTGGCTGGCCTCAAGGTAGTTGACCTCACTCGGGTTATTGCAGCACCGGCCGTCACTCGTGGGCTAGCTGAGTGGGGTGCCAGCGTCATGAGGGTCACGGCACCGCACGTGCCTGATGCCTCCCAACTTCATCCTGACCTGCACTGGGGAAAATGGAATGCTCATCTCGATCTGCGCCACGAACAAGACCGGGAGATCCTGAAGGGCCTGATTTTGGAAGCCGACGTGGTAGTTCAGGGTTACAGACCTGGTGTCATGGAGAAGTACGGTTTCGGTTGCGCTGATATCATTCAGCTTTGCAAGGATCGCGAACGCGGTATCATCGTCGCGAGGGAGAACTGCTATGGTTACCACGGGTAAGGCGCTGCTCTCCCACCGATTACTGACCTGACCCTTTTCTTTCGTACGTACTGATAATTTTCTAGACCTTGGTCCTTCCGGTCAGGCTGGCAGCAGATCTCAGACGCCGTAAGATCTTCCAAGTCACGGCGAAATTTGCCTTGGCAGATACTGATACTGACACACCTATAGAACTCCGGTGTGTCCATGGAGTTCGGGCGAGCCATGGGAAACGATGAGCCCGTCACTCCCGTGCTTCCCAACTCGGACTACTGGTAAGATACCGTCTTCACCATCCCCGTCTCTCGGCCTCTGCCATTTCTAACATGCCACCCAACTCCAGTACCGGCGTCGCCGGACTCTGCGGAATTGTGGATGCCATCATCCGTCGCGGCCAGAGGGGCGGTTCCTGGCAAGTAGACGTAAGTTCCCACCGACGACCGTTGCCCTCCCACTCAACATCACCCTCCATGTCTTTCCCACTCACGCTGTGTCTCGATCTAGATCGCACTGAATTACTACTCGCAATGGCTCGTCAATTCGGTCGGAACATACCCGCCTCAGGTATGGGACCGCCTCTGGACGCAAAATGGCCGGCCGGTCTTCCGCCACTACCACAACATGTTCCAGATCATCCCAAGCTACATGCGGCAGTTACGCGAGAATTCGGCCGACAAGCTGTTCAAAGACGAGTTCTTTGTCGAGAGGGAGAGCGGCGCGATTGGCAAGACGGTGCGGTTTGTAGCGCCCATCTTGGCCTTTCCCGAGGGCAAGGTGAAACTGGGGTTCAATGTGGGCACGAGAGGGAACGGGGTGGATCAGCCGAGATGGCCGGATGATTTGATGACCGAGGTTGTTGTGTAGTCTGATCCTGGAGGGACAGGGCTAGTTATATGGCCGCTGGCTCACGCCGCAAATTAGAATGAATCATAGCATCAATTGCCAGACCACCCATGACCTTTCAACGTCGCTGAAGTCCCCTGTGGTACAGGTTCTGAGCCGGGAGTCGCTTACTGCCAACGCTGGTACAGAATCGTGTCTTGAACAGGCATATATCGGGTCTGTGGGGTCCCAAATCTTGGACGAAACTGTGTGCTCTTGAGGATCTAATCTGGGTGCATCAAATCCATCCATTCTTCTCTGAGGTGCTATCTGGCCCCGGCCACCCACTCCCAACATCGAACCTCTCCCACTCATCCCACATCAGTGGTAGACATTCTTGTCGGCATTCTTGTCATTCTCAAGGAAGACCTCGATCTTCGCGTTCATCTTGGGTCCGATGTCGACACAGAAGCAACAGGCTGAATAAGAGATTCGGGGTCAGCACTCGGATTTGTCCAGCCTGGTGGCATGCCGTGACGGAAGATGGAACTCACCAATAATCCCCACCACACCAAATGCAATCGAGGAGAGAGCCATGACTCGCAAGCCATGCACGTAGCTCTGCTGAAACGCCGCCCCGCCAGCCTCGATGATTGCCAGCGTAATGCCGGGGACCTTTTCCAACGCTGCAGCTCCCAACGGCAGCGCAGATTCAAAGGCCGCGACCGACGATGCAGGCAAGCCGGCTGCTCGGACGGCAGGAGGAATCAACGACGCCGCGCTCGAGCTCTGAGTGTTGACCAGAATCGTCGTGTAGACGGCAACCGCGATTGAGGCCCCGCCGAAACGGGCGACTCCGGCCAAGCCGCCCGAGATGCCCAGCTCGACCTGGTCGACTCCGAACTGGATGTACGTGATATTGAGGTACTGTGCCCAGCCGTACGCAACTTCGCACAGGAAGACGCATGCGATCATCAGGGCCTTCCTGTCTGGATTGCCCATGGCGAGGAGTCCGCCAAAGAGGACCATCAGCGTGAAAGAGCCGATCATGCTCCAGCGCCAATGGCCGATTCTAGAACCGAGAACCGAGAGGAGGACAGAGCCAGTTGCAAGCCCCAGACCTTGTGGCAGTGTCAGGATGATTGCCTTGGTGAAGGAGCTCGTCGCGTTGGTATAGAAGACGTTGATTTGAGTCGGCCAGATGATGTTGACAGAGTTGAAAAACTGGAGTTTGGCTTGTTAGCAATCGCAGCCGCCGACTCGTGAGAAGGCAGTCTTCTCACCATTGTAACAACGAAGCCCGCTATGAAAGGAGCGGTCAGATCCCGTCCCTTATTACGAGTGAAAACTCGAGTCGGCTATAGCTCTTGTCAGCGATGAACAATGGCTCCGAGGCGGCCGATAAGCACATCGAGGAATGGGGATAGTACTGACTGTTAGTGGCTGCTTCAACGAAGCAAATGTCTCCCACAATCCAAAGACGACCAGGGTTACAAAGCCAGCAACGAGGGTTCCAATCACCCGTGGGGACGAAGAGCTCTCGACGGTTGTGTAGATAATCCCGACCAGGATCAGGGTGATGGAGATGATGAAGAGAATGGCGCCAAGATAGTCGAGCTCCCGGAGCGCTTGCTTGAATGGGATTCCTCGGGGATGCTTTGGCGGATAGTAAAACGCGATCAGGCCAGCAAAGGAGAAAGCGACAGCAATTGCAGGGCCATAGGCTAGCCACCGCCACGCACCTCCATGTCGGACGCTGTAGCGCCCTGCGATAGGTCCCACAATCGTGGCGAAGTAGATTCCCAGGTCCGCCAGAACAACACCGATATGGCGCCATTTGTTGGGGAGAAGCTCGGGCAGAGCGAAAGCGGCGAGTTGGGCGTTGCCTGCGCCGAAACCGATGACCGCACACGAGGCGATCATGGCGGTGTTGTTTTTGGCACTGCCCATGACGATGTAGCCGATGAAAAGCAGGACATTGCCGCCAATGATGAACCACCGGCGGCCAAACAGGTCAGAGTTTGCACCGCAGACCATGAAAGCGATCGTGACACCCGTCGTGTAGATGGGAATCCAGAACGCGGAGCCAGAAGGATCACCAAGTTCTGTTGCGATCACGCTTTGGACCGAGCTGAGCGTGGGAACGATCCAAAAGGAGATGCCGTAAGACAGGGAGAGAATCTGGGGTAGGCTCTTAGTAAACTGCCACTCCTCGTCATAGTTTGAAATCAACCCATGCTTACCCCGACAACAATCCATGTCTTGAACGTGACAACGTATTCCTCGTCAGTGGTAGGAATTCAGGTGTCGGTGGCCTTTTCCTGGTCCTCCTTTCTGTCCGGGGCCTCGAGGTGGGCCGAATTTTCCTGGGCGGAGTCGGTCCCGCTCGGAACTGCGTCGTGAGAGACGTGATATTCTCCTGGTTCCTGGCCCATGATGTTTGATTTAGAAGCGGTTTCTATGAGAAGAGGTCCTTGGGAAATTTGAGGCCTTCACTGATGGCAGCCGTGGTCGTCGGTCTACTATAAAGGCTGATTCTCCATCTGCCCCTAAAAGTAGGGATGGCGGGACAATAAAAACCCTTTGCACTTTGTGGAGAAGAGGGTCTCGAAGCCAGGTAAAGGAGCCATGAGAACAGCCCGACATCTCGAGCCTACTGTAGTGCCATCTTGGAGCATAGTAGCGAAATCTGGGGCAGGCAGTGGCAACAGCGGCGACGACTTCAGGTGAACAACTACACTGTGGAGGCGTGGGAGAAAAGGTCGTAAGCAAAACATGACAGCCTGAGTACATCTGCGAGCGACGGCCGCTGTTGTAAGCGGTCCGTGCAGAAAGTCAAATGGCCTCCCCCAATAGGTGGGAATCTTGAGAATTTCTTTATGACAGGGTTGGGGACAGGCTGGGTTGCCCACCGGAGTTGGACTGCACCACAGGGCCGGTTCAAGGCTCAGGAACGTCAACCCACAAAAACCCCGCTTGAAGTGGCCTGGCCATACCGTTAGCCGAGGCGCTATCGCCGGCCAGGTCGAAGGAGGAAATAACACAGTAAGGAAAATCTGACAATGCGAGAAAGCGAAATCCGCGCTTGGCATTACATGAAGAGTTTAAGCCCTGCTGAATCCTTCACCTCGGCGAGTCACCAGCACGTTTTGCGGGCAATTGCCCTTAATCTCCGCGTCACTCCTCTGCTTCTGGGGAATGTCTCGGGAGCACGAGGTGTATATCAGCACGAGTAGACACAGACTTCTTATTGGTCCATTTTCTGTAGCATAGAAGCGTCAAGGCTTCTGATTAGGTGCCTTATATCGTGAGGTAGTTACTGTCCTCTGATTAGCTGATATCTTACTACGTTCCAACAGCGCGCGCTCTGAAAGAGTAGGCGTCCGCCCTTTGTTGGTAAATTTGATGGATTTGTGTGTACGGGCGAAAGAACCGCCATATAACTTTGCTGTGAGTTGCTTCGCCCACTCGTGCTGATATCCACCTCGTGCTCCCAAGACACCCCCCTGGGCCCTTCTGCGGGCTTCTGGCCTGTTCCTTCTACATTGGATTGAGGTTGACACAACTTCAACCCCTTGATTTGGCGGGCTGGCCTCGTCCTGCGAGCCACCAATCTCCTTTCGTCGTGTGGTCTGACCTCAACAGAGAGAACGCTACACGCGGAAGTAAGACTTCTCTTACTCCAAAGGCCTAGAGGAACAAGCCCAGCTAGTTGAAGCCGTGTCTACATACCTCTCTTATCCGTCCTCTCCACCTCTTCCGTCTTGTGACTTTCCGTGAGGACATGACCAGTTGTTCAGTACTGTCCAAACCGAAAGTGTGCCATGTCTGTTGCCTAGCGCCGCAAGGACCAGACTCAAACAAAAAACATCCCTTCCAAGATTTGCAGAGAACTTTAGTTTGTTTGGCAATCCAGCACAAACGTCTGTCCCGTCAAGTCTCCAATCAAACACAATAGCAACGATGAGTTTGGCTGAAAAGCGCGTTGCCATCGTCACGGGCGCCGCGGTAGGTAAACCCTCCGCCTCTCCGCCACCAATGTGTACACCACCCACGCTAACATGTCCTGGTCTCTGATAGTCCGGGATCGGAGAGGCTCTGGCTACGGAACTCGTCCGAAGAGGCTGGAGAGTCGCCCTCGTCGACATGAACGCAGATGCCGGCGAGAAGCTCGCGACTGTCCTCGGCCCCGACGCCCAATTCTTCCAGTGCAACGTCGCCAGCTATCAAGACCAGGCCAACATGTTCAGCCGGGTCTGGGAAACGTGGGGACAGATCGATGCGCTCTGTGCCAACGCAGGGATCCTTGACAGAGGATCCCTGTATATCTTCGAACACCGACACTCGGACACCATACCCCCCGAGCCAGATACCCTCTGCACAGACGTGGACTACAAGGGCGTCGTCTACGGCGTCCAACTCGCGATTCACTTCATGAGGAAGAACAAAGTCCCCGGGGGCCAGATCGTCGCGACATCGAGTGTCGTCGCGCTCTATCCCCTTCCCTCGTACCCGGAATACTGTGGCGCCAAAGCCGGGGTGCTGGGTCTGGTCCGGTGCATGGCACCGGTGTTGAAGGCGAAGGAGAATATCACCATCAACGCCGTCATGCCTGGCATTGTTCCCACGAGTATCATGCCGCAGGAAATGCTCGACGCCGTCTCTGAGGAGTGTTTGACGCCCGTGACAACCATTGTCGCCGCGTATGTGAGACTGTTGGACGATCGCGAATTGACTGGCCAGGCCATCGAGTGCTCCGCCTATAAATTGCTCTTCTCGGCGCAGCCTGATTATTTGAATGGGTGGATATCTAAACGGGCGGCGACGGTGTGGGAACCGATTTTCAAGCGAAAGCATTCCGAGTTCTCTGAATTGCCAGACGCAATAGCATGAGACATCCTAGAGATTTATATGATGCGGGGCTACTTTCTGCTCGACCTTAGACTCTCAACTGTACCATATGGCGCTTCCACGGGACCCGTTGCGCTCATTTGTTGCGAACGACCCAAAGTACGCCTTTTCTCGGATGATAGAATTGTATCACCCCTTCCTGTTCATAGCCACGAAAAGGAATGAAAGCACATGTTGCAGCCACCAGGAACACCTACTTACCACGCTGAGGGGTACTCAGACAAGAGGGACGCTTCGTGGGTGATCCAAAAAAGTCAGTCAGAATTAGCTGATAAGTCGGGTAATAAATGTCAAGGGCAGTGAACCCATCTGACCCAATCCTGGCAAGCGATTTCAGTTGTGTCCTGCCTGCTATTCACTTATAATATCTTCGCTCGTACTCCGTTGTGATGAGAATTGGAGCTCCAAGATTTACATAAAGGTGTTCACCGTCCATGGCAGAGGATAGAGAACACCTAGGCGACGCCGCGAAACCTACAGCATAGGAACCCCGGGAGAGGCACGGGAGGCTGAGAGAGGTCGGATCGTGAACTCGACATACGACAGAAGATGGAGGTTTGTATGATGACGATATGATGGCGATATGATGGCGATAAGATCACTAAAGATCCGAGAGGGTCCTGGAAGAATACATTGGCAATGATGCGGTCACTAGACGACAATGCGTAAGTACACTCGTTCGAAACCTCGACATCAGGGGAAGTGAGGGAAGAAGCAAAATGAAAGCGTACCTCCAGAGCAGTCCAAGAATAGATGCGTGGCCGCAAATTCCATACTCAGCTTCCGCTGCAAATATTTATCGAGGCCCCAGACGGTCGCAAGGGGTTGCTTGTGGCTGAGTCTTTGGTAGGGCCATTGCGAAAGGCTTGAAGGATGAGAGGGTTCGACATAAGGCATGGATTGCATGCGCAGGCCGATCCTCTGAAGGGTTGCTTGAAGGCTGTAGGGGGCTGGGAGGGCCGGCTCATCAATCTCAGCAGAATTCGCGTTTTGAGCGAAGATGTGTGAGCAGAACGTGTCGTGGACGCTGATCGCTCCACCCAGTCCCGCAACTTCGATCACGGTGTGCTCGACGATGTCTGAGACGATACTGGCTAGGTCGTAGGTCCCGGCTTGTTCGATGAGCTGGTCACGAATGGAAGGCCAGGTGAGCGTGTCAATGACGGCGCAGTATGTATTGCGGCTTGCCAGTTGAAGTGGCGTAGGGCAAAAGGGTTCTGGGATCGCCTGGCGGTTTTGTGGGGTGGGAGATATCCTCCAACGAAGGATTTTCTCCATGTAATCATTGACTCCAACCCCATAAATATAATGCGCGAGGCCAGAAGATTTTGATATCAGCTCAGTCCCAATCCGAACTAAATTGTCAATAACGTCGCCTGCTAACGCCGACCTTCCGATGTGAAGTCTCAGTGGATTCCACTTTGCGGGATCTGAGTGCAGCGGCCCCAGGCCCCGGACAAAGCCAAGTGTTGAGTGCGGCAGATTTGTGTCAATTAATTGTGCGAGGTACCGCATGCATGCCTCTTCGACCGTCCAATAGTCAGTTGTATGTAAGGTGAAGGATCGTTGAGTGAGCTCGTCGCTGTCGGGAACGAACTGCCATTGGGGCACAACATGCCGCTGTTCTTGCACTCCGTCCGGATAGAGTGCCGCTGGTGGCATAGTGGGAGCTGTGAAAATGAAGCTATTTAAAGACAGAACACCCTGCCTGCTACCGCTGTCTGTGAAGCCTGGATCATCGGGGACGACGTGGACAGTAGCAGTGCTTGGCATTGACATTGCTGCCATTGGCCACAGAGCGCACGCAGATTCTGGCGAGTCTTGTGGGGGATCATACAGGCCTGCAAAGTCCAACGCATCCAGTTCATTGACAGCTAAGCCGCTGTTAACATGGAGAGATGTGTGCCGGAGGACTTCTTGCATTGGTTCGCCTGGCGACGGAGGGTTTCCTTCATGAACCTCCCCCGGAGCCAAGTTTGTCTCTGAGGCTCTCTCGATTCGCTCCGTTTGGTGGAGGACCTCGGACCCTGTGGGTGCACTTCTTTTTAGGAGTAAATCAACGGCTGCTGGGTCATCTGAAATCACGGGTCAGGACGGGTGTGAGAACAGGATCCATGTTGTAGGCCCGCAAGCGTACCTGCGGCAGCAGTAGCTGCCGAGCTGAGCGACAGCAGCTTCTTCCGCATCTTGAGCAGAGCATCCCTCAAAAGACTATTCTCCTCCATCAAAGCAAATTGCTTGTTCAATAGGTCTTTGTATTGCTCTGCACTTGGGACTATTGTGGAACTTTGTAAGCCGGTCAGTGGTAGCCAAAGATATGAGGCTGGCGCAGGTGCACCTGGACGAACTTACTCCGCGGAGGATTTGATCAGCTCTCCCAAAGTCTCGAGTTGCTTAGCACGGACACGGTTCTTCTCCCGAAAGCATTGCTGGGAGAGCCGGTTCTGGGCCCTCTTCCGGCTGACGCTGTCGCGCTGTCTGCGTCCATCCTTTTCTGTGCACTTGGCCGTCAGGTCTGCGACGGGATCCGCTGGCCGGTTTCTAGGATTGGTAGAAGGCTTGCGAACATTCATGACGAGATGACACGGGGCGTTGATCAAGGGAGCGGAGGCACCGAGAGGAAGAAGAAAGGAACTGGAGAGGCGTTAGCTTTTACTCCACGCGAGGCCGAGGGCTTGAGGCTTGGCGCCGGTCCCCAGCTCCAAGTTCAGAACGAGACGTGGGGCAAGGCTGCTCCACTATGTAGACCGAGGGGACTCCAGCAACGTTCCTTATAGGCGGGGGAAGCGGCTGGCAACACGCTGATAGTTCCGGAAGACGATTTCCCTCCAGTCTGCCTTGTGACCGCTAAACCGACTATACTGTCTGTACCTATTCGTGGCAGCGGCTTCGCGACGCAGAATTCGACGCTGAGACCGACTATTTCCATCCCTGATGCATCCAACTGTCCAAACCTTGTCGACAGCACACACACTCTCTTGGAGCTTTCTTTTGGTAGGCCGAAAGTCCAGGTTCCAGGCCAGATAAAGGAGTTGCCGCCCATCTGTTCTCCCGTAGGGTGATCAATACGCCCCGAATTGCCGACCCACGCGACTCAATGCACCCCTGGTAGGGATCCATTTGGAGAGCAGGGTCTTTGCCCTCCCCAAAGTACAAAGTCCAGGCCCCACAAGTGCTCAAGCCCATGTGGACGAGGACTCGTACTGTACACGAGATGGTGGTAGAGCCTGTCCCAGGTTTTGGTTTGTCCTGTGTCACAGTGTCCTCCTTATGCAACCGTAAACCCTGGCGCCGTCCCCATCCCGCAGGCAATAAAGCATTCTCATCGCTGCTGAGGCCCTCCCTGCGGAATGACAGAGGCAAGGGCATTTGCAGCAATATCTCTTACAGGTTCGGCTGGATATGCAGCAGTTGTCTCTGCAAACACCACAATGTACCTGACGAACACGAGGACGTTCATGACTTGGCAAAACCCAGGTTTGAATGTCAAATGTGGAAGAGGAAAGAGATGATGCCAATCGAGAACCCATGACAAGTAAATTGGGTACTCACGATACTAGAACTTCCCAGCTGGAAAGTTGAATATGGGATCTAGGACAAGTCCTCAGGAGGAAATGATCACGAGTCGACTTCGAGTTACCAACTCAGTCGAAACTGGTGACCGTCCTCTTGTGGCCATACCATCGTTCAGTCTCCCTTTCCATCTCCTCGACGATGCACTCCCGCTGTTTCAGCCACGTTTTTATGTCCCGGTATTATCCTTTCGTCGCGGTTTGGCATCTTGAGAGCTAAGTTGTCCGAACCGCACAATGAGGCTGCTGCGATCTTGAACAAGGATCGATTTGGCGCTGTGCCTTTTGGCGCTGCCTCGGGCACTGGCAGCTCGCTTGCGGCGATGCTCTTCAACTTCTGAGAGTCTCGACCTCGCGTTTCATGCCTCACCAGAAGCTGGTCATGTCGTGCTCGGCATCGAAGGACTGGTTCCTGGTCAGGCTGACAAGGTTGGCGAAATGGAGAAGCCGCAGGTAGCCGACAAGGGTCGAAGGCTGAGCTTCAAGGTACATGTTAGCGGCTGCCTGCAGCTGAAGCTCACCCTCGTGATTCAAATGTTTCACGTCTGTGCCAACCAATCTTGAAAACTGTGGTGTATGTTCACAATGTTGATTTTAGCTATTGTGTGAAGAACAGAGTTCGAGTATCTCACATCTTAATCGAGGGCCTATGTACTTCACGGCGGAGCTTTCCCTGTCAAAGGAAGGCTTTCGGGCCACAATCATGGCGTTCTTCCCGGCCAGCTTCCCCCACTTACAACCGTATGTTGCAATCTGCTGCAGACTCGCTGACGGGGACCGACGTTGCGACGAAGCTGTGGTAAGCAATTTCTGACACAAGTGTTTGAGCCAATAGGACCAGCGGAATTGATTCACTCTGTTTCTGCTGGACGAGTCACCATTGCCAAAATTCGAAGTCTGCCCCAACATATCATGAATTCTTCTCGCTCTGAATTAATCTATTGTGGACTGTCGACATTCGTGCCCTCCATTCAATCGATCAAACGCTCGAAAAATGGAAGGACCTGCATTCCAATGCCTCCCTCCATGGGTTAAAGCAAAGCTCTCACCAAAGGCAATTGAGTGCATTCAGAAGGTCCACGACTGGGTTGAGAATGAGTGTATTCCAGCCGAAGAAGTTATGAAGGAGCAACTGAAGAAAGACCGATGGCAGACTCCGCCGCTAATGGGCGAGCTGAGACGTAAAGCAAAGGCGAGGGGCCTATTTAACCTATTCCTTCCACATCATTTCAAAGAGAGCCCCGGGCTTACGAACCTGGAGTATTCCTGCTGCGCAGAAATCATGGGGAGGTGTTATTGGGCTGCACAGGTAAGGTGTCCTTCCACTAAACCCATTGTCCAGACTACTTATCTGAGTGCGTGCTAGACCATGAATTGCCACGCTCCAGAAACAGGAAACATTGAGCTGCTTGCGAAATATTGTAACGAGGAGCAGAAGAAGAAATGGTTGCAACCCCTGTTAGACGGCACCGCCTCGTCAGGATACTCCATGACAGAGCCAGAAGTCGCATCTTCTGATCCCACACAGATCGCGTGCCGCATGGAACGAGACGGGCGAGACTACGTGCTCAACGGCCGGAAAATCTTTGGAAGCTCCTTGTCTAACAAGGACCTCACCTTTTACATCCTCATGGCCTGCTCGGATCCCGAGAACCCCAATAAATGGGCCCGCCATTCCATGGTCATCGTCCCGGTCAACACGCCTGGTATCACACATGTCCGCAACCTAGATATCATGGGCTACGACATGGCCCCGGAAGGCCACGCAGAATGTGTATATACGAACGTACGCCTCCCTGCAGAAAACATCATACTAGAAGAAGGCCGGGCCTTTGAAATAGCGCAGGGCCGCCTCGGGCCTGGCAGGATCCACCACTGCATGCGTCTGATCGGGCAATGCGAGCGCGCGTACGAGCTCGCGCTGATCAGAAGTATCGATCCCCGAAAAAGGCCACGGGGCAAGCTTATCGGCGAGTTCGATTCCAACATCGAACGGATCGCGCAGATGCGGCTTGAGATTGACTCCTCCAGACTCGTTGTCCTGAATGCGGCCGACACGATGGACATTTCTGGCAATAAGGCGGGTAAATACGTTATCGCCCAGAGCAAGATCTTGGTACCGTCTATGGCGGCGCGTGTCATCGATGAGTGCATGCAGTTGTACGGTGGTCTGGGCTTGACTCAAGAGACTTTATTACCTGAGATGTGGACGTATGCCCGGTTTGTCAGACTCGCCGACGGACCAGACGCCGCGCATCGCTATCAGGTTGGGAGGGCGGAGCTGCAGGCAGCTCCGGTGTTCAGGGAGCAGCATCAACGATATCAAGACAAGCGGAACGAGTTGGCGAAGAAGCATCGTTTGCAGTCCGGTCGCGCTCTTCTGTAATCACCTCAACCAGCCCTGTAATTCGAAGCGTCTCTGGGGGTCAAAATTCGAGGTGCTGGCGCCCTTCAGTATCACATCACATCCCCAGCCCTGTGAAGGGTAGTGAGGGCATAGAGGCCCAACGCAAGGTGTACAATGCCCTGAGTGGCAACGATCCGGTTGGATCCGGTTGAAGGGAGTGAGTTGATGGACAATTCGAACGATAGTTCAGGTCGGTTGTATACGAGCTACAGCGCACTCAAGCCGACCTTTCCAAGGTTGTCATGCACGGCTTCAAGTAAGGTATGACGCTCTAAGATGCTGTAGCTTTCCTGAGAGGATGGGATATAGTAACAGCTGGTCACGTAAAAAGGACAGCACTTGGAAGCGAAGCTATCGGTACTAGGTACCTAGGTACTTCTGTGATCATCTCAATCAAGGCCTTTGCCTTGTATTCGAGTCTGTAGTTCCACACGCCGTGGTCGAGCTTGCTCTAGTCTGTTCAACAACCCTGCAGTTGTCTGAGTCAAACTAGTCGGGTCGATCAACGTAATTGGCTCTGGTACCCGTCTTCCTCATCGGGCGTCTTGACGACTCCGTTCAAACAGCAAGTGCGATATGAGTTCTCCGGTCCATAGGATCGTAGCGAGTGCCGGATCCAGGACTCAGTCTGGCAATGGTGAAGCGTTGACCGAAGTCACAGTCTTTGTTCTTCACATTACCACTGGTCCATGCCACAGTCCGCTGAAACCCTCCTCACTTGCAAGAGCCGGACTCAACTCTCCCGGAATCATCCTGTTCCTGTTCCTGCCCAGTCTTCTTCTCCGTCTCCATCCCCAACTCCTTCAACATCTCATTCACACTCCTCGCCCTACCCCCAGTCCCGTCCTCTCCCAGCGTCTGATTGTGTTCATCTTCAAGTCTAGAGATCTCAGGCCTGCCTCTTTCCTTGTCTGCACGTTCATCCCTCTCCATCTTAATCACAGCCCAGCGCACGTTGAGACTCGCATTCCACCCCTCTGCCTCGTCTGACCAGGCCCACGTCCTCGGTCGTTGGTTCGTGACCATCTCTGCTCCAGCATACGCACGAGTTCAGGCGAGCGAGGCTCGAGAAAGACCAGCTTGGTGATGCGATACCAGCCAGCGAACTTGAATGTGCGAGCCATGAGGCGTTGGTCGTGAGCTCGTCCTTGTGCGAAGATCACCCTCCTTCTTCCCTCTGCACTCATTTATTGACGCCTTGGCTGCGTCGGATGCAAGATTGACATCGGGTCCGGGGTCCAAATTATCAGCAAGTCCAGCCGGGAGCAAGTCTAAATTCGACTTTGTAAAGATGATGCCCTCTTTCTCACAGCGTGGATTGGCGTCATTGAACAGCAGCATGTAGCTGACCACATCTGGGGTCTTTGAGGAGGCATGGAGCGTGGACTGCTTGAAATCCTTGAAGGAGTCATCAGTGATGCGGGACAGTATTGAGCAGTTTTTCTCGTTCTTTTCCCCCTCTCATACAAGATGGATTCTATCTTCAAAGCATGGCCGGGCGACAAGACAGCTCGGGCAGTTCTCCTTGCATTATCGCACGCCTCACGATATTCATTGGCGTTGCCGCAGAATAGGGGGCACGAGTCGAAGCCGTTCAGCGAAAGTAAAGGCGTCTCAACCACCATCTCCTCCGGCAGATGAGTGCGACCAAGATACTGCCAGCAAGGTCGTGGCCGGTGGTCCCATTCGCTCTTCAGACAAGGTCTAGTGCTTCGCCGAATTGAAAACTTGGATCGATTCACGTTTGGCTTAGATCTGACCAACTACTTCGTCTTGAAAGGCGATCTATCGTCAAAGGAGAGCGTCTACTATATCAACTTATATCACTGCCAACTCTTTCTTGACCCAGATTTCTCGCAGCTCTAAGGTGCAGAATTCGTCCACATCTGTACAGATCATTCATGAGAGCTCTCCCTCTTCTCAAAGTCGTCAAATTCCACCCGCAGGTAGCGCCACGATCTCTGCTGGCACGTGGACTTTATGTCTTGGGGAGGGGCTCTGTTTCCCCTTACATATTTACCCTCGGACAGATGTTCATCGTTTCGGGCTCAACCTTCTATTAGCAACTTTGGTGAGCAACAATGCTTCCAGAGTGAGAGCCTTAAAACCCGGAGTTAGTGCAAGGGCGTGAACTAAGGTCAATTAGTTCCATCTAAGCGCAAAGGTATCAGGTCAAGCTCCATGTTTGCGGTCGACATCCTCAGCTGTGCTTATTTAGATGCCTACGAAGTACCTAATCCCAGAGTGCAACTTACGAAAATGCTAGATGATGTCGGCAAAAGGGGTTCTGTGTAAGTTATGCCTAAAACAGGGAATTGTGGATCTGTGACATTCTGTCAATTCTTCGACGACAGCCTGATCGGGTGGGGTTCCAGCCCTGCACCTGCGCGCATATGATTTTTGCAACGTTCAGACTACGCCGAGAATGCCGGGAATCCTCTTCGTTTCCGAGAAAAGTCATGGTTCCCTATATGCATATGATGACGGAACAAAATTATCACGGGCTCAGCCTTGAGCCAACACAAATCAAGGGGCGTACCAACTCGGTGCTGGCCATGCGGTCGTGAAGAAGCTGCCGAAAGCGAATGAAGATCTCGTAACCACTAACCCTTCAATGTATGCTAGCCAGCGGTTCGATCTTACCGCGGCGAGCGTTGCATGACTGCTTACCTCTACAAAGTGTATAGTATGGAATCTTTCACGAAGGCGGGTGGCCTAGTCCCGTGTTCCGCAGCACTAAAGAATGAAGCAGAACGCGGCAAAGCCAGGCTCGGCTTTGCTCGAGGGCGAGGCTGACATATCACGCATTTGGGATGTTGGTGGAAGATCATCAGAACAGGTAAATCCTAAAGTCTGCCAAACGTCGATCAATTTGTTGCCAAAGAAACGTTGATCACCTGGATTATCCTTTGCAGCGCACGAAGTGGCACTCCACAGTATTCAATAAGATGGCAGTGTTTATGGAAGAGACATCCATGGATAACGTAATTGACAAGGTTGAGGGCAGGAACAATCTTGTGGTTACGGATCAAGAGAACGTCCTCCGGGCTTCCAAGGAAAAAGCTGCCTTCAAGCGAACACCCAAATTTCCACTGGAGAACGTGCCCGGCAAGCTCCCTCACGCACGCATACCCGACGATGTTGACGTGGCCAGTGTCGCGGCGAAATGCGTTTCCAACTTGAACACACTGCAGTCCAGCTCCTTCGCCGACGGCGCAATCTGGCGAGACCTTTATGCTCTGACTGGTCTGCCTAGGACCTTCTTCGAGCGTACTCAGATACTGCCGGTATGGAAGGAAGTTGGGGCATATCAGCGCGCTAGAGGTTTCTCGCTCGTCCCAGGAACAGCCCGTGTCATTTCCTTTGGTCCTGAAATTGGATGGATACAGGCGAGCTATCGGTTTGAAACGTCGGGAATACCGGCAGCAATGTGCTCAGGTTTGATAGGAGTGATACCCGATGAAGAAGGACAGTGGAAAATCTGGCTCCTGACAACGGTTCTGGAACACTTGAGAGGCTTTCCGAGTCCAGATCGTTTCCCTCAAGCTTCAGACGCCAACTATGACGTTACTCAGATCAAACATTCTGATCCTTATGAGTGTGTTGTCGTAGGAGCTGGCTTTGCAGGCCTCTGCATGTCGGGCCGTTTGAAAGCACTTCACGTACGATATCTTACACTGGAGAGGAACGCGAGAGTTGGTGACAATTGGATGAAGCGATACGATTCGCTAAAGTGTAGGTCGCCTGGTGGTTACAAGCTGAACTCGTGTTGACCTTGAATTCTCACAGTCCATACGGGCCGTGACTTGAGCAACTTTCCGATGGACAGGATATTTACGGAAGACGACCCGTACCACCTGACTCGAGAAGACCTGGCCCGAGGCTATGAGACTTTCGCGAACAGGCATGAACTTGTAGGTTATTGGCTGGCTGACCATCGGATTTTGCTTATACTGACATGAAGAATAGAACATAAGGACGAAGTCCACTCTCAAAGCTGCCTCGTATAACAAGGAGCAGGAGTTCTGGACCCTCCAGGTAGTCCAAGACGATGAAGAAGTGCTGGTCAAGACACGCCATCTTGTCTTCGCAATGGGTAGTGCAGGGACCACTCCTGTCATGCCGCAGCTTAAAGGCAGGGTGAGGCTCATTGCCGTATGTTCTTTTGGTTCGAAGACTGACCAATATTGTCAGGAGCTGTTTAAGGGCACTGCAATCCATTCAGTAGAGTACAGCAACTCTGACGCTTTTGGAGGGAAAAAGGGGGTAGTTGTTGGAACGGCAAACTCTGGTGAGAATAAGTGATCGTTCTGCTGCAATAGAGTATTGACATGAGCATAGGTCATGATGTTGCGGATGATATGCTGAGGGCAGGCCTCAGTTCCGTAACCATGATACAGCGTGGCAAAACGCGTACGTCTGCACTCTGCTCCAGCCCGGCTTGATATCATGCTCATGTCGTTGGCAGAAATATACCCAGCTGAATACAACAGCGGTTGGAGTGATCGTGAGTCACCAAGATCGCTGTGTAAATGAGGGGACTGACAAGGATCTAGCCATATATGTACGTTCTGCATCGACTGTTCTCGACGCGAAGATGGCGATTCCATTGCCATTTTCATCCGCTAGCAACACGATGGCCCGTCACTGACAGCTAGCAACCATCACAGAACAAGCACGTACCTATAGAGGTAGCGGATCGAGCGGCGATAGGTCTGCCAAATTCCATAATCAGACAGATGAATAAGGGTGGCTACAAAAAGCTCTCTGCTCAGGAACCTGAAAGATATGCAGCTGTGGAGAAGGCAGGTTTTCGGATTGAGAAAGATGTCGACATCTGGCCTTTGCTTTGCGGCAAGCAGGGCGGTCATTACGTCGACGTTGGAACTTCCAAGAAGATTGGAGATGGGCTGGTACGTTGCAATCGCTTCGTGAAATGGTCGATGTGTGACAGGCTGACCTCATGTGATTGCTTCAGATCAAGATCAAGAACGACGCCTCGTTGGTAGGCTTCACCGAGTCTGGCCTGCTGTTCGACGACGGAAGCACGCTCGAAGCAGATTTCGTCGTGTTCTGCACAGGGTTTGCGAATGACGCTCGAGACCTAGCCATTGACATTGTTGGTCCAGAAGTTGGCGAACTGCTTGACGACTACTATTTCGTTGACGATGAGGGTGAAATACGTGGAGCATGGAAGCCTCAAGGCCGTGAGTCACCCATCACCCACTCTCCTTACATCTCGCATGATCGTGAGCCGCGCGGACAAACAGGGATCACTAGACTGACAATCCTTGTTGGTAGATCCTGGTATATGGTATACTGGTGGAGGTGTACCGTTCGCCCGATTCTTCTCGAGGTTTCTGGCGCTTCAGATCAAAGCGGACATTATGGGAACACCTTTGAAGCTTTACAGAAAGAAAGGCTCAGAGATCACAGAGGGAAGAACACCTGCATATAGGTTTGCGTTGCCACAGAGGCGCACGGGGAGTTCAAATTGCATATGATGCCCTGTTGACGGACTGTGGTATGAGTGACTTTTCATGTCATTTGCTACCTTTACATATCTCGATAGCCCTGCCGTACACCGCCATTGTTGATGCATCTCTCTCACAGAGCTTCGAATCGACATTGGCATCTATCATTTTCATCGAAATGACTTCCACAGGAGTAGCAGAAGTCGGCACCACACACGCACTCCATGTCGTTACAACCGTCGACACGCTCAACCAGATTCAAGCATTTGGGACACTGTTTCCATTTGTTTTGATGCCCTAAATCCTTCAAAGCCTTGAGATCGGCATCATCGACTGGACAGATCAGTCTGTCGCGATCTTCGCCCAAAGAATGCCTAGAAAACTCATTTCTGCAACTCAAGCATGTCAACTTGGCACAATCACCACAATAGCGAAGCTCATCACTGATCTGGTTGTTTTCCGGAATGAAAGCCGAGCATCTCTGGTCGGCGCAATACAGTGGTCGGTCTGCGTTAGATTCCTCCTCGATCGCCTCGTAGCGTTCGACAACTTCTCTGTCTAACAAATTGCTCCAGATGTATATGTGCAATGGTCTGCCGCAGCATTTGGGTGGAAATGACGCTTTCTTCGCACAGCCAGCGCGGAAAGGTCGTTCAGACATTTTTGACAGTAGGGACATCGGCATTCGAGATATTGTAATGAGTTGATGTCGAACTCTTCCCTACAAGCTGTGCAAGTACCTAGGCGGGTTTGAAGTTGAGCAGACTGTTGTGTGCCCCCAGAAATTAGAGCCAGCATTTCCAAAAAGAGTGTGTGTTGGCCAGGGCCGCCAGGCTCAGCCAATGCTTCTTGGAGGAAGGAAACTGGTGGGGTTTGGGAAGGTTCGTGAGTTCTTGAGCGGTTCTCAGCATTCTCATCTCTCGTAAGAGCATCGTCATCTTCGTCCGTGGGCGATCGTGCAGAAAGAGACGACATATTCGTCAAGAGGCAGTCGATCGAGGGAACGCTCCGGTGTATGGCACAGGCATGAATGGATCGGGGGCGTAGATTGCGTCGAAGGCAGTCAATGAGGTTGAAATCGGGACTTTTGACGGACGGAAAAGACTGAAAGACTGTGGATGACGCTGTTTCGATGTCTTCCCTCGCTTGCTACCGCAATCAGAGCAGCAGAAGAACTTATGGGGCGTATGAGGCCGCTGAGCAAAGCTGATGAGTATCAAACATGCTGAGAAGAAGATTTTGAAAGCAGCTCGGAGGTGACTGCTATGGACTGTTGCGATGATCAAAATGTAGACTATCAAGGCTTACCAGGGCGCGGGCGCGGACAGGCCTGATGCACGTACAAGCTGCCCATGCGAAACGCATCATCGACGACATAATCGACAAGGTAAAAAGACCTGCTAAGCCAAGAGGGTCGCGCTCTGTGAAAGAACAATCCGGAAGGAGTTGGCTGACCACTCTCGTCGATCTGCGCGAGGTGCATTTTCAATGTCTTGTACACTTGAACAAGTTTGACGAGACCATAATCCGCAACTGGTACCGGCGGCTGCTCGCATAACAGCTAAAGCCATCAATTGCACAAGCTAGACGAGCAAAAGAGACGGTTGATCCCTGAGACGGAATCTGTGCTCCTCCTAGTACCTCCATGGATCGGACACGAGAAAGGAGGGTCGCCCTCCGACATGATCAACGCACATGAAAGGCCCAGAAAGGGACATTGTCACTCCCAGTCAAGCGACAGATATCTATATATATTAGCTCTTGTTGCATATGTTGTTATTGGGATTGAATCTGGTTCAAAGCCGAACCTCATAAAGAGACCAGGCTGGACAGTGCTTTGGGAGAGCAAGGAATGGAAGCGGCGCGAGGTGACTGTCGCGATGTGACTGTCGCGATGGGGTCCTTCACCAGGACAGCCGACCAAACAAACCATACAAGCCAAGCATCCAGTCATGGGGACGACACGTGAGCGCGAGATTGGCGCAGTTTCTCCGAGTCGGACAACGGAAGCTTTCGGTCAAGGTTTGGAGCTGGTTGTTGTAACTCCTCATTCTTCAAATCCCCCATTAACAGCTTTTTGATCTTCATTGATCATTTTCAATTCTATTCTTCCCAGCGTCAACCCTCCCTTGTTCCTTCGATCATCTTACAGCCAACATGTCTTTCGCACGACAGATGTTCGGACAAGTTCAGCGCCGGGCCTTCACGGTCTCGGCTAGACAGGTGAATACCAGATCCTCCAATGCTCCATGAAATTCTGAGCTAATCATCATGTTCGGTAGTCCTCCAAGGTCACCGTCCTCGGTGCCGCAGGCGGTATCGGCCAGCCGTTGTCCCTGTTGATGAAGCTCAACCCCCGCGTTTCTGAGCTCGCTCTCTACGATATCAGACTCGGTCCAGGTCCGTTCATCCGCAGACTATAGACAAGATCAAAGAGGATTGACGAATGGTCGATGAACAGGTGTCGCAGCTGATATCAGCCACATCAACACAAAGAGCACAGTCAAGGGCTACGACCCAACTCCATCAGGTCTGCGGGAATGCTTGAAGGGTTCTGAGGTCGTTCTCATTCCGGCTGGTGTTCCCCGAAAGCCTGGCATGACCCGTGACGGTATGAGAAAGCTGCATCACACTGGAAATCATGGCTGATAGAGTCCTAGATCTGTTCAACACCAACGCCAGCATTGTCCGCGACCTTGCAAAGGCTGCTGCCGACGCCGCCCCAGACGCCAACATTTTGGTCATCTCAAACCCTGTATGCTGCTCTCCAGGAAATGGACATCTCATGTTCTAACCACAGAATACAAGGTCAACTCGACTGTCCCCATTGTCCGCGAGGTCTTCAAGAGCAAGGGAGTCTACAACCCCAAGCGTCTCTTCGGTGTCACCACTCTAGATATCGTCCGAGCCTCGCGATTTGTCTCCGAGATCAAGGGCACCGATCCCGCTACCGAGAACATCACTGTCGTCGGTGGTCACTCCGGTATCACCATCGTTCCTCTGCTCTCCCAATCTGGAGCTGGCGACATCACTGGCGAGAAGCTCGATACCCTGATTAACCGCATCCAATTTGGTGGTGATGAAGTCGTCAAGGCCAAGGATGGAGCTGGTTCTGCCACCCTCTCTATGGCCATGGCTGGTGCTCGCATGGCTGAGAGCTTGTTGAAGGCTGCACAGGGCGAGAAGGGTGTTGTGGAATGCACTTTCGTCGACAGCCCATTGTACAAGGACCAAGGTGTTGACTTCTTCTCTTCCCCGGTTGAGCTTGGCCCAGATGGTGTCCAGAAGATCCACGGAATTGGCAAGATCACCAAGCACGAAGAACAGATGTTGGAGGCTTGCTTGGGTGGTAAGTCTCAACCAGACCCTACACTATGGCAACATGGCTAACGTGATTACAGACCTCAAGAAGAACATTCAGAAGGGTGTTGACTTCGTCAAGGCCAACCCATAGATGAACATCTCTACTTCATCGTGGATGAATGTATGTACTAGAAGCGCGGGAGTTGCAGCATTTTGGACAAGTCATGCTAGGTGTTCATCGTCTGGGAAGATACCATCTCAAGCCTGACAAATCCGAAAAACTCCATATCCTGCACTTTTAGTCCGCGCCCAGACTGGCTTTCTTTCTTGCTCTGTGCGAGTATGTAAAATACGGACTCATTCGAAGTCCACTTCCTCCATCCCATAACAGACGTCATACCATTCACCAACAAGTTACCTTCGTTCAGGAACACTTGCTTTCCCAACGCTCACGGATCCGCTATCTTCAGAATGCTTTTCCCTAGATTCTCACCCTTCAGCATACCCAAAAATCCATCGATCGCATTGTCCATGCCGTCAGTAATATGGTCTATGGACTTTAGCGAGCCATCGGCGATCCACTTTGAGACATTGGCATCACGCTCCTCCTGCCATTGCCTGATGTTGGGGTCCAACACGATGAACCCCTGATACCGAAGACGCTTTCGCACTACGGACCCGTAGTTCTTGATGCCGTAGGGCGTGGTGTTGCTCCCGTTGTTGTATGTGCTGATCGCGCCGCAGGCTATGATCTTGCCGAAATCTTTCATGTTGGCGAGGGCTACGTCAAGGAGTTCGCCGCCGACGTTGTCGAAACTACTCAAAGTCAGCATGTGCAGTGCCGGGCGGAGAAGCACTTACTAGATATCCAATCCGTCTGGCGCGAGACGTTTGACAGCATCAGACATCTTTTCGGTTTTGTAGTTGAAGCCTGATGTGAAGCCAAGCTCTTTGGTTATGAAGTCGAGTTTCTTGTCGTCGCCGACGGAGCCGATGACCTTAGGTTGTGGTTAGTATTGGAGAATCATGGGTAGCATGGAATGAGACGTACATGAAGACCCTCGCGGACAGCGATTTGGCCGACCATTTGACCTACAGCACCAGCGGCGGCAGAAACGAGTATCATATCGCCCTTCTTGGGCTGGCCGATCTCGTGAAGAGACCCGTACGCCGTCATTCCGGTCATGCCTAGCGGTCCCAGATAAGCTGTCAGCGGGACGACGGTTTTGGGGTGGATGATTTGTGTTCTTTCGACCTCGGATTCATCGACAGCTGAATATGACTCGGTGTAGTGGCTCCACAGGATCACGGTGTCGCCTGGTTTGAACTTCGGTGTGTCGCTTTTGAGGACTTCGCCGATCACACTTACGGAGACGACGGGTTTTCCTGGCTGCATGGCCGGCGAGTACGACTTGATGCTGAGGTCTCGCATTCGTCCTCGCTGGCTCGGGTCGTATGCGGCATAGAAGTTCTTGGTGGTGAAGCCACCCTTGGGAGGTTCGCCATCTTCATCGAAAGTGATGTCTTCGACTGCTAGGTCTTTGCCGGGGACGGGCCACCCATCTGGGATGGACTTGTAGATGAAAGCTTTGTTTTGGACCATGTTGACGGACGAGAACGATGGACAGATTTGGACAAAGCGTGGTCGATGTTGATGGATGTCTGGGTAAGTCCACCGGGGAAAATTAGCAACTTTATAGGTGTATAACTTGAGCGGCTATATAGAGGGTATACACGGTCAATTCGAGTGCACTGTAACAGGCCCAGCAACAGTCATCAGGGGGTTTTGTAAGCAGTTTAACCGTCAACAACTCGGCGATAACTTTACTAACGCCTCGGCACGTTGACTGGCCGCTAGGGTTTATTAGTAATAATGCTTTTGTGCATAGTAATCTCAACGCATAAAACAGTATCGCCAACGTAGGTGGTAGATAGAGTGATAACGGGAGTTTGGGTCTTTGGCTGCTCGTTGTTGCTGACAATTTGAAAGTATGTCTAGGAATGTTCAATGGTCTCCATCAGCAAAGAGGAAATCCCGTGCGTGTCTCACTCAGCGGGCTAAGGCCGCTATAGTCATCATCGATAGGGGTTCCCCGCACCTAGCTGGACTGGCACTACTGGACATGACCAGTGCCTGCCAGTCTTCCCCAGGAACAACTAATGAAAATAATTAATTAAGTTTATTGATAAACCACCAGGCTAGGCTGCTGTACATACACGGAAAAATTATTAATAAACTTGTATGTCCTTTGAAGAAGCCCTTTCTAAGTACTTTTCTCAACCTCGACCTGGCTGCAGTTCCATGTTTCGTCTAGCCAAGTCACGTTTTCTGGCTTCAGTCACGGTAAGCTTGACTCAAATTTCTCGCTAGCCGCATGCACTCCCACTCCCACTGCCTCGCAGCAGCTGCACTTTCAACGAATTTGATCTTATCGACCATTTGGGTGGTTGTTTTGAACTGTCTCACCACTTCGGCCGGTTTGGTTCTTGTTGTCTTATTTGTTGCATTCCAGCGTCTTACCTTGCTACTTCGCCCTCGACTTCAACAATTTTGTTGTCCTTGTTCCATCTCTACCCGAAGATCTCACAATCATGGCTGTGCTTCCAAGTCCCCATGACCTCCAGCAGCGTTTGCACGACTATCGTGCATTTGATGAGGCTCGACAATCCGAGTTCGACTTCCTCGTTCAATCCTGTTTAAGATTAAACACCGAGAGATCTACACTGCAAAGTGACTTGGACGACGAAAGAAACACGCGCCGCTCCTGGAAGAAACGTGCCGAAGATGCGGAAGCCCTCCTTCAACGCAAGTTTGTCGTGGTTCTCGTTGACGGAGATGGCTACCCATTCCGCAAAGCCTTTTACGATGCCCTTGCGACTTCTGGAGGTTCCAAAGCCGCCAATGAGCTATACAACGAAGTAATGAACAACCTTAAGACCGCCGAAGCTTTTCCAAGTATCAATGCTGATTGCGACGTACTTGTCAACATCTATGCCAACAAGAATGGCCTGGCAAGAGTGCTAACTGCCTGCGACTATATCAATCACCCTTCTCAAATTGATCAATTCTTCTGTTCTTTCACTCAAAGTCGAAGCCTGTTCCAATTTATCGACTGTGGTCATGGTAAAGAAAGAGTGGACGCAAAATTAAGAGGTGAAGGACAAATTGCAACTCTACCAATAGCATGATATTGACGATCTTTGCAGATACCTTCCGATTCTATGCCTATAACGCACAGTGCCAGCGCATATTTCTGGCCTGCTCTCATGACAACGGTTATATTGCAGAGCTCGACAAATACCGTCATGATATGATAGTGGTGCCAAAGGTCATGCTAGTCCACGCAGCCCAGACACCGTCAGCTGCCAAAGCCTACGCACACCTACCGTTCAAACACACCAGATTCGATAAGGTCTTCGAAACCACAGCGCTAGATATTACCACCAAGATGGATGCGGCTTTCTCAGCAACTCATTTGAGTGAACCGTATGTGGATACAGCAAAAACGCAGCAGGCTGTGAACGAAGCAACACCAATTCCAACCAGGTCGACTCACTCTTCCGATAACAGTGCACCAGGCTTGCAACCGTTGACACCGGTGAACTTGAATACGAAAAGCACCTCACAGGTCGCCTCCCCGCCCCCACCAGCCGAGGTAGCCAGAACTAAACCGCCTACTCCAGCTAATTCAGCTAACGGCACGGCTGATACTAAGAAATCGATTCCTATCAATCGCTTTGGTCAGAGAATCGACCTAAAACTTCGCATGCCATCAACTGCGGAGATGGACAAGTTCGAAAACCGGATTTCCAGACGCAAATTGTGCAATGAGCATCATCTCCGAGATAACTGTGAGGCGTACGGTTGCCGGTTCGATCATGACCCAATTGATGCCAGCATGAGAAACACTCTTCGATACAAAGCCAGAAGCATTCCATGTGGTCAAGGTTCCAAAAGCCGCCGGCTAGACTGTTTTTATGGGCATCAGTGTCCTTGGGGCAACGACAACTGCTTTAACCAGAAATGCGGCTTCATCAAGAACGGACTCCATGACATCAAGGATTTAGAGATTGCTCGATTCGTTCCAGCAGCGACAACGACTTATTGATGGATCTATGTTCAAAAGACCAACTGTATGGCGGAGGACGAGGAGCTGCTGAGATACGAGACGCTCTTTTCTCCACGATTGAGGGCGGCGAGGACTGTAGTGAGCAAGCGATGTAGAAATGGAAGATATTAAACCTTCAATTATATGATCAGTCATGACCAAACACATGTGACTCGTTATGAAGAATGAAGGTACCTAGGTACTTATCCATATCTGCCCATGGGAGGACCGCGGATGGGAGATATATGTCTCATTGTAGTGTTCAAGGGTCTCCCCCGGATCGACACACGTCACGCTACGCGTCCAAGCGAGCGAAAAGGCAAACTCATCCTCGTACTTCTCCACCAATTCATTCATCCATCAACAATGCGATCTCATCATTTGGTCTCGTACCACCTCCTCATGCGGTCGCAAGGCAAATCGACAGGTACAAGACACATTAATTGCATGCTAGGCATCTCTAGGCATCAGGGACCCGGTATCGTCCCGTTCAGCCTTACTGCTGATGTGGTATCAACCACGTTATGTTTGCCTGCTCAAAGAAAGCATCAGGCTTCAGAATCTTGAAGAACGGTCAGATTGACTCACATGCTACTTCTCATTCTGCCGGACCTTTGACCGTGACTTCCACTTTGATTCACTTGCTCCTTCATCGTCACTGCCTGAATGAAAACTGCTCGCGCCCACCAATTCTTCCGTCAATTCCTCCCTCTCTTTCACCATCACCCTCCACATTGGCCTCTTCACTATTTGTTCGTTGTTGCATGCATAGTTCCTTTCCTACAACATGGATCAACCTACAGACCTACCGGGCGCAGAGGAAGCCTCAAAATGCTCGGCTGAGAAGGGCGAGCCTTCCCTTACCATCAACCTCGCTGCTGACAATAGGCTTCAGAAGGCTGGCAAGAACAGTCACAAGTCCAAAACCAGTCAGCCTCCGGATCGCAAGCGACTCAAGCTTTCAGAAGATAACCCAAGCGATTCGATCCACTCGTCGGACCTTCCGAGCAATGATAGCTCTACTTCCTCCGACAGTGATGCCTCTATCGATCCAGATGCCGCGAAAGATCTTGTGAAGAAGTTGAAGGCCAAGTTACGCAAAGCAAAGGTGAAAGAGGCAGAAGCTCTGCGTAGAAACAACGAGAAAAAGGCTGGGAAGAAGAAGGCCGCAGCTCAGCGATCATCAGACACTGATGGAAGTGAAGATGAACCCAGCGTCGTGAAGTCTTCAGCCAGTCCAGCAGAGGCAGGACTACGTGATCTCCAGACGCGTCTAAAAGATCTCAACTTTGGTCTCAACAATTCTGATGTCACACGTATCTTGTTTGACAAGTTGCCCGTTTTCGAGAACGGCAAAGGCAAGCCCATCTTGGAGAGCTCCTTACTACCGGAGCCAAAAACAGTCAAACCAAAGAACAACAAGAAGCCTTCCCAGCTCAAGGTAGCATACAAGCGTGTCGATCAGCTTTGGGATGAGACCATTCACAACTACAAGCTCACCAAGACCGTCAAGAACACTGGGGATTCTGAATGGGATCAATACATCTTCACCGTCCGTCGAAGATTCGACACAGAGCACAAATATCTGGGGACCATCGTCGACATCAAATCGAGACCGCTCAAAGAATGTCTACAGGTCGTCTTTGAAGGCATTCAAGGTGTTAGCCTCCACGACTTCAAACCCCAAGTCGACCCCAATATGCTCTTCCTGCACCTGGAAGACATGCGGTCGTATGTGGATCTGTGCCAGAACGCCGCCGTTAATAGCGACCGCATTGGGGGCAAGGAAGACCTCGTTGATGAGCATTCGACCAAGGCAAAGCATCTAGAGGTGATGGTCAAGTACCTCGACAAGGACTATGATGAGACCAAGAAGAGCCTCCGCATGCTGGAAAATGGTCAGATCACCTTTGACCTTCTCTGGGCTCTGTATAAGCCTGGAATCATTGCCTACTGTGCGACCTACGGCGATCACGAGGAACCTCGTGCTTTCAAGATTGACGCCGCGACCAAACAGACCCACTTTTCGAAGGGTACCTGGTACAGCGTCGAGGGGAGATACCTCGACTACGATGGCAAAACCTTTGGAATGACAGGCTGTCTTGATGAAGTGCCCATGTTCGAAGGAGCTCGTGATATCACAGACTTGGAATGCTATCCATTGAAATACCACAAAGATGCCGAAACCCTCGAGGCCGAGCTGATCCAACGAGGCAAACAATTTGTGTCTCTTCAAGGCATGAACTACCGCTACTACAACAGCATGGCATACCAGAGAGTTAAGAAGGGCGTCATGAAGATCAACATCGATGGTCGAATCATGGTTGATGCAGCGGTTCATCGTCGAGTCAATCCTAACTATCGGAGCATTCCTTTCAAACCGAAGACCGGCGCAGCTCCCCTCAAACTTGTCGATGCAGAGGAAGGGAAACTTGAGTCTGAACAGGAGAGCAGCACTGACGAGGTTGTTGATCGCCCCAGATGCAAGGTACGGAAATACCGATTTCTTCAAACGGCGGACGGCAAACGAGTTGTCCTTGACATTACCGGTGACAAGAGCACCGTCATTGACCGGGACTTTGTCGCAGATCCGAAAGAAACGATGCATGAATTCACCTCCGAAGAACTCATTGTCGCCAGTCCCGTGGTTCTAGGTTTTGCTTTCGCCGAGAAGCTTTGGTTAGAATTCAAAGTCTCTGCTATTTCCGAAGTGGTTTACAATGCCGAGGCCTTCGACTCACTTGTCCTTCCGGAGAGTCAGAAGTCACTCGTCAAGGCTTTGGTGTCAAGCCACTCCTTCCAGGGTCACAAGAGTATCGATGATATTATCTCCGGTAAAGGTCGTGGCTTGGTGGCGGTGCTGCACGGCCCTCCTGGCACTGGAAAGACTCTGACAGCAGAAGGCATCGCAGATTTGCTCAAACGCCCATTGTACATGGTCAGTGCCGGAGATTTGGGCACGGAGGCCACCAGACTGGAAAAAGAGCTGCAGAATGTTCTTGACGTTGCTCACAGCTGGGGTGCCATTCTTCTCCTGGATGAAGCCGATGTGTTTCTTCAGGAGCGCTCCATCCACGACATCCATCGCAATGCCTTGGCGAGCATCTTTCTGCGGCTGCTGGAGTACTTCCAAGGCATTCTTTTCTTGACCACCAATCGTGTCGAGACGTTCGACACTGCCTTTGTCTCCCGAATCCACTTGTCGTTGCGGTTCCAGCCCCTGACAACAAAGGCCAAGAAAACTGTATGGAAGCTTTTCATCGACCGTGTCAAGAAGCAAGAAGGGATGGAAGTTGCAGAAATTCGGGAGTCAGATATCACAGACTTGGCTCGACGTGATGTCAATGGACGACAAATCAAGAATCTTGTCCGGGCAGCTCAAGCTTTGGCGGTTTATGAGGACGTTCCCCTCAGCATGATGCACATCCGACGGGTTATTGACGTGGTGGAGAACTTTGAGGTGGATCTCAAGGGAGGAACTGGCTTTACAGATGCGATGAGGAGTGAGTGCATCTACTCTAGTGCTCATCATGACTTTGCTAATACGCGAAATAGGTTACACTTGAGGAGTTGGACTGCTTGGACATCTTGAGGACATCCATTTGTGCACGGCATGGGTCACCAAGTTTTGGACGCTGCAGGTCGTTGGGGAGAACAGGCTCACATCTTTCATTGTGTTGGCGGTGGTCCTCGTGAGCAATTGGCGTTGGGCCGTGTGACATTGTTTCTTCTCCTCATGGCGTCTGACATGGAATAAAAACATACTGTACACTTGTACTCAGCTTTACTGCGCGAGATAACCCCCGTCTACAACGATGGACGTTCCCGTGATCCAACCCGCACCCTCCCCAGCAAGAAACACCGCTGCCCTCGCAATATCGTCAGGTCGTCCTGTCCGCCCCCAAGGATGTAAAGAGCTGAGCGTCTGTCCCACATTCTCACCACGAGCATACATATTCTCGAGCAGATGCGTATCCGTGAACCCCGGTTGTATAGCGTTAACGTGAATCCCGTCCTTGGCATATTCGAGGGCCGTGGCCTTGGTGAGTTGCATCACCGCGCCTTTGCTGGTGCTGTACTACAAAACGTCAGAAAGTTGTGTCGGTCAATCATGGGACAAACCGAAAGACTCGTGTTCCAATGGCACAGTCTTTCGCGAAGAAGAATACTTACGGCTGAACCGCCTGCCAGTCCGACACTGCCTAGGATGCTGGCTAAATTCACGACCCAGCCTCTGTGTACATCGGAGCCTGACCGGCCAAAGGTAGGATGCGGCTCTTGAGCCAGAAATTGCGCGACAGCATGTTTCGTCCCAAGCCAGACACCTCTCACATTGACGGCGAGGGTCTTGTCCAGGACAGAAACGTCGGTTTCGTGGATCCGTTTGAAAGTGCCGTCGTAGGAAGGCGATGAAGATTCGGCAGATATTCCAGCGTTATTCACGATGATGTCCAGGCGTCCATACCGTTCCACGGCAAACTTCACGGCCCCTTTGACGGACTCTTCATCCGTGACATCGCATTTGACATAACTTGCCCTGTCCACATCGGGCTTGGTACTAGGGTAGTTCTTGTTGACGAGGTCGACGGTCGGCGTGGTGTAATCCGCCTTGTTGATCTGCTCTATAGTCGGGGCGGCGGGTGGAGTCGGACCCAAGTCTGCATTGACGATGTATGCTCCCGCCGCGGCGTATGCTTGCGCGATAGCCCTCCCCAAGCCGGAGGAGGCGCCTGTTATGAGTGCGATTTTGTCCTGGAGAGAAGCGATGTTACCTATTGGTGAGTTTGCCATGGGCAGTTGAGAGACTTGTGGTTGGGAAGTGCCGTTCTGCGCCATGTTCGTAGTCTGTTGTCAGTGTCAAAGAAGAGGGAGCAGTAACGAATTGCCGCGATGATATCTCAAGGTCTGAAGGTACCGTGTGGATGTTTGTGTGTAATTAGGAAGGATCCAGGACTGCAGCAGCAAAGGAGCGGGCAAAGGGGATAGCCATGGGCGGGGGCCGGGCAGAGACTGATATATACTTTCTTGCATACCCTCCGGTACGGCGGTACTTGACCGACATGTAAGCCACGCGCTCTCCGTGCTATGGTGTTTCATAGTGGAGGCATGGGCTTCGGTAAGAGTATTCTGACGTTCCGAGCAACAACAGAAAGATTTGCGGGGAAGACACAAAAGCCGCGTTTGACCGAGGCTGAAGAAAAAAAAGGTAAATGTCAGAAGATTCGATTCTCTGGCTTCCTAGGAAGTGTTTCGCGAGTCAGGTCGATCCGACAAATTCAAAAAGCCTTTCTGCCTGCACAAAATTCCTGAGATGCAATGTGCCGGTGTTCTTCGACAGCCACAGACAAGCACAAAACTGTACAAAGGTCATCATCCATCGTAGCCTCATTGGGCTTGCAAATGTGCTCAATCAGATATTTCCCCAACGCCAGATACTCGCCTAAATGCTAGATGTCATGTCGAAACCGATGCTGTTATCTTGCTTTTCTCCGCGAGTCTGAAAGCCTGTTCCAATTCGTCGTCACTGTCGTCGGACAGTTCGTCCAGGATTCGATCAATCAGAGCTGCCTTGTCGATCGGAGGCCGTCCATCAGAAAAGGCAACCTTCTTGGGCGAAGTCATCGAAGTCTGACTAAACTGATTCCTAAGCGGTGATGTTTGTGATGATATTGGAAAAGGGACCGATCTTGGTAGTGATGATTCCTGCGACGAGTGTGTCGAGGGATTGTATCCTGAATTACTGGGACTGGCCATGAAGAGTAAAGTCTCGACAGCATCAGCTTCCATGGCGGCATTTTGGCTTGGCGTCCGTTGACTTGTGGTAGGTCTTGAGATGTGCATGTGTCTAGCGTGTACTCCGGGCCCATGCACGCCGTTTGGTGCACGTCTACGACGCGAAGAACTGGGAAGGATGTCAATTGGTGGCGCCAATGCCCGGCGCGCTGCGACCTGAGGACTTCCCGACATGTTGACCAAACCTCGACTCTCGAGGGCGACTGTGCTGTCTGAGGAGTCGCTCTCGCTCGATTCGCGTTGATATTTCCTCGACATGGCACTGCGTGGAGAAAGTAGGGTTTGTGTCTTGGGTGAATGTTGAAATCCTGATATGGTCGATCGAGGTGACTGGGAAGCCAGCGACTCGACCTCGTCAAATGAACGCGTCTGCCAGCCATTCTGTACTTTGATCATGGCGTATTTCAGCTTGGTGCGGAGTTGCTGTGAGAGCTGCATAATGTTAGCCTGTTGCTTAACTTCAGTCACACAACTACCCGACACGACTCACCTCAAGCACATTCCCACTCGTGCCGCTTGATACCATACTCGAAGTCCTAGAGTGACTGGCGCCGTTTGCTTGGGTGACAATGTCCGCCAGACCATTCACACTAGACCTCTTGTGTTGACCACTTGCCGTCCTTTTCGTGCCTGAGAGACTGTCTGGCAGAGGACTCTGAGAACGTGATGTTGACCTTTGCTTTTGCGAAGGATCCTCCCCTACCCCGTCTACAGAATGCTCCTTCTTCTCTGACAACCCTGGAGATCTTGTACCCTGAGAGTCAAGCTGACTGGATATGGCAGAGGTGGGTGGTGTGTATTCCTCTTGTTCTTCATGGTGGACTTTGGAGATTGCAGCAGTAGAAACATCGCTGGTAGATATGTTTAGTGTTGTCGGTCGTGAGGATGAAGATTGTGATAGACTTGAGTCTTGTGAGCTGCGCGGAGGATGGGCATGATCGCTCGGTGAAGCTGCAGACGTCAACGGTTGTGGATCCAGCATGGTTGACGCATGCGCGGCGGCATGTTGCATGTTCGGTCAGTCCCGTTGGCCGATCGCGTGTAGGACTTTCGGGGCGAGCGATACAGGGCGAAGAGTGGTGAGAATATTGTGTTGTGAGTATGATAAGGAAGAGGAAGACAGGATATCGGTCGGGCGAGCCAGCAGGACAATGATGAGAGTGATCACGAGGGTTTAGTCGCGCGTTCCAAAGCAGGTCGTGGACTCGTGGACTCGTGATGGTGCGTGCTAGACAGTGGAGTTCGGGTTGTTACTCGGTGTGCTGGTGCTGGTGGGGGCTTATTGGGAGGGTCCCTAGGCACTTTATCGCTCCTTTAGGCTGATTACGACGTCCCCCGGCGCGTGAAGATAGGCGTCATACTGGTGATGGGCGTTTCATGGCAGACGCGTTGTTGTGTCAGTTGTCATATACTGTACAGTGGTAAAACGGCATCGACGTGTAACTGTAGTAAGTGATGGAATACAAACGCGTATCATGGATTGAAAGACTTCAGAAATGATTCTAGCAGTAGTTTAGAGACGCGATGACTGCTCTTTATTGCTTCTTATTGCTGCACGCGCCTTTTATTCCCTGCCGTGTCGGTCAACTCCTCGGTGCAGTGCGCGCCCAGCCTTCAAATTTTCACTCGCTAACGACATGCATCTACTGCAAAGGACCGTACCAGGAGGCGACCAACAACAAATCTCATCACAGAATGCACTTCAGGCCAGTCAGCAGGCTTGATACTCATTGAGAAAGCATTCATTACATCCTTTTGGGGGTATCATATCTACCACATGCCTAAACAACATCTCATGACCGTCTCGATCGTTTCCCTCCACCACCATCCTCTCCACCTTTACGTTTCCGACCTTCTTTCTGCCAAAACTCATCGCGCTCTCTCTTCTCACGCTCTGCTTTCTTCTCGAGATTCTCAGCAACTTTCTTACGGTACACTGCCCGACTCTCCTCCTTCTTCTTGGCACGCTTCTCGGCCTTCTCAACCCTCAACGTCTGCAGTTTCTGCATTAGATCTCGTGCTCTCTTTTCTTCGCCACCCAACACAACCGCCCGCTTCTGTAGGTACGATGGAGCCTTTCGTGCTTTCTGCTGCGTGATCTGTGATTTGAACGGAAGGTCGGCGGCAAGAGCACGAGGTACTCTCAAGGGGTTGAAATGCCGTGTTGGTCGTTCAATCTTGGTGTAGGCCGAATCCTTGACCAGCGGAGTCTGAATGCCCATGGCTGCTCGAACAGCACCGGTAAGGCGCATGGCCTGCCATCCGCCTGATCCATCGTCCACTCGCTGTCCTTCCTCCAAAGTCGAACTAGGAGGAGCATCGAGGAGGTTGGTGACGGGGTTGTAGAAGCGGTGTGGCTTGACCGCAAACCAAGCTCGTAAGAAAACAATGTCCGACATGAGAATCTTGTCTTCAAAGGTTGCTCGGAAATGTCCCTCCGGTTTGGCGAGAGCTCGCTTGATTTGACCTCGGATGCCAGAAACCGTCTTGATGCTGGCCCCTTCAAATTTGGCAATTTCGAGTGATGAGTTGAACATGTCGCGAATGAAGGCCGTGTTGCGGAAAATCTTGTAAGGATGGCCTGTAAGCTTGAGCTTCTTGACAATTTCGGTCGTCTCATCCACATTCAAGACAACGCCCGTAGCTGCTATTCGAAAGCCAGGGTTGGAATTTGAGAATGACTGCACGCAGCAAAAGCCAGTATTGGGCGCCACAAGCGGTCCATAGAACGTGCCAAAGCAGTGCATGTGTTCAGGCGTGTATTTGAGCATTCGATTTCGGGTTCGTGAGTCGGAAATGGAATACATAGGCATGGTCTGGAATCTGCGCCAACCCAACGAGAAGATAAGAGGGTCGTTCGTCTTCAGAATCTTCTTGTGCCATCGGTGTCGCTTGATGCGGATCTGCACGTATCCAAACCGATCCTCCGTGGGTGCCAGCCCTCCCACTATCACAGGAAGCCTGGGATTGAACGATCGAACAAACTCGTAGGGAACCTTGTCCAGTACAATTCGTGCATATGTTCCAGCTTTGAATCCCTCTGCTCTGGCCCTAGCCATCGGGTCGAGGCTGTCGAACTCTGCTCGATTGATGTCGAGCTGTTTCTGAAGCATCGCCTTCTGAGCATCGTACCAGTCGTCCTCTCCAAATTCTTGCTCCGTGGCTTTGACTTCACTTTTGCCATTGGCGAATCCCTCGCGATCTTCTTCTTCAAACCGCAGCTTGAGCTCTTCTTTACGTTTGGCATTTCGTGCGCGTTCTTCTTCCAAGGTCACCTCAGATTTGTCCGTAGAATCTTCTTTAGCCGCTGCCTCCAGATCCTCGAAGTCACCATCTCCCTCGTCTGACTCATCGCCTGCATCTTCGTCGAGGTCATCATCATCATCACCTTCGGAGTCGGCGTTCGCTCCTGTGGCAAGTGACTTTCTGGTGAACCGGGGCATAATGGTTTGGATGTACTCTTCATCTTCCCATTTCTTAGCCAATGCTGCGTAATCGTATCGCGGTGCTTGTCGGTCCTCGGATTCTTCCTCTTGCTCGGTCTTCGATTTCTTGAAGAAATTGTCTTCTTCGTCGCCTTCCTGTTCGCCAGCAGTGGAGACGCGTTCTCCTCGCCATTTCGAGAGCACCTCTGCTGTGGCCAGCGTCGTGTTGTACATGAGTTTGGAGAGGTCCGCAGCACGGAATGCAACCTTGCTAGTATGCAGCTTCCGAGCGTTCTCGGCAAGATTCTCCTTCCATCGCAGTCCACCATCATCTTCTCCATCGTCGTACTCGGAATCGTCAGCATCCAAAGCTGGATCGGCGTCCTCATCCCCAGATAGAGACCCCATATCAGAGTCACTCTCGGCGAACTCCAAATCATCTGCGCCTCCGTCGCCCAATTCTTCCTCTTCTACGATACCAGGTCGACCAGTATGCTCGGGAAAGTCGTTTACATCGTCATCTGCACTATCATCATCTGCAGCGTCTTCTCCGCTGACAAAACCTTCGTCGACGTCGTCTCCATCGGCATCGTCAAAGTTGTCATTCTGGCCGAATGACCTTATCCCCCTCTTTGCAGTCCGGCCCATATCGTTCTCGCCATTCTCGACGCCAGTTAGTTCTCTACCGCCTTGGAAAAGCCTAACGCCCTCTTCATTTTCTCCCAACAGTCTTCTTTCCCCTTGAAGACCCATTACGAGTTGTTCGCCCAAACCTCTTTCCTCGGCGTCTTCCGCATCCCGGTCGAACGTGTTTGTTTTGATATTGATGTAGACGGCATCTTTATCCACCAACACTCCACCAACGTCAGACATTGGTGCAAACAGAATTTTCTGCTTTTCGCCCAATTTCCGCCGTGATGTTTTCCCCGTTGCTTTGGCAATAGCTTGATCGAGGAACGGCGTCGGACACGGATCGGGTAGTGCTTCGATTTCCTTGACCGTCAGGTCGCCCACACCGGGTACGTGAACTCTGGCTCCTTCAGCAGGGAAGTTAGTCCCCCTCAGATAGCCGTAGAGTGCGACTTGTCGATCACATTTCTCGTTCTCTTCAATCTGAGTTGGAGTTGTCACATCGAGGAACCGGTCTGCCAGACAATACGGGTGACTGTTCCTCCAGATCAGAGGTCTGGGGTTCTTCATGACTGACAGAAACCGCGACAGATTGTGAATCTCTCGATCCGGATACCGTCCATTGATCACGCCGGACAGGTAGAATAATTTTGCTCCTTGGTATAGTTCCGACCAAAACCTATGCTTTAACCTCTTCTTCGCCATCCGTAGTGTACTTTGTTTCTTGAAAAGATCCAAATGCGTCAGGATGCCAAAAACATTGCCCGGCATACCGGACACACTGAGGGCGTTGAGGAACTCCATCGTCTCCATCTCGAAACCGTAATTTCCATCGATCATAAGTAGAACAATGTCGGCAATCTTCGCGACGTCAATCATGGCCGCAAGTGAGTCGGAGGGACATTCTAGAAAAGTCAGACGTCGTCGTTTCGAGGTCACTACAGTCAGAGGTCCGGTAGGATGCGAGAGGCTCTGTTTGGAGTATCGTTTGATGAGACTTTTGATGAGGGTCGTCTTGCCGACACCAGGGGGACCGACAACACCGACGACGATAGGAGGGGCTTCTTCGGGAATGCGGTCGACTTGAGGCACATGGAGTCTTTTTTCCTTGATGTCGCTCGATCGGACGGCCTGCTTTGCCAGGCGGCCAGGATTGGCAACGGCAAAGGCCTTGACATTTTTCTCGCCCCTTTGCGGCTTCTTCTTCTCTTTCGAGGCCCGATGAGGGCGATTCGATTGTGTCTCCATGGCTTATAACAATCCAAAACCTCCTCCACCGCCAGCGTTTGGTAAATGCGAAATTTCACAGAAACTGCGATACTCCAACAACTGCGGAAAAAAATGTTTTGGAGTGGCGGCGGAGTAAATGGACAAGCGTCCGATTGGGCTGCACAGGTAAGATGGGGAATGCCTCTGGGGAGACACTACGGGTGGTCCCGAGCGATACTTATCACTTGAGATATACAATGCCGAGGTTTACTGGTGTATCAGGACTGACCACTTTAAGGGTGCTCGTAGGCCCTCATGCACAGTATATACTTAGGTGCTCGCTATGTCTAAAATCACCAGGTGCCTTCCACGTTTGGGTATCATCTCTATGAGATTGCTTGACAAGTGATCTATCTTTGCCTATCATCGTGGTCATCTCAGTCAACAAATAAGTCCGCCAGCAGGTCGCTTCTACACGCTTCGAGATCCACAGCCTGGAGACTGTACGTATCTTCGAAGGCGTGAATGCTCAGTTGACGGAAGAAAGGGCGCAGTAGTGCCTCGGGGTTGTCCATCCGTCGACTCATGTCAGTGCAGAGCCAGGGCCGTCTAGCTTCATCATCAGATACACTCGGGAGCTCAATCTCCTTTTCCCCCTTGGTCAATGCAATCAGATCCGCTATGGCAGCTGACTTGAAATTCTCTGGTGGGTACACCGCGTCAACGGTGTCGGTCACGAACAACCATTCGTGCAGCTGGAATTCTTCTGGTTTCAAGAGGAGGAGAAGATCTAGAAGCTTGGCTCCTTGTAATTGTGAGTAGCCAGTAAATGTCGACTCTTCTGCCTTCTGAATGCTGGTGAATAGATCACGAAGCTCTGCGTCAACAATAGGCCACACCGATACAAGGTGGAATTGGGAGAATGCCAACGCCATCGCCCGAAGCACAATATATATGTCTGCGCGTGTGTTTGATGAGGGCGAAGAAGACGGCGTTGCTGTCAAAAGTTCTTCCAACTTTCGGATGATTTGAACCAAGTCAGACACGAAGGTGTCCCGATCACATGCTATCAGTAATAGGGCAATGCGCCTCAATGTCAATTGCGTTCTTCGGTCAGCCTCTGTGCGTGCAGCAGTAGCACCAACTCCAAATACTATACCTGCTGTGGTTGGCGGTGTCAATCTCGAGACAAGGTCGGTCACAAGTCCCTTGTCAGACAGACAGACTTGCTTCAGAAGTGGAATCCAGCCCTCCTCTGCAATGGAAGCAGGCGACTGAAAGAACTTTTCGTGGTTGAAAACCTCGAGCAGATCCTTCTTCCACGTCTTGTTGTTTAGTTGGGACTTAGCCATGAGCAGGACTAGCCGTAAAATGTCATTATCCACCGTCTGAGGGAACTGCTTCGACCGCAAAGCAGGGCCAGTAATGTGTAGAGCGATTCCGGAAAGCGTGTTGTTTAGCCTATCAAGATCCCCTAACGCATTGCCGATTGTAGGCAGAGAGTCGCAAAGAATTCGTATGGCGTTACCCCCTGGCACCTCAGACTTTCGACTGCCAGGTGTCGCTGGTACCGCCGTTGCGTCTGATATTCTTTGTGCCGTCGAGTCAAGTCCGGCAGGTCGAATGGTGAAAATCGCTGTAAACAGCCGCGCGCATAAGTCGGCAAGTTCACGCCGCATCTTGGACACTTCGCCAAAGTTGGTGTTCTCCATCTTTTGGCAGACGACAGCCACGAATTGTAACAGCTTGAGCAAGATCTGACGATGTGGCATTGGGTTTGCCAGAACTTCTCGAAGAAACGCCGTGCAGTCGGTCCAAATCTCCTCCAACAGGTCATCTTCTAGCGCTCTGGTGTACGCTATCAGGAACGACATCAGCTCAAACGCAGTGACATCGACGGACAAACTCGACTTCTGAGATTGATCAAGAGCCGACGGATTGGTCCGGTTGTAGATCGCATTGAACGTTGCTGGCATCATGAACTTCGGTCGAGCCCCATCAAGACTTTGCATCAAATTTAATGTAACGTCTTGATCATATTCTCCAGAAGCTGCGGTCACCCACATTCCCATCAATGTTTCGAGACACTCTTGCGGCTCGGCATCGGCCAAGTGCTCTAGAATCCTTCTTGTTCTTGTACGTAGCCTTGAAGACAGGTAAGCGAAGGACTTGTTGTCTATTATGGCGTTGGCTGGCCTTTTCTGAATCCTCCATGCCCAAATGTCTCCGCAGAGTTTTATCGTATCCTGCATACACAAGACAACAGTCAGTCGGTTGTTGGCGACTGAGCGTGACTGCGAAAGCTCTGCGGTACTGGCAATAGGCTGCTCGGTCCCTGGAATGTGGTCTGCCAAATGAGTATGTGCTCTTGCCAAAATGTACTCTAGCCCTGCGAGTAGATTATTGATTGATCTCTCCGGATTCTTGGACAACAAGGCAGCATTCACACCATCGAACTCAACCGCTGTCGTCGGCTTTTCGCACAAACGTTGCAAGGTTTCGAAATAAGACTTGATACGCTGGCAAAAGCAAGCCGTCAACTTGAGCATATTTGCGAACAGTTGTTGGGTAGAGTATAGTGGTATTATGTTGCAAAGAAGCGTGATCCATTTCTCAAGCGTTGCATCAACGGTGGCCGCAGATATGCCTGATATCAAGATTGTCATTAATTCGGTGGGCGGAGGCTCCGACTTCAATTTCGCAAAAATGACTTGCAACGTGTCAAGAACGTTCTCCTGAACATGACTGTCCATTACGACCTTGTTCAATTGCAGTAGCAGAAGATTCACCAAAGTATCCGTCCGCGTGAGAGCGGTCTCTTCAATTATTATGCGCAAAATCCATAGTGTCATCTTGAAAGCCTCGTTATTGATCGGCTCTGAAGCAATGTTCTCGATACACATATCAAGAAGCATTGCGCAGAAGCCGTTGGGATCAAACATTTCCTTTCGATGTGTGCTGTTCTGACGTGCAATGATCACAGCTTTGTGAAGACGATGAAGACCGATCAAAGATAACTGAGTATCCGACACTCCTGCATGTTCACTGAAGATGATGCGGCATACCGGGAGTATTGTTGAGAGATTGCTGAGCCACGTTCGGCGTGGATCGTCTGTTTGCGACAGTTCCAAGCCGTCTACGATGCTAAGCACGGGATGCCGCAGCATAGCCCACGGAACCTCGTCATCTTCTATGCGATGATTTGCAGAGAAGAGTTCTGCGTTGACTTCCGGAAAACGAGTGTGGTTCCATAAGGTCTGAAAGCGTGAAATTTGATCTGGAAGATGCCCTTGCGACTCTGCGCACATCAAGTCCATGATTTTGCTATCGACCAGCAACAGATGCCCTGAGATTGGGCGGAGATTCCAGATCTGCTCTACAGCTTCGACGTGGAATTGAGGGGTGCGAGGAAGGAGGACATCCCAGAATTGGTATACCAGTTCGGGAATGAGGCCAAAGAGATGTTGATCTGTCAGAGTGACTTTGGAAGAATCAAAAGCATGAACAGTATCGACCACTCTCGTGACTGTCCTCGCGACTTCATACTTGAAGGCTGTCGTGTTTGCATGCATAGATGTCAAAGCTGCATGTAGGTGATCTCCCAGGTCTAGCTGTCGAAGTACCTCTAGTGAACTAGTTCTGGAAATGATCTTTGCCAGAACATTGACCAAAGGTCCCAAGGCATTCTGCCGGTCTTCGAGCCTCATGCAGTCAAGAATGATCACAGTAACGTTCCTGAGCAGGAGCTGTACTGCAATATTCGGGCGGACCGTGTCAAGCAACGTCTTCTTGGTCTGGGAAGATTTTTCATATACTGCACTGAGTCTTTCCATCCATCCCTCTGTTGGCACGTTTTCTAGCGACTCGACAGGGCCATCGCTGGGCCTAACAGGTGACAAGCTGAGAAAGGCATCAAGAAGGTGGAAAAGTCGTTGCTCATGCGCACCATTGACCCCTATTTGGACAAGATCCTGCGAACCTGTAGCCCATTGTGCCAGGATCCAATCCGAGATTGCCAGGCATAGCATAGGCACATGAGTTGTCATCATTTCTTCCTCGTGGAGGTTGAAATTTGCAATGATGAATTCGATGAGGTCCAGATCTCTCACTTTCAGCAATCGAAATAACTGCCCACCGGTGACTTGAGGCTCTATTGCGTCAAAGAAGACATTTGCGCTTCGGAAGACCTCATCAAAAGATGCTTGTGACGGCGCCGTCGTCTGGTACTGTTGCAGATCTCGTATGATTGGAATGAATAAAGCTTCCACCGAAAGTCTGCCAATGATCCAGCGATCCATTAGAGAGAGTAAGATCCGAAATGGCCGAGCCCGGTCGACTGGCGAAATAGATTGCTTTCTCAACATACTTTGAAGGCTTCTGGTCACAGACTCCAGTCCATAGGCCGCAAAGTATTCATGCCTATTCGATGGCGGTGCGCTTTGTTTCGCTGGCAGAGCTGACTCGGGTGTCGTTTCATGGGTAATGTCCATGGAGCCCTCTCGCTTGTCCTCTCTGCCGACAAACCACGTCCACAGGCGCCTATTCAGACTCATATCCCTTCTGAGCACGACAGACATTGCTGAACTCACAAGAACGTCCAAATCTCCTGGAGAAACAAGATCCTGCAGTACTCCAGCGTTGAGGGGAAGATGGGAGACCAGAAGATCAAGGAATCCGCGTTGAACAAGTGGCTGCTCATCCTGAAGGCCAGTAGCAAAGCAGCGAACAAGTAAGCCGGGCTCGGGTGTTGTTACCGCTCTTATCTCCTCGCGAAAGACTCCAGATGGTTTGCCATCTGTCGTTTGTAGTGTTGATGATTGTACAGGCTTGGGTCCTAGTCGTGGCAACTGTCTTGTGAGGTAGACCAGGGCTCCAGGTCTTTTGCTAACACTAGTGATGGAAGCCAGGAATAAGCTCTGCCAAAAGAACTCCTCTGCGTCATCCTGGGCAAAGATTTGTCGAAGACGGTTGACTGTATTCAATGTATGGTCGAAATCTTCACTAGTTTCCTCTTCCAGCCCCGGAAGGAGGGATAGGACGATAGCTCTAAGTGCAGGCCTCAACACGTGGCTGGGCAATCTTAGAAGGTGTTCATCATATAGGTTGAGGAAAAGCGGTCTCGTGGTCAACGAAGCAAAGGTGAGGGTATGTGAGACACCTGGCAACCAAATAGCGAGATCGCGAGATAAGCCATCCTTCCCAAGCAGAGTGAAGACAAAGTTGTAGACTTCTAGGGCCTTTTGATGGACTCCAGAAGGTAGAGAGGGCTTAAGGCAGAGTGCCAGGTATTTCGCCAGGGTTGGTTTGAATGGGACGGCCGCACCAGGCGGAGATGCTTGAAGAGCTTTTCCGAGTCGGCTCAGGAAAGCGATGTAATCGGCCCATTCGTTTGAGGCATCAAAAAGCCCGAGTGCTCTTTCAACACCTGCTTGATAGCGACGAATGGCCTTTGGGTCGGTGGACATGGTGCTTGAAACGCTGGACCTGTCGTTGTATCACCCCAAAGACCATGGCCAAGGCCGTCTGGTGGGAAAACAAAAAGTTGGCCTTTACTTGAGGCTCCGCGTCAAAAGTCTGCAGACACCTACTTGCAGAGCAAGGCTGTGGGCTATGCGCCCATATCGAAGGTGTTCATGTCGATGCTCGGACCGTTTGATGTGCTATCGAACTCTCTAGGCCGAAGGAGAGTGGCGGCAAGATACAATGTTCTTTTCCTTAGTGCGTCTTTCGGTGTATGGCGCTGTCGAACGTTGTCAAAGACACGGTGGTTCTTGGTGAGGAATCTCCGCCAAGGCATCCGTCAATCAATGTCAGGAACAGCCCGAATTTAGGTGCCAGTGCTCGGTACAAATCTCCCCGGCCTCCAACTTACGTATGGATGTCAACAAGACCCTAACTCCCATCAACGTCATTACCGACTTCGAAACATGCGACGCTGCCTCTCCTGCTGTCATGCAAGCCATGCGCAGTGAGGGCCGCCAGGGAAAGAGCGTCCATGATGGAGGGTGAATCCCCATCACACACTGGACAAATATTCGATCGTCCAGCATCGTTTTATAACCACAGCTGTCTGCGGCGCAGTCATCCACAATGGAGAATAGCACGGAGTCGCTACGTGCGGAAGCGAGGCCACCTCTGCCACCAAGACCGAGCGAATTGAATCTCATGCACACCAGACCGTCAACAAGCCATGGGGCGCGCGGTCTCACAAGACCCGATCTTATGGCGGGCGCAACGACTATGGTCTCTATGACGGATGTCAACAGTTACAACCGTCCTGATGGTTCTAAAGAGCTGCGCACTGCCCCTTCCCGAGTCTCTTCGAGTCCTTCGATCCGCCCGTCCACGAGCAAGGGAACAAGTGAGTTCGGAGAAGATACATCTAGCATCAGGAGCTATGCACCCTTTGGACGGCAGGTACAAGAAGCTGGGAGCATCTTTGATGGAGACCTACGAGAAGAGCAGGGATTATCGTCACCCGCAAGCGAAGGTGGCCTGTTCGGACAAGACTCGGACGACTTTGACGATGAAGCGGACGTTGACTTTGGTAAAGAGTTTGAAGACATTGACGACGATACTGTTGGTGAAGATGTGGCTCACTCGCTGTGGAAGGCGAAGCGAAAGCATTTTATCATTCTTTCCGCGGCAGGAAAGCCCATCTATACGAGGCACGGATCAGACGCCGTCATTTCCAACTACGTCGGCATCATTCAAACAATCATTTCCTCATTCGAAGAGAACGCGGACCAGTTGAGGAGTTTCCAGGCCGATGGAGTCCGTATCGTGATTCTTTCCCAGACAAATCTGTTTCTGGTTGGAATCACCAGTCTCCCTGAGAGTGAGGCTCAAGTGCGTCTTCAGCTAGACGCTCTCTACATGCAGATACTGTCGACTTTGACCTTACCTACTTTGACACACATATTCTCTGTACGTCCTTCCAGTGATTTGAGGCGACCGCTGGAGGGCACAGAGGTCCTGCTCTCATCACTCGCAGACAGCTTCACACGTGGCTCTCCTTCAACGCTGCTCTCAGCACTTGAATGCTTGAAGATCCGCAAATCATATCGCCAAGTAATCAACAGCACTATGATCAAAGCTCGCGTCGATGATCTGCTCTATGGTCTTGTTGTTGCCGGAGGGCGACTTGTCAGTGTCATTCGACCGAAGAAGCACTCTCTTCATCCCAGCGATCTGCAATTGATATTCAATATGCTCTTTGAGGCAGAAGGGATCAAGGCCGGTGGTGGCGATTCCTGGGTTCCGATCTGTCTCCCAGGCTTCAACAAGACCGGCTACCTCTACATGTATGTCAGCTTCCTAGACATGGGCGGCGATCAAGTACGTGAGCTTGACGCAAACGAACGTATAGCTCAGGAAGACTCTGTGGCTATCATACTTCTTAGCGCCAATAAAGAGGGCTTTGAGGATCTACACAGCATGAAGAACTACCTGGTACACGAATTTCGCCGCAATAGAAGCATGCATATCATTCATGCAGCGGTACAAGCTGGCCGGCCCGCACCGACAGACATCATCGCTGGCACGGTCCTCAGGCATTTTCTTTACAAATCCAAGGGCAATGTCCAATTCTTCATGCCCTCATACTCACCCAACTTCGAGACGTTGAAGCAGCGTAGGCGACTGTTGTCGCTGTATCATAAACTGCATGCAGCTGTTCATGCGAAGCATGCGGCTGTTAAGGTCGTCCATAGCATCAGTACGAGTGCAACGGCGCTTGCTTGGGTGACACCCATGTTTGAGCTTTACTGCGTGGCCGGTCCTTCGGCTTCCAGGAACGCTCTGGCTCAAAGTGCCAATAAGGTAGTGCAGTGGGTGCAACGCGAGGAAGAGCATATATTCATCATTGGCGGTGCCGTATTTTGAGCCTCCAATTGGAAAGGGATCAGTTGTCGTGAGATGGTGTCCACGAGTATGACGTGGTCCCACGATGTCCACTTCAGTATGCTTTGGATGCAGAGCAAGCCATCAAAGGTCCTATCCAGCAGCTTCTTCTAGCACGTCCTCAATCAAATCCCCGTCTCTCTGCACGTCCACCTGCCAGTTACTCACCGCTATCCGTGCAGCAGGCTTGCCGTCCCAGACTGTGCCACTAAGATATATGTTTCCCGTGGCGTTGACTCTTTTGACGAAGCCTGTGTTCCGTACCGGATCTTTCACTCGGAACAAAACTACCATATATGTCTTCGCCAGGATCTCCTGGTCAGTCCCACCGACAGGAAGGACCTCAAACTTATCGTTGTCAAGCAACCACATGGTCACTCTTCTAGCAAGACCGATCTGCCGCTTCAGCATATCAACGTAGCCTTCACGTCCGTATGCTATGAGCGTACAGTACGCCGGCAAAGCACGAAACCGTCGCGAATTTTCTATGCCAATGTTCAGCGGCGATTGTATGGCATCACCGTCGCCTAATGCGCTTGTCAAATAAGCGGCATTGCCATTTCCAAAGACATTCTCGCTTAGCGTCTTGTGCCTGGTGAAGAATACGCCAGAATCGTACGGGACATTGAGCAGTTTGTGACAATCGCCTGTGATGGAGTCGGCCAGCTCGAGACCCTCGACACCACGCACGATTTCGGAGAATTCCTGGTCGGAAGTAGGCAGAATGCGACCGAACAGCCCAAACGCGCCGTCAACATGGATCCATATCTTATATTTATCGCAGATCTCGCGCAACTGTTTCATCGTGCTGAGCGAGGCCGTGGCAAACCGACCTGTATTGACCTCACCTGCCGAAATGGCCAGAATGTTGAGGACGCCTGGTCGCCTTGCCTCGATGTCTAGCCTGGCCATGTCGATCTGCAACGGATGGTTGTCTGTCGCAATTGAAATGAAATTTTTCCGTCCTATGCCGACGATACTGGCCGCCTTGGCGAGACTTGAATGCGGCAGCGTGCTGAGAACTTGGATCGTCTGCACGCCAGCTTGGATCATCGACTCTGCGACGCCAGAGGCACCGCAACTCCACTCGGAACCAAGACCTGCCCTTTGCACGGCCTCGCGCAGCACGTACTCACGGCCCAGTGCCAGGCCGAGGACGTTGCTTGCCGTCGCACCCGTGGTGAATGTGCCGCCGCCAGGACCGGAGCCGCCTATCGTCCATTCCGGTGCGGGAAGGCGGTACAGCTGCACTAGGAGATTCAGTGTCGCGATTTCGAGAGTCGTGGCGACAGTTTCGGCGGGGAGATGGACATGCACGTTCTGATCGTAGATCGAGGCGAGGAAGTCGCCTAGGAGGGCGGCAGGAGTGGCTCCGCCGATCACGAAGCCGTAGTAATTTGGTGAGAGGGATCCGAGGTTCAGATACGGAAGGACCTTGCTGGATAGGTGTTCTGCGAGTGCGGATAGGTCGGTCGCATTGTCGGACAGTATGGTAGAGGATAGATCGACATGGGACTGAAGCTCGGCCAGATTCGGTGTGCCTACGGGGAGTATGGGTTGAGACCCGATGGTATCGCCGGCCTGAGCATGTGTCTTTCTCAGATTCGATGTCGATAATAGGTTTTGTAATTGCGCAACAATGTCCTCCAGGCTGGTTTTCTGGTCCATAGCTTGGGCGGTCCGCTTCTCGATGCCGCGATGTGGTATAACAATTCAGTCGGTCTGGCACATATATGCTCGTATATGACTCATGAGTGCTTAGATCTATTAAAGGAACCAGCTTCAAGAAGGTCTGTAATCCTGGCTTAGCGCTTTGTCGTTTCACATACTACAACCACGTAAGGAATATGACTCTCTCAGAATATAAAGCTTTTGCTGCTCCACGGAAATGTGGACGGCACATCAGGCGGGTTAGTAATGAATTGCACAAATGTCACCTTGCGTAATGGCGTTGATGGAAGGTCAGATTCTGGGCAGTAGTTTGCGAGGTTCTCTGGTGGGACTCGTTTGTCTCCGCAACTCTGTGCTCGAGATTGACCTGTCCTCAACAGTTAAATAAACAAGCATCGTTCCGATAGAAGCGAGATCACAATGCAAGACGGCAATCGAATGAAAGAAAGGTAAAAAGCACCAACATCCAAATAGATTCATTGTTCCCGGAACACCTGTTTTGATTCAAAGCCTCTTGGCTTGTGGGATATCAATGGCATCCCCTACACATAAGAGCCGCATTCATGGCCTTGGCCATGGCTCACCCAGATGCCTGGGAATCATATTGTACAGCTTCGCTGATGAATTCTGCATCAGTAGTACCTCGACTTCCACCCTTCGATCCACGTAGACATTGCCATTAGGTAATGATCTCTTCCTTTATTCCTGCATGGCCATTGGCCTCTTCCGGCTTGATGAGTTCCTCTTCTCCCGCTTGCTCGTCCACGAATTTCCTGTCGCTGACGTGTTCTGTATCATCCTGTTGATTTTGTTTGTCCGGTGTCCAAGTATAATCCGCCAGACTAGTAGCCTTCTGCTGCCCAGGCTCGTGCTTATACGGACATCGCAGGTTCGTACAAGGATTGAATCGGCAGGGTATTTCTAAATGCGTAAAGGTGCAATTCGGAGTTTTGCAGTTGGAGCCGAATCGACATAGGGGAGCTGTCGGGTGCTTGAAAGCACAATTGGCTTTGGTGCAGTTGGGGAAGAATTTGCAAACTTCTTGAGCCTGGTGTGCTCTGATTTGGGCAGGTGACGGATGCTTTCCAACACACTTGAAGTTCTTGCAGGCCGCACCAAAAGTACATGTGTCGGACATGTCAACGATAGTGCCTTCTGGGGCAGCCGGTCCCTGGTGAACATATATGCAGTCTTTGTTCGTGCAGCGGAGGTTGAAGTGGCACATTGTGTTTGATGGATCTTGTGGCTTTCGCTCTCCCTCGACCTGCTGCTCGGCGTCTGTTGATGTTGACTGAGCTGGCGTAGCTTGTCCATCGCCGTCCATCGCGGTGTCGCCATCGCCGACTTTGCCGGCAGTCTTGATATGGCCATTCTGGTTGTGGCCACCTCGTCCTCGTCCTCGAGCTCCACCACGGCCACGTCCGGGCTCGACTCTATCAAACAACGATCGACCCTGACTGCCTTGTTGATTCATACCTGGTCCGAAAGCGTTCGCAGGGCCCGGCATCATGCCGGTGAATTGCGCAAGCATGCGTGTCTGCTGTTCCATCATCGCCATGAACTCCATTTGCTGCTGAGGAGTCATCTGCATCATGTTTTGACCCTGTTGTGTACCATTCATCATCATTGGATTTTGCATTCCCTGAGCAGGCCCAGACATCCCCATTCCATTGAGAGCTTTCTGCATGCCAGGACGGACATCACGGTTCGAGCGTGGCCCTTTCGGTGCTCCGCGCATGTTGTTGCTATGCGTGTTTATCCGATCATTGCCTCGAGTTCGATGTAGGACTGAATCACCACCCTTGTTCGCTCCACCGCGGCCACCTCGGCCAGCAGATCGTCCGCCATGGAGACCTTTAGGTCCGCGAGGCCTGCATATAAAAGTCAGTTATCTTTGACAGAGTACGAACATTGTGTGAACTTACGCATTTTCGGGCGCGTTATCTGCCATATCCTGGTCATATGCGGCAGGGATTGCGGAATCTTCATTGTCCGCGAATGTTGAAGCGGCAGCATCCGGCGCGACTGTCTGATGTATCTGTTGTGATGATTGCGATGTCTCTGCAGGTGCAGGGCCGGTGGCGCCGGAGGATAGGATGTTGACCTGGTCAAATAGCCACTGCGCAAATTCCGTCGTACCCTTCGCGTCTTGTAATAATTCGCCTGCGAGCTCTGAAGCGATCTGGTCCTGAGTTTTGCCATTCGCAAGCATGAGAACGATGTACTCTGCTAAAGAGGTATCATCGTCCTGCGTCCAGCCTTCTTCGACGATCTTCGAGTGCACAGCACTGCTCAGCGCCTCCGCGAGCGGCGTATCCAGTGCAATTGAAGACATCGTAGCGAATGGTCGAGAGAGGGGAAGCAACAGATATAGTGGCAAGGCTAGGTCTGCCTGCGATACCCTGAGGCAGAGGGTCGCGCTTCGAGATTGTTTGCAGTATCGATGAAAGTTTGACTCTGAAGTCGGTTCAGGCGGTATAGGTTGTACTGTGAAACCGTGACAAGACACTGCGTGTCAAATGCAGTCAAATGCGCGGATAGACTCGAGGTGGATGTTGAGAGGTCGAGTAAGGCGTTTGTTTGAATATGCGAGTACACAGGTGGGAAGAAGGATGTATCTGCAGCGACCAGGCGCAATTACAAAGTGAAAGTGAAAAGCGGCAACTTGAAAGTGAAAAAGCGGCGCCACTTGATGCCAAGAGAGCTGCTAGTAGCTTACATAACACGTCTGTGTATGACGATCGTCTTCCATCGACGAACTGTCTCACTTCCGCATCCCATCCCTTACTGCGACGACTGCATTTCTCCTTCACATTTCTGTCGTCCACTCCGCGTTGTCAAAGTTGACTCTGGCCCAAGATCCTAAAACAATCCACTTTAGTGCCCTTCAGTGTCACGGTTCCTGCATTCTGCTGCCCTCACAAATGTTCTGAACTCAACTCTCCAGAATCACGTCCTTCACTTGGGAGGTTTCTGAGTCTACCATGATCAAGAGCATTTGAGAGTGAGTGAATGATTTCCATTGTTTGTTCCATGCCAAAAGAATGAGGGGGCGCCTACAATGCACTCGTCGTTTCGTACTGATACATTTACTTTGTAGCAGTATTGGATCATGCTACTGCACATACTTCTGGTTGCGTCTTGCATTGCAAGCTCATGTGCAATATGGCCTCAGCCATTAAACCAGTCAAAAGGTACCGATGTACGGTGGCTAGATCCCGCTGTCAAAACGACTCTCCATTGCAATGGAGCCATAGCTCTCTTGTACTCTCACGATTCATCTGAATATCAATTCACTGGTCTAATCCATGAACTTTCCAAGATTAGCCAGGTATTCTTTGGCCATTTCCAGATCTTCACAGGTAACAAGAGCCGGCATGAGACACCCAACAGCTTATCTGAGAGTTTCCTGCTGCAGGCCGCAGCTCGCGAAACGATTGCCCAAATTCATAGGTCAGGATTTGTGCCATGGAAAATGCACAAACGGCACTCCGCCTTTGAGCCAGACGCTCATGCGCCTCGCCAATATGTATCGGCGGTTCAGATTCACCAGATGAAGTGTCCTGACTCCCATGACTTCGCACCCGTGTCTTTCTTTGATGGAGATGAGTCTTACGAGCTTACTATCACCAATGAGACGGCTACAATCAAGTCTAATCATACAATTGGCAGTCTTCGAGCATTGCAAACTCTGCAGCAGGCCTTCTTTGCACACTCAACCTTATCTGGGTCCTACATGCCAGATCTACCGCTGCACATTGTCGATCGACCAAGATGGCGCCACCGAGGCCTTAGTATCGACATTGCGCGAAATCCATTTCGACCCGAGGATTTGATCAGAACTCTTGATGCCATGGCTATGACAAAATTGAACCGACTTCATATTCACGCTACAGATTCTCAAAGTTGGCCACTCGATATACCCTCACTCCCAAAGCTTGCTAGTAAAGGTGCCTACCAGCCTAACCTTATCTGGACGGTCAATGACCTTAGTGAGATTCAAGCTCATGGGGTAATGAAAGGCATATCAGTATTTGTGGAGATCGACATGCCTGGTCACACAGCCTCGATCGCTCATTCCTACCCGGATCTCATAGCTGCGTTTAACGAGCTCGACTGGTCAACCTTTGCAGCTGAGCCACTCAGTGGACAGCTCAAACTAAACTCATCCGCCGTCAATGAATTTGTATCGACGGTTCTCCTGGATCTTTTGCCTCGAACACGTCCATACACTTCATTGTACCACATCGGCGGTGATGAGGTCAATCTGCAGGCTTACCTATTGGATGAAACCGTGTCTAGTGACGACCCTCATGTGCTGCAACCTCTCTTGCAAAAATTCGTCGACCGACTGATCAACATCACCATCCAGCAGGGTCTGCGGCCCATCATCTGGGAGGAAATGCTCCTGGACTGGAACTTGACGCTATCATCTGCAGTAGACAAGGAAAACACTCCTAGCACTTTGGTCCAGGTATGGCGGGATAGCCAACGTATCGAGGAGGTTTTGAAGAGGGGACACCGAGTCATCTTTGGAGATTACAAGCATTGGTATCTTGATTGTGGTTATGGTATCTTTCTCGACCCATATCCAATGGGTAAGTCGCCTCACGGTGTGCCCTTTAACACCTCCGGAGGGATCCCTAGCAAACTCCACGTGCCTTATCTCGACTATTGCGCCCCATTTCACAATTGGCGCCATATGTACATGTATGACCCTGTGGCGAACATAAGCAGCGACCTCGTCGACGGCGTCGAAGGTGGCGAAGTCCTCTTGTGGAGTGAGCAAACCGACTCTATGGACCTGGATTCCAAGTTGTGGCCTAGGGTCGCCGCTGCTGCAGAGGTTCTCTGGGCGGGTGTCAGGAATGACACAATGCTTGAGGATGCCGCCAGAAGGTTGGGGGAATGGAGAGAAAGAGCAGTCACTGATCTTGGAGTGAGAATGTCACCTGTCCAAATGACTTGGTGCCTCCAAGAAAGGGGTTGCAATTTATGACGATATGGGGTTACTGTCCACCACAAGAGCAATAAGATGCACCAAAGCCGACCAGGGCAGAGTTCTCGAGTTGCCCTCTAGACGCTGGTGCGGCAGGCATGTGCCATCTATTCAGGCTATCGCACTGCAAGCGTATCATCGTATTTCGTATTCGGCACAGAATACGGGCGGTAATGGCCCAGAACCGCGCTAAGTGCATGATCACTTCAGGTTCATTACTTCCGTCTTACAATCATCAGACTTCTTCCAAACCATTGCATTCTTGCACCTTACACTGGGAAGTTATTGGCAACATTTGCTGCTGGTCATGACCTCCTGAGGCCGTCAGTATCGCGCGCCTTCAACTTGGAACCCGAAGCCCTCTCTTTCACCGATTGCCTTCGACGTATCACCTGTGAAGGGACGCGCAACAGCATTTGACGCATAGGGTGGCCTATGTAACGTTTTCTTGTACACTCAAACCTCATCAGAACATCCGTACTTTCGAAGGAGCATAGCCTGAGCCAGGTCAAACCCTTGTCAGCACGATTGAACTTCGTGTGCAAAGTACAGATTGCTAAAGGTTTCCCTTGGTCTCGTGAAGAAAGCCTTATCATTATGATGCCGCAACTCCCGTTCTGGCAGTATGTCGCCGCCATTGCGTTTCTCACATATGTTGGCTCTGTGTATGTCAGGAGGTATGTCAAGTTCCAGAAGGTCAAGAGTCTCGGGGGAGAGTCACCCAGAGTCACTACAAGATTTATCTTCGGTGAGTCTGTTGTTCGTTCCGTGATGACCAGAGACTCATGGATCTGGCAGGACTTGACTTCCCGCTACATTCCACAAGGGCCATTGTCAAAAATGAGGCCCTCGAATTCTGGCAGTGGATGTTTGACCACACGAAGACCGGAACTAGCGGGAATGGCTCGTATACTTGTGAGCTGCACATACTGGAGAACGAGAGAGTAATATTCTCTGCCGATCCGGAGAACATCAAGGCTGTGCTCACCACGCAATTTCAGGAATTTGGCAAGGGCATGTACACCCGGCGCTAATTGGAGTTGTCACAAGCACACCACTGACCATCACTTAGGGCAACAATTTCACTCTGAATGGAAAGATTTCCTAGGTGACAGCATATTTACCACAGATGGACAGCAGTGGCACGATTCGCGACAACTCATCCGACCAATGTTCATACGCGAAAAGGTCGCTGACCTCCCACTGATCGAGACTCATGTCCACAGTTTGATCTCGCTACTAGGTCCTGGTGATGGGCGGTTGGTGACGCTAAACCAACTACTCCACCGCTTTACTCTCGACGCCTCAACACATTTCCTGTTCGGCCATAGTGTCGGCAGTCTGCAAACAGAGCAGTCAGAGTTTGCAGCTGCCTTTGACGAGGTGCAGCGAGTTCAGTCGCTAGAATCACGGCTAGGGTAAGCTCTCCACTGTGCAAAGGTTGCGGCTGTAGTTGACACCGCAAACAGACCATTCAGACATTTCCATTCTAGGCGCTCTTTCTGGGAATCATTGCGCACTATGGAGGCCTTCATCGAGCCGTTCATCACGGAAGCTTCGGCGTTGTCTCCTTCTGAGCTGGAGTCCAAGCTGTCTCGATCCGAGACCTTCATCCACGCCTTAGCTGCGCATACTCGCGACCGTAAGGTAATGCGTGATCAGCTGACCGCCCTGCTTCTGGCTGGGCGAGATACTACAGCTGCTACAATGTCGTGGTTGTTCTTGGAGCTGGCCAAGAATCCACGCGTTGTCGAGAAGTTGCGGGCAGAAATCGTGGACTTCTTAGGAATTTATGGCCGCCCACCCTCCTATCAGGAGGTCAAAGACATGAAGTATCTGACCTATACCATCAACGAAACCTTGCGACTGTACCCGGTCGTACCCTTCAATGTCCGATGCGCGCTAACAGATACGTCGGTGCCACGCGGAGGAGGCGTGTACGGCAATGGCCCTGTCGGTTGCCCGAGTGGTACTGCCTTCGGCTACAGTCCTCTTATGATGCACCGTCGAAGAGACCTGTATCCGCCCATATCAGAAGCATTTCCTTATGACCCTCTTGAGTGGGTGCCGGACCGGTGGGCAACATGGACTCCAAAGGCGTGGAACTTCATTCCCTTCAATGGAGGACCACGGATCTGCATAGGGCAGCAATTTGCGATGGTCGAGATGGGTTATACTATTGTCAGAATTCTGCAAGAGTTTGATCAGATCATCGACTATGAGAACGACCGCAGTATGCACGCAGATATCATTCTAACACCAGCGAACGGTGTCAAAGTCGGGTTTGTCAAGCATGGGGCGCATGGTGGTAAACGGGAAAGGTGACTGGAAATGTGTGCATTTAATTATGATAGTCTTGCCTCGGGCGAATGCTCTAGAATATAAAAGCCAGACGATGTCGGCGATGATATGCGTACTTTGCCCCTTTGTCACTGAATCCCGGGTCGAGGTTATTCCGTGCCGCCATATTTCCTGGGGCGGGCGCCGCTGAAGCTAGACTCTCACGAGGCACTCCACACTTACAATTAAAGACACTCAAGCATAATTAACCTCAACTGCGACTCTCTTTACCCAACACTGCTATTGTATTCACAGGTTCATCTTGTGTCCCAACGTCACCGCTCGTCTGTGACAAGTCATATCATTTTCTCTCTGCTTTACTATTCGTATTGAAAGCTCGCTCGGGACACTTCATGGTGCTCGCTCCATAACTTCCTCCCCCGCGGTCGTTGTCTCATCCTTACGGTCTACACTCTACCGGTTTCTCGAGACTTCTACGAAGTCAAACACCATCATGGCCTCTGCAACCACCGATGCACCTATCGATGCTAGTTCTAGCTCGACCAAGACTCCCGCTCAATTGATGCAAGAACAACATGAAGCTGCCGAGTCACACCATGTGACGGTTGAAGACGTTGTCGACGAGGAGGATGTCCAACACCCTCCACCACCTCATCATGAAGCTGAAGAGTCGAAAAATATTCCTAACGGCACAAGCGATGCTCCCATGTCCGCCAAGGCTGCTGGCAAGCAGAAGGCGTCCGACAAGCCAACCGTCCTCGATACCCAGTCCGAAGAGGCCTTCCCGGCTTTAGGAGCTTCTAGCAAACCTGCTGCGGCACCTACTTCACGAGCTCCTGGCTGGGTAGCCAGTGCTTCTGCGAAGGCTGCGCCCACAAACGGTTCCCCTGCATTGGCATCTCGTCCAACTTCCTCTGGTGCTGCCACCCCATCAACTCCTGGAACAAGGACTCCCGCCTCAGCAGCAGCTGGTGCCCGTGCAGGTGTCCTGTTGCCAGGAAGATATCGAGACACCTTTGAGATTGACAACTCGGATCTTGACAGGAGCAAATCCGTGAAGAGAGTCATTGACGATGTCAAGAAGAAGTACAATGTGGTTGTCACACCGAAGTCAACCAATTTCGCAACCAGGACCCAATTCATCGCCGAGGGCCCTAAGGCCCGAGTTACTGAGGCTCTGATGCATGTCTCCAAGGAGCTTACGATCGAAAAACAAGTTAAACTTGAGATCCCCTCGAACGTTTCTGCCCAAGTCATCGGTAAAGGTGGTGCCAACATCAAGAAGCTTGAACAGCAGTTCAATGTTCGTATCCACATCGATCGCGATACCCGACCGCAAGCAAGCCCCGAGGAAATCAGAACCGACGTTGTTGAGATCCGCGGAAACGCCGCGCAGGTCCGCCAGGCGTATGAACACATCTCGAACCAGGTCAAGTCTCTCCAGCCAAAGATTGACCTGCCTGTTCGCGGTGTACCACCAGAGTTCTACCCATTTATTGCCGGTCGACACGCAGATCGCTTGCAACAGCTGGAACAAGACCGTGGTCTGCGCATCAACGTGCCACAGTACCACACATGGCAACAGCAACCTCCGCCTCGGCCTACTGAGACTGAACAGCGCCCTAACTTTGTTCCTCATGGAGATCATCACATTGTTGTCTCTGGCGAACAGGCTGCTGTCATGGAAGCACGTGCATTCCTGGAACAATTGGCCGAAGAACTGCAGAAGGAACTTTTGCTGGAAGAGCTGGCAGCCGAGCAGATACTACACCCTTACATTGTTGGCGACCGCGGCATGGACCCCCTGAAGTTCTTGGAGGAGACAGGCTGCGTCGTCATCCTTCCGCCGCCGGAGCATGAAACCGAGGATATCAACATCATCGGCCCCCAGGACAAGTTGAGCGCTGGCCGCAATCTGGCGGAAGAACTCATGTCTAGGAAGCACAACCGTGCGGTCGACATGCATAAACATTTTAACGACGCCCCACAAGGGCCCGAACGACATTCTCGTGCCCTAGCTCAATATCTGCAGCAGAAGGCCATCGAGCGAGAATTCATGAAATCCCATGGTGCAGAAATCGTCTTTCCGCCTAGCTCAAGCGCCTCAGCAAGCTGGAATGTCATTAGTAACGACCCTCAGAAGGCTCTATCTGCTCGCAATGAGCTGTCTAAGATCACCCAAGCATATCCTTCCTCCAGACTTCAACTCGTGGAGGTTGACCCCTTCTTCCATCCTCATCTTGAACAGATGCATGCTTCGAATCTGAAGGGTAACCTCGGTGTACATATGATAGTCCCCGAAGACGGCTCGGATCCGGTGGTGCTGGTATACGAGGGTCCTTCTCATGATGAGCCTTTCACAGTCCCTCGCACAAAACCTTCACAATCAGAGGTAGCCAACTTTGAAAAAGCTCTTCAGGAGGCACAAGCACAGTTGCTGAGCAATATTCCTCACCAAGGCATTTCGGTGCAAGATATCCATGTGCCAAAGAAGTACCACGACAAAGTCAGAAGATTCGTGAACAACGAGCCAAAGCCGACACCACCAGAAGCATTTCCAGTGCAGATAGACTTTGGTCGAGCTGCGGGAAATGTCAGACAAGCAGCAGGTGTTTCACGAGGTTTGCCTTCCGAGCAGATTTTCCTGAGAGGGCCAAGTGAAACGGACATCGAAGATCTACGCCAGAAGATCGAGGAATTTCTCCGAGAGGCGGAAGAAGACGAAAAAGAACGTGGTTATACAACTACCTTCCCATTCCCTGCTCAATTTGCCAAGAATCTCATCGGCAAACAGGGCGCTAATATCAAAGCGATGCGTGAAAAGCACGACGTGGATATTGATACGCGTGAAAATGGTCAAATCACCATTCAAGGGCCTCAAAAGAAGGCCGAGGCATGCAAAGCCGAAATTCTTCGTCTGGCAAAACAATGGGAAGACGAGGTCAATTTCGCCGTCAAGATTGATCCCAAATATCATGGCATGCTTGTGGGACGAAACGGAGAAAACCTCCAGAAGATCCAAAGCAAAGTCGACAACGTCGTGAGAATTGATTTTCCGAAAGCGTCCAGAGCTAATGACGATGCTTCCGCTGCTGACAATGCCAGCGAAGTCGGCGGCAACAAGGGCCAGCCACAGGATGAAATCAGGATCCGTGGACCTCGCGCGAAGGCCGAAAAGGTGCGCGACGAGCTCCTGAGTCTCCATCAATACTTGGTCGACAACTCCCATACCGCCACCGTCTCCGTTGCACAGGATCAAATTGCATCGCTGATTGGCAGACGGGGAATGGAGATGGAGAAGCTTCGAGCTGAGACAGGGGCTCAGATTGATATTCCTAAGTCTGACGGATCTGAACGCGTGACTATACAGATCAAGGGCACCAAGTCACAGGTCGACAAGGCCAAGCAAGAGCTGCAGAAGCGAGCCAAGGCATTTGACGCTGTTGAAACACGCACATTGAACGTCGACAGGAAGCACCATCGTGCATTAATTGGTGCTGGTGGTAAGTCATGAGCGGTTTTGATGCGTTTGATTCACAGCTGACACTTTTACAGGATCTAACATCCAGAGTATCGTCTCGAAAGCGGGCGGTACAGGGACTAGTGCTGAGCACGTGCGCTTCCCTCGCCAAGGTGACGAATCGAGCGAGCTTACCGTCAAGGGCACCACTGATGTGGTCGAGAAAATTGTGGCAGCTATCCAGACCTTTGTGGATGAAAGAGAAAACCAGATCACAGAAACGATAGATGTGCCCATCAGTCAACACCGCGAGCTAATCGGACCTAATGGAAGCATTCGGAAGAAGATCGAAGACGACTTCACTGTCAGTCTCAACGTTCCTCGACAAGGATCAGGTCAGACAGGAGTCAAAATTAGTGGCCGGTCAGAGCACGTATCGCAAGCGAAAGAGCACATCCAGAGCCTGACCACGAAGCAGCAGGGTGAGACTATCATGGTCCCGAAAGCCTTGCACCATGTGGTCTCGAAGAATGGTGCTCTTTTCCGGGAGTTGTCCAGAGACGGAGTCCGCGTCGATCACAACGGTCACAAGCCACCGCCAAAACCAAGAGGTGCCGGACGTGGTCCTCAGCGGACCACAAATGGCGACATGCCCTTGATCACAGATCAGCCCGCTGAAGGGTCCCACACATGGGACATAGTCTCGAATCAAGCTGCTTTGGACGGCGACGATGGAGAGATCCCATGGGTACTTCTTGCCGGAAAGGACGTTTCGGAAGACGCCGTCACGAAGGCCAAGCAGAAGATCCAGTCGTCCATCGAGAAGGCCAAGGAACCGCAATTTACAGGCTACCTCATCCTTCCTGATCCACGGCTGCATCGACACATTATCGGACAAGGCGGTTCGACCATCAACTCGATACGAAAGGCGTCCGGTTGCGACATCCAGGTTCCGAACCGCAATTCTAGCAAGGGCGAGGAAGGTGAAGCCATTACCATCGTTGGCAAGGAGGACGGTGTCTTGTCTGCGCGTGATTTGATTCTCGAGGAGATCAAGCGGGCTCAGGCGGGTCGTGCATAGAGTGCATACTGAGGTTTGACGGACAAACAAAAAGTTTTGGATGGACACGGCCATGTAACAGTACCTACTAATGCGTGGTTGACATCTGAGTTGATAGGGAAGATACCTAAAAAGAAAGACCTTGTCCTTATATGTTCACTGATGGAAAGTCATGCTCCTGGATGGACAAAAAGTATTCAATATAGTAGTGTATACGACTGGTGAGCAATGTTATCCGATAATATCACCACGCAGAAGTTTGGTACGCTTTGAGAGGATTACTTCTCATGACCGATGTGCTCGCCTCGATATATACATATATATCTCTGGTCCAAGATGGCCATCATCAAGTGATGTCAGACTCTGAGTGTATCGATACATTCGGAAGCAAGGGTAGGTATAGGTAGTACGGCTCGAGTGCCAGACGAGGCTGAAATGTCGCCAAGCCTTGTGGGGAATCTCAAAGTCTAAAGACGAGGCTCTGTCTAGCAGTTTTCCGTGACCGGAATATTTCCTCACGATCTTGCCACTGATTCTGCCTTTACGATATCAGGGATCTAGAACTCGCTGTGAGGGTCGGTGCTCCCATGATGACAGGGTAGTGTACTTCTCAGAAACATGTCGAAAGAAAAAGGTGCAAATTCTGCACTGGGATCATCCCCAGTTCAACAAAGTCCCAAGGAACCAAAAGGATTGAAGAGATCCGCAGCAGAGGCATTCATCAACAAGCCTCATTTAGTCGGGAAGAAGTTGAATGCTCATCGTCGCGATGCTGCGCGTGGGGTATCGGTGGGCAAGACTGTCCTCTTTCATGAGTCAGGCGAAAACAAGCATGAGGTTGCTCTTAGCCAACAGCAGAGATCCAAGCCGAATCTGAGGGAAAGAGCCCGGGATTTGCTCTCGGTCAGGCAACAATTACCGATCTATAAGCATGCAGATCAGATTAAACAGGAAGTCAGAGAGCATGAAGTTTTACTCCTTGTCGGAGAGACGGGTTCCGGTAAATCAACTCAAATCCCACAATTTCTGGTGACGGAACCGTGGTGCAAAAGGAAGACGACCCAGGGAGGCGCGAACGTGGGCGGGTGCATCGCCATCACTCAACCACGAAGGGTCGCAGCCATCTCTTTGGCTCGACGAGTTGCAGAAGAAATGGGAACTCCGCTGGGCAATTCCAGTCCGGCTTCGCAGGTCGGATACTCGGTCCGATTTGAGAATAGCACAAGTCCCTCAACAAGGATCAAGTTCTTGACTGAGGGAATGTTGCTACAGGAGATGTTGCGCGACCCCTGGTTGAAAGAGTACTCCGCGGTGGTTGTTGACGAGGTCCACGAGCGCGGTGTGAACGTGGACCTGGTGCTCGGCTTCCTCAGGAGAATGCAAGATCTCAAGAGCAAAGAAGATGGGAGAGGCGGTATCGGGATGAAGGTTGTCGTCATGAGCGCAACAGCTGATATGGAGAAGATCAGGGATTTCTTCAACTCTACTTCTGCTGAATCTCCGGCTATTCAACAGGACGACCGTGTCGAAGAGGACTGGTCCGGATTTGCTGACGGCGACAATGACCACAATGGCCAACATGCTTCAAACACAACGAGTGGCACTCTTCAGGGTTCTGCCCTTGACAAGAAGCCTCCGAACGGTGTGGCCTCAGAATCCGCCATAAGAGCGACATCCCTTTTGATCAAAGGTCGCCAACACCCCGTCACAATGAATTATGCACCATCTCCAGTCCCCGACATTCTGGACGCCGCGTATCAACGCATCATGCACATCCACTCCCACACTCCTCTGCCAGGCGACATCCTGGTCTTCCTGACGGGTCAAGAAACAGTCGAATCCCTCTCAAGCCTATTGACATCCTGGTCCGCATCGATTCAAAAGGACGCAACCCTCTCAAAGGCTCTCCCAAAACTGCTTATTCTTCCGCTCTACGCCGCCCTGCCATCCGCAATGCAGCAGCGCGTCTTCCAAACCACCCCTCGATTCACACGGAAGATCATTCTAGCAACTAATATCGCCGAAACCAGCATCACAGTTCCGGGAATTCGCTTCGTAATCGACACAGGCAAAGCCAAACAACGTCTCTTCCGTCCATCGCTCAACCTCGACACTCTCCTCACCGTCCCCATCTCCCGCAGCTCCGCCAACCAACGTTCCGGCCGCGCCGGTCGAGACGCTCCCGGCACAGCATACAGACTGTACACCGAGTCCGATTTCTACCAACTATCCCAGGACACCGAGCCAGAAATTCTCCGGTGCGACCTAAGCCAGCTTGTCCTCACCCTGAAAGCCCACGGCATCGACGACCTCCAAGCATTCCCATTCCTGACTAGACCGCCTCGCCGCGCCCTCGAGCGCGCAATGATCCACCTTCTGCAACTCTCAGCCCTTGACCCCTCCACTGGGCAAATCACCACCCTAGGCCGTGACATGAGCGTCCTCCCCCTCCCCGCGAGTCTCGCGCGCGTCCTCCTAGCCAGCGCTGATCCACAATTCTCCTGTACCGACGAAATCATCGACATCGTCTCAGCCCTCAGCGTAGAGAGCATCTTCCTCAACGTCCACCAAAGCCACAAGTCCACAGACACCTTACAGGACCCACTCGCACTTAGATCCGAATCCAAATCCAAAACCTCCGACGCCTTAGGCGACTCCGAGAACGAACACGACTCCCGCGCAAGCCAGCAAGCTCAAGCCCGCCGCGCCCTCTACCGTCGCGAGGGAGACCACCTCACCCTCCTAGCAACAATGCAAGCCTACGCCGCCGAACCCACCGACCGCAAAAGATGGTGCGACGACCACGCCATCTCGCACCGCGCCATGACCGGCGCCCTCGACGTCCGCAAGCAACTCACCGGTATAATGCAGCGGCGGCAACACATGGGCTCCAAGAGCACAAGCCTCACGAATGATAAGGATGATCACGACAATGACCCTACCACCCTGCCCCAACGAGTCCTCAAGTGTATCCTAACAGGCTTCCACCCCAACGTAGCCCGCCTCTCGAGCGACGGGTCTTACCGTACTCTCCTCACGAATCAACCCGTGTCAATACACCCGAGCAGCGTGCTCTTCTCTGCTCCATCGTCCGACGGGTCACCAGCCGGAGCGCCGCGCAAATTCGAGGCCATAATGTACAATGAGTTCGTGTATACAGGGACAAAGGCCTACGCGAGAGGTGTAAGTGCCGTGGAGATGGGTTGGGTCAGTGAAGTGCTACGTCGTTAGCACCGTGGAAGAGACATTACCCGCGCGGATCGAACAAGAACATATGATGGACTTGATCTCCTTATGAATAGTGGTTGACGCGCGACTCGTGCGAGGATCAGCTATCACCAATTCTGTGGCATTAAATCAATCCTTTCGAATTTGAAATCCAGACGCTCTATGTGCATTGACCATCCATAGACAACTCAGAAGGTGCCCTCTTCATCACCAACGGGTTGCAGGAACCCCACTGCATCACCGTCATCTTCACCCACAAAATGGATGGCACGCGTGATCGTGAACGACAACATACTTCCGGAAAGGACAGATATGAAAACACCAAACCAGAACTGCTCAAACCAGGGGCATGAGGCCTGGCGACAAAAAGGTTCCCTTCCACTTGAAGGTCACGGCTGCAGCAATCCAGGGTCGCACGGGAATAAACTCCATCGGACTAGATTCTGCCTCTTCTGCCATGTCCCTTTGCCTTGAGCACCCCCTTACTAAATTCCAGTCACTTCAGGACTCCATAACTCTGTGGTATCTCAAAACGTAGTACATCATAAAATCATAAACTCTTCTGCAGACAAATAGTTGTTTTGCATGTTTCAGTTGGAAGACGGTCTTCTGGACTCAAGGTCACCGTACCCAGTCCTCGTCTTCCTTCTCGTCGTCCAGGATGAACTCTGGATTCGACATATCGGGAGCCACAGACCACGAAGGGTCGTCGGCCATACTCGTTGGTGCCATGGCTGGCTTCGGCTGATTTTGTGATCCATTGACCATACTATCCATATGTGCGTACATCTGTGCTTCGTTTATCGTATATGGATGTTCGCCACTGCCGGCACTGCCTGGTGTCGATATGCTGGGCGTTAGGCCTCGGCTTACACTGGGTACACTCGGTATGCGTGTTTGTTGAGGAAGCTCTTGCGAGGCCATATTCATTTGTGCCATTTGCTGCTGCATTTGCATACGCTTGGTCTCTGCCTCAGCTTGTTTTAGATAGTCGTCGATGTCAAGGCTGCCAAGATTGTCGCGAGCTAGAACGTTGGCCTGAGGTGTGCCATAATATGACGATGCCGAACTCAGTCTGTACCTGTCAGAAGCATCGTCACCTCCGATGCTGCTGAAATCCGTGAAAGCCTCTGGGTTAGGCTTTAGATCGTTTTGAAGAGGCTGCTCATTACCCCAGCGATTCGACGAAGGAGATTGATCCTCGATTTCGGAGGCCTCGCCACTAGAAGACGTTCTTTGGACCTGGTTGATTTGCTTGGACACATCGAAAGCCTGATATGGTGCCTGCTGCCCAAGATAGGGTGAGTTACCCTGGGTGTTATTTACCATCACGTTATTGACATTGAAATCGTTATTAGTCTCCAAGTTGTAATTAGACCAGTCAAGAGATGCAACGTCAGGATATTTCGGCGGGTCGTAGTCATGGGCCTGCTCGTATGACATGAACCAGGACTCTGGAAACTGTTCCGGCAGGGTCAGGTCTGTCTGGCTTGCATTCTGGCTATTCACCAAACTGTTCGTTTGTGCTGGAGGGGTATCAACGCTGAAAGGCGAGTAAGAGTAGGCGTTTGGATCGAACTGAGGTAGATTTAGGTCTCTGAATTGTGGAGGATTCGCAACGTTCTGTGGGCTTAGTATTGGCGAATTGTGTTCTGATCTGACTTGCCGTTGAACAATCTGCATTGCATCAGTCATGGAATTGTGCAGAGGCGATTCGTGGTATGGCTTTGTAGATCTGGTAAGTAGGAGGTTATCTGTAGAGCGCTGGGCGATGTCGCGGTGGCCATGAAGGGAATTCGAGCGGGAAGGTATCTTATAGGGCGTTCCGAGTTGGTTGTGAGCATCATTGAATTTATGCACCGGCTTATGATGACCGTTTGTGAAGACTGTCGCCTTAGCTTCGTGGGAATTGTGATTAGGGCGTGGTTTGTGTTGTTCTTTCGGTTGGATCAGCTGAGGAATGTCTTCGGGAACGGCGTCGAGTTCCTTCTTGAGTGAACAAGTGCAGCGGGAACCATGTTGACAACAGCAGGTATTCGGCTCTAGCATTGTCGTTAGAAAGGGTTGTTGAGGGCATGGAGTAAACGTACCAGTGTTGCCCTCGGCCTTCTCATGAGGGCAGTCTTCTTTCGAATGCGCCTTGTCATGGCATTCGCATTTCACATGCTGGGATCGAGCCTTGCGCAAACCTCGGCAGTGTTGGCATTGTGAGACTGGCCGGCCCTTTTTGTTGACATGGACGAGGGGACGATCTGAGAGCAGAAACAATCAGCATCGCGGCTCCTGGACTTATGAAATTTTTGGTAATGTCACGACACCTACCTGAGTGATGGCAAGAACTAACGCGATGGCCCCTTACACATGCCTCGCAGGCGAACTTTTCTCCGTTGATGAGCATCTTGGACAATGACCTCTTCCAGATTCTCTAGCCTTGCGGACTGCTGGAATTGTATATTGTACCGATGCAAGTAGTGGGGTGAATGCTGGGCCGGGTATGAAGATCGACGAGACTGGCGAGAGGAGACGATGGTGTCATAAACCGTCGGACGATGCGGAATGAATGGGCTCGATCAAGGCGACTGTGGTCGCAAGCATTCGAAGGCGAGATAAGCCAATATGCCGAGCCAAAGGCGGTGTGTTTGAGGGAGTGGTGGGATAGATAGACTTGGGAAGACTCAGAACAGTGTCGGTAAAAGAGTTCTAAGTATTGGAAGCCGCCAGACGCCGGAACACAGAAAGACGAGAAAGAAACACTTGATGGATGCAAGATCAGTAGGGATCGGGATCTGCCATGTTTCCACGATGTTCAGCGACGAGGATGCTGAGCACAGCGCAGGTGGGAAAGATGAAGTCGCAGCGTGGGTGGGTTGGTGGGTGGAAGAAATGCAAGTTCGAGAAGAAGTGAGAGAAGCGAAAGCGCAGTTTTGACGGGGACGATCGTGTCGATTCAGTTAAACTTAACTTGACCTAGCTGGGGTGTGTTCAGGGCTGCGCCAGGCCACTTGACCTGCCAGTGCCCGCCCTATGCCAGTAATTCATTGATTAAACTATCGCTAGGCTAGGTACGGAATATTTATTCAGGGTCTTTTAACCTACAAGCATGTGTGTTACAGTTTACTCCCCTTACGTTGCCTCTTTGCCCGGTTCAGGTATTCCGCCGTCCCGCTCTTTTCGCTCTAGGTCACAACCCTCTGCAACTGCGCGATACCCGAGAATGATGCGTATGTTGCCGTCTATATTTATGGCAGACAGGTCGTATTCGGGATGGTGACGAAAGACAATCCAGTTGCCCAAGGCAGAAATTGGAGAGGCTCCTGAAGCGCAGCAGCAAGGTCACAGGACCGTACCAACCTCCGGCCGCGCAATCTACGCTTGATTGGTACCTGAACATTCCGCATAGTCTCTCATCAGCAAGTCAGATTCCAATGTTGCTAATTCCTCATCCGTCCATCTGCATGGTGGAGACAAATCCCACGCCTTTGATCCGAATTATCGTGTCGTGGTGGACGATGGCTGATGACTTGCCTACGGCAAGGTCTATCACTCATGAACTCGTTACAAACTCCCAGAATCAATTCTTCCGGAAAATAGAGCTCAGCTCGTTCATTGTATCCAAGATATAGACTACAAACACATTGTTGCTGTAAATATCCATCTCCCAGCTCTTTTGTAATATAGCAGGCATATTTTTCAAGCCCAGCCAAACCCCATCTGAGGGTGGCGGTCATGACATTGTCGTTCGTTGCATCGTGATGCCTCTCGCGTCTCGCGTTCGTATTGTTGCTGTCCACTTCAGACAATCGAACGCTGCTTTCCAACGCCTCTTTCATGCAAATCCAAAATTCAGCGCATTTCTGTACAAGAAGCCCGCAGCAATGGGGATAAAGCACAGCTCAGCCTTGACAGACTTACGCAGCCGGTCCAGCCTTGATAACCTCCTCGGTAGCCTCATCGGCATATTTCTGGAAGTTCTCGTTAAACAGCTTGCCCAACTTGGTGACTTCTTCACCGAAATCGGCCGAGCCAGTCCAGCTCTTCTTGGGGTTGAGCATCTCATCGGGAACATTAGGGCATGTCTTGGGGACACTGAGGTTGAACACATCATACGTCTCGTACTCCTGCTTGGCAAGCTCGCCAGAGTGAATGGCATCCAGGATGGCTCGGGTATACTTCAATGGGCAACGCTTACCACCAGTGGCCGCTCCGGCACCAACCCAGCCAGTGTTGAGAAGCCAGGCATTGGCATTGTGTTCAGAGATCTTGTCTGCAAGCATCTTTGCGTAGCGCATAGGGTGAAGCGCCAAGAATGGCTGGGCGAAGCAGGAGGAGAAGGTGGCTTGTGGTTCTGTAACACCATCCTCTGTGCCGGCCATCTTGGAGGTGTATCCAGAAATAAAGTGGAACATGGTCTGAGCAGTGTTGAGCTTGGAGATGGGTGGTAGCACACCGCGGGCGTCGCAGGTAAGCAGGATGATGTTGGTTGGGTGGTTGTTGCTGAGGCAAGGAATCTTGGCGTTGCCGATATACTCGATAGGGTAGGCGCATCGAGTGTTCTCGGTCAGGGTGGAATCATCGTAGTCGACATCGCGAGTCTCGGGGTCGAAGACGACATTCTCCAAGACCGAACCGAATTTGATGGCGCCGAAGATATCGGGCTCCTTCTCGGCGGACAGCCCAATGCACTTGGCGTAACATCCACCTTCGATGTTGAAGACGCCCTTGTCACTCCAGCAGTGCTCATCGTCACCAATGAGCTTTCGCTTGGGATCGGCCGAAAGAGTGGTCTTTCCAGTGCCCGACAGGCCGAAGAAGACAGTAACGTCACCCTTCTCTCCCTCGTTGGCGGAAGAGTGCAGGGTCAGGACGTTGTGCTTGACAGGCATCTCGTAGAAGAGGACCGTGAAAACACCCTTCTTCATCTCACCCGCATACTCGGTACCAAGGATGACCATTTCTTTCTCGGCAAAGTTGATGGAAACGCTGGTGGCGCTGGTCATGCCGGTGGTGTATCTGTTGGCCGGGAAAGAACCAGCATTGTAGATGACATAGTCAGGGTGGAACTTCTTCAACTCCTCGCGAGAAGGCCTGATGAGCATATTTCGCATGAACAGGGCATGATAGGCACGTGCGCAAACCACTCGAACGTTGATGCGGTATCGTTCATCCCAGCCAGCATAACCATCGATAACATAAATGCGGTTTCGAGTGTTGAGGTAGTCGATAGCTCTCTCTCTGTTGATCTTCCAGACCTGTTACACCAAGGCATGTTAGCTGTGCTTCTTGTTGCAATCTAGTGGCATTGATATCGCTAGTGCAGGATAATTGATAAGTGATGTGGGGCTTGAACAGGAACACCAGTTCTGCTGCCGAACACACCCGGTAGCCAAGCATTCTTTAGCCGCGGCATGAGGCAGAGTTGCGTCACGTTCGATTTGGGGCAACGCGGGGCAATAATTCTGCATCATGGATGCCATTTTGGTGCAGTGCCGTTCGTCCACATGCAATCAAAATACCGGCCACAGCGGGGATGCTAGGTCTTGAGACCTGATAGCAAAATGACGCTGCCATCCCCTCCACACTGCTTCTATTGCAGCATGGAAGAGTGTGGACTGGGCGTAGAAGGCTAAGAGATAGCACGCTCGGGTCGCATAGACACCAACGTGGGCATTGATAGGACCAAGGGTAGACAGAGATGAAGAGTATACTGACCTCTGATGACATGGGCTTGTTGACAGGTCCCCACCATATGTCCTTCTCAGAGCTGGGTTCCTTGACTACACGCTTGTCGAGCGGAGAACGACCAGTCTTGCTACCAGAGTAGGCACTCAAGGCACCGGAGGATGTAATGGCTGTGCCGGTCTCGTAGACTAGGGCATCTTCATAAAGGGCAGATACTGAGGGGTTGGCAACGATAGCCACGCGGTCGTAGTCGATGTGAGCAGTAGTGTAAAGTTCTTCTTCGAGTTCGGTGTGTTCACGACCTGGCCTAAGTATGCCTGTTAGTGGACTGAGAAAACGAGGTACCGTCGACGACAACTTACTCGACACCACCAGGGTGGAGGGCGGTCTTGTTGACTGAGTGAGAAACCATTCTGGGAGTGAATGCCCGCAGGTTGGTTTTGGCTAGGTTCGAACGAGCTGTACCGGAACCAGGAGAGGATGATTGAGGGCGGATGGAGTGGAGAGCTTGAAGTCGAGTAGAATATTCGGAAGCCATGAAGACGGGACTGAGGCCTGTTACTTGTATCTTTCTGGCGCTGGGGCTAAGCCGCTTCTCAGGGACGCTTCCGAAAGACCAACGGGACAGATCGGAGGACGACAGTGGTGTTTCGCGGGCACGGCTCGTCCGACTCTTTCCGGGGAGTGTTGATTGGAGGAAATCCAACTGCCGTGGATATACTCCGTCAAACGCTCTGGCAATTGGAGAATCTGAATTGCGGAGCAGGCGAAAAATGGTCGCGATGATATTCCTTCAACTTATTATCGTGCTTGGTTTGAAAAATATGAAAAGACTTAGAGAAGTGGTGAAAAGTGACGAAAAGGTAAGACAGCTACGACACAAGACAAGGTGGGAGAAGCAAGGACGAGGAACATCGACGGTCACCCAATGCTGCAGCATCCCCCGCTTCTCGTCGCCATTTGCCCTCTTTGGCATTCCTCTTACGAAGACACGATGGAGCCACAAGTCATGCTGCATCTGTTACTGTGTTTACCCCAAGTACCCGTACAACGCCACTAGATTCCGCGCTTCGGAAGGTCAAACACAAAGACCATATGCATTTCTCATTTCCGCAATACCCACTGCTGCTTCTGCCGAACGTCCAGCAGAGGCCACGCAAACAAACAGGCTATGTGGCACTGTGAACGGATGATTTTTCATTTTGGACCGTGATAAGGTCAAACGGAGAATTGCCAAAATAACGCAGTCCTCATCACTCCACAAATGTCATTGCTGGGTGGGAAAAAGCGGGGGATCGCTAAAGGTGACCAGATCATCATTCCAACTCTGATCTCAACAGCAAACAGCCCTACGTGTTCGCACCCACCTACATCATCGCGCTTCAAACCGGTCAACCGCTCCATCCAAACAACCCGTCCCTGCGTTCGATCTGCCCAGCCAGGCCTGTACACCATGACAATGCATCATAGTCCAGGTTGGGAGGGATCGAACAGATGTGTAAGAGCTTCGCTTGCATCATGTCAATCAAGCCGTCTTTTGCCAGGCTCCGTATACTCCAAGCAAACTGCTCGTTGTCCCAGCCAGACCAATGATGCCCTCGTCAAAGGTGGTATATCCAAGCGCGGTGCTGGGAACTGTGAGGTCACAGAGATCAGAGATGAGTTGGATGTTGACGGCTCGTTGTTGTCTATTGCCAAAAGTTAGTCCCATTTTGTCACAACGTATTCCGCTTTTGACGTTGTTACATACTTTGCGATCTTCACTTTCTCAACTTTATCTTCGGCGTCTTTCTCATCCACAGTCTGCACTCTCTGCCTCAACTTGTAGGTATTGTAGATGCCAGCCAAAGCGCTGGCAACCAGACCAGTCAACCAGAATCGATAAGCGGTAGCCTGGGCGCTCTTCGCTTTGGGGTCTTTCCTGACACCCATGGCGTCCAAAACCGTCATCGTATCGAAGGTCAAGTACCCTGCATAACCTATCTGTCGTAAGATTTGCAGGTATTGCGTGATTTTGTCGCCGTTGCTCGACTTGATGGCAGCATCGTATATTTCTGCACCAGCTCGGATGTGCTCAACAAATTTTCCAATACGCAAAATCTTTCTCGTAAGCCCGAATTGATTCTTGAGGACAACCCATGGCTGGATGGTACTCGTAGGGTTATTGGTGCGGTAGAGGTACCAGGCGTAAAATCTGCTAAAGTATTGGATGGTACGGAGCACCTTATCACGACCAACTGCAGAGAAACCATCATTTAGCGTATACGCCTTCAGCGGTCGCATTGAACTCACCTGTAGTCGCAACGTATCTGAGATAGTGGGTCACCGCGGGGTGATAGACAAGAGCGTCGGCGACCATAATTGCGACAGGGGACGCCGAAAGGTGCGTAGAGCAGGTGCGGTCAGGTAAGGGATGGGAATGTCAACAATCGGCTCGGATGCGCTCTTCTTGAATCAGCGTCGCGACAAGGGGTACGGAGGTCGAGTTAGTCCTCCAGTGTTGGCTTGCAACAGATCCGGAACAAATGAGAGATCAGAAAAGAAAGAAAAGGTGGCTGTTCTGGGGAGTCAGAGCCAAGTTATTAGAATACTGAGAAGATGCGGGTGAGCGTTCGCAGATGCTCCCGATACCCGGTGACTGGGACTGGAAATAAGAGGAAAGCTGACATGTGACGGGGACCTCGGCATCTTAGCCCTCTTTTCGGCCACACCTGTACATGTCAGGACTCCTGGCTGTCTACATACAACTATTTTCGGTCTATTGCTCCTGCTGAACCTTTCAACTATACCGACAAATAGTTTGCTATCCTACTTTCCAGGATTTATACACATAAATGTCGTTGGCTAGAGATGTGGACTCTAGAGATTGTCTTTAACATCCCACAATTCCAAGAGTAAGTCCAGGTGTCTGGAGCTCTCTATCAATATTTGATGAGTAGTCTGGGGCACCAGCGCGGTGAACAAGACTATGGCAATCATGCTCACTCGTTATGTCAGGATGTCATCTCCCACAAGTTTTTCTATGCCTCTGAAATCTTCAGCCATAATTTCTCCCGGTGGAAAACAGTTCTCCATATACAGTACCGGCACAGCAACCGAGGCTTTCTCGCCGTGTCCCGCCATCTCCACGTTTACCACAGCAATCCCCATAAAGAGATGATGCCATCGAGCTTAGGTAAGTCAGGTGCCTCAGCTGGATTCTATGAGCACTTGATATCCGCTGCTATAATTTCAATACGATTCCGAGATTTTTAGGGAGAGTTGGGCTGGACGGCCGCGATTTTGTGATTCTCCAGACATTCGTCGCATTGGTTGGTTTTGGAGTAGCTCAACCCCGGTTTCTTGTGCCACCGCGCAGCCCAATATGCCTACAGCGTCGTCATTTCCAGAGATACAAATCCCCAATGTCGACCTCTGGGGGCTCATGTTTGAGCAGCCTCGAGACTTTCCTGACACAAAAGGTGAGTAGCACGCTGGACAAGCATGACTCTCGTTGATCTATTGGGTAGTGATATATCGCACCGTTGATTCTTCTCGTCAATATACATGGGCCGAGGTCAAGGAAGCTGCGACAGATTTTGGTGGTGGCCTCCGAAATCTATGGGACTGGCAGAAGGGCGATGTGCTAAACATCTTTGCACCCAACGATATTGACTTCGCCGCCATTGTGTACGGAGTCTTCTTTGCTGGAGGCATCGTATCTCCAGCCAACCCAGCATATTCGGCGGACGAGCTGTCCTTTCAGCTATCCAATTCCAATTCTCAGGCAATTGTTACGACCAAGGATTTCCTGCCGACAGCGTTGAAAGCCGCCGAAAGGTCCAACATTCCCGCAGATCGTGTTATACTGCTTGGGACCGGGCGGGATCCCACCCACAGACACAAACACTGGACCAATATCCGCAAGACGAGTGGTGCCACTAGGTACAGGCGACGAAAGCTGGATTCGGACAATGATTTGGCATTTCTGGTGTATAGCTCGGGCACTACCGGTCTTCCCAAAGGCGTTATGCTAAGCCACCGCAACGTCGTTTCGGACCTGCTGCTGATCAAGGGAGCAGTTGGGAAATGGTACTCGAGCGGCAATGACAAGATTCTTGGGGTGTTGCCGTTCTTTCATATCTACGGACTGACAGGATTAGTGCAGCAACCTTTACACAGAGGCATTGAGCTTGTGGTGATGCCAGCATTCACCCTTGAGGTGTTCTTGAAGGCCATCGAAGAGCACAAGATTACGTTCATCTATGTTGCGCCTCCAGTAATTGTGCGACTGGCGCGGGACAAAATGGTGGACAAGTACAACCTCAGCAGTGTCAGAATGATCACAAGTGGCGCTGCGCCTTTGACGCGAGAACTGGTTGATGCCCTACACAAGAGGCTGAACATCAAGATCAACCAGGCTTATGGGCTCAGCGAGACGAGTCCCATGACCCATACACAGGTGAGTAATGGCCTTGAAGAAGCGCTCACAGTTGGTTCTCTGACCGCATTCTAGCCTTGGGATGAATGGTATAACTCAGTTGGAAGTGTCGGCAAAATGTTCCCCAATATGACAGCCAAGTATATGTCTCCAGACGGCGAAGAACTCGGGCCTGGCGAGATTGGAGAACTATGGCTTGCTGGCCCAAATATTTTCAAGGGATACTGGAAGAATGAATCAGCGACAAAAGATGCAATAACGCCCGACAAGTACTTCAAGACAGGTGATGTTGGTTTCCAGGACAAAGATCACAATTTCTACATCACCGATCGAGTCAAGGAGCTCATCAAGTACAAGGGCTTTCAAGTCCCACCCGCGGAATTGGAAGGTAAACTCATGGACCATCCTGGCATCGACGATGTAGCTGTGATCGGGGTGTACGATGACCATATGCATACAGAAGTGCCTAGGGCTTATGTGGTCGCCAGTCAGGACAAGGCTAGTGAAAAGGACGCGGATGAAATTGTCCAGTGGCTGCAAGGCAAAGTCGCCAATCACAAGAGACTCCGGGGAGGCGTGCGCTTCATCGACGAGATTCCAAAAAGCGCAGCAGGCAAGATCTTGCGGCGAATACTGAAAGATAAGGCAAAGGAAGAAGAATCGTCGAACAAGGATGGACGGCAGGTCAAGGCCAAATTGTGACCTCGTACCGATATCTGTTGGCTTGGGTTCTGGTACGGGCATCCCTAGCGTGGCATCCTTCTTCGCAAAGGCATCGATAGCTCCTTTGTTGTCTGCTGCTGCATGGTTTGGTCTGAGAATGCAGGGTATGTCACCTACAATTCTTGAAAGGATCGCCAGTTGCCGCTAGGCAAGGGGGGGTCCTACTACTGTACACAGTATGTAATCGGCCGATATCAGTTGCGGTCATCATGCATAGAGGCTGCATATGAGCCCGGAAGTCAATCACGAACAAGCACTCGTTGCATGCAGAGCCAAGCATTCATCGCCAAGCGACTCGTGCTCAATTGTCGCTTTTGGCCGTCATCGAGAGATAAAACAGGTTCGGAGTCAGAAGACTCTTTCCTCTCATTTCAATTTCGATGATTTTGAAATTCAACGCTATGGATTGAAGAAATTTGAACCTCGTGCATCTCCGGACAGCTGGTATGATGCATCAAGCATGAAGTTTTCATGAAGGCGACCAATACTCTTCTCTATCTCTATACACGTGTTAAACTGTGGACAATGTGGGCATCATTAACCAGTCCACAGGGGGGACCGTGGGTTACGCGGCGTGCAGTTCATTCAACTTCATTGATCCTTGCCGACCACCTTCACTTAAACACCCAGGCACGTGCCGCTTAACCCGGTGGTGTACCGTGCACGGCGAGCCCGAACTAACGTTGACTTATCAGCCCCAGGACCATTGGGGGCTTGCAGGGTTGCAACGAAATCCATTGGCCTGACCCTTGGAGCGATCCCACCTCAAGTGGCACCCCATCTGCGTAGAATTGCTTGTTTAGTCCGATGCGATCATACTTTTTCATTTTCAGCCCTGGTCCATGGGCACTTCGTAGAATCTATATCTACCCTGGACTCTCGCTCGGACCTTTCTGAATTCCCTTCTATGAGCACAGCTGCAGTTGAACTCGCAACAGACTACAGCCATGGAAATGGAGAACGAGAAAAGGATTGACGAAGGCTATGCGCCCCAAGACGTCGACCGTCGGGTATCGGTCCATGCAGCTCCCCTTGACGCCACGCCAAAGACTAGGTGGCAACGTACTTGGCCGACCATTGCTTGCGGTGCTGGATTGTTCTCGGATGGCTATCTCAATGGCGTATGTCATCTCAGCCTTGTGGCTATGAACAACCTCACTAACACCAAGTTCCACAGGTCATCGGATCTGTCAACACCATACTCAAGCTCTTGTACAAGGACGAGTACACGAAATCCGATGCCCAAAACAACGTCTCCTCGATTGCATTTGCTGGAACGGTGGTCGGCCAGTTGATATTTGGCTACCTCTCCGATCACTGGTCGCGTCGCAACTCTCTTCTGATCTCGACCCTCATTCTGATCGTCTTCGCTGCCCTTGGTGCTGGCTCGTACGGTGCCGGCGGCAGTATTCAAGGCATGTTCGCTGCGCTCACCGCATACCGCTTTCTCCTGGGTATTGGTATTGGCGGTGAATATCCTGCAGGCTCCGTCGCCTGCGCAGAAGCCACTGGCGAACTCAAACGAGGTCACCGTAACCGCTGGTTCATTGCGTCCACGAACCTCGCCATTGATCTTGGCTTTGTTGTAAGCATACCTCTCCTACTTGCACCATTGTAGCTTTCTGATGGATCCCAGGTGGCGTCTATCGTCCCTATGATACTTGTCCTCATCTTCAGTGAACATCACTTGCGTGCCGTCTGGCGTATGTGTCTGGGCCTGGGTGTCATTCCACCCCTCTCTCTCCTCTGGCTGCGAATTAAATTGCGAGAGCCCGAGGAGTACAATCGCAACAAAATGAATCACTACCCGTATTGGCTGATCGTCAAATTCTACTGGTTCCGCCTCGCTGTCGTCGCTCTGATCTGGTTTATCTACGATTTCAGCTCCTACTCCTTCGGCATATACTCCTCGTCATGGCTCGCCTTCCTGCTCCCATCGGATGCTCCCTTGTGGAAGACTTTCGGATGGAACACCGTAATCAATATTTTTTACTGCCCTGGAGCACTGTTCGGAGCCTTCCTCTCTGATTGGATCGGCCCCAAGTACTGCCTCGTCGTCGGCGTGTGGCTGCAAGCCATCATCGGTTTCGTCATGACTGCACTTTACGGACATCTCGACAAGGGCTCGCAAGTGGGTGGTTTCGTTGTCATCTACGGTATCTTTTTGGCTCTTGGCGAAGTCGGCCCTGGAGATAACATTGGTCTCATCGCTTCCAAGACCTCGGCCACCTCCGTGCGAGGCCAATACTACGGCATTGCGGCCGCTTGTGGCAAGATTGGCGCTTTTGTGGGCAACTATGTCTTCCCAGATATCATCGCGGCTGCCGGCAGCAACGTCATCAAGCAGGGTCAATATCCTTTCTACGTCTCCAGCGCGTTGTGCGTCTTCAGTGGCTTCATCGCCCTATTCTGTCTACCAAATATCGGCCAGGACACCATCACCGACGAAGACGAGCGCTTCCGCAAATACCTAATCGATCATGGCTACGATGTTTCGACCCTGGGAACAAAGGAGTTCCACGAGGCCAAGGCTCTGGACAACGGCGCTTGAAGAGGTCACCTCACTGACTCGGCGTTTAACATGCTTGAACTTTGGTGACCCGGAGCAGATGTTCAATTCTGGCTACTTTCTTTTGGCTTGAAGTGTGTTTCGTACACTGCTGGCGTTTCAGACGTCGTGCGACCTGGTAGCAGATAATGAGTCGTCTGGAATGTTAGAGATGTTACATAGTACTATGATGAACGGCCTTCAAATCTGTCTCCTTCCCTTGTCTATCGTCAAGTAACCGTAGGCGTTCTGGAATCAGTAATATCGCGCTTGCTTTGTGATAGTTGCTCAAGCTAGATGTCGTGACTTCATATGTCTCGCGATCATGCCCAGCTTCCTGTCACATATCGACATGAGGGGAGGGGTGAAAGCCCGGCGCAATATCCTGGACTGCCTACAACACTCTTCCACATTGAGGAGAAGGATTCTGGACGCGACATAGACAATCACGGGACTTCTCGTGGCGTACTCGCGGCATTGAAGGTTGTGTTGAAAGCCAGAGCCTACATGACCTGGAAAGACTTTCTCCGCTCTTCTGTAGTTGAACAGATGCGCTTCAGGGCACGGTTCTCACAGACCACTCCATTGAATTTTGACAACACGCCTGTGATCTTGCGTGACCACTGCAAAGATCAAGTCTAAAGACCTGACTTATCTTGATCTTCCATCCATACACAACCTACTCGCGCTCCGACATCGTAAAGGCGCGAGACACATGTCTACCTTCATCGACAAGCTATTGTCCTCGTCTCGTGATAAGACTGTCGATGGTTTCATTGATTGTTTGTGTTGTCATGAACAGCGTCACAACAACTCCAGGTAGGTGAGTACAAACTTGCAAGACAGCAAAGATCAACTCGGCACAGTTTCCCTGTCTTGGAAAGAAGACAGCACTTCATGACACCACGCGGCTCCGTATATCTCCGGTCGGCTATAAGTGCCTCTATGGCACCAAAACGTTTGCTCCGAATCAGCAATGAGATCAATGTAAGTGCTGTCTCTCAATTTACAAGCCCACCATCATCGATTTCAAAAGTCCTTCGCGCCATCGAAAGTCGATACCAAGGTAGAGACTGTACCGATCGGTCTTCTTCAAATCATTCAGCGTTGCTGTCGAACCATTGTGGGCAGTTGAGCACCGATTTCATTATCCCTTCACATCCCACTCTCTGTACGGACTCGATTTGCACAGTGCCACAGCAGACAACGAACACCTTCCCTCCTACGTCCACTGTCGCCTAATCACAACAGACATTGTCTGCCTCAAAACTCTTGGGATCAACCTTAGCTGCCATCACGCTTCTCTTGTGCAGACTCCGGCGCATCCTTTACTAAACTTCTCTTCCTCTACGACTTTTCAAAGACCCCCAGACGGCGATTCATGAGGGTTTGAAGAGATAGATATTGGACAATCGGCTTGGTGGAAGGGTTTGCTAGGGCTGGCGTGAGCCAGGGAAGAGCAGTGTGGTGTTCTCATTACTGAGGAAAGCAACCCTTCTTGGCCCTCCATTCATTGACCTAGCATCAGAGCGCATGAGCCTGGAGGAGGTTCCCCTGCGCGAGGCTTGCATTTCAAATTCAATGCCTCTACGAGCCAATTGATTGGAAAGATATGGAAACGCGCGAGTTTGCGACTAGAGAAGAATTGTGGCGCATCCACGAGACGCTCAACGAGCTCTCCACGACGCAGGCCGCACACTCGGAGAGAATCATGCGTTTGGAACAGAAGACACCGGATGGAGGTAGATCCAGGAGTCTGTGGGGTTCTTCATCACCATTCCCAGGTGTTCTTGGTTCATCACATCATGGTGAGTCCAGCATGGCTTACGAACTCCAGGCTGTTACTAACAGGAATCAGATTCCACCCTCAATCCTGCGGCAGAAGCCTTCCGAAACTTCGATGCGGAACCTACGACAAGCATGATGAGCTCATTGACTTTGGATGCGAACGATGATTCTAGACGAGTGGCAGCGTCCAGAGCCAACTCGGTGCGGTTCGATGAAAGCGCAAACAATCACTATACGTCGTCCAGACAGTCTATCGACCTTCCAGCACGGACGGGGAGTGGACTTGGTGGTCACGCGCTTTCTGAGAGATCGTTGTCGCATCGTTCCGATGGAAAACCCACGACTGCCGGTTTTGGTCGTACAAATAGTTTTGGACTGGAAGGAAGTCGCCTCCTCGGTTCTATCCACAACTCACCCAAGGTGTCAGGCAACCCTCCTCCGGGCTTTTTTGTCTTGGGTCCATGCCCGTCAATCATCCGCTGCTGGTTGACCCAGTCCTTCTCCAACGATTCGCTACTCTATGCTGCCATTTGCACCGGCTCCTCGATATCGTCTGTCAGTCATGCGCTCATAGACAAGCTCGACCTGAATGAATCGATATTTGACGACGGAGAGTATCGTGCCATCCGACTACCAGTCTACTTGACTGAAGCAAAGATACATTCACCGGCCGTCAGATCAGCGAGTCCAGTACCTCAGATACCGACCTTGATGGTGAAATTCTTGGTCGATGATCAGCCGGTGAAGGACGCATCCATACAGATCATCTTAGGCAGCGACGTTTTGAGATCCCACAACGGAGATATCCTGTTTTCACAGGACAAGCTTATGATCTTTGATGAAGAGCGAAATCAGTTGTCGATACCACTGGTGCGACCTGAAGACGACTCAACCTACAAGGATCTGTGCACGGTTTCCCGCAAGCAATCGTCGTCAATGGAAGTTGTCTTACCGCCTCCAGCCTCCCCAATCGGGGTCATTGGCCGACCTGGAAGATCAATTTCCTCGGCCCAAGGAGTGGCTTCTCCGCTTGCAGCACCATCAAGCAGCATAGCTTCTGCGACGCCTTCTGAACCCGGAGATATGCGCAGAATGGATCAGCAAACTGAGCCGTCGACCCGATCGAGTCTGGACCTTACGCAGTCAAGACCAGCAGATGATTCCAAATCGACTACTGGCAGTGAGAAGTCGTTCAGTACGCCAATGTCGAAATCTGCTGGCTCAGGAGTGTGGGCCAACTCGTGGCGCTCGGCATCCGCATCCGCACAGAATGATTCGAATCAGAAACCATCCTCGAGTTATGCCCGGCCTAGCGCATCTCGACCCATGAAGATTCTTCGACCAGCCAAAACCATGGCAAATGCAACCAGATCCGTCTCCACGACTGCGGCAACTCCTAATGGGGCAGAGAATGCGACAGGACGATCGGAGGCTGATGGACAAGCCAGCCAGAACGATTCGAACGGGAAAGCTGGACAATCAACAACGACGACCAAGTCGAATCCAATTGGTTCTGGCACTGCTTTTGGATGGCTAAATACTGGGCCGCACCGAAGAACGACCGCGAACGGATGAAAGGTTAGAATCGATCAGTGGCATTCATCAAGGAGATCTGCATATCGATGTGAACAATCCCGGAGCAAGGCTCGGACGATGGAAGTGTCCTGGGACGTGGCTGATGTTCTGTAACAGCAACTGGAGAGCCTCGCCTGATCTTTGGAGGTGGGGCTTCTAAAACGCGACTTGTATTCTAGATTGGGGCTATGAACCTTGCAACGAAGCGAGATCTGTGAGACAAGGTGCAAGACAGAGAAAGGTATTCCAGACAGAGAGACAGAAGCCTCAAGGCCACATCAAAAAGAAGAATATTGCAACAATAGGTATCGATCAATGCCGACACGCGATAGCCGAGCAAGATTGATTCATCCCCACACTTTTTGCCCATATTTTATCCGCATCGCGGCTTCGGCCAATCTCCCGCTGGGCCGGCTTCCTCTCGTCTCGCCCATTCCCCGGAGACGTTTATATGCCTATGAGGACTACTTCGATCTTTGCTCATAGAGGTTCACACATGTTAATTCGTTATACAACAACCAGACTTTTCGGTCGCAGTCCTAATCCTGCTGTATATTCGTTGTTACATACTCCCAAATCTTACAGAACGCGTACATCGAGGTTCGAATCCTCAATTTCAAGAAACATGGCCTCGACTGGTCGGATAGGTAGGTACTATCTCTGTCTCTTACCCAGTGCCCACCCGGGTACCAAGTTGTCGTAAGGAATATACCGGCAAATTAGGGTCAACTTGCCCTCCGCGGGAGGACGTTACGGCACAAGATCGGACATCCTGACCACGCGATATGTTCGGAGAAATGATGCTAACACTTTCGCTCCTTACTCCAGTAAACCCGGTCTTATTGTACGTTGTATCTCCATTACGTCGTATTCGAAGCGATGGCGGCGAGGTTACTCCTATCTTCCAGCGAAAGCTCATGCTGACATTGACCGGCCATCCAGCGTCTGCGATGTCCAGGAGAAGTTCCGCACGGCGATCTGGGAGTTTCCCAAAGTGTACGTCTATGTTCCCGTCCCCGTTGACGTCCTTCACAGCGGCCACCATTACGCGCTGCTCTGTACTAAACCACACTGAAACTGTAGAATCTCCACAAGCGCAAAAATGGTCAAAGCAGGTAACGCTCGACACTCCCCCTTCCTCCCTGTTTACGACGCACTGGACACAACCACGACTTATTGTTTCCCGCTATGCTCACAAGATATAAATGAATCTGACGATATTGAAGCCAAAATCCTTAACATCCCCATCTTCTGCACAACTCAGAACGCAGCACGCCTTGGGGCCACAGTCCAAGAAATCACATCTCTCCTGCCAACCGACGAGAGCGCCAAAACCGAGGTCGACAAGACCGCCTTCTCGATGATGGTACCGGAACTGCAGGCCCAACTCCCCACGAACCCCACCGCCGCGTTGAGCGTCATCGTCGTCGGCATCGAGACGCACATCTGCGTGACGCAGACGACGCTAGATCTACTCGCTCAGGGGCATAGAGTGTACGTTCTGGCTGATGGGGTGTCGAGTTGTAACGCGGGTGAACGCCCTATAGCACTCAACCGATTGGCTCGCGAAGGAGCAATCGTAACGACCAGCGAGAGTCTGCTGTTCGAGTTGGTTCGCGATGCGAAGGATCCGAATTTCAAGGCTATTGCTGGCTTGGTCAAGGAGACGAAGGACGAGACGAAGGTTGCGGTGGAGACATTTTGTAAGCTGTGAAGATTGAGTGGCATTGCAACGGACAGGCTACCAAGTCACATAGTCACAGATGGACACGAACTGTAAAGGAGGTCTTCCCAGCATCAACATATCATGCTCTGTCCATTGCTTGTTGTGTCTGTCTAGCGCTCACTGGCCTTCTCGACCTCGTTCAGATGGGGCTTCTTCAAAACCACATTACCGACCACCACCACCAGGGGCTCGGTTGCGACGTCGTCGGCATCGCCTACTTCAAGAGCTTTTCCACCCTCGTCCAGACCCGTCTCCACCATGGCTGCCTATCCTCCACAGTTGGTGCCTTCCTGAATTCTCCACCGGCCTTGCGGTAGCTGACGCCCGCCTGCTCCTTCGTTCGTGCATTGCTGTTCGTTCCTGCATTACTGACGACTCCGCCAGGCTTGCCTTGGCCCATGATGCTCGCTTGTAGGTCGTGGGATGATAACGTTGAGGAGGAGGGCTGACGGTTTGTGGGTTTGGGAGTCAGGGGGCACAGCCTTGTTGCGCACGGCTTGGGAGGAAACGCAGAAGGGTTCGTGAGCTTTCTGAGGCTCAAATCAAGTCAGCTTCGCGTGTATGTTTGTGGTCTTTGCTAGACAGCCCTGGGAGGATCTGTGAGAAGAGAATCACGAATTCTCATTTCGTAGAAGGCGGACAGAGCCCTCTGGGATTAGCGTGTGCATCTCGCCGCACCGGAATGATAGTGCAAGCTTGTCTGGACACTAAATATGTTTGAGTATGGCAAGAGAAAGAAGATTATTATTTTGTACCATTAACCTGAAGCAAGACAAACAGTAAGCAGTGAAGAGGCCTCTTCATGAACAAACAAGCTGGACTGTGAACACTTGAACGGAAGGAAATGACCGATCCTGCTATCGACGAAGGAAATATGCAAATGCCACTGGGACTGCGACTATCGCAGCCACCAACAAGACACTGTGTGGAGTCAGCAAGGTATTCAGTGCCGGAATATGAAGACACTCACTTTTGCAAGAGACCTGATTGTTTAGTCTCTGGTGCGTTGGGTTTTGGTTGGCTCTCCTTCGGCACAACAGCCTGGGGAGACATCTTTTCTTTCAGAACTCCGACGATGTCTGGCATCGACGGAATCTGAGCATCTGTAGCAGCCTGGGCGGCAGCATGCTCCTCCACAGAGTAAGGCGGTGGCGCAACATCGGGAATGGGATCCTCCTTGTGGACATCCAGACCCTGTACATCCTGCGGTCCATCGTCTGCTCTTACCTCCAGCTCGTCTTCTACAGCAGTCACCATGTTATGTGTGCTCAGGTTGGGGATAGAGGAGTCGACCGCATCTGGGGCAGACACGGTAGCCTGGGCTGGCTCTTCAGCAGGCGTTGATGGAGATTCTGTGCTCTTTTGTGCTTCGTTTTCGATTTGGGCTTCGGCTTCCACTGCAAGGACATTGTTGACATTGCCAGCCCCGTCATTCTCTGTGTTCGAGTCAGACGTCCACAACTCGGGTCAACAGTACCGGTTGCATGCTAACTCACCTGTCGAGGTGGATTCATCAAGAACCCACCAGTCACCAGGTCCCAGGCGAAATTTGTACTGATATTTGCCTGGGTTTAGGTCGGCAGTATATGAGAATTTGTTCAATCCGGAAGCTGTGCTTTCACAGTTCATCTCAACTGGAGACCATTCTGTGAAGCTGCCAGCCACGTAGACTGGTCCTTGAATGTCGGGTTTGCTGAAGGTAATGACGGTAGACACCATTTTGACGTCTCGGGAAAGAAATAACGAATATGTTGCTCGAACAAGGTGAAATTAGGATTGTGATCTGGCAACAATCATGGTCAGCAAAACCTCATGAAGGACAGGGGAATACGCCACAGAAAGCATGAAGGATGTACAGGTCGAGGGAGGGAAGATGGCATGAGTGGCGCCGTGAAAGTGTGAGTAGTGTCGTTCTTTCCAACTGCACTCTTTAGCGCTCAAACAGACTCGAATCAATCTTCAGTGTCTGATCTTCAAACGGACCGCCAACACTTGATTGCAAACAGTGTTGCGTCTGCACCTGCTTGAGTCACTCTTCACATCACGGTGGAAGCTTGGGCCTATCCAAGCGCAACCGCCTCTCTCCTGACTCATCGGACCCATAGCGACATGATACCAGAAATGGAGCTGTTCACTTACCTTTTTTGTGTACACTCTTGTCCAGGTATCTAGACTAGTCGTCTTACTACCTGCGAGCGTGATTCAAGACTTTTTGCAATGACAGATATTCTTTTTGTTTTCTTTTTTGAACTTCAAGCGCACAGCGCTTTTAAACAGACAACGACCTTGATCAACAAGGATGGATCTGTGAAGAGGTCGTTAGCGTATGTTCGAGACAAGAACGTCCCTTAACAAGTAGACCCTTGCAACGGGAAGACATACTTCCTTCCCTTTAACAGGATTTCAACAGCACCGGAAAACGAGAGGATGAGGACAACAACGGAGGTGGCAAGTTAGTCCTTTCTCTCGAGACTTATATCTGTTTAGCAACACAACAATTATTTCAAACTATGGTCATAGCTCCCGGATGATAATACACAAGAAGCATCGACTCAAAATGCCGGGGAACAAAATTGCAGAAATATGTCAGTATCCCGCTGTCACACCACAAATCCAAGTTTGCCGATGGCTCGAGCCTCCATCTCCAGATAGCATTCCCCAAAATATGTGGTGATAGGTTGACATGGGCAAAAACCTGTCCAAGCGCTCCGCGGACCTCTTGGTCGACAGGCATAGTGCAGGTTTATGCATGAAGCTGGAGTCGCGAGGACCATTTAGCATGTGCTATATGGACGGGAGTTGGGCCACAATTGGCAGAGGAAGTCATCATTGACTTTGTTGGGACTTCGATCCAACGATGTGCCTAAGACTCGCTACGATGCGGACCCAATCGCTGGCGTGCACGGGGAAGACGTCCATCCCAAGCCACAGGTGGCAATAGCCCCTGACAACACCTACAGGGCTACAACGCATGGCTGATCACCGTGTATCGAACCTTACAATGATCAAGCATGCATTTGAAGAGCTTTGACGAATATATGCTAGCTAGACAGATCCGATGGAGCTTTGACGAAGCTCTGCCGGAGAAGCAAGGGCCAGGAGCTGCGCACTACAAACACTGCCGAAGAAAAATTTAGCGTAACCGTTGTCTCCCGTACCTGTACGCAATCAACAGCCGTGACGAATCGACGATGCAAACATTTGCACCCCAGGATGTTAGCTGCACGGACTACAGGGCCTGCCTACACGGCATGGCATGTTATGCGGTATGGTGCCTTCATAGAGCAATGCGTCTCAGCGATTGATCGCCCGATGTAGCTATCTATGTAGTCCAGCAATGACCTTGTCGATAGAGGCCACCTGCTCTCTGACCTTTGGACAGTAGTGTCTTCTTAACAACTCCGTCTCCCACACTCCACTGCCAGTGGATAGTACATTTGTACCTTCTACAGTGTCGGCTTCCCCTTTGAAGACTCCGTCGCCTTTCCTTTCGTCACTGTACCAGAGTGCTTCAATCTTGCGGGCATGCTTGTCGGCGATCTTGGCCAGAAGACTCAATACTGCTAGTGCTGATTTCTCAGGTAATTGTACCGATATCGTCAACAGGCGCTTGAAGAACGAAGCAGCTGCAACTGTCGGCGGAGGTTGAGACGGCGTGAGCAGTATGGAGGTCAGCACGCGGGCCAGGAGCAAGATCGGCGTCGAGACGTTGACCTTGTTAGCCGCTTTTTGTGACGACTTTGGTACATGAGGATCTGGCAGGTGCACTGATTTCGGACCAAGCTCGATATCCGCATCGAGGGCCAGCGGATACAGTGAACGGTATGTATGCGAGGTGAAGTACGAAAGGTCCAGGTGCAGACTCGAGGCAGCCTTGGAAACATCTTGTCCCGACAGGAGCGTGAATGCCGTCTGTGTCGCAAGCAGGCTTTCGCGGGTCCGGTTGCGAATTTCTTCTCCATCAACGTCCAGCAGCGTGCCAATCTCCTCATCATCCAGGTCCAGTTCACCCTTCGAGGCTGCGTCGGCTTGGCTGATGATGTCCTTGAGGGCCTCGAGGATGTCACCGAAGAAGTCCTGGTTGATGAGATGAGCGTAGGTGGCTAATCCTTCGAGCACCGCGCCCATTAGCTCGGGAACCCTCGCCTTCAGGATGCGGAAGTATGTGACGAAGACCAGCTTCAGGGTTTCCGACTGCATTTTCTCCCGCTCTTCATAATTGACCGTCGCATCAGCCTCGCGCATATCTTTCTCGACCGCCTTTCGCTCCTTGGCAAATTTTTTCTCCTTCTTGGATCTGTGCTCCCACATCTCCTTCTTCACTTTCCTCCCACGCATCTTTGAGGCGTCATCTTCTGACTTGTCTGTCCTGGTAGTGGAACTCGTAGCAGAAAGTTCTGATAGCAAGCGTAATTGGAAGAAGGTGTTTAGAACTTCTTCCCGCAAACGATACTCTTTAGCCTTCATTATTTTGGTAAGGATGCCGACAGCTTCTAGGGACGGCGCGCCGTCATCGTCGTCTGCAAATATCTTTTCAATGGTCCCGATGCATTTCGCAAAGTCCGGCGTCGCCTCCCTGCTGGCGAGCTCTCGTGCAAGGACGTTGAGCAGTTCGGTGCGGAAGTTGAAGTGCGGCACGGAGAGAAGTAGCGTGCAGACGCAATTGATCGCAACGCTTCGAAGAGATCGCGATTCTTCGTCGCCTTTTCGCACCTTTGCAAGGTTGGCCAGATGCTTGACGTAGGCTTGATATCCTGCGACAAGCGACTGCTCGTATTGTCGCGTCTGGCGCACCTCCTTCGACACCTTCGTCCCAAGGTCTTCGTCCTTGTAAGCTCTTATCCGATAGCCCGGTATCACATCTTTGTAGACCGCCGCTTGTGCCGCCAACACCAGCTTTTGCACGGGAATGGGCGAATTTGGCCCACTGATCTGTGCCAGCTTTTTGAATGCTGAAGCGTGTTCTTCCGGGTCTTCATTGAGATGTCCGGCGAGACGGGCGATATCTTCTTTCGCGGAAAGTATCTGTTGCTTCACCGGGACTTGTATGGCAGGTTCGGATTCTGTTGGAGGAGTGTCTGGCTCATTGTTGGCCTCGTCCTCGGAGCCAGATCCTAGAAAACTGTCGGAGTCATCCCCGTTCGCTTCCTCTTCTACCCGTTGGACTCGGCCTTCTGCAGTCTTGATGGGTAATCTGGTAGGCTCTTTGTTCTTCTTACTTCTATTCTTCTGCTCGTATGCCTGCTCTAGGTCCCAGTCGGCCGCTCGAGCGAAAAGTTCAGACGACTTAATCGTCTCCGAAGGTCTATCATCGTCGAGCGGCGGTGTAATGCGCCTGCGCTTCGCAGGGCGGCCATGAGGCATTGTCCTGGCAAGTCTTGTACAGGGAAACGGCGCAGTCTCTTTACAGGCTGTCAATGATCCGAAGTCAGAGCCTGCGATCGCCAGACAAAATTGTGTACTGTAACTTTTTTCTAGCGGGGAAATACCAGCCGGAGATTAGCCGCGGGCGGACAATTTTCCAAAAGTTTTGGCTGCCGACGAAATTTTGGGAAACGACTTTGTTGCCAGGATCTCAGCAATCGCAGGAGACGAGACTGGCATCCCAGGTCGAACGTCAAGATGAGGCCTCTTACAGACGTAGAAACGCAGACACTGTTCACGAAACTCGCCAATTACACAGGTCGTTCGCTAACCCAACTGATCGCACCGAGCGACTCTTCCGACGACGATAGTGACCGCCATGTCTTCCGCCTGCACGAGTCTCGAGTCTACTACGTCCGCCTCTCCCTTGCGAACTTAGCTACGGCTATCGCCCGCGATAACCTTCTGTCTTTGGGAACATGTGTTGGCAAATTCACCAAGACCGGCAAATTCAGACTGCACATCACAGCGCTGGACGTGATCGCGCCGCATGCTCGGTACAAGTTGTGGATCAAGCCGAATGGTGAAATGCCCTTTCTATATGGAGGCAATGTGGTCAAGGCGCATGTTGGCAGATGGAGTGAAGACTGTCCCGAACACTCAGGCGTGGTTGTTCTTGCGATGGACGATACACCCCTTGGTTTTGGAGTTACGGCCAGGTCAACCGCTGAGGCGAGAAAGCTTGAGCCCACTTCAGTTGTTGCGTTCAGACAGGGCGATGTGGGAGAATACTTGAGGGAGGAAGACAGCTTATTCACGACTTGAGGTGAGCGGGATACATGGAGTATCAGAGCCGATCAATAATGCAGCGACGATGGTGAAGTGCCATGTGTACATCGCGGCCCGGTTGCGCTCGCTGCGACCCGCGAACAGGGTCCAATGCAATGGTCTGTCGCCGACATGGACGACCGATGCCCTAGGGGGCGAAACATGCACATTCCTCGAAGCATGAGTTGATCTCACCAGGCCCGGACTGCCAACATACAGACAACACGCGAGCCAACGGATATGGGCGGTTATTGATGGGGTATCACCGCCTCGCAGAGGTCCATGCTCCGGGCGAGATGGGTAGCAAACCTTCAGGAACGATGAGCCGCCGCCGGTCATTGAACCAAGGCTGAGCTTGGGGTTTGGAGATGCTACCACTTCGACGGACGAATAACGGGTAGCTTGTTATCGAGGGCAGAAGGAAGATGTCGGAAGTCGCCACATGGGTTTCGCCTACTGTCCCACTGAGACAGTCGTGAGAAGCGGAGCCATCCTTTGAGAGGGTGCACTCGGTGTCAGGGATGGCAAGACCAGTGCTTGTTATGAAGATGAAATAGACTGGGTTGGATTACACAACGCGATTCTTTCCTCAGTGCCATATGCGTTCCAGTTAGTTATTGTCGTCTTCTTTGTTTGGTGTGGTAAAAAGGGTTTAGGCCGTCGGTCAAGATCACAGTCACCCAGTTATCAGCGTGTAGCTCTGCTACCCCGGACCATCTCATGACCCATTTTATCGCCTGCCTATCGATAGGGCCCAGGGGCTCCCCACTACTGACTTAAGTTTAATTCCCCCTCAACCGTGCGTGCTCTTTCTTCCGCTTCACACATCCATGCCTTGCAGTTACCCTGCGCCGAGGAAAATCGAATGTAGCAGGGGTGTCCAGATTAGGTCAATATGATCAATCGGTCGGACTTCGATATGCAGGCCTGCTGCGCCCGACCCTAGTCGATACCCGACCACACGTCACGATTGGATCCTCAATCGTGGCGCAAGCATCGAAGCGCCGATGTCCCGAGTGGGTTACAGATCATAATAGAACGTCGACATCAGGCGACAAGGCAAACTCGGGAACAAGTACTGGTCTTCGAAAGGTTTGTGAACCATTTTCAAGTGTTTCAACCCGTCACCTTCTGAGCAAGCTTACATCGAAGGGGAGGACAGTATGCGAAAGCTCCGTCTTCGTTGATATGAGATAGGCACCTCCCATCCGCAGTTGACAAAGCCCGCACACTGGTGGTACAATGCCCTTCCTCTTCAATGGAGCGATAAAGCGTCGAAAGGATGCGGCTGCCACAAACGCCTGGTCACCCGAGCCTTCCTCCAGCCCTCCATCTTACCCTTTCAATGCCATAACTGCTCTTGGTCACCAGCCCCAATGGACTCCGCAGGCTGACCCTCACAGCGCGTTGCTGCCGGCCTACACGGCCGCGAGCCTCCCTGTCCGAAACCATGAGATATACCCGGACAACAGACTTGAGGCGTTACAGCCTCACCATACCTGGTCGCATCCTCAAACATCACATTTCACACTTTCGACATCATCAAGAGCGGACTTGCACGCAAGGATCGAAGACAAATTGGGCGATGTCATCTCTCTGATCGACGAGGAAGCCTTTAATGGTTCGGAGCGAGATCTTGAAATCCTCCTACCGGAGTCTCCCGCTCCCGAGTACAGCGAGATATATTCCCCCGAACGAGACATTCACAAGACAAACGCAAGGCAGCAAGACGCTCGGTCTAAGCCCAAGAAATCAGGGCAGGACAAACACGTCAACGTTTTCTCCAAGACCGACCTGTACATGAACTCTCGATTACCGGCCACGCTCCCACCTCTTCGCGTATACATCCCAACCTACCCACTCCTGTGCCTTGCAGCACAGTACTCAGCCAGCGCATATTTGCCCCCTAAATCCCCTTCGGAACGCAAAGATTTCGTTTCCGCGGACAATCGCCAATCCACCAAAGCCATGCTGATCAAGTCGATTCCATGTGACGATAAGAAGACCATCGTTTTCGCCATCCGAGGGACCAGCATGCTCAGTCTCCGCGATTGGGGCGTGAATTTCAGTACCGATGCCGTGTCTCCTGCTGGGTTCCTCGACGATCAAGGCAACCTTTGTCACTCTGGCTTCCTGAAGGTCGCAAAAGCAATGGTCAAACCCATTGCGGCCAGACTGCGGCAACTCTTGGAAGAAAATCCAAACCGCTCAAGCTGTTCGCTCCTCATGACTGGACACAGCGCTGGTGGAGCGGTGGCGAGCCTTCTATATACTCATATGCTTGCCTCGACTGTCCAGTCCGACCTCAATATCCTGACGGGATGCTTTAAGCGAGTTCACTGTGTAACGTTTGGCGCTCCACCTATCAGTCTCTTGCCCTTGCAGAAACCCGACCACGCTGACGGACGACTTCGGAAATGTCTGTTCCACTCGTTTATCAACGAGGGCGACCCAGTCGCCCGTGCGGAAAGGGCGTATGTCCGGAGTCTCGTTGATCTGCTTTCCAAGCCTGTACCGTCTATGCCAGTGGGCAAAGACACGACGTCACCGCTGACGACGCTGGGCGCGTCGAAGTCAAGGCTTGATCTTTCGCTTCCCAAGATATGTTCAAAGCCAAAGAAGACGCTCGTTCCAACACGGAGTCTATGGTGGCCAGTCCCGCCCGCCACGTTCTCAAATGCTGGGCGGTTGGTTGTCTTGCGGGTACCGGACGCTGGCACGGAAAATAATGTGACAGCTTCTGTCGTTACAGACGAGCAGTTGCGGCAGGTGATGTTTGGCGATCCTGTAGCGCATTCGATGGACCTGTACGCCAGTAGGATCGAAACACTGGCTGTTCGAGCCGTGACTGGTAGGGCGGGAGCGTGTTGACTATGAAGACGACAACAACGACAATAGATGATAATGATCAAGACATGTATTCATACACGGAGGTATAGTTCACAGTACAGTTTACAACCCACCGACGGCGGGCGCTCATTTAATGGTAGCATAAACGTCTCATGAACAGGGTTTGGATATCATCATTGCTATACGGACAAATTTTACACGTACGTCTGCAGCTTAGAGTAGAACGCTATGCTTGACTGTGACTTTAGTGGTACATGTTTGAACAAGTGTGGCAATTTTGCTTCAATCCACGGTGAAGCTGAGAGTTGTGCACAAGCAAAAGCACTCTCACAAACGGCTGTGGAATTTGGCTCCTGGCTTCGAAACTCTGGCATTGCTATCTGGTGATGTACAGTCGACTTTCTACCAGGATCGAAAAGACCCTTTCCCCTTCGTAGAAACGTACAGAACCAGTACAGCTGCTTTACTAACCTAGAAGCTCCTATCTGGAGGTTGTAGGGGAAAGACTTTTGCATGTTTTGATATCATAACATCAACTGTTCCTGGCATCACAAGTCGTGACTTGAGCTGCCAGTGCGTGCCCATGTCCTTCGTACCTAGCTGATCGGGTCATAGGCTGAGGTGAGGTTTCTGCAGCCACCTGTCACGGAGATGGAACTCGAACAATTAAAATTGAACATAACTGTGGGGAACCCCAAACAGGTTGAATTGTATCGTGGTCAATATCAAGCACCCAGGAATTTGACCTTTCGTTGTCCAGGGGCGCCCCAAGCGGATGTCCGTGGATGCCGATCGAGGATGCGATTGCGGTAGGCCTCTAGAGATGATGTGGCCTTTGGCTTTTGTCCTGGACGGTGCCCGCGGAGGAGTGCGACGCGTTCCTGGGGGCTGAGGTTGGAAGATGAGGGTTTCGAAGGCTTCGAAAGCTTCGTTGGGCGGTTGGGAAGCGAGGAGCGAGAGTTAGGTCGATGTCGTGATTGTGGTTGTGGTTCTGGCGCACGTTTAGCGGTAGACTTTGGAGTCGATGTGGTGAGTTGCGAAGATGTGTGATTGAGAAAGGCGTCTTGTGTTTCAGGAATGGTTGGTGATGCAGAAATATGCTCCCGAACCGTGGACGATGCTAGGTCATTGGGCGCGGATTCTTCAGATACGCTCTCTGGCTGAGCTGCGGCGCTCGTTTCTTCTGGGATTGTAGGGTCATCGAGGGTGGCGTGGTCAGTCGATGGTTCGGCTTCCGGTTCTTCTGTTGCCGTTGGAAGGACTGTAGTAGGCGCAGTTTCGTCGATGGTTTCACTGGCGTCATCCACAACAGGTGCAGGGCTCTGAGTCTGATCCTCCTCATCAGGTTTCAGAGAAGCCGTCTCGACTATGATCGTTTCGCTCACGGTGATGGTTTGGGGTATGCTTTCGTCTTCGGTCTGGACAGATGGAACCTCAGCCTCTGACTGATCGTTAACGATAGTGTCGTCTGTCTCTTGCTCTTCGTCTTGGTCTGGCTTCTTAGCTGGCGTTGCTGGCGTGCTTACAACCTCGATTGTGTCGGACACAGGCACTGGCTCTGCGGACTTCTGGTTCTTTGCTGTCTTTCTGCGTTTGTTGCCCGGAGTGCTCAGACCGCGACTGCGCAATCCTCGGATTTGCGCAGCGGCAGATTTGCTGCTGACTACTTCTGGGGCATCATCGTCGTCGTGCTCCTCCTCAATTTGCTCAGGCCTACTTTGAGGGTGCTCCGCTGGAGTTTCGAAAGTGTCTAATGTCGAATCCTCGAGCTCCTCGCTGGTGAAGCGTTTCCGTTTGTTTGCTGGAGTCTGTGCTGGAGTGAAGAATGACTCTGTTGGCTTTTGGCGGATTGGTACTGTTTTGTTGTTGGCCATTGGCGTGGCATCGTCGTCGAGGAGCGAGGAATCCTCTGTCCGAGCAGACTTTTTCAGTGACTTTTGTGCGTCTACATTCTGCGTAGCTTTGGTTCTGGGAGTACTGCGTTTCTTTGAGGGGTTAGATGGAGTTTGCTGTTCTGTATTTGTAGATAGGTCGACGGCTGTGGACGGTTCCGGTGTGTCGTGACTTTTCTTCTCTTGTAACCGTGTGGTCACCATCGTGATGGTGGGCTGACAGTGGGATGAGAGTCGAAAAGATCCTTCCTCCCAACACGATTACCGAACCTCGAACCGCACGATAGATGATAACGCGTTTAATATTGCTGGTGATGATGTGCTAATCTGGAAAAGTGATGGGAAAATTTATGTATTGGAGTGAATTGGACTGATCTAATCGTATCTAGTCTTATCTAATATCCCACGCCCTCATTGGCTCTGGTCATCGTATCTCACAAATCTTGAGATCGAGATGGTCATGTACCTAACGAATTGTAGCTGACTCTAGGAATGGGACAATGATGCAACAACTTCCCTAATCAGATGAAGCACTGAAAGCTTCACCCAGGACTCTGGCCTGGTTGCTAAACCTTCCCAGACGCGAGAACGTGCTGAAGCGGAAAGTGGCCGAGAACTACCGTCCTTCCTCGGCGATTGTCGGGTATGGCATTGAGATGACGGGAACATCATCGTCACTTCAGACGAATACGTTGATCACCATTTTTCCGAGCTCCAGAGTCGTCCAGACAGACTCAAGCAACCTGAGATGTTGGTACGAGGACTAACACGACCTTTGCTGGGAAAGATCGACTCTGTCATTAGCCCAACCCTTTACATCTCAGCCAAACGAGCCTTTACCAGCTCCCGAGTCGATATGGCTGCCGTTGCAAGAGCAAAGTCGCTTGACCATCTTGTCTTGACAGTCAAAGACATAGATGCCACTTTCAAGTTTTATGAGCAGGTCCTGGGCATGGAGCGCACCTCCTTCATCTCCCCTACTGATCCCAGCATGCAACGTCACGCGCTCAAGTTTGGGGCACAGAAAATCAACCTACATGTTAGTGGGAAGGAGTTTGAACCCAAGGCTGGTAGTGTACAGCCTGGAAGTGGTGACTTGTGTTTTCTTGTGGAAGACAATGTGGACGAGATTCTCCCAAAGCTGAAAGAGAAAGGGATCAACGTGCTTGAAGGAGGTCAAGTGGTGGGGAGAACAGGCGCACAGGGAAAGCTGCGCAGTGTCTACGTCCGTGATCCTGACGGGAACCTGATCGAGTATGACTCCCCCATAGACTTCTCTTTGCGTTGACTGCTGCGGCATATCTTGGCTCGGCTAATTCGTACTGGTATAGGTTGTCAAATATGGTCGAATCATAGAGCATCCGGATGTCCTGATCGCATTCGAGGAGAAAATATCATCAGAATCTGGGATGACCTGGTCTTGGGCACAGGCGTTTGCCTCCTACCGGCTGCACTGGGCAAAATACATGTCCGTAGGGATGGTTAAGGCATATTGTTGCACTGAATGACTGGATTCAGGCCACCTGGAACCTGCAGCTCCTCTCGTCAATAAGTTTTCGTAACCTGCCACTTGGCAGACCCTCTGTACGGCTCCTCATCCATCCAGTAGTCTGGTTCGGACCACGCCGCCGGTTACCGCAGCGGATAATAAGCAAAGTCACCGACCGGCACTGAGTGTTGAAAAAAGACCTTCCAAATGTTGCGGCACCGCGTGAGTGGCAGTAATGTCAATGTGTCTCATCAAAACGTTCGGTGACTATCAGAGTGATCGCGGATTGCGAGGTTGTGCCGACGGTGGCCCTAAGTCGGAGCCGGACGGGATGGTGATCTAGACCAGAACCCAAAGGAAGTAATGGAGCAACAGACATCAACACATACCCGAGGACCCAGAGCACAAAATGTCATGCCGCCGGTGGAGAAAGAACCCGCAAGTCCCAAACTCTGCATTGACAAGCCCAGTCCAGCCGTTGGCAAAGGTTATGCAAATGGACCTCTTAGTGACTTGAGACTCGTGAGGATCATAGGGAAATTTCTCTGAACCGCTGGCATCTTCAGCACTGAACATGCAGTATATTGTCCATGAAATCAACAGTGCGCCGAACGTGCCTCGCATTGGTATTTGGGAGGCCTAGAAGTTTGAACCAGGAGCAAGCATCAGCAGCACGTTGACCTTTGAAAATTGAGCGACATTGCATCCCAACGTCTGGCCATTCAAAGCCGGTAGCTGGATATGTTCCAGACACTTCGTCTGGATGTTAGCGGCTCACCCCTGGCAATAAGCTTGAGTTTTAACTTGACATCGGAAACTACTTACCTAGTACTTTTAATGTTGCTACAGCCCTGAGGATCACCGGCGCGGACTCGGTCGTACGCGACGCTGCCTTCGTGGCGTGACTGATCATCCACCATGGCTTTTCCGTCTCCAAAAAGTCAAATTCTGTCCCCGTGGTGGTGTCGCTGCATTCTTCGACAGGTGAAGAACGAACAACTGCAACGTCGCACTTCTTATTTTGGTAGTATCGGCAAGTGGACTCTTATATGGGGCTTCTCCGGCAACAAACATCGAGTGAAACGGATTGATACACATACCGTAAAAGGATTACCTCTAGGCAAGCTTTGTTGAACCCGCTCACGAGTCCGGTTGCTGTGATGTTTGGAAGAAGGTTCTTGGGCCTTCTATTCTGGTGATCATGATGTTGATCGTCAAGCACAGATCATATGGTAGTCCCACGCGACTTTATGGTTCAAGTTGGCACGTTTGTGAGGACGATCATGGACGATCATCTGTGGTAGCTCGCAGCTGCGGGTTGCAGCATCCGATGTCTTTTTCTCCTCAACCAGTACCCCGGTCCGACGAACCAATGCAATGGCACGGATATGTCTCTAGGGAAAACGTTATATGGAAGTGCCTTTTTGCTTTTGCTCCACTTGCGTGCATACCGCTGATACAACTCCACTGTGTCTTGGTGGTGAACTGTGGTGGTATACGATGTCCAGCCAGAGGAATCAGAAGCATAGAAGCTTATGTCTGATCGCCGTGCGTCAACCCAGATCGAAGAACAGGACGAAGGACGAAAGATGCAGGACAATGTCGGCGTGTGGCCCTAAATTAAGCCAATTATAATGGCTGGATTGTTTGGCCCCTTTTCTTGCGTGGCATCTCGATTTTCTCCTCCACTTTCTTTTTTATTCCACGATCTGCTTTACATGATTGACAGCTTGATTGACCGCCGTTAGGCAGCAATCTGGAGATCAAAGAATCGATGCTCGGCTCTCCATGCCATACTTCCAACTTACACATCAGCTAACAGCTGTCATTACTGATCCCCTTTCCTTTTCTTTTTCTTCCCGGGCCGGACACAGTACCCGTGCTTCGGATTCCCTCACCCCTCGTACAAACCTTCGTTGCTCAACAAACACGTCGCGTTACCCACCCTTACCTTTTCGAATAGCACCATGCACCTTGCCGCAAACCACTGAACCTGCTGTGACGATCCCCTCTTTCGACGACTTGTCGGGGCTTCGCTTCACAGCAGGTCGAATGACATGGACATTAGGCCAAAGTCCCTGGTCTCTCCGGGGACGATCGTTGCCCTCTGAAACTGCCTCACCGATCCTTGAGATGCTGATATGCTGTCAAGCAGCGATCACATTTCAGAATGGCCGAGTCGTGCCCGACGCCTGTACCTCGTCTTGAGCTTATGCATTTCCAACTTATCTTTCACGTGCAAGATCCAGATCCAACCTTGGAGGTCCGGGAGTTCTTTTGATGGCGCTGAAAAATCTCACCCATTCTGCATGGGCCGCTAAATCAGCCACTGGTCCACGGATCTGCCCTTTCAGCCTGAGCGGGTCTCTTCTCTGGAAAGGGACGCACCTCGTACACACCACAGATTTCCCTATTCAATATATCCACAAATGCCATCGGGCTATATCGCTGCAAGCCGAATCTCGATCATCTCCTCTCGATTCATCCGGCACGGCGCGTGCTATCATCTGCACTCGTTTCGATCCCAGTACGTCCCTCGTTTGCTTTTCTGTGCTCTGCGACCAGTCCGGCCCTCTGTCCGCCTGTCACTTTTGTCACGCCACTTAAAGACCATCCAGATCGTCAACTGTGCTGCTCCAAATCTCTGCGACACAGGATCCCCTGTACCCAGATTCAATCAACTCGGTCCTTGACTAATGGCGCATATGATGCTAAGCGCGCCCGTATCCTTCATATTCGTACCTCTCCACGTACGTCGAGAGAAATACTTGCCTTTGAAATGCTCGTAGACAGCCACAGTTACCATTGAACTGGGAAGATTTCTACATGTATCATGACCGCTGCAGTGCATCTGTCTGTTGCTAACAACTCGACATGCGATGCGTTTCGACCTCTACTTTTCTTATTGACGTCAAATGAATCGCCGCGCCAGGCGATGCACCCCCATCAATCTCGGTCTCTCTTTCCGGAAACCACATTTAGCGAAAGCAATCGAGATGCTCCTTCCACAGTTTCTGGGTTGGCCACTGGACTGCAGCAAGTACCACAGCTCCAGCCTTCAGACCCCGTGTCTCTATTTCCTTCCAGATCGTCACAGCCTCGCATACACGCTCCATATCCTCCTATACCAGAGCCGGGCGCCTCACCATCTTCTCAACCTTCTGAGCCAAGGTCTACTGTGCCGACACCGGGATTCCAGTTTCACAGTACTGACTCGAGGTATGTCTAAAACCAATTTACTGTTGTGATTGAATGACTGAAGAGTTATTAGGCCGACCTTGGGAGCGCCAACTTCTCTCCCGGCTGCTGGCACGTCACACACTTTTCCAGCATACTCAACACTGAATAGCCAGAGTTCAAGGATCGATCCAGTCGCTCACCGTGGTGTGCGGTCGGACCCTGCACCCATGGGAACTCTCCAGACCGCCCAAACAAGTACAAGCAGACGAAAGCGATGCTCACTCTTCATCAGACAGCAACCACGAGCTGCTCGAGCTGGTCCAGACGGAAAAGACAGAAGGTACGCTTGTTCAGACATGATCTGCGGAGTAGCCCTGACCTTGTAAAGACCTGTTGATCCACCCCCAATACTTCAATTATTGATGGACGATTTCGACCCCACCAGCGAAGAGGACGTTGCAGAGATAAGAAGCCAGTGGTGGGTTGTGCATTGCAGATTGGTAGGAGCGGAGTCCCCTGAGTTGGATGTGAGCACATTGCATTACTTCCGAGACGATGGACGGAAAGAACTGCAACGACTGCTTCTCGGTACCACGGTGGCCAACCCCACTCCCACGCAGGACGATCCGGATCCAGAAACAATGCCTCAACACCCTAGGACACCACCTGCGCCTCCGAGCCCAACGTCAAGATTCATACCCAATCCCTCTTCGAAGCTGCAAGACCCGCCACAAACCTACGCGGCTCGGATACCTGGTTGTTTCTTCATTTTTGCTGATCTGTCTATTCGTAGAGCAGGCGATTATCGGCTTCAGTTCAACCTCATGAAGATGGACCCAACACTCCTGACGCCAGGGTCACTTGTGCACTCGATGGATTCGGTAACCAGTGCTCCTTTCCGGGTTGTGAACGCGAAAGACTTTGATCAAATTCAGCCTAGCACCAACTTGGTAAAGGGTCTTCTGGAGCGCGGCGCAGGCTTTCCATTGAAGTTGAAGAAAGGGCAAAGAGAAGGCCAAAGGCGGAGGAGGCAGCACTCTGGCGACGAATCTGACGAAGACTCTTACTATGATGAGAATTAGTGGACTAATGTGAACAGGCGCAGTTAGTCCGGGGAATGTGTTACGCCAACGACTAGCCACGAACGAACAGAGAGCCGAAACAACAGAGGACTCGGGGTCAATGTCAAAAAAAAGTTGGACAACCAAAGCTACGTTGGTAAAGGGTTTTCTTACCGAACTACTCCAGCATCGAGGCTACGACCTGGTTGGTTTCCAATCAAGTCTTTCGCATCACCTGTACATGATAATGATTGTGCAAATTTCACGGCGATGTCTGTTGACAGCCATCGCGCATGTGAGGGCCAGCACTGGAACGTCCAACGACGCCGACTTGTGGCGCGTCAGCCTAGACTATTGGACATGATTGAACCACAGTAAGGCGGTACCGAGAATACGAGACAGCTTGTCCGACCCTGTCACACACCACGTGGCAAGCCGTTTACCATGCAGCAGATCGTGATCAGGTTTTTGAGGAATCCAGGAGCACCCTAGACTAATGGGACTGGGTTATGGTTGGATTGAGAAGTCCAGGCTCGGCTTGCCGTCTGGCTGTGGCATTTTCGGTTGGTGAGCATCTCGATAGTATCCCACCTAACACCGTCGTGTGCAAACATGAGTGCCACACTTTTCGGAAAATGGAAGAGATGTGTCTCGCGTATGCAAAGGATTTGTCAGAAACGAGCGAGTGTGGTCTCTGAACCATGGACTACTGGGCACAGACAGTTGCAGGCGCACATGGATTGCGGAGCAAAGAACATGGGTAAGATAACATCAATCTGCGCAGAGGTCTGTTGGGAAGCACAAGGTTTCAGGACTTACTAAGAAACCTTCGGACGGGCTTTTTACAAGGCCCCCAGGGAGTGCTGTCTGATTTTTCAATTTTGACATCGAGAGTGCAACCGACGTGATGGGAGTCAGGCATGGCCCGACAGGAGAATATCCCCTTGGGGGTGATAAAAAATGCTCTAAGCGACCTACTGTGAACATCATGCTTCCCCTTCTGAGGCTCTGCAGGATGCAACAACGCCATCAAGTTTCGAACTCAGTTCAGAAGGTACGCCAACAAACAGCGACTCCTCCTCGTCTCTGTTACATACCAAAAAGGTGGTGTGAGGTTGTGAGTGTTCCAGAACTATGGGCCCAGACGGGAATAGGAGAGTTCTAGACCGATTGTCGTCATTTTTGAGGCCATCTCTAGATCGACCAACCGGCGGGCCTAGGCCCCTTAGCCTAGTGAGCCCCCATCAGCTCCTGCCAATTAGACCCGACATCGCCCAACGTCTTTTGGCGTCGTAGAAAACTTCTAAGCGAGACGTCGAAAGCGGGCGCACGCGGGTGATGCACCGGATCCTATTTTACCACGATATTATTAGGGCCACGTTTTGGGGGATCGACTGAAGGCATGACATTAACTTTGACTAGATCCGAGTTGGCGACCAAGGATTTACTATGTACTCCGTATGGGATGGATCATTGATCATCAGACTCCATCTGATAATCCCGGCCCGCGTTAGAGCCGTACTGCATGCGTACAAGGACAATACCCAGCAAAAGATGCTTGTACGTCAAACCCATCAGCCCTCCTAGCCTCCTAGGCGATGCGTGCCTACAGTAGTTCTCGGGTTTCACGGAAGAGCTTGACAATAATGATCAGCCTCGCTTATATAGAGTTTTGGCCGGAATGGCTTGGCCATGATCAGCCAAGAATTCACGGAACGTACTAGTACAGACATACACCTGTCTCAGGATTCTGGGCACGCACAGTAGCGTCGAAGATCGCAGAAAGAGCTTGCGGTCAGCTTTTGGGGCAGCTGAAGGGAAGCTGGTGATCGATGGTGCACTGGCCGTTTCCGGAGATATACACGGTACCTGATGTTTGAAACACCTCGATGTACGTACATAGAGACTTTGGGGGAGGTAAGTCGAGCATGGCTGTAGAACCGTATGGAGTACCTCAGACTAGACTAAAGCCCTTTCTGTACTTGTGTCGCTGCCTGACGAGGCATGGGCGGCTCTCTTACATGGGAAGTTTATGCCTCAGGCTCATTGCGGCGCCGGGTTCGCATCCACCATGACCAGGAAAGTTACTCGAGGTCGCAGCAGCGGTCGAGCCACACACCATTTTTGCACTCCTGGCCATGAAGTTCCTCTGGGTGGCACTGTTCCTGAACGTCTGGCGGGAGCGTCGCCATATGCTGGCCAAGATAGGGCAGAGTCAGCTGCCACTGCGAGAGACGGTCTCGACAGCGAAAGAAATGGAGGATCTTTTCGTATAATGTTGACCCCGCCTCACCCGTCGACTGTTTCCTTGGCTAGCGACCTCGCGTACTCCTTGTCCAGGTAATCGTAGGACTTGATTTTCATCATGGAGTCGTCTTCCCAGTTGTCTGTGAGGAATTTGAGCTGGTCGAGTCCAAGCCGCATTTCAGGTCCTGCTGGACATGCCCCGAGGTCTCTTTTGGCGGCTTCGATCCATTTGTAGGCCGTCTCTTTGTAGTCATGCTCCCTCAGCAGGAGTATCATCGCGGTGTACCTCGACGCCATGTCATTGGCATTGTGCGTCGCCAAAGCCGCGCTGAGACTGAGCCAATATCCGCCAAGTGAAGTGTTCGGATCGACTTTTCCTTTGGCGCTGCCAGGGCGCCACCAGAACCATCCCTCTTCGCGCAGTAGATGCACGGCGAGCCGATACGAGTGCAAGATGCTGCCCGCCATGGCGGACTGCGTGGTGAGGGATACCCAGCTTTCCGACCCCTCAAGAATGTCACTTATGTCTTTCCCTCCAGCTGTGCGCTTTTGCCGTAGAAGCTCCTCGGCGGCTTCGGGGTCTTTCCATTCCTCGACACCGGCTTGGAGGGCGTTGTCCAGATCGGCTTCTACTTGCTTGCATTCGGGACTGTCTGGGTTTTCGTTCTGTAGATGCCACAGGTAGTGGTCTGCCGCTCTGAAGACGAATTTCCATGGAGGAACGTATTGCTCTAGGGTTGGCATTCTGTTGATGATCCGATCACCTGGCTCAAGCATGGAATCCAACTTCTTCGCCATCAGGTAGTTTTCCCTTGCGCCGGCCTTTGTGTGGGTCATCTGCGTTGCTCGGTGTAGCCACATGGTCATCGCACGCCAGTCGGTCATGTTGGCTGCCCTTCCACGTAGGGCTTCCGCTGTTTCGCGTCGGATATCTCCCTTTTGCATTTCGAGCAATGCCGTTTTCACTGTTGCGTCGGTGTTGCCGGCCTCGGAGGCGACGAGAAACGAGTATTGACCTAGTTTTCCCCATCTTCTCATGTTCTGCCCGTGGAAGTCGCATTCACCGAACGCTTCGAAGACTTGACTCAATGTGTTGGGATCTTGCATCATTTTGAACTCCGAAGAGGGGAGAGCTTCTTCGTATGTCTCGATCCATTTCCTGCTGGTCGCCGCTATTTTGATCGCTTTGTTGCTGGCGACTTTGCCACGTTCAAATTCCGCTCGTTGATGGTTGAACAGCTTTGCCACAGTCTGCACATTACGGAAGCCGAGCGCTTGCAGTCGCCTGGCGAGTTTGGCAGTTATATAATAGTCTTCCGCCGACTTTGCTTCTTTATCCAGCGACTTCAGACGATCAAAACTTCGATATGCGGGCTTGTAGTTCCTGGGCTTCCTGGCGGAGGTCGACGCTAGCCGATGGGCGACATGTATATGCGAGGATGATTGGCATCGCGGCTTGCTAAGGATGCCCCAGTATGCGCCCAGTCTCATGTTGGGAGGAGCTGCGCCTTCGTGCTTTTGGAGACTGCTGCAGTTCCATAGATATCAGTCCGGCCAGATTCTAATTAGTCGCTGTCATCGTATCAAGTTCGAGAGCAGCACACAACGACTCTGCCGAAGACAAAGAGAGGCGAAGAATTTCCAACTCCGACTGTTGTTGGTCGCACCGGATAAAATTCGGTAGACTGCGATTTGTACGCCGACAACAACTTTCAGACTGCAAATATCGACGTGAACATTTCAAAAACAAGGCGGCAACACATCGACAGCCGCTTTTCATCCAGTGCACCTTACAGCACGGTATCTGCCTTGGTTCCCGCATAGATGGTCTCATAGGAGCCTCGCCGGCGTTGCAGTCCCGCACCACGTACACATCTCGACTGCATCTCAAGTCTGGGCTGAACACCTTCACTCACAATGCCTGCTCCCGCAGGAACTAAGCGCGTCCGTGGCGTACAGATCTACCGCCCTTTCACTTACGGTACCGAAGCCATCCCTTTCGACCCTGAGAATCGCCCGAAAGATGCACCGCCCGATCACACACATAGGTGGAAAGTCTTCGTTCGCGGGGTTAACAATGAAGATATCTCATACTGGCTGAGAAAGGTCCAATTCAAACTACACGACACGTACGCAAACAGCGTGCGAATGATCGAAAGCCCGCCTTTTGAGGTCGAGGAGACAGGCTGGGGTGAGTTCGAAATTGCGATCAAGTTCTACTTCGCGCCCGAAAGTACCGAGAAGCCCCAGCAAATCTGGCACGGCCTCAAGTTACACCCATACTACGGAGATGTCGAGCAGCAGAAGCGGGATAGGTCCATGGTCACTAGTGTCTGTTACGAAGAAGTCCTCTTCAACGAGCCGGTTGAAGCGTTCTATGACCTTTTGACTGGGGGTGCACAAGTGACCAAGTCCAAAGGAGGCAAAGGCGCCAAAGGTCAGATCAAAGCGCCACCAACTGCCGAGATCCCTCTGAAGAGCAGCGGAGCAAACAAATTCAGCAAAGAAGAAGAAAACAAAGAACTTGATCGGCTAGGTGAAGCGGTGAAACAAGTGCAGAAACTGATTGCAGAAGAGAAGACCAAACTGGTCAGCGAGGAGGCAAAGCTGCAGGAGTTGGAAAAGACCGAGGGAAAGCCAATCAAGAAGAAGTGAGCACGGATTGTGAAATCCTGCTTCGAGGGTCATATATCGATCATTGCTCGCGCCATGGCGGCCTTTTCCAGGGGTCATCCAGCTACAACCGGGCATTTGCAGGTACCGATGCCGCCACGAGTGCTACTATCTTCTCAGCTGCGGCCCAACTCAGCTCATAACCTCGACCACCAGCACCATATCCGTGCACAATCCTTTTGTCGGGACCAACCGACTCGGTCTGGAACCTATAACCACCCTCCCGCCACGGTCTCCTGCCGACATTGTCTTTCAATACCACGAATCTGTCAATCGAATCCACGAAGTCGGGAAAGAAATCAACAGCATTGCGAAGGAGTTTCTCGCGCGCCTCAGGCCTGGGTTGCTCTTCAGGGTCACCTATCTCCTTGGTGCCTCCGACAATGGTCCCACCTCCTCGCGGACGCGGGATCAGGAAAGCCCAACTGCCATCGCGACACTGCCGAGTCACCGTCTGATGGTGCTGCTGCTTGACCAGCACGGTCTGTCCTCGAATGATCTTCGTCTTCGGATCTTGGTCGAAGTTACGCCCAGAACAATTCACGACTGTTGAAACCTTGCCCAGCCCAATCTTTTGGGCATACTCGAACGCCTCCTGAGCGTCCGATAAGCGATGCTGGATAAGCCGACCACCCTTCGACATGAAGCGGTCGAGAAGCCATTTCAAATATACCGAAACGTTGACGCAGTAACAGCGATATTCGCAGCCCCATTCCACACCAGTTGGCAGCTCCGTCTGGTCGAGCACGCGGAAGCCATCCTCCGGTCCGGCGTAGACATCGCCTGTTTTTATCGAGGAGAACTCGGTGGGTGGATCTTCCAGGTACTCGACACCCTGCATGAATTCGACCCCGGCTTCGGGGTGGTCGTGTGCGATCCGCTTCATCCTTCCGGCTGTGCGTACGGCCATGTCGAATTCCTGCTTTAATTGAGGTGTCGAACCCCGTGTCGGACGGTAATGCGCGCCTGCCCACATTGACGCATAGTCCGCCGTGGGTGAATGTCCTGTCGGTATTTCGGCGGCGATGATGGTGAGGACTGCGCTTGGGTATTCGGATTGTAGGAGTGTTGCCACTGAGAGGCCTGTCACTCCACATCCAACGACGATGATGGATTCGTTTGATGGAGACATTTTGTAGTCATCGACGAGGATCAGATAGATGTGGGTGCTGCCCGTCCTTTGACCGATAGTCCTCAAGTTTCAAATAGACTTATCAAAGGTCAACCTGAGACCGTTCCAGTTCTTCTATCTTATCCCAATGATTCCACCGTCGAGTAGAAGCACCTGCTGTGCTTTATGCCGGCGTTAGATATCGTGCTTGCAAGAACCTCCAAATGGTCAACAATCTCAGTCTAGATAGAAGATTTCTGTAGAAGCGGGTAGCTATAGGCAAATTCTTTCAGTGCCTACATTTATTCTTAGCTGGTAGATACTGTGCCTTGCAAAACTCCATGAATTGTCAAGTTTACCGAGGGTGTTACGACAACAACTTTTTCAACTAGCGGTGAGCTTGAACACGTATTTACTTAATAACGACGTACATAATTACATATCTTTTTGATACTATTATAATCGTCGCTCTTTGCGCTCTCTATTGATATAGAAATCGCTATTTTTATCGTAGTAGTTATAATATCGTCGAGGCCGAAGTTCTCCGCCGAAGTAAAAGAAGCGGTCGAACTTATACTTAAGATAATAGCTATATAGAAGGAGATTAGTAAGTCGTATAGAGTCTCTAAGGCCTATATTACTAAGATAAAGAGCTAAAAATATAATAAGAAGCTTAGTCTTAATTAGTATTACCCTAAAAATAGGCGTCCTCCTATTCTTTACGATATCGCTATCGCTAGCCTAAAGGACTTCCTCGAAGACTAACTAATAGTACGTCTTAACGAAAGCTATAATTTCCTTCTCGAAGAGTACGATATAAGTATATCTATATCTATAGTAAGTCGAGTACTAAAGGAGTATAAGATTACTTATAAACGTATTACTCGTATTAACGCTAGGCGAGACGAGAAGTTAATTATAGTATTTATAGCCGAGATAGTCGACTACACTACTAAGTAAATCGTCGCCGTCGACGAAAGCGTCGCTAACGAGAGAACCCGAGATCGTAAGTTTAGGTAGTTATTACGAGAGGTATCGTATCGTATACGTCTCCTAGAGAGACGTATAGAGCGATAGAGTATCCTATCTACCCTTACTATCGATAGATAGCTTGACTACGACCTCTTCTAAGGCTTATTCAACTCCGAGCGATTCGAGGCATTTATAGAAAGAGTATTATTTATAATAAATCTCTTCCTAGGGAGGCACTTAGTATTACTCCTTAATAATACGATAATTTACCACTCGAAGCGAGTTAAAATAATATATCGAGAGAAGAGCGTAATACTAATCTTCTTACTACTTTATTCGCTAGACTTTAACTCGATCGAGATAGCCTTCTATAAGTTAAAGAAGTAGATAAGAAGAAATCATAAAACGACTTACTAATACGCGAAGAGCTTCGAGACCTTTCTTTACCTAGTAATAATATTAGTCTATAGCGAGGCGACGACGAGAGTATATTTTAAAGCGTACGGCTATAGAGACTTTATCGATTAGGCCTTATACTATCGTAAAGAGTAAGAGTAAGTAGAAGAGTAAGTAAAAGAGTAAGTAAAAGAGTAAGTATAGTAGTAAGTATTCGATTAAGTATATAAAATATAACTACGTAGAGAAATCGATATTATATAAGTCTTTTTATTACGTATCGATATTTCTCTTATAGTAATTACTATATATCTTATATATCTATAAAAGTTCGACTAGCTATAGCTATATTGTATCTATACTTAATATCTTTTAGCTATCCTAGTATTTAGTAACACTATAAATTCTTGAAATTCTTAAATTAAAATAGTAATCTTAGTACCCTCTTAGCGCTTACGTAAGTATACGTAAGCGTACGTAATAATTATTATACTAATTAAGTAGTAGCTCTTATACGGGGTAAACTCTAATTAGATCTCCGTACTACCTTAAAATCTAGAAATACCTCTAAGAATATTAGCCTTACTTAGCCTTACTATAGAATCAAGTTAATAACGAGCCTACGGGACTCGCGGTATCGTCTAATAGGCGAGACTATACTATAGGAAGATATACGAAGTCCTTAAGGTGCTTCCTAATCTTTATAATAAAGTCGAGAAACACTTCTATCTTATCTCACTACTTATCCGTATATCCCTTAAGGTCTAAGAAGCCCTAACTATTCTTCGTAACTACGCCCTTAATTTCGAGAAACCTAGGACCGTAAATAGGAAATTTAGTCGCTAGCTAATTAAAATAAGCTCTTATATTATTATTATTATCGTCGTCGCGCTATAGTAGGCTTAAACGAGGCTCGATAAGTACTACTATAGTGGAAAATACGGCCGTACTAAATAGATATTATTATACGCTAATTAAAGGCGCCCCGATATAAAAAGTATTATACGGCATTATATAAGGCGAGTTTTACGGTAGATTTAATAAGGAAGTATACGGCGACTATTACGCCTTTTCTTTCCGATTCTTTAGATTTACTATAGCTTTCAAGACGATATAGGGAGGCTCTTCTAGTATTGTCGTACTACGAGCGATCGCGTTAGACTATATCTTAGAAAGAGATATTAATAACGCTAAATAACTAATACTAAGTTAATCGTAATATATTCGAGAGTTATTCTTATAGTTCTAGCGTAGATATTTATACCTCTTACTTAGTACTAACTACTAATTCTCGAACTCCTCGAGTACCTTAGCCCGTTAAGTACGTTATTATCGTTATATTTAAATAGTAGACGATACCGAAGTTTTACTCTTTTTACTTTTAGATTTACGTCTCTTCTTATCTTTACGACGACGACTTTAAGTACTATCCTTATATCTCGACTATATAGAACTCACTCTATTCGAGCCCGACGAGGTCTACCCTAGCGATAGCGGAGAAGTAGGGAGCGCTATCTCTTTATATAAGAGTATAAGCTATATAGTTATCTTGTATATAGTACGCTTAGGTTCGTAAAGAATATCTCACTACTTTCTATATACGATTTCGAAGTCTCTTTAGTAACCGATAGTAAGAGCGTAAGGTCTCTTTATCCGAGAGGCGTTAATCGTAAATTCGCCGCTAAAGGGGGGGTTATCGATTAACTTCTTCTTTAGCCTTAACCGTAAGAGGAGCTCGCCGCGATATTCGTCTATTATATCATTATAATTATACGACTCGAAGTTTACTTCCTTACTAAACGCCTTTATCTTCCTTACGAAGACTTATACGTTAATTAGAAAGGAAACCTTACTTAAGGAGTAAATCGAGGTAGCCGACGTATTAGACGACGAACTACGAGATATACGTCGACGTAACGTTAATACCTTATTACTCTTACGACGTTTAGAGATATTCGACGATAGTGTCTATATAGAGAGAGAGATCGCCGACTCTACTACCTCCTCCTAGTCCGACGGCGTCGAAGACCTCCCCGGAGGAGAAGAGCCCTTCTTCTCTTTATTAGGGACGGCGTTACGAGTCGTCGCCTAAGTTTATTAAATTAACGCTATTCTATTTACTTCGCTAATATACCCTAAGGAAGGAGTATCTCTAATCGCCTCAATAGTTAGAGACCGCGAGGAGATAGCGACTCTACCTCTATCTTACGTAGCGCGTTACTTGCCGACGATGAGCTTTAATCGTAGCGTCGTCGTAGAATCCGATAGTAAGGAGATAGGGGAGGGAGTACGAGTACACTTACGGCCTCGCTAAGATTTAGTGCCCTCCTCGGCGGTACGTACTTCGATAAGGCGACGGGATAGAGTGCCACTACGTAGAGAACGACGCTGTATATTGATTCAGTGCCCTACGGAATGCGATAGCATAGTTTACGATCAATTTACGTAGTGCTATCGCTAATTCATTCTACTGTACACTGCGTCAAAGTGGCGGTGAATGCGCCTCGGCAAACTTGACAATTCATGGAGTTTTGCAAGGCACAGTACCATACTGATGTGATTTATATGGACCTCGAAGGGCGCGAGATAGTCCGACAATAATTACCATATGTGGACATGGATTTCTTGCGTGCTTGTTGTTGGATAGATTCAACTCAATCTTTCAACATCGATTGCATCTTTTTTGTTCGCTACTACTCGCAAATTACACGTCACTCAAGACTATGCAGAGTGTAATGTTTCATGGTATATGGAACGGCGAGGAAAGCCTGTTTTTGTGGAGTGATAGTGTGCCAAAACCACACCCGTGATCACAGTGGCTACGAGGATGCTCATCAGCGACTTGGTCATATCCCGCATGCATTCAGGCACTTCCAGAAGATGTTTCCGATCCGGTGTCTATGAAAGTGGCATTAAGTCGGACCATGACTGCTTCATCCTCAAATCGCTGTTCCTCTCTCAAAACTTTCGCGTATATCCGTGGTATACCGATCATAGAACCTCGCCAGCTTGTTGTTAAACTGCTTGTTCTTCTCGTTGATGTAGGTGACATCTCCTCCATCCTCGTCGCGACCCCTATCACGCCGCTTCTTCATTCTCGCTTCCTCCGCCTTCTTCAAGTCATCGACTAACCGATCCACATTCTCCCGCTTGGGTTTCTGTTCGACGAAACCCGCACTGTCCTGATCCGCGTAGAATCGTCCATCCTTGTCGATCGCAACGAGTTCGCCATTTTCCATCTCGACTATCTCAAGCCCGCCAGTGCGAGCGGCATTCTCCAAAATCTCTGCTTTCTGTCGTTCGTACTCTTTTCGATTCCTCCCTCCGTCTTTCAGAGCACTCTTCTCCAGGTCTCGCATCTGACGATCATACATTTTGGCGGCTTCTGCGCTGTAGTCCTGGAAAGCATTGTTGTTACGGGCTGCCTTTTTCCGCGCGACTCGTTCATCCCACTTCTCGCTCTCCTCGATCGTGTAGTCCCACGCGCGTTTGCGCTCAAATGCGCCTGTGCCTCCCTCTTCTTCGGTGTCCGCTTTCAGTAGGTTATGAGATGCGATGGCCGATTTCCTGCTGAGACTCGCGAGGACACTGGGGTCGATCGCGGCGCGGGTGGCTTCTGCTTTCGCTTCGGCAAGATTCGATTTTGCGGAAGCGGATGCTCGAGATTTTAGAGCGGCGAACCGGGCCAGTCTGTCGTCGGCTGCGCTTGATGGAGCGGATGTGGTAGATGAATTCTTCGACTCTGAGCTTTCGTCCTGCAAGTCTACCGGTGCGAGATTGTCATTTCCTGATGCAAGCTCCGCTTCCTGGCTCTCCTCTTCATGTTCTGAGATCCGGCTATTTTCTTCCGCTCCCCCGTTCGTAGCTGGAGTCTCCTCGACCTCAGGGCTGAGTTTGCGTCGCTTTGCGGGAGGCATGGTGCTATGTGTTTCTGTTGCCTGATATTGTAGCGTCGAAGTGCGCATGGAAAATCAGAAAGTCGGGACTCGCTACACCTTCCTTTTGCACAGCCTCCGATCTACGACGTCAGTGTTTGGTATTGACGCCAAAAAGTTCCTGGCGATCAGTCCACTTGTGTGGACAATGGAGCTGTGAATCCAACGAAGCCAGGAAACACAAGATGACACGGTGATAACATACTGTTCTTTGCTAAGTTGTTGCGCGGTAAGTTTCTGCGCTAAGTATGGCTCAAGCAGTCAAGAAGAGGATCGTTGTCGCTGGTGGGAATGGATTTCTTGGGTCACGCATCTGCAAGTCCGCAGTCGCCCGGGGTTGGGACGTTACCTCCATAAGGTACAGCTTGTTCAACAGTATTGTAACGCACTACTGACTGTGTAAAGTCGTTCCGGAGAGCCAACGTGGTCATCGGTCAGCTCAGAAACTTCTGCCCCGTCATGGTCCCAGTCAGTCACCTGGGCCAAAGGTGACATCCTAAAGCCTACTACCTACACACCGCATCTCAAAGATGCCGACGCGGTTGTACATACGATGGGTATACTGCTGGAGGCAGACTACAAGGGCGTTTTGTCTGGGAAAGAGAGCGTGATTTCCGGGCTGTCTAGAGCATTCAGCGCCTCGAAGCAGGGTAGTCCCAACAACCCTCTCGACCGTCAGCCTGGTGGTGAGTTGGGCAAGGGAGAAAAAGACGGGCAGATAACATATGAGCTCATGAATAGAGACTCTGCCATTGCTCTTGCGCAAGAGGCTGAGACGGAAGGGGCGAACACATTTGTCTATATCTCTGCTGCGGCGGGCGCACCCATCCTACCGACCCGATACATTACAACCAAACGCGAGGCCGAAAACACGATAGCCAATGAAATGATCAAGCTGCGGAATGTCTTCATCAGGCCAGGCTTTCTCTACGACAATAGTCGCAAGTTCACTCTGCCTATTGCAGCCTCGGGCATGGTTGGGAGCACAGTCAATAGTCTTGTAGGAGGTAGCCTGACTAGGGTCTTTGGCGCTGCCGTGGAAAAGCCGTTGAAAGCGGACTTGGTGGCTGATGCTGTTGTGGAAGCCATCGCGGATGACTCGACCAAGGGCGTGGTGGACACAGCACTTATAGAAGCACTGGCTGCAAAAGCATGGCGTCGAACAATGCTTTGAGTTTGACCTCGACGGAATTCATGTACAACACACCCAGAGTTGGCTCTTTTGCTGATGGTCGGAAGGGCGTTATAGAGGGCATGGCGATTCGGAAAAAGTCATGGAATGGATTCAATATCTAGCTCATCCACCAGTCTCTGTCTTTCGGGCTGCGCCACCTTACGGTGCGAGCTCTTGAGGTTGTATTAAGCTGTCGCCCCAGTTTCCCACCGTTGAGAAGAAGAGGTGGCCACCAGCCACAGTTCCCTATGTCCACGACCATCGTCGTAGATACAGCAGGTTCATGGAGTCCTGCATCGACTCTATCATACACTCTTTCTCCGGACGCCGTCGATTGATTTCCAAAATCCCGCTATGCTAATCACATTTCTGAGTGAAGATTGGTAAAGCACCGTCCACAGTAAGTAGAGTCATATCTGCCCACACCACATGGTGGGCATCGAATGACAAAGTTTGTACACAATTGGGGCTCTGGCAAGCACCCATTCGTTCTGTCTTGCCATATATGGGCGTTTTTGCGAGGTACTAAAGGTCGACCTTCTCTTCAGGAAGCTCGAAAAGTACTTTACGGGTCAACTGCACAATGTGTGAGTAAGGTCCAGCATGCATATTCAGGGCGGCAACTTACTGCCCAAGCCCCTGCGATTGAGGCCACGATACCACCAGAGATCATCATAGGCTTCACGCCTCGTGTGCTTTTGAAGAGCATGCCGCTCAAGGCGCCCGCCACCATGCTATTTGCGGCATCGTGCTTGCCCCGGTAATAGCCAATTGTCGAGTTCACCCCGTTGTATACCATCGCGACCACCCCAGCGGAGTTACCGAGGAATGGACCTCTCCTTGTAATGCTGTTCAGGACGCTGTTCAATCGTAGTTTCGGAGGAGCCGAGGCCGGTGTCCGGTTCAAGCCTTCTATTAAACCCCATGCGCCACCAGTAGTCAGAGCTGTGAGGTACACAGTTCCTGTTCCGTAACATAAATCGTCCGACCAACCGCGAGAAGGTAATATCGATCGGGCTCCAGGGAGATCTGATAATTGGGATTCGTCTAACGTGAGGTAATCGAGTGTCTGTTGATTCAGTCCAGCTAGAGGGTGTAGCTTGGACGCATCTGGAAGAGAAGCGCTTCCAAAGAAGGATGCGACATCTTGTGTAGCGGCCGCAGGGTCAAATGGTGCCGGTGCGAACCCTCCGGCAGAAGGCGCTGTATCTGCGTGCTGTGGCTCTGAGGACTGTCTCGTCTGCTTTCTGCCAGAGAAGGCGTCCCAAATGGACATTTTGAGTGACTAGAGACGGATGATGGACGAGAATAAGCACAACGACAGTATGCCAACGTGGCGGCTGAACCGGTGTTCGATGGTATAGAGGCGGATGATGTCTGCGGAAAGAAAATGTTCGAAATGCGGACGATAGACGACTCCGAAATCGACCTTACCGGATTGGGATTTCGGCTATCATTTTTTAGAAGCGAACGAGCACCACTCTTATATTTACGTCTCATCGAAAATCTACTTCATCACGATTGCTGAAGGGAATTAGACTGCCTCAAGGCGTGGACGGCGCGGTATATGTTGTGAGAGATGGACTCACGCTGGTAACAACCAATTTCAGTGGCCTAGTGCCACAAATGCCCACGCCCATGACAAGGATGGATCTGATGTCCACGGCACTGGAGGCCGAGGTGCCCCTGCCGATCTCGATTGTGTCTGATCTGGGCAGAGGGTACCTCCGCCAGATCTTTAAGACGCCTGATGAAGACCAAGTGCGTCAAATCATTGCCCTTTGGCCTAAATTGGTTCTCACTGCCAAAGCCCCCCAAGTACTCGACAAACATGTCACGGCGGCCTCCAATGCCTTATGTGTCTATCTCAATTGTGGCGTTACAAGCAATGTGCCTGCTATTCAACACTTGGTTCTGTCTAGGGAGGCATGGTTTGATGCTCTGCAATGCGCCCATAAAGCATTTGACGATGGCAAGACAAAACCGGCCTTCCAGATCATGGAGACATTGTGTGATGTACTTAGGAAGATGAGTGATCAACAGAGTATTGTTGAGATTCTCCGGTATGCCACACTACCATTGATCAAAAGCATTCTTTTATCATCACCCCAGTCTGAAGTTAAGAAGGCTTGCTTGATGATCTCGTGCCTGCATCGAAAAACCCCTATCGGCGAGAGCCTCGAATCGTTCACCCAACAGTCGACAGCAGAATATTCTACACGCTGGAATCAACGGCTGGTACAGCACAACATCGGCCCTGCTGACGTGTCATGCATTGACAATGATACCATGGCATCCCTATTCCTGGCTTTGATATTTGCGAGCGTCGACGTCGATACAAGAAGCGCCGCTATGAAGCTATATTCTCTCCTATGTACTAGCAGCGCCGAGGCGCCGGCCAATGCCAGTCTGCAGGTTACTGCAGAACGAGTCATCGAGCTCTATCTCGAAAAGAACCATGAAGCTCTTGGGGATTTTGCTCAAAACGTCCTTCCGATGGTTTTGTATGACAGGGAAAGATTCATGGCTTTTATAGAGCCGCGTTGTCATTCCTGTTGCGAAAGTGAGTCGACGCTTGCCCTCTTTCTTTCTTCTTTGAGGGTCGGCATTCAAAAGAATCTGCTATCAGACAAAGGTATGTATCGTTCCGGCAAGCTTGATCAAGATTGAGCGGACTAACAATAATCACGGAGCAGATGCCCTGATCTTTGTCAATTCTGCCTTTACAACAGCGTCAAATCCCAGATCCCGTAAGGAAGACCGGTATTATTGGTTTCGATATATATTCATGGTAGCGAGCTCAGAGCTTCGAGTGTTGACATACGCTCTGCTGACGGCCAACCCCTCCACAAACGCCGTTATTGACGTGGAAACTCTAGACTGCATCGCCTCGAGTCTAAGGTACCTCCACGAAGATGCGGACGCTCATGAGAGAGGGGAGATCCTGAGCACTACCAAAAGACTTCTAAGCAGAATCCAAACGAGTTACACGTACATTTGCAGAAAATCAACACAAAACAACGACGATCATAAGACCGATGCTCTTCTTCGTCAGTACAGGTCGTTCTCAACCTGTTTCTTCGACTTCCTGAAGGAAGAGTTGGCTGCCGGTATCTCCTACCCTCGCCACATACTCAGCCTCCAGTCTCTGAAGTACTTCTTCAGCCTAGCAATAGAACCCCATACCTTCGATGATGATCTTGTCCTGACAAGGTCTTTGTGCAACCTTACCCTCGACCCATTTGAAGAGGTTCGAGTTCATGCGGCTGCTCTATTGCGAATCCTGTCTATGCGCAGCCCAAAGATGGTTTTGCGTGTGGCTGGTAGCGATTTCCTCCAGAAGGTGGAAATGCTAGCGGTGCAGACTGTGCGAGGCGATCACGCTGACGGTATGGGGAGACTATTGGCGGTCCTGTCCCTACTCAGCGACACTGACGATTCGGTCAAATCCACCGTCGAAACAGCAGTTCTGAGAAGCATATCTCGGCTGGAACATACGACTTCAGAACCTGGCAATCTGCGACCTGGATCAACTTCCCCCGTCCATGGATATCTACTGACCCTCTACTATCAACTTCAGAATCTCCAAGGCCACGCTGACCAGGATGTGATAGCACATCGAGTCTTCTCTATATGCTACAGGATCTGGGAAGAAGTTCAACCACAACTATGTGTTGACTCACCAGAGACAGCCACAGAGCTAGCGGATGACGAAGGGACTGAAGGTCCCAAAGATCTCCTTGCCTATTCATGGAGAGCCTTACGCGACTCAAGGTAACTTTCAACAATACTGCCGTGCCACGGGAGATGCTAACAAGGTATAGTCTTGTTATTCAGGCTCTATTGACGGGTTTCCCTCCTGATCGCGAGATGTACTCCGTTGCAGGAAGGCTATGTATGGACCAGCTCATGTCTCTGCGCCACAGGGGAGCCTTCTCCACAGTTGCACAGACTTTCCTTGCATGTTGCAATTTAGTCCGTGGTGCGACTCAACCAGCTATTCGTGGACTGATCAATGACTGGTATAAGGTAAGCAAGCACCCGGATAATGATCAACAGAACGCGAAAGTAACGCAGCAGATCGCTCTGAATGAGATCGACGAACAAGCCAGCCGCCTCACGCGTCGCTCCGCCGGTCTACCTGCGATGATGACGGCTTTGCTCAGTCCTACTGATGGTGGATTCTTCTCTTCTGCGGTTTGTGATCTCATGGCTATTGCGCGGCTATCCAGCCAAAAGACGGGGTATGATGCAGGACAGTTGAGGTTGCCACAAGTGCATGCGCTCAACTGCCTGAAAGACATCATGACTAGCTCTAGGTTCTCAACCGTCATCACTCAATTCTTGTCATCAATTCTGGACTTGGCCGCATTTTGTCTCTCGTCCAAAATCTGGGCTATCCGCAATTGTGGCTTGATGCTTCTACGCGCTTGCATCGGCCGCCTCAACTCGACAAGTACGAGTGAGCAGCATGTCCTGAAGGAGCCTTCGGCTGAGGTCACTCGTGACTACGCCCCGACAACAGTTGCTTTACGTCTTCTCGAATCAGCACGAAACAGTCGAAAATCCGACCTATTGGACGGGATTACCGAACACGTCTTTGCAGGCCTAGATTTACTCGCACATGCTCAGCAGGGTGAAGCCAACTCTGATTCTCTAGTTACGACAATTGCTGGCGAACTGTCAAATCCAACGTGGGCAGTAAGAGATCGAGCAGCGTACCTCATAGCCAATCGTCTGTCCAGTCTCGGTCCATCCCTGGCTGCCCGGACCATCCTCGAAATAGTGGCACCGATCCAGTCTGAGAACGAAGCACATGGTGTTCTCCTCTGCTGCAAGTATTCACTGATTGAGACAAGGCAGTCCATGACTGAGCCAGAACTCGACGGTATCGTAACGTCGCTAGCGGGCGCGCTTGCGACATCTACAACGGAACACTATCCCTCACCGTACGTCAGTGCGGCGTGGCTAGATGTCCTCAACGAAGCTGCCGTGTTCATCTGGGACAATGGCTGGTGCTTTAAAATCATCGAGAAGCACTCTCCCGTCAGCCAAGAGAAATACGCCGTGAAAAGCAACTCCGTGCACGGCAAATACTTGTCACAAAGGGTTCTTCTCTTGCAAGTCTATCGTCAGCTTATGCAAGACGAACGCGCGCTCTCAGGGGACGAAGTCACCACTCGACTGGTCCGGGATCTGGTCGCCAATTCCGAGGGATTGAGCTTCTGTGTTAGGATTGCGAATGAGAGGCTGTCTAGTAAGCCGCGGCTTTCTTTGATCACTCTTCTGATCGGTCTGATCGCTGACGTATCTCGAAATGGAACAAGTCAGCAAGATGTTCTTGAGCAAGCTTTCTGTGGGCTAGAACAATGCTTGAGCCGTGGTGTCAAGCCCGACTCGCGATCATTGCAAATATTGAGTCAGCAAATCATCCTCGACCAGCTTGGAACCACTAGGGATCTGTTCAACGCAGCGCTCAAGCTCGAGGCGCAGATTATAGCAGGATTCGTGCTTCCGAATGAGAATTACATAGCCGCTTGCAAGCGAGTCACAGTCTGGGTCGATGCCGTCAAAGATGCTTCGAGGGACGCGTTGGACTTTCCTACGAGGCTGGGCGCAGCGACGGCACTTTCCACACTCACCGGGCATTTCCAGTCTTTTCGTGACGACGAGCTTGGTCAAGGTGTCAAAGTGAACCTGCTGTTGGTCCTTTACGATTTGCTGAATGACGACGACGAAGAGGTCCGTCACGAGGCCGTTACTGCAGCTGCTAAATTGCACCTGAGGCATACACCTGCAGTTGGCGGTCTCGGGCTGTGCGTACTTGCTGCAAGAGAGAGGCTCCTTGAAGAGATCATCCTTCAGTATGGACAGACATCATTACTGGCAGAGGCAGCCTTACTCAAACTTATGCAGGTTGGACAGGACAACAAGAGTGATTTCTCTGACAATGGGCCAAGCAGGCTTTTCGAGACGTCGGTTGCATCGAGAATACAGGAGATTCTCAAGTCAAAGAATGACCTATTCGCTGAAGAGAAGCAAAACCTTTATATTGACGACGTCCGGGAGATCAAATCTTGGACCAGGGTTCTTTCACGGTCGGCAATCCAATCGTTGTCGCAACAGCAGTTTCAGGCTGCGATCGACTGGACTCTTGAAGGACTGAATCAAACCCTCTCGAGTCTGCCAGATTGCTACAAATCAGAGCAGTCCGCCGGTTCAATGCTTGTACATCCACTGGGCGTTACCTACGACCACGAACTACTTGTAGTCTTTCTTCAAGTCGTGAGCCTTGCGGGTATCCTATCGGTTTACGATCAGGTCGACAATGCTGAAGGACTCACACTCGTGTGCCAAAAGTTGGAAAAGATGGCGTCTGTGCTTGCTGACACGGCAGGCAATGCCATCCTTGCCGATGCTGTCACGAACGCACTAAAAGGAAATCCTGGTGAAGACTAGCATGTTTACTACGGAAGGTGAGGCAGTGAAGTTAAACAACACAAGATAGCCTGACCACCAACATCCCATCTTCGCGTCCAGCCTTCGGGGCCGTATCCTCACCCAACCAGTCTAATAATCATTCGCTAAGAACATTCCATGACGACGTTCTAGATTCAATATCATACCAGAAACAATCTGTAAGTCAGTCTGCCAGGAGTAACGACGACTTCGCTAACCTACTATTGATGCCAAAGCACGATCCAACTATCACCCGTGTGTCAGCATGAATCCTGGTTTAGGAATTGCCCTCTGCTTCCTCCTGATAACGCCCTTGTGCATATATGGCGCCTGGAAATTTTGGATGCCAATGATGCAAGATCAGCTGGTCATGCTGGAAGCGGGAGAACAACGTGCAGCTGAGGGTCGTCCACCGGCCGTGACTGGAAGATAAAGAAATGTCGGACAAGGACGCGCTGTTAATTGGGTCGGCGGTGACTAAAGATTCTTTGAGTGGGCGTGTCAAGCATTCTGATCTGGCCAACGTGTATATTGCAGGAGCTGGTAAATGCACAAGGACCTGTCTGGTGCGCATTTGCTGGGATTGACTAGTACCATTCTCCATGTGCCATATGCCATGGACAGAAAATTAGGGCAGACTCAGGTATTGACAATTCACCTAAGCACTCAACCTCGTGGGAGCCGCTCCTCCCGCTCTCTGTCCACAGAATTCTCACCTTGCTCTTGCCACATCGCCATCATCACACAAAGCATCGCCGTCCCATCATGTCGCTCGTCACACAGACAATAACTGACACCACCACCGCACTTGCTTCGACAGTGATCGTTGGCGCTCTCACAACGACCGTCACTAGCCATATTTCCACCACAGTACTGGCAACGTTCGGTCAAACAGTCACCATCACCTCACCACCAGCATCGCCACCACTTGCACCGACCACCAAATACACCCCAAGTACTGTTGCGACCGAGACCTCAATCGTCACGCTCACCGAAATTGACATCTTCCTTCAAAACACGCAAGGCAGCATCTACTCAACATGGGTTGTACCGTTCACACCTACCTCAAATGCAGCCGGACCATCCTCGAGCCCAACGGTTATCGTGTATGTTGTAGAGCCAAAACAAGGTGGTTGGCATACTTGGTCGGCGGGAGCGAAGGCGGGTCTGATTGTTGGAGTTGTTCTAGCAGGTTTACTGCTTTTGGGGATGCTCATATGGTGCTGTTGCCGGAGGTCCAATGTTTGGTTCGTTCACGGTTGGCCATGGTCGAGGCCGCTTGATGCTGCGCCGCCACCGAATATGGGCCCTTCGATCGTGCAGCCTACCATGGTCAATGGGCCTCTCATGCCATACGTCCAACCTCATCCAGGATACGCATAGGGCTATGGAATGGGGCTAAGAGGAGGTGGTGGGAATCATGAAGACTGAGAGCAGTTTGCACAAGCCGGAGGGGCCGTTTTTACGCTTGGGCGCTGCGTAGGAAGCATGGCAAGACCACGTCGAGCCGCAACACATACATCTAAGAGGCTCGGTCAGAATTATATTCCTAGAGGATTTTCTGGCATAACAAGCGAGCTGCGGTCGTGGCTAGACAAGAGCACTGAAAGGCTACGCATGGAGCTTAGAGGAGCAAGACTTGTGGCATGTTGTGTATCGGAAGGAGCTGGGGAAAATGTGCTACAAGTAATCGTCGACACTATCATTGGTACTTTCAAGTGCCTGGGGATATTCAGCAAATTTCTGCTCAATTGTAGGATATCGACGAGCACCAATGTGAGTTCTTTTGAACGTGAAAACAAAGTTCATGGATTGTCGTTACTTGTAAAATCTGTGGCCCAAGCGCTTTGGGGCCGATCGGCCAATGACGCCGCAGTATGGAGACATCACTGCGCATTCACCTTGCAGGTCACTAGGCTACTTCGCATGCTTCAGGCATAATGTTGAACGAATCTTGACAGACACTTGAATTTTCAACGATCGCACCCATTCCTTGCACTACTCTGCCATTGACTTGACTCGAACGTCGGCCTCACAGTCTGGTCCAAAAGTGTCATTCGGAGACATGTGGCAGGATGATGAAGACAACAACCCATACGGGTCATACAGCAACCAGGAATCTGCCGGCGAACCTACGAACCCAGGTTTAGATACCACCTGTAGGTGCAATTGCGTAGCACGAAGGATCAACCATTGACTCAGAGTACCAGATTCAAATCAGCCCTCAAGTCCAGATACCTCGCAATCCTCTCCTACACAGCCGACGCAATATGGGTCCCAGCCCGACCACCCTGAAGATGACGATGAAGACTATACCGCCCACACAGAGGCAGGGCATATTCCGCCAAAGGGCGGTTATCATAGTAGAGTACAGCAGATACTTTACGAGAACCCCGACTTAGATATCGTCATTACCGACGCCGGAAAGAGTTCAGATGGCGGCTATATCATTTACAAGATCCGTACTGGCGTAAGATGTGGTCCTAGGAAATCTGGTCCTTTTGCTGATCAAGACAGGATATTGAGGTTGCCAGGAGATACTCGGAGTTCAGTTCTTTGCGTGCCGCTCTTGTCAACCTTCACCCAACACTGGTAATTCCTCCCATACCTGAAAAGCATACAATGGCAGACTATGCCGCGAAGCCTACCAAAGCCAAGGAAGATGTTGGTATAATCGATCAGCGAAAGCGCATGCTGGCGGTGTTTCTCAATCGGTGTCGGAGGATGAAGGATGTTGTTGAGGATGGCGTCTGGTGGAGGTTTTTGGATCCTAATTCCAGCTGGGTATTTCGCGTCTACTCTACCACAGAATCCTGTCAATGTCTAACGCCATACAGAACGAAGTCCTACATGCTCACCCAGTCGTATCAGTACCTAAAAACAACCTCAAGGCCCCTCCTTTGGATCCTGCCAATCCCACTCCTGCACACAATTGGCTTCCTGTGCCTGCTTCGTCTGCCAAACTCAGATCAGGAGGGCCAACGTCGAGTAGCGGTACGCCCATCTCTCCCCCGGATCAGACCTATCCATCAGCCGCTGCACACACGATACCGGGACCCCAAATCTTTGGCCGTTTCCCGGTCGCTTCCGACAAGTTGAGCGAGACAGATCTCGACCCCTACTTCATTAATTTCGAAGCCGCCACACGAGAGCTCGAGCTTCTATTGCAAGGTAGCATAGAAAAGGTCAATCGGCGAACGCTCGAACACCTGACCAAGCTCTCTTCTGACCTTGCCGAGTTGGGAGCACGTTATAACGGCTTTTCACTCTCGGAACAGTCGCCAACAGTTGCGACCGCGATCGAAAAAGTAGGTCAGGCAGTTGACGGCACTTATATTTCCACGGAGGAACTGTCTCTGGGTCTAGGAGCTACGTTCGCAGAACCCATGCGGGAAAGCGCGCAATTCGCCGGAGTTGTGCGCAATGTCTTGAGATATCGAGTCCTCAAAAGAGTGCAACAGGACATGACCAGGGAAGAGCTGGAGAAGAAACGAGGCCTCCTTGATGCTTTGGAGCGCAGCGAAGCGGAGTCGAAGAGGATTGACGCATATCTGGCCAGCAGCGTGCCGACGTTATCAAGCCCACCAAGACGGTCAACCTCGAGTGCTTCAGCACGAAGTCCTCCTGACCGCCAAGGACTGGGTAGAGAGGGCCACGAGGAGACAGAATCTGTTGACTCTGATTTCCCACCCACTCACGGAGAAGCTTCATCATCATCACCTCCCTCTGCCGCGCAGGGCCAACCTAACCCGTCCACCTCCCCTACCTCTCACAGGAAATCTCCAAGTGGAAATTTTGTGACCAACAAAATCTTCGGCAGTTTTAGACACGCAGTGAATGGCTTCGTGGACGTTGATCCGGAGAGAACACGCCGGGATCAAATTGGCAAAACCAGAGAAAGCCTCACACAGCTTGAGCAAGCGCTCGAAGTGTCTGAGAAAGATGTGCGAGATGCCACGCAAGGCGTTATGCGAGACCTGAAGAGATTCCAAAAGGAGAAAGAAGACGATCTTCAAAGATATATGGTAAGCTTTCTTGTTGTTGTTGAGTATTATCTCTGTGACTAACAAATTATATCAGGTGGCCTATGCAAGATGTCATATTGAATGGGCTCGAAAGAACCTGGAGTCATGGGGGGAGGCCAGAGACGAGGTCGATAAGATTGTTTCACGGTAGTCTGCAGAGAGCACCATCAGAAAGGAAATGCACCTTGTCATGTTATGCGCGAAGGAAGTGAAGGAGATCTTCGCTGGAAGCATAGCAGGCATGCATGGAATGTCTATTCGGTGGACAAACGTGAATCCTTAATAGCGATACCTTGAGGCAGCGAGAGCCTCTTAATAAAGAGAGGAAACGACGAAGCTCCCAGTATTTGATTGTCGTGATGTGTGTTTTGAGGTTGCTATACAGTAAAGACCTGGTGGTCCAAACTCCAGTGTGACGCAGGGCAGCCGCCGTCAACAAATCTGCGGGTCACCTTAGCGGACGCAGGACGATTTTTGAACGTCAGGTACAATTTTCAAGCAACAGCAAGTCTGTAAAGTCACCTCTGGACTGCAATAAAGAATCAGAACCAAACTTTCGTTCACTTTGAGGTTGGATCGCGGCGCCTGCCCACTTCTTCGGTCATTCTGACATCGGGATTGCTCATTCACTCAGTCGTTTGGCCTCGGTGGGGAGCCTGCACTTACGCTGGTCCGCCGCAACATCAAAGAAGGCGGCCCACCTTGCCTGCCGTAAATTCAAACCCTCACTATCCCAATCTTTTCCTTCGCCTTTTCCCTACCGCTGCAGATGGTCCTGGCATAGGCTTCGGACCTCATCCCTCCTGCACTCTCCGAGCAATCCCTGCCGGGACATGCCCGCACCTCAAAAACAACAACTCTCACAGTCCAAGGATGATTTAGGCAGGCATTTGCGATCCGCATCCCCAGCTGTAAAGAGGCCGGCGTCTGACATGGGAGCCCAAGAGCGGGAGACGTATCCAAGTGACGTGGAGATGGACGACAATCAATCTACCGGGTTCACGCCCGTCACCACGGACACGGCGTCGACCACAGACTCAAAAGCAAAACAACAAGATACGGGACTGAGACATCTTGACAAGTCAGCCCTTGCGCATAAGAGTGATCCAAGAGCGGTGCAGCAGTCTGCGTCCGACAACAGTGGCAGTTCGACCTCCGACTCCCTCATTCCAAGTTCGTCGAACCAGTCCACTGCGGCAACGTCTTTAAACACCGACATGGCCCCTACTGCGACCTCGATCCCTCTCATAGACGACCAAATCGCGAAGGTCACACAAATTGTGGAAGCAGAACTGCGCGAGGGCGAAAAGGGCTTCTTGCTATCAAAAAAATGGTTTCAAAGAGTGCAAGCCCGTGCTTCGCATGGCAAAGAGAATGGGAAAATGGAGAAGGCTGCCACCGAAGGCGAGGTTGGCCCTGTGGACTGCTCGGATCTTGCAATGGTGATTGAGGAGTCCAACCGACTTCTCGACGAAGCAGGAGAACCATATGTTCCACTCCGACCCGGCCTTATGATCACCGAGGATTTCATAGTGGCGCCTCAAGAAGCGTGGGATTTGGTTATATCTTGGTACGGCCTGGCGAAGGACTCTCCGGTGATCACCAGGTACGCGCATAATGAAAGCATGCCGGACTCTGCCCCCCATGTGATCTGGGAGTTGTCTCCTCCAATATTCTCCTTTCTCAAAATTCCGGCCGAGCATACACCAAGAACTCAACGTGAAAAGGACCTTTCACCACAACGTATGCTCGCATCGAAAAACACACCCTTCATGGAGTGGTTGAAGAAGGGGAAGGAGTTGGTCCGTATTGATATGAAAACCAAAGTACGAGTATGGAAGATACTGGGCGGTTTGAAGAGTACAAGTGCTTCAGGTATCCTGACACCCGCTGCTTCCAGGAGTGCATCTCCCGCACCAGGAGCAGAACTCGTTGCTAGTGCGGGCGACAGAATGCTTCTCGACGTCAATACCTTTGCTCATCTCACTGACGGTGAGCAACGTGAGCTCCTCAACCAAGCAGATCTTACCGCAGATGCTAAGTACAACGGGAAGTCTACCCTTGGGTTTCTCGGGCTTGGACGAGACGAAGTGATTGTCTTGGAAGAACAGAAACCCGGCAAAGACGAATGGCCTAGCGAGAGTACAAAACTCAGTCTAGGCAGGGGACTCAAGAATACCGCGAAGAACCTCACTCCAAGTGGCAGATCCAGCCCGGCTCCTGGTATGATGACCCGAGGACGACAAAAGAGAGACGGAAGACCGCGCGGTATCACTGGATTGAGCAATCTCGGGAACACCTGCTACATGAACTCAGCCCTGCAATGCATACGGAGCGTTGAAGAATTGAGCCAATACTTCCTTCATGACCAGTGGAAGAGGGACCTTAATGTGGACAACCCCCTCGGCCATCATGGAGAAGTTGCCAGAGCATATGCTGGTCTGGTCCATCAGATCTACGATGAGAATGCAAGTTCTACGAATCCTAGCAGATTCAAGGCTGTTATCGGTAAATATGGGTCCAGTTTCTCGGGCTACCAGCAGCAAGATTCACAAGAGTTCCTACTCTTCCTCCTTGACGGTCTTCAAGAAGATCTCAATCGCATCCATAAGAAGCCTTACATTGAAAAGCCTGATTCAACCGACGAGATGGTGCAAGATACGGCCGCGCTCAAGGCTTTTGCCGACAAGTGCTGGGACATCTATACAGCGAGGAATGACTCCGTCATTACAGATCTGTTTGCTGGGATGTACAAGTCAACATTGACCTGTCCTGTATGCCAGAAAGTGAGCATCATTTTTGACCCGTTCAATAACCTCACTCTGCAGCTGCCAATTGAGAACAATTGGCAGAAAGAGGTCTTATACTTTCCACTTCACAAACGTCCCATCAGGATCGATGTGGATATTGACAAACACTCGAGTATCAAAGCGCTGAAAGAATTTGTTGCCACAAGGACGCATGCAGATGTGACACGAATGCTGGTCGCAGAGTCTTACAAGAACAAGATCTACAAAATATTCGACAACAACACCATCATTTCAGAAGCCAACATCCAAAGCGGGGACGTCATATGCGTCTATGAGCTGGAAGATGTTCCTACCAACTACAATCCTGATAAGAACAAGAAGTTTTCTCTCTACACGCTTAGCCGTGATGCAGAGGACGAGTTGGTGGAAGCAGACAGTCCGGAAGCAGACCGCCTGCTGGTGCCGCTGTACAATAGATTGGTAAAGAGTCCGGGTTCCAGAGTATCCTCGAAACCATTCTTCGGTCAACCAACTTATCTTGTTCTCAGCCGCGAAGATAGAGCAACGTATGACGGTCTTCTGAAGAAGATTCTTGAGAAAATTGCTCCTATGACGACGAAGAACATATTTGAAGGCGATAAAGGTGCATTCGAAGACGGTGTACCCACGCCTGAAGAGTCTGACTCTGTGATAATGACGGATGACATGTCAAGCTCTGGGTCGAATCTACCTGTTGCTTCGTCTGTACAAGGAGAAGATGGACTGGTGGACGTTTCTATGCGCGATGTCAGTCAGGCTCCCGAGACGAATTCTCAATCACCAGATGCACAGAGCTCGACGATCCCTCGCCAGCTTCGACAGCTATTCACCGTTCATGTGACAGCTACGGGTGAAGGTATTCCCACTGGCTGGAACCAGATCTCCGAATCACAAGAGTACGATCTTATCGATACACGTATTCCGAAACCTGTCTCGCGTCATGCCAAGTCGAACTCATCCTCCGCGTTGGGCAATGGAGACAATGGCTCTATGACTAGCGAAGATGAGCTTGCGGATAGCGAACACGATGACACTGCTCCCGACAGCAACGATTCGGGCTCCGACTCGAACTTCAGCCCCATCCCACCTGCGGGGCAAGACTCGGATTCTGAGCTGCCCCCCTTACATGATTTCAAGTCTCGAAACCCCAAATCGAAGAAGGCTCAAAGACAGTCGAGGAGGGGCAAAAAGTTCGGGAAGCGCATTCCACGGCGGACACCGCCGCCCCCGCCACAACCACTGCCCAAGTCTACTGGGAAAGAATTGATTCGACCAGGTGAAGCTATTGTGCTAGACTGGAATCTGGATGCGCATGACGCATTGTTCGCAGGGACGGAGGAGGACGAAGACGAGATGCGTGGGGCCCCCACGTGGAAGAGCGTAGAGCTCCTTCACGATGAGGAATTGGTGGCAAAACGTGCCCAGCGGTCAAGTCGCAAGAAGAACGGTATCACGCTGGAAGACTGCCTGAATGAGTATGGCAAATCCGAGACATTGTCTGAACAAAACGCATGGTACTGTCCCCGATGCAAGGAACACCGTCGTGCTGAGAAGACGTTTGAGTTGTGGAAAGCCCCAGATATCCTGGTTATGCACCTGAAGCGCTTCAGCTCCAACCGAAATTTCCGCGACAAGCTGGAGGTCAAGGTCGAGTATCCCGTCGAAGGGCTCGACCTTTCTAGTATGGTCCGAGATCAACAAGACGGGAAGAGCTTGATTTATGACCTGGTCGCGGTGGACAACCACTACGGTGGCTTGGGAGGGGGCCACTATACGGCTTACGCGAAGAATTTTTTCAACAACGGTTGGTACGAGTATAACGGTAAGCACAATGACCTCGTTTCGTTGACTTTGCTCTAATTACCCCACTAGATTCGCACGTTTCAGCCAAACAAGACTCGCGGTCGGTTGTCACTAGTGCTGCATACCTTCTGTTCTATCGCCGACGGTCGGAACACCCTTTAGGGGGCGAGAAATTACAGGAATTGTTGGAAGCCAGCAACGATGCAGAAGCCGACTCTGAGGCGCCCCGCGGCTCACGCGAGCCATCACCAGTGGCGGGGGAAGGTCGGCGTCTCGGCGACTCCTCCCACTCTGGGTTGTCGAGCGCTTTCGTAGTCGGTCCAGGTCACCGCGTGGGAGTGGGTGGCTCGGCAATGGAGGAAGAACACCAGGATCAAGATCTACTAGCCGGCAACGAAAGTCCGCAGAACTTGACCGTGTCAGCAATGCAGGCGGATGATATCCTGCCGCCATATGACGAAGAAGACGAAGGAGTGTCGCTGGAATCGCCAGGCCGAGTCAACACATTTGAGGCTAGCTGGGGTTTTAATCGACTCACTCAGCGTGCCCCGGCACCATCAGAGGACGGCATGTTTGGCGACAAAGGCAGTTCGAATGACAGTACGAGGGTAGAGGGTCTGGCAGGAAGTCCTGCAAGGAGTTCGCTGGCGGAGGAAGGAGATCTCGTGTACAGTGAGGCGGTAGAGCCTGGGGATGATTATGCCCCTCGTGGGCTGCGGGAGAGTGCGCCACCTCCAGAGGTTCCTGGGATGGAGATGGATTACGATGATGACGACCCTCCTGTTGTGGAACTCAAAGCTGATCCAGCAAACAACGATGAACTCACATTTCATCCGGCAAAGAAATGATGTGGTGGCTCTTTGGGCTTGGTCGCATTTGGGGCCAGGCAGCATGGTCTGAGGGCGTTGTTTGGTTTGAACACGGAAGATGAGGATGGCTGCCACTTGTCCGTGGTCAATGACGAGCCTTATTGTATTGACGAGCATTGGATGGGAGCCAGATCCTTATTGTCGGTGTCTCAGGGCATGATATGCGCTGTATTAAGTTCATGCTTGCATCAATAGAGCTCAGCATGATAGACTGACAGCATAGGCCCCACTGCGAAGTACTCCGTGTAGATAGCGAATAAACTTCAAAACATGAGGTGGAATTGGAGAGGCAGCGCAGGCCAGGTTAGGCTTGGCGCCGTGTTTGTCGCGTTTGCGGCCTTCACTTTTGAACGAGAAGCGTGTTGGTTTCGATACGTCTCCTCAATTTGACTGACGGAACCTTTCGGAGTGATTGATGCTTACCTGAGTCTCTTTGTTGTTTGGGGAGTCTGCAGGCGCCATGGCGACAGCCTTGACATCGAGAGACGAGCCCAAAGCGGCCGAATATGCTGGAGGTATGAAGTTTCCCATCGTGACAATGCGCCGACGGCCCTGGCAGCGTGCTGGTGCTGCAAGACCTCAAGCTAACACAACGTGTACACAGATGAAGTTTCTGCGCTGGTGCTCGACCCTGGCTTTTCCAGTGTGCGCGCCGGCTTTGCAGGAGAAGACACACCCAAATCGATAGTCCCTACATTCTACGCATCTACCGGATCGCAACGCTTATTCGGGGACCATGTCATCGATGTGCCGCGGGAAGGAGTTGAGATTAAGAATCCTATGAACAAAGATGGCATAGTGGAGGACTGGGATGCGGCGGAGGCGCTGTGGAAATTCTCATTCGCACACAAACTCACAGGCGTCCGACCGAATCGCGCTCTACAAGAGTGGCTCAACGAGCCGAAATCGGTGCCAGATCTACAAAAAGCCATGGCCGATGCCGTGGACACGGAACGATGTCTGGAGGACCACCCCTTGTTCATGACGGAGCCGTCGTGGAACTCAGCTAAGGCTCGGGAAAAGTGTGCGGAAATCGCGCTCGAATCGTGGGCCGCGCCAGCGTTCTATCTGGGCCGAACGGGCGTGATGGGCGCTTTCGCTGCGGGCAAACCTACGGCGCTGGTGATGGATTTTGGAGCCACGCAGGTCTCTGTGACGCCGGTGCACGACGGGATGATTTTGAAAAAGGGCGTAACGAGGGCGAATATTGGTGGAAACTACTTGTCGAGCCAGGTGCGGAGTATGCTTGCGAGCAACGAGTCTGGAGCCATCAATATCACGCCACATTACCTTGTGCAAGCGAAGCAGCCGGTCGACGCGGGACAGTCGGCGAATGCGATCTTGAAGACGTTTCCCGAGGGGTTCAAGGCGCCAGATGCGAGCTTTCGACGATACCAGGAGGCGAAAGTGGTGCTGGAGTTCAAAGAGATTGCGCTGCAGGCATGGACGAACCCAAATACCCCATTTCGAGGACAAGGAGAAGCACTGGCGCGGGAGCAACAGTTTGCGCAACCGTTTGAGTTCCCGGACGGATATAATCAGACGTTCTCTGCGGAGCGGTTTAGGGTCGTGGAGAGCATGTTCGACGGGCAGTGTTATTACGATGGCGGAGACGACACGTACCCGGCGCCGGATGCTCAGCAGACGGTTCCCGGATTGGTCAAGGCGTCGTTGAGTCAGGTGGATGTTGATATTCGACCGTTTTTGCTGGGAAATGTGGTGATTACGGGGTCAGGGTCACTGATTCGTGGACTGCCGGAGCGGATACAACAGGAACTCAGCAAGATGTATCCGAGTGCGCGGGTGAGGATTCAAGCTTCGGGCATGCCGGTGGAACGGAAGTTTGGGAGCTGGATTGGAGGGAGCATCGTGGCCAGTCTGGGGACGTTTCACCAGATGTGGATATCGAAGAAGGAGTACGAAGAGCATGGGCCGAGCATTGTTGAGAAGCGGTGCAAGTGAACGGAACTCATGGGTTGGGCGTGTGGTGTTTTTGTTTTTGGTACGGCGGGTAGCATTAAAGGGTAAACTGCATGGCGGGATCACAAAACAAGGCTGCTCACGTCGAAGATCAAGAATGCGATCATTTCTGGGGTCTGGGGTGATCTACTACTGTATGGCATCCGTGGTATTGCCTGGGAACCAGACACAGGGTCTGAAAAACGGAGAGAATGCAATGCATACCGAAGATACAGGTCCGGTGGCCTTGCATTAGACTAGGGATCACAGCACATCGTATTCTATTGTCCCTTGTAACATTTATGAGGGGATTGTGGGCAGCGGTGAGAAAGACATGGACATGGATACGCGTAACATCGTTAGTTATCGATCATCGACATGGATGCGCATTGGAGTGTGGTGGAAGAGGGAATCCATTGGCCGACGGTAACATGCAAGTAGCATGGGCAGTGCATGAGTTTACCAACACCTGAAGCATTCTCCTCATTTTCATGCAAGCCACAATGAGATCCAGAACATGGTGCTTGGTAGGTGAACCAGAGTGCTGGGTCAGTGATGGGAGGAAGTACAGAGTAGTACGAGTAATCCTTGTGAAACACACTGCACTGGCAAGTCTGTTTTCTGACATCTGCTTATTTCTTTCTTAGCATCGACACTGGTGCATTTTCCCATTTGTTCTCGCTTGGGTTTGTTCTTCCACATTCATCCACATTTCCTTCTACCACAGCAAGTGGTGTTTCCCCCACCACACATGCACTGCACCTGTCAATCCTTTTCCACTATGCAGTAGTTCGGTTCAGTTCCAGTCCTTCGGTTACTGTACGACACGCTAGATATTGTGTACCTACCTACTGTGGTTATTCCTCTTCTGGTTACAACTCCTCCTTGTCCAATGCACATGATACCACTTGACAATCCATCTATCTCACTCTCTGTTTTAGCCCTGCATTGGAAACCCCTCTTCTGCCTCACTCCGACGTCTTTACCGAAAGCACGGTTCAGGACCAGGTTCACATACAAGTATACCGCCGATCCCATCCAACCTCGTACAGTACTGTGCCTTTGTTGTCTTTTATGCCGACATTTCTCCATCCTCCTTCGCCACCTTCACAAACTTTTTTCAAAAGGACATCTCATGATCGATCCTCATCCCTTAAAAGGTCAATGCGGACTTGTAAAGCTTGTCGCCACCACAAACTCTAGCATTGCAAACTTCCTGTCATCGAACAACGCCAAAGTCTAAACCCACCCCTCCACTCGTGCCACTCACCCACTACCGGATTCGTGCCTCGGGTGGCAGCCCTGTCAGTCCTTTCCGTCGGTATCTCCATCGAGATGGGAAATTGTTGAAAAAAGTCGCTCAGACAAAAAGACATGTCTGGCTCAGGTTCTCCCTCCGAACCTCCTCCGCCCATCATATCCCAGACAATGGACTCACCCATGGTCCCAGATTCAGCCTCGAGTGGCTCGTCCAAAGACATCGACAGTTACGACACTCGTTCATTAACCGACAGCATAACCGACTATCCAATGTACTGGGGTCGACGGTACCACCGCTACAAACAAGACAGCTATCTGTTTCCTAACGACGAAAGCGAGACGTCTCGTCTCGATGCTCAGCACGAAATCCTCAACAGGCTGCATGCCCGTTTATACTTTTCCCCTTTAGATCCAGACATTGTCCGAACAGTCCTCGACCTGGGCACCGGCACCGGCACATGGCCCATTGAACTCGCCGACTCCAATACTCTTCCAAATGCCACCATCACCGGCACCGACCTGTCGGCGGTCCAACCACTAGACGTCCCCAGTAACGTCCACTTTGAAATCCAAGACTGTGCCGAGGACGACTGGGTCCGACCGCTCGGCAGCGTCGACTACTGCCACGTCCGCTTCCTCGCTGGCTCGCTGATCTCGTACAAGGACATGATCCAGACGGCTCGGCAATATCTCCAGCCCGGAACAGGATGGTTGGAATGTCAGGAACTCCACCCATCACCTGTATCAGACGACGACACCATCCCCGAAAACTGGCCGCTCAAGACATGGGATGAGAACCTCGAGTACGCATCCAACGAGTGTCTCGATCCGCCGCGCCCGGTACGTATCGCGCCGGAAATCAAGACCTGGATGGAAGAGGCCGGATACGTGGATATTCACGAGCATATCTGCAAAATCCCTCTCGGTCCCTGGCCCAGGGATAAACGACTAAAAATGATCGGTGGGTGGTGGATGAACAATTGGATCTCCGGCTTGCCTGGATTCACGTATAAACTGTTCGGTCCCTACGGGTTGCAGTGGACCCGAGAGGAGATCGAGGTCATGCTGGCTGAAGTCCGCAAAGCCGCGACCATGAAGGAAGTCCATTCGTATCAAAAGTATTATGTGATTTATGGACGAAGGCCGTCTAAAGAAGAAGAGAACGAGGATCAGAGGTCATGGCATGGACACGGGTGAGACGACGGCTCTTGTTTGATGTATTCAACACGAATGATACGACATAACGAGCCTTTGCAGGCGGCCTTTGAGGGGCACCGCACGCTACTTCTACGTTTGTGGTGGTAAAGAACGAGCGCGGAGGGCTCGCCCACAGGTAGTGGCTCCGGTCTACGGAGCCGCAGAACATCCTGCGCAACGCTAACCAGGGTCCTTGGGAGGCCACTTTGAGCTTCTACAACATGAAGTGCGACGCTCAGAAGTGAGACCAACCACCATCGACCGCACGAATACGCCAATGAAGAACAGAGCACCTCGGACGGACGGTGGACGCATGGTTCTTGACGAACTTTCACTTTTCAAAAGGCATTTACGAAGTTACGACGGCACGACCGATTTCGAAAGACCAGATGAATGACAGATGTACACAGTAGTCGCATTCGCAGCGTTGATGTGGGATGACAGAGAGAACTGGGAAGACAACGGACCATAAGGAGGTCGGAACATCGATACAGACGAAGGGTATGGATGGGACCTTACACTTCATTCGGTGGTGTTGTTGTTCGACTTGTTATCTTCTGTGAGTAGAGCAGAGCAGACGTGGACATGCCCAGGGAGAGGCCATTTGTATAGGCAGACTCCTGTGATGTTTCAAACCGCTCATGAAGCCGAGATTACCACATGGAAAGCCAGCTCCAGATTCGTACTGAGATGGGACAAATTCTTGAACTTCGAACCACATTTCCAAGAGATAGATCGGATCTCGACTTCAACCTGCCTTATTAGAGGAAGAGGTGTCTTGAACAAGGTCACACGTCCAAGTCTTGATGGGAACAATTACAATTACATTCCTCTACATGCAAACCACTCTACGCACCACAGTGGTTCATGGTCTCTCTATCTCCCCTATTATCTAGCTCCGAGTCTTTCCGTCTCTTCAGCGAAAGAAGGTGTCGAGACCCATGTATTGGGACTACTGCAAACAGCAGCGTCTCGTACTCAACCAACCTTCCCTCCCCGATATCCATTGTCCCAGCCTTGCCCAATTGTTCCGGCCCCCACATGTCTTTATCCCATCCCAAGTCAATTGTACAATTCGGCAGAGTTCCCGACCATCAAGTCGTCAAGATACGCCACAGCGCCATGCAATAGCGCTTAAACAAGAAACATAGAATTCCCGCCCAAGTATTAATAGCTGAGACGCCAACAGATACATACAGCCGAAACATCCTCGATTTGCGGTGAGAGGAAGGTCGTTGATATCGTTTGGCCGAACCCAAATATCCTCCTTTTCCATGGAAAGAGCGTGGCCGTCCAGTTCGTAAAATCATCATGGGTATCATTGGCATCATTTCATTTCTCCTTCTCCTCCAACTGCATCGCTCTATTGATTATCTCACACTCGCGGGACACTCGGATTGGAGCCCATATGCCCGAAAAGAGCTTCCGGTGGCACTCGGTTGATGTTCGAATGTTTGTCCGCATAAGGCACGCTCGGGACGGTTTTGTAACCCGCCCGACGTCGTTGGATGCGGTTGAGGATGATGCCGATTAGTATCAAAAGGAAGATCGTGCCCAGTGCTGCACAAAGAGCAACGAGTACGGCGATGCCTTTCGAATGCCGGAAATGATCTGGGAAAAGTTAGTCTTGCCAAACAAAGCGTCCTTGAAGCACTCACTACTTGATTTGAGAGTGTTGGTGTTAGATGTGAACACTTGGCTGATACTTCCAGCATCTCCGTTGGAGGTTGCTAAAAGCAGAGGTGCCATTGCCGTTCCATTGTAAATCGCTGCGGCCACGTCACCAAAGCCCGTGATGTTTAGCTGTCCAGTGACCAGTAAGGCTTGCTGGTTGTTGAGCAGTGGTGTTGAACTGTGACTTTTCGTCAAAGACATGACCTGTAGTCCCTCGATAGTAGTGCCAGTGCCGAGCACATCCACAACTGGTCGCACATTGCTTCCGTCAATTTCAATCAGGAAAGTCGAGCCATTGGTAGCTGTACCTGCCACCCACATATGATCTGCGTTACTTGTCGCAGGCGCGAAAGCTGTAATAGGCCCAGGCACGCCGGCATTGCCAGTCGCCGTCCACGTCTGGGTTTTTGTATTGTAGGTCGCCATAGTGGTCGAGTTGGTTCCGATAGTAAGGTTACCGGTGGCCAGGAGGGTTGTACTGGAAGTCCAGAAGAGGTACGAGACTGTGCCATCCAAACCGGTCCCTACTGTGTTCCATTGACTTGTGGCAGTGTCATACATACACACAGCAGGACAAGAAAGACCCTGCGAAGTCTGGTCGAAAGCACCGCCAACATAAACACCTGAGCCACCAGATTGTGGAACAATTGCATTGACCAGAACATCAGATCCCTGAAGGGAGGCCGGCTGGACTCCGCGATATGCAGCAATGCTCATGTCGTACAAGACCAAGCCCTGAACGTCGGCATTATTGATCTGACCAGAAATTCGACCACCAATGAACAAAAGATTGCCTGAAACAGTAAGAGCGGTAACACTTGAGTTCGTGTCGAGTCCGGACGGAGCCCCTGCCACATTATTGTTGTTGGAGGCATTCCAGAACATGAGATTTTCGATTGTAGATCCATTTGTTCCGGTGGCGGTGAAGTGACCTCCAAAGATGGTTACGTTTTGTGAACCTTGAGTATAGTATCCCACACTCGAGATACCAGTGACATTCTGTGTCTGAGTTACAGCTCGCTTCTTGGAGCTGCTGCTGCTGGAAGAACTGCTTGAAGTAATGTCAATGGGCAATTGCTGAAGTTGTATCTGATTGGATTGCGATCGCATGCCAGCGGCTCCGCTAATGGCCAACCCCTGAGAGCTCATGCTTCCAGCTCCGAGCCAAGTGTTGTTCGGGAGAAAGGTTGCAGCAAAAAGTTGTCCTTCGAGGGACTGCTGTTGAATGCTGAGCGTTTCGAGCCAGGCCTTCTTCGATGGGACCCAGATAGCCAAACCCTTCGCAGTTGTTGCCGAAGTCGATCCAGAAGCTTGGATCTGATCGAATGAACCACTGAAGGCTATCACGGTCTCTGCGCTGGAGCCGGAAACGTTGACCTGCATTGGGACAACTGCTTCAACGGGACCATTCAAGCCATCACCCAGTGCAACCCAAGCATTCTGCGAGTATTGATATGCTGCAATGTTGTTCAGGCCGTCCACACCTCCTGAGCTGGTATTTGTAAAATTACCCCCGACATACAAGAAATCGCCCAGGCTATACATGGCTGCTACAGCGGCATTCAATCCACCATCAGGTAGAGAAACCGTGTTGTTGTCATTGAACGCCATGATGTTTTCGAACACACTGTCAGAGAAACGACCTCCGACATATATGGTGTCATTATGGGTCGTGAGAGCCAACATCTGGGCGCCTGCGTCCAGCTTCGTGCCAGCACTGTTAATAGCAGATGTCGAAAAATCCGTGGTGACGAAGTCGCTGGTCGGGTCATAATCAAATAAGCCATTCAAACCTCCAGTGGTTGAAATGAACCCGAATTGTATGCGGGACGCGACGACAAGTTGATCGTTCTGCAGGCCTGATGGTGTGAGTGTCACTGACGGTCGGAAAGCTGTACTGGCGGCGTCGATTTTGCCTTGATACACTTGATCATATTTGTCGAAATTGTTGGTCTGGTAGATCAAGGTGCTGAACGTTTGTTCCCCATCACTTGTCAGGGTGCCAGAGACGTTAACAATAGCACGCGCCGAGCAAGAGCTGTCTTGTATACAACCGGGAGTGTAGACAATGACGGAGTAGTTGCCGCTCCCCTGAACATCTGGTTGAAAGATGACCGAGGTGGTATTCACGGTGGTTGGTCCGACCACAGCAGTGAGATAGTCTGAGACACTCGAGCCCGATGAAGTTTGATACCACGGACCGGTAGCAGTCGATTGTGATCGGAGGCTGGAAGTCGCGTCGCAGCTCGGCTCATTGAACGCTTCAATAGCATACGAGAAGATCTCGCTTTCGAATATCTCAACGCCAGCCATTCCTGCACCATCGCCGTACCAGTCCGAGACGTCGATGGTGAAGCTGTTCATGCCCACCAGGTTGACGAACTCAAAGTCTTGGTATGGTGTTGAGCCATTTTGCGCCAGTGGGCAAGTAGCATCACAATGCGCAGTATCACCCGTGGCAGGGTCCGTGTAGGTAAAATTCATGATTCCATCAATCGGATGAGCTGTGAAACGCCAGGTCTTTGTGCCTCGGCCATCGGTGTTTGCGTTCCAGAGTCGTAGCTTCGTTGGTTGAAAGCCAAAGCCAAAGGCAGCAGTCCACGAACCTGCGGTGTCGTCGGCGAACAGGAAGGTTGTGTTGGCGGTTGAGCTATTTGAGGGACAGACGACATTATATGGGTCCCCAAGGCCAGCTGCTGTTGTGTTGCCCACAGAAGTGATATTGGCGTTGGACAGATTGATGACTTGGATCTGCTCACTTGTCAAAGAATTGGTCGACGACACATTACCCAGGCCCGTAAAGGAACCACCAAAGACGATATGCCCATTGGGTGCTTTGGTTATTGAGTCGACTGGAGCATCGAAACCAGCGAATGGCAAGCTTGACCAGTTTCCAGATTTCCACGCAATGGCGTTGCTCGAAGTGCCTGCCTCAAAAGCACCTCCAACATACACCGTCCCTGTGGAATTATCGCAATAGAGTGCCGAAACTGTTCCTTGGATTCCAGTCATAGCCTCCACCTGCAGGGTAGTAGTGTTCAACAAGGCGGCTGATCTTGCCGCAACACCACCAATACTTGTAAAGTTTCCTCCAACAACTATGCCTGATAACGAGCCGTCCTTCAGCACTAGCGGGCACATGGCCTCAATGCTGGCATCGGTGGAGGCCAGGATGCCAAATGCGCCGCTGGATAGTTGTGATAACACCGACTGCGATCCATTGTTGCTGTAACTTTCCGATTGTGACTGATCTAAATAGACTTGAATGGCGTCGAAGTTGCCCGCAACAGTGACCTCACCGAGGGAGGAGAGATCGAGATTAGGCGAAGGAACTGTCTGGCACACTCCTTGCGTAGCTAGCAATAATAAGGCGGCCGACGCCTGAGGGCCGAACCGCGACAACAGATGCATCTGTTCGTTGCGTCTGCGCCGCAGCGACCGACGAGAGCTGTGTGTGTTATCGCCTCGATGTATCTAGAGACATGTGTAATGGACAGTGTCTTTTTTTCCTCCTACTTGTGACCTTCTAAAACTGGGTATCGACGTCGGGGTTTCGTTTCGCGGTGGGAATCTTAGAGCTGGTCAAGATGACGGACACGCGCGTGCAGGAATACCTTCCGAGGCAGGGATCCTTTGAAACCGTACGGGTAGCGGAGTAGTAAGTCGGATATGCTCCCAGGTAGCAGTGGTGAGGTTGAGTTGCGTTGAATGTGTGAGTGAAGCGAGGACGACAGACGACGGGACGGAAAGAGCGACAGTCGTGAATTGACGGATTGGGATCTTCGGGAGGAGGCTTGAAGATCGGTTACTCTATTCAACTCGCAAAGTGACGAAAAGGAAGAAAGCGTAGGTGTGTATGAGCGTGTGTGGCTTGCATGAGAGAGGAAGTGCGTGTCGCTGTGACTCGCTGGAAGGAAAACAAGCCAGGCCACACAACACGATGCGAAGGCACGGAAGATGAAAGCTAAACGGGTTTAGGACTGGGGCGGGCGAGAGATGCATGGTGTGCCTGAGAGGATTCTCTTTTAGAGGCTAGAGCCCTGGCCTAGAGGGGGCTTCTGGTCAGTCCAAGTCCGTAAAGTGGTTGCTCCCCCAGTCGCTGCCGCAGTCCAGTCAAGCAACGCAATCTTGCAGCTGCTCTTATTACCCACTTTCAGGTGCCACCAATCACCCGCTTAACATCAGGCATTCTTCCACCACAAAGTCCGATCGACTGGACAACGAACGGTCAAGAGAACATTCTGCGAATTCGCCACTGTTACATTACAATTTATTCTTTTACGAGAGCATCAAGCCATCTTTGAGGGTTATCTAGGAAATATACATGGTGTATGGCGGTAACAACACCACCCACAGAACCGCCATTCTACTTGTACTCAATTAAACTCTGCCTCTCTGACACTGCTTGATGCAATTTCCCGCTTAGGAGTTCGAACCCGCTACGGTGGCTGGGTGTCGGGTTGAAGCCAACTTGAACTTAACTTGGCTTGTCGAAGAGGTTCAATGACTGCATGACCGAAATGTACCATGACAAGTCTACAATACTACAACAGTACAACCGAAAATGTCTCTCGGTTCTCTGTTGGCAACAATGTTGTTTATGGTAACAATAACTTATGCTTTGAATCAAGACCAGATGCCTGTATGTTGACATCATAACAACATCACCCCAATCCAGCCTCCCCAGTCTTTTTATTATGGTACATCGCGATTTACAAGTAAGCATGTATACCTGCTGGTGAACATTTCTTCATCACTCCGCTCTATCAAACATGACATATTTCGAAACCCTCAAGCCTCAGGGGCATGCGATCTCTCTCGAAGATGAGGGCACGTCTCGATGCAATACTGACACATGTCGCCCGCCATCATCATCGATCTGCGACACGTGACGCTTGAAACGCGGTCAAGTGAGAATGACGCAAACTCGACTTTTTTAACGCGGTTCCATCCTCGTGTTCGGCCTTTATCCGTAGTATCTATCATTCCTTGTCTGTTTTGGCACATTCAAATACGAGGTACCCTCATCCTGAACATAAATGTTTCATCTACCTCGGGTACGTCTCCTCCGTTTCACCCTCTCACTGCTGTTCATCGCCACTTCTTCCATCTGAACCAAAGTCTTGGGCTCGATCTCATCCCTCTCCCGCTTGATTGCAACCCGCTGCACCGTCTTTTTCCGATCAATCCTAACCCTAGCCTCATCTGCATCTTTCTTTTGTTCGACTTCTTCTTCTTCTTTCTTAACGATTGTTTCGACCTTTGTTGTCAATCGCTCAGCAAACGTCCTCAGATCAGCCGTGAAGAGAACACTGTGCGCCCATCCAGCCTCCTTCCCCCAGAGTTTCCGGAAATGGTTGGCCACGGCATCATACGTAGTTTTGGTCAAGCTGCTGTGCTTGCCTTTTCCGAACTTGTAGTCGCGCTGCGCAATCTGCCAGACATGCGTGTCAACAGGGACAGCCTCTCCCCAGCCCAAGCCCATCAAGCACACGCAGTCCGCCACTTTAGGTCCAACACCCTGTAGGCTGAGAAGCTTTTCATGAGCTTCTCGATACCCATCTCGTCCCTCAGGTTTCATATCACCCGCGACTGAGGCTTTTTGACCGTACACCGGACTCTCAGGGTTGCGCAGGCCGTCCAACCATCCCTGTTCATGTTCTTCAGCGACCATTTTCGCCGTCTGAGCAATGTATTTCGCTCGGTAGCCGAATCCCAAGTCCCTCAGATGCGCTTCCACGTTCTTGCCCGTCAAAGCGGCAGGCTCGGGGAAATCGTGGTAGGGACGGCCGTCCAGCGTGGCAATGTATGCGCCGTAGTGCGTACATAGCTTGTCCACCATCTGCGATATGCGAATGATATTGTTGTTGCTACTGCAGATGAAGCCCACCAGCGCTTCCCATGCATCTTGCCGTAAAATTCGGACGCCCGTAAACTTGGGCGCCTTCTTCTTGAAATTCGGGTCCGCGGCTGACCATTGTGCATAAAGACTTTCAAGATTGGGTTCGAGGTTCAGGTAGTGTTGGAGCAGGCTTTTGGTGTCGTCGCTTTCATCTGCTTCGTCGACAGTCGGTGGAATGGAGGATGGAGGCGTCAAGGGTGCTTCGGGGACAGCAGCAGGCCATATCGACCGATACTTGATCTGGGATTGATCTTGCGACAGTTGTACAATGCGGCCTCGAAGTGTACATGCCCACGTCTGATCCTCGCATTGCCGCCATCGAAAGGATTGGCCACATCGCAATGTTGTTGCGAGGCACAGTTCGTTCAACGATATGGGCAACTTGCGCCATTCAGTCATCTTGGGCATGTTCCTCCTCAGTTCAGGTGCTATCCGGCTCCGCATGCGAAAGACTCTCGAAGGTGTAGTTTTGAGAGACGGTCCCACCCGTGAAGGCGCTTAAAGTGGCCCGTGCAATTTTCCCCAATACGCGCCACGGGTGAGGAATTTACGCGTCAAGATGGTCATGATCGGCGGCCTAGTGACCCTCCCCAGATCTATAGTGAAGGCCGTCAAGGCCTAGCCCGTATGCCCATTCGAGTGCTTTAGATGGAAATATAACATGCAGCATTACTTCAGCTTGTATTCAGTGAGTCCACCTCCGCATCACCTCAGAGCTCTTCTCGTTTCTCAGTGGACGGCTTTCCAAAAGTCGTCGCAGCATCCCTTCCAATGACCCTCGCATCTCCATGGACCACAACGTTGTCATCGAGGATCGAGTTGCCGAAAACCAGATACTCATATCTGCCTTTCAGTAACCAATAAACTCCGCCAAAAAGTACCACTCCACCAAGAATGGCGATGGCCCAATTCATGTTGGCGAGATCCCCGACCACGGGCACATACTGTGGGAAGATGTAGAACAGAAGGACAATAACACTCCAAAGCAGTGAGAGAATATTGACCGTGTAACCCCAGCGACCGAGGTCGAAGTGTGGACGCGGAGGGAGGTGTTTCCGACCCCTGAGAACGACGCACAGGATCGGGACGCAGTATGAGACTTGCAGTGCGACTCCGCCGCCCGAAATGATGGCGTAAAAGGCCAGATCACTGCCCAAGACCAGTAATCCCACGAGCAAGTTGATCACGATAACGGCCATCATCGCTCGAAGAGGCATCGTGAAGCGCCTGCTGACATGGGCGAAGTAATTCGAGAAAGGGAACGCCCGGTCGCGTGCCATTGACCAAGCTAGACGAGAGCCGGCGGTGTTCATGTTCACAATAATGAGATACTGAGACGTAATCAGCTCCATCCTCTAGCCCGGGTTGTTCTTACTCACATTCAAGCCCATCATCATTACTGCGCACCAGATGCCTCCGCCGTAAGTTGAATCCAGTGCATCCATGAACCATTCCTGAATCATAGTCAGCGAAGTCACGCCAACATTGACTAACACGAGCCTTACCACGTATGATGAAGTGGCCTCAAGATAGTCCTCCCATTTTGGTCCTACTGTGAAGCACATGACGATGGCCGAAAGCCAAGCTGTAATTCCAGCCCATACCATTGACCACACCATGACACGCTGTGCACCATAAGCACCACCCAATCAAATGTGAAGAGTAACTTACAGGGGCGTCACGAGAAGCATTCTTCATCTCTTCAACAACTACATCGGGGATTAGCCAGTCCATCGCCGAACATTGGGAATCGGATCCGTCTTACGATGCATCACCCCGTCCGACCCATACAGTCCGTATATGGGGACATACATGGAGAGTATGAATACCCAGCCTTTTGACGTCCAACCTGAGCTGTTGAGGAATTCTGTGAAGACGAATCTGCCACTGTTCTTCTCTGCCATCACCAAGAAGACAATTGCCCAGATCAATCCATTGGAAATGTTGAAGAAGGCGCCGAAGACCTGCAAAGCTGGAAGATATCTCGGCAGCAGATTTGAAAGGGCAGGCGCCACAAGGAAGCCGGTGTATATGAGGAAGGTCATGTAGGGCTACACAGGTCAGAAGATGTTAGAGCGGAGATCTCGCAATACCACTCACCTTCCAATCAATCTCTGGGTGAATAATTTCAACCAATGCAGCCACAATCTCTGCACTGTTCAACGCACAGCTGCTGCTTGTCGAGATCTCGCCTACCAACACACACCAGCCAACGAGATAGGATAAGAATCGTCGAGATCCTTCTGGGGCCACGACTTGGGTATAGAACTGTTGGCCTCCGGCAGTGGGCCATATCGAACAGTATTCTGCCAAAGATGACATGACAAAAAGTTGACCGATTGTTACCAGGACAGTCCCCCATACAAGACAGACAGGGCCACCTAAAGTGAAAATGTAATAGAACATGACAATGTTGCAGGACCACGAACACAGAATCGTCGTTTGATATGCCATCAAGCTCCAGAAAGTGTAGGTCCGTTTGAGCTCCGGCTTGTGGCCGAGACTGATGAGTCTACCTTCATCGTTGTTGGCGCTCACCGAGTCGTCCTTTGAGGTCTCCATCTCGCGATCACGACTCGATTCAGACATACCATCAAATAGACGTTGGTCGTAAGGCTTCAGCATAGATTAGAGGACTGCGAGATGATTCGAATGATATGGAACACACGCAGCGATCGCGGAGATTCTTGTCGGAGGATGTGTTATGGTCGAGATAGTCGTGCTGAAGTGATTATCTTCTCTCGTATTGTGGCCGAAGAGAGTTTAGCTGCGCGGGCTTATCAAGGTCGTTAACAGGGTTGCTCAAGGCCGGGCCTTTGACGACGAACTTGGCGGGACAATACGAGAAAATGATCCCGAGTAGATATGCCCCTTGGGCAATTGGAAGCCGAGAGTGCTCGACGGCCTCAATTCTGTGTTGCTGCTTGCATGGATGGGCGCTCGAACGAAAGTGTAGCGAGCTTCAAAAGCATCGTTCCGGGCCCTCAGCCAAGCGGTATGGGAAAGGTTGGTTGATCATGGTCTCGGCATCACAGAAACAGCCGAAGTCCTCGTATCCGGACACACGTCTGCCTGCTGGGTGCTGGAAGGTTGGAACCAGCAAGGCGTGAAATGATCAAATGTCGGTCGCTTAGAAGATATCGGCAAGCCTTTTTGGTAAGGTTTAATATCTCTGAATTACCCCTCCGGAGTTTCGGTTTTTCCATCACAGGCTGCTTGTGATAGAGCGCTTCATTGGTCGATAGGCTCCCTCTCTTTCAGCTGAACCCTGAATGCTAGAGCAACGTCCTGGTCGAGACCATTTTGATAAGCTCATTGTGCCTTTCCCCCATCATTTGCCAGGAACAAAACCATCCAGTGCACATCCCAGAAAGTTGGCCTGGAAAATGTGCCGCTGCAAACCACTAGCGTTGTCCGCAGTGAAACACAGGCGTTGACCTCACTATGCAAAGGGATACAACATCATGGCTGCCAACATGACGCCACTGAAGGTTGAGCCTCCAGAGGCAGATGGAGCAATACCTCCAGTACCCAGTGCCCCAGCCATTGGACCACAAGGTGAGACAAGGCTCCCATCTGTCGACAGCGTCACTTCAGCAAGCTAACTAACCAAAATACTGCCCGACATGCGTTCGGCGGCGTATTCGTTGCGATAGAGGACAACCATTTTGTGTTAAGTGTTCCAAGAAGGGTCTAACATGTCCTGGGTATGGTCCACGACTGCGGTGGGCCAACGGCATCGCCGTCCGCGGGCATCTCAAAGGTCGCACGACGCCAAACATAGAGAAGCCCATCAAATCCAGTGCCTCTGTCAAAGGCTCGACATCTCCCAGGTCTACCAGATCAGCTGAGAGTGACAGCCTAGCCAGGACACCGTCAGTGGCAGACCCACTCGAGAAGTTGTTTCCCGACCTCCCAGATGCAGCTACCAGAAGCCACCTGCTTCACCACTATGACCGGAACATCGCCGGACTCATGGTGTGGATTGATTCTGATAAGAACGAATATCGGCGTTTGGTCTTGCCGCTCGCAGAACGTCAGCCAGTGCTGCTGCTTGCAATCCTTGCCGTTTCAGCACAGCACTTGACTGGTATGACCAAGGTCGAGTCCCATTTCCCAGCACGTGCGCGGGACGCTGCTGTCAACATGATATCAACACAGATTCGACAAGTAACAAGCCGCCTTGCTGCCGGATATGACCTGGAGAAGGAGATAGACACAGACACTGCAGTTTGGATGCTGGCCTCAATGCTCACATTAGCCAACTACGAAATGGCCGAATCAGAGGGAGGCGCTGTTGCAGCTGACTCCCATCGTCAAGCCGCCCGTACTTTGGTGAATGCTCTGGCCACCACCCACCGTGAGAATAACGACCTGTTCAATTTTCTCCGGAATCAGCTCTCCATCTATGACATTTTGGCGTGTACAACCTCATTTGACCCGATGAGCACAGGAGATGTGATACTCCCCGCGCCTGATCACGCAAACCTCATTTTCTCGGAATTCTTGGCTCTCCTGCACCAAGTCACGATATTGTCACGTCAGGCGTACGATCAAAGAACCGCAGGAGATACCATGTCCGGAAAGCCCCCAATCTCTCCCATCGAGGTCCGGGCCAGATTCGACCTAGCTCGAGGTTCAACCCTCATGGCTGCCGGCTCGTTCGAGCTGATTCGCGACGAACGTCGGCGAGACTTCATCCGCATCGTCGACATATACCATCATGCGGGGCTGCTCTATACTTACAGATGTGTGTTTCGTGACGAAGTTCAAGCGCAAGAGGTCGACGCTTCTGCCACAATTTTGTTCGAGCGACTGAGTCAGCTTGAAGACCGATCCTCATGCATGCAGAATCTGCCCTGGCCCATGTTTATTGCTGGAACTGAATGCTGTGGTAATCGTGAGGCCCAGAGCTTTATAGCCGACTTGTATGAGCACATCGCCGCAGATATGGCATTCAAGCACTATCTTGAAGTGCTTCACTTCTTGAAAGATCTCTGGGCTTTTGAAGGCGGCGATTGGCTTCAATTGGCACGACAGTACGGTGCCAGTGGAAAGCAAATCCTGGCTGTTTGAAAGCATAGGCTCCGACCTTGTAGAAGTCCAGTTAAGCGTTGGAGGCCTCGTCTCTTTACGGGGCAACCCTGGACTTCTCTGGGAGCAGGACCCATCTTTCATTGTGGTGAATGGTGCAACATCCGCAAGGAATCGATTGCTGCGAACTTCGCGGTCCAATTGAGCCGGTAAGGTCTTGTCCGTGCCCAAGAATGCCAACTCAGGTGGTGCGTCCGCTGTGCTTAGGCGGAATTCACTTCATGCTTGCAGCAGTCACCTGCATTGACTGGATTGTACTGAAAGTCGGCGCATCCGGAAGAACCTCCCCGTCGTCCACCCACGGTGGCATTATAGGCAACAAATTGGTCAGGGCAATGGGATTGGCTGCCTCTTACTGCATTGTCTCTTTCACAAAAGGGCGAGCAGCTTGACGCAAGCAAAAGTTCATGTCGACTGCTCTTTGCCTCAATGGGGGCAAGAAACTCTTAAAAGAGAGCATTGCATAGGGCGGGGCATACAGGATCCTGTCCACGTTTGCTTACAAAATCGATAAACCTGAGTGTTGGGCCTTCCACGCTCAAATTCCGGCAGAACCACAAGGCACTTGTTGTCAAAAAAGGTAATCTTTTGTCGACAAATGTACCGCGAGCCAGCCAGGCGGGCGCCAGTGAGGTTTATATGCACTCGCGAGTCCTATAGCGGAAGTGTCATATATCAATGACAGATACGAAAACGAAACACTTCCAAAACAACTTTTAACGTTGTCCCTAATGCACTGCTACACTTTCCTTCTTGGTTTGAGGAATGTACTTACGTACGCCAAATGTTATGTATCTCTATGACGTTTGATATGATCAACCAATGGCGTCGCCCTCTGAGATTATCACTAGACTTGAAGGAGGTACTCGGTAGAGAGTCTCTGTCGCCTGGTTATGGGTTTTGGAGTGGGACAGCATGATCCCGCCCACCTGCTCCATCGGGAACTTCACCTGAGAATCCTCCCATCTCCAGGGTACAAGACTCTTCTGTCGAGGTGAGAGACATGGATTAGTTCTATGCCATGCTTTACCTCATACCACATGAACCACTGCCCTCAAGCCCATCGATTCTCCACAGTTCAAAGCCGTTTGGAAGGCCCGAAACCCTTCCGTTGATCCTCCAGAAACATGTTACACTCACCTCATCGACGATCTTGTCAATTAAATGATTATCGATGCTTTTCTTTCCGGACCACACGAAGCTGCGGAAGGACTACACTATCGTGCCCTCAAGGTTCTCAATACCTTGTCTGCTGTCCCTGAGATTACCACTACTTTGAGTACAAGGTTTTGCGACAAGCACGATAACTGCAGGCAGAACTTCAATGTGCTGAGGAAGTGCTATCGTCCATTATCAGAGTCACGACTATGTGAACATGGTATTGAATCGCTGGTACTATCAAATTCCGGTAATGCAACCTCGAAAGCGGCAAGACATCACCCGCCAAAATGTGGAAACGCTGTTCATATCTAAGGACTTTCAAGATACTCTCGCCCATCGCCTGGGCGGGGCTGTCCAGATTCCAGCAATAGCTTACGACGATATGGGACTCGTTGGGAAGGATCCTCGCTGGGAGGTGTTTTACCAGTTCTCGGATTATCTCACAAAGACATTTCCCCGAATGTGCGACGGTCGAGTATTCTGCAATTCATTCCGGCCTCGCTGACATGGCGGATAGATACGAGGCACTTAGGGTGGAAACAGTCAGTACGCACGGGCTGCTATACACCTGGCAGGGGTCCGCGCAGGATCTGAAGCCGCTTTTATTCATGGCTCATTCTGATGTAGGTAAGAGCTGCGTGCCATAGGATCGCTCACTGAGAACCCCAGGTCGTTCCTGCTGGCGAGTCAACTTCCCTACAGTGGACTTATCCTCCTTTTTCGGGTCACTATGATGGAGAGTACATCTGGGGAAGGGGCTCCGAGGACGACAAATCCAACCTTATCGCTATGCTGACCGCGATCGAATCTCTGCTTGGATGCGAATTCAAGCCATGTCGGACGCTCATTTTGTCGATTGGGTTCGATGAAGAGGGTGGGGCCGATAGAAGTTATGGCGCTCGGTGTCTCGCAGACACCCTCCTGAAAAGATATGGCAACGATGGTATTGAACTGATTGTGAGTCAATGCGAGTAAGCGGTGTGGCAGCTATTGACCAAGCACAGTTCGACGAGGGCATAGCTGGGATTGAGAGGCGGTTTGGGACAGACTTTGCCTTGCCCGCGACTGCGGAGAAGGGTTATGTTGACGTTGACGTCAAACTTGATGTTCCTGGAGGGCATTCTTCAACACCACCCGATCATACTGCAAGTACGTGCTTCATCTTCTCTGTAAACAGAAGTCAAGGAATGCTGATACTCTCAAAGTTGGCTTTCAGGCACAGATCATCAACCTGATCGAAGACCACCCTTTCACTTCTCAGTTGATCCGGCAGAATCCTACCTTGACGTTCTTTCGACAGGCAGCCGTCCTGTCGAAGAGTATGCCACAGGAGCTGCGAGACGCCATATTGGGGAAGAAGTCGTCGGAAAAATTTCTTGAATATATGGACAGGGATCGCGAAAGGCGTGCCATGGTCAGGACATCCACAGCCATTACCATGGCTCAAAGCGGCGACAAAGGTGAGTGCCCACTATGTCGAATTGTGCTTTACCAACTCTTTTTACTATATGTTCAAGGCCTGTCATGTTACGGCTTCGAAACTGACTGACACCAGTGAACTCGCTACCGGAGACTGCTACTTTTGTCATCAATCATCGGATTGCGCTTCATGAGTCCGCACAGGCAGTGAAAGACTACTACATTGCATTGCTTCGTCCGTGGGCGAAGAAGTGGCACTTCAACTTTGATGCCTTCGGCGTGATGGAGAGAAATCGAGAAGACTCTCAGACTCGATCCAATGACAACAACGACTGTGGCGACCTTACACTTACCGCTCAATATGAGCTCGAACCGTCACCTATTTCAGATACCGAGGACCCGAGGTTCAGCTGGCTTGCTGGAGTTATCAAAGGCGTATTTGGCGAAGATGTCGTTGTTGCGCCGGAGCTACTGACTGGTGTGTACATTGAACCACTTCATTGATACTGATGAGCTAATCCTGAGAGGCAACACCGACACACGGTACTACTGGGACCTTTCGCCACAGATATACCGCTGGTCACCGTGGCGTGCGAGTCATGATCCACGTGGGACACGGATGCATACAGTTGATGAGAGAATGCCCATCAAAGGACTGGTAGAGATGGTCAAATTCTATCACGAATTCATCCGGGTCTTGGATGAGGTACAAAGGTGACATACCGAGCTTTCGCGATCGCATGCTCGTGGTCCCCATGTTTTCAAAGAATCTTGGATTCTACAAGCAAGCGACAGGCATCACTTGGCTTAGATGCCTGCTTTCGTATATTGAGATACCCACTTCAATTTATTGGCACTGGAAAGGGGCAAGAAGGAGTTGACACTCTGTAACTGCTACGGTTCATAAAGTCTGGCGGCGTTTGAAGAGCAGAAAACCGGCATGGGAAGCATTTGAAGAATATCCTTCACTCCGGGTGGAGATTCGTAGGGGAAGAGCCTGACCGCGTGGAGGCGGCAAGGACCAACAAAATCCTACTACTGTAAGTCAGCCGGCCGGATAGAGCCTAAAATCTTTACTTAACCTCGAGTGCCTCGGTTTTTGGCATTGACTGTTCCTCCATATAGACTTGTTTAATATCCCTTTCCAGATCCTAGGACACTCCGTCAGCATCAACATGTCTACAGACCTGAAGGATCTCGCCACACCGGCCAAATGCACAGCAGACTTCTGTCTCATCCCGCTAGGGACACCGACTGCTTCTGTGTCTGCGCAGATTGCCGATGTTCAGAGATTAATGAAGAAAAGCGGGTTGAAATACAGCATGCATAGTGCTGGCACGACTGTTGGTGAGCGATCTTCCTATCCTACAAGTCAACAGCGAATCCCCAGACATTGGATCCGATATGGTCGGCCAGAGTAGCGAGTGGCGGTTCTGGTCGGCTGTGATCATTGAGATTTACTTGAGCAAGGCCATATGGCCTTGCTGTTACACTACCGTACATGACCAAGTACTGACGTTCATCTCCTTGCAACAGAAGGCTCTTGGGATGATGTGACCCGCTTGATCGGACAAGCTCATAGTATCCTTCATGAGAAAGGGATCGTTCGGATACAGACGGATATCCGGATTGGTAGTCGAACGGACAAGTCGCAGACCATGGAGGATAAGGTGGCCGCGGTAGAGAAACTACTTTCAAGCGACTCCTAAGCCGTAACAGAAGAGATGAAGACCTCATTATACGATTAGCAGAACCAGCAGGGCAAGAGTTATTCAGCTGGCATGATCAACATGGTTCTACGTTAATCTACCTTCGAGTGTCGGCCACTTGACGATCACAGCCACAGGACCGGACTGGATGTCAGCCACAGTTGTGGCTGAGTCCAGTGTCTACGTATTTCGCCGCAGGGAATATGCAGGATGATCCAGGGCCATTGAATGAGCAGCACGCAGCCCAACTTGTGACGATGTCCTTTCTCATTGGAGACAAGGCCTTAAAGACTGCCGCCCAGCTTTTCTGAAGGCGTTGCAATAAAGACAAGTTCTTTGACTCGATCCTTTGATCATCTCCTGTCTGTTGTGAGTCTGTCTTTGTTGACCGCCTCTTTTCCAGCCATGCTATTTTCGTGAACAACCCAAGGCAAACGTTGTGCAAGTGCAAAGCACCACGAAGCTCTTCTCTGCCAACTCTTGCCCTGTTGAACCTTTTTGAGAACGAAATTACGGACCTGCCTCGCGAGTTCTTAATCGAGTACCTACTAACCCGGGCTTGTTACCGATAATGGCGGCTATTCACCAGACCATCGCGATCGTCGATAAGTCGAACAAGGTTGTCAGTACATCCAAACAGTTGAAGAATGTCTTCAAGGAAGCGAAACTTGCTTATCTCGAGCGCAAGGCCGAGATAGTGGCAGAAAGGAGGTTAAAAGAAGACAAAGAACTGAGAAAGGCAATGAAGGCTGTGGCATTGGCTGAGGATGACGCTCGATCGCAAACCTCTCGAAGGCCAGGAAGACACCACTCTCATGGAAGAGACCACGGTCAAGATCGACGGCGCCCGTCAGCAGGCGGCCAGTATCACTCTTCCGAGTCGGTAAGAAGGGAGAGTCACGCCCGCAGGCCTTTGGTCCAAGAAGAATCAGAAGACTTTGCTGTTGGCCCGCCTGGACATCCCGGTCTTGCACAATTCAATGAAGAGCTGTATGGTTCCCACCGCTCGGCGCCAACCTCCCCAGTCAACCACTATGGACACCACGAGCTCGTCCGTCGAACAACTGATCTTCCTTTGGAACACACCCGCTTACACCGACCACCACCAGTGCGGTCCCACTCAACGTCAGAAGTAGACGATCACATTGACATGGATCTAGCATACGGAGAATTCCACCCGGAAACCCTCATGCTTGATCCAAAGGTAGAGCAGCAACTCCAAAAGCAAGAAATGTCGAGCCTGGTTTTGAAATGCAAGCTACTGATGGATGAGGCCGATTGCGCACAGCACAGTATTAGGGCGACTATTGCCCATCTACAGAAGAACCCCGACGCTATGGCAGCTATAGCTTTGACTTTGGCGGAAATCAGCAATCTGGCCACAAAAATGGCACCCGGCGCGCTCGCAGCTTTTAAGACCGGAGCACCAGCTGTATTTGCCATACTCGCAGCTCCAGAGTTTCTCATTGCTGTGGGTGTGGGTGTTGGAATCACGGTGGTCATGTTCGGTGGTTACAAGATCATCAAAAAGATCAAAGCCAGGTCCAACCAGAAGGAAGACCTGGCTGTGGACGAGATGATCGATGTCCACGAACTTGACCGGATTGAACATTGGAGAGGTGGAATTTCTGACGTTGACAGTGCGAGTGTGGCCACGAGCGTGGAGGGAGAGTTCATCACTCCGATGGCAGCCGTGAGGAAAGGCCATCTGCCTCTCCCCAGAGATCGCATCGAAGAGAGTCATAGGAGTTCTTCGAGAGAGGAGAAGAGCAGAAGGGGCCAGAGGCTGATCGAGGATGATACCGATCGTACTCTCGTGGGAAGTGAAGGGTCAACCAAGCCGTGGAAGCATAAATCGGCGAAACGGGAAAAGGTCACGGTCAAGGTTAAGAAGCCCAGTCCGCTGCGGAGGATCTTTGCCAGCAGGGACTCGGAGACGTCGTCAAGGAGATGATCCGAAGTGGACGTAGGGGTATTTGTGAGCGATGAGCCTTAATCTGCCTTCACACAGGAGCTACCGTATATATGAGAATGTTTGCTACGAGTCACGATTTAATGAAAGCTATGAAATAGTCATGATCGCAATTGTATATATGTTGAACGGTCAATGAAAGCAGTACCCTTCGCTCATTGTTTAGGTCGTTTTGCGTCGACTTCTAGATCACATGATTTGCGGCGAAATTTGGTCGTTGATCTTTCATCCGGAATCTTTGTTGTATCTATTCAATCCTCTATTCACCATCTGCGACTATCGGTCGGTCATCATTTCCTCTGGCTCTTGAGGTGCTCACTGGCCTTGTCACTTTACCGAGCAGCATCGAAAGCAACCTAGACCTTCGCCTACCGACTTGTTCAGCTGCGGAGACGTTTTGTTCCGACAGAGTATCTCTGAAAGTTTTTGCCTGCGCCATCGCCGTCTGCCATTCATCGGTCCTCATTTCCTACGCATCTGGCGCATCCTGCACGACCACAGCGAACTACTCCGAGCGGTTGTCCCTGCGGCCGGCTACTATTTGACATACCTCCTCCACGATGGATCATTCTCGAGACCCATGCCCTTGGGTAGCGCTATCAGATTTTGGTGGAGCTTTCTCCATGGGCGCTTTGGGAGGTAAGATATTGCAGCAAGAGTATGGAGACAGGTGGTTGACATAAGGCCAGGCACGTTATGGCACGGCATCAAAGGTTATAGAAATTCGCCATACGGAGAGCGACGGATAGGCATGATTACAGCCATTAAAGCTCGAGCGCCCGTGACAGGAGGCAACTTCGGTGTATGGGGTGGCCTATTCAGCACATTCGATTGCGCTGTCAAGGGTATCAGAAAGAAGGAAGATCCATACAACTCGATCATCGCCGGGTTTTTCACTGGTGGTGCCCTTGCTGTAAGAGGAGGCTACAAGGCTGCGAGAAACGGCGCCATTATGTGCGCTATCTTTTTGGCTGTTATTGAAGGTGTGGGCATCGGTATTCAGCGACTGATGGCCGAGAACACCCGACTTGATGTAAGTCTATCGCAGGCGGAACCTGTTACAGACAACTGACGGCTCCAGATCCCTCCTCCTGGAGCAGCACCAACGGAATCTCGACCTGTGGCTGCATGACTGGAAATGGCCACTACTCCACATTTCATTTAGGAGGTTTCTTGGATTTCTCCTCAAAGCGTTGAGTCTGACTTACTCGGTTCTCTACTCCTCAGCTCCCACCTTCTCGTGGTCCAAGGGTTCTTCTGTGCATAGCGGGCGTTACGGAGAAATGGGCAAAGAGGTGCCACAGTCGCATCTGCAGAGGTACAAGCACATGAAGGAAGCTCATCTCAGCAGCCTGACGCGGGTATCTAGAGATACGCTTTCATGAGCGGCGCAGCTTGGCTGTGCTATATGCCAAAGCCGGTTTGAATGTCTTGCTTCAAGGCTGTAATATATTGTATGGGTACTATGGAACATGACAGGTGCTCTGCTGTGCTTTCCACGCAATGGGCAGTGTTTGTAGTTGATGTCGATTGCCTTGTGGGCGCCGGTGATCGAGTAATCGAGAAAGCGCGAATGACGGGTGACAAGGCTGAAGGCGACAGGCGCCTGTCGATCCTCCGCATCTCACTTCATGGGCTCGCGCGACACTCATTGTTGTATATCCACATTCTCATTCGGTGCTTCCCAGTATGCATGCATAGGGCGTTCTATTTAATCGCATCTGATTTTCATCTTAACTATTGAAACCCATTTGCCAGATGCATCATGCAGAGAACGCTACTAGGAGCAGCAGCCTGGAGGACTCGAGTCCGGAACGACTCGATAGGCCATCCCGCCTGAAGGCCACCGACAGCACTCTCGTACCAGAAGACGTTCTACCTGATATAATACCTGTCCCAAACTCGGCATTGCTCTATTCGAATATTCATGCTCAGCGTGAGCGCCGACTTCGCCTGCTGATTCGTCGCTATACCAATCAGATCCAGTACGGCTGCAGGGATATCAACTGCACGACGCCAACATGCCTGAGTTATAGAAAGAGAAATACCACCGGTCCTCTGAGGCCATATACAGACTTGAGCACAAGGACGCTGGCATGTCAACTTGTCGAAGAGTCTATGAAAGGTGGTAAGGGACGGGCTTTGCTCTGTCCGAATGAGCCAGTTGTGCCATGGTACCAGGATCCTGCAACAGCTAAGAGAAGACGCAGAAGCCTTGACAAGGCCAAGGGGCAGCGCGATGAAGGCGCACCTATAGCCAAACAGCAAGTTACAGACCATGGCAATGGGGAGGCAGGCAGTCACGTACAGAGAACCGAGCATGTGTCACACAGGCCGAGCCATGACAGCCTCGTTCAGGCACGCAGACGGTTCAAGGAGTGGACAAAAGAACAAGGCGAAGACGATGCCAGCGAAGGCACTGTGGACCTTCTCGATGCACCGTTGGCTCAACAAACTTTTGACCAGGTACCATCGGCCGAAGCTCCCACGAGTGATCAAGCCGGTGATGTATCCAGACCTCCGCACCCCTCTGAGAAGAAAGACATTGCCTCTTTCACTCAGACACTGTTCGATCTATTGCCGCTGCGACTGCTCGCCTTGTTACCGGCGAGAAGTCAATCTCATCCGTCTGATACCGTCAGCCCGACCGCCCAGCATGAAACAGAGACGCACCAGGCTGCCTATGCCGACACCTTGCAAAATGGCAACGCCCCTGGTGCCACTCAAGGCAACAATGATCAGCATACAGAGCTAGAAAATGACGCCGTGGATCTGCCCGCACAATTCCTCACAAGAAGAACACTTCGCACCTTGAGCTGGCGTTCCATTCACTGGCTGCATCATGTGCCTCAGAGCCATAGCACCGATACTTGCAAGATCATTTTTCGACCCTTCATCAAGCAGAGCTTTGCATACTGCTTCAGCGACCCTGATCGCCTCGTCAATTCAGTCAGAGATCTTCAGCAGAGTTTTGTGCCGCGATACGTTGCAATACACTGTCGGTCCAAGCCATGCCCGCCTTACACAAGTGTCAGTCCAAGCGCGTGGCCACAAGTTGCCACAAAGACATGGTTGGATGTGACTGCACTGGTAACAAGCCTCGCCTTTCTGGACCATTTTGCGTCGCGAGATATAGTTCTCGGCAGCATGTTTACGGCTTTGCAGCGCTCGTATACTCTACCTCACCGTCTGCGTAACCGGACGACGGGAAAACGTTGCCGGTCGAGTGGCGAGAGTGGAGAGAGAGCATCAGCCACGGGCCCGGAAAGCTTTTGCGATGACACCCATGCCTTGAGAGACATCATGAGAACGAGCAAGTCAGTAAAGGAAGAAGATGATCACTTGCCTCTGAGCGACGCCCGAGTTGCAGAGATGTGTTTTGTGGCCCTCATGTCGATCGCTTCTATGGCGTTCAGGGCTCCCTTGGGTGAAAGATGGGAAGAAGCCATGTTGTTTGATCAGTTCTCGCGGTTGAGGAATCGTGGCGGCGCTCATACGAGCTGGCGAAAGCGTTCCAACGACGACACAACCGACTGGCGCGGGCCCTACCGCTATGGACAGCAGATGATCAAGGTTGTGGACGTATTTGAGTCCTGGCCTGTTCTTCATCTACTTTATGCTGTCACAGATGTGATCAGCCACCGACTCCTTGTGACAAAATGGTCAGAAGCTATGGAGGGTTCGAGGCCTGCGTCGAAGCAGAGAAAGACCGTGATCGAACTCTCGATCGAATGCTTTGACCGTGACACGCTCGAAAGTCGGACCGCCGACAACAAACAGCCAAGGAGCTGGGTCGGAACGGCCTTGGTCGAAGTACTGAGAACGGTCATGCTTAAAGCTTGGGACGGTCGTGCGATCATTCAGCGTGCAGGACCAGTAGGTGGAGCTCTTGAGCTTCTGGCTGGTATTTATCGTGAGCGCAAAGGTCTAAACTTGGATCCAGAGATCTTCCGCATGGGCTTTGTTGAGGAGACGTTTGAGGGGATGTCTATGGCCATGGAATGGCTATCGTTTCAAGCAGACACTCGACAGACACATATCTTATCCTACTCATTCTTGTTCCAACCTAGGATGCTTGTCCAATACTTCAGAGCGATCAACCTCGACATAATGCGCAAGTCATACGAGAATGCCAAGCTGGTGTACAACGATACTCGGCAATACGTATTCCTGCCTAACATCCCGGTCTACGGAGTGAAAGAGGTGCTGACGCAACTGCGACCTCATATGGCCAGGTATTTTGTCCTTACAATACGAAGGGACAGTATACTGAGTGATGCGATCAATCAAATATGGCGCAGACAGCGAAGAGAGTTAATGCGCCCTCTGCGAGTACGTATTGGTAAGGACGAGGGCGAAGATGGAGTTGACTACGGTGGGGTGCAGCAAGAGTTCTTCCGCGTAGTGTTTGCGGAAGCTCTCAGACCCGAATATGGCATGTTCACGGTTGACGGCACGACGAGAATGGTGTGGTTTCAGCCTGGCTCATTTGAGCCTCTCTACAAATTTGAAGCCCTTGGTATATTGATGTCGATTGCTGTTTACAACGGCATCACCGTGCCGGTCACATTTCCGCTGGCATTTTATCGCAAGCTGCTGGGTCTTAAGGTGAAGAAATTGGAGCACATCGTTGACGGCTGGCCCGACCTCGCCAGAGGCCTGCAGACTCTATTAGACTGGTCCGAGGGAGATGTCGGGGATGTGATTGGCAGGACTTACGAGTTCAGCTATGAGCTTTGTGCGAACAGGGTGTCCGTGGACATGGAGAAAGCTGGGCGTGATGATCTATGGCCAGCAACAAAATCGCGTATGAGCAAGAAAGGCAAGGAGAAGGCGAAGTCGACATCCTTCGAATTGCCGATCGAGCCTTCACTTACTCCGCCCATCCAGTCATCACCGGACCTCAAACCAACAGTGGTTCCTGTGCTGAGACGATCGTCGTCGGTCGACCTCAAAGGCATCTCCACGCCCCAGAGTCTCGACAGTGACTTACTCGAGGATGAAGCTGCGTTGGTCACCAACGCCAACCGTGGACAATATGTGAAAGACTATGTCCTGTGGCTGACGCACAAGTCAATCCAAGCGCAGTACGAAGCGTTCGCCAAGGGCTTTTATACGTGCTTGGACCGTACGGCGTTGTCGATATTCACGCCTGAAGCTCTCAAGACTGTGATTGAAGGGCATGTCGAGATCGATATCGACGAGCTTCAGAAGACGGTCCTGTACGAGGACCCATATTGCGTCAATTCGTCCACGATCGTTGATTTCTGGCACGTTGTACGCAGCATGAGTCCGGAACAACACCGCCAATTGCTGCTATTTGTTACGGCAAGCGACCGCGTGCCGGTGAATGGGTTGATTAGTATACAATTCCACATCCAGAAAAATGGGGATGATGATAATCGTTTGCCCCAAAGCAGTACGTGCTACGGCCGGTTGTTGTTGCCGCAGTACTCGAGCCGAGAGATTCTGAGGGAGAAGTTGACTAAGGCTATTGAGAATTGTTTCGGGTTTGGAGCGTTGTAGACCCAGACGCGCAGGACGATACGGCATACGGGGCTTAATCAAGGGCGTTCTACATGCATACCTAGGTATGGACATGGTGGGTTGAATAATTATGCTTTTCCAGCGGCTGGAGCGTTCAGCGGGCGAAATCGATCTCTTTCTGCTTGCCTACAGTTTCAAAATATCCATTCGCGAGTCTTAAGATTCGCGATCATACAAGCAGTGCTGAACTCTTTCCTTATTATTCTGCAACCTGATTGCCGGTCTATGTCGTAGGTATCTTTCATCTCTCATTTCTAGGTCTAATCGGGGCATGATTCGTATCCAATGCATCAAAGCCTGTCTTTCTGTATCTATCGTCTCAAGCACGCTGTGAACCAAGGGAGGTCCCCTCTATCTATTGTCTAACCTTCATGCTCGTCTAACATCTTGCACCTTGCTTCCTATCGACCAAGCCATGCTTTCCCACCAACGCTTAATATGTAATCTCCCGATCTGTCGAATTTGCCCCTTGTACCAAAGCCATGTGAAGGTCACTGTGTGATCATAAGGGTTGGACCGATCGAGGTCGAATCTGCTTATACCAACATCCAGGGGTTGAATCTGCAACTGTACCATAGACCCATCGGAGTCAAACGTGCAGTTGCAGCGCAACGTAAACGGGTTTGACATTGGACACGGCAAGCCGACAGCGTTTTGAGCCGAGCAGGAAGACACATTTCATGCCATGACTTCAACTTCGCCGGTCTTCTTGTCGACATACATGTTCTTCGCCGCGGGTTCCTGGCCAGTACGCTCCTCCTCGTCAAGAGGTTGGCTGGCCTCGTCCTCGGCCGGCAATTTATCTGGTCGTTGTAGGCCTTGGTCCTCCCAGCCTTGCATGCACAAGTTGAATAGCTCCGCTTGTTTGTCGTGGTTGGGCATAGGGTGGGAAACACCACGTCGTTTCCGCGAGTCCATGGTCTCGGTGAACCAGGCTTGCTCGTCGTCTGCGTTGACGTCGCCCTCGAACACGTACGTGCGGGTTTCGCAGTTCTCCCAGCCTGTGCCGGAGAGTTTGTTGGCGTCTTCCCAGTCGTCCGTCAGGTAGTGCAGGTATCCGCCGTGCGCTACCAGGACAATCTCGACATCGTCGTCACCGTTAGCGGCAAGCGCGCGGGCTTTCTCGCGGAGAAGTCGGCGAGTGTCGCGGGCGCGAAGTTTAATGGCATCGCTGGCGGGGGAGTACCGGTTGTTGCGTGTCTTGATGTTCCATCCCTCCTTCACGAGACTGAGATCGACTTTCCAGTTTTGGTCGGCGCAGATCTTTTGCAGGACGGGGACATCGCTGCCGGTATCGCACGGGTAGTCGCTTGTTTCTTGGGCGTCGGGGACAGCGAGGATGGAGGGCTGGCATTTGCCGTTACTTAGGGCCGGTTGGAAGACAAGCCATGCTGTGTGGAGGGTGCGGCATAGTGGAGAGGCGGTTACGAGGGAGATGGTGCGTTGTAGGGATGGGGGGAAGTGCTGTTGTTGTAGCTTTGCGCATTGCTCTTCGCCGAGCGGTGTGAGACGGGGGTCGGGGAGCGAGTGGAATTCAGAGCCCAGATTGTGGAAGCCCTGGGCGTGGCGGACGAGGTGGATTCGTGGTTGGGATGGCATTGTGATGGGGGGTCAAGCACTGGTTGTAGAGGGTGGGGTGGAAGTGCAAGGATGAGGCTTTTGGTAGAAAGAGCCCGTGGTGCTGATTATGACGGAGAGTAGAAGTAAATCTAGGAAAAGAAGGAAGATCTATAAGGGAGTAAGGATGTGTTATTATATTAGGACTTGGGAAGTGAAGCAATGACTCGGAAACCAAACTAGTCACAAAAAAATAAGTGACGCAGATCCGAGATGGGAAAAACATCCCCGCCTTTCACCGCCGGAGCCGCGAAATGCCTCAGTAATGCTCGGAAATACGTCGTTTGGGGTTTTCCGTAAACACAGTGCTGCGAGACAAGATGCGTACAAAGGATTCTCGCACCATTTCCTGGGTCAGAACATCTATCTTGTTCGCATTTCTATCAGACCGTGACAGATGGTCTGAACGTTAGCCAAAATACAGTAAGTGTCAGACGCTCTCATCGCACAAACACCAGTTCGATGCACAGACCCGAGTATCGAACCTACCATGAGGTTGTGCCCGACAACGAAACCTTCAGTAGTTGCTCTATCGACGACGAGGTTCTAGACGTACGTTTGAGACCTATATTATATAACAAGCACTCGAAGGGGCAACAATGGACAGAAAGACAGAGCATTCGGCAAAATGTCTATATCAACAAACCTGTCGATTATCAACTTTACCCCATATGAGTGGACCTACGTTGGGAAATCAAAGACGGCAGGAGCCGCAGGACTGACAGAATGGGTTTTCCCAAAAACCCTCGCATCAGGTACCGTAACGCCTAACTTTATGAAAACGACGCGAGTTCCCAGCACTCACGCGGGTCTTATTAGGGCATACATTTGAAGCTGAGATTATTGTTGACGGCCAGGCCGACGCCGTCGCCGTCGCCGCCGTGCAATGGCCGTTCACCTGGGACGGCGGCGCGGACCCCGTCATCAACCTCAAATAGGCTGTCTCTGATGGCTCGTATTCTATGCAAGCCAAGCTCGACAAATATGGCATTGAGAATAACGCCAAAAGCTCGGTCATAAGTATTCCCTTAACCGATGAAGCATGGTCTCCATTTATCCTCGTTGGTAAGGAGAAGCAGCTAGTTGGCAACAACCCTCCAACCGACTGGATGGCCAAAAATCTGCCATATATCGGATGTTTAACACTACAGGATATAGTGATGCCCGGCTCGCACGACGCAGGAATGTCTGAGATCAATAACGCGCATTTAGGAGACGCTGCCGACACCCAGACTCAGACGTTGAATATTACTGGTCAACTCTACGCAGGGGCTCGATGGTTTGATATTCGTCCCTCGATATCTCACGGCCAATTCTATACGAACCACTATAAAGACAGGCTCGGTGCTAACGGCGAATCCATAGCCGATATTATCTCCGATATCAATCGATTCACGGCCAAGGGTTATAAGGAACTCATTATTCTCGAGCTTAGCCAGACCCTAAATACCGACGCAGGGTATGAAGCCTTTACTGACGCTCAGTATAGCAGTTTACTATCCACATTCGAAAAGACGTTGAAGCATCTATATACTGGTCATAGCCATAGCGTTATCACCAAGTTACCGCTTTCTGACTTTATCAGTACCGGTCCGGCCGTGGTGATCGTCTGCGACGAACGGGATACGAGCTGGCTCAAGACTAACGGGTTCCAGGGCAAGGGTTTCTACTCGAGCACGCAGTTTCCCGTGTACAACAGCTACGCCGACACTACGGAGCTGGCCACTATGCAGAAAGACCAGTATACGAAACTCATCGCTCAGACCGCTAAGCCGGATAACTCGGCACAATTATTTCTTCTATCTTGGACGCATACTATGGGCACGTACGAGATTTTCGAGTCTGCCTTTGGCGGGCCAACTCTAAGGGAATCAGCGGACTACTTCAATCGTTTCCTCGCCCAGGCCGGTGGCACTGTCCCGTATACTGGGCCTATCACTTGGGTGGCAGAGAAGTCAGGACTACCAAATATCATCATGATTGACAATATTGCTAGTGACGACTTCTTGACGGCCATGGCCATTGGATTGACCAGGTTCTATAACACGCAGTGTTAGGGATTGTTATATCGAACATGGAAAAAGTGTTAATATGTCTTGGGATTGGCTTATTGCATAGTAGGGACAGGGGGACTCAATTGTGAATGAATGAAAGAATAAGCTTCTTCGCAATGTATCTGTCTATCTTGTCCAAATTCCGTACAGTTAACGATGTACGGGCTTCCAGCATAATGGGTATCACCTGTGAACCAGAATCTATTCGTTTTGAGCCTCGATTGTGCTCCCTCGCAACCAGCCCATCCAACTTCCCCGGTGCGCCCGCTTCATCATCTCCTCCTCCTCGTCCTGCTTTTGTACGAGACGTAGTGGACGCAACTGGCTCTGCTTCATCACTGCCCCAGGGATATTCGCCTGATTCTGAGGCGTCGCGGCCGTCACAGGCGCAACGGAGCTTCCATCCGTGTTCGACTTCTGCTCGTCGCTGTGCTCACTGGTCACGCTATTGGCGGAACTACCATCACGTCTACCAGCGGACGGCGTACGCGGTGGAAAGTAGCCTGAACCACGTCTTTGTCCCAGTTGAGGACTGAGTGGTCGGAGGCCTGGACTCAGTGGCCCTCCAGAGGTAGTGCGAAAGGTTGACGCCCGATTCATTTGATGGACAACTGCAGCCGCCGCCATGTCGGTCTGGGCTTGATCAGATCTTGCCCGACGGTGTCCTCGCTCTCGATTGATCGGTATTCTCGGCGCGGTCACGGGATTCTCATTTGCTGAAGGAGGTGGTGGTGTATGTCCGGACGGTTGTGCGTACGACATTGGCCGCGCTTTACCCCCACCGGGTCGTGACACTACCGACCGAGCTCGCTGCAGGAATCCGGTCACACCCACTGATGGGTTTGCTGCAGCAAAATCTGATGTTTGCTGGTCTGGCACGGCAGGAAGTGCCTTTTCCACTGTAGCGGGTTTTGTAGGAGGTGTGGGTGCTTCGTCCTGATCTGTGAAGATATGCTCAAAGCCCGGTTGGATGAGCATGCGACCGATGATCTTGTCGATGTACAACTTGAGGGCATTCTTTTCCTCATGCAGAGCCTTGTACTCCGCCTCAAGTTTTCTGTATGAGTCGGTCTGTCCTTCGGTAGCCTCTCCGGAAGACTCAAGTTCTTCTGCGAGACTACTCAGACCACTGATATCTTCTTGAGCATGTTGGCCGTGCAAAAAGTCTCCTTTTAGCGTCTTCTCGGTCAGAAGCATCTGGAAACTTTCATTCTCTTCCACAAGTCGTGCGTTTTGCATCTTAATCTCCATGATGGCCTTCTCCATGGCTTGAAGGCGACCGTCACCCATGTGCTCTTGATCGGCCAGCCTCAGTTGTGCTTCCGCGAGGTCAAATTGGAGGGCTTCAATCGCCCCGTCTTTTTCTTCCAGGATGCGATTCAAATCCTGGCTTGAGTTGTCACCACTGAGGGTACCGACATTTTCACCTGGCATTGGCGCAATAATATCTTGGTCGTCCGAGTCGGCATGTCTCGAACCCAAGCGACTCGCGGTCAGTTTGTCTGCGCTCCGAGTACGCAGTGTCTCATTCAACCTGCTGATGACAGACTGGAGTTCTGCTTCTCTGCGGGCTTGCCTTCCTCGCTCTTGCAAGAATGTATCTTTATCTTCATTATATGTCACCTCCAGCTCTCGGTATTGTCTTTCAGAGTCTTTGATCTGTGCTTTCAGACGGTCGAGGTCCGTTTGGCGCTGGTAATCGCGCTCTTCGGCAGTTGTCTGCTCCGCCGCTACCTCATCAAGACGTTGTTGCATGACCTCCAACTGTCTTCTGTATTGCTCCGAGGCTTGTTCGGCACGATCAACCTGCTCTTTGAGATCCGCGATCAATTGAGCATTTGCCGATTTGGCTTCTTCATTGTCTGTTTCGGCGTCGCCCGCGGGAGAGGAATTGCTCATTCGTACAGTCGGTTTGCGGAGCGGTCTCGTCTGTCTGACGGAGGGAGAGCGTGCAAGACCTTGACCCGTAGCACTTGGAACCGACGGCCGTCTGGGGATATTCTCATTGGGGTCGCGGGTAGTAGAGGAATTGAACAGTGGTTTTCTAGAATTCGCAGTCGACATTGTTGATTGTAATGATTGTATATTGGCTGCGAAGGGCGCTTTGACTCGAGGAATTTAAAAGTGACATGGGGTCGTGGCAATGATGACAGGATAATGTTGATGGGCAATGATGATTCTCAGCCGTTAATTAAATAGTCCTGGACTTGCGAAACAGGTTCCAGCTGAGAGATTAGCCAAAATGTGGGTATTGAGTTCGTGGAAGCGAGGCTGTGTCAAGTAACAAGTTTGGGTGTGCCAAACCCGAGGATGCAGGAATCGCCGGAATTGGTGGGGTCTGTTATGATCGACTCCCTAGAAGTTCAGTCGACCGTTGGCATTTGGAGGTACCTTTGGCTGTTCCTGGTTCCGTTATGTCAGGAATTACTAAGCATTACTGTCGTTGGGGTGCCCGGTATTTGGAAAATACATGCAGCCAGGTTTGTCCCCTGAACCCTTCCATCCCTTCCGTTAATCCAACTTGCAATGTATGGTCATCGAAAGCGTCAGCCCACAACCGCATACCCACTGTGTCTTTAGAGAGTTCCCGCCAATGATGTCCTGTAATGAAGCAACATCTATCTCAACTCATAGCCACCTCAATCGTCATCTGGGTAGTGCGTGAGGATCTGGTATCCATGACAAACAGCTCCGAAAGCAGCTTTATATTCTGAGTCTTGAGTCTGGATCTTGTCCTTGTGCTCTGGGAGAGCAGAAGCGATAGTGGACGAGATTTGCGACATGGCCTTGGGGCTCATCTCTCCCACTACGATGATAGCTGCAATTTCGTTTGGAGGCCCTCGCCACGTCGGATTTGCGCGATGTTCTTTGAGCAGTTCCTGGATAGCATTATGCAGGGCTCCTTTATCTTGGTTTGTGTTGAAGTCTGTCATGTCCGGCTAAGGAACAGAGTTAGTGCGCTAAATCAAGGTACGGTGCGTCTGATACCTACTCGAGTCTGAACAACCTCCTTATATCTTTCAAAGCTTGCACCGAAATCTGAAAGGTCCACTGTTGCAACCTCAAAACGATGAGCATCACGGTTGACGACCAGTACAAAGTATTCACCACCTTCGTCTCCTCGGTATGAGTGCTTGGCGATGCAGTGTTCTGGAATATAGCCGGTTGCAGCCATGGACATGTCGTTACGAAGCAAGCCCCGATCTCCGAAAGCGCCACCGACTTCGTGTGACGCGACCGTGATGGAGTTCCAGGTTGCCCGATTGACACGGTGGGGTACGGCTATCACACCAATCTTGGTGGGCTCGCCAACAATCTTTGCAGCTGTCTGCGTGACATTTCGAAGGACGTCGGCGAAGAGATATGCAGCAAGTTGTTTCTCTTGCTCATCGGGAGCAAGCTTGGGTGGCATGGGTCCACTCCATAGTCTGCCAAAAGCATACTATCAGCATAGCCCGACATGGCAACTCTGAAAAACTTGGTAGGCACGTCGAATGGTACTCACTCAGCATGTTCCGACGAGTCCAGTGTGCCCGACATGTATGCCTTGTAAGCTTCATTGCCCTCTAACCGTGCAATAGGCCGCGGAATATCATGCGTGTCCATACATGCGACCGTCCTTCACGGAAATGATCAGCGTGTTCTAGACAAGGCAATCAGGGAAACTTACACTTGAGTCATTCCCAAGTTGACACCCAGAACGACATTCCCTCCGTGAGAGCGCAATTGGCTTTGACAGAGCACCACGACCACACCAACAACTGGTACAGACCAAAGAATGCGATGATGAGGAAAGGCCATATGTGCCGTGATAAGCGCGCCATGTTGTAAACGTGGAAGGTAGAGGATCTAGTGGACTCGAATCGATATGGGCGGAACCGGCCGCGTTGAGGTCGCACAGAAAGGTTTGACGTCGGATAAGATGGACTCGGAAGAATGAGACACGGTTCGCAATGTTGTTGTATCTAAGGAGGAGAAGATCCAAAAAGTGCAAAGCTGTATGTCACCAAGTGCATTCTGTCAGGGCAGTAGCACTTCACTGAAAGCCTGATGTATTTTCTTTCATTGATCTTGGACTTTTTACTGCGGAGGCCGCTCTGGTCACTACGGAGGCCATTGTGTTGGCTTTCTCCTAAACTGACTGACCTAACCCATTATAGTCCTTTCCATGATCGGGCCGCAGATATCTCGAAAGAATCACTCAACATTGCCTCGTCATTCGAGCTCGATCCGACCAGGACATCAAAGGTATCCTTCTCCATCAACCAGGAGTCCTTACGTTCGTCCCAGAAGCTAGTAGCGTATTTCAAACTCAGCCGCACCTCGGCCGTCTTCTTCTCTCCTGCCCCGAGAGCCACCTTGGTGAAGCCTTTCAACTCTTTGTTGGGTCTTTTCACCGACGGTTTCTTCTGCGACACATAAATCTGGACAACTTGAGCACCACTGAGAGTGCCAACAAGACAACAGGTGCGGAGTTGTGACAAGGCTTAAATTGGGATACCACCATCGCTTGTTGATGTCTCGGATCCGTGGTCAAGATCGGGCTGAGCAATCCAGAACAACTGGTCTGGACACATTGCATGATCAAGAAGGGGGACCGGTGAGGTTCGGAGAATTTGGAGGGGTGGAAGGCGCACAAGAACATTTGAATATGTGGCAGAGCCTCTAATCTCGATTTCTCGCAGTCTAAATATTCTTGTCTTTCTTAGTACATGATGAATGCGAAGTTCCCTGTAAATTAGTGGCACCCGAAACTACCTCTTTCATAACATAAAATCAAGGCTGAAGCTGACAGTGGGCTCGTCAACAGGGTCCACTGGTCGCAGGGTCATGACGCTGAATAAGCCTGATGAACATGGTCCAAGGACAGTCCTGTCGAAGTTCACAACGGTGAAACCGGTCTTGGTCAGGGAGCAGGCGCATAGCAAAGTCGCAGTAGATTTGGGACCGTCAAGACAAGGCTGAGTTGAAGAGAGAGGTGAGAGCAGGGGTAAAAGGTTTCAAAGCGGCATGGTCTGGCTGGCTGGGTGGTCACTGGGTCCGCGCAGCTGCCAATTCGACCAATAGTACCAACAACAGAAGCGGCCGTCAAATTTGCCAAGACTTACACACATTGATCACGATTTTGACCGAAGAGACTTCCAGCCTGCGCCCGACTTCTCAACATCAACCACATACCGCCGGAGCGCATTCAACCACACATCCTACTTACTTACAACAAGTAGAGCGCAACGATGGCACCAAAGAAGGCAAAGAAGTCTACCGACTCCATCAACTCGCGCCTGGCGCTTGTGATGAAGTCCGGCAAAGGTTGGTCTACTGTCCTCCCAGACGCAGTTGCGGCCTTTCCTTGAGATTTACTGACTCCTGCTTGCAGTGACTCTGGGATACAAGTCGACCTTGAAGACTCTCCGCAGTGGAAAGGCCAAATTGATCATCATCGCTGCCAACACCCCGCCCCTTGTCAAGAGCGAACTCGAGTACTACTCTATGCTCTCCAAGACAAACGTCCATCACTTTGCCGGAAACAACGTGAGTGAAAACAAGCACAAGACCCTGCGAAGAAGCTCTTCCACGCTTTGGAGGGATTACGGCTGACCTGTGATACTTTCTCGTCTAGATTGAACTCGGAACTGCCTGCGGAAAGCTGTACCGATGCTCTACCATGGCTGTCCTCGATGCTGGTGACTCGGATATTCTGGGTGCTGGTACCTCATGAGCAGACCAGGGTCCTCCTCAGACATATTCATTATGCTGCGATTCATGCGGTGCCTTCGATGCATAGGTTCGAGGACGACCAGTCGCAAGGAAATTGCAGACCAGTGTGGTCCTTGTGACCATCAGCGGAGGCAAGTCGTTACGGAAGAGATGGCAGTATTCAGTCAAATTCAATGAGCATGCTTCACTCGGTCACATCAACCATGCAATGCTTTTCTTGCCTTACAATTGATTATTTGTGAGAGACTAGACGTTCCATGTCCTCTCTGCGGAATCTCTATTTGGTACTCTCCTTTCGTCCTTACGTGAACAGCCAGTAATAGTATTCTGTGGAAGCGTCCTAAGTGCTTCCACAGAAAGCCTTTCTGTTTCCCGAGGATTTTAGACTCCCACACACTGAGCATGACCTAAATGACTTGTATTCTGGAGCCAACCTCGCCCAACCGTTCAAGGCGCAGAATCGCGCGTCTAAGACCGATGCCACACGTGATCATCCCCACGGTTGCCGGCTTTATTTGATGCCGATTTCAGTGGTTGACCAAAAAGGGAAAGTAGGGTTTGCCTTCTTGCGGCTTGGCACTTTCGTGAGTTCTGTGGATTTCTAAGCACTGAACTGTGAAGGCAAAGCCACCTTAAATCATCCTCTTGCTCAACTTCTTCCTTCATCACCATCATCGTTCGCAAGAAGTGCAGGATCTATCACAACCGTCAAAATGGCCAGAAGACCTGCTCGCTGCTACCGTTACTGCAAGAACAAACCTTACCCGAAGGTATGTACTTCATTTCAGACCCTAATCAGTATCTACTAATGGCGACAAGTCTCGATTCAACCGTGGTGTCCCAGACCCCAAGATCCGAATCTTCGATCTCGGACGAAAGCGTGCCAATGTCGACGAATTCCCTCTTTGCGTGCACATGGTTTCCAATGAGTACGAACAATTGAGTTCCGAAGCCCTCGAGGCTGCGCGTATCTGCGCCAACAAGTGCGTATTACTACATGACAGGAGGGTGCAAAAATCATTAACAATACATCAGATATTTGGTCAAGATCGCCGGCAAAGAAGGTTTCCACATGAGAGTCCGAGCCCACCCCTACCACGTCGTCCGAATCAACAAGATGTTGTCTTGCGCTGGTGCCGATAGACTTCAGACTGGAATGAGAGGTGCTTGGGGAAAGCCACAAGGAACCGTCGCCCGTGTCAATATCGGTCAGATCCTTCTGTCCGTCCGAACCCGAGACACTCACCGTGCCACCGCCGTCGAGGCTCTCCGACGATCCATGTACAAGTTCCCTGGTCGCCAAAAGATCATCGTCAGCAAGAACTGGGGTTTCACACCTATTCGACGTGAGGAGTACATCAAGTTGAAGACGGAAGGTCGCCTTCTCCAAGATGGTGCCTACGTTCAATTCCACCGTGAAAGAGGCAACATTGAGCAGAACCTGAAACGATTCCCTGGCGCTTACGAAGTTGCCAGCGAGGCTTAGATTGTTCAATGTCTGGAATGAAACGGGAAAGGCGCATCTTTGAGTGATGGCATAGCTAGCATACGGAGATAGACGGGCGAGGGATGTCATTTTACATGCCTACAATCGACCTCGTCCTGAATGAGAAATGCGAAGTTCCACCCAAAAAATCAATGTATTGCATTTTATCCGGACGCACGGTTGTAACGAATGGGAAACATCTGCGATCGCCCAACTGCAAGTCATGGATCACCACAGGTACATTGCAAAGTGACGAAAATGATCCGAAGTCTTGCATTGCATCTTGCCAGGCTAGATAATAAATGTTCCGGTTATGAGTCAAAGTCGAAAACAGTGCATGCCATAATTCAGACGTCAGATTGCGTGCGCCATATTACTGCTGCAATTCATTGTCTAGCAGCGGTAATAGTATTTACCAAAATGCTGCATGCATCAATTATAAGCCTCATTGCCACGAAGATTACAAAGAGCGAGATAGATTGCCGCAAGCTGTAGAGTAAACGGGCGTGTTACGACGCCAAATATAGAGAGGAAGTGTTACTTAGTAAGAAATAGGCCGCCCCAAGCCCTAAGTCCGTAGGCGAACGATGATGCGGAAGATAGATCATGGTTGGGGGCAAGTTTAGATAGGAGATTCGCTCCGTTAGGCTATGGGGGGTGGCCCCTTGACTGCGCGCTGCACGGTATCTCGCATATGAGCGTCATGGGTAAATGGGTCATGCTGCGGCTGCGCATCCCGAGCCAGGCCCCATCACCCGTTTACAGGGACAGTCACGGATTACTCTGGTTGTCAACCATGTCAACTGATAGAACCAATTCAACAACAGGCGCATAGGCCTGTTCTTGTTTCATTCAGCTTTCTGCCCAACATTCTTCATCTTCCAGCTTTTACTTCTATTTCTCCTGTTGTCACTTATCTTGTTTTTGAACGATCGCGAAAACCCCCTTACTTTGACTTCAGCCTCCTCATCCCCACCCGATCTTGTGACCGTTGACCCCGAACTTGTCCCTTCACACCTCCTGGATCGGAGCAGGACTTCCACCTTTGAAAGAGATCAAGAGCTTTGGGCATGCAAGACAAAGACGACAAAGGTTGTTGACGGACCGAAACCGTCCTTTAACATACATCCTGATTCTATACCTCTCTGGTCTCACAAGACGCGCCTCTATACCTCGTGCTCATCGTAGCACGGCCCACCCGTACGTTCACGGGTTGGGAACGTCATGGCCTTCCAACAGTCTGCAGCACCACGTCCCATTGCCATCAATACAGCTCAATCTCAAGTCTCATCATCCCATGCACAACTGCGGACGACGGTAGAGGATTCGCAAGAATGGATCCTCTTCACCCCTTCGAACGCGGAGTCCACGATAACCGGAACGCAGACAAGTCACACTGCAGGTGTTTCTAGACTCAGCGATCTATCCCTCAACACAGCGGGTAGATCGGAGAGGCTCGAGGATGACGAGGAGGCAACCGAGGACGGTGATCTCGATAGCCTTGATGATGGACTACATGCTTTCAGGGAACCGCCCTTGTATCCGACCACGTCAAATCAAACGCAAGGCCCTGTCTTACCGGCTCATGATGGGTTAGGGACCTTTCAGGCTTCGAGTGCGCCAGTCCTGGAACAGCTGTGGCAGCACGAAGCATACAATCCAAAGCGAAAGCATGATGGTCAGCATCGCCGACCTTCGAGTATACAGCGACGGCTTGATACAATCGATGAGATTGAGTTGCAAGCCAGCGAAGAGAAGAGGATGCGGATCGAGAAATGGCGCATGGAACAAAGTCAGGCGTTGATGGACGAGGTGGAACGAGAAACTCGCAGAAGTTTGCGAAGAGGATCCCGCCTATCAAGCTACCAAGAGACTCTTGCGTCGGCGAACGAGGATGTCCTTGGATCGACACCAAGACAGAGCGACTACATCTCGAGAACAGCAGGGGAGGCTGAAGAGTCGGAACCATTCTGGCGACGAATCACCAGAAAGTTCATCCGCGATGTTATAGGCATTGACGAACCCCTTCTGTCGGTGATCTTTGGCGAATCTCTTCCAGAGGAGGTTGAGAATATGCAGTCTTCCAGCAGTCCCCTTCCGACAATTCCAGAGCAGATGCCAGAAGGTGATGTGGATGATCCTACATGGAGGGACAGACTACTGCAACGCATTGCAAGAGAGCTTGGAGTACTCGTGCATCAACTATCGCCACACCCCGGCGGGTTCACGATCTACTCGCGGAGCCCTGACTACGCTGGAATGCCAGTGAGCATGCCCCAACCGAAACCTCGTGCAGTTGTACCCCCATCGACTACGAACAGCCAGGTTAGAGAGACTATTACATCGACACTAAGTCCCAACTTCCCACCCACGGTCAGGGATCCTGCCCATGCTGAAAGCTGGGGTTTCGAAGAAGATCCAGCCTCTAATTCTTCACCGCTCGATTCGTCCTTGAACCTTCAGCGCGAGAGGGAGTACTGGGAAAGAGAGCTTGACCTCAAGATGGTATTTAGGTATCTGAGAGACAAGTTTGTCACACGACCGACTACTCAGCCGTCAGAGGCCGCCAACCAGAAGGTGGAAGATGCGGCGACGCGAGCTGCCATAATCCGCCAGCACCATCCGCTTGTCGCCCGGGCACAACGTTCTCCCGTAAGGCTTCGACGAGAATCGCGAGCTAGCGTACGCAGACCTACCAGCAGTTGCGCAAGTGAAAGTGTCCGGAGCAGCAGGAAAGCCTCTCTGGTCAGGAGCGGTTCGAGTCGCAACTATTGGGACATTGGGGGCAGCGTTGGCAGTGGGAGTATTCTGGCGAGTGGTGGTGCTTGGGGTGAAGTGTAGCATTTTCATAGCATCGTCTTTGGAGCATGGGCTTGCAGGATATCATTTGGATGGGACAACTCCTTTCAAGAAGGGAATGACTGTATGAATATTGATCACGACTTACTTTATTTGGGCATATGTCATGGGCTGGTAACAGGTATAGACTCTGTCGGGCTGCTACGAGCGAGTAAAGAGTCTGGAACTCGTCTCGAGAATACATGACGTTCATCGCCACACATTGCTGCCTGTTACTTCTTCAAGATCGTCGCTGCCTGGGATATTGTGGTATCTCGCCACAGACGGGACAGGGCAAGTGGCGTCGTCAAAACTGTGTGGCGCGTCACGTGGCCATGTGGGCCTCCTTAAATAAAGTGCCCGCTTCTTCTCTTTGTTTACTTTCGCTGTCTAGCGGCACAAGAGTAGGAGAGGAAATTTGTTCTCTTCCTCTTTCGCAAACTCTCTTCTCTTCTCATCTACTTCAGAGCCTCCTACCTTGTTTGAGCAGTCAATTGCATACTTGGGGGTCCTCATTCTCGTCATTTCTATCAAGAGTCGCCGAGGTGCAGGTCGCTGTCGTCATGGCCGAAGAAGATGAGCTGTACTACCTACAGCCTGGATTTGATTACAACACTTTGACGGTTCCGAAGATACGTTCTATCCTCGTCGCGCACGACATGCCATACCCTTCGGGCGCCAAGAAGGGACAGTTGCTGGAGGTTGTCGAGCAGGAACTATTACCCCAAGCGAAGAAGTTACTCAAGGCGCAAGCACGAGTTCGGCGTACCAGCAAAGGCATAACAGACGTTCCAAGCAGCCAGGAAGGAATGGTAGACGGAGATGGAGAAGCAGAGAAGACGTTGATGCCCCCGCCCAAGACGCCGCGCAGCAGAAAGAGCAAGGCAGACCTGTCAACTGAGAATGCTGTACCATCCACCACAAAACGAACCAAGACTCCGAGTCGACGGAGCACGACAAGAACACCACGAGTGTCCGACACTGAACCGGAAGTGGAGGCGAGTACACGCAAATCACGCAAGAGTCTACCTGCGCAGGCAGTCTTGGAGCCCTCGGTCAAGATTGAGGAGCCAGATTCTCGACTGAAGCGAGAATCGTTAGAAGCAGGAACAAGCCCTTTTTCAGACGACAATCCGTTCCAGTCAGGGTCTAGTCCTCCCTCTGGCGCAGATCGTCGCAAATCTGCATCACGATCACGAAAGTCTCTGACAGTGACGAGTACGAAGAAAAGTCCCACCAAGCGCAGACAGACAACATCACCGTCTATTGACGCAGAAGAATCCGCACCTTCCCGTACGAGACACTCGTTCCCAATCTCCAGGGTCACATCAGATGAACCGGAGGATGGAGTCGCAGTCACGGAGGAATTCACACCTGATGCTGCTCAAGAGCTCGCCGAAGAGGAGAGGAATGGACAAGTTGTACCGGCTAGATCATCCGCGCTGGTTCGGCGAAAAAAGAAACAGCCAACAAGTACAGTCGCAAAAACCGCTCCCTTGGCTGTGCTTACGACCGTCCTGGCAGCACTTGGTGGATGGTACAGACAGGAGAAGATCAATGTGGGCTACTGTGGCGTGGGTGAACCGCATTGGTCTTTGGCCGCCAATCCGCATATTCCCGCCTGGGTTCATCAGAATGCCGAGCCAGCTTGTGAACCATGCCCACAACATGCCATCTGCTATCCGAATATGGAGGTTCAGTGTGAGACCGACTTTGTTCTCAAACCTCACCCATTGAGCGCGAATGGCCTGGTGCCGTTACCACCAACTTGCGAGCCAGACAGCGAGAAGCAGCGAAGGATCAAAGCCGTGGCAGATAGGGCCGTCGAAGAACTACGAGAAAGAAGGGCTGCCTATGAGTGCGGCGACGACATCTCCAAGACGCAAGAAACTGTGGCGTCGTCAATTGCAGAGACCAAAACAGTTGCCAAATCGACGAATTCTAAGCTGGAAATCAATGAGGAAGAGTTGAAGAAGTCAGTATCAAAGCAAAGAAGGAAAGGCATGAGTGAAGATGAATTCGAAAGTCTCTGGCGTGGTGCCCTCGGAGATGTCATGGGCCGAGAGGAAGTCGAGGTCAAGCACGATAGGTAAGTTTTGATCTCTTTTGAGAACATCGGTATTGCCCAAGCCGGTGTTTACATCTTCGACGTCTTGCGAATCGCTGACTGACCAAGCGTCACTGTTTCGACAACAGAACCGGGAGACTCCTCCTCACAAGCTCCTCCCTCGCAAGACTACCCCTCGGATGCGCCATCCGACGATCGCTACTCCGAGCGGTCACGCAAAATCGACTCCCTCTTTCAATTCTGATTTTGATTGCTTCGAGTCTATTCTATGGTCGCATCAAGCTGGTCGCGTATCAGCAGGCCACAGCGCAGATTCCTGGATTGGTTGCGACTACACTGGACAGACTGGCGACGCAAGCAGCCTTGAAAGAGGAAGGTCGCGCAGCGGAACCTTTCATCAGCGTGGGCCAGCTCAGAGATGATGTTCTGCGGAATGTGTTTAGCGCATCGGAGCGAGAGCGAGTGTGGCAGAATGTGAGGAAGATTGTGGAGGGCAATTCGAATGTCAGAGCGGCGACGAGGGAGGGTGGGAAGACCGGTGAATGGAGTCGCGTTTGGGAGTGGATTGGCCCAGTGGATTTGGCGCCTGCTTTGGAGGGACGACGGTCTGGGGGATTGATCGAGGATGGGAGAAATGCGAGTGCTGAAGGCACGCCGGATAGGTCGAATCTGGAGGTTCGGAGGTGGGATGAAGGACGACCGATTTATTGATTTTGATGGGCGTGCTTTCAAGTTGGTCGAGATGATGAGGACTACGGGACTTTCTTGCAATCATTCTGCTTTGTCGGAGTCGCAGCATGGGCTCCTCCTGGCGGCCTTTTTTTTGATTCTGTCTCTTTCGTGGAGCCGACCATGGACCTAATGACGGTACGTCCCTTTGGTCTATCCACAATATTGTGCGACTACGAGCTGCGTTGCAGGTGTGTCATATGAAATGTGTGACATTGAATTAAATACAGTGCTTTGCTTGAACGATTCTCCTTTCCCTCATTGGACTGATCGTTCGATATTTGTAGAGGCTGCTGATATTTGGTAGAGGCTGCTTATCACATGTAGATGAGTACCAGCTAGATATAAGATATAGTTATTGTATACCCCAAGGAGGCCTATGGGCGTCATACAATAAATAGTACAGGACTAAGTACCTTTCGCGAAAGTATCCATTTCAGCCTTGCGACCTCCTTTTACTACGTCATACCCATATTACAATATTTAAACCGAGTGATCAAACATCAGGGGGTGTTTCTCGCGTTTCAATGAAACCGCCGATTGCCAACGTCAATGTTTGTCTTCTTCCGCGTGATCACCACGGATATACCTGGCTGCAAAGGGTGCCATGTGAGGCATCCAGCAAGGGGTCCAACGCACCAAACCAGGATTCGCATTACCATGATCAGAGTGAAGGATTCGAATGGTTGGGCTACATGGCAGCCGGGAGCAGAGAGGCGCGGCCCACTGGGACACAGCGCATGGTGATCCTGGTAAGGCTGAATCCTGCGTGACACCGTTTATGAGACGCAGAATTTGAATAAATTCTCCGATGCGTCTGCTCCGTTTGAAGTCTGTGGTGGTATCGGTCAGTATCAAAGTGAGTGCAGTCCGAGCAGCGTTTGCTTGTCGACAACCCAGTACTTCTGCGACTACAGACCCGATTATTACGATTACTATCGCTACATTACCGACGTGGCGATCTCTACTTGCTCTTCGCAAAAGAAGAAACAACCTGGTCGGATCTGATGCAACGCTTCGAAATGGCCTCCGATCCCCACGACCCGGCGGGCCTCCGCTGGCTGGAGACACTCATTCCCGGGCGTATACTTCGTGTCCACATTCGGCTCGCTCATCACATTCACGTCGACAGTGGGCATCTTCGGTACGCCGCGACACTACTACTCCGAAATCCAGGTCTTTATCGCGCTGAGCTGGCTTTTCTTCACGCTTTCGCTAGCCCTAGCGACGCTGAGTTCTATGGCGCTCACATTTCAACGTCACCATGTTCGCGACGCTTTCGAGCGCGGGTACAAGAGTTGGCGTGGCGGGGCGGGGACCAGGACGGCCGGCGAGAGGGGCGTTGTTTTCGGCATTGTCGTGCTTGGCTGCGGGATGTGGTTGATGCTGCTTGTTTGTTTGGCATTTGTGTTCTTGAGCTTGAGCGTCGCCAGCTATTGTTTGGCCGTGGGCTGGATCAGCTTCGTGGTCAGTGTGGGCATGATGGTTGTTGCCGTGCTGTTTTGGGTGTTGATGATTCAGAGGGATTGAGGGGAGACCACCATTAATTTGCGTCCAAGACAGTCACCAGAGGATGGTGGTGATTCAGATGGCTGATGGTTCGAGCAGACTGTTGCCCTCGCTGACCACGTTGATATCTGCCCGGAGATTATGCGCTCAGGTGTCAGTCTCCGTAGGTCAAACGAATTAGGCTGGGGTCACGAACGCAGAGCCCACCTCTTTACGAGCCTTGAACCGTGTCGGTCATGCTTCTGGGAAGAGAATGGAGTTGAGTAGAAGTTCGATGGACAACTGAAGATTCTCGAGGCTAGCACAAATGAATCGGCCGGAGGAAAAGGGTTGGTCAGAGGGTCGTGATGATGATGAAATTCAGCGCATAGGATGATGTATTTTGGTAGCAAGGTTTCTTCAGGCCACCTCAAACAATCAACTAATTGCTCACTATGTGGTAGTCCAATTTAACTAAGGCTTCGGGTGATGAACGGCCGATTCGAGCCGCCGTCCCGCTCCTGCCGTCTGGAATCTAGTGACTTCTTGGGCCTTTTCATTTATCGACCTTTTCCCTTTCTCTATCTCTGCCATCAACACATGCAACCACCACCAATGCCATTGTTATTCAAGCGAAAGATCCTTGCAGACAATAATCATCGCGTAGGACAAGGGAGAATGTCGAGACTTGTTCGTGTACCAGGCTGCTGAGGACGAGATCCTGTCCAAAGTTCATCTTGGCTACATGAAGAAGAGGCTATCGATATGCAAGCCCCCAACCATAAGAGATCGCGGCCGTCCTTATTGGGCATGATTTGCCAGGGTAATCACCCACTCACGGCTGAAACCCTCGTTCAGCAGCCCTCTTCAAACTTAGCAAGGATGGCGCTACTTGCTATATGTGCCCACCTGAACCGCAAGGTTGGGGCTGAAGATGCCAAAGTTTACTTTCTCTTGTCTCGCCGCCGACTGCTCGGTGTCTCAAAACGCGACGAAGCAAACAGTTGCTTTGCCCACTAGTCGCTACCCGGGATTCTTGCGCAATGCATTGGATCAACAAGTTCTCCAATCTGCAGCTGGACATTGTCGGTATAATAGCAGTCCTAGGAGAAGGATCCGTCACAAGAAATGCTCAGGTCACCAGTTTGTCATGGTGGTCGATGCTGCCCCGTTTCCTTCCAGCCCCTCAAGCGTTACTGGAACATGACCGGAAATACAGGCTTCCGACGGCCCCTGGAATTGTCGCAGGAGCATACAGTGGCACTGTCAAGAAGGAGATCAACTTCTTTGCACAATTGTTGCACCAAAGGCCCCTCGATGACTTTGAGGTCGAACTCGTTGAAGTCGTGCGCATAAAGCAGGCTAAGGGACCAAGCTTTGGACCACGTCCGTTTGGACCGCTGTTCTGGGTCACGCTACTCGGTTGCGCCATGGGTGCAGTCATCATCATACTGTCCGCCTACTACGATGACGGGTTCGCTCTGTTTTCGACCATCATGCTCTCAATGGTGAGCTGCACAGTGGGAATCGGCACGCGGTGGGACTTGGCATTCAGAGAGCCCAAAATTCAAGCTGAGCGTAGAGGTGCACTGCCTCGATCAGATGTCGTGATATACTACCCAAATGTGAGAGGACCAGTCTCGTGACCTCCTTGTACTGGACATTCGCTAAGCGAAACTTAGGGCGCCATGCGTGTGGTCCGCGTCGAACATGAAGAGATTGCGCGACTGTACTTTCAGACAGAACATGCACAGTACAAGATCGAAGGTGGGCATATTGTCATACAACCCGAGTTTGAGGCTGACTTCGTCATCTGCAGATACTCCGTACAGAACTCTCGCTGTGCTGTCCACAATCATGTTGATGGCCGGCGTGGTCTCCCTGGCAAATGCCTCAAACATCCTACAAGCTGCTTTCACTGCCGCTTACATTGTCTTGAATGGCATCTACTGGACAGTCTCCGCCCTGAATCCGTTCAGGCACTGACGACACGCCTACCAAACCCATGTCCTCAATATCGCCCCACTGCCTTTGCCGGGAGGGCAAGACCACCCGATAAAGAACAAGAGTCACGTAAAAAGGATCATCAAAACCCTTCGTCATGAATGGCATCGTTTTCAGATCTCCTGGGGTTTATCCGACCCAGCAAAACGTGCCCCAACTATGGCCGACCCAAACCCAGCTGGCGCTAGGAACTTCACGGCGGCCCTGTGGACAGCAATCGTGTTAACAGGAACCTCACAGTGGCTCAACGAAGCCACAACAATAGCTCCCGTGAACGACGCGTGGAAGCAATGGCTCCTCGAAGCCGGGGCAAAGGCCCAACCCATTGACGAACACGAGGGTCGCTTCGAAATGCGTCGGACTTGGGGTATCTCCCATAGTATACAGCGTATGCCAACTGGGACCGACTGGCGGTTCATTCGCGCGGCAGATACTCCTGAGGCGAATCATACCAGGCGGATCATCATTCGCCGGCAGATCGGCAGCTGGGAATACAACAAGCGACTAACAGAGATTCTGGCCGAGTATGCGCCCAAAACCAGGAAGCCATATCCAGATGAGACGGACGAGACCATCGAGCCAGTCGCAGCCAACAGTGCGTCGGCACAGGGGCCGTCATCCGCCGTCGAAGCCCTCCCCAACGCACTCAACCTGGCACATAGGGTAACAGGCCTCACTGTCAGGACAACAGCAGCTTCAAGCGCACAAACATTTCTGTCATCTTCGGTTGACGTAGAAAAGGCCCATGCATAACCATAGTTGGTGCTAACATCGCGAGTGACTGTCAAGGCAGGACCATCGAAACAGACACAGCCGACCATATGATACGACATCTACCAAATGCCCTCATATCGACTGCCAGATCCTCCACCCTTAGATCTCTTTGGCGGCCACAACGTCAGCCGGCTTCCCCTCAGCAGAGGTGTCCCTGACACTTTCCTCATCTTTTGCTTCAACAACAACATCAGTTCCTTCGACCGTGGATGTCGCGAATGGAAACGCCAAGCATAGCAAGTAATAAGTGATGCTGAAGCGGATGTCAGTATGAAGTCTTCGAACAGCATGGTGAGACAGCGATTCTTACGCTGCGATGACCAATCCATCGAGCCAGCCGAGTGTGTAAAACTCCAAGATGCCTTTACCCATCTTGATGTTGGGGTTGATATTGTAAATCAGGCCCGGCAGGAGTGGCGTCACACCAACCATCCAGGCCGTTAACGCGCGGGGATTGCATCCCCTCCAGTACCAGTACAGACCGTTCGTTTTGTATAGGTGGAGCATGTTGTACGGCTTTGCCTTGCGAATGATCAAATAATCACAGAGGATGACTGCGGGGAGTGGCTCAGCAACAAGTAAATTGCGCATGTGATAAGATTACTTACCACCAACAAGGGGCCCCAAGAAGATCGAATATCCTCCAACGAAGTTGAAGAAACGAGAAGCTCGTGCTTGAATGACCCAGGGGTTCATGGCAAAGCCGAGGATGGCGCAGATGACTTGGCCGCGTCTGAACTCCAGGTTAGTGGCGGACGCGCAGGGGGAACCACTGGCCTTACCGAACATTGAGGTACTTCGGAAAGATTCCCATGATATCGTGGGCGAAAGGAATGCTGTTGCCCGTGATGTCTGGGAAGTGTGAGTAATCATTGCGCCATTGTGGTGCTTTGGGTCTTATCTTACTTGTGGCAATGGTAGCAAACGCAAAGAGGAACCCGGCAAAAAATTTGGCGGTCCTGTTGTTCCAAAGCAAGACGATCGTCAGGGGATTCCACAGGACTTCGCCATAAACGACTTGAGCGGTGGCCGCCATGAGTGCTCCTAGCAACTCGACTAGTCGGAAGATTAGCTATGGTTGTTCTCTAGGACCTGAAATGACTTACTCATGGTGATGCAGATTGGCAGAGCAAATGCTTGGGCAATAGCAGAAGTGCGAGGATTCTTGGCATAACGAGTGATATCGGCCATGTTGACGGCGAATGCTGGAATAGATGTCAGCCTCAGGCATCCCTCCTGCCCCAACTGGACGTCGACCTACTCGCATTGCCTCCAATGGTCGCTAGAATGGTGGAACAAAAGACATATCCGATCGACCACCCACTTGTGATCTTGTTTGGGATGGAGAACAAAGGTCCAACGCCGTTTCCTGCGGTGAGAGCCCACGTGAAGAGCGCCACGTAAAAAAAGGGCATGATGACGATCTTGACAGCGAAGAGCCAGCGCAGGGACGACAGTGGGACAAAGAGCAGTGGAAAGGACGCCAGCCAGAATAAGGCAAAGCAGAGAAGGTCTGGAGCCGTGATGTCTGCGCTCGCAGGCAGGCTGTTCACGTGCCAATGTGCGAAAGAAGGCCAGATGGCTTCGAGCATGCATCGCACGGCGTTGCCGCCCAGACTCGCCTGGACGCCGTACAGAATGACGCAGAAGATTCCGCGGATGATCTGAGGGAGCGTGTTAGTCGCCATCATTTGCACGCCACTCAGACGCCAGAGAACTTGCCATGGCCCAGTATGCACCGATCATGCCATATGCCGCTCGAGCGATGACGGGAAAAGGTATCGAGTACTTGCTCCCAAGCCAGCCCACAATACAGACTGGTCCTGTCACCAGGAGATTACCGATCAAGCACGCCACCATTGCCAGACCTGGATTGAGGCCCAAGGCAACGGCGCTCGAGGGCACTTGCATTTGAGCAGGATTGAAGCCTTCGGCCAACCAGAACCCCCCGACGTGCCACCAGCTCCATGTCTTCTTGTTTGCAGGTACAGGGTCGAGGTCCCTGTTGCTCCAGCGAGCGGAGTCTCCTTCGGCAGTTAATGAGCCGGGGTCTGGGTGGAGGACGACATGCTTGTCATGAAATTGGCGGAGTTTGTCCATTCTTGTTGATGTGCAGGACTAGGAGGTGCTTGAGTCGGGCTTCAATTATATCTGCTCGATATTCTCTTTTGCATGAGACACACTCCCTCTCCTCGGCGGGTGTGGCGATGTTCATAAATAGTAGTGTCCGCCATGGTGTATTCGACTTACTCAGTGTATAGAAAGGTATCCAGAAGAGATACACAAGTCTGCAGCCAATTCTGGATCGCAAAAGAGATAGTCAAGATGGGGACCGATAAGCCCGTCAGAATTTCAAGCGGCCTTATCGTTCAAGAGCCCGCGGGCCCGTTTAACAATCAGATAAAAACCAGTCCCTGGAGAGAAGTCTAATCGTTGGAGAATGACAATTGCGTATTTGATTCGTCAAATAAAGACGACAAAAGAGACGATACTGCGCATGATGGATTAGATCGACCCTGTAGGAATGCCCAGTACCTGGTGTCTACTAGGTACCCCGTTTTCGCTAGTTGCTACCACTCCATATCAAGTGATCAATACCTGTCCCGGTGCCGTGTGCGCGGTGCTCGCGGGCAGGGTGGACAATGTGCCCGAAATCCAGCCAGACTCTGAACTTGCTGGTAATCAATCCGAACGGCTCTGAAGCGGTAACGAACCTTATACAGTCCGGTATCGACCGTTATACGGGACCAAACACTGTCACCACATACTGGACGTGCCCAAACGGACCAGCCGTTTTGCAGAGTCAGGAAGATATCGACAGAAGCACCGAGGCATGTCTGGGGCCATTGGTCCAGATCCAGGATCGCAAACGATACGATGCATTCCTGTTGGCTTGCTATGCGGATCATCCCCTCGTTGCAGCCTTGCAGGGCCGACTGGGTTTGCCTGTTGTGGGCATCTTCGAAGCAAGTGTTCATCATGCTCTGGACGTCCTTCAGCGTATGAAGCGTTTTGCAATCTTAACGACGGGAAAGGCATATGAAGAGCAATTGAGCAATGGTGTCACGAAGCTGCTTGACGTCGAGGACGTGCCGCTATCGAGGTTTGCGGGCGCGGTGGCAACGAGCGTGGGATGGTCTGATTTGCAAAAGACGGATGAAGGAACGGGGATAGTAAAGGCGAAGGTCAGAGAGGGAGTGCGGAAAGTTTTGGGTCTGGGAGACATTGGGGTCATTTGCGTTGGAGGCGTGATACTCTTTGGTATGGAGGGATGGATTAGGGAGATATGTGAAGCAGAAATGGGACAGGAGAATGGTCAGAAGGTGATCATTGTCGATCAATTACAGGCCGGTGTCATGGCTGTAGAAAGGGCAATTGAGAAAATGCTGGATTGATAGACCCAAACGTAAGTGTACTTGAGTCGACTATATCCGGGCGTAGACGGTATTGTCTGAAGTCTGGAGCTGAATAGTAAGAGGTTCCTCTTCGGGCACAGTCTCTTGCTCTTTGCTCCGTATATATGGAAAGGTCGTCCTCCAGTGCATAGCAATATCTTTCCGGGTTGTGACCCATACACCAGGCTGTTGTTGGATGTATTTGACGAAGGACTGTACCGCGGCAAAGCGACCGGGCTTGCCACTGATCCTGCAATGAAGACCGATGGTCATCATTTTAGGCCGCCCTTCCAGCCCTTCGGCATAGAGCACGTCAAAAGAGCTTTTCAAGTACTCCAAGAAGGCGCCTGATGAGCCCCATGTACCTGGAGCTATCTGATATTTCAGGTCATTGTTGTCGTAGCTGTACGGCAGCATCAGCATACCCTTCGGGTTTGAGAGGTGTTTCTCCGCTGGGACATCAGTCCAATAAGGTAGGTCGTCCGAGAAGCAATCGGCCCCGTATAGTAAAGGCGCATCGAGCTCCTCATGCACTTCATGGATCAATGCTTGAGTGTGAGGCGAGCATCTACCGACAAACCATCCGACAGGGTAATTTCCAGTGGTGGCTTTCAGAGACTGCATCTGGCGGTGAATGTACAGCTTCTCTTCGTCTGGGGACATGTTGTGATATGGAATCCAGCGGTAGCCGTGACTGGCAATTTCATGGCCGCCCTCGACAAAGGCTTTGGCTAGTGGTGGGTTCTTCTCAAATGCTTGACCAACTGCATGTACTGTTGTTCGGATATTGTGCTTCTCGAACATGTTGAGAAGCCGCCACACTCCAACACGGGAACCATAATCGTAGTCGCTTTCGATTTTTGGATCTCTTGACCCAATGCGTGCCGCAACATGGGGCTGTTCCCAAAGTACATTCTCGGTTTGACTATCACCGTTCAGCAGCGACCTCTCAGCACCCTCTTCGTAGTTTATGGCGAAGGAGATTGCAATCTTGGCATCATTCGGCCACTGAGGATGAATTGAATATCTTCCGTAGCCGATGAGATCCCTTTCAAAATCGTACTTCGTGCCATGCAGCGGATCGGCATTTGGAGCATCCAAACTGATGGCAACATGGTCAACTGCTTGTAAAGCCATGGATGAATGACGCACACTGAGCAGTATGATGTTATGAAGACCGTTTTACGAGTATACTCCTGGAGGTCACCGTGGTGTTTCTTCGATATCTCGAAGTCGAAGAAGGAAGTGGTAGTAACAACCAAACCGGATGCAATTACACGTGACGCGGGCAGGTGGGTGGGCAGGAGAGCCCGTCTGTGCCCGCCTGAGTGCCCGCGGGCAAATTCCGAGATAAGACTGTCATCGGATCTGTGAGGCGTTCGCTTGGGGAGCCAGAGCTCGAATATGCCGGCACATCATGTGCACATCAGGCCGGTTCCTGAAGACACATCTGGATCGCCTCAATCTTTCATCGGCTGCGCAGGCTCGATTCCTCAGCATGCACATCAGGAACTTTTGGCCACCTCATGTAGGCTGTCCGAAATCATTGATGTCGTAGAACCAGTACTGATCCAGGCCTGCACCAAGTAAGGATGGGGAGAGCTGATGGTTTTGTTCAGCGCCTTGAAAGGCGCCGATGCCCGGCGTGTAGGCCGTAGTTCCAACATTGCCTTCGGCTCTAGGTTGATGTGCCAATCGGCTGCGATCAACAGAATGAGGAGTGGTCTCCTCGCTTTCTGGAGATGTACCATTGATGCCTTTGACGTCTTTGTGTGGACGATGGCTGGAGAGAAAACTTGCGTTGGCTTGCAACAAATCGACGGCAAGTTTCATGAAGTCAGCACTTGGGCCATTGATGTTAAGCAGCCATCGGAATTCCGCAATCTGAGAGAAAATATCCTTGGTTTCGCGCGGATCCTGGCTCGTTGCAAGTAGGACGAGTGCAAATGTGCTGATGATTGCCAGACAAGGCTCGGATGCAGAATGCCAAAACCCTTGCATATGTTCGGGTTTGAGGCGTTTCAGGAAGTCAATCACAGACTTGAATCTCATGATTGCAGCATCACGGGTGATTTTACGCAAAGATGGCTCCAATGCGTCTCGCATTTCGGATTCGAGAATAGCTCGATGTAAAGTGGCTTCAGCAGTCAGGTATGCAAGATACAAATGACCTTGGATCGCAGAGTCAGTCTCACGAAGTCATCCGGCGAATGACTGGGCACTCACCTGTCGCGGATAGCTTTCTTGGTTGTGTAGAATCAAATGCCAAACATGAGGGCAACTGAGAATACCAGGACTTCAGCTTTAACTGCAGTGGTTTGACTGCTTGGAGCAGATCGAATGTGCCTCTTTGATTTTTGGCCGCTTTCAGGGTGAATAGGTCGTCGATGATGTCCGAAAGGATTTGCGTGAGGGAGGCAAGATGCATAAAAATAAGTATACCCTTCTCCACTTCGGAGCTACCTTGCTCTGCGTCCTCGTCCTCGATGTTCTCTGGAAAATCTCCTATACCAAGTGGCAAGACCTCCCAGTTGTCCGCTTTGATGTGCGAGGGACGGCCATGCACAAGAGCCCCCCATTTGTCCTGTATGAACAGAGCCCAAGCTGTTCTCTTGCGCGCGCCCTTTTCCCAATCCGGGATTTGCCAATCGGTGCAGTCACGATGTAAGCCCACATCTTCAGCCATCGCAACCAACTGAGCGGTCAATCTCCAAGAGTCTCTCTTGGGTCGTTGTAGCAATAATAAGCCAGCTTGAATGTCTGAAACCTTGGAGATCTTGTTGTAGACCATGAGCGAAGGCACCAGCTTCTCAAGCTCGCTGATATTCGGTTTTGTGAGGTGGGCGAGCTCAATACTGTAAGACCACCAATTTAATGCTAGCATGTAGACGGCAGACAAACACGCTGGCGCGAGTTCTCGATATGATCGACCATGCTTTTCCAGGAAGACATCCTTATGGAGTATTGGAAAGCTAGGATGTACAATGCGGAAAAAGAGGTCCACCAGTGCCGGACCATGAGGCTTGATGAGGGCTTCGATCTTGTCCAGTGTCTCAAGCTGCTCGTCAATGGCTGCCTGCTCATCTGGTAGAATGAGGAAATAACCATCACTGCCAACGCGACGGACCTCGGAATCAAGGGGTCCAGCATGATATTGACCGTGACGGGACCGCTCAGCCAAATCGAGCAGTACTCGACTTGGACCTGACGTGGCACCGATGTATATGTTGGTACGAAAATGTTGATGACCCAGGGTTTGCCTCAACAAAGATGGTGCTTCAGGATATGCCGAATAGTCGTGCGGCGATTCTTGGTGGGAGCGCGCTTCTGGCGAAACACCTACCACTGCCACTGGGCTGACTACATCGGATTGCTTTCGTTTCTTCTTGGGTGGTCCCTCGAGGAATGTGCATGACTGCCCATGAGACCGACACAGCGCGCAATCATTCCCCGGTTCAACCAAGCATCGAATCTTCCGCCGGCGGCAATTATCGCACGGTCTGTCAGGCTTTGACAGAGTCGTCATGGAACCGTTACATATTCCAGAATACCATTGAATAGATTCGACAATGTCTGTTGCTTTGGTTGTGGTGGGAAATCAATCACAATACACACCCGACCTACCAGGTAGTACACGATAAGAGAAGGCTGTACTTTAAGTGCCGGCGTACCGATTGTGGGCACGTGTCTCACTACCTAGGTGTTTATTTCCCTGCGGCGTGACGTGCAGTCCGCGTTACTCTGTTCAGGGTCGTTACGCCTATATCATCCACGAGCATCCTGCGTCTGACTCGCTACGCACCCGCGATTCTGCTTCTTCCTTCGGCATAGGGCTGAGTCTACACAAAGAACCATCTGGTCTGTCTTGACCATGGTGACCACCGCGATCACCACCAGATAACGGCTTGAGCATGGCCATTCCTCTCCCAGGATCCCCGTCGTCGACCTGGGCCATGTATCGCGAACGCCTCAGGCTCTCTTTCAGCGGTGCCGACCCAAGGACATGCATAGCTTTCTGGCTGTTCGGTAAGTGTCTTCCCGGAAACGAGTCGATTAGCATTGTATCGCGACATTGGCCGTGCGCTGCTAATTGCAATACGTACCTAGGCTTGATTAACAATGTTCTCTATGTCATTATCCTCTCTGCCGCCCTGGACCTCGTGGGACCAGACGTGCCCAAAGGGGTCGTCCTCCTAGCAGATGTCATACCGTCGTTCTTGACCAAACTCTGCGCTCCCTACTTCATCCATCTCGTCCCCTACCCGATCCGAATCGTCATCTTCGTTGCCTTGTCCTCATCAGGAATGCTCCTGATCGCGTTGACTCCGAGCTACACCGAGGGAGGCTCGATTGGAGCCAAGTTGGCGGGCGTGTTACTGGCCTCTCTCAGCAGTGGTGGAGGAGAGTTGAGCTTCCTGGGACTCGTGCATTACTATGGACCTTTCAGTCTGGCTGCTTGGGGAAGTGGAACAGGCGGTGCTGGACTGATTGGCGCAGGCGCATATGCGATAGCAACTACGTCCTTGAGTCTCAGTGTCCAAAGAACACTGCTGGCTTCTGCCTGCTTACCTGCAATTATGCTGGTAAGCTTTTTCCTAATCCTGCCGCGAGAACCGCTTCGTTTGCACGGAAAGAAGCATGACCATACCACGAGTCCTGTCATAGATGAGGATGTTGATGGCGATGACATTGACGATGATCAACAACGAGGACTGCTTTCTCCTCCCGCAGCGACGAAACCAGCGCTCGACTTGCGCAGCGGCAAGCATTCGACGTGGTCAATGTTCAGACAAAACTTGGCCCGGGCGAGAGGCCTATTCCTCCCGTATATGCTACCTTTGCTGATAGTGTATGTGGCGGAATACACCATCAACCAGGGTGTCTCCCCAACGCTCTTGTTTCCTCTGGGACAGACACCGTTCAAACATTTTCGAGCCTTCTACCCGACCTACAATGCCATCTATCAAATCGGAGTATTCATCTCGAGATCTTCGACACCATTCCTCCGAGTTCACACCCTGTACCTGCCATCGATGCTACAGGTGGCCAACCTGATTTTACTGGCACTGCATGGGGTCTTCAACTTCATTCCTAACATATACATTATATTTGTTGTCATATTTTGGGAGGGTCTGCTAGGTGGTCTTGTTTACGTCAACACATTCGCAGAGATAAGTGACAATGTATCGAGGGAGGATCGCGAATTTTCACTATCGGCTACCACGGTAAGCGATTCTGCGGGCATTTGCATTGCTGGGTTTATAAGCATGGGCTTAGAAGTGATGCTGTGCAATTGGCAGGTCCATCATGGGAGAGATTACTGCAAGAAACTGTAACGCAGACCAAAAGCAAGATCATGATGCAATACAAGATCCCCTGGAGGAACACCCTTGACGACCTTCCTAGCCTGATGTTACCCATTGTGTGAGCAGGCGACCTGAGATGGTTGACGCGATGATAGTTTGCTAGCGACAGGTAAGCTACCGAAAGACATACGCCCTCTACGTTCCCAAATGCTCAGGCATCATGAGTGTATCGGTGCAGTGCTGTTATCTGTATGGACAAGCCACAACCGCCCAATCAAATCTGGCTTGAATGGCAGCTGACAAAGTTGGGGAGTTGATCCGATATGCTGGTAGCTGCCGAGCCTGTTTCCAGAAAGAGTGGCACCGTCTGATGAGGAGTACGTCGACGAGACAAATTCGAAGCCCAGCAGGTTCGCGACGGTGGGTGCCTTGACAATAAGCTGATTATGCTATACGTTGCAGCTGATGGTCTTCCTACCGTCAGAAGCGGACGCTATATCGTTGCGTACGAAGCACTCTAGATTGACAACAAGGAACAATATCTATTTGGAGGGTGAAGAGGTACACCAGTCAGACGGTGCCACTTTTTCTGGAAACAGGGTCGCTGTATCACTATACACATCTAGGGATGCCGACTAGGTACCGATGCATGACCGGGAGAGACGGTCGTTGATACCGCTGTACATTTGTGAGGATCATAGGCCGGAAAGGGAGATGTCTTCATGGCATGACCGACATGAAGTGCATGTGCGGTGAAAGTAGTGGCTCAAGACGCGCGCGCATCGGGGCAAGCCTGAAGAGTCCACTCACATGCAAGCCATTTATCGCGCCTATTGTTCCTGAATGCAATTCCGAAGAATGAAAGAGTTCCGGATAGGCACCGCAATTCAGCAGTGACAGTGTGACACAAAGTTTGGGGCCTTTGAGTTTGGGCTAGGCACGAGGTACAAGCAGCCTTGCAACCTTAGGACACTAGGTTACCGTACAAGTCCCCTACCTAGGTAGGTTCATCAAGCACGAGTCCCCGTGCACAGCGTGCAGCAAGTGGCTCCAAAAGCAATCCACCTGCACTGCTTCTTTTTCTTTTTCAGGCCAGTTTGTTGAGGTCTTTCGTTTGCGCTCCTCAACTTGAATCTTGCCTACAAAAATTTGAACGAGAAGCTATTCACCTGAAGTCGGCTATTCTTGAGTTATGGCTTAGAAGGCTTCCTTCGGAAACCCTTCTCGGACAATTGATCCTTGATCGCCAGGAGACCTCCCCACCAATCGCCAACGTTCCGAGGCTCGCCGCCAAAAGTGAAGATCGAGCCCTACCCGTCACAGCACGTGCGCATCCAACCACAACAGAGACTCCCAGCGAGAAAGGATTCAAGAGGCAGTGGAAACAGAGGGTCAGCGAGTACATCCATGTTCAACTACGCAACACGATCTTTCTGGCACAGACAGATTGAAACCATCCATCTTCCAGAACTTCCATCATGAAGCCGAAACAAAGCCACCGAACCGCCTCCGAAGCCAGCCACAGAATGCTCTATCCCGCCGATGAGCACAACCAAACAACTTCGCGCAGCCCCTACCCATTGCAACCCAACCAGCAACATCAGCAGGCACAATGGCGCGAAGCATGGATGGGAGAAAGGGAAGATGTCTGGATGCATGGCGGCCATTGGCAGCCTCAGTCAGGAAAAGGTATGTACAAATATCTCATTTGGTTGCCGTGAGAGTTGTCAGCACGAAGATCGATTTACATGGATTGGATCGAGCATGTTATATTTGCATCAGGATGCTTGCCCACCTGAAGTCGCACTCCCCAATCTTGTATGCACCCTTTGACGATCAGCTGTTTGTAAGCGTGCATTGGTGCGCACGAGTAGCGGCCATGCCACCAAAACTCCCACAGCAACCAGCCTCAAAAGCAAGAGCAAGAGCAGGCCCAGCAGCAGTAGAAAGGTGGGTGAGATGATCGTTGTATCATAGCCACCAAGCAGCAGCAATACTCGAGGAGCATCAGCAATATTGCTATACGTGCACAGACGGGCAGGCAACAAAAGAGTGAATCACTGGTGAATAACTGTTCCGGGATGATCGACGTCATGTTTGACGGGTTTGACCGTCGAGCTTTCTTCCACTAAAGTTTTGCATGGGGCTGACCCTCTGTTTTTGGCGGCCGGGAAAGGCGCCCGTTGGACTAAAATCGACAAGGGGCGGCGCCTAAAAGGAGGACCCTCTTTTACCACAAATTTTTGCGGGAGCTCAAAAGCGAAGGGAAAAACAACAGCGGGCAGCACCATCTCCCTGGATCAGACGACTTGCAATCCTGGCTTAAAGACAATGGGACAAAATCCAGCTCGAAGTGGATGATCCAGCTCCAATCCACCAACTGCTATACTCTTCCGAAACCCTGCTTTCAGCAGTGGGCGATTCGACCAGTGGAAGACAGGTGGTGCCTTATGAAGAGGGGGGAACGCCAGGCCTAGCGGGTCCTGATGCTTGATCCCGAATCTGCCATCACATCAAATGATCGAATGCGCCCATCATCGACCATCCCTGGCACAAACTTAACGAGACCACCAAAGCGGGCCACCCCTGGTTTATCCGACCCTTTCGAGTGGCTGCAACACGTCTGTGTGTCATACCCGACCGGCTGTCTGTCTGCTGGCCTGCTGGCTTGTTCCTGCTGGCTGGTGCTGGTCCTTACTGCTGCTGGGGCCAAACTGCCCCGGAAAGCTGTCCACGTCGACCTTGCCTGACAATGCCTGTGACCCGACTATTTGCAGCGCATCCGCAAATCCACACTGGCACCTTCTGCATATCCCATCTCATGTCCACGTCTTCTTACCTTTTCACACCCTGCATCGTCTGACAATACACATTTCTCCCTCTGTACCTGCGCTCTCCTCGTCGACAATTGTTGCTATACTTCAGCCACCTCGATGCATCGACGCCTGCTTTCATTTGCACAGTCGTTCTTACTAACCTGCAATCTTCAAAGAATCGGCCGCGGGAGGACTCGTATCCACTGTTGAGCAGCCTCCGCATCACTTTGCTGCATTCCCTGTTGATCATCCCGCATTCCACCATCCTTCTCTACAACAAGCATCGCATCCTCATCAACAGGCGTCTGCCATAATGGCAATGCCAGGACGTTCTCCGTCATACAACGTTCCTGCCAGTCCTCCACGATCATTCTCTGGTACGTTCCTGCCACTATCCTGGTCGCGCGATGAAACGAAACATGCGCCTGCGCATCATGATTTCACTTCTGCGGCTCCCAGTCCCCTACACTCACCACATCCAATGCATGGAATCGCTGCTAACCCTCGAGTCCAGGTTATCCAGATCCACGGGATCCTCCTCCCATGTACGGACTCCATTCCCGACCGATGCTGCCACCATCCCCACAACATTTTCCTCCGAGATTTTCGCAGCCTCCACTACCAGGCCCTTCGCCTGCAATAGCTGCCAATAACGGACCGCCACATCCACCGCAAAAGAGACCGGGAAGCAGTATGTCGATATCTTCGATGCTAGGCGGCGAACCAGACAGACCAATACAAGACCAATACCACAACCATGGCTCACATTCGAGGACGCCTTCGCGACAGGCCTCAGGTTCCATGTCATTGGGCACTGTCATGTCACCTCCGCAATATACCACAAAACCAATGGTTGGAGAATACTCATACAAGCCTAGGTCCAAGACCCCTGATAGATTCGCTGGCCCTGAGACATCCTTTGGCGCAAGACCCCATCGTTCGAGTTCAGGTACCATGACACAGAGGCCCGGACCTTTCTACGAATCACAGCCGCGGCAGGGGTCTCTACAAGGACCATATCCAGAACCAAGATTTTCGCCCCCTTTCGGGCCTGCTTTGCCGGCAAAGGATGAGTTCGATGATCGGACACGGCGCACAAGCATTAGTGGTATTCTTCAGAGGCCTGAGAGTCAGCCACAACCAGACACAACATCGACATTCCCTCCAGCACACCATCCACCCGCCCGTCCCGAAAGTATCCCCCCGTTGTTTGGGCAGCATGACCGATCAGGCCCACCCCATGTCAACGGCTCTGATATCTCACGTCCAAATGGTCTCGTGGGCTCGTACGATACTCGTCCTCCAAGCGTACCTAGACCAGCCGAACGACCAGCCCCGCAGTCCTTGTCGCCTGAACTGCGACGGCCACTGTTGAACGGCAATGAAAGTCGTCCATATGCAGCCTTTGGTCATGTTGGTGAGCCAGCCATTGGTAGCCATAACATGATGAGACAAGATTCGGTGCAGTCACAAAGTGATCGCTCAGTACTGGGGAATCGCCTGCGAAATCGACCGTACTCCCCTTTTGCAGGCTCTGTGGCCTCGCAATCAGGACTGCTGGATGATTCCGTTCGAAAAGGTAGTGATGAGCTGTCCCAGCACAGAGCTATTCTAGGCCTGGCAACCGAGTCCAAGCGAGGAAGGTATTCGCCTCTCCCTCAAGCTGTACAAGGTGCTCAGGCACAGACGCCTGTATTAGACACAGGCATCAAGACCGAGCAAGGGCGTGTTTTCTCGGGCATTGGAAGTGGTCTGGGTACAACATCTGCCAATCCCACCCCAACGCCACAGCCTCCGTCCGCAAGTCCGTTCAAGCAAAATGAAGGAGGTGCTCGTCTAAGTGAGGAGAACCTCATGAAGATGTCTCGGAGTGCTTCCGGCATGAGTAAGCGTAATCGCAAGACCTTCGACGATGAGGCCCGGGCCGAAAGTGATGTGGGCGACACCAAGAAGACCGCCACGGGACGTGGGAAGAGGAGCAAATATCAGCACTCGTACAAGCTTGATTTGGAAGAAGCAGCCTTGAGCCAGCGCAAGACCACATTTGGAACGTCAAATCATCTCCGGCGTACCGGTACTCCAACGTCTAATCCTTCACAACTCACGAATCATCCCATATCACACCGTCAGTCTTCGCCAGCAGAAAAAGTCCCTCAGTTCAGACCCAAGAAGACCATCAGGATATCTCCGGTCGTTGCTCAAGCCCGACGCAACCCGCGCCGCCATCTGGGCTTTTACAAATACGATCCCGAAGTCACTCCTGTCGATATCACCAAAGCCACAAATCAAAAATTCGATGTCTCGATACGACCCAATCTTCAACCTGCGTTCACAGATGCAGATCACGTCAATTGTACATACACTATACGTGTACCTCGTATGTGGCTGAGACACAGGGAAAGAGGCTTGATCTGTGCCGAGCGATATTTTTGGGGCTCAGGGATCTACACCGATGATTCTGATCCAGTTGCCGCTGCCATGCACTCTGGATTCATCTCGTCGGTGCACCCTGCTGGTATCGATGAGGCCTTGCTGGAGAAGGTGATTGAGGAGCAGAACCCCAGAATCGAGGGCAGTCCTGCCCCAGAAACACCACAACTAGTGGACGAGAATCGAGATCTCCATATAACACTTCTAGTCCTACCCCAGTTGGAGAGTTACGTCGAGAGTGCTCGCTTCGGAATCAAGTCGCGCAGTTGGCCTAATATCTCTGAGCCAATGACATCGTCCCCAGATTTGCACAACACACCTCACGATGGTGTAAGTTTCATGGTCCTGAAAACCGAGTTTGTCGATGACGGCATCGAGGTCAAGCGTGTGGGACGTACGGGTAAGGAGAAGCGGGAGAGACTGCGAAGGGAACTGATGGAGCGCAAGCGAGCCTTGGAGCTGGAGAAGGAGAAACTCGCCAAAGCAGCCATTCGAGTCAAAGAAAGAAAGGACGCGATGAGGCGGAAGAATTATGCGAAGAAGTCGGGCTTGAGTGCGCTGGAGGACTCGTCGACTGCAGGCAGGAATGGCACTGGTTCCGGCGATGACAAGCCGTTGAGTGGTGCGGCTGAACAGGAGAATGCCCCGGTTGTTCCAAGCGACAAGAGGATGGAGTTGGATGTTGGGCAAAGTCCTGGCGATTGGATCCGCCAGCTTGCGGTGGCGGCAGCATAAGAACCAAGGCCAGAGGCCCTTGGAGGAGGATGATCTGCATTTTGTATCTCTGCTCTTTGGCGTGATATGCAACTCCTGTATGACTGAGCGAAAACGTGCCACTCAATCGGTGGACGAGTTTAGTGATTCGATGCACCGTCACGATGCAATGTACAAATTCTTCTCTTCAGATCTTCCAGTCCTTCCAGTCCTTCCAGTCCTTCCAGTCCTTAAGAATATAGTATGTCCGCGTGAAGCAGGAACACTATACATGAACGCCACGCCTTCAACAATAGTCAAGAAGTGTCTTCTCACTCTGCTCCAGGATGCACCGCAACACGGAGACGGCGCTCTACGCAACAAATTTGGTGGGTGTCCATATTCTTATGAATATATCATGTCTGCGTCAAAGCAAAGAGAATATACATACAACGCCACGCCTTGCATCAACAATCAAGAAGAAATGTCCTTTCGGTTCTTGCCTTGGCCGTGCTCAGAGCAACTCAGCCAGCGTCCATTCGTGCCAGACTACACAATCCGCAACATAGCATGCACACTGTCCCCCACTTCCTGGCCCTCATCCTGTCCGTCACAACGGCAAAGCCTCGATTCCCTCCAGCCTTGCCTCTTTACAACGAGCGGCAAAGTCATCCCGGGCCACGGGGGACTTGTGCCGCAGGCTTTCGTCGACACACAGTTTGGGAGGTCTATCTACTGGCCAGGGGCGATCAGAAGGCCCTTCTTCGCAGCATCGGGCTCCCATCCACCGGCAAGAGCCTCACCGCCGTTCTGCGTGGCGTAATCCTTGATTTTGGCCTCAAGTGCAGGACGGAAATGTCGGATCAGACCTTGTATAGGCCAGGCGAAAGCTTCGCCGAGAGCTGCGACACACACATACAATGTTAGCTTCTCTTCCTGCTGTCTTTCAAGGGGAAAAGGGAGATGAAAATGGGCGGGCGGTACTTACCACAAATACTATGACCCTCGACTTGCTTCGTGAGTTCCTGGATCATATCAATCTCGCGGGCGCGGGCCTGGCCCTTTTCGAAACGCTCCATCATCTTGGCCGTCCAGGCGCTGCCCTCGCGACAGGGTGTGCACTGGCCGCAGGATTCATGTTTGTAAAACTGAGAAAGTCGGGCGATCATGCGGACCACATCGGCGGATTTGTCCATGACGATCACGGCGGCAGTTCCCAAGCCGGATTGGCTGTCCTTGAGGGCGTCAAAGTCCATGAGTTGGTCATCGCAGATGTGTTTGGGGAGGATGGGGGTGGAGGAACCACCGGGGATGATGGCCTGGAGATTGTCCCAGCCACCTCTGACGCCGCCACAGTGTTTCTCGATGAGTTCGCGGAGGGGGATCGACATTTCTTCCTCGACTGTGCATGGGTGGTTGACGTGGCCTGATATACAGAACAGTTTGGTGCCCTGGTTGCGCTCACGACCGAAGCCAGCGAACCATTTACCGCCGCGGCGAGCGATTGTGGGAACGACGGCGACGGTCTCGACGTTGGTTACTGTTGAGGGACATCCGAAGAGACCTACCGCTGCAGGAAACGGGGGCTTCAGTCTAGGTTTGCCGGCTTTGCCTTCGAGCGATTCGATGAGAGAAGTTTCTTCGCCACAGACGTACGCACCCATGCCACGGTGGAGGTACACGTCGAAATCGTAGCCAGAGCCGGCTGCGTTCTTGCCGATCAGACCTTCCTTGTATGCTTCTTGGATGGCGCGCTGGAGGACCGTCGCTTCGTGGTAGAATTCGCCTCGGATGTAGATGTACGCGGCCGAGGCGTTCATGGCACGGCCGACAACTAGACAACCTTCGACGAGCTTGTGGGGATCTTTGCGCATGATCTCTCGGTCTTTGCAAGTACCGGGCTCGCCTTCGTCGGCGTTGACGACGAGGTACCGTGGCCGCTTGTCTTGTTGCCAACCTTTGAAATTCATGAAAGACTATAAACGAGTATTAGAGCGGCCGAGGGAGTGGGATGGATCTGGGGACGCACGAATTTCAAACCAGATGGAAACCCGGCACCTCCTCTACCGCGAAGACCGGAGGCTTTGATCTCGTTGATCAGCCAGTCATCGCCTTTGAGGACAATGTCCTTCGTTCTGTGCCAGTCTCCATATTTCATTGCGCTCTTGAGATCTGAGCCATGGTGGCCGTAGAGGTTTGTAAATATTCTGTCCTGGTCTTTGAGACCGCCATATCTTCTCTGCTGTGGTTGTCCTTCCTGTACGGTTGCATAGGAGCGGGATTGGAGGGTCGAGGAGCTGGTGGCGGCGATCGGTCGTGATGCTGAAGCTGTTTTTGTGGCGGCTTGGGCCACGCTTCGAGTAGCAGAGGATCTGACGATCATGGCGCCAAAAAGCCGTCCGAGGACGATAATTGAGGGATGGAGAAGGTGGTGAGGACGAAAAGCGACCGACACAGAGAAGAGGAGAGGCGAGTTGTATGCGCAGTGTCTATTACTATGAAAGAGTATGTCGTCTTGTATCGAAATGCGCTGCGGTTGATTGGCTGGGAGCTTCTCCTCGCCAAGGTATGATTTCCACAGATTGAACCGCCCGAGTGGTATGCTTCACCGGAGCCAGATTCAGCACAAATCATCTCAAAATGGCCTTTACATTGATTTCATGCAGAATATAAGAAAGGGTTTCCGAAGTTGTCACTACTGCGGGATTTCGGTAGGTTCTTCCAGTCGAGGGCTTCTCGCAGATTGGAGCATTCGCATTTAAAGCGCAGGATCAAGGTCAATCGATCGCCGAGACCTTGTTAGGGGTTATCATATGCCTAGTATCTCTGCCAATATAATACAATCGAGCTGTCCCCCTGCACCACATCGTCCGAGAGACCCTTGTGCGCCAGAATGCTACTGGGAATCCGTACCGTCTCTTCCTCCATGATATTCCAACCCCAGCACAGTCTTTCCGGCCTCAACCATCGTTTGACTTTGGATTCTGCTGGGAATGTCGGAGAGAGGGCTGCCCTTGCTGCAAGGAGCATCATCAACTCAGCTGGAGGTTCTTCTCCCGGGGCCCATGGCCCCGGCGTGGGGACATACGCCCAGGAGTCGCTGTCATGCGGATACCAGTCAGCTAATTGTTTGAGCCACTGAGTGATTCTGTGCGGTAGTTTTACACCATGCGTGTAGTCACTGTACAATACTGCAAGAATAATGGCGATCCGGCTCTTTTCAAAATTTGCTGCTGACAATCCGCCTTCATTGACAATGTTCATGTTGGTCTCGAGCTCAGATATGCATTTCTGCAATGATGTCGAAAGGTCATCAGGGAGCATCTCCATGATGGCCAGGGGGTTCAGGAGCTCGGATTGGTGAGTCAATTGCTTTGAGTGCCGCGCAAGTAGTTGCTCCAAGCCGTCAAAGACGGAGGTGGAGAGTGTGGGACGTAACCGGTCAAGAACGGCCTCGTGTGTGCTCTCGCTTGTGGCAAAACTCAACACATATTTGCACACAGCTACAGCCGTCTCCACGATACTGAGCTGACTGTCCCGGTACACCTTCGCATTGCGCTGTTTCGGGTTTGCTGGGGTGACAGGGGGATGAGATTGTGCCGGATCTGTTGCCCTCAGTCTGGCCGCTCTGTTGGAGCATTCGGTCAACAATTGGCTGAGTGTTGCCAGAATGAGTCGACCATCTTCGAACTTAGACTCTGGGCCTAAACAGTAACTCATGATCGTCTGCTGTCTGGAAAACATTGTCTGCAGTTCGCGTTCATTGGCGCAGAGAACTGATATGCTGTCCAGTAGATCGAAAGAGAACAATGATGTCTCTAACGTAGTTGCCGTTTTTGATTGAGGATGACGATGGTCGAAGATGAAGCATCTTCTTTCCAAATCGGACCGCAGATCTTGTTTCCATCTTCGAGTTGTCGCTAGTGGAGAACCAGGAGGAGGCTTGATGCTTATTACCAGATGATCGAATGGGTTATTAGGGATTGTGAAACCATATGCCAGAAGAAGACCTTCGTTGTCGCGAGGACCGTAGTTGTTGCAGAGCTCCTGACCAGACTGATAGTTCTCTAAGATCTGAAGACCGACGAAGCTGTATCGGGCTTGCCATTCGACTTTTGCCCCAGGCTTGTGATTCAGCAGATCTAACAGTGGAAGAAGCACTCCGAACCTGTCGGAGAACAATTTCACGAGATCGCCAGAGTCGTCATCCGATGAACGGTATCGTAACCGAGCCAGATCCGCCGGAGGAGTGTCATCAAGGACTTGTGAAGTGAATGAACGACTACCGAATATCGAGGCGGCCCAGCGAAACTTGACCCTGTGGGGGCATTTAGTTGTATACGTGCAGGATGGTAGGATGATTCGAACATACCACGTATAAGATCCGTTCAGCGCGTTGGGCCACTGTGCTTGCTTCAGTTGGCCCATGCCTTGCAGATACATCTCCTTCCATTTCGCGCTTTGCGCTGAGATACCTCCTTTGAGATTAGTGCCCTCCAACCAGACAACGTCCGCTTCCACCTCGAACTGCATATCTGTTATGTCTTGAACAGTGGGTAATGTGGCAATGTATGGCGCCCACCATGAATCCTCTCCAATGACAAGCTGCTCCATCAGGAAGAAAGCTTGCAAAGACTCTGTCTTGTACACTTGATTCCGCAGAAACGATTTTGGAAAAGCAGAGCCATGACTCGAGAATGGGTCAATATCCAGAGCATTCAAAAGGGATATGGTTATTGGCACAGGACAACTGGCAATGCGAGCGCCGCTGAATAGCCTCTGACCATCAGCAACAACAGCATGAAAGCCCTTCCGCCCGCTGAAAGCAATCTGAGCATGGGGGTGAAAGTACCCATCATTGGCAAGGACCCAGTCGACAAGGCGACGGTGTTTGTCAAAAATGTCAGTCGTGGCATGAGTTTGTTCATTCATGCGCAGAGGAGGTGTTGAACTGTTAGATCGGCTCTCGTCAACAACGCCCCCCAACCTGGTAGCGTCGGGCTCCATGACTTTGTTGTGTGACGTGCCCCGAACGTAGTCAACCCATGCGCCGGCGGAACTTGAAAGGCGACCAGACCCAAAAGTGCCTAAAGGAAGAGCTGTTACAGCCGCTACAGCTGTAACGGTTGACCTGTAGCAAATAAACAAGACAATATCGAGAAGTATGGGTTACCGTTGTGACGTTGTCGATCTAAACACGGTGAATGGGAACACATGGGAAATCAGAACCACGGAAATATTGAAATTATTGTGTGGTTCAGTCCGCTTTGTTGAGCATACTTTGACATCTGTGCTCCTTCTCAGCTGACCAAGATATGGTTTCAGCCCTCAGCTTGCCTGCTATGACATGTCAATATCACATTGCGTCTTGATAGTATTGAACCTCTGCATGTTCGCAGGAGGACGTGAGCGGACAGGCTGTGTTGTGGAAGTAGAGGTTGCTCGCATTTCAGACGTCTTAGCACCTAACGGGGACACTATAAATTCTAATCACTAAACACCCGCCGGTGCAAATAGACACTGGAGAGCCCTCTACTAAAAAAATTTAGTCAGTTCTCTTACCGAATGACTGCGGGGACGAAAGCCAAACAGGCGATATCGGATTTGTCCAACATACGGCGACCATTGCGCCTATCGATGAGAGCGCACAACTCCTTCGGCCTAGCTGCACGATGGGGTTCTGGCCGGCGTGGGTCAAGGCACTTTGTTCGCCGCCCACGGCGAACCTCCGGGGGACAAAACGTGACGGCTAAGACCTCATTGATGTCTCCGTTATCCTGCTGGTCTTGATCCGCAAATCTTTGCCCATGTCCGGAGCCAGCCTCTCTTCAACGTTGTTACGACCTTCGAGCATCATCAGATCGCTACGAAGTCTTCCTATCTGCAAAGCTGGGCCATCCAAGTGGTTAAATTCTAGAGCGATGGCAGTAAATGGAGTCAACGGGGTCAATGGTGTCAATGGCAGACGGTCAAAACATGACTTCTCTGCTCTGAAGGTGAACCAGTCCAGGTTGTTAGACGCCATTCATTCTGGGTGTGAATATGGCGCCGCTCATCGATATGGAGATCATCCGACCGAGACGGGAATGGCCAGACTCAGTCTGAACGATGCGGATAAGCAGGTCCGTGACTGGTTCATTGCCACGACAGAAGAGTTGGGCTGCAAGACGAGTGTCGACCAGATGGGAAATCTCTTCGCCGTCAGACCGGGAAAGAACTCCAAAGCGCCACCAGTTATGATGGGCTCGCATCTTGACACGCAGCCCACCGGTGGAAGATACGACGGCATTCTGGGCGTTAACGCTGGTCTAGAGGTTCTGAAAGTTCTGCACGAGAACAACGTAGAGACCGAGGGTAGTATCGGAGTGGTCAACTGGACCAACGAGGAGGGCGCTCGATTTCCGATGATGGCCGTCTCATCAGGTGTCTGGGCGGAGGCTGTGCCTCTTGAGACGGCATGGAACTTGGCCGAGGTATCGCCTGACGAGCACGGACATCATCGCACAATGAAGGAGGAGTTGGAGAGGATTGGATACTTGGGAGAGCAGAAGGCATCGTATAAGGCTTTCCCCATGGCTGCACATTTCGAGCTTCATATCGAGCAAGGTCCCGCTCTGGAGATGGAGAAGAGAAGAGTTGGCGTCGTGAAAGGTGAGTCGGCGGAAAAGCCGTTTGTCCTAGCCCAACTAACAACAAATAAGGTGTGCAAGCCTTCAAATGGTTCGAGATCACGGTCAAGGGTCGCGATACTCATGCAGGAACGACCCCTTTCCCGGCACGCATGGATTCGATGCTCTGCGCAGCCAAACTGATCGTCGAGTCCAACCGCATAGCGAAGGAAGCCGGTGGTCTCTCGACAACCGGCATATTGACTGGCCAGCCAGGTTCTATCAACACCATGGCTCATACTGTCACTTTCACGCTGGACATCCGCCACGTGGAAGACGAGAAACTTGCAGAGGTTGAGAAACAATGCCGAGAGGCCTTCTCGAGAATCGCCGAGAAAGAAAGTGAAAAAGGATGCACGGTCGAGTGGAAAGAGCTAGTGGATAGCCCTGCAGTGAACTTCCACCCTGACTGCATTGCCGCCGTCGAAGCCAGCGCAAAGGAGGTCGTCCAAGACTTGCCCATGACAGCAGAGGATGGAGAGCTCTGGAGGTACATGATCAGCGGAGCTGGTCATGACAGTTGCTACACGAATCGGCGCTGTCCGACCAGCATGATCTTCACGGTAACGAAGGATGGAGTTAGTCACAACCCTCAAGAGTATTGCAGTCCCGAAGATTGGTAAGTCCACCCCCCTGTATGGAGTATGTGCTCGCTGACCGGTCATACAGTGCAATTGGGGCACAGGTATTGCTCGGCGCTGTGTTGAGATATGACAAGACGCGCACCTTCGCTTGAAGAATCCATATGCCAGAACCCGGGAGGCAGGTGGGAAATGGTGAAAATAGAGGCGAAGACCTTGTGTCATTGCAGGTTGACATTCAAACAATCAGACATACCATATTCATATTGCTCTAGCTTTGATAGCAATTGAACCCAAACCCCGTCGCTATGCCGATGACCGAACATGTCCATTTCAATCACTCTCATGCATGATATTCGCTTTTTTGCTCCCTTCCTTTACAGGCTTCGGAATGGGTTTGGGAGGTCCAAGGTTGTGCTCGGGTCGCTTCCCGTCCAACTTTTCCACCTCTTTCTCCCATTTAGTGAAGTATTCCCACATCTCTTCCTCGCAGCCGCGCTTGGCGCCCTCCCTGCAGTCCTTCAGGTTCACAACAAAATCTCCTGCTTGCCACATACTGTCATGTGTACGAAGTGAACCTGTCTCGTCTCGAATTGGCGGAGTCGCAAAATTGTACGAATTGAAGCGTCGCTGCTCAATCAGCACCAGCTTGGCAAGGACTGTAGGATGCCACTGTACGAGATGCTCCAGCGCGTGGTTTTCGGCTTTCTGAAATTGGTAGGCACGATATAAAGGATCAAACCAGGCATCCAGAAAGTACTGAGCCCAATTGTCTGGAGTTGCGGTCGTGAAGGGGGTATTGCGTAAAAGGAGAGATGTGTGAGCCAGATTGTCCATATCTTGAGACAAGATCAGGTGCGTGCGAGACGGCTTCAAGTGGGAAAACGTGTGTATGACCGAGTCGGGTGGTACGACTGGAATGTCCTTGAGCATGAGGGACTCAAGGGGTTGCAGTATATGCGACTCGAGTGAGAGCGAGGGGTTGGTGATGAGGGCATCCGCAGACAAGAGCCAAAACCACGTACTTGACAGATGCGCTGTCAAGGCATGCCGTAATGCTGGTATGACTGACCATGAAGGGGGAGCGGGCTGGATGAGGCCGTGGTAGGTGGTCACATTGGTGTAGAAGTTCTTGTATCCTGCCATCTATCTTAGCATCATATACCTCAGGAGTCTTGATGTTGTGGGTACCATGGCGTGCAGCATAATCTTCCCGATTCGCTTTCACAAGTCGTATGTAGTCCTCGCTCATGGTATTGTTGTCGAAGACCGTAACGACCACGATGTCTTGACGACCCTCGATCGCAGCGACGCCGTCTTCGATCTCTCCCGACGCAGTCAGATATAGTATTGACTTGAGTGCGAGGTAGAACGTTAGCAGTCCTAGTACCACGCAGCCAACTACTTGGACCTGCTTCTGACGTCTTAAGTTTGCGGACGCGGCGGTACTGCCACGCGCATAAGGGGGATGAGAGGTCTTGGACGGCAACGCGAAGTGCATTTTGTATGGCGTAGACGGGGAAGACTTCTCAATCGGCAGACCTGGGATGCACCATCGTTTTCTTTGAGGCCAGTTGTGGCATGGAATCGGTGTCTCCTGAGTCCAGGAGAGAGGAATGGAAACTTAATGTGACGGACACCTGCACCCGACCGCAGCCAAAAGAACCGCCGCTACTTGACCTGTCAACAAAGTGTCCATTCATTTTTCAAGCGGCACGGGCTACCCAAGAGTCCACCCTTTTTAACAATCATATCTTAGATTTTGGCATGAGGCAGATGAATGAAGGAAATGTGTTGGTCGTGATCTACTTTGTTCGGCCTAATGTCGAACCTGCCCACGCAGAGATGGTCCCTATCACGCAACCCTTTAGGCACCTCGAAACAGATTCCACCTCGTACAGGTACAGTGTCCCATGATCACATGGTCGCGTCCAATGGCGAGGAATTGAATGGCCGTGGTCCCCCAATACAATGGATGGACTTTCGTATCTGGTCATACACGGTTTCGACTCCTCTAGTCCCGCGCTAGCGCCGGCACCTTTTACCAGATGCCTGGAAACATCGTGTAACGCTTCTTCTTATACTTGTCGCCGAATTCTTTGCGATACCGGCTTTCTTTCTTCTTCGACCACTCTGCCATCTGCGCCACACTCACAATAGTAAAGATGAGGACACCCCAGCTCAGCCCACTGACAAGATACACGCCAATCCATGAAAGCGTCTCGGTCAAATAATTTGGACATGTGACCAGCTTGAAAAGAGGGCCTTGCGGGATACCACGCTCTGATCCGCCCGCACTCCTGAGACCCATCAGAGTCAGATGAGCTTGGAGGTTTCCAAGTTCACCAAGGGCGAAAAGGGCAAGCCCAGGGTACAAGAGCAGGGGATTCGCTTTTCGCGCTGCAGCCGAAGAGGGCGAGTAAATGAAGGCCGCAATCAGGGCTCCGGAGAGCACCCAGTAATGGAAACTATTTTTGAAGACATTCCTGAATGGCATAGTGGCCGCAGAGAAACGATGAACGAACAGCGTCTCCAGCTCTCTCTTGGTGAAATGCAGGCAAATGAGCCAGCATAGCAGCTTCTGCAGTGGGGATGCTTCCTGGGTCGCCGAAGGATAAATGTATGGGCGTAGTGCAAGCCACAAGGGATGTATCAGGATCGGTCCAAAGTATTCGATGATGAACACTGTCCGCCAACCAATCTGTGTCCCAAGATCTTTGACATGTATCGTGCTCTGATCCCTCAAGCCTGTCGCATGCACAGAGGTTTCTTGAGCATTGGGGACAACGCTGCCGTCGGAACCTTTGGTGACGCGGAGCTGATGGACGGAGAATTTAGATCGAGCTGCGAGCTCAGCGTAGAGGTCGGCAGAAGTGGCATTGGGACCCAGTTCGAGGGTATCGGGCAGAGCCTTTATGGGCTTTCCTGGAAAGGCATCAAAACCTGCCGTATCGAAGCCCAGAGTCAGACTTACCACGAGGACGGATTTGCAGAACAACAGGCTTGGACGCCATCTCGACCAAATGTAACTCTGTAGGTGGTGTGGTAGCAAAAACACTCACGGTAGAAGAAGGAGGACAACAGACTTTAGTACCTGGGAGCAAGCGTACCTAGGTAAGATCGATTATTATCCACTGACGTAAAGGACGACCTAATGTTGAGGCGTTGTGGGCCTTCCCTAGCCTGGCGGATGCCGCCAATGCCAACCACGGAGAAGATTTTGTTAGACCCGGGCGGCACCTAGGGATTAGGGTGGCGGAGCAAGCACCCAATGAGGCTGACTGTAGCTTATCTTTGAGAGTATGACATCTGCTCATTCCCTGAAGAATGTCAATAACTTCATCGTGTCGTTGTCATCCTATCTCATACAGGCATCGACGACGTCCTGTTTGACCATGTGTCCGAACGATCATCATCACCTCCAGGTCAATAAAGCATACCTGCACGGTCGAGAGCGTCAAAAGGCATACCACATTTCGTTGCAGATCGTTACGCTGGTGAGGCTTGTAGGCTTGCAGCTGAACGGACACTATTGGTGGTGTTTCCACCAGACACATCAGCCGTAAAGGTAAAGGGGCTGCTGGCTGGTATGAGTTGGTAAAAGAGCTATCGTGCCTTCCTCTCGATCTGCCCTTGATTCTTGCCCTGTCGTGTGTCTGTTGCTTGCACCTGACCTGCCTTCCCGTCGACACCTGCGTTGCGAGGTGCAACATCGTTATCGCGCAGCGCTTGATAGTGTCGAGCACTAACGCCTGCAGGCCTTTGTATTGCTACTTCTATTCCTGTTCACATCATATATCGAGTATACAATGCAGTCCCCTCTTGCTAAGCTCCAGCGTCTACTATGCATCACCCCAAACCCGGGCCCGAGTATTGAAAATGGAGCCGGCAAGCAACATACAGAGGCTCAACCCATCGATAAGGTCGACGGACAAGATGGCCGACGATCTAGCGACACGAGCAACTCCACAGCAACTACCGAGAGCATGCATTCCAACCATATTATCAACGTCCTCAAGGCCTTCAACTTCCGCAACCTGAATACCCTCAAAGATGTTGCTCTCGTCGGAGTGGACGGCGAGCCGGTCGATGATAGGACGTATCTAATGGAACGCATCGTTCAACTGGCAGCTGACCTTCCTGTCACCAGCAGGTCCAGTGCTACATTGACGAATGCATTCCTCAATCAACTATGGACAGACCTCCAGCACCCACCTCAGTCATACCTCGGCAACAACTTCATCTTCCGGAAAGCTGATGGAAGTGGGAACAACATTCTATGGCCCCATCTCGGTGCTTCTGGTCAACCCTACGCCCGTACGGTGCGCCCGACACTCATGCAACCTATTGCGCGTCCAGATCCTGCCGTCGTCTTTGAAAGTCTGATGGTGCGCAGAAGATTCGAACCACATCCGAATAGCATCTCAAGTGTGCTATTCTACTTAGCTACAATTATCATTCATGACATCTTCCACACCAGCCATGACGATTTCAATATCTCCGAGACCTCGTCCTACCTCGACCTTGGACCATTATACGGCAGCTCCGACGAGCAACAGAAAGCCATCCGAGCCATGAGAGATGGACAGCTGAAACCCGACTGATTCTCAGATGTGCGCATTCTTGGTTTCCCGCCTGGTGTGGGTGTTCTTCTCATCATGTTCAACCGCTTTCACAACCACGTCGCGAAGGCATTGGCGCTCATTGATGAAGGTGGCCGTTTCTCCAGGATTCTGCACCCTCACAGCGGCTCGCAGAAAATCACGGATCCAGAGGTTGAATATGATGAAGCGCTGTTCCAAACAGCTCGGCTGATCACGACTGGTTTGTACATTAACATCATCCTAAAGGATTACGTCAGGACGATTCTGAACCTTAACCGGGTGGACAGTACTTGGGACCTGGACCCGAGATCTGAGGAAGGCAAGGCTATCTTTGGTCACCAAATCCCCGAAGCCACTGGAAATTCAGTATCTGCCGAGTTCAACCTCATTTACCGTTGGCACTCTTGCGTTTCACAGAAGGATGAGCAGTGGACGCATGAGCTCTTCCAGAAGCTCTTCGGAGACCAGGAGCCAAGAAACATTGGTGCCTTTGTAACTGCACTTACTGAGTGGGCAAAGACTCTGAGTCCGGATCCTGTCAAACGCGACTTTGCTGGTCTTCAGCGGCAACCAAACAACATGTACCCCGACGAGGAGCTGGCAAAGATCTGGACCGCGTCAGTATCGGATGTTGCGGGCAGATATGGGGCCAGTCATGTACCAGCCATCCTGAAGACTGTGGAAGTACTGGGCGTAATCCAGAGTCGTTCCTGGAATCTGGCCAGTCTGAACGAGTTTCGATCATATTTCAAGCTTCAGCCACATAAGAAATTTGAAGATATCAATCCGGATCCGGAGATCGCAGAACAGCTGCACCGGCTTTACGGTCACCCCGACAATGTCGAAATATACCCTGGCATCGTCGTTGAAGCGGCTAAAGAACCCAAGGTACCCGGCAGCGGTCTCTGCACTAGTTTCACGATTTCTAGAGCAATACTGTCGGACGCTGTCGCCCTCGTCAGAGGCGACCGATTCTATACTGTCGATTATACCCCTGCCAACCTGACAAATTGGGGTTTCTCACAAGCTGATTACGATACTTCAGTCAACTATGGCTGTGTTTTGTACAAGTTGGTTCTCAATGCGCTTCCCAATAGCTATCGATCAAACTCCATATTTGCACATCATCCATTGGTTACCCCGGATGAGAACAGGTCCATTCAGTTGAAACTGGAGAAAGCGCATCTCTACAATTTTGATGCACCTACACAAAGTCCTCCTCCTCAAATGCTAAAGTGTATCGAGGCCTGTCAGCAAGCACATCACGATGCGGATGCTTTTGGGCTTACTTGGGATCCAGCTGTCGTCGACCCCTCCCAGCGCCTAGCAAAGAACACGCAGACCAACACCTTTACGTTAGCTCGGATGCTATTGGAGATCGAAGGGTTGCAGCACTCCGCAACAGCAATGTACCAGGAGATACTGTCGGAGCTGCTCGAAAGTGAATCATATCGGATGGCCGGCAGCCGCCAGGTAGACATGGTGCGTGATGTGTTCAATATTGCGCATGCACGATTTGTTACCAGTTTGTTCCTCTTGCCACTTGGTCGAAAGGGGCCATCTCACGGCCTCTACAACGAGGTTGATATCGGATCTTTGCTGTCGGCTATATATGCCTGTACAAGCCTAGAGTCGGGAGCCGCACACCGGTTCGTCATCACAGCCAAACGGCAAAGTGCAATACAGCAGCTAGCAAAGCACATTCAAAGCGAGGTCACGGAAATCATCAAAAGCAATGGTACGACCCGGCCACAGTCAAAGGGCGAGCTCCGGAACTTCATCGTCCAGGCTATCTGCAAAACATCTAAGGCCGGCTTCTCGCCTGAACACATTGTGTGGCATCAGATTCTTCCCCTGGCCGCCATCAGCTACGTCAATCAAGCACGTAACACAGCTGAAAGCCTTGATTATCTCCTTGGCCAAGGACAGGCACAGCTACAGCAAGTGCCGAAGCTCTTAGACTCTGGTGGCGCAGTTCGCCGTGAGACGATCAACACGTATATCCACGATATTCGAGGCAATTTACCGCCGGAAGTTCTTACAAGAGAAGTCCTATCGACTGTGACCATCGTTGACGATGGCCGTCAAATGGAGCTCAGTGTCGGCCAGCGTCTTATGTGCATGGTGAAACAAGAAGAGGCAATGCTGACCGCGTGGGGAGGTGAATTATCTCTGAGGGCTATGCTCAGCCGCTCGGCCTTATCCGCATCCCTTCAAGTCTTGTGCGGTCTTGAGAACTTGAGGAGGACCCCGGGTCCAACAGGTAGTCTGCGCCGATTGAGGCAGGGATATCTGACCACATATCTCAACGTTGAAGAGAATGCGAGTTGCTCGCATCCGGTGTCAATGAAAGTCGATTGGGATGAGCGATAGTGGACAGAGTGTCTGATGAGATCAGACCGGGCGGACATTCCATCACGTAGCCTCTTCGGAGACAGCAGTCCTGCAATGTGAGACGGAGGAAGGTGTTTTGAAAGCAGAAGGCTAAGATTAACTTAGAGGCTGCCGTCAACAAACTGATCACGGAGCCGTGCAGGTCAGAAGCTGACGGTATCACAATGCGCTGACCATTCAGTGGCTATCTAGGTATGATGCAACCGTCATTAGGTTATCAAGAAGGAAGGAAGATATCATTCGATGCTGGCCGCTGTGAAAGCTGTATTTCTCTTGGATGCTGTGTCTCGTATGGGTGACATGGTGTCTTCAGTTCCTTGATCAATATCGTGTCAATTGGGACATGGTACCACGGTTCGCACGCTCCATAGTAGAGCGTGCTTCGCAGGCAACAGTAATGGACTCTTTGTGACAATAAGCAAACAGCGGCCTTGAAGGAAATAGACATAAAGAGTGACTTTTCAATTATAAGCGGGTGAGGGTGAGGCAGTATTGGTAGCCTAGCCGTGGCCGATCGAAAAGGACGTCATTTTCAAATTTGGCGGTGCCGACACTGAACCGTCTTCACTCCATCGTCTTCACCAAACTAATTAATCACAAGCTCAAATCTGTGAGGAACGACTTGTCCTTTTCTCCTTCATTTCTCAGTCACTGCCCTTGTACAACATCGCATCTGCAACTACGAAGAACTTTCCTAAGAGCAAGGAGTTCTGGATCAGTTGATCTAGCCGTTACCAGCTGTCCACCATTCTCCGTTCTCATTACTTCGGGGTTCATGCTCTTGCGGTAAATTGAGCGCGAACATACCCTAACCACCTAAGATCATCGGACACTTCGCTATCCTAAGACAGTGGAGCGTTCTCCTACGACCTCCATATCGAGATCTTGCACAAGTTTGACTGCGCTGGTGAGGCTGAACCGAAATACCTCCTCCTGATGCAGCCTATGCTGCAACAGTACGGCGTTCAGTGAAGATGGGGAAGGTTACGAAGAAGCCACAGGAGAAGCACAAAGTATCTCTGGTAAGTCAAGGTCATACATATTCGAGGACTTTGCTGACTTCGCTTCTCGTAGTCACCTGCGGTATCAGACCTCGTCAACAAGGTTTCCACCGCACATCTCGCAGATCTTCCGGCCCTCTTTACGGCTTGGTCGCAAAGATGGCCATATCCTCGCGGCGACCTCAACAACTGGATTGAACCTCTTGATCGTTTCGACACTATCTTGGAAAAGTTTAACACAAAATATGGATTGGACAAAGGCCCTCAGACGACACCGTTTGGCACATCATTACTCCTCGAAGGCAGCCCCGGAACCGATGAGAAGAGATTGAAAGAGCTGGGTTTCGGTCCTGAGGGTGACAGAGAACTAGTAGAGGCCATCCTAGTCTTCTCAAAGTTGCTGGTGGAAAAATGTGCAAATCGTGCAGTCTACAACAGCACCGATCGTTTGAATGATCTGCTGAACACCACTTCCCTTTCGTTGCTGCACACCACATTGCGGATCACCTTCTATCTGGCGCAGAGATATGCTGAACGCACACATACTTCGCATCACCTAACTGTCAAGTTCTACGATTTTGATCATGAGCGGCTCCAGAAACTTGCTGCGCCGTTCGGGCAGCCCTTGTCCCCTACGAAGCGTGGCACAACATCGCCGGTCAAGGTTACAAAGTCAAAAGAGAAGTTAACCCCTTCGGGTAAACCGAGGCGAAGCTCTACAGCGGTCAATCCCAACGACTTCCGATCTCTCTGCAAGGAGACAACGAGCCACAGCGACCGCAGTAAATCGACTGCTTTACCAGACCGCGATTGGCAAACCTGGGCACATGTGAGAGTGTCGTGGTCGCCACAGCCCGCTGAGCAGAAGCCTGCAGCTGGCGAGTCGTCTCAGTCTTCTGATACTCCTTCGACTCCGACGCCAGTCAGACAGCAGTCCTCAGGGCTTAGCAGGATGGACACGAACGGCACATCCAGCAGCAGCCCCAGCCGCTTGGACACCACGCAGCACGAAGCTCAGCCGGAACTGAAGCATGTCGAGCTGTCGCCATCAGACCTGTCAAACACTTCCATCGAGTCCATCCTCTTGAGTCAACCTGAAGACATGCCGCCGAAGGTGCGATACGAGCTGCTGCACCAGCTCCGTGTCGCCCATGGCTTAATGACATCTGCCAAAACCCGAAAGGAACTGCTTGCCATCCGACTGCTATCCATTGCCAGCCTCGCAAATGTGTTCAATGAGTCTGAACTGTCCCAGAAACTCTTTCCCGTGGATCAAGGAGGTCCGAAGCCCCATGATCTAATCTCGCAACTTGTCAGTCTGATCCACGACTCCAAGAAGGGCCAGCCGCCTGTCTCCCTATACCTCCAGACCATCGCCATGGAAACGATGAGTGTCCTGGCTCGTTTCAAGATCTTTGCGTCGGACATCAATGGCGCCCTTGGAGGCGGATCGTCGCAAGGACTTCTGTCGCAGTTGATTCTGAAAGGTTTAAGCGACATCGGCAAAGACAATGACAGCACTGACACACCTGTTGGTGACGACTGGAGAGAAGCAGTCTTCTCCATGCCCAGAACTCTGATTCAAGCAAGTGGTCATCATGGACGTTCCAGCGAGGCAACCATGGCCTCCAGTTTTATCACTACTTACTTGGCCGGCTTCAATGTCACAACTGGGAAAGCGCTTCGAGTCCATCTGCGGATGCTTGACTTCATCAAAACGTTCTTCCACCACTTCAAGGATGGCCTGACAACGCTGCTAGCGAGCAACGCATTCGAGTCCATCAGCGGCCTTCTTGCCAAGTTGGTGAACAGCGCATGGACCATGCTCCAGGCTGGTGATGGTATTCCTGCGCAGTACAAGACCCGTGCCACCGACTACGATATTCCTTACATGCACCAGCAGATCATTAGATCCATCATTGACATGATCAACGATATTAGCACTCATCAGGGCACTCAGGCGGACCGAGTGTTACGGAGTTTTGTGGATTCTCCAAACCTGCTCCGCTCCTTTCGACTCATTACCGACCATCTGGCTGCCTTTGGGGCGCATACGTGGAGCGAGGTCGTGAAAGCGATCTGTGGGTTTCTTCACAATGAACCGACCAGCTACACAGTCATCTCGGAAGCAGGGCTTATCCAAAGTCTCCTCGAAACGGTAAATGTTGGCCAGACGTCTACGGTAGATCCGCAACAGTCGAGGTCCCTATCCTCAGAGCCTGAAGGTCGTGTGCAAGGAATACCACCAGTGATTGATGCCATTGTCAATATATCACAGGTGTTTGGCGCGGTCTGCTTGACAAATGCTGGCTTTGACTATTTCAAGGCATCTGGTGCTCTGGAGAAATTCTTCGAGATCTTCGAGTCACCAGCCCATGCCAAAGTCTTGAGCGATCCCAATGTCCTGGCACTACTTGGCTCGACTTTTGACGAGCTTATCCGACATCATCCCAATCTACGGACTTCTGTCCTGAGCGCGGTCATCGTCATGATTTCTCGGGTTCGGCATATAACCAGATCACTTGCTGTCGACTACGGTGCTGGACCGAAAATCTGGGTAGGCTCCGAAGGTGCGTTCTCACCATGTGGCGGGGTGGATGCCCTGTCTCTTGAGATAGTACCACCTCCTACCACGGTCGCAGGAAGTCCAGTGCCAGCTAGAACGATCGACTTACCGAATGGCGACAAGCTGAGTCTTAAGGACTCAATAATGCCGCCAAGCAGATTATCTGGAACCCCCTGCGATCAGGATAGCCATGGCCTCAAAGCTAACGACTATGCGAGACCTGCCATCGGCTTCCTTGTGACGTTCTTTGAGAATCAGACTCTTTGCAACAGCTTTCTTGACCACGGAGGTTGTGATCTGGTATTGGACTTTGTTACAATGCCGAGCTTGCCAGCTGACAGCCAGCCGCTGAATAGAAACAGCGGTTTGTTGGTGGAGTTGGCGGCAGCCGTCCATATGATGGCTGAGTGCAAGCCTCACGTTGTACTTCCGACACTGGCTGACCGAACACGCTATGCCTGTGCTGAGTTGAAGCATTTCAGCCAAGGCCAACCCAAGGACTGGTCCTGCTATTTCCTGCCAATGGTCAGACCTGTAAAGGCAGGCAGAACTACGTCAGATGTTGCAGATTCTGACAAGGCTGAGGTTGAACTCGCCGGCACCAGAGTGGCAAAAGCTCTAATGGCCGTTTTGTGCCTGGGCCATGTTCTGGCCGAGGTCTTCAACGCACCCATGTACAGCACAAGAACAACCCAGAATACTCTCTTCAATCAGGTCAATCTGGCCGATATCCTTGCAGATATATGCAAGATGATGGGAACTATCTCAGCGGCCTGTTTCCGTGAGGACATTGCTATTCAACGTGTCATTCCGCAGGGTTGGGCATGGGAAACCCGAGCCCGAGACTTTACTTCCGGCGACGACGAAGTTGACAAGATTTGGATGAGCGTTCGTGATAGTAATGCGCGTCTGACGGACGATTCCACGCCTAGTCAAGACGAGAACACCGTCAGTGACAGCACCAAGCTTGAGGACGATAAGCAGACGCCCTTCTTCAAAAACGTGCAGACATTACGCTTCCTCTTCGTCGAGACTCCTGCGGCCATTACGGAATTTTTGGAACGCTTGGGACGTGGCATCACCGGCCGGCGACGATCTGATGGCTTTTCTCGGCAGAAGGCTGCTTTGGTAGCAAATGCTCTTGCTTCAGCCTACCTCACTCAGCTGCAGCCATACTTTCTCGAGACTGAGAGTACTGAGAGTACTACTAGTGCTACATCTGAGGATGTTGAGTCTCGTTTCACTTACTTCGTGATCGCCCTCGATAACGTCCGTCGCAGTTTTTACGACGATGGCCATCCTCCAGCAGGCCCTAATCCCATGTCACACCCTGGTCGGCAGAGTTTTGTGGTGGAGGCGTTTCGGAAAGTGGGCGGCGTCAAAAGTCTGACGGCCATCGGAACAGAATTCTTCGACAAGTTGAAGTCCTGCAAAGTAGAGCATTCTATGTTCTCCGCTAATACCGGTCTCAAAATCTGCCTCGGAATCTTGGATGACTTCACCAACTCCAAGCTTATCATGGAATCAGCTCAGGCGAACATAATGAGAGTCACAGATCCGACGAAACAAATCTGGTTCGTCCCCGCACAAGTTCTTCTCAGCCTGCGAACAGAGGCCCTGCCCCTAACGCGTTTGGTATGGGAAAGCGACTATGCGGACCAGGCGTCGAAGGATGTGGTTCAGAAGCTCGTATCTATCTTGAAACATGTTCTGACGGGCGACCATGAAAACGAAGCTGTCCAATCCAGCAGCAGTTATCCTGCTCTAGCACCTTACTCCCCGAGGAAACTGTTCATTGACTCCCAGAAAGTCAGCCTACTCAAGGACAAAGGTTATGATGAGGAGCTTGCGAGAGAAGCGCTATACCGCGCAAGCAACCAGTCATCAAACAGCTTAACACCAGCGGAAGAATATTGCAAGGCTTTCTCGTCTAACCCTTGGCGTCGAAGACTTCCAATTCCGTACGAACAGAGTGAACTTTCTGCGACAACTCGCGATACTCCAAGCGTCACTAGTCCTCCATCTAACTCGATTCGACACTCTATGACTGCTGCTCTCTTGGGAGTTCCTTCCGCTGGTTCGGTGGAAGCGGCGCTTGCAGAATTTGCAAATAACGCTGCAGATCCAGACGAGATGGAAGATGTTGTCCAGACCCCTGACCCACCGAGCTCCGTGGCCCCGAGGCCTGCAGGAACCGCCTCATCCGCTATGGATCTCAACAACATACTGAATAACGAAGGAGATTTGAGGGAAGACTTACCACAGTCTTCACAACACGAGTCCACCACAACTTACTCCGTTGAGACGATCACAGAACAGAGAGCAGAAATTCGGGAGGATCTCGCGGACCGTTGCAACAATATCCTGAACAATCACCAAAACCTGACTTTCGAGCTGTCCGATCTCATCATCAGTGCAACTAAGAAACTGCCGGACGATCTTGCTAAGGACTACTGGAGGACAACTTCCGATCTACTGGTCAGTTCGTTACTCTCCATGCAGGTGGAGGAGGATATCAACGAAGCTCGTGGGAAGAAGATTGCGGCGGCGGCACATCTTGTGGCTCTCCTCATCCAGGATGGTGATGTTTTCGACGAGACACTCAGTATTTTCCAGGAGTCATTTGCTGGCCTACTCTCGTATCTGCGTTTGCCAGCCTCAGATGGTCGTTCGGCGGAGGACTCATTTCCTTGGATAGCACCTGTCCTGTTGATTGTCGAGAAGATGCTTTCTAGAGGCAGCGAGCCCGCCGAAGTCAAATGGAATCCTCCTCATGACCTGGATTCGAGCGGCAAGGCGGAGCTCACTCCCATCTCTGTTCTTGATCAGGAAGAGAAGCTAGAATTGTTCGAAACACTCGTCAACATGTTAACCCGAGTCGGAAAGGACAAGACCATGGCTGTCGCAATCACTCGAGTACTAGTCATCCTCACCCGCTCGAGAGACGTTGCCTCTCGGCTGGCCGAGAGGCGAAACCTACAGCGACTATTCCTCATGGTGAAACAGCTTGCAAATGGCGTCGGTCATCGATTGCAGAGCTCCTTCATGATTGTGCTACGACACATTGTAGAGGACGAGGAAACGGTCAAGCAAATAATGCGCAGCGAAATCAAGGCCCACTTTATCGCCCGTGGCTCAAAACAAGTCGACACTACGAGCTACGTTCGAGACTTGTACCACCTCGTCCTGCGATCTCCCGAAGTCTTTGCCCAGATAACAAACGAAATGGTCAAATTATCATCGTGGCAGCAAAGTGGAGGTGGCTCCATCGGTGTCGTGCTCCGAGAGACGTCTGATTCCACGTCAACCGATGAGAAGAAGACAGAGCAAGCACATTCCTCAACGGAGCCGAACGAGTTTTCTATGGAGCCAGCAGCCAGTGTCGAGCCACCGGAAGAGTCTATCGAAGATCGGAACAAAAGCAAAGCTCTGGAGCTTAGAGTACCGGTTGTCGAAAATCCAGACGGGGTAATTCACTTCATACTATCGGAGCTCTTGAACTACAAAGATGTCGAGGATAAAGAGGTCGGCATAGAGACGCCCGCCAAACCAGACGAGAACTCTAAAACTGAGCAGAGCCCGGTTCCGGAGAGTTCTGAGGACGCGCTCGATCAACCACCGCAGCCCAAACCAGAAAAGCCGAAGTTCAAGCCCGAAGATCATCCCATCTTCTCCTATCGGTGCTTCCTGATGTACAGTTTGACCGAGCTGCTACATTCTTACAATCGCACAAAGGTGGAGCTGATCAATTTCTCCCGGAAGGCAGATCCCTTGTCCATGACACCATCAAAGCCCCGAGCAGGCATCCTCAATTATCTCTTGAACGGACTGATACCGTCTTGTCATGTCGAAAAAGAGGAATCACTGCAGTTCAAGAAGAAACTGCTCACAAGCGATTGGGCAATCCGGGTTGTTGTCGCCTTATGTTCCAAGACTGGAGAATCACGACACACTCCTGCGCAAAGATTCTCCGCGCAAGCTCAAGTCGACGATGCGGACAACGAGCCGGATTTGACGTTCGTGCAACGATTTGTCCTCGAACACGCCATTAAGTCATATAAGGATGCGATGTCCTCCAATGAGGTACTTCAGATGAAATACAGTCGCCTATTGTGTCTTGCTGATATGTTTCATCGCCTTATTTCGAAGCCAGTTGTGCCTGAAGGGTCTGCTGGATCCCAGAACACGTCTTACAAGGTCCTCGCCCGGATGATGTTCGAGAAGAACCTGATAGCAGTCTTGACCAACTCTCTAGCAGACATCGACCTTGGGTACCCCGGGTCGAAGAGAGTGATCAAATTCATCCTGAGACCTCTGCAAGAGCTCACCACCTTAGCTAGCCAACTGAGCATCACTGATCCTGATTTTGCCAACTCGGTCGCAGGAAACACTGCAGACGATATCATATCTTCGGCCTCTTCAGTCTCTGACGTTGACGAGGAGCGTGAAGAGACTCCCGATCTCTTCCGCAACTCGGCACTTGGGATGCTCGATCCGAACAGAGATTCTGAGTCGGATTCTGAGGAACAAGATGAAGACGAGGATGAAGAGATGTACGACGAGGAGTACGATGACGAAATGGAATATGACGATGGCCTCGTCGCAGGCGGACCCAACGATGACGAAGCGGTCAGTGACGACGAGGTGGACGACGAGATGGGTCCTGAAGGAGAGATCGAGGGTCTGCCTGGCGATGTGCCCATGGACATCGAGTTCGTCGTCAATGATCCCCATATGGAAGTCGACACAGACGATGACGACGAAGATAACGATGAGGATGACGACAGTGACGATGACGAGGATGATGATGACGGGGATGACGAAATAATTGTGGAAGAGGACGAAGATGACGATCATCCAGACGAGTTCAATGGAGACGAAGAGAACGATAGTCTCCATGGCGGCCAAGGTGACGAGGGTGAATGGGAAGATGAGGAAGAGGGAGACGAAGATGACGCAAGTGAGCATGAAGACGATATTGAAGAAATCACTTTCGACGGTGACGACATGCCAGTGCCTATGGCCGGAGGGGGAAATCTGACACAACCCGGGGTTCTGAGCAGTCTCCTTCGTGTCCTGAATGATCACGATATCGACGGACCTATTGGCATGCCTCACCATGTCCCTCCTGAGCTTATCGTCCCTGGCGCAGACCATGTTGAGCCCGACGACGAGGACGATGAAGATGAAGAGGATGAAGATGGTGACGAAATGGACGAGAATGACGAGATGGACTACGGTGATTTCGACCATTTTCTAGCTGGAGGTGGGGATGGTGATATCGTGGACCATACTGACCCTCTTCTATGGAATGGTCTTCCCAACATGCGCCGAGCTCGACATTTCCGTGGTCCAGGTGGACATATGGCCAGCTTCGTTGGCCGACGCGTGGCACATCGTGATGAGTTCATACCTATGGGTCGTCCACGGCTGCCACAACACGCGCGGTCTGGACTTGATGACGGAACGAACCCGCTCCTACGCAGACCACAACAAGACACTCCTCGTCCTTCACGACTTGATGCTGACGGGCCACCACTCGATATGGAAATACTTCGTGAGGGAGGCGGCTTTCCGCCCTTTCCGGCCACATTCCAGACGGTTATTCGCAACGGCGACACCATTGAGGCTGGTGGTCACGGAGCCATGTTGGATGCTATTCTGCAAGCGCTTCACCGTGGCGAGCGCGTTGGTGATGGACGTATACAATTTTCCATGACTGCGCCACTCTCAGAGATAGGGGATGTCCTGAGACCGCCTATCTCAGTGGTCAGCCATCGTCCTCATACCCGCGAAGAATCATCACGTGCCGGCAATTTCATACCTGCGCTGACCATGACCAGATGGCAAGAAGAGGCTCGCATTCTCTTCGGCAACACCTACTTTGAAAAGGTTCAGCGTGTTCAATATGTCATTATGTCTCTCCTTGTACCTCTTGCGCAGCAGGAGGAAAAGGAACGCAAGCGCAAGCGCGAAGAGGAGCAGAAGGCGGAACGCGAGGAAATGGAGCGACTGAGAGTAGAGTCTGAACGTCGCAAGCAAGAAGCCGAGGAACGTGAAGCAGCGGTAAAGGCTGAAGGAGAACGCTTGCGCGCAGAAGCTGAGGCCGAGGCTGCAACCAGAAGCAGAGATGAGGTGGCCACTGAGCATGACGATGGCGATACCGAGCCCATGGAAGACGTGCAAGGCACTGATACACAGGAACATGCGGATTCTGAAGGCGAGGTCGATGAATCCCAACCTCGCATCTTTACCACCATCCGAGGACGTCAGCTTGATATTACCGGACTGGACATCGACTCGGAATACTTGGAAGCTTTGCCGGAAGAGTTGCGGGAAGAGGTCATCATGGCACAATATGCCACACGTCGTGAACAGGCGCGAGAGACGGGCAACGATTCGACAGGAATTGATCCAGACTTCCTCAATGCTCTCCCAGAAGACATTCGAGAAGAAATCCGTCAACAAGAAGCTCACGCTCAACGTCGACGTGAGCGAGAAGCGGCTCGTCGACAAGTCGCCACGGCTGGCGGCCCAGCACAGGCAGAAGAAATGGACAATGACACCTTTCTGGCGACATTGGACCCGGCTTTCCGTCGTGTGATCCTCGCCGAACAACCACCCGAGATTTTGCGACAACTGGATCCTCGACATGCTGCTGAAGGCCGGGCTCATGCAAGACGTTTCTTTCAGTATGCCAACGCTGGTGATCGTGACGCACGGGCAACCGATGAAAGTGCACAGCGGGACAACAAGCGACAGATCGTTCAGATGGTTGACAAATCTGGTGTTGCCACTATACTACGCCTTATGTTCCTACCACAACAAGGATCCCTCCGGACAAACTTGTGGCATGTCCTTCGCAACATCTGTGGCAATCGACAAACCCGCTTTGAGGTCATCAATCTTCTGCTCGTGGTTCTTAAGGAGGGATCGACAGATGTCAGTGCAGTTGAACGCAGCCTTGCAAGCTTGTCCCTGCGTGCTAAGGCCACGGTCGGGCAAAAGACCCCCCAACCCTTGAAGCGTACGATTTCGATGCAACCTGCGAGGGGCATCAGCGAAGATGTCACACCTCTTGTGGTTGTGCAACAATGTCTGTCAGCTTTGAAACAACTGTGTCAGAATAGTGTCCATACTCGAACCATCTTCCTGCGTGAGGTCGATGTCAACCCGGCGGTTAGAAAAGGCAAGGGAAAGGCAAAGGAAGCCAAAATTATCAAGTATCCCATCAACGACCTGGTTGGCCTTCTGGATCGCAAGTTGATCGTCGAGAGCTCATCTTGTCTTCAGTCTCTTGCAGAACTACTTTCGGCTGTAACTCAGCCGTTGTCCTTGTTGCTGCGAAAGGACAAGGAGAAGCCTTCGGACGAAGAGAAGCCTAATGAGGGCAGTGGAAATGAAGAGTCCACCTCTGCCTCACGGCTTCCGACAGAGCAGCAGCAGTCTGAAGAGGAGCGTGACATCGAACTCAGAGACGCGCCGACTACAGCGTCGCAGGGCAACCCATCCCATGCCAGCAGTGTGGTGGCTGAGCAGGGTGGAATCACAGATCCTGCAACCAAGCCCGAGACCGGACAAGTCAATGGCGAGGAAGCAAAATCCAAGAAAGCCTTTGAACCGCCAGAGATCTCCGAGCACAACTTGGAGCTCGTTGTCAGCATCTTTGTGGCACCGGAATGCAACAGCGACACTTTCCATTCCGCTCTGGAGACGGTTTCAAGCCTATCTAACATCCCTGGCACTTCGGTCACATTTCGCATAGAACTGATCAAGCATGTCAAGAGCCTATCTCAGTCAATCTGCGCCGACCTCGACGAGCTAATTCCACAATTGAGGGAAGCCCAGTCAATCACGGACCTACATGCACTCTCGTCGTCCAAGTTCTCTCATGGAGGGTCTGACCAAGTCAAGCTTCTCCGTGTTTTGCAGGCCCTGGATTACCTTTCAGCCTCCAAGAACGACGTTGAGGAAACCGAGGACCAGACAACCTCATACGACAGCCTTGCACTGAGACCGCTATGGGACAAATTGAGCGAATGTTTGACGACTGTTCGGGAGAAAGACAACATCACCAGCTTTGCCACGATTCTTTTGCCTCTTATCGAGTCGCTTATGGTCGTGTGCAAGAATGCCTCTCTCAAAGACTCAGCATTAGCCCGACAGATCAAGGAGCAGATGCAAGGAAGCCCAGCGCCGGAAGTCATGGATGACATCCAAGAACTTTTCTTCAATTTCACCACGGAGCACCGCAAGATTCTCAACGATATCATTCGTCAAACTCCAAAGTTGATGCAAGGCAACGGCAGCTTCAGCCTCTTAGTGAAGAATCCCAAAGTGCTGGATTTCGACAATAAGCGCACATACTTCACCAAGCAAATCCACTCTCGTCTGCACCAACAGCGACACATCCAGCCGCCCTTACAACTCAACGTACGTCGTGACCAGATCTTCCTGGACTCTTACAAGGCACTGTATTACAAGACCGCCGATGAAATGAAGTATGGCAAACTCAACATCCGTTTCAATGGTGAAGAAGGTGTTGATGCCGGTGGTGTTACACGAGAGTGGTTCCAGGTCCTTGCTCGTGGCATGTTCAATCCCGACTGGGCTCTTTGGCAGCCAGTCGCTGCTGACCGTACTACATTCCATCCAAATCCCCTCAGCTGGATCAATGGAGAACACCTTCTGTACTTCAAGTTCATTGGCCGCATTATCGGCAAAGCACTCCACGAGGGCCGCGTCCTTGATTGTCACTTTAGCAGAGCTGTCTACAAACGCTTGCTCGGCAAGGAACCCAACCTCAAAGATCTCGAGTCCATGGATCTTGATTATTACAAGAGTCTTGTGTGGATCTTGGAGAATGACATCACTGATGTTATCAGTGAAGACTTTTCAGTCATCGAGGAGCAGTTTGGTGAAGAGAAGGTCGTCGACCTGATTCCGAATGGACGAAATATCCCTGTCACCGAGGAGAACAAGAAAGAATATGTCAACGCTCAAGTTCGCTATCGCCTCACAACATCAGTTCAGGAGCAACTCGAGAACTTTACTCGAGGCTTCCACGACATCATCCCGGCAGAGTTGGTTAGGATCTTTGACGAGCAAGAGCTCGAATTGCTGGTCTCTGGACTTCCGGAAATTGATGTGGACGACTGGAAAGCTCATACCGAGTACCACAACTATACGGCCAACAGTCCACAAATTACCTGGTTCTGGCGCATTGTCCGAGGCATGAGCAACGAAGAACGGGCGAAACTGTTGCAATTCGTCACAGGCACCAGCAAGGTTCCCCTCAACGGTTTCAAAGATCTGGAAGGAATGCAAGGAAATACCTTGTTCAGTATCCACAAGTAAGTATTCTTCCGCATGTAGACCGTGAACAGGCACTGACTGCTCTTCCAGGGATCCAAGTCAAACCCGACTTCCAACGAGCCATACTTGCTTCAACCAACTTGACCTACCTTCTTACGATGACTACGAGACACTGAAGAGCAACCTGATGACAGCGATTAACCTTGGTGCAGATTACTTCGGATTCGCATGATCAAGCTTTGTTTCTTTGGCACGGTGGAATAGCCGTTGATGCCTCATGGGGTACACTTCGAGGGCAGGCACCTTCAAGCGGCGTTGAGAGGTGCATAAGGTGGTCCGAGGGAAATGTTGTTGCTGGTGAGCAATAACGTGCATACAAAACTGGCTACTTCGGCGGGGTATGTTAACATCAAAAGTGTGTAGACTGTAGCGAATACGGAGTTTGGTGAGCATGGACAGGTACGGGAGAGGGGCCCTGGGAAGGATGTGCAGATCTTGACCCATCGCCAGTCTCCTACAATCCATAGCTCTCATGAGTAGCATAATTAGTCCATAGATGCATCATCAATGAACGTGTGATGCGAATCTGCGTACTTCCCTCCAGCGGACAACTTGAGAGAAGCCATTCATGCGACTCTGGCGAAACCCTCTGTTCACGTGACATAGATATCACAAATTTTGCCAAGCCAGCCTTGTCCGCTTCCGACTCCACCACCGCCGACGAAATTCGCACGGTCAATTTTGAAGCGCAGGTTGAACTTTTGCACTTGACTTCCTTTCCTCAAGCTCGTTACTCCTTTCCGTGTCGACCACCTCTTCTCAGTCAAAATGGTAAGCTAGCGATACCTCCGATCCATCTGAGGACACGACTCTCTCGCAATTTCGAGCTGTTGCCGTGAAAAGCGACAGCGCAAAGAAATTTCCGCCGAACCATGGAATTTGCGGTTGTCAAGTCTGAACTCTTCATTGAGGCCTCAACATGACACCGCATTTCTCGGTCGGCGTTGATATGGCTGGAGAAGATCTGGCGTGGCGTGTGTGAAAACGCGCCACCTCATCATCTTCTCCTTAGAGTCAAAAGATATGATCATTGAACATGTGCTGATGATCTTTCTTTTCTCAATGATAGCCACCGAAAGGAAAGAAGCCCGCGCCTGCGCCCTTCCCTCAGGGAAAGGCCGGCACAAGCAAGAAAGCCGCAAAGGTAAGTCATGATATTTTCTACAGATGGTAGTGGCCCAGGCTGACCGTGACCAGAACCCTCTTCTCGAGAAGCGACCCCGAAACTTCGGCATCGGTCAAGATATCCAGCCTAAGCGCAACTTGGGACGTATGGTGAAGTAGGCACACCGGACCGCTATATGCTCGAGGACTAGGCTAAAAAATCATATAGGTGGCCAGAGTACATCCGTCTCCAACGCCAGAAGAAGATCTTGAACCTGCGCCTCAAGGTGCCCCCTGCGATTTCCCAATTCTCCAACACCCTCGACCGAAACACCGCCGCCCAGACATTCAAACTTCTCAACAAGTACCGACCCGAGACTAAGGCCCAGAAGAAGGAGCGTCTCCACCAGGAAGCCACCGCTGTCTCAGAGGGCAAGAAGAAGGAGGATGTTTCCAAGGTAAGAGCACGACGACTCTGCAAAGCCGCATCGTGGTGACTGACGTCTCGCTGTAGAAGCCATACACCGTCAAGTACGGTCTCAACCACGTCGTTGGCCTGATTGAGTCAAAGAAGGCATCTTTGGTCCTGATCGCCCACGATGTTGACCCCATCGAATTGGTAGTCTTCCTGCCCGCTCTTTGCCGCAAGATGGGTGTCCCCTACGCCATTGTCAAGGGCAAGGCTCGTCTTGGTACGGTCGTGCACAAGAAGACCGCCGCCGTCTTGGCCTTGACTGAGGTTCAAGGCGAGGACAAGTCTGAGCTGAGCAAGCTCGTCGGCACCGTCAACGAAGGATACATCAAGAAGTACGAGGAGCACAGACGTCACTGGGGCGGTGGTATCATGGGCGCCAAGGCCGTCGCCAAGCAGGAGAAGAGAAGGAAGGCTGTTGAGAGCGCCATCAAGATCTAAGCCTGTTTACATTCTGCTTGGTATTGGTGGGGATTGAAGGAACGCTGTATCCGTGCGGATGATGAATCGACACGAAACGAATCGAATCGTGAGCAAGGCTGAGGAAAATCCGGGCTTAATTGAGCGGAGGTTCCTTGCCGCATGCAACAACACGAAGGATGTGCTGGCCGTCAGACGCTTGCATGTCCAAAAAGCTGCCAAGATAGTGAATAACTCGATGTTGACCTGCAGTCACCAAGACTGTCCAGGAACGGGTTACGCCCATTCACAACCATGAAATGATATCATATGCTTCTTCATGTAATCTTTTATACGTGACCTCTAAAGTCTCTTCCAAACTTCTCTTACCTCTTGTCAACCACGTAGTATCGCGAATTCGAGGCCGGGAATAGCACCGGCATCAGGTGACAAAGGGGCAAAGTTGAAGCAGAGAGCGTTGACGGTGAAGGTTCGGAGGGCATATGAGGAGAAATCTTGTAGCATTTCCAGATTAACATATACAAATGAGGGGGTCCACCAAATCAGGCGGTAGCTGCTTCACCTACTGCCTTGGACCATCCGAGCTCCAAACAAGAAACAGAGGTGGTATCTCTTTCAAATGCAGGATGCAGTTAACGCCAACGAATGCATGCACATCGAAGCGTCTCAAGCTACCAGGTACTCCAACATCCCTTTGTGGGAGGTGCTGTGTCATCGTCAATGCCGGGTCAGACCCTGTCGTGCCTGCGGTCACTTGTTAGCATACGAGTCGCGCTGCCTCATGGAGAATGTTCCTCACCTTCATAGCCTCAATCCTGGCCTTCAACTGGCTGGTGACTTCGGCGGCTCTCTTCCAATTCTCTTCGGCGCGTGGCTCTCTAGACCCCACACTTCCAGACTCACTTGCCTCTCTACTAGCAAAGGTCGGCCGCTGAGGACTACTCATACCACTTCCATTCGTCATGCCACCAACAGGCGGACTGATCTTCCTCCTAGCAGTCAAGGGATCAAAGCCTCCATTTTCTTTCTCCTCGCTGGGACTGATAGGGTTGTATCCACTTTGAGGTCTCGGTTTATTGCTCAACGCCCTGCCGCTTTGTGAGCTAGCTGCGCTTCCGGTCCTCTGTAATGTGCTGTTGACAGGCCTTGACGGCTGCGCATCGCCATTCGGAGGGTATCGCTTAACGGTGGAATCGTCGTAAATCCCCCCTGCCTCGTCGTCCGTTCGTCCACGAATCACATCTTCTCGTTCTCGTCCTATGCTTTCACGGCCTAACCTGGAGACCTCGCGCTTATAACGCTCACTCTCCTTTCGTAGACTTTCAATCTCGGACTTCAGGACGTCACACTCCCCTCGCGCTCTTACCAACTGAGTCTCTTTTGCCTTGATCTGCAACACATCACGCGTGTGGTCTTCTATGAGCTGAGCATTCTGATTCTGAAGTTCTGATATCTCGGCACTCAACTTGGCATTGCTGCCTCGAAGACTGTCTGAAAGTGCTGATAGGCGTTCTCTCTCTGCACGTAACTCTTCGAGCTCAGCGCGTTCGATAGCCGACAGACCGTTGGCGACAGAAGGCGCTGAGGGAGGCGACAATGGAGCTGTGGCTGGTCTGGACAATGGCCGTCCCGCAAGTCCTCCACGTCCCATACCAAATTTCGAAGGCGATGGTGCAGCGACTTCGTCGTCACCATCGTTGCTCATTGGAGGAGATATTACCCGTCTCTGTGGACTGTTAGTGGCACTGGACAGAGCACCTGCACCAGGCTTCTTCAGCCCACCAAGTCTGAGAGCTGAAGGCGGCGCAAGACCGGGACGAGCCAGACCTGGCTTAGGAAGAGGCTTTGCAGTTGATTTGGGTTGCAGAGGCGCTGTGTCTTCCACGGGTGGTGCAGCTGCCGACGCCGGCTTTTTTGCCACAGGCTTCTTGGTGCCGCCAACAACCTTTTTCCCAACAGCAGGTGCGGATTTCGCAGGAGGAGGAGGAGCGGCTTTTGGTTTTTCCTTTGCCTTGACTTCTGCGGTGTCGAAGAATTCCTTGATTCTGACCTTCCGTATGTCGTCTAACCCGTCGAGATACGGGCCCATGGCACGCTCCCCAATGATTTTCATGAGCGTTCCAAGGATCTCAGCGCCACCGGATCTGATTGCTTCGGTCGACTCCGTTAGGAGCTTTGTTGCGGCATCAGCGATCAGCTTCTGCTCGGGCTTAGACGGCACATCTCGAGTTGTTCGCAAGCACCTGACCAGGAATTTGATGGTCTCAGCCTTCACGTTGGGATTCTTATTCTGTAAGAAACCCAATGTCTCTTCGAGGCACTCTGAGAGAGATGTAGAGGTGAAGACGGCATCCAGTGCTGCACCAAGAGCATCGGCAACGGACTGTTTCTTCTCCTTGAATCTTTCCAGCATAGGTGACATGATCGAAGATCGGTATTTGGCAAACCCTCTCCTCAGACCCTGTGCTAATTTCTCGACACAATTGGCAGCAATCGTCACAACTGCAATATTGGCATCCTTCATAGATTTTGCAAATGCCCGTATCAGCTCGTCAAAGGGGCCTTCCTTTATTCTTGGAGTATTGAGAATGTTGAAAAGGGCGTCGAGTGCTTCTTTGCGTTCTTTCCACTTTGTCGATGCGATCATTTCATGAAAGTTGGCGGGTATCTTGGAGTAGACGTCCACTGGCTCTGCAAGGTCAAATGCGTTGACTTCGGCCTCCTCCTCTTCTTCCTCCTCGGCACCGTCAGCCCCTCCAGCCTCCCCACCACCGGATGCCGCTGGTGCTGAAGCTTGTGCAGCTTGTTGTGACCTCGTCAGTCGCTCTTGTTTCGGCGAGGGTTCTTCTTTAACCTTTTCGAACAGTTTCTCCAGGTCTTGCTGTTGAACAGGTTTTAATTCACCCCAAAACACAGGCTTCATAGCCTCTTTCAACCAGCGGTACAACTCCACGGTCAAGGCTTGCGCCTCCGCCCTCACATTCTTATCTGCATGTCCAAAAACCTTTGGTAGTGCCTTGAGCACTGGTTTGGGCTCAACAATCTTGACCCCGTAATTGTGGTAAATAGCGGTGATGGCGTTCAGCGTCGCAGCAATAACCTTTGGCTGCTTGTGCGACAGTGCCGGTAACAGTTCTTCGATAACGGGTTCGGACTTGTCGAGCTCAATGTAGAGCAGAAGGGCTTCCAGGGCGCTGGCCTTTGCTTGCGGTCTGGTCGATGAAAGACCTTTCTCGTATATCGGCTGCAGGGTGAAGTTTCTTGACTTGGTCGCCGCCTGTTGTCCACCATACTTCAAGAAGGCGCACAGCGCAGCGAGGCCTTCTTGCTGTGCAGCGACATTCGAGTCCCCAGCAGCTGACTTCCAGAGACTCGGGTCCGACAAGAATGGTCTAAACGCGGGATCTGATTCGTCTGGGGTAAGTTCAAATTCCTTCGCCGAAGCCTCGTAGCCCTCTTTTCGCACTTTCCAGTTCTTGTGCGCGAATCGATCGGGGAGGGGAAGCTGAGAGAAGTCCTCTTCTGGGCCGTCCGCCATCGCAGGGGGGAAAAGATTCGTCTTATGGTTAGGAACCTCGCTGACGGCTTGTCCTTGGAGGGGCGCGCGAGTGGGCTGTCAGAAAACATTAGTATGACGATCACATCTCAGATTATTGCATGGGATGGGTCAAGAGCGTTGCGACGCGCATCTGTATTTCATCGGAGTTGTCATGCGCTCACCTTCGTTAGGTTGCGTTCATGTGGTTGCGCAAACAGAATGCAAGAAAGACGGAAGGAAGGTATGACCTGGAGCTGTTCAAAGACGCTGGACTCTAGACACAAAGATGTTGGGCGCGTCCAAACACGATTTCTCAATGCTACAAACAATAAGTGAGCAGAGGGTGAGGGTGCTTGTGGTTTGTATGGATCGTAGGTGGTGGAGTGGTTTATTGGGGCATATAAACATTGGCGTCTTTGTGTTGACTAGTATGACAACACCATACATTATTTTCCCCCTGCGGCCTTTTCATGGCCTCTCTCCCCTTCTCTCTTCAGTGCTTCTGTCTGTGTTTACAACGGGTCCGCTGTAGCACGTTCTAATACTCGACTGCATGGCTTAATCGGAGTGCCCTAGCGATCTGGACTTGTCCGGAGTCCTGAGGGTTGCACCATTGCGTCGTTAGACGACCTGGTTACGGTCCTCCCCGCAACCATCGCAAGACTGCGCAGAAGGCCACCACACAAACCCACCACACTTTCTCTGTCAGGGTGGAGCAGAACTCTGTGGTGATCTCAGCACAGTCCAGAGGTTGCATGCCTGTAAAAGCAGTGCTCTCAGGGCTTGAAGCCCAATCGGCCGAAAATGAGCCAACTCCTCACCACTCGGCAAGCAGAAGAACTGTGAGTCGTGTTGAAAGAGATGACGGGATCTTGTTGACCATTGCAGGCATAAGTCTATGATTGCTTACCTGCTCTCTGTGGGCATGAACGATAGTGCGACAGACCTTCGCCGAGAATCCAATTTAGCAGACACCTTTGACGATGCAACTGCGAAGAAGTATGAGACTCTCCTCGAGAAAAAGTGGACGTCAGTCGTTCGGTTACAGAAGAAAATCATGGACCTGGAAGCGAAGAATGCTGCCCTGCAACAAGAGATCGAGACCGCCACGCCACTATCCTGGAACCGCAAGATTGACCCGGTAACGTGGCTTCCCAGAAGTCCAGCCAGACACACATTGCAAGGTCACCGTCTTCCCGTGACCTCGGTCGCCTTCCATCCTATATTCTCCTCCTTAGCGTCGGCTTCGGAAGACTCCACCATCAAGGTTTGGGATTGGGAGCTGGGCGAGCTGGAGAGGACGTTAAAGGGCCATACGAAAGCAGTGCTTGATGTGGATTTTGGGGGTCCAAGAGGGGGTACACTGCTTGCGAGCTGTAGCAGTGATTTGACAATCAGATTATGGGATCCTGGCGATGAGTACAAGAACATCCGAACACTGCCTGGTCACGACCACTCCATTTCCTCCATCCGATTCATCCCCTCCGGCGCTGCTGGTGCGCCTCTTTCGGGGAATACGTTGGTGTCTGCATCGAGGGACAAAACGCTACGGATATGGGATGTGACCACGGGATACTGCTTAAAGACCCTTAAAGGCCATACGGAATGGGTCCGAACAGTGATACCATCTATTGATGGCAGGTTTCTGTTGAGCGCTGGAAACGACCAAGTACCTCGGTTATGGGATGCAAGCTCTGGCGAGGTCAAGATCACATTTCTAGGTCATGAACATGTGGTGGAGTGCGTGGCATTTGCGCCAAGCGCATCTTATGTCCACCTGGCCAGCCTCGCCGGTTACAAGAAGCCACCGCCCCCTAGCAGCAGTGGGGAATTTTTGGCGACAGGAGGTAGAGACAAGATCATCAAGATTTGGGACAATCGGGGCACATGTCACAAGACGCTGGTCGGCCACGACAATTGGGTTCGAGGCCTCGTCTTTCACCCTGGCGGACGATACCTGCTCTCAATATCAGACGACAAGACTATTCGGTGCTGGGATCTGTCACAGGAGTGCAAATGTGTCAAAGTGGTGGACGAGGCTCACCAACATTTCATCAGCAGCATTAGATGGGCACCAGATGTTCCTGTACAGCCAGTTGCCAACCGCGAAAGCAACGGGGTAGCAGCATCTACCAAAAAAGAAGATAGTGGAGGACCGGGCAAGATTCGCTGTGTCATTGCCACTGCCAGTGTCGATTTAAACGTACGGGTCTTTGCTGGCTAAGATGTAGGCTGTAATCGGATACTATGTTGCGGTCATCTCCAGCATTCTGTAGATGGGGAAGTTTTGGATGTCTGGAGGGATGCATAGAAGGAGTGGTCGATGATTGTACGAGTATGACTTACGAGACGACATGACCGAAAGTGATTTGTTATTTCGTTTCCGTCATTTTTCATAGTTTCTAGTTCCGTTCATCAACAACCACCACAATCATAACTACTCGCCACCAGGCTTCGACTATGTGACTCCCACATCTCCTGCCGCTCTGATGCTTTTGCAAGCTCCGACTGTGCCTCCCCTGCCTACATGGTAGGAAATGTAGTTGCCTCTCGCAGTGTCTAGAGCCAACCACCCAACATCACTTCGGCAACGACGGGACTGTCCACAACACCAAACGATCCTTCCCGTCGGGATGCTATGATCCGTTGCTTGGCTTTTGACGGATTCCCAGAAAATGGTGTCTGCCGATATGAAATGACCCACAGCCGTATGGTACAGTCAGCTGCACAGGGAGTTCAGCACAACATTAGTGGAAAGCCACGACAGCATGGCGTACTGACCCTGAATATGCCACTCACCAGACTCATTGTGGCAACGAGACAAAAATATCTAGTACCACACGCCATCATCGTTGAACGTAGGAATCGATACAAGAGAAAGGACTGATCCGTGACAGGCACATCAAGTTGAGAATCAGGCTGGTCTTATGGCAATCACTTCAGCTATCTCAAACTTGACTACGCCTTTAGCAGAGAGCTTCCACAGGCCCAGCAACGGACGCTCCATGAACGAGGCTCCACCTTCGTCACACCGTCTTGAGCTTCATTCTTTGTTCCATCCCACATTCCTGCTGGTATTGTTTCGGGCGCACGGTGATTGGTACCGCATTTCCCGCATTAGCACCAACTGGAAGACAAAGCAAACCAGGAACATCTCACTCCAGCCTCGTCGTTGCATTTCGTCATGGCTCATGCTGCGACAAGATTATCAAGACCAAGCAGACAAAGGAGAAGAGAAAAGGCTGGAATGGATATGCTAAGCGCTCTGTTTCCCTCACAAAGGTCAGAATGCCCTTTTCCCCAAGGATTCGTCCATCTGCGCCATTCAAGAATTTGGATGGCTAGGGTCAAAGAATTCCTTTCTCTGCGCTATGACTTCTGGCAACCCAGACCCCCCTCCACCAGCATGGTATCGTCGACTTCCTAGACCTCCAACTGAGTATAATCCTACACTGCGCCGTTCCTCATTGCTGTCTCAGCACCGTTTGTTCCATGCTGGATCTTCCGGCCATGATACGTCGGGAGATGGACTGCCTGGGACCACAGTGCAGCTCCCTGAGAGTTCCAAGTCAACGGAGATGTCGACAGAGGGTATAGGAAGACCGCTGGTAGCGATTGAAGAAGGCCAGCCTGCTTCGCATGCGAAGCCATCTCAATCTTCGAGCATGGCGGAATCACAGGCACAATCCCTGAAAGCATTTGATAGTTCCAAGCCCAGAGAGCATCTGTGTCTGTGCCCGTCTGAACCAAAGATCCCAAGACCACGAAACTGTAAGGCATCCGCCTGATTTCCTTGCATCCCACGCCCATACGTCGTTTCCTGGTATATGAGCTAACGATATGACAGCATTTATGCTGTTTCGACAACACCAGCAATCCAGTATCATGGCGCAAAATCCTGGCCTTCCTATTCCGGACGTGTCAAAGATTATTGGAGAACAATGGAGGAGTCTGTCAGCAGAGGCCAAAGAGGGATGGAATTTGCTTGCGGAAGTGAGTTAAAGAATACCATGGCCCGGCACAAGGCCCTTTGTTCTGACTTCTTGACATTAGGAAGAGAAGACCCGTCACCAACAACAGTATCCAGGCTATCGTTATCAACCACGTCGCAGCGGCAGGGCAAGTGTTCAATCTTCTGCAACCGCACCAGCGTCTACAGAGCCACAAGAGCTTTGCATCAAGTGTGGTGGCAGACCGATGAACGGTTATACCAACGCAAGCCCGATATATACTCCTCCAACGACCGGTTCTCAACAGCCTATGACAATGCAGGTTCCCGCAAAGCGAAGCTACATCGTTAGCAGCGGGCCTCCTCAGCGATATAATGGACAACCACCTACCTCGCCCGAGCCCATGCCTCACCAAAAGACCTTTATCGACGCTTACCCTTACCAGCGAGTTGACTCTCGCCTAGTATATGCCGTCACTCCCAATCAGCCTCTTCCCACCCCTGCGTCAGCGGATTCCCAGGATGCAAAGAGACGGCGGTTCAATAGCAACGGCGTGTATGTGCCGGCTCGGGAACCTTACCCGGAAAGTGCCTACACATATGCCCATTCTCCGATCCGTACAGCTTCGTATGCTCGACCTGAAGTTGTTCGTCTCCACCCTACGCAGGTGTCTGTTCAGCATGTCCCCATGGCCAAACCTGCAGTTGTTTCACCACCTCGAGCGGTTTACCCTCGTCCACCACAACTCCAGCCTGTTCGCCCACCTCACCCGCATCAACGAGCTAGGTCCACAGTTGCACTGCCGCCGATAGAGACATTGGTGTCCCAAACGCCGACCAAATCATCATCAATTCAATCACAAAGCTCTGGCGTAGAAGCCATGATTATGTCGATACCAGTCCTGAACAAAATCAAGGTTCTTAACCAGATATCAGCGCCTCTTCCCACTCCCGGTCCGATGTCTCCGAGGCCAGAAGTGCGTGGTGCCATCATCGCCATTGAAGGCATGGATTCCGACACGGTCAACAGCATGACCACTTCACTGGCCGAGCAGTTGGAAAAAGAAGGCAAATTCGCCGTCCGAATATTTGGCGGTCCAGACCCCTTCTCCATTATTGGGGATGCACGAAATCGAGCAAACGCTCAGGTTAAGCCTATGACGACCGAGGCGTACTTGAGCATGCTCAGTGACTGGCACAAAATCAACAAAGAAATGGTCGAATATATCAGTACAAGACCTGGGATGGATGGATGCCAGTCATCACCTATGTCGCTCGACTCTACGATCTACGATCGGAACCACCTGATGAATGGTTACCATGCATCCAAAACTCCGGACAAGACCGTGCGATTCTTTGACGGAGGGACGGACATGGCTCATGACGCTGCAATCAGTCCCAAAACCATGAGCAAGACAGCCGACTTGTCCATAGTGTCACCACCAACCAAGGCTCGAAGTCAGAGTACACCCGGCCCAGGAATGGATGGGGGGTGCCAGTACAGCATTCAACAGCAGACGTTCACATTCCCACGCCCTTTCAATTCGAATCGTATCCCTCCACCTCCTCCGACACCGCCTCCTGCCACACCGCCGCCACCACCACCAGTTGCACAAACTTCCTCCAGAATTCCACCTCCTCGTACATCTAAAATACTTCCTGGAGCTTCCCTATTTGATCACATTGTCCAAGACAAACAGTCTCTGACAGGGCCAAATAGCACAGCCATCCCCATCGCCTTGGTTCCGCACTTTCAGCTCACTACGGTCAATGCTGCCTCCATCTCAATGCCAATCAGCGATAGCTTTTCGCCACCCGCTCACTGGCAATGGTTTGCTACTTTGTGGCGCGGCTGCATCGGTCCAGATATTACCGTGGTCGTCAAGGGTGTCGATGACGAGTCCGAAGCTGCCGAAGCCGCCAGGGCATCTGTTAGTGCTGCAGCCAGCACACCTATGGGTGTGCGGGAGAGAAATTCCAGCGCAGGATTGAGTTCTACTGGTGGACATTCCGGCGTGGAGATCCGCCTGAGTGATTGTCGGGCGGTCGTGGTCAAAACTGCTATTATAGGCATGCCTACCACCGCTGCAGACGCGGATGATCGTGTGCAGGAGGATCCAGTGAAGAAACCAGTCGACCCGACTCATCAGGCAAAAGAGATGGAGAACTGGGAGAAGGCAAAGCGGCGGGTGGGATTTGAGGTTGAGGAATTCTTGCGCAGATGATTGGGTCACGAGCAGGACATTCATGCGTGGTATCGTTGCTGCAGTGAGTGAATCACAAGATACCAGGTATATAGTCCGCTCTGTCTCTTCTGGGAGTGGTTGAAGCTGGACTTCGCTTATACGACCGGCATCTGGGAGGCCATATTGATTGAGTATCAACCATAGAAACTAGACACCACAATGTGGCAATCACAAATTGTATGACCTGATTGAGGTGCTCATGATGCCCTTCCGCCATGAGCTGACAGGAGTGCTTACTCCTGTTCTGTGTTCTTCCACGGTCCAATAGTCCCTTGTCATGTACTTCGTCCTGCCCACTGGTTTCTGGGGTCAATTTTCGGTACAGAAGTCAATTGGATCAATGGCAGTTCTCTCAAAGGTCCTGTGCTTGATATGCCAGCATGCAAGCATAAGTGCCGTTACATGCACAGCCGCGTCGGGACCATGGAGGAAAGGGGTTCAAGGTGTATGACATCGTCGTTGCTGGACATCGTTAGCCGCATTCTTTCCTGGGCCTTATCTGGCTGCCTTCGCCACATTTCATCTATCTTTTCTTTTGTGTCCTCACTTTTTGGCTCACTCGACTACGAAGTAAGTTACATACCTTGGCTGATCATTCGTCCTTTTGCCGGCGTTGCCACCGGGGGATTTACTTCACACAAAGTGCCGTCCTCCCGTTGTTGACACCAAGGGGGAGGGATGGCCTGTACGCACCTTGTCCCTCCCTCAGCATAATGGACTGAGACTCACATTGAGCTCACATGCTCTCAGCACCTCCTCCTCACCCTTCCAGAGCGTGCAGGAAACACTCTTAAGTTGATGAAAGCCAATGAAGAAGCACAACGGTATCAGGATGTGTCGCTGTCAACTCCAAAAGCACGCTAATCCTTCGGCTGAACTTCCTCTCATTTCACGGCGATGAGGCTGAGTTTCCACCTCATCACTACTTTGCAGTACATCCATCGGCCCAACATGTATGGCCCGTTTGCCTTGGTCGTTGATGAAAGCTCGCCTGACCAACGACTCTCTCAAAACAGTCAACATCCGGGTTCAAACTCGTTCATCGAACAGATCATCAGATGCAATGACGACCTTTACAGCCGCTTTTGTATGGACGTTGATTGATCGGTCAATGCAGCCTCGACACCTCACCGGAGTCTCACCCTCCTTGACATTGAGTTTCAGAAGTTGAGATGGAGGCGGCCCTCGAAAGCAGGCAGAGGAGCCCGCACTTCAAGCAATGTCTTGCCTCCTTATTGAATGCCCTCATTGCGAGGCACCGCAGAAAGGTCTGGCTGAAACCAACTCATCCACGGCGATGCAGGGAATGTCTCGGGGCACCAAACATGTCACCAAACCCTGACAACGCGAGGGTAGAAAGATATATATGAAAGATTTCCCAGCCACTTCCGCCCTGGCGGGCCTGCCGCGGGTCATCGAAGCCTTCCGCATGGCGCGGGAGTCCTCACCATTCGAAGATCGCTCGCCTCTTCGGCCGTTTCAACCCCTGGACCATGCCTGCCGGTACCTGTTCCCGGTCCATGGCAAATAGCCCAAACCCAAGTCGGCGCTCTTTGCGGCCGGAGTCGTCGTCTCCAGAACCAGAAGAGGATTCTGGGTTTCTGCGATAAACAAGCTAACAATGAAGTTGAGGAGAATTGACGAGGCCCTGACAACCTTATCGACATCAGGAGGCCGATGGAGCTTGCCACGATGAGAGATCCTGCGGAGAGCCTCAACTTTGACGGCACCGCCGTGGCGCTCCTTGGTCGAAAACACTTCCTGCGAAGAAGATGGGCATCACGTAGCGATGAGGGTGTGGAGAACCTCATTTCTCCTTTCGACTTGAACTTATATAGACGAGAAGTCTTTCGGGCGGGTTTGCCTGTCCTTTGGCTGGACGAGTGGTGTGCCCCCGACGACCACTACGATGACCGGGAAGATGGCATGAATGTCGTGTTTGGAGAATCTCAACTTCAACGGCCGTGCTGTTTGGCCTGAGCCACCCCAGACGATGAAGATTCTGCCGCACCAGAAACATCAACATTTGAGTACTGGGTCGTCGGTCCTCGCTTATGTCGATGAAGTCAGACTTGACAGGACATCACGAGACGTGATGAACTTGATTCATGGGGGCGAGGGTAAGAGCCAAAGGATACTTAGATATCTCGAGTAGCTTTCATTTTCACACGATAAGACATATTAGATTCCACAAAAATCTCGTCCTGAAACATCAGGTCTTGTAAGTCCCATATCCTGACTGTCGAGTGCAGCTTTAGCTCGGCCTCGAGCGAGGTAGGGACCTTGACATTTTTGGCCATTGTTCTCAGGTGAGACGCGTGGCCGTCTCATTCAGCGGCCACAGCTTTGAGGCAACTCACCATACCATGACACATTCAGGGAGGAAAAGCAACACGGCTCAATTGGAGATAAGTGTTTTGAATACTCTTTTTTGGCCTCTTGTTACTTCGTCGGTCAATTACGACTACCCGCGACTGCATCTGCGAATGCGCAACCCGCTATGCATCATGATAACAAAGACACTTGCTCGACCTCTATCCTCGCTCTGTTTTCGCCTCTGTGCTGCGTCTTTTCCGCGCCAGCTCTGTCGTGACTTGATCATGTGGCCGTGGTGGGGTATCATTGTATCGTGTCGCTCGAATAGGACCATCCTCGTCGAAGAGCTTGTCTAGATAAACGGTTGCCGAAGAAAACAGTGGTTAGACATATTTTTGGTGGTTGAAATCTCTGACTAGGAGGGCCCCTGCTGCTCAAGAAGAAAGTCGGTTCAGTGCTTCTCTTCAAAAACGTTCTTGTAGACAGGATACCGGTCCAATTCGGAATTCAATCATGGGCATGGCATGTATGGGTGTTGTCCTTGCCAAGGAGATATGCTGTATTCGCCTTCTCTCTCCGAGGGCTTGTGTCAATACTTACTTAGCTTGACGAAGAGCTCGACGACGAAGGCGCACCCAAGCTGAATTGATCCCACTTCTCGACCAACATGTCGTAAGTTTCTTCGGCGATCCCGGCTTCACCGAACTGCGTTGCGTCACTGGCTGTTGCGACACCCACATGAGGAGACAGCACACTAGCTTCCCAGTGATCGCTTGCATCCTTGAACAAGTTGTCGACGTCCTTGGCGGACATGAGTCGACGTTGTCGTAGTGTCAACCGTAACATGCGAAGCATACTTTCGGCGGCGACGGAGCGACGAGATAGACCATGAAGAGCGACTGCTAGCTTGACAAAAGGGGATTTGCGTTCGGGAGCCTCCATATCACCTATAATGACTGCCAAAGCTGCGTTGATGGGTTCGAGAAAACTGATCGGGATGTGGTCGACGCCCCAATATACGGACTGCAGATGTACGAGATCCGCAATAGCAAGGGCTGAGGTCATGTGTTGCGCCCGAACGACAGGAACCAGGAGTTCGACGGTGGCATCATCTTCGTCATCGGTTTGCAATGTGAAATTCAACTCGGACAACACCAAAACAGCCCAGTGGTATTGCGCACTGAGACCGTTAGCATGACCAAGAGCGCGTTGGATGACAGGGGAACTCACTGGACACTCAGAGTATGGGGTGCTTTGACTCCTGCAACTTCGAGACAACCGGGCAGTTCGCCGTACCATGTTGTCAGGTCACGATGAAGCTCTTCTAGTGCGTCCCGCGTGGTCGGACTTATCCTAGGCCCGTCTTCGACAAAAAGACATTGACTGATATTGTAACATATCTCGAACAAAGTGCTCAAATAGTGAAGATGACAGTCGGAATGCGCTGAGACTGGTGGATGTTCGCGGGGATAAGGCAACCATGCTTCACCAAAATCGCCCTTACATACAACAGGCTTGTCTTTCACAGGAGGTTCCATCAGTGGATGATTACGCATGGCGAATGTGGCTGCTGTTGTTGACACAAAGGCGGCCCAGCTAGTATATCCCAAGATCCGTTGCGCACCCGAGACTCGTTCTTTCCCGCGTCTCGTCTTCGGCTTCTGCGATCGGCTAGGTTTGTCATACTGTCTGAGAACATAAAGCATTTCTTGCATGATTGAGGTTGCCAGCCTCTCGATGCCGCGGTTTTGCAAGCTATGACCACGTTAAGACAGATGTACCTTGTGTGAACAGAGAGGCGACTCACTACTGCCACTGAATCGCCAGGAACTGTATCCACGGCAGTGAGACCTTTGTTCTTGTAGATTCTGCATGGCGTTTTGCTTCCTCATAGAACAGGTCTTGCAGGGATTTTTCCATTGATGGGTTGATGTTGTCCTCATCCAGATTATCAAAATCAAACTGAGACCAGGTCAACAAGATCATCACGTGCCGAGGGAGGAGGGGTTACTGACGCATGCATCTGCCAGGATCATGTTGACCAATGCTGGTGTGCACATATCATCATCTTCTTTCCCATCTTGCATGGCTGAGATCAAGGCGTCGCGGTCGACAAAGGGGTACCACCAATGGCGCCATGTGAACCATAGTGAGAGCAAATGCGAGACTAGCACATCATCATCGGTTATCGTCGTCCACGGTTTTGCCGGCACCGAGTATATTGGGACGCTCGATGCCTGGAAGACTCTCGAAGAACGACTCGGCTGCGATGAGGGCGATTGCTGACGGGTGGAAGCCTTGCTACGAGCCTCGTCCTCCTCAGCGCTGGTGACGGTCCCGGAAAAATTGGCGGCAAGGTGGCCGACCAGTTCCTCGTGGGATGTGCTACTTCGGATGAGGTTTATGAGGCTTTCCACCTGGTTGTTGTCGCCAGTGCGGATTGCTTCGATCAACTCAGGCAGTAGTCTCTGGTCTGACTCGAGCTCTTCGACCTTCCTCTTCCATGCCATCCTCCGTCGACCATCTTCAGCTACTTCGCGGATGCATTCTGTGCGCTTCGCAACGCATGCTGCACATGGTGTATTGTCATCACACTATTGAACGCCAGGACAGGTGAGCGCAGCTCAGTGGCAGGATCGGTCTTGGATAGGAGGATGTTCGACCCAGCATTGGTATCTCGTGACGCAGTCTGACTGGAAGCTTGACACCAACAAAGCAGCATGTTGTATTGATGTCCTGCAGATGACGCTCCATGTCATAACTGCGTCTCGTGTTTCTGAACAGGGGGTGGTGGGAAGGAGCACTGAGCGATACGTACCTTGGTACGACGTTTACGACAGGCCCTACAGGCTGTGGTGATATTCCTGCGTTGCTTTGCCGGCGACTGAAAGATACTAGGGCTAGACACGACAGCAGGGCCTACAGGAGTTGCTGGCGCCAAAGGTCTCTGAGGCTTTTGCGACATTGGCGAATATAAGGGTCACCTATCAGGTTAGTCACAACATTGTCCAGCTGGTGTTAAAGTATGCGTGAGTACGCACCTGTTCGGCGGACGCTACGCGGAATAGCCTCAGGCGCTCGTGCAGTTGTGTTGTCCAAGGTCCTGCTGTTGCCATCTGCTTCGTGCCGTCCTCGCCCGCAATCTCATGTTGACTGACGTTGATGGAGGGCGTTCCGAGGAAAGAGCAAGGGAGAAAAAAACTATTGTTCGAGCACACGTGATGGAGTATGTGCCAGAGAGGTCCTGATTTGATGGGAGACAGGAAATCAGATCCGTCACACAGAGATAGACTTGACCAGACTGTGGCTGGATGTCGAGGTTGAAACCAATGGCGAGGGAGGCGATGGCGCAAGGCGGCGGCAGCTGTGGCCTGCGGTGGGTCAAAGAGGTGATGGGAGGCGAAAGCGGTCGCGATTGTATTTCCTGACGGTGTATGCGGTGGTTCGAAAATTGGAAGAAAGGCAAAGACGGACAGCTAGGTCCAAGAAGATATCGTCGCCGGGCGCAATAATATGGCTGACAGAGTACTGTGGACTGCACTTAAACCGGCCACGAGCGTCATGTTTTTACGGAAACAAATCTCCAAACCTTCTCATTCGTACAGTATAATATTCTTTGGCCCGCAAATATGAGGGACGGTCCTCAGCGGTGGCCAATCTCGGAGCATCCGTGCAAACTTCCAGATGCCTGGGGACGCTCACCAAAAGGAAGCTGAGTCCTGACCGGACTCTCGAACGTCGAGAATTCCCAAGTGTAGGAATGTGTGAGCTGCCGGCCATGGTCTTCGACGTCCCAAGAAGGACAATGAACCGTCTTATAGACAGAGACCCTGCGCCGAAGCTTGACGCGGCGGCCAATCTCCCCGCCAGACACTTACCATCGAGGTCAAAATAGATTGAAAAGACACAGCCGGATCCATATTCCTGAAGGTCGACGACGGGCGCAGGCCAAGAGAGGTGGGTTGACGGTGTGAAAGTCCAGTACAAAAACTTGTGAAGGTCGATTTTGCCTTTCACCTCTAGCGTCGCCACTGGATCTTGACGGAATTAGTTTGCGGTGTTTCCTGCTCTGTCGATTGGCTTGCTTAACCTCATCTTACCGCAAGGAGATTCAATCCGGTATGGTTTCGAGTACGCGTACTGTAACAGCGCGCGCGAGTTTGTAAGCCGGTTCTAGGATCATTCACACGCTTCCCTATGCTTGAAATGAAGGGAAAGCATGTTTACTGCGCAACCTTATGGCGACAGGAAAAGGCAGGTTAGGATGAACGCCAGGAGATCGGCAAGATGTACGACAGAAATGGCTAGGGACTGGTCTAGACCGTCCATTGAAGGCCCCAGGAGAACTTGCATAAGTGGAAGTAAAAGGCACAAAGGATGGGCGAGAAGGTTTCGATGATCGGTAATCGACGCGCAGACATAAATTGATTGCTGAGGTATATCGCCGAGGGAAATGCATACTGTGGTTTCCAGAGGTTCAAACCCGTGCTTACCTCAAAATTGATCTCCATTTACTTCTCCAGTAGTGGTGTCTCGACCTACGTGCTCTCCAGTCAATTTCTAGTTGTATACATTTTTGGGTGGTAACCAAGGCATTGGCGCGAATTGCAATGACCTCCTTTTCCTCCTATCAGGCTTTGCCCAACTGTTGATGGACGGACATGCCTTTTCAAAGCCCCTCCTACTGCGACTCGTCCCCTCGTCTCCTGAGACGTGAGAATGATGTGGTTCGGGTACGCCGACCCACAGTGCCACCAGCACCGGGTGCGATGCGCTGCGACGCTCATATCATCCTTTGCTTTATACCTCGAAGCATTTCCAGCAGTCGGTTGCTCTTCATCAAGGTCTCCTAACTGAGGCGAACGCCAGACTGTCATGGTGTCCAGAGGACGTCACCCATGGACTTCGCGCCTCACTTTTATAACCGGTGAACGCCAGACATGCATTGTTTTTCGTATCGGAGAAGAGCAAGTCATCAAACAATCATGACACAGGGTGATTGAACAGATAGCTAACGCTCTCGCCGTTGTGTGTTCTTCGGATTGCTTCCGCTAAAACGGGAGCAACATCGATGAATTCCAATCTGCACCCCTTTTGGCCTTCTTCAACCCTCAATGCCTCAACCTTTTCCTCGGGCACAGGAACGGTGTTGGTGATCACGAGTCTGGAGAGAGAGGAACCTTTGAGGATCTCCACCGCTTTACCGGATAGAATCCCGTGGGTGACAAGAGCAACAACATCTTTGGCACCATGCTTGATAAGAGTGTCTGCAGCCTTGGCCAAGGTTCCACAGGTGTCTGCCATATCATCGACAAGAATGGCCACCTTGCCCTCGACTGTGCCAACAAGGGTCATTCGACTGACTTCGTTGGGTCGCGATCGCTCCTTGTGTATAAGGGCAAATGGTAAATCCAGCTTGTCCGCAATGGACGTGGCTCTTTTCGCACCGCCAGCATCAGGACTGACAATGACACAGTCTTGTTTCACTCCGTTGATTTCTGTGTTGGTTTCCGTTGCATGCATCAGGTTTTCTCGAACCCATTTGACCGAGTTTGGTTCAGCATACAGATTGTCCACTGGGACATTGAAGAATCCTTGAATCTGGGACGCATGCAGATCCATTGTGATAACATGGTTGCACCCGGCCGTTTGCAACATGTTTGCCATTAGTTTTGCGGTGATCGGTGCTCGCGATTTGTCTTTCTTATCTTGTCGCGCATAAGGGAAGTTGGGTAGGATCGCCGTGACTCTTCGAGCAGACGCAGTTTTGCAAGCGTTGCAGATTATGAGGAGTTCCATGAGGCCATCATTGATATCGTTCGGTCTGGTTGACTGGAGAATGAACACTATGACAACCTCAGAGGTCAGCTATCATGCGACGGCAGAGGCTCGTCCCGGCGCAGGACACGAGGATAAGGAATGGTGCCGTACCATCTTCGTCACGAACGGATTCACCAATTGTGACACTCGTTTCCTGGTTCGAGTATTGCAGTACCATAATCTTTGTGAGCTCAATACCGAGTCTAGATAGTGCCACCAGTCAGAACATACGCTTCGTCGTGTTAAGGACGGGCTCCTGCAGCCCAGATAGTGACGAACCTTTTAGCAACTGCTTTAGCCAGCTCGGGATGACTGTTGCCCGTCAACAGCTTGATCGAGTTTGTCGCCATGGCTGCGGAGTTGAATGCAGATGTGGTCACCGAAGAAACATTGTGCCGAGCAGAAGAGAAGACGTCGTTGTTGCTGGTCATTAAAAGTTGAAGGGACCCCAGGAAAAAATTTATGACGGAATACGAATGGCCCCGCGGTAGAGACAGATGGCGCACTCGCAGACAAAGAGTTTCGGTTAGGGGAGTTTAGGCGAACACCACTTCACGTCGACCACCACTTCACGTCGACCACGGTGCCAATTCGCAGGGCTGGGTTGGCTCAGTGCTTGGCTGCGAAATCACGATTCTCATAAGGCGCAAAAATGCCGCCCTGCGAAAATTGGCAATGAAAGAAGAAAAACAAATGGCAGGAGAATGCGACACGTCCGATCGATGTGTGAAAAACGGTATGATTTGTCCTTTTCTATCATGTGCCCTTGAGAGCCTGAATGTGTAGGACTCGAACTTTCATCGATCGAGTGGTCACATACAGCGACACAAGATTCCTCCGTCCTCCAGTCACAGAACAGTAAGCGGGCAGGTAGCCTGAATAGCTGGCGCGCGAGAGCCTCCATTCTCTGTTCTCCTCTCGTAGCAGCTTGACTGCCACGTCTCGTGACCTGGAATGGGGTCCAATTCTTTGCTGGTTTCCGCTCCGAATGCTGATGGCTTGCTCTTAGAGTAAGACCATGTCAAACCCATCTATTTTCTCATAGAGGAAGCACGTCTCTTCCTCAGCTCGGTTCTCTTCTCACGCTCCTCGTGCACACGCTTAGCCAGAAGCTGAGCGTACTCGTTCGCAGCATCCTTGGAGGCCTCAGCGCGTCTTCGCTTGAGCGCGAGTCGGTGTCTCTTGTGTTGCATGCGCTGAGGAGTAACGAGTCTCTGAATCTTGGGGGCCTTGGTGTATGGTTTGGCGCCCTCCTTCTTGGGGACGACTTCACGTCGAATGACGAATTTGCTGTAAACGAAAAGGGTCAGCCGCTCCGTCTTTTACACACATAGATCCTGAGCTGAACATATAGAACGTACCGGACATCATCTTGCTTGCTCAGGCCGAAGAATCGTCGAATCTTGGTAGCACGCTTGGGACCAAGACGCTTGGGGTTGACGACGTCGGTCAGGCCTGGAATATCGCCCTCGCCTTGCTTGACGATGGACAGAGCCAACACGGACAGATCTTGAGCGACGATGCAGCCACGGACGGACTTGCGCTTGCGTTCACCAGTTCGTCGAGGTCGGTAGCAGGAGTGGCCGTCGGCGAGGAGGAGCTTGACGCGGGTAGGGAGCATCTAGACAAGTCTCAGCATGTTGATTCATGTGCTGGCGCTTTCAGAGAGCAGAGTGATTGGGGTACGTACGACGCCCTGCTTCATAGGAAAGCCTTGCTTGTCATTGCCGCCGGTGATGCGGACAATCTGGTAAAGCGAACGTCAGTATTCTGGACACAAAACCCTTTCACTGTCATCGACACAGGGATAGCCATACGTAGCCTTTCCATTCATCACCCAGACTGTCAGCTGGCACTTCATTGCCCATGCGCTTGTCCATGAAGACACGCAGCTTGCGCTCATCTTCGACTTCGACGAGCTTTTGCGACCCATTGGCAGGGTAGGAAATGTTCAACTTCATCTTGACGGGATGTGCTGATCGAAGAATACCAGCAATTGAAATCGTCGAGAAGAAGTAGAGGCGGATCAATTTTCTAAAAGTGCGGGTGCTTGCCAAGAGTGCATCAGGGCTAGTCTATACTGGGGGCTAGTTTAAGACTTGTTCAAAAGACTCTGTTTTCTCCCTCGATGAACAATCAATTCTGTCTTTTGAACTTCACGCACCTTCAGTAATCATCGACCGTGTTTCCAGCAAGTTGGCACCGTGTCACAGGGAGTACGTCGACAATATAAGTCCGAGTTCCAGCAGATTTGCGACAGCAGGTGCCTCGAAAGCAACCCACTAGGAAGGAGTACACGGTAGACGCGATGACCTTACCCTTGTCAAAGGCTAATCCAACATCGTTATTTGCGAAGGACTTCGGATCGACAATAAGGAACAATATCTAGTTGATCCTGAGGAGCAGCAGCGGTCAGACAGTGCCACTTTCTCTGGACATTGGACTTGTCGTGCATTATTGGACACTATCTAACCCCGTTGACGTGGTTATTGCCAGTCTTCTCTAGCGCGAAATACTTCTTCTCGGCTTCCTCGATAGTTCTGATATTCGCACGGGATTTGTTCATGGTCTCAATCCACTCTTCCTCCTCCACGCTGTCAAAGACAATACCGCCGCCCGATTGCAGGTAGGCGATGCCATCCTTGACGACCATTGTCCGTAGTGCAATACATGTGTCCATGGCGCCTTCGTCCTCGATCCTGGATCCGTCTGTAGACACCCTTGAGAAACCAAAGTACCCCACAGCGCCAGCGTAGACGCCTCTCTTTTCACCTTCCAGTTCAGCAATAAGTTCCATAGCTTTCACTTTGGGTGCGCCTGAAACAGTTCCCGCCGGAAAAATGCTTCTGAATGCTGTAAACCTGTTTTCGCCCGGCCTTAGAACACCCGATACCTGACTGACGAGGTGCTGGACATGACTAAATCTTTCCACGGTCATCAACCTATCTACTCGTGTCGACGATGGATCACAGACACGGTTGACATCATTCCTTGCCAAGTCCACAAGCATAACATGCTCCGCTCTGTCCTTGAGGCTGTTGCGTAGCTCATCGGCCAGCTTTTCGTCCTCCTCTGGATCCTGGCCCCTCTTGATTGTGCCCGCAATAGGGTGAGTAATGATGCGACCTGCCTCCTCTTTGACCAATAGTTCCGGTGATGCGCCCACGATACTGAAATCCGCACAGTCAATATAGAAAAGGTATGGAGATGGATTCACTGTCCGCAGATGGCGGTAGATGTTGAATGGATGTAGTGTCGTTGGTCGAGCTATACGATGGCTAGGGACCGTTTGTATGATGTCTCCTCGGTTGATATGCTTCTTCAGCCGGATAACAAAGGCTTCGTAGCCTTCCTTCCCAGCATTTGACTTTGACGGCTGGTTCTGGGTTATCGGAGGCTGATGTGGCAACGGAATGTGTTCTGCTTGTAATGTCGAGACAGTGTTCTGTAGGATGTTGCGCGCTTTCTCGTATGCAGCCGATAGGTCAGATTCTGACCCCGAGGGTGGTACTCGTAGGTACGTAATGACTTTGCAGACGTTGAAGAAATGGTCGAACGCCACGATCGTGTCATACAGCATGAAAAAGCTCTCCGGCACCTTCAGCACGTCCTTCATAGGTCGAGCCGTCTTGGGCTCGAAATATCGTACGCAATCGTAGCCGATATATCCTATGACTCCCCCTGTCAAAGGTGGTAGTCTGAGAGAGGGCACGTTCGCTACTCGATATTGTGACAATTCTTTTTCAAGCCGTGGCAGAGGGTCTTCTTCCGGTCCATGGCCAGGTCCGGTCTTGAGAACTTTTAGTGGATTTGCGCCAACGAAACTGTACCTTCCTATGGTCCCAGTCGTCGCGGCACTCTCGTACAGGAAGGATAGTTTTGAACCATCGGACACTTTTAGGTATGCTTGTGTGGGTGTGAAAAGATCGGCGGGAATCTGGGCGCACAGAGGCACCAGGTTTGGAGGGAAGTTCGAGGACGAGGAGTTTGCTTTTGCTAGGATGGAGGTAACCTCCTCCAGTGAAGGTTGTATCTGAGCCTAGAGCGTGTTAAGGAGAGGGGTGGACGTTGTGATGGAAGACCTTACCATGACAAGATGGTCGGGGTGGGCGACGAGGAATCCAAGACGCTCAAATCATGTTGACCACGGTGTGCTTTGCTTTTCCATTTAGTAATGGCAGTTATGAGTATAGTATCCTATTTTGAGTCACTGCGACTCCAACATTTGGACAGGATCTTGGGGAAAATGGTTGACCGCGGTACTCTGTTACGCCTAAGCACGTGATTGATACCACCAGCCACAACTATTCCAGCCACCTGCGCAGTCCGCATTGCCCTCACTCACTCTGATCCAGGCCGCATTCAATCAATCATACAAGATAATTTACATGATCGCCAACCAACCACTTTGCACGGAGTACACCAGTCGCACAAGGGCGAACACTTTCGCAAATGACCTAATATATCAAAGAAAACATACAAACATCGCCGAACCATGTCGTTGACCACCCACGAGCCCCGGTCTGGAGCAGGCACTCCAACGCGCCCCAGTTCGGCTTGGACCAACAACTCGGTTTTTGCAGATTCGGCCATTAGCCTCAGAACTGGCACTCCCGCTCCTGCTGAAAAAGAACTGGACCTTTTTCACGCTGATGATGGAACGTCATCTCGAGTTGGATTCGCGGATCGCCTCAATGGCCTGGTTTCGGAGATTTGGGCCTGCGAACAGGACGGCGCGATACGCAGGGAGAAGAGTCACAAATTCGAGCGCGCCATACAACAAATCGAGGCCGCCCTTGATGATGATTCATCCGGCGATAGCGACCTCTATAGCGCCCTTCCTTCACCCGCGACCATGCCGACAGATCCTGCCACCGTTTCGGAAGACGACTTCGCGGCTATCCGCGCAAGTCTAGCCTGCACAGTCGAATCAATGCGCATGAGGCAACAAGAACAGAGACATCTCCATCAGCTGGCGGTCGAAAAGCTGGAAACGGTTGCGCAGCGCTGCATCCAGCAGGAGAGGCGATTGAAGGAATTCGCGCAAGAAATGGTGTTACTGAAGCAGGAAAATCGCTTGCTGAACGAGGAGCTCAACCAAGCTCATACCGAGTCGGCAAAGAAGCACGTCGCTGTCGACGCCATGTCAAGTGCTGTCGCAGGCCTGGAGGGGTGGATTAATGGTACTCCCACGCCAGATCGATCCGACAAACGAGTAGTGATCAGAGGCAGAGGCAGATTTCGTGGGCGGTATTATGCGGATGAGCCAATGCAAGCACCAGTCGGGCAGGGTTCTGATGGTACATCTGATGCGAAGGCTTTCCACGAGGGCGTTACCGCTTGGCTTCGCGGCTTCCGAGACGTAGAGGAGGAGTTGAGAATGTCGCAGAAGACGAAGGCTCCTGGCTGGAGAGAATCGCAGAATCCTGCGACAAACACTGACGACGAATGGGGTGATTTTGAAAGTGCCACTGGAACATGATTAATTGGTGTTACTCCATTCAAAGCGGGTATCATACAGTTTTTCGACATTTCAACCATCATTCTATGCCAATGCCTCGGTCCAGAATCCGACCATCGCTCTGCTAAGGGCAGGCATTTCTTAGCCCGCGGCAAACACACTCCGCGTGGCTATGTCCACAGCGGTGGCAAAGCTTGAACAGCATGGAGCTAGCCACACATTGGCTGTGGAGAGGTCTGCATGGTTCAACGTTGAAAGTCGATTACGGCGATCTGCCTGTGTTAGTCAAGACCAAACAAGATATGGAGATAAGCCTTACCTGGACCCCAAGACCAAAGGCGAGCTTCGTGCTATCAGCGTCCCACGTCAATGAGTGATCTGCGCTGGTCTGGAGATTGTCGCCATTTACGCTCGAAGCACCTCCAATGCTCATCATATCATCGTCTCTGAGTTGTGAGCCTGACCACGCAGCTGGCTCGCCTTTCCACGTTGCCATGTGCGTATAAGTATGTTCTGCATTCCAGATACGGATAGCATCATAGCTAGCGCCAGCCAAGCAGAAGCCATCGGGAGAATATGAGAGAGTCATCACGGGCGAAGCGTGGGCGATAATGAGCTTGCAAACGGAAAGGATCGAATTTGCGTCCGAATCAAACCTCCATATCTTGACGGTGCCATCCATCGATGAGGTAGCAAATTCTTGCTTAAGGGACAAATTGTAGGAACTCGGCAGACGAGGGCGTATTTCGAGGCCTGTAATGGCGGCATCATGTGCACCTCTTTTGAGGAGGTTTTGAGCGGGCACCCACAGTGATCCAGAGTCGGCTGACGCAGCCACCAGAATAGCATCCGTGGAATCATGCCAGGCACATCTTACAAATGTCCACTGGTCGTTTTCATTCGCATGCGAAGTCCATTTCTGCTGTAGGACCAGGTCGAAGAAGGCTTGACAGTGATATACCGCACGCTGGCCTGCCGCGCAAACAATGCCATTGCCATTGAAGAAGGCGCAGTCCATGTCCACAAGGATTTCAGGAACCGATACCGACAAGGGTCCGGTAAAGTTTGGCGACCGCGACAAATCCCACATAAGGATAGATGAGCCTCCTGCCTGAGTGGAGCCTGATGCTTCTGAGTCGTAGGGAGCAATGCCCAATAGACGTAGACCCTGGCTCTGCCACTTCAATGACGTGATTGCTCTTTGTGAAGCTGGCAAAGTTTCCATCAGTGTAAGTTCTTGGCCATCAAACAAATGTATTTGACCGGCTTGATTGCTGTAGGTAGCAACAGCAAACATTTCTCCATTGGGTTCCCACGCCACGGCACTGACAAGCGTAGACTCGGTGGCCTCAACGAGCTCTTGAGAACGAAGTGGCTGCTCAGGATCGGTTTGCTGTTCGAACATGTTCCAGACTTTGCAGTAGTTATCACCCATCGCGGTCACAACCTTGCCATCGGTAGGACGCCAGGACACTCGCGCCAGGGAGGGCGTTTCCTCAGAAGGTGCGACATTGTCAATGCGTAAAAAGGTGGTTGATGGCGCTAGATTTGCGACCTTGTCAGGTACGACTTGGATCCCTATACTCGATCCATTGGTCAGGGTGTAAATAGGAGGTGGCACAGCTTTCACGAGTGCTTCGTGGGGTTGTTGGTCTGCAGTGGGTGATTCTTCATCGAGCTCCATGCGGTCGTCATTTCGAGCGCCATTGATTAATGGTCCATTGTCCTCGACTCCTCCTTCGGTCCCGGAAGGTGATCTCGCGTCGGTGACAGAAGCTGGATGGCCATTCGACATTTCGTGATCTGCCCCAAATTGGTTGACTGAGCCCGAGGGTTTGCGTGCAGCACCTCCATTGCGATCTGAGCCGGCTGCCGTTTTACGACTGCGCTTGGCAGCTGGCTGGACAGAAGGCTCTGATAGGCCATTCGAAACACTGTCGCGCGCGACTTTCCGTGTTGTGGTGCTTGAGTCAGCCGGTGACGGGACTGACAGAAGCGGTTCTTCTGGGAGTTCTGGTGGCCGTTCATTGCTCTCGGGACCAAAGAAGAACATTGATGCGTCAAGTTGTCTGGAAGGCCGGCCATTCTGAAGTGGGATTAGCGCCAGTACATGATTGCAGCAGGATTCATTGGCACGTACCTCGTCAATGGTTAGTGAAAGGTGGTGATACCTCAATCCCTTTTGAACCAGGCCAACAAGCGCATGTCCTCTGATGTTCTTTGCGAACGGCAGGTTCTCGGCATCGACTTTCCAATCGCGTTGGAGTTTGACAGCTGCTTCGGCGTAGCCTAGATGGAAGGTTAGAATGGAGCAAATTGTGGATCTTGTGGACGGCAGCCTACCCGATTCTTGGAGGTACCTGTAAAAACTGATCAGTAAACGATGCAACAAGCAGAATGCAGAAGAAGCGCACCTCCAAATGAGATAGTTGAGTTGGTCGGAATTTAGTGGTGGAGGCTTCGCATTGAAAGTTGACGCATTGTCGGCTTCCATGCCGACATTCCGCTTGAAGAAACGGGCTTCGGCAGGGGTTTGGTGGTCGTCAGGATCGAAAGGTCAAGAAAGCCACGATGAAAGCGCGTTTGCGGCGGCGGTAGGTAAGATGCAAGACGCAAGTATGACAATCAGACGCGTCTGCGCTGCGCCAGTCGGTTTTCGGGTTTTTGGATTTGTAGGTCGATGGCGCACGTCGACCTGAAGCTGAACTCCTAAAAGCTGTACCAGGTGTTCGCGATCGAAAACAATCGATATCAAGAATATGATGATCAATAAGTTCAACTGGCAAGGAAGCGCAAACGACGACGTCGCGTTGTCGATAGCGTCAAGACTGGTACTTTGGGATACTGAGATCTGAAGATGGAGAACGTCGAAACAAGAAACAAATCATGAATCAATGGAGATGGTGACATTCATTGTAAAGTTGGGAAGAGAAAGGTGTCGTGGGTCAAACACGCAAGTCACCTGGCGAGTAGGTAGTGGAGCAGCCCACCAAACAGCCAAGGCTAATAACTTAATCAGAAAAAAGGTGCTTTTTGCAAGTTCGGGGGGATCTGCTTGCGTCGTTTAGGGCTTTGACGCACTACATTAGCCGTGCCCTGCGAGCCTTAAGCCTACAGTAGCGACCTCTATCCATGATGCAGCCTCGGGCACTCCACGGGCCCTGGTAGCCTCATTATTTGATCCAAGGGCTGTAACATGAACTGATGTTTTGTCAATGTGGTTGAAAGTAAAGCAAAAACACTTCGTGTGCATCAATATGGTCAGCTAGATCACTTCTTTGCTCTGGAAACCCCAAAGACGATGCTTTCCGTGCTGCCGCCCCGGAGTGTGATCTGATCTCTTCTCACGGTCGTGGCGCAGGCACCTACCTGGTCCTGGTCCAAAAAGGCTAGACTCGAGCTCCCACCAGCCTCAATACTGTTATTCTCTGTATTTCGCTGCAGCCCAATCCATTCCGTCAGCATAGGAGAGCACCAACGTCTTTCTCCGACTGAACCTGTGCTCATCGTCATTCTCCCAGCGCCCATGTTTGTACGGCATTGAACAAGACGACAAGCGCATTAGGACATGCTTGGAAAGGGATCCTTTGCGCCATGGCTTTCAGAATCAATATCCCACCAGTCACCCGAGCCCTTCTTGCCATCATCATCGCCTTGACCTTTCTCTACAACGTCGCGCGATGGAGGATCCTGCAGGAAAGCCTCGGAGAAACCACTCCGCCAACAGAGCCCCTTCCTCGACTCATTGTCCCCTACCTAGCCCTCATACCATCTCAATCCATTCGGTACCCTTGGACGTTGCTTAGCTCCGCCTTCGTCGAGCAGAATGGCTTCACACTCCTATTTCAAGGAGCTGCCGTCTACTTTGGTGGGAAATATCTTGAAAGAGCTTGGGGATCACGAGGCTTAATCTATGTTGTTCTCATTGCCACCATAATACCCAACCTGTTGGCTATCCCTACATACATTTTGTGGGCTGCCGTGACTGGCAATCCTGAAAGAGCGTCCACACCCATCAATGGAGGCATCACCTTGCAGGCAGCATTCCTTGTCGCCTTTAAACAATTGGTGCCCGAACATACCGTCAGCATATATAAGGGCATGATCAAGATGCGAGTCAAGCATTTCCCAGCCGTCTTTCTTGCAGTGAACACCCTCTCCGGCCTCTTCCTCGGCACCGACACAGCACTCATTCTCGCCTGGTACGGGTTGATCACAACATGGACTTACCTACGATTCTTCATGCGTCAACCAGATCTATCCGAGACGACCACGGACGGCCAGGGCCTCAAGGGGGATGCAAGCGAGACCTTTGGGTTTGCGACATTCTTTCCGGACGTCATGCAGCCACCCATTGCGGCCATGTGCAACCAAGTATTCCTCGTGTTGTGCAACCTTAAGGTATGCACACCTTTCTCGGACGAAGATATCGCAACGAGCAATGAGCAAGCTGCTGCCAGAGGTGAGGGTGGTCTGCCCAGTTTCAACAAACAAGCACGAGGAGCGAGAGGGCTGAGCAAACGGGAAGAGGCGGAACGACGCAGGGCACTGGCACTTAAGGCGCTGGACGAAAGGCTCAATGCTGCTAGCAGTCGGCCAGCACCCCTACCGGCAACGCCAACGACTGCACCCAATCTGCCTCAGGGGCAGGAGATGTTGGGCCAGACTGATTATCGACCGGATGCCTGAGTTGCTTTTTGTAATTGGTTGACGCTTTTGCGACCTGGGAGGTTGTTTCCATATATATTGGCTTGGGCCCTTGATGGCTGTTTAATCATTGCTAGCCGGCTGGGTGTCCGGCGCAAACATCCTTTCGTATGAGACTTTCCCCCGGAGGCCCGGAGGGATTCTGAGGTTGCATCCTCGCCTTCGAGAAGCAACAGAACGAAATGCATGCTGCCCTGAAATGACTGGGGTCCGGCCGTGATACTAGCGGGTTAACCAGGTTGTTGACAAGGTCGATCTGAGCAATCCCGAAGGGCTCCCGCTATGTTTTACCGTCTCGGCCAGATCCGCACTCCGGCATTATTACCTCCTGTCCCACAATGATGATGTCGATGATGTGGGTGGCCTCGATCAATCAAGAAGGTAGTGAGACCTCTCCGAGATCCTCTAGTCATTATTCGTCGTTGCACATATCGCCCGCCAATCAGTCTGGCACGAGCAACCACTCTAGTGCAGGTACATCGTTTGTTCGTGAAAAGCTTCATACCTCATACCACCCAGACCTTGTTCACCACATTCCAGCTATACCTGCGTACTCCGTATGTCCAGACTTTTGAATCTCTCGCTTACCGGGCAGGTGCTTCAATCCAGGCATTTGACTCGTTCACCGCTCCGCACTCTCCACTTGATCGTGGAAGCGAATATCCATTTCTCGAAAAGCGAAGCTCTGAAAAGCATCATGGATGCACAGCGACCCATCACAGTAGGTGCAGAAGCCCTCAGGTAAGGTATAAGGAAAGTAGTGTCCGCATTTCCTTTCGTTCCTGAACCATCAATGCTTGTCTGCCTTTCAATCTCACCACATTCGCAACGACGATGGCCTCGATCAAATATGCAGCACTGGCTGCCGCTCTCCTAAGCTCGGCGCAAGCTTCGCTCTACGGCGAGAGCAATGTCAACCACACCTGTGTCCTAGGTAAGACTTTTCCAGCAGTCAATAGTTTCCCTCCCGTACTAACACCACATTCTCAGAACCTCAAATCTTGTCGTGTTCATCAGGAGCTAATGCAGCGACCGCCGACACCTGCTGCACCGAGACCTTCGGCGGACTGGTTCTCTCCACGCAATACTGGCAAACCTACACTGGCCTCGAGTCGCAAGGCCAGCTCCTCCCGCCCAACACTTGGACGCTGCACGGACTGTGGCCTGATTTTTGTAACGGCTCGTACACGCAATACTGCGACCTTTCACGCCAATTCGATCCAGCCCCTTCACCCAACACCACCAATGGCCTTGCCAACGGCACCGTTGTCCCCCCGTACAAGGGCCCCGGCGTGGACACCTTCATCACGAATTTCAGCCGCTACGATCTGCTCAACTACATGAACACGTACTGGACCAACCAGGGTGCTTCCAATGAGGCTTTCTGGGCCCACGAGTTCTCCAAGCACGCTACCTGCTACTCGACCTTCGACGTCCCCTGCTACGGCCCCAACTACGTCCAGCACCAAGAGGTCATCGAGTTCTACGAGACCGCAATCAAATACTACCGCCGCCTCCCGACATGGGAGTGGTTAAACGAAGTCAACATCACCCCATCCAACACCACCCAGTACACCCTCTCCGACATCCAGGGCCAATTGGCCAAGAAGTATGGCGCGACCCCCTATATTGGCTGCAGCGGCCCCAAGTACAACGCCACCGCTGCCGGCAAAAATAGCACCGACAATGGTGGCACCGTCGTCAGCGAGGTTTGGTACTATCAACATGTAAGTTTACTGTTCCCGAATCTGCGCCAACATTCTTGATATGGAAATGCTGACAAGATGATGAAATAGGTTGCTGGCCGTCCTCAAGAAGGAAACTCCATCCCAGTCAACGCCACTACCCCCAACACTACTTGTGCGAAAGCGGCGAAGGCCTTGTGGTACTACGAGATGACTCCTAGCTCTGTGCGTAACACTACTATTCCCGCGCGGAAGTAGACACAGCTTGCAGAAATATACTTAAGCCATATATTGACAGACGTAAATAAAGATAATGTAATGGTATTGTACTTGTAATTATGACCTTTTGCCATTCACGCGCAATTCCGTGGACGAGTGAGTGCTGCATAAGAAGAGGAGTTTACCGATTGCCGTGGCAGAGAATAGTGTGCAGGACATCAGCATAGGTGGATAACCAAAAATCGCTCTGCGAAGAGATTGACGTGGATGATCACGGTGGGCGAGATTTTCTTCCACGCTGGTAAGATTTTACAAGAATAGAAAGAAGAAAGAATCGACTTGTATTCATCAAATAACCCAATTAAGACACAAACATAAGGCCACCCTGCCTGTCTCTACAGCGCGCGTCGGGGGTAATAAAAAGAGAATCGTTACGACTCATCGGAGGAGGCATCACAAGTAACGCATTCTCAACTGTGTGCTCGTGGACGCCACACAGTAATGGAAGTTCCTTGAGAGCGACCTCGCCAAAGCAAGGAAGAGGCGCATAGAGGAGTAACCTTGGGAGGCCGCCGCCACTCGCATTGACTCCAGCAGGAAAAAGAAGATGGGATGGCAAGGCTGCAGACAGACTAACAAGTGAACGGCGAGGCGGGCAGCGTTGCTGTGTAATTGCGTGGTATGCCTGACGCATGAGCAAGATCAACAGCCAGGATGTGTCAGCGTCAATGACGCCTCGGTGCGAGATATCGTAACTCATGCGCTGAGAGCTGTAGAGGGGGTTCACCGTCTCTTTTCGCATGTCTTGCCTTCTGCTGGATTTGAGAAATGGGTGACCAAGCCTTGGTCGGTATAACTCGTTCCAATGTTGGTGTATCCAGGTATATCCTTGACTGCTCTGTTCACGCCTGAACCTCTCCGACAAAAGAACCAGGATGCATGTGGATACTTCTGTGCACTCCTTATTGGTCGATGAGCCGTCAGCGTCTGACTCAGGCAGAGGATGACGAACCTTGAGACTATCAGTCGACCTCAATGCACGTATGCTTGCTGTTCAGACTTGTACCCAGTATCAACAGCTTGAGGGTAAACTCTAGATCGTCCAGACGTATTCGATTTCATTTTGTCCCACCGTTCTCTTGTACAATGTCGGTAACTGAACTCGCACTTCTTCGGATCGACCCGGGCACAGATGTTTCGTCGCCAACACTCCTTGCGAACTTGTCCGAGGCAAAAAGTGTGATGGAAAGGGCCAGCGGCTTCAAGTTCCACTTCTACCATTGCGTGGAAGATCCCAGCCTGGTGTTTATACTTGGCGCATGGCCGTCGATTGACTTCCACATGAAGGAGTTCATCCCTGGCGAGGCCAACCAAGAAATACTAGACCTGCTGAAAAGACAGCTTGTTGTTGAATGGATGTTTCATCTCGATGTCGACCAAGCAAAGACTGCTCTTTCTTTGAGCGAGAAATTCATTGCCATTGGGCGACATTTCATCAGGGAGGGAGAGGAAGACGTATTTCGATCGACCTTCAAAGCCAAAAAACATGAACTTGAATCTTTTATTGGAGGAGCTGGTCACGTTGTCGGAGGGTTCAGGTTAGATGATGGGTTTGAGCCGGCAACGGAAGGAGACAGGAAGGAGGAATTCGTTCTGTTCACGGCATGGAACAGCGTCGAACATCACTTCGGCTTTGCTAGAACGGAAGGTTTCGAGAAGTATGGTCAGATCAGAAACCACATCGAACAAGCAGACATCAAGCATGCCACAAGGCTCAATGTCGACGAGAAGACGCGAGTGTAGATGCGAGAGGTTGACACGGCGACCTATTCGAGACTTCGTCAGTCAGATGCATCTGCCGAGGAGGTGTAAGGCATCTTGTAGAACGTATCCTGCAGGGTTTGTGGACTACTGCATGTTATTTGATATGCATCTCACACTTCTCTCGGGAGCGTCGGGTGAGAAAGAGAGGACGAAAGGGACGAGGTTGCCAAGAATGAGGGTTTGACGCGGCTGCTGTGGCGGTGACGTTGAAAGAGTCGCAGCTGATGACCACAAATCGAATCGAATCGACCCCTCCCTTTAATCTGCCTAATCGTTTGATTTGAGGAAGGCATTTAGACTGCGTCTTTCCGTGTGGTTTGTGATCGAGTTTTCGCAAGAACAATTCATCACTGCCCTCACAACCACGGCATCGTCTTCAATTACAGCCACTGTTCTGCAGATTACGCCACGCCAGCAGCATTTCCACCATCAGCAAGGCCTCCACCAACCGCCCCCCGATAAACTGACCAGCACGGGCTCTGTGGATACGATTGCCCTGCCCTGCCCTGCCCTAAGAAACCAACTTATCCACCTTACGTTACCTCACTGCGAGCTTGTTCGGCTACTGACCTCAAGGCTACTCCGGATTCTCATACATCCGCCGACCTGGCTTTCTTCGCCTCACCTCTTTCCTTTCAAACCATCCCTACCCGGCGAATAGTGACCGATCGCAACGGACGCAGCTACTCGGTCGCTGTAACGCCTAGCCGCTCGTTTGATCATCCATCATCTCGACGAAATACAGTTGTCGGCGTTGCCAACGAATTCCACCCTGCCCAAGACTCTAGCAGTCAAGAAACATCCGCGAACGTCTACACACGATCCTCCTTTGAGACTGCGCCGATCATCAAGATGTCGAAAGTCGTAAGAAGCGTCAAAAATGTCACAAAGGGCTACAGCAGTGTGCAAGTCAAGGTGCGGAATGGTAAGCAGAGACTGGAATCGGCAGTCTGCGCACCCGCGCTAATGATAGGCGATAGCTACCTCTAATGATCCATGGGGCCCTACGGGCACAGACATGGCAGAGATAGCAGCTCTGACCTTCAACAAGTGAGTTTGCTCTGCTCCGAATGATGGCTGACGGGCCATTGACACATTCTGTAGCCCCAGCGACTTCTACGAGATCATGGACATGTTAGATAAGCGCCTCAACGACAAAGGCAAGAATTGGCGACATGTTTTGAAGTCCCTCAAAGTCCTAGACTACTGTCTTCACGAGGGGTCTGAATTGGTGGTGACCTGGGCACGGAAGAACATCTACATCATCAAGACGTTGAGAGAGTTTCAATATATTGATGAAGATGGAAGAGATGTCGGACAGAACGGTATGCACATTCCCAAGTACAGGTCCATTTTAGTATGATCAACTGCTGATTTGTTCCCAGTCCGCACATCTGCCAAAGAATTGACCTCACTCATCCTGGACGAAGACCGACTGAGAAGTGAACGATCCGATCGAAAACTGTGGAAGACTCGTGTCCATGGCGTTGAGGAGTTTGCCCCTCAATCCAGCGCTGGGCCTGCGCAGCAGCCACGCCGTAGGGAGACGCGAGGAAGTCGCGTCGACGACGACTTCGAAGCACAAACTCAGGTGGCTATACAAGAAAGTCAAAGAGAAGCCGAGGACCAAGCGCGCAAACAACGGCGTCAACCTGAAAATGACGAGGTAGATCCGGAATTGAGGAGGGCAATCCAACTCAGCAAGGAGGAGGCGGATCTGCGCGCCCGTCAACTTGAGGATCAAAACGCTGCATCCTTGTTCGACGACACTCCAGCACCATCCCAACCTCAGCCGACCGGTTACAATCAGGGCTATCAACAACAACCAGCGGTTGACTGGTTTGGAAATCCCCTCCAGCAGCAGCCCCAGAGTACCGGGTATTTGAACAATCAATATGCTCAACCACAACAGACCGGCTATCAGAACGGCTTTGGCAACGGCTTCCAGCCTTCCCAGCCAACCGGTTATGACCAATATGGTCAACAGCCATTCCTTCAGCAACAGAACACCATACAGCCGCAACAAACTGTCTTTCCCACAAACAATCCCTACGGCATGCAGTCCAGTGGCGACATATTTGGAGCGCAGTCTCCGCAGCAGCCCAGCCTTCAGACTGGTACGAACAACCCATGGGTAACGCAGTCCCCTCAAGCCGCCGAACCACTCCAACCATTGCCGACGGGTTCAAACAACCCTTTTGCGCAAAGAACACAACAGGCATCACCGTCTCCTTTCGCACGCACAACCCCTCAACCCTCGTTGGGTACTCTCTTTGAATCACAACCGACGACGCAATTCAGCCAGCCACCTCAGTCAAACCCTATCATGAATTTTCAGTCTCCACCTCCACAACAGCCTCAGCAGCAACAGAAGCTTGTTAACCCACAACACGCCAGGCTGAATGCTTTGTTAGCTTCTGGTGAAGGTCAAGATACTTTTGGCAACACGGGCGACTTGCGTATTCCTGCTCAACATACCGCCCCGGGCACATTCGTGAACTCAGCTGGCGGAGGTATAGATCGTCTTCGAGCAGCGCAAACTGGTACCAACCCATTCTTTTCGCAGCAAGCCACAGGTTTTGGTCCATCGCAAGGTGGCCTTGGTCAACACGCACCTGCTCAGACTGGACCAGCAAGCGGATATGGTGGTGGATATGCTCAACAAAACAGCAATCCTTTTGGTGCAAGACCGGTCGGACAGCAAGGTGGCAGCCTGATTGATTTATAGTTCACTTGGATAAGCTCGGGAGGGCCTTCGTCAGGAATGTCAGAATTGTCATTATCCAGCGCCGGTCACTTTATGATACAGCTTTTGTCCCTGAGTTTAGCTGCTTATATACCATCATTGCGTCTGCTCCCTTCCTGTGGGCATTTCATAACAGTACCTAGTATATTTCTGACCACACTGCCTGACTATCTTCTGACAGGTGCTTAGAGGTTTAAATGATTCCGACGTGCTGGAACCGTACAATTCCCAGTCTGGCCACCTATCAGTTTTGCCGTTCCTCAATTCTTTTCACCTCACTATTCCGGAATCCAAGATTCTAGTCAGCCAGCAGACATCCCATCAGCCAAATTCATGGGTCAAGGACAGGAAGAGTGCGGAGCATGGCCGCAAAGGACCTTTCTTTCGGCCCTGCGATATAGGTAACGTTGTTCGAACGGGCAACAACAAGCACAATGCTGCGAACCTACGTCTTGTAATTATATTCAGAGTCGCATCCAGAGTGTACCATTGATGCCGCAGTCCTGTCGCTTTATGCTTTCCAGGACAGTACATGCTAGTCGGACAGTTGGCGACATGGTTACTCCCATTAGCGATGATCGACGGTGCCAATGATCTCGATTTGCCGAGAAGGTACCTCCTACAAGGCTACAACTCGCCAACAACCCTGGACAGCGAAAGCGTTAGAGGTCCTCCCGACTCTGATGGCCAATGAGGTTCATCCGAGATTACGTTCTGATGCGGCTCTTCCAGATTGCCCATTCGCACCCGGGCCGCGCTGGCTTCCCTACCTACACGCCCAATTCCGGGAGGACATGAGGCTGTAGGTTGCGTTTCACAGCAAGATCATGTTCGGCGGCTAGCGGCATCCTGCACAGCCCTCATGGAACGAGCCGACCACAGCGATTGCCCGGTTGAATCTGCGGCTCACATCTGCTGCAGCATGCCTTGTCTTGACAGTAGCGAGCGTACCACGCGTGTTCGCAACTACTTCTGCCTTGTAAAGTTGCCGGCGCTTATTGTGCCTAAATGCTCTGATACCACTCACCGAGTCTGCTCTACAGTTGATCAGGAGAAGTTTCTTGCAGTAGGCAGCTTCCATCTACCCTCATGCGCCGCATGGCTGCCCGTCCTCAGTCAGTTCGAGACAAGAATGGTGTGGCCAAGAGAAAGCGAGAGAAAGCCCCGAGTGACAAGGAGTGGTCTCGCATACGGCCAGAAGTCGAGGGACTCCACAGAGATGGCAGAACTCTCAAAGAAATACGTCAAGAGATGGCCAAAGAGCATAAGTTCGAAGCCACGTGAGTACGTGTTGTGTCGCTCTTGAATTGTCTTTGACAGCGTCAGTGAACACATGTATAAACCTAGGCTTAAGAGCTGGGGGTTGAGGAAATACTTCAAGAAAGAGGAACATGAAGTTGCTAGGGAGGCAGTTGATGAACGTACAGGTCAAGGGCCTTCCTTGCCCGTGGACGTGATGGTCAACGGCCGACGGCTACCTTTGCATCGTCTGAGTCGCCAGTTCAGGGCAGATCCTACTTTCGCAATCGCTTTAAACCAAGGTGCTCGCCGCTGGGACCAACTTGCTTTGACATATCAGTTGCAAGCCTGTACAGCAGAAGATCAGATCGAGCTGATGCTTCGTCATATCAAAGCACACTGGTCCATCACCATCAAAGGTAATCATGAGACCATGCCTGTCTTGAAAGCGAGACGGGCAAGGATGGAGGTAACCTCCCACCCAAACGATGTCAGGAACAGGTTGTTAGGTGGCCTAGCTTTGGTTCGCCGCGGCAAACCGGCCAAGGGATGGAAAGAGATTCATTACGTCTGCGAGCAAATTGGCAAGGTCTTCGAATTGGGAGAGCCCAACCTGCTGCCCGAGATGATCGCGGTGTTCTCCAGTGTGGTCTGGAATGACCATGCCGAATTGTTCGACCAGATCGCCAGACATTTCGCGTACATGGCAAATGAGTATCTCGGCTCTCAACATCCGTTGACAAGAATAATGATAATCGTCGTGACTTTGGTTGAGAATCTCGACGCATTCCAGCACTTCGCGGAGCGTGCATTCACTCTCATGATGAAGACGCTTGAGGGGGACTGCGGCAACACCAACACCAAGCGCTGGCGACGGGTCAGACTGCAGACGGAGACAGAGATCATTTCGCGAATGCAGCATCATCTCACACCCCCGGAATGTCGGGCGATGATTCAGAACAAACTCTCTTCGTACAAGCACGATTTGGGGCCCAGGAGCGCTCACACCCTAAATTTGGCGTTCCTTCTGGGCACGACCTACGAGAGAGAAGAGTCCAAAACAAAAGGTGAGGTCCAGTGTAGAGCTGAAGCCCAGTATCTTTGGATCACCGATCAAGGGAAACGATTCCGACAGGATAGCTGTCGCATTGGGTCGTACCCCCTAGCTGCTCGGCGGTTGGGGCAGATGTACTTCCGTCGAAATGACTACACGAAGTCACAGGAGTATTATTGCATCGCGTGGGTGTGGGCTGCTGAAAAGCTTGGTGAGCACCATCCATTCACGGATCTGCTCATACGAGATTTGAGCGGTCTGCAGTTGATGTACAAGAAGGGTCTGTTTGAAAGGACCACGGTATATAAGTACAACGGGTCGCGGGTAGTCGTGGCGTGGAACGACAATGGGGAATCAACTGTGGTGGACGAGGTCTATGTAGGAGAGGATGGCTCCAGGGATGCGGCTGCCATCGTGGAAAGTGATGGTATCCCCTTGTCAAATGATGACCAATGCATGGATTTCGTTAGCCCCGACAAAGACATGGAGCTGGATGCAGCATTGATGAATGTACAAGCTGGTGATGGCGACGAAGAATATCTGGATGACTTCAGCTGGCTAGCTCAATACCAGGAATAATGGGATGCTGTAGATTGATCTTTACCAGGTCAACTCTGCTCTCGATCAACAGTGGATATCCACAGAACTATCTGACCACACCAAAAGTGCTGTCACAAAAGGAGAAATGTACACCATCAACTATCTCATTCTCACCGCTACAGCGTTCTGGAACAATGACTGAGTCACACTGAAGCTATGGTAGACTGTGATCCCTTGGCTTGCCTCATTCAATTCCTAGTGATACAGCTGTCAATTTGGTCAAGTGCCCGCAGCCTAAGTGCAAGAAGTGATAGTCATGACCACAGCGGAAGTAGTAGCCGTAGCAGCGTTGACAGCAGCAGTAGCCACCGCCGAAGCAGCAGCAGTAGCCACGGCATTACCGCCAATAAGAATGCTATTGAACACATCCGCCGCAGCCTGGTTCTGGGTCGTAGCAACAGCGGCAGCCGAAGCACTTGTGCAACTTGCCTGGACATCAGCAGGAGCATCACAAGGCGAGCCCAGCCTTTGACAGATAAAGCCCGCGATGACGGCGATGTTGAGGGCGGAGCCGTGGTTGTAGTCCGTCTGGTCCTGCGCGATGAACGCCTCGGTGTTTCGGCCGTCGAGACCCGCTTCAAACAGGATGGTCGGGTTGCCGCAGGAGCCGAAGTCGGTGGCGCGTTTCACCTTTTTGGTCACACCATCCGCGGCGTTACATGCGTCTTCTTGGGTTTCACACTGCGCTTCGCCGCCGGCCAAAGCACCGCTGTTGGCTGCGTCGGCGCAGGCATTGTGCTGGACGGAGCAGGAGCGTTGGAGAGCTGCGGCGGCGTTGACGAAGGTGTCGCCGTTGACCGAGAAGGGGCGGTCGCCAGAGCTGGAGATGACTGGCGGTGGGGCGCCGCCGAGGGTACCAGTGAAGGTTTGCACGTTAGTGCCTGATGACTGGTTAGTGGATGCAAAGGGGCAACAGATGTTGGAAGACTTACCAGATGCAGCGGACGTCTCGACAGCGGCGGCGCTAGTCACGGTGGCTAGGGTGGATGCAGCGGCGGCGCCGACGGTGGTGGTGATGACGGTGCAGGAGCTGGTTGATGCAGCAGCAGCGGTAGTTGTGGCGTCTGCTGCTGCTCCGCATTCAGTGGCAGCGGCTGCTGTGGTAGTAGCTGCAGTGTCACTGGTTGCAGCGACGGCGACGGGAGCGGCCGTGGCGTCGGCAACGGACAAGGCGGCTAGGTCGACGTCGGTTGCGCTGATGCCCCCTGTTCCAGTGAAAGTCAGGGTGATTGTAGCCACGGCCGAGCTGATCTCGTCCTCGGAGGCATCGAGGACAAGAAGATTCTCGCTGAAAATGCACCCGGGCTCATCATCCGAGGTGTCGCAGGTGTTGCCCGCTGCGGTTGGGTCACCGATTGTGCCAGGGGCGAAAGTACCGCTTTCGAGTGCGAGAAGAGGATCGGCTCCAATGGCAGCCAACTGTTGAGCCAGTGCAATAGTGATGCCCTTGTTGATGCTCGCGGCATTCGTCGAAGCAGGATCCTGGTGCTGACTGAGGGCTCCAATCTCGGCATTGACAGGAGTCTGGGTGCAGAGAACGCTGACTAGACCGACGCTGCCAGTGTTGCGCTCTAGGGCTCGATACACCAGAGCGCCAGCCATGCCAGCGAGGTCTCCGGCTGCCTTTGCATTGGTGAAGGCCTGGTCTGCCGTTGCTTGCTGCAAGCAGTCAAGGTCAGTAACGTCGCCAGCACCACCAGCTGCAGCAGCGTTTCCCAGCAGACCGAAGACTGGGTCTGCGATTTTCAGTGGGTTGTTGGTATCCAATGAAGTGCGGACAAGATCAAGGAACTTGTTGTGTGAGTGCTCCTGAGGGACTTCACGAGCTTTGTGTTCCTTGTGGGGAAGAGCATGTGTAGAGGACAAGGCGAAGGCCAAAATGGTGGCGGCAATTTCGTACTTCATGGTGACTGTAATGACTGAGTTCCCTTGGAAATGCGTTGCTTTTGTAAAGACCTGTTTCAAGAATGGACGACTGAGGGTCAGATAGTAAATAGGACCAGCCTAGAGAATTGCAAGAAGGGTTGCAGAAAGAATGTAAATGGTTCGCAGAACCTTGAAAGAATGGAAAGACTGGCGAATGAAGCAGTTGTGGATGAAGAAGATGAACGACGAAGGTAGGAATGAGACGACCTTTAAATCTTGGGCAGCGGACACGCTGATTGCCCATGACAGGCCTCGAGGACAGCATAATGCGCTCAATGGCACATTCTGCAACAAGTTCCAAGCACTGTGTTGCACTTCATGATCCAGAAAATGCCCTAGATGAAGATGGAATCGTGCACTAAGTAGCTAAACGACGAGATCCAGGAGGCGAGATGGATGGAGATCTCCCATGTATCCGATGCGTTTGCGTGATTAATGTCTTCGTTGGAAGGCAAGGCTGAAGTGTCTCGCAGTCCAGACTCCTGTGTAAGATGATGCCTTGATGCGAATTGTCTCAAGACAAGATTGGGGCAGTAGGGGAGGTTGACTTGGCACATGTTGGATAATTTCGGCCGCACTGTGGACGAGGCTCCTTGAAACCATCATCGACCGGCCACGTGGTGTTGAAATATGCCCCCAGTTGAATCTTCCCTAGGACCGGGGAGCTTCAAGCCGGGGAAGATGAGCTCATATCGTCTGAAATTTCTCAACTGGGACCATATGCGGCATGATAACACGCTTCAACCCACAAGTCGAAAACTCGGGCCGTCCGCCAACGTCTCAGCTTAGTGGCTGTTCGGCGACAACCGCTGTCGGACCAGTGATGACTCTAGTTCATGCGCTAGAAGGTCTGGCAACCCCTCGTCCGAAGTCTGCAGTGAGGCAAAATCTCTTCTGTAACCATGATCCGAGGTCAAAGATACCCATGCCTGCTGGCCTTAGATGTGGACACGGGTAACGTCCATGCGACAGACGAAATGGTGGATAGGGGTACTACGGTCTCCGTATGAAGTATCTACTACTTACCTTGGCATGTAAGCACGTGATGTAATTCGATTAAAGTGCTTCCAGTTTTCGCGCCTTGGCGACCCACTTTCTCCGCATTTAGTCCTCTGACATCTCGAACCTTTTCTCATTCTCCAACAGCGAGTCTCGCGACAGGTCCACAGCCGCAATTTTCTCCACTGACAGATACGCCATGGTCAAATCAGAAGTGGCCAATGTTGGGGTCATCCCTGACAAGCCGCGCATACAGTTGAAGGACGATGCACCTGTATCTCGCCGCGAACGCAAGCTCAAGCGCAATAAGCTTCGAAGAAAAACGAAACGGGGAAGTCAAGGCGTACCGACTATTACTCCAGCGGAAAATCCCACCACTACTACTACAGTCAACAGTCATACTACTACTACGCCCACAAAACCTGCCACTACTACGACCACTCCTACGGCTACGAAAACTACCACCACCACGAGTAACCTAAAGAGTTCCACCACGCCGACAGCCATAAATCGTACTACTACTAGGATTAAGAGCCCTCCTTTGCCCCTAGCCAAGACTCTTCAAGAAGTGATCGACGACCTGACAAAAAATCGTGAAGCCGAAGTAGAGAAAGCTATAGCTGATGCACATGCTCGAGAGGAGGCGGCAAAAGCAGCAAACAAACCTTTCACCTTCTTTGAGATGGACGACTCCGATGAGTCCGAGAGCGACAGCGACAGCGAATGACTAGTACACAGGTCTAAGGGATGATCGAAGAGCAGATTGTGCCGGTCAGGATGATGGATAAATTGACACGAATGACCTACTTGGTTGAAGGGACTTCGTTGGAACGCGTTATTCATGGCCAAGGTCAAGCGAATGTGCCAAAAGAGCATTGTCATAGAGTTTCCTATTCTCCTTGCTACTTCTTGCGTTGTCACATCCGACCTAGATGTGAGCCTGGGAATGAAAGCTGGGAGCAAAAGTTGTTGCTGCAGAGGCCCTGATAATATGGCCGATTGAACTCATCATTGGTCAGATGCAAAAGTTGTTATGCAAGATGGGATGGCAAACTCTCACTGCAGCCAATCGGTCGCAATGATTCAGATATGGACCACAACCAACTTTTGCAACCTATTTGAGCAGGATGGCAACCATATCAACTGGTACAGCTTTGCCGTTTTCTTCCCTTTCGCACGCGACGTGGACCTTCTTGTGCAATCGTCCCTAGCTATGAATCAGTGAACCTTGAGATGATGATACACTATGATCATCCTCGACCGACTGCCTTGCATCAGGCTGGAACTGTGAAGAACACGCCGTCAAACTTCAGATTCCCTTTTTCATTTGATTCGAACACATCAATCACAATCATGGCAGCTGCAAGCCCTAGACGAAGGCTTGCTCCTAGTGAAGGGGACAACTCCTCGACTTGAGAGAAGCTTAGCCGCCCCGTGCATGGTATTCTCCTGACGGGTCGATGTACTCAGCAGCATTCTTCGACATACCCCATGTATTCTCCGCCATGCCACACACGATCCGGTATCGCTTGAGCTTCGTATGCGACTGCAATTGGAGGCCGTCACGCTTGGTCCCTCGGTTTCTAGATGGTTTCATTTCTTCCACTCGACAGGCATCTCCATTCCCACCCTCCTAGCACTCAACCTCACCCGTTCCTCCTCATCCATCCCCATCCCCGGATTGTACCGCGCCAAAAGCGTGTTGTACATCCTCTGCGCCCGCAGATACACAATAAACTGCTCGATTTCCTGCCGTCTCGCGAGCATATATTCCTCTGATTGTTCCGTCTCACCAGAGAGTTTCGAAAACTGCGACCGTATGGATTGGTGGATCGGACTGCGTGGGTGTCTGTGCCGCGGGCTAGGAAGGGGCGGCAACTCGCGGAGGAGGCGTCGATATAAAGAGCGCGTTTGTGATATTGCTTTCGTAGTCATGATGTATTGCAGTAACAGTTGACGGGAGAAGGCAAATGTCAAGAGACGGTCAATGGTCAAGATGAAGTTCACCAAACCCCCAAATCTTGGCGCAGCCTCGTTGTCGTGAGGCTGGAACTTTCTTTCCCCATTCAATCCTACACCACTCTGTATCAAGGAGAGACAAACAATACCTACTCAATCTAATGTATTTACAATCCCACGCGCGGTCAGGGAAACGATAGGATGATAAATGAGATGAGTCATGACTATGGAGGTCTCTTTCCCAGGTCTGTATCATGCATCTCACTATTTGCCATCAATCATGGGTTAACTCATTGACGACCCACATGAGCCACCACTGTAGCATTTTCTTTCATAGTCGTACAGCGTCTGCGCACTCATTCAATCTTTAGTAGGCGCGGTCGAGTCTTACCAACCAGTAAAACCTATCACCTCGCCATAGCCATCACGCCACGATAGTAATCCACCCCTAGCGCTCGAGCGTGACTCAACCGCGCGTCCGCGGTCAGGGGGAGATCGAGTATCGGTTTCTGTACCATATAAGTCAGCGACGGCCACTTCCTCAAGCGCCAGATTAGAACATACCTTATCACCAAGGCCCCTCTCCTCATCCAGTTCCAACGCCCTCGCAACGGCCCTGCCCATCTCACACAAGGCGACACGCTGCTCCAAGTTCTCCTTATCCTTGGCCAATGACCCGTTCGAGCCGCTAGCCTTAGCCGCATCGACGAACTTTGCATTCATGCCAGTCAATGCACCCTGCAGACTGTGTAGCAGCGTCTTGCGCGTACTATCTGCCTCAGTATTGCTTGGACGGCGAGCTAAAGACTCCGTAAGCTCCACAAGCGTCACAAAATCGGTATAGACGCCTCCACCAGATTTCCATCTGTCGACGTTCTCTTCAGGCTTGTCACCAAACTTGGTCAGGACTAAATGGAGAGTATCCCAGTCTTCGTCAACAACAAGTCGCGGGGCAACACGTTGCAGTAGACATTCGTGGGCTTCGCTAAAATCCTGAGCAAGAATCAGATAACTCAACTCTTCCAGGGACGCGTTGGTCGACCGAGCAAATAGCGCTTTTGCACGGCAGATCCACGAAGCAGGGATTTTGAGAGAGCCAGTCAAATCGGACCAGAGCTGCACCTGGGCTTGCGAGTTCATTAGATCGACGTCCGGAGGCGAAGGCAAGGCTGCAGCATACTTGTTGAGCAGATCGCGAACGAGGGCCGACCGCTTCGCCGAAGCACCAACGTGAAGAAGCGCATAGACGGCGCCAATAAGGTTGCCACGCGCAGATTGTTCGAATCCCAGAGATATTGCGAGCGCGTCTGTTTTGTCTTGATCAACCTTGATGCCTGACATTGCTGCAGCAATGGCATGGTGCAGGCGGAAGGCGGTCTGGGAACTCCATGGTTGAGAGAGTGAGGATAAGGCCTGAGGGAATATCGGCGTCTCGATCCCGGAACCTGCTTTGCCCTTGGTCCTGCTGGCAAAAAGCTTCAGCAACACCCATAGAGGGTCTTCGTCGCCATTTTCGGCGATTGGACTGGCCGACTCTTGCTTGGTCGCCAGCTGCTCCTGAAAGTCCTTAACTGCGTCGTAGATGTCTCCATTCTTTTGCTGGCCATACCACAAACATAGACAAAATGCTTGAATCCAATCGAGCTCAAATTTCTCCGAGATAGAGATTGTAGTGGCTTTGTCTTCGACTGGCACGGTTTGTTTACCTTGAGAGATAGTGGTATTGCCCGCAAGGATTTCGTACAGGGCACGAATCTCTTCCGTCACTTCCGAGATGATGCCCTGCTCATGCCACGCTGCTATTTGGTTGGCAATATCGCTCTGGAATGTCTCGTCGGCCTGCTCAATCTGCGATACGAGGAGCATCAGATGAAAGTTCTTGTCTTTCATAAGCACATCACAGGCGGCTTTGACGTTCCTGGCTGTGAGATGCAGGACTGCGGCAGTAGCGGCGCTAACCTTCTCAGCCGCCTTGATTTGCTCGCCATGACGTCTCCAGACGAGTGCCCCAAGATATTTCGAGAGTCGGTCTTTGTAAATCCGTGTCTGAAAATCTTGTTTCTGTTGTGGATTGAGACTGAAGCTGAATTCATCCTCGTGATCGTCAAAAAGCACATGCGCAAGTTCGTATATGTCAAGTTCATCGGTACCAGGGCCTCCCTGGGCAACGTGCTCTTGGACACGGGAAAAGGGTACGGCACTGTGCTTGACAAATGGGACTTTGTCGACCAGTTTCACCTCAACGTCAATGAGGAGTTGCTTTGTATCCATGGCAATCTGGATCATGTCAATGGTGAAAATGCCAGAAGGTTTGAATGGGAAAGTACTTACTCTAGTGGTAGTGCCTTCAAGTGAAGTCACCTCCACAGTGCCGTTTTCACTTTCGACTAAGACATCAGTGGTCCACCCAGACTCAGCCTCCCTCGTAGAGGCCAACTTGTAAACCAACTTGTTCGTCTCGGTAAAGCGAGGCTTGAATGAAGCATGCCACAGCTTATCGTTCTCAGTCATGTCGGCTTCATCGTCGTCGAAAGTCTTGGTGCGTTTGGCATAAGGAAACTGGAGAGAAACACAATTTTAGCAATTTGTTTCATTGTATAACTACCTACATACTATGTGAGACACTCGATGGGAACCCTGGGACATCCTCTCCGCAAAAGCTGGGAGCAGCTTTTGGCATCACAAGAACAATTTCGTCGTATGCATACAGAGCAACTTCCTCAGGGTTCAAACACCAGACACAAAAGGAGGGGGATTGAAAGGAGATGGGGAATGTCACACCTCAAGATCCGGCCCTGCCTGCCCATTCCTTCCCTTTGCCATTCGTTCTTCATGTCTGTTGAACAACGAGTTCATGATGTCGATGCTAGTCCGAAAATCTTTCTTGCTGTGAGGTTGTGGCTTGATCGGCTCGTATGCACGGTCGAGGAGAATTACGCTTTGGCGATTTCGGAGTGCCTCTCGATCCTGCTTGCGTGGACTGATTGTTTGTTGAAGCTGTTCTGCCCAGTCGCCCTCCAGACTGATAAGGGCTTTTCCAGGCGTGGCCGTGCGATTCGCCTTCAAGATTGGTTTGGTTGGACTCTCCAAAGGACGCACACCACCAGGCCCAGGAAACGAGCCAGCCATGTCGACTTGGTTGTCATTATCGGTTTCTTCATACTCGGACTCGTCCGCCATTTCAAAGTCTGGCCCTTCTTCCTCAATACCCTCTGCTGTAGGGATGTCTGCATCATAGTTGATAGCTGATCGTCGACCAAATCCGCCTGGGACGCTCTTCTGTTTGAAAGCAAATGTGTCATCTTCATCGTTTTCAGCGTCATACTGCCCATCACTGTCGACCTCCATGGCCGAGACGTTTCCAGAATGCGAGCCATTGAGTGACTCGGGAGGTGCAGAAAACTGACTCTGGCCAAGCTCCTCATCCTCATCATAGTCCAAACCATAACGAGTATAGTGAGGAACCCGGAAGGTCCAGACACCTGTCGAGACTTCGTAGTTGACGAATTCAGTGCCATGCATCTTCTTGAGTCGGTTGACATGCTTTTCAAAAACAGGTCCACTTGTGGCAGACGATGGTTGACCACGGGAGCGAGGCCAGGAATTCTCAATGGAGATTGTCGATGGCACATTGAGCCCCTTTCCTACTGGTGGTTTGGAACTGGCGTCCGGATACACCGTCACTGATCGGAGTCGGATCTCTACTATCTTCTCGTACAAATCATCAAGGGGTATGGCAGTAAGGTCGACAGGACCATTGAAGACGACCTTGCCACAGCCCTTCCGTCCGGCCTCGAAACCAGTGAATCTCTGCAACTTGTCTCGCGGCAATTTGCTCAATTCAGCCCGTGTTGGTTTCATCCAGTAGTCGCCAGGTTGAGGGTCCGATTTGGCGTGGACACTTGACTTCTGAGGGGACACATGATCAGACTCGCGATCTTCAGGTACTGCTTCGAGCTGGTTGTCCCTGCTTGGTTCAGCCTCAGGAGTCGCAGTTCCGTTGGCTGGTCCCCGATGTCCAGATTCGATGTGGTCGTCATTGGTCTCGGTTCTCACCAAAGCTCCTGATTGGCCATTCAGAGCGCCTTCCTGACCGCCGACGGTACCTTTGTCGAAGCTCACACGCTTCTTCAACTTGTTGGCCGGTTCGGTCGACGAATCAGCACCATTAGTAGATGGCTCAGCATTATCGTTCGCAGGTCTCTCGGGGGCATTGGTTGGAAGAGTAGGTAGCGATGAGCGGCTGAAAAGGTCGTTTCGAATGCTGCGATCAATTGTAAGGCGTCGCATGTTGCCGCTTGACCATCTGCCGCTGCTTGTTGCAAATGCGTTGGGACCCAGGACACTTTCCCCATCACCAGAGAATTGAGACCGAAGATTGCTGGCAGAGGCACTCTTTCCGAACGAACGGCCAAAACTACCGCCGGTGAAACTTCGGCTACCATACATGCTGCTGGCCAGACCGCTCCCGCCGGGTGTGCTTGCGGCACTGTTGGGTGTGCCATAAGTGGAGTAAGAAAAGCCGAAGCCTGAGCGACGAGGAGGTGTCATGTAACGTGACTGACTGAGTCTGAGACTGGGGGGTGGTTTTGCCTGACTTTCCTTCATCTTCTGAGTTGCTGACAATGGGGTGAAGAGTGGCTTTGCATTTTCAGGGGTGGGCACTGGCAGCCCTGTCCAGATCGATGTCTGACCATAAGGGTTGGGATCATTTAGCGACGACTGCTTAAAGTCGGGTTGCTGTTGTCCGGACTGTTGATTGTTTTGAGCGTTTCCAAAGACACTGTTGTTTCCACCGGTTGAACCAAAAAGACCCCCTTGCTGCTGGTTACCGGTGTTGCCGAAGAGTGATGTGGTCGCGGGTTTGTTCGTAGCATTACCGAAGGAGAATCCGCCGCCACCCTGCTGCTGGTTCTGATTGGCGTTGCCAAATAGGCCGCCACTGGTGTTAGTATTGGTATTGTTACCAAAAGTGCTTCCCCCAAACAGGCCGCCTGGTTTAGGAGCATTGTTGGCATTGTTATTTCCGAACAGTGAAGTACCTGTGTTACTGGCTGTGCCGCCAAATAGTCCAGTGCCGCCGCCTGCATTCGTAGCAGGAGTATTGCCAAACAGACCTCCGCCGGTAGAACCAGTATTGGAACTGCCGAACAAACCACCTGAAGGCTGACTTTGCGTAGTCGATGCACCAAACCCACCGGTTGCATTGCCAAAGAGAGACTTCTGCTGACCAGTATTGCCAAAGACTCCCCCGGACTGTTGCTGTTGCTGTTGCTGTTGACTGTTGTTGCCGAACAGTCCGGTCCCTGTGTTGGTGTTTGTTGTGCCAGCATTGCCGAACGAGAACGAGGGAGCACTGGTGGCGGCAGTATTGCCAAACAGACCGCCTGGCTTATTCTGGGTCTGGTTCCCGAACAGGCCACCCCCAGACGCAGGTGCAGCGCCAGACCCGAAGCCTGGAGTTCCTGAACCAAACCCGCCCGTGCTCGCGCCAGCAGTACCAAACAATCCACCGGAGGAGGTGCCGGAGGATTGCTGTTGTTGGCCGAAGAGTCCACCAGCAGCTGGCTTATTGCCGAATAGACCACCACCACCAAAGCCTGTCGTTGAGGTATTGGAAGCAAACCCCGTGGCAGAAGATGTGGTTGTCGAACCAAAGGGATTGGTGGAGGCGGTGTTGTTATTGTTTCCGAACGCTGGAGTGTTGCTGGACCCAAAGCCACCGAATGTACTAGATCCGAAGCCGCCTGCGGTCCCTGTGTTGTTGCCAAATCGACGTCCAGCATTGTAGTCGGCCAAACGCAATTCTTCAAAGGAGTACTTCTGATACGGAGCCATGAAGTTTATGCTCTGGTAATTGTTCGACTGGCCTGAGGCATCTTTCTCCAAGGTCGCAGTGAATGGTGTGGCAGCAGTACCGTCCGACGGAGGGACCGGCTGGTTGCTCAGAGCAGTGCCGGTGCCAGCAGCACCAAATGTTGATGAACCAAAGCCGCCTGTAGTGCCCGAGCCACCTTGACCGAAGAGAGGCGTGGACGTGTCTGTAGAGCCAAACGCGGGCTTGTTGGCAGCATTTCCGAAGCTGAATGCCGAGCCACTTGTGTTACCACCGAATCCTCCTCCTGTAGTTGTGTTGCCGAATCCGCCTGTTGTTGAGCTCCGAAAGCCGGCGTTGTTTTGAGTAGTAGAGCTTCCAAACAAGCCACCTCCTGTATTTGAACTTGCTCCGAAAGGATTCGACGCGGGCTTGTTGCCAAAGAGGGAACCGGATGTATTGGAGTTGGTGTTGTTACCAAAGCCTATTGCGGGGGTTGTTAGTTCGTCCATGTGTGAAGCTTTTGAAGCAGAAGGTGTCGAAGCCCAAGCAGCGCGCGGAAGAGGGTTGAGACGTTTTCGTTCCGAGGAGACCATGTTGACATATTAATGGCACTGTAATATTTTGAATCGGACGAAGAAAGAAATTGCACAGTGGATGGGACTCGGCATATATACACGTTCAAGGCAGTGCGCAAGTGAAGCTGCAGTGAGAAGTGATTTGGTCACTTACCTCCAGTATTGGATCCGAATGTGCTGCCACCATTACCACCACCACCACCACCACCGAAAGGGTTAGAGGCAGCGGTATTAGATCCAAAGCCTGTGTTGCTCGTGTTTGCACCGAAACCTATGTCGCAACCAAGTGTCAGATCCCGACGGACATGAAAACATCAAAGGCAGTCATGACTTACCTGTGTTAGGTGTGGTGTTAGTGTTGCTCCCGAACCCACCAAAGCCAGGGCTCTGATTATTGTTGGTGTTCGAGCCAAAAGAGAAACCTCCTCCAGTGCCGAACGACATGCTGGCGGGTATGGAGGCGCGTCGTTGAGCAATTTCGAATGTCTGAGTCGATGGAACTAAGCTATGAAGGAGTGAAAGAAAAAGAATAATGGTGATAAAATGTGGTCTAATGAGTCCGTGACGCGCGCCGGAAGCTGGACGGTCGATTCGACGGAGGATAGAGGAAACGCAGGCAACAGCTGGATGCAGATCCGTGAAGGACTTGAACCCTCAAAGACTCGACACCCCAATTGCGAGCCAGGCACCGGTCGAGCTGATGGTAAATGACAGCTTGAATAAAAAAGTTGACGCGCCTGCGATCGAATTGAACCGGATGAGGAGGGTGTCTAACAAGAGGTTGATCAGACTGCGCTTGCCGCATTGGCGTTTGCCAAGGCACGATGCCGTGAGAACTGAGTCAGCAGGGAAGGCCTTCCTTTGATCGCCGTGCCTTGTCTATTCAGTCCAGTAACGTTGACCTTCTACCCTACATTGATGGACGATTCCGTTCTTCGAACGATCAATGACTGGCTGCTTTTGTGGAGACTGGCCCAACCCCCAAACAGGCACACTATGGTACAACCTGAAGCCTGACGGTCATCTCAGTCAAGGCCGAAGCCGAACTCAGGCAGCAATATGGTTCATGTGGAACAGGATCAGATACATTTCGATATATTTTGGACTATGGGGTTTACAGATGTTCTCCCGGACAAGGAATTGCTGAACTTATGAGGGTATATCGACACTCCAGCACTCCTCGCTCCCATTCAATTACTTCTTTCTGGATCCCTTGACTGTCTCAATGATCTTGTCAACAACGCTGGGGTCGCTAAGAGTAGACACATCTCCAAGGCTGTCCTCCTCACCACTCAGAATCTTTCTCAGAATTCTTCTCATGATCTTACCCGATCGGGTCTTCGGAAGGTCGTCGACAATGAAGATGGCCTTAGGTGCCGCGAAGGGACCGATCTGCTTGCGAACCTGCAGAATCAGATCTTTGCGCGTTGCCTCGCCGCCATCCACGCCATCTTTGAGGGAAACAAAAGCGTTGACAGCCTGACCAGTAAGCTCATCGTTAATGCCGACAACCGCAGCTTCGGCAACACCATCGTGTTCGATCAAGGCTGCCTCGATTTCGGCTGTTGACAAACGATGTCCAGACACATTGACAACATCATCAACACGTCCACGGATCCAATAGTATCCTTCATGATCGCGGCCAGCACCGTCACCAGTGAACTAGACAGTCAGTCAGAGAAGCACCCAACAGATCAAAGACAGAAAACTTACATAATATCCCTTATAAACATTCAGGTAAGTGTCCATATACCTCTTGTGAGCGCCCCAAACCGTGCGTGCCATACTCGGCCAAGCCTGTTTGAATGCTAGGACACCTTCAACGTCGTTGCCCTCAATTTCTTCACCGGAGACCGGGTCAATGATGGCAGGCTCGATGCCGAAGAAAGGCAGCGAAGCACTACCAGGCTTGGTGGGTGTGACACCACCAAGCGGAGTGATGACATGAGAGCCAGTCTCTGTTTGCCAGTATGTGTCCACGATATGTGCCTCCTCTTTCCCAACTGATTCAAAGTACCACTTCCAGACTTCGGCTGCGATGGGCTCCCCGACTGAGCCGAGTACTCGCAGTTTGTGCATTTTATGGTGAATGTGTTCATCGCCAGCTCTTTTCAGCAGCCGGAGTGCGGTAGGGGCAACGTAGAACTGGGTCACGTTGTGCTTATCGATGACGTCCCAATACCGCGAGAAATTAGGATATGCAGGGGTACCCTCGAAGACAACGGTTGCGACACCGAGAAGTAGGGGGGCGTACACGACGTACGTATGTCCTGTGATCCAGCCCACATCACCGCCGCAGAAGAACACGTCGTCGTCATGGATGTCAAAGACATATTTACCCGTTGCCGCTGCTCCCAGCAGATAACCTGCTGTTCCATGCATAACACCTTTTGGCTTGCCGGTCGAGCCGGATGTGTAAAGCAGAAAGAGAGGATCCTCCGAGTTCATGGACTCTGGCGCGATGTAATTAGGGTACTTTTCCACCTCTTCGTGCCACCAGAAGTCCCGGCCTTTGGTCCAAGGAACGTCCGCCCCGGTCCTCTTGTATACCAAGACGCGAGTTACTTCCGGGCACTTCTTGAGGGCCTCGTCGACAATCTTCTTAGTGCCGATGACCTTACCACCACGCTTACCCTCGTCTGTGGTAATGACCACCTTGGAATTCGCATCGATGATGCGATCAGCCAAGGAGCCCGAGGAAAAGCCAGCGAAGACCACGGAATGAATTGCACCAATGCGTGTGACAGCCAAGAAAGAGATGAGTGCCTCCGGAATCATGGGCATGTAAAGGGCGACGGTGTCACCCTTTCTTACACCCATCTCCCTGAGTGTGTATGCAACTCGGGAGACCTCACGGAGAAGTTCGCCATAAGTCAGAACACGGCCTTCGTTCGGTTCGTCCGACTCGTATATGATGGCGGGCTTGTCAGGGTTCTTAATGGCGTGGCGATCCACGCAGTTATAACACGCGTTCAGACGTCCTTCCAGAAACCAAGCACTGTCACCATTTTTCAGTGTACCGTTCTTCACTGTCTGAAAGTCTTGCTGCCAGTCAAGGAGCTCGCGGGCCATCTTTCCCCAGAATTTGTCCGGTTGTTCGATCGACTCCTTGTACATGGCGTTATACTCGTCGAGATCTTTAATGTGGGGCTTGCCTGGTCCTTTCTTGAAGAAGGCTTTAGGAACACTACAAGACAGGTCAGCAAGGCGCTGTCTCGGTCGGCATGAGCTTCTTTTGGCACATACTGGTAGGTGTCAACATCGTGGGCCTCCGCCTGAATACAGTTAGTGGAGTGTTGGCTGATGGTCGGAAAGCTTTCTTACCACTACGGGCCCCTTGGGAGGTTTGGTGTCGCCCTCAGACATGTTGACTTATGAAGAGAGGATCGAAACTTGGGCAAGGAAGACGTGGGTGCTAAGGGGGTGGGCAGTATGGTGGTGTTGGTATGCGCACAAGCACGCTCTGGTCGTTTGCAGGAGGGCCAGACCAGGATGGTGGGCACGTCAGGAGGATATAAGGAACGGCAGCGGTGGATGATGACGAGTGAGAGACAAGACAATGCGGAATAAGGAAGGAGATGAACCGTGGAGAGGTTCCCGAAGTAGTGGTGGAGGGCAGGAGAGCGCAAAAAGTGATCGAGTGACCTGCCAGGTGCCCGTCCGTAACGAGGAAATCACGATTGGTTTGGCCCGGGCGGGCGCTGCTCCTGCGGGGAAAGCTGGAGCTTGTAGAACTTGCTGCCCTGCGACTCGTCAATGACAGGACTAATTTAGTACGTGCTACCCCTCCATTCTCCTTTTACCCGGGAGCCCTGGTAAACAAATGCAGTGCCTCAATATGGTGTCTATGACCCCGTGGTTTCCGGAGGTCCTTTGGTGACCAACTATTGGTTCTTCTATTTTGCATCGAAGATTTGAGATACTGGTGTACAATGTCCATCGGAGTCTCGCCATGTCCACCCACTCGTGCTGTGTGAAAAGCCCATGGCAACGACAAGGACGAAGACCATGTTTCTCAGCCTCCAGTGGCGTGTATGGTCGACTTGCATGAAACCTTCCCGAACTAGACCCTGCTCCAAGGTCCGAGGCCCGAAGCTCTTGATCCCAGGCACCAAAAGCCAAAGGAATCATCCCCATGTCTCTGCCCGGGTTTCCGAGCAACTCAGTGTCTCCGCCTCGTACTGGACCATCCTCGGGGGATTCAGATGCGTGTGCCACCCCCAGACAGTGGTCTGATAGACTTTCCACTTCACATGTCCATCATGCATAATTTGATCAAGGGCAGTCCTGTTTTGCCTTCAAGGCCTGAAGACTTGCAATTAGGAAGATTCAACCGAGCAATCAGCGCAGAAGTCAATAGTCCTTCGTTCAACGGCCACAATGCCGAAATTTGTGTTGCGTCTTGAACTCAGGTTATATGCTTCCCTTCCACCAGGACGCTATGCCTAACATGAATACTGCGATTGCTCCATCTCCGACAAATTCCCTGAGTATCTGTATCCATAGCCCCAGCCCGCTTTTACCCGAATAGCCACTTGTACCTACCCTGGTCCCTTGCACAAGCAGCTCACCAGTCAAGAACACCACAAAGGGATTCTGAAAGGTCGCCGGACGCGGTGGATTCTCGCCAAACGTTTCAGTCGCTCGCGTGACGGTAAACACAAGATAGAGCCCTGCTATGAGCGCGAAAATGACATGCAATGACTTCCACAGCCTCGTCGCTTGCAGTTCGGCGTGGCTAGGTGGCGCCTTCTGACCTCCCATAACCATGTTTGTTAGGAAGGACGGAAGTCCTGTCGCCTTCGAGATGTCATCGGGGGACAGCCCCGGAAGGCCTCCTGGGAATCCAGCACCACCAGGAGTGTTTGGATTAGATGTGCCATCCATCGCTCCCATCATTGTTTGTAGCATTTTGAGCATAGGGTCCTCAGGTTGTTGAGATTGGTTCTGTCCTTCTTGGGGTTCGGGTTGTCTCAACAAAGCTCTTAGGTATTCTTCCTGCGCCTTTTGTTGTTCAGGAGTGGGTGCAGCGGTGTAGTCGGATCCCGGACTCGGACTTGGGACTTGTGACGGTGTAGATGAGCGAGGTGGTGTTGCGACAGGCGATTCAGTTCGCACTGTAGCACTTGAGGTCAGTAATCGGCTGGAGGTAATCCCGAACACGAGCTAAAATCACTCTTGTATGCTTAATCCATTCTGGCAAGCTGGTCTCTGCAACCAAGAGAGGCATACGAGCAGTCTCGCAGTGCGAACGTTGCACCGGGGATCTTACAGCTTTCTGGCGTTCTACCACTCAATCTTGTAATCTTGTCGAGTCTTTCACTTGCAGCGCCAGAGATTTTCGCTTCTCGTTTCTGACGGCGGATCCTTGCTTGACGCTGTGCCGGAGTTTCTTCTGCATCGGCCATCTTGGGCTGGACGGTACACGAACGCTTTTGAAAGTGCTGTTGGCTGTGGGTCGGTGGTAGAGCATCAAAGAAAGGATAGCCACGAAGCCGGGATAATCTGAAATGCGGCTTAACGCAGCCTATCCGGAGGTATCCCCGCGTCAAGACACGCTGTGGTGATGTTGAAATGCGGGAGAATTGGTTCAAGGTCCATGCACTGCATGTAAGAACAAATGTTTGCTTCTGCCTGTGATATGACTGTTCATGAAGGAGTTTGAGGTATGCCGATCAGAACGCATTCTGCAGTTTGGCTTGTCGGGGATCTTTCTAAACACTCCCACAGCTAACAGAATGTAAAGTGACGTAACTGGTGTCTGGATACGCGAAACAAATCAAACAAGCCAGAAATTACGCGATCTTAGGGAGCAAAGACCACATACTCCCTGTTGAGTCTTCCGAGATCTTGCCATAACGTCGCTTGATATCCAGTCGTCTCAAGATTACAACGGGCCAGTGAAATCCAGAATTGCCCCTTCTACCCTCTTCAACAAACCATATCGTTCTCTTCTCCACCCTACTATGCCGTCAACATTGATCGTAGGGGCAACTCGCGGCCTTGGAAAGGCTTTGGTCTCGTATTATGCCGAGCATCTCTCATACGACGTCTTCGCGACATGTCGCTCGGTCAATCCGCCTTCGGACCCCAACTCAGTTAGCATTACTTGGATCCCAAACATTGATCTGTCCAAGCCCAGTTGTGGCCATGATCTTGCAGCTTCACTGACAGGGAAGAGCATCCACACAGTGATCATTACTGCTGGGTATTTTGCAACGGAGAACTTCGGCGAGGCAAACTGGGATGAGCAAGTCAAGATGTATACCTTGTCCTCGGTAGCCCCGATTTTCGTGGTGCAAGAACTGGTGAGGTCCTCTGTTCTGACAAAAGGGAGTAGAGTCGTCCTGGTATCTTCCGAATCTGGGTCGATTACACTGAGACATGAGCAAGAAGGCGGCGGTAACTTTGGCCATCATGGATCAAAGGCCGCCTTGAACATGGTGGCTAAGCAATTGTCGTTCGATCTGAAAGACAAAGGCATAGTTGTCGTATCAGTTCATCCTAGGTAAGATTGCTCCCCTGAACTCCGCCACTTTGGCCCGCAATCTGACTGCACATAATTGTAGCTTTATGAGGACTGAAATGACCAAAGGCGTGGGTTTCGACAAGTTTTGGGACGATGGTGGCGCCCTCAAGCCCGAGGATGCTGCTCGAATATTGAGCGACTGGGTAGAGAAAATTCTCTCCATAGAACGAACAGGAACGTATTGGGCCCCGAGAGGCACTGCCGATATCGGGAATTGGGATGTTGTGATGGGCAAAGAGACCGCAAGAGAAGGCCCTGTCCAACTTCCATGGTAGTCCGCCCAATATTACAGGGTTTGTCGATTTGAACAACGACCCGTGCTCGGCAGGTTGAATCAGCCGCATGCTTTCACGATCCTTGATGAACTTGGAACCCAAACTCCTCGTCCACATTGTGGCAAGTCTTCGCCTCATGTTCCATGGCACGGAATACTTCACATGGTCATTGAAGACAAATAGCGTAAAATGCCTCTTTTGCGACAGTCCCTGTGCCATCATAGTCGAATTCTTCGATCATGGCCTGTATTTCCTCATCTTCAAGACCAGTCTCCCCTAGATCCCGGGCGACCCTGCGTACGTCCTCGACCTCAATGTAACCCCTTTGTTCTGGGTCGAAGAGAACTAGTGCGCGCTCGACTTCGTCTGTAGGGTCGCGCTCAAAGACTTTTTGGGCTGCAATGCGTTGGAACGCGACTTGCGGCACCAATAATTGACTGGCATGATATGTCTGCTGGCCTCTCCCAGGAGGTCCTCTCTTAAACTGCGGTTTGGGCACGCCATGCGTCTGCATTATTTGCGATACTTCAGGTTTTGGAATTGAAAATCCCAAGGATCGCATAGCGACACGTAACTCATGGTAGTCCAAATGTCGATCGCGGTCGAGGTCAAAGAGGGAAAACTATGGGCGATCATGTCAGTACTGCAAATTGATTAACAAGAACGTCCGGCGCATACAGCTTCATTGATCTCATCCCGTTGTTCCTCACTTAGTTCGCTCAGCGCATGCGGCTCCTTCTCCATGCTTTGCCGTCCGCCTAAGGCGCCATGTTGCTGTTGAGTTGCTGCAGACTGTCCAAACTGATATGGCTGCGTGGGTCGCTGCGCAAACGTCGACTGGGAATATGTTTGCGGAGCCGCAGCGACTCCAAGTGGTTTGGATGCAGTGCGATCGGGTAATTTACTCGAGGAAGCATATACGGCTCGACCTGGGAAGGAAGGGTTTCCTTGAGACATTGACAGTGCTACGGAATGGCGCGAAGAGCCCTTGTCAGCTCAAAACACTGCGCCAATGATACATTTGGAGTGGTGTTGATATGTAGAAGATGAAGAGCAACAGGAATCTGAATGTTTATCGAACAACTGGAGCGCGTGTTTTCGGTCGCGACGCGATCAACCGCTGCCAAAAATTCCGTGGTTCTCCGCCAACGGGGCGCATTCTTTGCTCCAGACTAACCGTACCCTGCACCCTGCAGGCACTCTTCATCTCAATGTTTCCGGCTACGATCTCGCAGAACATCCACCAATAGCTTTGTTTATCGCAATACTTCTCCGGTCGAAAGCTGCACTGGTGTGATCATGGTCTTGCGAATACTATGCAGAAGACCAGGAGTCTGCAGCGAGATGACAGCAGGATAATCATACACTTCGATTATGACTGTTTTTATGCCTCTGTCGTTGAAAACGAGAACCCTGCCCTGAAATCGGTACCTCTTGCCATTCAGCAAAAGCAGATCGTGGTGACTTGCAACTATGAAGCCCGCAGGAGAGGTTTGCGCAAGCTGCAGCTCATAACCGAGGCCAAAAGAGTATGTCCTGAGGCAGTCATTGTCCTTGGGGAGGACTTGACTCGCTTTCGTGATGCATCGAAGGAACTTTACAATTTTCTTCAGCAGCGTATCTGGAGTGGAAGAGCTGAACGACTGGGATTCGACGAGGTCTGGTAAGTCGAATCTCTTTCCTGGGGATGCGGAACGACTCTGACCAGTATTGCAGGCTAGATTGTACAGACATGATCGACTACAACCTGGACTTGCTAAACCACAATGACCTATCCCATTCATTTTTCTGCTTGAGCAAAGATGATCCCACCATCGGCTTTGAGTACAGCGCTTTGGGCGTCTTCGGTCCAACCTACCCTCCACACACGCTGAAGTCTCTTCAATTGACTGAAAAGGAGAACCGCTTGCAGCAGCGGCTTATCATTGGGTCGCATTTAGCAAGGTATCTGCGCCATGAGCTAGAGTCACAGAAAGGGTACACCTCGACTGTAGGAATTGCAACCAACAAGATACTCTCGAAGCTGGTGGGCAATGTGAATAAACCAAAGAACCAAACAACCATCATCCCACCATTTGAACCAGTTGGAGACACAAGAACAAACATCAACGAGTTCCTTGACCATCACGATATAGGCAAGATACCAGGAATTGGGTTCAAGTTATCGCAGAAAATCAGAGCGCACGTATTGGGCCGGCAGGCCGACTTCTCTGATGGCCTGGTTTATGGTGGCACGAAAGAGTCCGTGATTGTTCTTGACGTTCGTTCACATCCTGCCATGGGTCCGGACCTGCTTGAAGAGATACTTGGTGGTCCAGGGGCGCCTAAGGGCATCGGCGGAAAAGTCTGGGAGCTGATACATGGCATTGATGACAGCGAAGTGGGCAAGGCCAAGCGCGTTCCATCACAAATCAGCCAGGAAGATTCGTATATGAAGTATCTGCGAACGTTTGAACAGGTGAGGGAGCAATTGCATCTTTTAGGTGAGCGACTCATCCGTCGGATGCAGATGGACCTCATGGATGAGGCCGAGGAGACCAGCGAGATTGGTGAACCTGGGCATCAACGACACTGGTTGGCGCACCCGAGGACATTACGCTTGTCAACCAGACCTCGCCCGGCCCCTGGCCCCGATGGAATTCGAGCAAGAACATTCCATCGGATCTCGAGATCTGCACCTATGCCCAATTTTGTCTTCAGTCTAACAGAAGCACCTTCTGTCCTAGCTGAGCGTTTGGTAGACGAAGCTTTGGTGCCAATGTTCCGCGCACTGCACCACGAGAAATCTGGGTGGAATCTTAGTCTGGTCAACGTTGCGGCTACCAACATGGCAGAAACGGCAGCAGATAGCAAAGAGAGTGAAGGCCGTGATATTGGGAAGATGTTCCGGCGGCAGGATGAAGTGCTGAAAGATTTCAGAGTTACCGTTGCACCAGATGCCACCGACGGCCAACGTGCACCCTCGCCAACCACAATGGATGGTAAACCACATGAAGATGAATATACAAACAGTGATCTCGAGCTGGGGAAAGCTGCAGATTGGGATTCCGATGCGAGCGAGGATGAAGTGCTTGAGCGTTGCGACGTTTGTCGGAGTGCCATGCCGTCGTTTGCCATGCCAGCGCATCGAAGATACCATGAGTTGAATGACTAGGTTCTTTTTTGCACTCGTTCTAGTGGACGGGGGTGGTCATTCATGACACCGGGGTAACTGTCCAACAAGACTGTATGGACACGAGGCTGAACGAGGCTGCAATTTCGTGCCACTTCCAAGTTTCTTCCCAAATCCCAGCGCTACTCTCGGCTGATTACGAGGCGCGCACCCGCCGCGGGCCTCAAAGTGCTATTTTCATCCCTCGCCTGTGTTTTTGACTTTCCCCATCTCTCCAGCTCCAATCACATCATCCAGCTCGCCCTCTGGGAGACTGGGGGAGGTTCGCCAAATGTCATTCTTTTTCTGGCTTTCCCACTACAAAATCCATCCCTTGATTTGTTCAGAGTCTGTGGCAGCTGATTCGTACAGCACTATTGGGCGTCTAGGCGAAAAGTCATTGCTGAAAATAGAGCTGAGCGGTTATGCAATCAAAATGCCTAGCTCCCTGCCTATCCCTGGCTTAGGTTCCTCCTCTCATGCGTTCCTGCAGCGGTCCTTGGGCTAACTTAGTCGATTTTCCCCAGCTCTCAACGTATCGATCCAACAATCAGCTACTGGAGCCCCGTCGCCTAGATACGATGTCCAGGTGGCAAAGGACCTTAGAGTGGTATGTTCGAAGTCCGCCCCAAGTCCCAAATTGGAACCCGTCCATTACGGCATTGAATGGCCGTCGAAGACGCGTGTTGGCGGCAAAAGGACGTATCCCTGGCTTTTCCCCGAAGTGACAAATGATCAATACCAACCAGATTGGACCACCTTCCGTCTTGTCATTCGATTGTCTGACCTATGCTTATGGAATTAGGAGAGCTTTCTTGGGCTATGACCGTTCCTTGGTGACTTCAACTGGGTTCCTTGGTCCGGTGCGGGAGGCCCAAGGCCACATAACAAGGCTGACTTCTCTTGTGCTTACTTCTTTCATGCTTATGTCCCGGCGGGTTCATGCTGAAATTCTCACTTGAGTGAGCCCTTGCCGAGCACCATCTACCGCCTGGAGCCGAAGAAGACGTTTGGAGGGTTTACAATATTGGCAAAGAGGGCCATCCTTTCGTGTCTGATGAGCAACCTCTCGGCAAAATCAGAATCCGGAAGAGATACTGCGAGTATGCTGGCGACGTCGATAAATGCTGCAGCACCTCATCTTCTATCAAGGACCACCCTCCAGAATTCGCCATCTATCTTTTGCTCTAAGGATGTAGGATATATAGAACCCATGTCGTCAGCAAAGCGGCCAAAACTGTCACTACAAACCTCCAATCTGACTCCGACCTTCATGGGTGCCGATGGTGGTCGGAAAACCATCGTGAGTCCACACACTGCCACGCCGACCAGGCTCAATACATTCAGCAATGCTTTCGATCTGACCTACAGGTCGTCGCCACTGTCAACTGTCTCATCACCTATTACACAAGCACAACTGAAGATAACAGGTCGCGCATCTTCACCTGCACCGCAGAGAGGTGTCATAACTTACAGCTTGAATCTGCCATTTGGTGTGCATCCCATCCTTAAGAATACGTCGCTGTCGCGGGATCCTCGCCGGCTTTCCGCCACCTCAGCCAGCGCAAGTCCCAGGACATCCGGCAGACGGGTTTTCTTTCCAGCATCCAAAAATGTCAGCTTCCGGGCAAATCTGGAAGAAGAGATTGTCACAAAGGAGTACGTCATGCGTCATGCAGACCTAACTACCTCGGAAGATGAGATCGATATATCCGAGCCGGAGGAGTCGAGCAGTGCCTGGACGAATGAGGCGAAAAGTGGTCAAGCAGACCGTATCATCCGCGTAGACGAATATGCGACGCGTGGCAGGAGGAAGAGGAAGACATTGACTGTCTCCGAGTCATTCTCCCAAGATGTGGATGGTGGTAGAGAAGAGAAGTCGCGAAGTACATCGACACGGAGGAACAAACGCAAAAGACGGAAGTGGGAGTGGACGATCGGCAACTCCGTTCAGCCCAGGCTGCAAGCTTCTTTAGGAGAAACAGAGGAGTCCCAAGAGAGGTCCACAGGCTGCTAGGAGACAGATCTTGGGCGTGATGCCAAAAGCAGGCCTGTGGCGCGCGGGTAAGAGACTGAGGCTGTGGAAGCCTTGACAAAATAGTTATTCCAACGCCAAACGTGATTCCATGACTTATTTACCTCGACCTGCCGTTCCTAGCCCTACAAATCGAGACCTGGCTGACCTGCCACATCGTCTTGTTCTTGCCTGTAGTCGTTATTCTTATGTCCAGAGAACCGTGCCTTTCTTGTAGAAAAAATGGCTTTCCGCCCGTTGTTATTCCTCTTACGTTGTTGTCGACACCATCCCTTGCAATTCACACTGTCTGTATAGGATTCCTTCGAGACGACAATCGTTCCCCTCTGGTGCAGACCTGCTTGGCGCTCATGCTGGAGGGTCCCTTGTCAATCCATCCAAGAAAGGAGCACACAGTACAATGTGTTTGCAGAAGCCGAGCGAGATAATCATCCCGGAGGTGTATGGAGGTGAGAATCCAATGGACACCATAATAAATTACGCTTGCACAATGCTTGCACCGGAAGTGCCTGGCTCGACGGCGGTTGTCACACACCTGTAAAAAGAACATCCTAACATACCTGGGTAAGGATTTTGCTGGGTCACTCGGCAGTTCACAGGTGAAGATGGACTTGCGGCTCCAGAACTAGGTGCACACGCGCCGACTCATGTCCTCAACGCTACGAATTCTCTATATCACAGAAATCCAGGATTACCTGGACTCGTAGCCACAGGTAAATGCTGCTACTCTGTCACTCCTGACGGAGTCCATCTGCATCTCTCCGTATTCAAATTGTGCATGTGGGCAGACCCTCAGGAGTGCGTCTTCAGCACGGATAGCATTGAGCTTCCCGGTCTCGCCCCATGGAAATCATGCTGAATCGGCAGATTTCGACGAAGCGTCAAATCAAGCAATGCAACTAAGTCACAATCGAGGGCACAGATACGCTGGTTGGGAGCTACTGTACGCTGAATGAATGCGTCCGCGTCGCCGGAGCCTTCACAGGCTGTTATCTCTCCGAGGCATTTCGGCGCATGACTGAAGCCCTCGCTGACCTGATGGGTACGACGTGGCGAGGAAGCTGGCGCTAGACAGGAGAGCAGATTTTGTGATTCTCGACGATGATTTTGTGATTCTCGACGATGACGGCAGGGTCCAGGAGACGTGGGTCAAGGAGTCAAAGTGTGGTCTGATTTATAGTACGACGAGCTGTACTGTGCCACTCTAGCTTTTCAAGTTGATCAACAACGAGTGTATTGTGACCGGTCGTTGTCCGAGTGGAAGCGAGAAGCGAACCTCGGAGCAATGGCAGGTGGAACCGAGCATACCATGTTCGAAACAAGGAGACTGTCAAGCTTGGTGAAGCGACAGATATCATAAGCGGATCTCTAGGGGGGATGGCTTGTCTTGGAGTGAAAGAGACGATGAACTGCGTGGCTGAAGATTAGGCGTGGACTGGGATAATGATTGCGGTAATACGGGCACTAAGAGATCCAAGAGCTTTAGAGGTTCATCGCTTGACTCGCCTGGAGCCTAAACTGCCAGTGAACTTTGCCCAAGTGAGTTGATGGGGCGGGCGACGCAGCACCAAATCGTGGCACGGCCATTTACGTCATTGCACTTCTGGAGATCAAGATCAACATGGGTGCATGCAGCCTTCCTTTCCACGAGACTGTCAATTTCCTCAATCCTGCCCAACCCTGCCATACAACTTTCCTGTTGTTTCTCCCTTTCCTTTTCATTCCTAACATCCCCCCATCTAAATCCGAGTCTCTCATTACTTCTGTGCTGAAGCTCCGTTAAGACGCGGGGACCGCGGGTCATACTCCTTTCTCACTTGCGCTTACCCCTAGCAAGCTCCACGTTGATTCCACCGAGTCAACTTCCGGCTCACAATGGCCGAGCAACAGAAGGCAGGAGGGGGCAAGCCATGGAGCGGTACCAACAAAATCCCCACTGTCAATGAATTCATATCGAGACTGGACAAAAACAAATCAGAGCGAGACAAGGCCCTTGAAACACAGAACTCCGATACTGCAACTGCACATCATAGTGAGAAGCCAAAACAGGGAGGCAAGACAGTGACAGATCCTGTGACTGGACATAACGTCGTTATCGACGATGTGGGTAAAGAGTTCATGGAGCGAGCAGACAATCCCCAGGTACTGATCATTCGCAATCCATCTTGGTAATGTAAGCTGATGAATTGACTTATCTTGCAGCTATCTGTACCAAATGCCAACCTAGGCAAACCTACAACAGTAGCGACAGACGCGTCTATGAAAAACCCTGAGTACAAAGAAAAGCAGGACATCACAGCACCTCCCGATCCCATTGCTGAGGGCAGCACTTCCGACGTGCCTATCCATGGCGAGAAAACCAATATCTTGTTCCATCCTACTCCATCAGTCAGCTATGAGCCAATGTTCGAAGCCCTGGAGAAGCGTGCAGGTGGTCTTTGCATTGCCATCCTGCTGTCCATTGTCATCCTCGGAAAGACGTTTGGCGGCTCCCTTAAAGGCTTGATACCCTTGGGTATGTGTCTAGCTTCAGGCGTGTGGTTATGGATGAAGGAGGTTGTCAGGAGCGGTCGCGAGGTTGAATGGTCTAGTGAACAGAGCAGAGGCGAAACAGTATGGTCCGATCTTACCCACTTCACGCATCAATCACTGACCACCGCAGGCCGTTGCCAACCTTCTGCCCGAATCTGTCGAATGGATGAACACGTTCCTTGGCGTTGTTTGGGGTCTTATCAACCCTGAAATGTTTTCTGCTGTTGCAGACACACTCGAAGACGTGATGCAAGCCTCGGTTCCTAGCGTCATCAACAACGTCAGAGTAGCTGAAATCGATCAGGGGAATAACCCTATCCGCATCCTCAGCTTGCGAGCACTGCCCGACTCGAGAGTGGAAGACCTTAAGCAGAGTATACATGAGGAGAATAAGAAGACCAAGGATCCGCAAGAAGCTGCAGCTGACGAGGAAGGTGGTGACTATTACAACCTCGAGATTGCCTTTGCCTACCATGCCAAACCTTCCGGAAAGAGCGCATCCGCCCGTGCAAGAAACATGCACATGAACCTTGTGTTCTACCTGGGTATCAAAGGACTGGTCGGCGTGCCTCTGCCCATTTTCGTCGAGCTTCAAGAACTCGTCGGGACAGTTCGTCTTCGACTGCAGTTGACACCCGAGCCACCTTTTGCAAAGAGTCTCACGTTCACTCTGATGGGAGTGCCTCATGTCCAAGCGGGCTGCATTCCAATGGTTAAGCATGGGGTTAACATCCTTAACCTGCCTTTGATTTCCAACTTTGTCAACTACGCCATAGGAGCCGCCGCCAGCATGTATGTCGCACCAAAATCAATGCAGCTCGACCTCAAATCCATGCTGCAAGGAGACGACATCACCAAAGATACCCAAGCCATGGGTGTCATGTGGATTCGGATCCATCGTGCGATTGGACTGAGCAAGCAAGATCGTCGTGGCAGTAAATACGGCGGCAGCGATCCCTATATCAACCTGTCCTTCAGCAAATACGGCAAGCCCATGTACTGCACACGTGTCATCACCGACGATCTCAACCCAGTCTGGGAGGAAACTGCGGCTCTGTTGGTCACACCCGAGCTGATCAAGGCTAATGAACAACTCAGCGTCGAACTGTGGGATTCGGATCGCAACTCTGCAGATGACATGGTTGGCAAGATCGAGCTCTCCATGCAAAAGATGATCCAGCATCCAGGCAAGATGTACCCGCAAATCTCCAAGCTCTCTGGCGTGCAAGAAGGAACTGATATGCCGGGCGAGCTACATTGGGAAGTAGGTTACTTTGCCAAACCTAAGTTCCGCCCAGCACTTCGTACAGATGGTAAGGACAAGAATCTGCCAGACAAACTTCAGGACGACGACCAGTTTCAAGACGAGAAGGGTAACTTGGATACCGAAGATGCAGACGCTGTCGCGCATACTCCTCCCGACCCTTTGTGGCCCAGTGGCGTTCTGAGTGTCATTGTCCACCAAATTGTCAACTTGGAATTGGAAAATATCAAGGGTAGCGAAGGAAACCGAAAAGGCAAGGAATTCGAGCCCGCCAAGCCGTATGGAGAAGGTACCGATGAGGAGTCTGATGGTAAGTTTTCCTTCTCGATGATGTTCAGGTCTACTTACGCTAACAACCACAGAACTACCCACTTCGTACTGCACGATCTTGTTCAACGATGCGCTTGTCTACCGTACCCGAGCCAAAGCGGTGTCTAGTCAACCCATCTTCAATGCTGGTACCGAACGCTTCATGCGCGATTGGAGATCTGCCCTGGTCACCATCACCGTCCGTGACCAGCGCAACCGCGAACACGATCCAATCTTGGGTGTCGTTCCTCTTCGTCTGTCCGAGATCCTTACCACCAGCTCTCAGGTCACGAGGTGGTATCCCCTTGATGGTGGCATAGGTTTCGGTCGCATGAGGGTTTCTCTGCTGTTTCGAAGTGTCGAGACTCGACTTCCTCCAAACATGGTTGGTTGGGAGGTTGGCACGTTCGAATTTCTCTCAAGCCAGATTGTTGCCACGGGTTGGTCCTCAAATTCCAAGATCAAGCTCCGCACTGGTGGTAGCGTTGCTAAGATCTCTCGAACCCAATGTCATAAGAATGACGGTGGTGATGGCGTCTATTGGGACGTGTCTCCTGAGAACAATCATCACGTCCGCCTTCCAGTCAAGTATCGATACCGATCACCAGTCATCTTCGAATTCCACGTATCAGGGAAACGCGGTGCAGCTGCATATGCATCGATCTGGCTGCAGAATCTGGTCGATAATGAGGAGGTACCCATTGACATTCCAATCTGGCAGACCAAGAACGGCAGTCGGTTGTGCCAGAACTACATCACCGAGGAGAATTCAAAGGCCTTTATCGACAAAGGTCTAGAAGACCTCAAGGTGGTTGGTCGACTTCAATTTCGAGGTCGCTTCAAGGCAGGTATGGACGAATCACACCGCGACTTCATTGTTGACAACGACACACGCGAGACGTTTGAGACGTGGGAGTGCTGTTTGACTGAGGGTGTCAGGGACCGCGTGGTCGAGGCTGAGGTCCCCGAGAACATCCAGCAGATGCACGAGGCTTCTCTAGCGGAAGGCCGCGACGTCCTCAAGCAAGAGCTTTCGGGCCGAGACAAGCGTGTATGGAGAAGTAAGAGTGGGGAGGATTGGTCTGGTGCATTTGGCCATGATCCCCGAGCGTACACGAACAAGAACCATGACAAGATTGCTGAGCCGGGGAAAGACGATCCACCGCATGACCCGTACGCTCCTTCAGACAACGAAGAGAATGACGATGTGGATTATGACGATGATTCGGATGAGTCGTCTGATCTGGGCATTACTGATGCCACGAATGCCCCGGACGGGGGATTTAAGAAGAACGCTCAAGAACATGTGGATAACCATGCAAATGGCAACGGACATCCACGACAGAGCATGGACACGATGGCGACGAATGACACCTCCTATACCACCATGACGGAGGGGTCAACTAACTCGGTCCAGCCAGTCACTAGGAAAGACTCCAAATGGGAAGCCAAGGCTGGAAAGCGTGCAGAAGAACGTAAGCATCGTGGGTTGTCACAGTGGAAGCCAGCAAGAAACGTCAAGTTCGCCAAGGACGAAGCCAAGATCGGAGTGAACAAGCTTAAGAAGAAACTTGGGATGGGTTCGTTGAGTGGAAGAGAGCCTGGAATTGAGACTGAGACATAGACTCAGATGAGTTTGCTTTTCCTATCCTACCTATACCCTATAGTGGGGGCATGTCGCGGAGCAGAGGCGACGTGGGATGGATGCCCTATTTGTATCAGCAACTATTGATGAAGACGGCGGATGATCACCGTGTGATATGAGTACGGTGGATATTAATACTCTTGATCATATTCTGCTGAACATTGCCCCGTAGGTGGACCTCGTGAATACCGCTGCAAACTCTGTCGTGTCTCGCCATCGTTTGTGGTCCTGCCGAGACCCAATATGCGTGGCAGTCCTGGGCGTTCCTGGGCAGACCAGCTGACCGGCAGACTGCTCGGAATTGCGGTTGCAGTGATTTTTAAACTCGGTGTATTCAATAGTCCAATGTACGCCGTTAATGTCAGTGTCAGTGCACAAACCTTCATTATGGGGTTGTGTGTGGAGGGGGGTGGTGGGCTTGCGGTGTTCGGATTGCGTTTGAACAGCGCGGTGGTTGGCCTTGTTAAAACATTCTGAATATATCATGGCAAGGTGAGTATGCCTTAACTTATGTAAAGATAGGTGAGCCACGGAACGCGGAGGTCGGAACCAGAGCAGCGCGACCTCTCATTTGACGCAACCCTTGCGTGCCACAAGGATGTTGCGGATGATGAGCATGTTAGCGGCGCTTGGCTTGCTATTTCTCCTCCCCGGGTTGGTGTGTTGCATCTTGGTTTGTTCTTGGTTGTTGCTGCACAGCCTCCGTGTCCGGTGTTTGCGACTGGAACTCCAACTTCAACCAACTCTGCCGCTACTAGCATTCATAGTAAAAGTAAGTATCCTACCAGTCGACTATTACACTCGATTGCGACGGGTGACGTTCTTTATCCCGATTCTGCTTGTTTTACCACCAACAAGTCCCCTCGCTAGACCCACCTCGTGCCTCTACACCTATCGCACCCCAGCCTGACACTGCTCCTGACCCTACTATCCTGTAGTACCTCGGACTGTCGCTCGCTTTCGATACATTCTATCACTCTCTGGCGCCATCAATACTAGAACAACATTCGCGTCATTGAGATTGCCGCTCTCATGAAAGGCTCGACGACTCAGCATTGAATAGCCACCCACCTCCGGCGCAATGCGCCTCCAGCAACATTTCGCTACCTTCGCGGTATCGTGTTTCCTCCTGATCCTCGGAGCTGATGCTGACTCAAAATCCCGCAATCCCCTGAATTACCTGTCGTTACTTGAAGATCCTCGAATTCATACTCCGTCACAAAGGGTTCATGCGTCTTCTCACTTCGACCTCACCTTCGATCTCCACAGAAGCTCGGAACACATTCGGTTGAGTCTGGAGCCAAACCATGACATTGTGCAGGAAGACTCGTACATTGAATATCTGGATGAAGATGGAAACGTTAAACACGCCGAGAAAATGCAGCGGGAGGACTACAAGGTTTACCAGGGCAAGTCGTTTGTCGTGGACGAAGACGGTCTGTCAACACATGTCGGCTGGGCACGTATTGTCGTAAGACGGGATGGCATACGACCTTTGTTTGAGGGCGCTTTCACTGTCATGGGCAATCATCATCATATTCAGATGAAATCAACTTACACAGCGACAAAGCATTTGCTGGACCCTCAGCTGGCTGATGACGAAGACGAGTATATGGCTGTATGGCGAGATTCAGATGTCAGCAGGCACTCGCAGCGTGATTTGAAGCGTGATGTGGGATTGACCTGTGCTTCCGATAGACTGGCTTTCAACACCGACCCAGCACATCCCATCTTTCAGGACTTGGTACTGAAGCGCGATGACGGCTATTGGGGGTCCATGTCTGTGTCAGCCCTGCTTGGAAAACGTCAGAGTATCGATGGTGGCGGCGCTGGTAATGGTAATTCAGCTGGCGTCAGCCTCAAGTCAACCATCGGTAGCACGGCCGGGTGTCCGACCACGCGCAAAGTGGCTCTGATTGGGGCTGCCACTGACTGCACGTACACTGCCAGCTTCAATTCGACGGATACTGTGCGACAGCATATCATCACCCAGGTTAACACGGCTTCCGATTTGTATCAGTCGACTTTCAACATTACTCTCGGACTCAGGAATTTGACGGTGTCCGATGCTGCGTGTCCTGGAACAGCAAGTTCGACGACCCCATGGAATCTCGGCTGTACAGGCAACAATCAGACAATGGACTCTCGACTGAACCTCTTCTCAGCATGGCGAGGAGAACGTGGCGATAGCAACGCCTACTGGTCGCTCTTCACAACCTGCAGCACCGATGCCGAGGTAGGTGTCGCCTGGCTTGGGCAATTGTGTAATACCGGTTCCACATCTCAACAGGATACTAGTGGTACCACGCAGAGCGTGACTGGTGCCAACGTGGTTGCAAAGACTTCGACTGAGTGGCAGGTGTTTGCCCATGAATCAGGCCATACCTTTGGAGCTGTACACGACTGTGATTCATCAACCTGTGCCGACGCGAACACTGTCAACTCGGGACAATGCTGTCCTCTGTCATCATCAACGTGTGACGCAAATGCTCAGTACATGATGAATCCGTACGCTTCTTCTTCGATCAGCACCTTTTCACCCTGTTCCGTTGGCAACATATGCAGTGCGCTGGGTCGTAACTCTGTGCAATCTGGATGTCTGACCGACAACAAAGGCGTCGTTACCATCACTGGCAATCAATGCGGAAATGGCATTGTCGAAGAAGGCGAGGATTGCGACTGCGGCGGCACGGAAGGCTGCGCCGGGAACACTTGCTGCGATGCGACCACTTGCAAGTTTAATTCGGGCGCTGTCTGTGATCCGAGCAACGAAGGATGTTGCACAACCAGTTGTCAATTCTCATCTGCAGGCACGGTCTGCCGCGCGAGTACCGGTTCTTGTGACCCTCAAGAAGTCTGCTCCGGTACCAACGGAACCTGTCCTGCAGACAGTACGGCCAAGGATGGAACCGGTTGCACGAGTGGCAACTTCACTGGCCTCGCATGCGCTAGTGGCCAATGTACCAGTCGAAACCTCCAATGCAAGACTTTGATGGGCAGTTATACATCTGATAACGACACATATGCTTGTGACAGTGGGTCATGTACCATCAGCTGTGCCAGTCCCAGCTTCGGAGCGAATGTCTGTTACAGTATGCAACAGAATTTCTTGGACGGGACTCCTTGTAATGGTGATGGAAAATGTGAGAATGGCGTCTGCAGCGGAAGCACTGTCGGAGGTGAGGTGAAGTCCTGGATTGATAACAACAAGACACTTGTGATTGCATTGGCGAGTGCACTTGGTGGAATCATCCTCCTTGCGATCCTGGGATGTTGTGTACGAGCATGCAGAAGACGAAAACAGCCCAAATATAATGGAAATGGACGAAGACGTGGAGGGGCAGCGGCGGCCACGTCAGCGCCGCGTGGTTGGGATGGACCAGCGATTCCACCTCAAATGAGGGCTCGCCAGTATGGGATTAACTGGCAGACTTCGCCGCAACAAACTCAGGCTCCTCAGCAAGGCTGGGCTCCTCCACAACCATCAATGATGCAGTCTGACTCGAATTGGTATCCTTCAACGCCACCCCCAGCTTATGCAGCTTGGGCAAATGGAGCCCGGCCAAAACCGGTTAATAGTGTTCGGTATGCATAAAAGAAAGGAAACGGAAGAGAAGGATCATGTTGTACAGCCTCATCATGCCTCCTCAGGTTGTTTATCTATGCTGAAAAGGATGTTGGGGTATTACTACTTGTGCATGAGGGCTGGCATACCTTACTTGGGTATAGTGGAGCTGGAGGCTCTTCCATATCATGACCGTGATGACCCTGATCAAGTGAAAGCGTTGGTATAGGTATATAGCATTAAAGACTTGCACTGTACTCTGTAGCATTTTCTGGATGTCCATGCAGGAGTATTTGAAGCTCTGCTCTATGTGCACTGTCAAGTATCTGTCGCGATGATGCAAAATGCCTTCAATATAAGTTGTTCCTCGGCCCCATTCCGATTGTAAGCGATGGCATCATTTTCCGGGCGTCCGATTTCGCAACCCTTGAGAGGTCAATCAGTACCGTATGCTGGACATATTTTGTTGCAATATTCTATTGTTTCTCAGGGCGTGCGGACAGGTCCTTCCCACTCATGAACTGCTACTCATTAGCAACACCGGCATTACGCATAACCACAACCTCAGCTTCTCGTCAAATCCTCGCCCTACGCTCAATAGAATCGCACATCCCCGCAGTCTGTTGGTCGACGACGTTCCGTGGTCAACACCGCCGCAATCTGTGTCGGTCTTCCAGGATGGACGCCAAGTTTGCCCCTGCGAAGCGCGTCGCAGGTCAGAAGCAGGATGTTTGGAGTATAGTCAACGAGGCGGCTGCCGCGTCTCCTGTGCAGCCCATTGTGAATATGGGGCAGGGGTTTTTGTGAGTCCGCGAGCCTGCGCGAGCCTGCGAGGTCTTATGCGTCTGTCAAAGATATGCTGACAGAACGCTTCGCGCATTAGTGGTTATAACCCTCCTCAATTCATCCTCGATGCTGCAAAGTCGGCACTTGACCGTGTCGATTGTAACCAGTACTCCCCCACGAAAGGCAGACCGAGACTGAAGAAGGCCATTGCCGATGCTTATTCACCGTATTTTGGTCGGACTCTCAACCCCGAGACGGAAGTCACTATTACTACGGGGGCCAATGAGGGTGCGTGCGAGCCTGCCGGGTGTTGCAGATTTGAGAAGATGAGGAATGGGAAAAGCTGATAACAGGCAGGCATGCTAAGCGCATTCATGGGCTTCATCGAGCCAGGCGACGAAGTGATCATCTTTGAGCCCTTTTTCGACCAGTACATCAGTAACATCGAGATGCCGGGCGGGACGATTCGTTATGTGCCCATGCAGCCGCCGAAAGACGGCGCAGAGCGTACATCGTCAGCGTCGAACTGGACGATCGACTTTGACGAGCTGGAGCGCGCGTTCAACGACAAAACGAAAATGATTGTGTTGAACTCGCCGCACAATCCTGTGGGCAAAGTTCTGAGTAAAGAGGAACTTACGCGAATTGGAGATCTGTGCCTCAAGCATAAAGTCATTATTTTGAGTGATGAGGTGTATGATCGATTATACTACGTGCCGTTCACCAGAATTGCTACTTTGTCGCCGGAAATCGCGAAGATTACATTGACGGTGGGGAGCGCGGGCAAGAATTTCTACGCAACGGGCTGGCGGGTTGGTTATTTGATCGGCCCACCAGAGTTGATCAAGTATGTCGCCGCGGCGCATACGCGGATCTGTTACAGCAGTGTTAGTCCCTTACAGGAGGCTGCGGCGATTGGTTTCGAAGAGGCGGATAAAGTTGGATTTTGGGATGCTGCGAAGAAGGAAATGAAGGGCAAGATGGATCGGTTTTGCGAGGTATTTGATGAGTTGGGCATTCCCTACTCGGTGCCCGAGGGCGGGTACTTTGTGCTGGCGAACTTAAAGAGGGTGAATTTGCCAGAGGCATACTCATTTCCAGACCATGTCAAGGATCGGCCGCGGGATTTCAAGATGTCGTGGTTTCTGATCATGGAGTTGGGGGTTGCGGCAATTCCGCCGACCGAATTCTATACGGATGAGAAGGCGCATTTGGCGGAGGATTGGATGAGGTTTGCAGTCTGTAAGAACGATGATATCCTGGAGGATGCGAAAGGAAGGTTGAGGGGATTGAAGAAGTATATGGCTTGATCTGGGGACAGGAGTGGGTGCACGTGAGGGAGCTGTGTTGTAGACAAAGTCGATAGACACGTCAAGGGGCGATGTAAGACTAGACTCCATCATGTCAGTGCTCATGTACTTGCGTGCCGTGCTTCTGAAATCGCGAGTGGTGGAATGAGTACTGACTTTGGAGCGACGAAAGGATCTAGCTACATGCTCAATAATGATCGTGGGTGGAGCAAGATGCTCAGCCTTGTCGCGGGGTTCGAATTGAAGCGTGGTGAGACGCGTCTCATCCTCTGCAATCAATTTATTAATCTGGCAAACAATTGTTGCAGATTAACCACCAGCTATCGGGCTGGTCCTTATCGCCTACCTCCTTATTTTCATCGTTTCTGATAGAGCCATACTTTCTATCCATTCGTTGGTGATGGAGCTCGCAGAATGGTCGCCTGTCCTATCTGCGGCAAGCCCGTAAAACAATGCAACATCAACAACCACATTGACTCCAATTGCGTCGACAACATTGAATCAGAAAATGGCGCAACACCAGTCTCGTCCTTCTTCAAGACGCCCATCGGCAAACGCGATGCCCCCGCGTCGTTCTCCTCGTCCTCTCAGCCCGTCCAGTCTCCGAGCGACTCGCGATCGAATACCTCACTGAAACGATCATTCGATGCCATCGCCTCCACGCAACCGCAATCACAACCACAATCGCTGTCCAACGGCCACAGACCTGTTCATCAACAAAGTGGCACTGATACACATACGCAGGCTCCGAGCAAGAGATCTAAAACAAGCGCCTTCGAAAAAGCCGCCCCTTTAGCCGAGCGCATGCGCCCGAAGACCCTTGACGACGTGTACGGACAGGAACTTGTAGGCTCGGTCGGCGTGCTAAGAGGTCTAATCGAACAGGACCGCGTGCCGAGTATGATCCTCTGGGGTGGCGCAGGAACCGGCAAAACCACCATCGCACGAGTCATAGCGAGCATGGTCGGCTCTCGCTTCGTCGAGATCAATAGCACGAGCTCTGGGGTTAGCGAATGCAAGAAGATCTTCGCCGAAGCACGCAGCGAGCTTGGCCTGACAGGTCGCAAAACCATTATCTTCTGCGACGAGATCCACCGTTTCTCCAAAAGTCAGCAGGATGTGTTCCTGGGTCCCGTGGAAGCCGGGCACGTCACGCTTATCGGCGCGACGACCGAGAATCCTTCATTTAAAGTGCAGAATGCACTGCTCTCGCGGTGCCGCACGTTCACTTTGCAGAAATTGACGGATGACCATATCTGTCAGATTCTGACAAGGGCGCTCGAGGCCGAGAGGGACACGTACAGTCCTTCAGATCTGGTGAATGACGAACTGATTCAGTATCTGTCTGCGTTTGCGGACGGGGATGCGCGCACGGCGTTGAATCTACTGGAGTTGGCCATGGATTTGTCTAAGCGCGATGGGATGGATATGCAGACTTTGAAACAGGGCCTGACGAGGACGCTTGTGTACGACCGGGCAGGCGATCAGCATTACGATACGATTTCGGCCTTTCACAAGTCTGTCAGGGGAGGTGATGCGGACGCTGCGCTGTATTATCTTGCTAGGATGATTCAGTCGGGCGAAGACGCACTGTATATCGCGCGTCGGATGATTGTGATTGCTTCGGAGGATGTTGGCCTCGCGGATCAGACGATGCTGCCGCTTGCTACGGCCGCGTATACGGCGGCGCAGGTGGTGGGCATGCCGGAGGCGAGGATCAACCTTGCGCATGTCACGGTTGCATTGTGTCTGGCGCCCAAATCAACGAGAGCGTATCGAGGCTTGGGCAATGCGATGAGCGCATTGCAAGAACCTGGTATTGCGGGGTTGCCTATCCCAATTCATTTGAGAAATGCGCCGACACGGTTGATGAAGGAGCTTGGATATGGGAAGGAGTACAAGTATAATCCGAATTACAAGGATGGAATGGTGAAGCAGGAGTACTTGCCTGATGCGCTGAAGGGGCGGAAGTTCCTGGAGGATGTTGATCTGGGTGAGAAGATTGATGAGGATCTGCTGCTGGATGAAAAGCTGGAGAAGAAGATCAATGGTAATGATCATGCTGGTTGAAGTGGGGCCGTTCTGGATGACACTGAAGATGGACGGCACACACGCAGGAGTCTTGGAGATCCAGTGGACGCCATGTTTGAGCCCGAAGTGTTCGCCGACGGGGGCACGCATGGCCGACAGGTATTGACGACGCATGAAATGTCGTATAGAGGCTAATATTGAGCACGGGCCAGAACCCCTCGACGGTAAACTAATGACATAGCGGTACAGCAACACTCATGTGGACAACGTCCTTTCCGAAGGCCGTCGGCACTACCAAGAAGACTCATTCAAACTCCTGGCACTGCTTCGCCCTCTCAAGCTCTTTGATCCACGGAAGTCGATACTTGACCCACAATTCAGCTTGTGGCACTCCGAGCTCTTCTAAATCACTACTGTCCAAACACCCTCCGAACAGGATCAACACCCCCAAAAAGGGCCCGTTAGCCCTCTTGAACAGCGTGCTCGGGCACTTGCTGCACCCGTAAAACGTCATGTCCAGTCCGACTTCGTGCACTCCAGCGCTCTGCTTGAGAGGCGTGTCCGTCTTAGACTGGAGTTTGAAGTCGGTGAATTTAGGTTCTGGCGTGGCAGCTGGTGACGCAGAGACTGCGTCGGGGTCTGGGAGCAGGAAAGCGGTCGCGTATGCGCTGCCTGTCACTTTGCGGCAGGTGAGGCAGTGGCATATGGCCTGAGCACAAGAGTTACTATGCGGCGAAAGAGAAGGACGGAAGGGGCCGCACCTTCATCAACGGCTCTCCTGAGAAGGAGTAGGTGATGTCGCCGCACAGGCAGGATCCGGATGGCATTCTTGGCGCTATGACTCTAGAGGCGTGGAACAAGGCGGGAAGTGGCTGGAGCGACTTCGCTTATTGAAACTTGGAGGATGGTAGACAAGAGAAATAATCCCTATTAGCATGGCGGCCTCACGTATTCATATGAGTCATGTCATGGGACCTCTTTTCAGTGACCTCGTATTGCAAAGCTCAGCCAAACACTAGAGCCTCGTGAAGTTCGTGTCAAGGCAAGTCTAGAATCCTGTCTGGCTCGCACCACCATATCATCAAGTCTTTCGCTGGCATCTACGATGCCAATACGAGCATTGAATTCACGGACTGAAAGATGAGCGCACATGAATTATAGCCATATGCTCATCGAGGCACAAAGAGCCTATCAAGACTTTCTGGACGGCAATGTGCAGGCAAGGCGGATGTTTTGGTAATATCGGGCGGCATATCAAGGCGGTGGACGGAATGTTTCCACATATGGCATTTCCGCTTGCCGAAGAGGCAACGGGACCGTGGTGTTTATGAACCATCGTCCCACTCTCTCACCTCGACTTAGCTGTTGTTCTGTCAACTCTTGGACGACTGTAGTGACAATCTCGCTTTGCCATAACGGATTCTGGATTGAACGAAGCTTCGATAGGGCCCAATTAACGTCAGCCCGTGTCCGGCTCTCAGCGGCATGCAGAAACAGGGGCCAAATGAGAGCAGCATCTAGGTGCTGGTTTGTCGTTGAGGTGGAGAATTCCTCGAAGGCTTGACGCATTTGTTGCATGGACTGCTGTGCGTCTGATCTTGTAGAATGGTCTTTGCTGTGGGCCCTGTCAATGTAAACAGTCTCGGCGAAGTAGCATATCCTGCAGAGCGCCACCAGCAAATCGCAGGCGGAATCACTTGTTCCGGTAAAATTAGCGTTGTGTCTCGGTGTAAGACACAAAAGGCGCGGACGAGCCAACCAGAGGATATTCAGATGATCCGCAATATTTGCTGAGATTCGTTGAACCCCAGTTTCGTCCGCCAATGTGCCTCTAGGGCGATGGTGTCTGTTGAGGGCCGACGCCTGGACAGAAATGTCTTGCAGCTCATCATAGAAGTGGAAGAGAGCTGTTGTCGTACACTCTGACAATTCGAAGCCAGGTTCATGCGGTTGGTCGTCGAGGAAGAACAGTGAGGGCACGGGATGCCGTTCGACCGGCAGAAGTGCACATAGTTGCGGGCTTAGAATGCCACGTCCGCCCAGATGCATAGCTTTTGTATGAAACCATCGAAGCCAGACAGTGATACGGCGTGCAATCGGTGGCCACGGCTGCACATTCGTCCACGCCCCAATTTTTGAGACGAACGTATCCTTCCCCTTCAAAGTGTGGGGGATGGTTTCTTGTTGCGCCACAATCTCGAAACTGCACAGCAGGAATGTCACAATCAAAAGAGGTTCCAGGCCTTGATCGTCGCGTCAACTAGTCGAGAGGGTCAACTGGTCGAGAGGGTCAACTGGTCGAGAGGGTCAACTGGTCGAGAGGGTCAACTGGTCGAGAGGGTCAACTGGTCGAGAGGGTCAACTGGTCGAGAACTTTGTCCTGGGTCAACTGGTCGAGAACTTTGTCCTGGGTCAACTGGTCGAGAACTTTGTCCTGGGTCAACTGGTCGAGAACTTTTGACCGGGGCGCCTGAAGCACGGGCAACGCTCCCGGGCGTAAACAAAGGTAGACATCGGGTATAGAAGGGGCTGTATAGGGCCTAGGTACCCCCAGAGCCGCGAAGATCGCCCAAGGGACGTGGGTCAACTGGTCGAGATTTTGCCCTGGGTCAACTGGTCCAAATTTTGACGGGGCACCCCTGGGTCAACTGG